TGAAAAAATATATTTTTTTTCAATTTCGAGAAAATTACCCTGTCAAATTTTCGTGGAAAAAAAATTAAGGTAAGTAAAAAAGTCGTCAAATTTGGGCAAAAGAAAAAATTTTGACACGAAGAAAAATGAGGCACAAGAAAAAAATTTTAAATGAAAAATGTTTTGGCAAAAGAAATAAAATTGGACCGGAAAAAAAATTGGACACAAGAAAACTTTTACAATCTATCTAAAATAACCTACCGCCGAAGGATAAATTCTGATTTTCGTCAATTTTTTGAAATTTGGAAATACGTCGAAATGTTTTAGATAGTACAATTGCATTATTTCATCAAAACAATACATTTCAACACATGAAATCATACTTTGATATATTTTGAAATTTCAGCAAATCGGCAACGGGGGACCAAAGAAAAATTCTAATCCTCGTCAATTTTTTGAAGTTTCAAAATTCAGTTGAAAATATTTCGAAATGCTTCAGAATCAAGTACAATTGTATTCTTTCATCAAAAAATACATTTGAACGCAGATAATCATACTTTGATAAATTTTAAAAATTTCAGCCAAATCGGCAACGGGGGACCAAGGAAAAATTCTAATTTTCGTCAATTTTTTTGAATTTTGAAAATACGTCGAATTGTTTTAGGTTTAAGTACAATTGCACTCTTTCATCAAAACAATACATTTGAACACATGCAATCATACTTTGATAAATTTTAAAATTTCAGGCAGATCGGCAACCGGGGACTAAAGAAAAATTCTAACTCTCGTCTATTTTTGAAGTCTTAAAATTCAGTTGAAAATACTTCGAAATGCTTCAGAATCAAGTACAATTGTATTCTTCCATGAACACAATACATTTGAACACATAAAATCATACTTTGATAAATTTCAAAATTTCAGCCAAATCGGTAACAGGGGACCAAAGGAAAAATCCTAACTTTCGTGAATTTTTTGAAGGTTCAAAATTCAATTGAAAATACTTCGAAATGCTTCAGAATTGATTAGAATTGCATTCTTTCATGAACACAATACATTTGAACACATAAATCATACTTTGATAAAATACAAAATTTCAACCAAATTGGCAACGGGGAGCAAAGGAAAAATCCTAACTTTCGTCAAATATTTGAAATTCCAAAATTCGGTTGAAAATACGTCGAAATGCTTTAGAATTTCATTATAAATTTCAAAATTTCAGCCAAATTGGCAACGGGGGAGCAAAGGAAAAATCCTAACTTTCGTCAAATATTTGAATTTCCCAAATTCGGTTAAAAATACGTCGAACTGTTTCAGAATTTCATTCTTTCATAAAAACAATACATTTGAACACATAAAATCATACTTTGATAAAATACAAAATTTCAACAAAATCGGTAACGGGGGACCAAAGGAAAAATCCTAACTTTCGTGAATTTTTTGAAATTTCAAAATTGGGGTGAAAATACTTCGAGATGCTTCAGAATTGATTAGAATTGCATTCTTTCATGAACACAATACATTTGAACACAAAAATCATACTTTGATAAATTTCAAAATTTCAGCAAAATCGGTAACGGGGGAGCAAAGGAAAACTATCCTAACTTTCGTCAAATATTTGAATTTCCCAAATTCGGTTAAAAATACATCGAACTGTGTCAGAACTTCATTCTTTCATAAAAACAATACATTTGAACACATAAAATCATACTTTGATAAAATACCAAATTTCAACCAAATTGGCAACGGGGGACCAAAGGAAAAATCCTAATTTTCGTCAAATATTTGAAATTCCAAAATTCGGTTGAAAATACGTTGAAATGCTTCAGAATTTCATTCTTTCATCAAAACAATACATTTGAACACACAAAATCATACTTTGATAACATACAAAATTTCAACAAAATTGGCAACGGGGGACCAAAGGGAAAATCCTAACTTTCGTGAATTTTTTGAAATCTCAAAATTTGGGTGAAAATACTTCAAAATTCTTCAGAGAATTGATTAGAATTGCATTCTTTCATGAACACAATACATTTGAACACAAAAATCATACTTTGATAAATTTCAAAATTTCAGCCAAATCGGTAACGGGGGAGCAAAGGAAAAATCCTAACTTCCAAAATTCGGTTGAAAATACGTCGAAATGCTTCAGAATTTCATTCTTTCATCAAAACAATACATTTGAACACATAAAATCATACTTTCATAAAATACAAAATTTCAACTAAACTGACAACGGGGACCAAAGGAAAAATTGTAATTTTCGTCAATTTTTTGAAGGTTCAAAATTCAGTTGAAAATACTTCGAAATGCTTCAGAATTGATTAGAATTTCAGTCTTTCATGAACACAATACATTTGAATACATAAAATCATACTTTGATAAATTTCAAAATTTCAGCCAAATTGGCAACGGGGAAGCAAAGGAAAAATCCTAACTTTCGTCAAATATTTGAATTTCCCAAATTCGGTTAAAAATACGTCGAACTGCTTCAGAATTTCATTCTTTCATCAAAACAATACATTTGAACACATAAAATCATACTTTGATAACATACAAAATTTCAACCAAATTGGCAACGGGGGACCAAAGGAAAAATCCTAACTTTCGTGAATTTTTTGAAATTTCAAAATTGGGTTGAAAATACTTCGAAATCCTTCAGAATTGATTAGAATTGCATTCTTTCATGAAAACAATACATTTGAACACATAAAATCATACTTTGATAAATTAAAAGCAAAATTGGCAACGGGGGACCAAAGGGAAAATTCTAATTTTCGTCAATTTTTTGAAAGTTCAAAATTCGGTTTAAAATACGTCGAAATACTTCAGAATTGATTAGTATTCCACTCTTTCATAAACGCAATACATTTGAACACATAAAATAATACTTTGATAAATTTTAATATTTTAGGCAAATAAAATTGAACACATAAAATCATACTTTGATAAATTTCAAAATTTCAGCCAAATCGGTAACAGGGGACCAAAGGAAAAATCCTAACTTTCGTGAATTTTTTGAAGGTTCAAAATTCAATTGAAAATACTTCGAAATGCTTCAGAATTGATTAGAATTGCATTCTTTCATGAACACAATACATTTGAACACATAAATCATACTTTGATAAAATACAAAATTTCAACCAAATTGGCAACGGGGAGCAAAGGAAAAATCCTAACTTTCGTCAAATATTTGAAATTCCAAAATTCGGTTGAAAATACGTCGAAATGCTTTAGAATTTCATTATAAATTTCAAAATTTCAGCCAAATTGGCAACGGGGGAGCAAAGGAAAAATCCTAACTTTCGTCAAATATTTGAATTTCCCAAATTCGGTTAAAAATACGTCGAACTGTTTCAGAATTTCATTCTTCATAAAAACAATACATTTGAACACATAAAATCATACTTTGATAAAATACAAAATTTCAACAAAATCGGTAACGGGGGACCAAAGGAAAAATCCTAACTTTCGTGAATTTTTGAAATTTCAAAATTGGGGAAAAACTTCGAGATGCTTTAGAATTGATTAGAATTGCATTCTTTCATGAACACAATACATTTGAACACAAAAATCATACTTTGATAAATTTCAAAATTTCAGCAAAATCGGTAACGGGGAGCAAAGGAAAACTATCCTAACTTTCGTCAAATATTTGAATTTCCCAAATTCGGTTAAAAATACATCGAACTGTGTCAGAACTTCATTCTTTCATAAAAACAATACATTTGAACACATAAAATCATACTTTGATAAAATACCAAATTTCAACCAAATTGGCAACGGGGGACCAAAGGAAAAATCCTAATTTTCGTCAAATATTTGAAATTCCAAAATTCGGTTGAAAATACGTTGAAATGCTTCAGAATTTCATTCTTTCATCAAAACAATACATTTGAACACACAAAATCATACTTTGATAACATACAAAATTTCAACAAAATTGGCAACGGGGGACCAAAGGGAAAATCCTAACTTTCGTGAATTTTTTGAAATCTCAAAATTTGGGTGAAAATACTTCAAAATTCTTCAGAGAATTGATTAGAATTGCATTCTTTCATGAACACAATACATTTGAACACAAAACATCACTTTGATAAATTTCAAAACACAGCCAAATCGGTAACGGGGGAGCAAAGGAAAAATCCTAACTTCCAAAATTCGGTTGAAAATACGTCGAAATGCTTCAGAATTTCATTCTTTCATCAAAACAATACATTTGAACACATAAAATCATACTTTCATAAAATACAAAATTTCAACTAAACTGACAACGGGGACCAAAGGAAAATTGTAATTTTCGTCAATTTTTGAAGGTTCAAAATTCAGTTGAAAATACTTCGAAATGCTTCAGAATTGATTAGAATTTCAGTCTTTCATGAACACAATACATTTGAATACATAAAATCATACTTTGATAAATTTCAAATTTCAGCCAAATTGGCAACGGGGAAGCAAAGGAAAAATCCTAACTTTCGTCAAATATTTGAATTTCCCAAATTCGGTTAAAAATACGTCGAACTGCTTCAGAATTTCATTCTTTCATCAAAACAATACATTTGAACACATAAAATCATACTTTGATAACATACAAAATTTCAACCAAATTGGCAACGGGGGACCAAAGGAAAAATCCTAACTTTCGTGAATTTTTTGAAATTTCAAAATTGGGTTGAAAATACTTCGAAATCCTTCAGAATTGATTAGAATTGCATTCTTTCATGAAAACAATACATTTGAACACATAAAATCATACTTTGATAAATTAAAAGCAAAATTGGCAACGGGGGACCAAAGGGAAAATTCTAATTTTCGTCAATTTTTTGAAAGTTCAAAATTCGGTTTAAAATACGTCGAAATACTTCAGAATTGATTAGTATTCCACTCTTTCATAAACGCAATACATTTGAACACATAAAATAATACTTTGATAAATTTTAATATTTTAGGCAAATCGTCAACGGGAGGACAAGGAAAAATCCTAATTTTTGTCAATTTTTTTAAATCTCGTTGGTTCATAGGGCGATTTATTTTTCAACGATATAAAAAAAGACACAAGAAAAAATTTGCACATGAAAAATATTTTGACACAAGAAAAGAAATTGGACAGGAAAAAAATTGGACACAAGAATATATATTCTTCCAGCTTTCCCATTCTCTCAAGCTTTCGCGTGACGTTGTGCAGTCGTCTGAATCTTGTTTTCTGGCAGAGGCATACAATCACCTTTCCAAGGCAGCTCTGTCTCGTAGAATCCATCATCATCCTGTTGAAGTTGCTTCTTAAATTCTTCGTGCTGGAACGAGGTCACCTTGTCCATGTCAGCAACGCCAAAACATCATCTCTGCACAGTCGCTCAAACTCTTCTTGGCGAGTATGGAGTAGGAAATGCTTGTAGGTCTTGGTGCGTGTACCACCATAAAGTGTCCACCTGAACAGTGTCAATTCGGCTCCTGGATCCCTGTCCTGGTCATCACCCATTTGACAGGTGAAAAAATTGGGACGCAAGAAAAAAATTAAAAGGAAAAAAAATTTGGACACAAGAATTACAGGAAAAATAATGGACACAAGAAAATAATTTTGACACGAAAGAAAATGATTAAGGAAAAAGTATCTGGTATCAAGTTTGATTTGTTTGAAAGCAGTGTACCAGGAATTTAACCCAGTAACCGTGTGTACAGTCAGGTTCCATTAACTTGTATGTTTTGCAATTTAAGGCATTTATCATACGAGAAATTGTACAACACTCAACTATACATTCAGTATATTATAGGGCAAACGTAAGGTGGGTGGCTTCCATAAAGAAAGGAATTGTCATTTGTCATTAATGGAAAACCAACCATAAACGCGGTCCCGAACACACGGACACTGTTTTTGATTACGAGGGAAACCAGAGATCCTGGAGGAAAACCCTCACCGAACGCCGGAAATAAATACGATACACAGGTTTTTTAGTATTTTATTAACATAATGTATTACAAAGCGTGTATTTTTCATGTTTTACACAGTGTGTTTGTTTTTATAGCTATTGAAATCAAGACACAAGGAAACAAATAATTTTTCTCCTTTTATTACAACTTTATCGTTCAATCATGTGTTACAAAGCTTGTTTGTTTTTAGCTATTGAAATCAAGAGACAGGGAAACGGTTAATTTTTCTCCTACTTTTATTACTACTTTATCGTTCATGTGCTACAGAACGGGTTTGTTCTCTTACAGTAATACAAATAAATTCAGAATATGTCTACGTCTTACATAATGCTTGGTTTTTTATAATATGTAGCTTGCATGTGTGTGTATTTTATTATTAGATCTATTTGAATGCATTTATATTGCAGCAGTGTTGTATATATATGTTATTCTATTGTCTTGTATTTGTCTTGTATTTGAATGCATGTACTGTATGAAAATGGTCATTCATTCTGTTCTATATGTATGCAAGTGTAGAGTACACTCTTCTCTATTCTTTTCATTTATATATGTATTTTATTCAATTCATATTCTATTTGCAGGCATGCATGTATACGTAAGGGGGCACATGCTCGTGTAGATTTTGTTCTATTGTATCGATATCTGGGTGAATTTTGAAAGCCCTATTCGTTCATAAACTAAAATTATTCCGCTGACAAATCATAGGCAGTGTTCCTAAGAGTTTTTTTAATAATTGTTAGTTCATGAAATTTACAACTTCGGTGCATAGATTTTAATTAAAGCCGAAAGCAAGCTGCCCTTACAGAAACAGCACAAAGTAAAAATTTTTTCCTGTGAAAAATTTGACTGGACACTTTCAGAGCAAAGGCGTATAGCCTAAGCAAGCTCCCCCTTTTAGAAATGGCACCGAGTTGCTACTTTTTTTCTGTGGAAAATGGACTTAGCACTTCCAAAGCAAAGGCGTATAGCCAAAGCAAATGCCCTTACAGAAGAGCATCGAGCACAATTTTTTTTTGTGAAAAATTTACTTAACTTTTTCAGAGCCAAGGCATAAAGCTAAAGCAAGCTGTCCTTACAGAAACAGCAATGAAAAAAAACACTGCAAGGTTATTAGATATCCCAAGATACCTGCTAACACTTCGAACCAATCAGCAAAGTCAAACAGTACAGACGAAAAGTGGCGCCTTTCTTTTCATAAGCACTGATCGACGATGCTAAATGATTGGAAGTCTCACAGAGACCTTAGAAAAATAATAAAATTGCAATGCCACTGCCCATGTTCGTCTCTTGATTTGTTTTTAATTAATGTATGAATAATGTATATATCGCTACGAGATAACATGACAACCCCCATGCACAGCCTTCCCCTATTTCCCAAGTAAATTTAAATTCATTGAGAGCATGTTTTATTTTTCATGTATATACGTTTTTTATGAAGTGTGCGTTAATCATATTGTTATATATAGGTTGATGTATTTATGATTTGTAGTAAGGTAGTGTATGTAAGAAGAGACAAGAGAAATAGAACCTAGAAGCCTATTGGATTATGTTTGCCATTATAAAGGCCGTATGGTTTTCATGATTTAATTTGTATTAGTGTTTTGCTCATGTGTTTCAAATTATTATGTAATCAGCTATATATACATTAGTATTAAATTATTCCATTATTACAAAATATAGTAAACCATGCAAGATAATAGTATATTTACAATTCATAATTTTATACAATCTATATATATTTCCGAAAGCCGCATGTGGCCTGGTAAAGACTATTTCAACAGGACAAGACAAGAGAGAGGGAGAAATGGGAACAAGAAAGAACCTACGGGATTATGTTTGCCATGTGAGGCTATAGTGTGTGTATATGTACAAAACAGTGTTTGTTTAATATTGATTACAACCTACATTCGGAGCCGCAAATTTCTTAAGAATAACAGTTCCGAGAGATGGAACAGAGTAAGAACCTATGGGATTATGTTTGCCATATGAGGCTATAGTGTGCATGTGTATATGTACAAAACAGTGTTTGTTTTATATTATTACAACCTACATTCGGAGCCGCAAATTTCTTAAGAATAACAGTTCCGAGAGATGGAACAGAGTAAGAACCTATGGGATTATGTTTGCCATTTGAGGCGGTGATTTATGCTCGTGTGCATGGCTTTTTAAACCATTTCGTGTATGAAAATTCATGTTTTCGACATATGTAACCGGCCCTAGTTTGAACATGCAACTTATCAACCTAAACCTTAGCGCGTAGCCCTAAGCGCAGCGAGCAGCCCTTAAGCGCAAAACCGGATCCTATAACCGAATTTTTCAAAAATTTACTCCCATGCAAATTTATTTACACATGCATCATGCATTAGCTATGTTCCTGGTGGCCAGGACCTAGGTAACTGACAAGCGTTATAGTTTAAAGAACATCGCGCCCCTTAAGACGAACAATAAACTTCTGCTTTGCAGAAGGATTGTTCGTAGAACATTTTTCGTGCGAAATAACATTTTAACCCTAGCATGCACATTTTTTGACCACCAGGCTACTCTAACCTTTAACGATGTTGGGGGGGAACATCGCTGATATACGCTGCTGTTCGACGTTGTATCGTTTTGGCGTCGTTTTGGCGTCGTTTTGGCGTCGTTTGGGTCTTTAAAATTTGGCGTCGTTTTGCCGTGTTGGTTATAGTTCAACCCAGCCGTGATTTATTATCAACCTGAAATAAGATTTAGGATAAAAAATAAGCATATAGTAGAAGAGTTTAAGTTTTGTATAATTTTTCCGTTCAATATAACGCATTATGCATGCAGGAAGCTGAATTTTTCTCTAACTTGGGACCGTATAATTTGGGGAGCCCAGCGTGACGATGAGAACAATTAATCGCATTAATACAGTAATTTTGTTAACTTTTGGAATACGTTAGAAAACGTTGTATACTTTACTATTACTCGATCATTACTTTCTTTATTCTTAAAGCAGACTTTGTAAATAAAATCATTACATCACTTTGTTGTTGTGTTTGGACTATAAACGACGTCAATAAAATGCCTGTAGGATTTCAATTATTTCTACTCTCGCCTATTATGAATTTTCTAATATTGTATATTCAGCCGTCATGGTTCCTGTCCTAAATCAGCTTAAGCTCCCCATTGTTCGCTCTATCAAAAATATTCAATCGCTTGACACTTACATTTTATTATGAACAGGTTTATCTTCGTTTCATATGGTTTTAACTCGCTAAATCTCCACCTGAAATAAAACAAAGGTAATGCTTGTTATAGACGGCGATTCAAAGAAGTTCGCTTCAATAGAACGAGCTCAAAATATTAGAGAAAAACTTTCGTTTAAGTGCACGATCGAATCAGGTGAAAGAGGACACAAAGCACGAAGCCTGATCAAGCGTTTTAATTTCTCATCCTCTTGTGAATCTACGAGACACAAAATAGATATACACTTATAGTTTACCTGTTCATTTCAGCAGCAAGTTGAGAAAGAGCAGCTTTGGACTTGCTGTCTCCTTAAACGCGAGTAGAATTCAGTTCTTAGGCAATTCAGTCAACCGTAATTTTCTCAGGTGCCGTATTGGTACAGTACATTTCGTCTTTAGTTTAGCTTTAGCTCTAAAACTCTACCTGAAAAGGATGGAAGCGAACGTTAGTTTTTAAGATCTTTAGAACTCGATGCAAAGGGACTTGAAATTGAAGCGCGAGATGGTTAGCTGCTAGAGTGCAGCTGATTGCTTGATCTAAACCCCGCATGATTAATTCGCATACGATTTAACGTTTATACCTTTGTCATTTCACCAAAAAGCTCCGAGAAATAGCTAGTCGTGCTCTCTCTTGAAAGGCGAGTTATCTTGAGCAGTTTCGGCCACAATTTATCCGTCTCTTGTTCACGAGCTTGATCGTCAAACTTGACTTCGAGTCGTCAAAGCTCTGCGAGCTATGAATAAAAAACAACGTTAGTGTTTTAAGCAACGAGTCAAACACGTGTCTTTCAGGGCAATTATATTCAACCAGGATCTCACTCAAGATCCCTCGATTGAGCAAGCAGATAATCGTAAAGGGATATTACCTGTTCTTACACCAACGACAGAGCAGCAAAGATACTAAAATTTTCTTCTGCAAACGAGAACAGGATCTTAGTCAAGGACATTTGTCTCAGTAGAAATGTTAGTCGAAATTTTCAGCCGTAAATATAACTCATCTTTATGCTTCGAAGTTTAGGGCCAAAATAACGCCTCAACTTTTGAAGACTACAAGAAATATTTCATTTTCCCGGCTCCTCGTGTTGGAAAATAAAGCTATGCTATTGGCTAAACACACCCGATTTCGCAGTCCAACAATTCTTCTGATTGGATAATCTTCAGTATTACTTTATTCATGAGCAGTATATATTCTGGTATTGTATTCTGGGCTCGTAGAAGGATAGCAAGGAAAGCAGAGAGAAACAAAGAAATTTTGAAAAGAATGCATATTAAAAATGTTAAAAATCTTAAACACTTAGGTATTTGCGAAGTTTTACAAAAGTTTTAAAAGATCAAAAAACCAAAAGTGCCACAGAGCCTTTTGCAATTTCCTATTACCACTACAAAACTGTAATTTCCTTGTTTGGCTGTTTTTATATTCCGTGCGCTGATGGAATAAAAAAGTACGTCATTCAAATATGTCCAAACCGTATAAAGTCGCACTGGAAATTTAACTTAAAATATAGTATTCATTGTAGAATAGAGATTTATTTGCGAATCCAAATTGTTTACGATACCAATATTTAATATTTCACATCAGCTGAGCAAGGACGACGCACTTCCTTTCGACAATTCCCGCGCAAGATATAAAGTTTTCTGTTAAAAATATACTAAATATGAAATTGTATATGTAGAGCATTTATGGCGATGCTGTCAATGCTTTTCAATAAACGTTACTCAGTTAAACATGTTGTTTGGCAAGTTAAGTTTTCTGCGTATACATCATCAGCCATTTTCATTCTCACTATCACTATCTTGAATGCGTTCATAATAATCAAGCTGGTCCTTTTTGCATTGCAAATATACCAAATAAATTCCTAGAATGACAGCAGAGACGATGGCATAACCCAGTAGAGTGGCTTTTGGACCAACAGCACTGAAAAATATCCCAATACCTCCAGCACCAAATTCGTTTCCAAATGCGAAAACCATGTCTGATAGTCCTAAAGAATATATATCAAGGTTGAACTATTTAAATCGGTGATTAGTGTTATCAAATTATAAGTAAATTAGCTTGTAGGTACACCACGTAAGTATTTAACACTGCAAAGCTTTCGGCCTTCATCACCTCAGGAAAATTCTCCTTTGGATCGGACAGGACAGGAAAGTTTCCTTTGTATAAACGCCGCCTGAGAACTCACCGACAAAGGAAATTTTCCTGTCTGTTCCGATCCAAAGGAGATTTTTCCCGAGTGGAAACTAGTCTTAACGGGTTTTGATTAATCTGGTGTACCTACAAGCATAGACAATCCAGAACACATTCCTAGTTTTGGATTGTCTATGCTACAAGCTAATTTACTTGAACACATGCAAGATTATTTCATTTCACTATGGTTCAATGTGGATATGAACTGCAGTTTCCTTCCTTACCTTGTATCACCCCAGCTGAACTCTTAGATGCAGCTTTGGAAAAGTGGACGGTTAGCGCTGAGTACGAAAAGGCGAATCCAGCCGACTGAAAAACGTCGACAACTAAAACAAGCCATGGTATCGTAATCAACGATAAAGATAACATGGCTGCTCCGTAGATGAACACAGTGAATGCCATTGTCTGAAGCTCACCAACTCTCTTTATCAATTGCCCTGAAAGCATGAACCAAATTGCAACAAAAGGTCGACGTATTATGCCACCAATACCCATGACCGTGGGACCTCCATTAAGTTCTGCAATGTAATAGTACTCCCAGTGATGCTGGTATGCAAAGCAACACCCAAAATAAAAACCAAGCACCAACATGAGCTGATAATGTCCTTGTTTTAAAATATTCTTCACTTCATCCCAATCAATTACTCTCTTTTCCAAGTATTCAAACTTAATCCAAGGCATAGCGAAAAAGCTTAAAGTCGTGGCAAGGGCTGTCAGATAAAATACGACGAAATAGCCATCTTCAACATGTTGACATACAACGTACTTAAGCTTAGAAGCTAAAAGTCCAGCCACTAGCAGAGATATACCGGCTCCTATTTGGGCCCAGAAGTAAAACGAGCCGTAGTTTGCACGTTCCTTTTTTAAATACGTTACAGTTGCAACGTTCAAAAGCGACCCAAGAACTCTTTCTACAACAACAAAGCACGTTTTCACAATAGCGACGTAAACAAAGAGAACACTGAAGGTAGCCGAGTAAGCCTTCTCCGATGCTGAATGTACGCCAGGATTCTTGTCTTTGCGTTTGCTCTGTCGACGGGATTTTATACCTACTACGGGGGATAAGGATTTATTAGAAGCGAATGCGAATCGTTTTTGAAATTGGTTAGAATCATTTTCAGAATAAAAGCTTTGCTCTGGTGCGCTGGTTTGATTTAAACTCAAAGTACGACTTTGTTTACCAACGCATAAATTAAAATTAACAAACAGCGGGAGAAGAGGGGCGAGAGTGAGAATGATAAAAACCACAATCGATATTATGAAAATTAGTTTTCTTGCCCGATATTTATCACCCAATAGGCCAAGGACAGGAACTAGAGGCAGAAATGGAATCGCAAACAGCAACGCTAATCCTACTGCTGATGTGCTGAGACCAAGTTGGTTGAAATACAATGTAGTGTATTCTTCATAAACGATCGCACTTGACATCATAAAGAAGAAAGTCCATCGGATAGCTAAACCTTGATACGAGAAGGAAACCATCGCTTATTTACTAACTTTGTGTTGTCTTTCTCTAGACCATACCAGCGGTTATATTTTCATGTTACGAGGGTTCGAATATACATTACATATATTAGCATAAATTATATAATACACACTACAGGGTGTATCAAAAAAAATGTCCCAAATGTAAAATTTCCGTTTTTCAGGATATTTTGCAGAATTTGGTAAATTTTTGTGTTCCTAGAGATAGATAAGACTTATCTGGTATACCTAGGCCAAGTTTGGTTTCTCATTAACAAAATTATGTTACCGGGGGGCTGGTTCCTTTCCACTGATATTGAGAGGGCTTGCGCGCGAAAATATGAAGCTGAAATTGAGATATTATTTAGCTGTCTAAAAGTAGGAAAGCTTTTTAATTAACTGTCAAAGTTTCAGGAAAAATAATGCATACTGGGAGCAACGCGCGACCCGTAAAGGTGACAAATATTTCATTGCGCGCAGTGGATTAAATGCATGGTTGATTTTAGCGTGACCGACCTCATGTAAGGCTGGGCAAATGAATAAATTAAAGCGAGAAACTGAACACAAAAATAAAGCGATTTATTCGTGATGTTAATCCTCAGCATGTCCACCATTTCATTCTAAGCAAACTGCTGCTTGTCTGAGCATACTAAACACTGAACAGTGAACCATTTGTCTGTCCATTCGCCTACTCGGATTTGCCGGTGGTAGCGTAGAGCGTAGGCGATTTGCAAGAAAGAATTTCGAACGAAATGGATAATTTGAGGCAGGACAGACAAATGTGTTTCGCCGTTCAGTGTTTACCATGCTCAGACGAGCCGCAGTTTGCTTAGAAAGAAATGGTGGAAATGTTGAGGATTAACATCAAGAATAAGAATCTATTAAATTGCTTCGTCTTCTTGTTCAGTTTCTCGCTATAATTTATTCATTTGCCCAGCCGTGCATGAGATCGGCCACGCTAAAATCAACCATGCATTTAATCCACTGCGCGCAATGAAATATTTGTCACTTTTAGGGGTCGCGCGTTGCTCCCAGTTTGCATTATTTTTCCTGAAACTTTGACAGTATATTAAAAAGCTTTTCTACTTTTAGACAGCTAAATAATATCTCAATTTCAGCTTCACATTTTCGCGCGCAAGCCCTCTCAACATCAGTGGAAAGGAACCACCCCCCCCCCGGTAACATAATTTTGTTAATGAAAAACCAAACTTGGCCTAGGTATACCAGATAAGTCTTAACTATCTCTAGGAACACAAAAATTTGCCAAATTCTGCAAAATATCCTGCAAAACTGAAATTTTACATTTGGGACATTTTTTTTGATACACCCTGTATAATATATATACATACTGTATACATAGACACTATATATACATACACACTATATATACATACACACTATATACCAGCATAGCTGTAACATGATCAGCAAGGCCATGCAAGAGCAAGGCGGTAATTAATTGCCACAGATATTAACTATTCCAAGCAAGTCGAAATTTCTGCTATACAGGGTGTATAAAAAAAGGTGAAAATATGCGATTGGGACTAACATTTTTTATCAGCCTCGTATGTGCTCATTTTTTCACCATTTGGTATAAAAAGCATGTCATCCGATAGTTAAAAGCCTGATCTTTCCGAATGTGAAAAAAATTCGTTCATAGACAGAGTAGTTCACGTACAATAGCGCGTGTTGAAGTTGGATTACCTTTTTTTTTTAATACACCCTGTATAAGTTACCATCGCGTTTTTCCGTATACCACAGTTACCTATTTTAAATCGTCTGGTGAGTAATTCAATCGTTCACTCGAAATACACGATTCTGATTCAATTCCCTCACTATTCAACTTTCCATAAGAAAAAGGGTCGACATCCCCATCTACACTGCTCAGAATTTTCAGGGGCCAGTTGTATAAAAGGCTATTTAACTTTTAACCGTAGTTAAGGACAGAATTGGCCAATTCGAGGCGTGTACGTATTTCTGAGTTAACTAGGGTTTAACAGAACCCCAGATTTCTGACTACTGTTTCAAGAGACGTTGTTTGTGGCGAGGATATCGAATTTAGATCCAGGAATGGCAAATTAAAAGCGAATTAACACCAAACAATGATCATTGAAAAACAATTGAGTAAAAAGGAAACAATTTATTCTCTTAATCTTTTTACGATATACAATAACAATACGGATATAAATACGGTCATACAAATAAAATTATAAAAAATAAATAAATACATATAGGTTTATAGTATACTCTCCTGTTCAATAGAACAGTCTTTGGTAAGATAAGCTAGTGTTAGTATTACGTCATCCAGTCGACCATCTCGCATAGCTTCATATATAGTCTCCAAGCTTGTGTCCAAAGTTTCTTCCCCATCATCGAAACGTATATCAAGTGTTTCTCGCACAAATACATACAGGAGCCGGGTACCTACAAAAAAATTGAATCAGAAAGCAATTAATAGAAGCATAGCGAGTGAAATGACCAAAGAGCTTAAATGAAAACTTAGCGTGTACGTTATAGCACGTACAGCAAGTTTATTTTAACATATTTTATATTTTATGATGGGGATGCGATTTTACTTTTTTCAGTGCAAATAAATCGAAGCCAGTACTAATGAAAGCTATTTATTGTACAAAAAATATTATTTTTGCTTGTATCCATGTCTATTCTTTACCTTGTCCCATATTCTGGGAAATCTGCTGTACCAGTACTCCCGACTTCAAACCGTCCCTCAAGGTATCCATTTCTCTCTCTATTCTCTGAAGAAAACCATTCTTTAACTGAGCAACATTAATACCAGGAACGCTGTTGGTAACTTGATTGATGGCATCTTGCGGGCAGCTGAAAAACTGATACCATGGAACTAACTTGAACAACACAGCTTGATTCACGCATGTGCTATCAGCTGGTAGTAAGTCGGAGATGATTGATTCCACTTCAGCCTTGAGCCAACGTAGTTCCACAGCTTGCACCAGAGATCGCAAGATATTGGTCAGTTGCATTTGAAAGATTTCAAGAGCATCCTCAGACATGCGGGCTGAAATCAAAGCAAGTGAATTGACAGTCTGGTTTCTGATCTCTGCATTTAAAACGTGGTTAGAAACTGGACTGTTTAGAAAGTCTAACTCTGATGTATAGGCTGCCATAGCAATTTCAGTTCCCTTGAAACCCATATCAACATTTGGATTACCACCACACAAGTTAGGAGTCAGTCCATTGTTCATATTGCAGTCCATTATTTCCGACATCAAACCAAAAAGAAGTTTACCACAAAGTTGCAAGCTTTGTCGAAATTGATCCATTGCGACAGCAGAAGAAGAACCTTGGAAATTACCACAATGCAAAATTTGGTCATCTTCACAATCAATAATAGGATTGTCATTAGAACTATTTAGTTCAATGATAACTCTTCTCATAGACTCCATTGCTGTTTCCAAAACAGGTCCTAACCATTGCGGGGATGTCCGCAGTCCATAACGATCTTGACGCAGTTCACCTTCAAGCGAGCCTCTTTCAATTTCAGGCTGGGAGATTGCCATTTTCGTACCATTCAGAAACTTCAAGATATTACTAGCAACCTCCTGTTGTCCAACATGAGGAAGACATTTCTGATGTATCAAAGGATGAAATGATTCCAGACGACCTTGTAGTGCTTCCACGCACATAGCCACAACTGCTTGAGTTAACAAAATAGCTACATTGCCTTTGAATAAAATTTCAGCAGCAAGCACAGCTGAAAATGAGGAAGCATTGACAACACCTAAAGCATCCTTGCCTGTAAGTACAACAGGTGAAAGTCCTGCTTCTTTAAGAGCCACAGGCGCAATAGTGTCAACACCTTTGGCATTCACCTTACAATTAGGTCTACCTTCCAGACAAGCAGCAATATAAGATGTAGGCATAAGATCACCACTGGCACTTATTGATCCTCTTTTTGGAACATACGGTATGATGTCATTATTGAGAAGTTCAAGAAGCAATTCAACAACATTACTGTGGACACCAGAATAACCAAGCGCAATACTGTTAGCTCGGGTTATCATTGTAGCTTTAACTAAAGGTAAAGGTAACTCTTGCCCAAAGCCAGCATTCAAATGAGTGATTAAGGTGGCATTTACAGCAGCATCTTTTTCATATCTTACATTAGCACTTCCACCAAAACCTGTGTTTATACCGTAGACACATACGCCCTTGGATAGTTTATAATCAAGGTATTCATAACTGTTCTTGATTGCTTTCCATGCTTTATTGGTCAGGCTAACTGAACGAAACTTGTGAGTAAAGAAGCTATGAATATCACTGATAGTTAAGTCATTCCCATTAAGGCATATGTGGCTTGACCCATACTTGTAGTCCTCAAGTAACTTCACAACTTGATTTGCATGTGGAGATATGCTGTCATTTCTAACCATGGATTGTACATGTGTGTATCTTAAGACATTCCTAAAAGGTAAGATAAAAGTGGCAATTATTTACCTGCAATTTCTATACTTTAAACTTTAAATTATTGCTATGGGTGCAAATTGTTTGCTTTCAAAGGACAGACTATATTTATGACTATTTATGAGACTGACCACCTTAATTTGGGGTAAATTAACAAATGTTGGTTAAATATAATAACCTTTAAAAATCTATGATTTGTCAGGACATATATTCATGTGGCGAATGTTACTATGATAATGCTCACTGCACCAAGTGCTTTACCACGTAACAAAGAAACCATTACAAAAAGTCATTCTTGTCTATTAGCCTAGTGGGAAGTATTTGTCAGCTTCCAGTCCCCCCTAGCAAACTTCTCCCAAATTTGCACACCCTATCCCAACTCGAAGTAAAAGGCCTTGGAGTGGTAATAATTTCATATCCACTGTCTAAAATCCACAAATATTATCCTTGATTGGGTAAGAGTTGGGTTGATTCTGGACAAGAAATTATTACCTAAATATTAGCAATTTAAGTATTATCTTGTTTAAATTAAACTAATTTAATGGTAATAATTTTCTTGTATGATTGCATGGCGACTTTAGTAATTATAATAACTTGTAGGTACACCACGTAAGTATTAAATACTGCAAAGCTTTCGGTCCGTTAACCCGGACCTTCATCAGTGCAATTACTTGAATACACGTTTGCGCGTCACTTAAATATCATGTTAGTCGTGATTAGTTTGCTCGCGCTATTAATTAAACGGTTTCATTAGAACTTAATTAAATGAAACCGTTTAATTAATAGCGCGAGCAAACTAATCACGACTAACATGATATTTAAGTGACGCGCAAACGTGTATTCAAGTAATTGCACTGATGAAGGTCCGGGTTAACGGACCGAAAGCTTTGCAGTATTTAATACTTACGTGGTGTACCTACAAGTTATTATAATTAATTTAATGGTATTTCCAAAAACTGTCTGTTTAGATGGGAGGATACATCAATAGTCCCCAAAATGAAGGAAATCAAGTCAAAAATACCAAAAAAATTCCAGACCCAAAATCCCATGTCTTAAAAAATGCAACTTTCAAACTAAAGTATCAGGTATATATCTGTCTATCTGACGAAACCTCACTCAATTCATGAACATGGCATACAGCTAACAGCTCTACCGTTATTAAACATACAGGGATGATTATATACAATTACACTGTCTGGCTGTATTCTCCCCTAAAAACTCGCCTTTCGGTTCAGAGGAAAGAATTTTATTTATTTCATTGAACATCATTCAGACATTCACAACAGCAGTGTAATATTGCACCCATTTTACACAATCATATAAAAACATGACAAAATAATTAACTGTCTTATAATATTAAATAATATTAATTAGTGTTCTTTACTACCTGACACAATGCCATACTCTGTAGCTTTTGAGAAACATATTCAATTCTAACTTTCACAATCACACGATCCAGTGGCACGAGAAAGGTACAACGTACAAGCTGGGATATTAAAAAGCATAGATTTATGATAAAAGCACAGATTAGCTATATACAGATATGAAACTTCTGTGTTTTTGCTGATTGTTTTGTGTCCCACGCGCAGCCAGTGCGTGATGACTTCCGGCGGCGAGCTTGGCAAGTGTCATGAGGGAATTTAATGAGTAAAACGCCGATTTTAAGACGAAAAATTGCTTTTTTAAAAAACCCTCGCTACCTATGGCTAATTCTGGAATAAATTCTTAAAGAGAATCGGTATATGTATCCTTCATTAATTGTGGAAAGGCAATTGAGCATATCTATAGCTCAAAATTGACTTTTGAAAATCAAAAAAGCTGGTCCAATTGATGCCGAATTATATTTGCATTGGCACTATGGAATCAATGTACTCTGGCTGAATTCTTTGCAATGAAGTCCCATATCTACACGTAAATATTATTTATCTGAATTTTTCAAGTTGCTAACCGTCTTTTAAATCTGTTTTTTTAAAATAATATCAAAGCATAGAGTGTTTGATTGCTAATTTTAAACCCCGAAACTCAAAACATAATATGGCCATGTCTTTATTTTTTGTTTTCAGAATTCCGCTAAAAAGACCCGTCTATGGTCATAATAATCGCGCATAAGCAGCAATTTGTAAACTTTGTGTCAAAAATAGTCCAAGACAAGGGTGATGAAGTTGTTTTTTTATAGCCAAACGCCTAAAATCGCTAAATACGCTGAATTGCTCGTCAAATTTACATGCCATGTTCGGCATGTTGTTGTTGTTCATTTCAAGTACACAAAATCCTTTTTAAGCTCCCATCATTTCGTTTTCACATTTCTATTATTCCTATAGATATTTGTTAATTCATTTCATCTTACCTCCTGGAGATATATTGTATCTAAAGCATGTATTACATGTTTTCTAAACTCAAAAATAGCTCAGCCAGTGCTAAACTATTGCACGGCTTTCCATACGGCAAGCCCTGCACTCCTCAGCTATATTTTTTACTGTTTTTGCCAGCATCAAATAATTTCAGAAACCAGTTCTTAGCTCAGAAGAGCCACTTTATCCATCTTTTTGAAAATTTTAAGTCAAATGGGACATGGCCCTAAAGGTTTTGTTTAAATCATGATTTTTTTGTCAAAAATTCGATTTTTACTCATTAAATTTCGACATGACACTTGCCAAGCAAGTAAAGCATGCGCACATTGGGCAGAAAACCGTGTGACTCGATTTGGCTTCAGTTTCATATCTGTATATAGCTAATCTGTGATAAAAGGGATGTGAAGATTACGTAATCTCTTTTACGTAATCTTGGACTCGTGGAGCGGAAATCGAGGCTAAATATCGAGGGATATCGAGGCCTTGCAACCAAGATCTTCCCTGATTGGTTGATTCATTCCTTCCTGGCAACAGGTAACAGCAAGAAGGTTAGAAGGGCATTTTAGTATATCGATTTCTTGAATTTTTTTAAATGCTGTTGCATACACTCCAGTTTTAACAAAAACCCAAGGAGTCAAACGCAACTTACGCAGGCAATTTTTGCTTTTGCTCAACGGATTTTTCCTGTAATACGTCACAAATAATTACGACCGATCAATAAATATTAGAACCAATGTATTTCAAGTTTTCACGAGCCATGCAAAACTTGTGAGGAAGAGGCTAACACAAAAAGTTTGTGTAATACCACAAGAAACCGGTTTTACAAAATTGTTTCAACACGCCGTCCTAATTATTCCTGTGGTCGTATTTCACTAGTGTCGTACAAAGGTTACATAAAAGTTGAACTGAAGAGCGAACGCTCCTCAGTCCTCACATCCATCCCTGAATATATTCATGCATCAATATTTTCTCATTCACCAAGCTATGCCTTTAATTAAAAAGAATTTCACACACTTTCCTACCAAGAATTGGATACCTTTAGCACGATGTTTATTACTTAGAAAATCAGCTGTAGTCTTGTGACTTCCGATTAATACGTCACCATTAAAACTCTGGGATTTCCCACAAAATCGAAAATAAATATCTCAGATCAAAACGAAAACAAAGCAGTTGGATCGATACATTTGAAGCTGCAATTCAATATGGTTTCTAATAAGCAAGAAGATGAATTTGTACTGCTAGAGCAGTACGGCAGACCGCAAATACACCAAGCAGGTTTTGATGGCGAGCGAAATCTCTCTATCAATTGTTATGAACTTCGCTACTTGAGGAGATACTTGCTGCTGGTGGGGCAATGGTATCCTAAGGAATGGAATTCCACAAAAAGAGCTTTTTATCACGTCTGGCAGGTAAAACATTTTTTTTCTCGGGCTACATATACAAGAAACCTTTTCGGCCACGATACAATATTTCAATTATGTTACGCCAGCAGTTTTAGACCTGACGCGCGAGGGCGGATATCAATTCCTTTTAGCTCCAATCCATCACAGTGAGAATGTGAGATCCGAAAGAAACGCTCTTACCTTTCCGGCTTCATATAAATAAATAACATAGCAATATAATAGGGATGTATCAGTCCTTGGTATAAGGTAAATAATGATCATGTCATTCATATGTGAACTCGCTGGGGAGGGTGTATCAAATTTCTGCGACAGAATGTGGTTGCAGACGTGGACGTTTCCCAAGCACCCCTGCGCGCTTAGTGCTTTCTCCACGAAGTACTTCACTAGGAAACATTTTTAAAACAAGGAAGTAATTCTTGGAAGCGTAGCAATGTTTTCCGTTGTTTGTCCAAGGCTCGTTTTGCTCAAGAGACGCTCTTGGAATGCAATCGTTTCGACCGTAGAACGCTGATAATGCTAACATAGACTAACGTAACAATTGACGAAATAACAGAAGCCGTAGATTTACTAGATTACTCAGTCACGAGATAGTACTCGCCTTTCATAAGTCAAAATGAAACAATGTACTTTGAGAGACATTGGCATTAATAATAGATTGCTATTACTATTACCCCGAGAATGGTTGAGAAAATCAACTGTAGACTGTAGTATATAGTTTGCATGGGAATTCACATAAATTATTAACTTGATAAAATAATAGCACCATACAATTAAGCTGCAAAATTGAAAGCTGCAATTCAATATATAGTCTCTAATGAGCATAAAGAGGGCGGATGTAGATTCTTTTTAGTTTTAGCTCAGTTTTTGAAGTGGGAAATTTTGCATTATCGGCCTTGAACATTTATTTGGTGTTGCGCAATCAAAAGCGAAAGTTTCAATTAATCAAACCTGATCTATTGTAGTTTCACTATCATTAGCTAGCTTAAGTATCGGTTGCACCCTTGTCTCCTATTTAACAAGCTTTTAACCTTTTTACCAGTTTTGTGTGATTTTGGGAGTCTGGGCTCACTTCGCCTATTCTTTGGGCTGTTTTGGCGACTTGACCTTGACCCATCAATACTTCAAATGGTTTCCAGTAAATGCAATCGAAGCGGTGGTATGGGAATCGCGTTGGGTGATATCGCACCATCTGGGTCTCTATTACTTTTGTGTTTCCCGTCATATGGAGAATTTCCTGCAAGACTCCTCCTTAAACCAAGCGTTATGGAAAGAAACATCGCGATACCTAAAACGAATTTGCCTGGCTGTGATCGTATTGATCTTCATCATTCCAGTAATTTTGCGCCCAGTCGAGCTGAGTTACTCACTTGCCTCAGAAGATATATGGATGATAGTTATGGATACAGTTTATCTTGCAGTAGATCGCCTCGTGACAGCTCCAATATTTTTTGTCTTTGTTTTCGAAGCATACGTTCTTGTACGGGTCGTGAAAGGGTATGGAGAACGTATCACAATTTGGCCTAAGGATTACAAGAACACTCCTGGTTCGGGCATGCACGCTGCGAAGCAACATTTCGTCAAAATCAACTCTTTGATTTCTTCAGTTGGGAGTAATTTTCAGACATATTTGGCGCTTCATTTCTTGTTTCTTCTCATCACCGCTTTTCTTGGTGTCTTTGCTTGCGCCGAACAACTTGAAACAAAAGTAACTCAAAATCGCACATATTTCAGAGCTGACACCCCAAGATATTACAAACGGATAAAAATCACACCATCCATAATCAAGCCACTGGTGAAGAAGATCAAATTGGTACCGATAAACTCAAGCGAACCATATTTGCAGAAACTGTTAACCGAAAAAGCAGCAACGAAAAATACAATTTCAAAGGGTATCCTTGTAAATGTGACTCTGAAAGAGGAAATCACGGAGACAGACACGGAAGCAAGTCGGAAACAGATTTTGATTGAAGTCGGTATAGAGGCCATCTTGAAAATCCTGGAGTCTATAGTGATGTACATGATACCGCTAACACTGATGTTACGTTTACAAACAAAGTTAAGCATTGTTCGACAAACGATATTGTACTCGGATTGTTTTGAACAACAAGAAAATGCTTATTTGTTCCAAGATGATGAAGCTATCAGAATAATGGCGGAATTTATTGAAACATGTAAAGGTATTACCATATTTGGTTATAAAATGCCATTGTTTAGAGCATTCTTGCTGTCTGTTTTGGCTCCGTTTTTGACTGCATTGACCACTTTCTTGTTCTCCTACATTCACGTTAAAAGAAGGTAAAAGGTCGCGGCAATTATGCATGAAAGGCACAAAAAAACTCGATTGTTTTATTCAGTCTTTTTGATATTCCATTAAAGACAATTTCGTACCTGAAGAAGTTAGAAGTTAGATGGCTATCATGCATCAATTACGCGAATGTATAAATAAGTAAAATTAAAGTAGCAAATTTTGAAAAATCCTGTTTGCAGTATTTGATAAGTTGCATTTAATGAATATATAATGTTACATATTATTATGTATAACATATCAATTAAATAATACACTAATTATTAAAAGTATGGTCATATATATCGTGCATGCGGCAAGAAAAATATTGCAGGACTACATTTCCTATGGGAAGTGGCTATATAACAAAACACTTAATGTACACTCCCTCGGGAAATAGTGAGTTTTGTTTTCCCAAGAGTCTGAATGTTTCCCGAGACGAAGTTACCATTTTCCTCGGGAGCATACATTAAGTGTGTAATACATTGGAATATAAATAACGCTGTAATGACAAAAGTAATAAATACTAACCTAATGTAGAATAATTTCTTGAATGTATTTAGAAGGCTTAAATACAAGTAAATGTGTAATTACATGTTGACATAATAACTTACATAATAATATAATATTTTTAAATTGATATCAATTAGAACTCTAATTACCGACAATTAACTTCGTTGTGTCCTTTATACGTTCTGATAGGTCTTGCTCTTCAACATTTCCATCTGCAATAGGAACCGTTGACTCAGCTAGGTCAGCTGAATAATCAGGTTGGGCTGTCTCTGCAGGTTGATTAGAATTGAGTTTTTTAGGCTGGCTTTCCGATTTAAGTGAAGATGCATCCTCAGGTGCAGGCTCAGTTGCATGCCCAGGTGCAGGCTCAAATGCAGCCTCAGGTGCAGGCTCAAGTGCAGCCTCAGTTGCAGGTTCGGGTGCAGCCTCAGGCGCAGGCGGGGTTTTCCAATGAACTTCCCAACTTTCTTCAGCAATCGTAGCATCAACGTCCTCAAATGAATTTTCTTCGTTGAATTTCTGAGGACTTAAAAACATTTCATCAGTATCACCATCCTCCATTTCATCATTTCCTGCATCGCGAGGGAGGTCGGAATATTTTGATATAAGTTGCGTTGTAAGGAACACTGTAAGTACAACTCCTGTCACGACGGCAAAGCCTTGAAACGTTGATCTGAAACCAAACACGTGAACAACATAGCCACCAACGATGGTGCCACCACCGGTTCCCAGTCCCCAATACACCCCTTGCAGGATTCCTTTAAAAATTGACGCATATTAGAAATGCTAGAAATTACCTTTGGGTGGGACAAAAAACTAGTAAATACGTTTGATAAAGGAGCATTCCATTAAATCACTGTCAAAATATGATCGTAGTGTTCGTGACACCTCTATGACTATGTCTATTGATTTTTGTCGCACCAGCGAATTTCTATATCAATTTAAATCGGGAACTGCCACTTTTTTGCGGTTTATATTGTGAGTCAATTATCATCGAAAATTTGAAGGGTAATTGAGAAAGTTAAGTTTTACCATTTAGAGACTGTTATACTCAATATTTATTTAATAGACAAACTGAAATTGTTCGCAAGTTTTTCGGTCCATTTCGTCGTAAATTCGTTTCAAGTAGAGCTAATTTGCACCTTACCTTGTACAGTAGCGCTAGATCCAGCTGGTGCAGCCTTATTAAGATACGAAACTGATGCTGACCACACTAGTGCATAAGCACCAGCATGTAGGACTTCTATAAGAACTGCAAACCAGGGTTCTGTAAGATAGGAGTAAGAAACAAAGGCTCCAATGTAAGCGATTAAGCTGATTGTGACTGTATTGAGATGGCCCAAACCATCAATAATCTGTCCTGCCAGGAAGAAACCAAGTACATCCATGACACTTTTACACGCTGTTGCTGTACCCATGATTATAGCTGTCCCGCCGAGACTATCAATAAACCAGTTGACAAAATAAAGCAGGAAACCATAACAGACTCCAGCATAGAATGTTACAAACAAAAATATGCCATAATGGAAATTCAAAAGAGCACTTTTGACTGTTTGGTGTACATGATCATTATGATTATAACTGAACTCAAAATGAGATCCGAATAATAACCCCAGGTACATTAATCCAAGGTAGAAATAAAAAATAATAAAATAGGAGCCTACATTTGTGCCACAATAATCGCGGTTGAGATGGGTGATGATAAATCCTATGATAGGTGTCATGATACCCCAGCCTGCTGAACCCCATAAGCGATAGTAACCGTAGTTTTCACTGCCAAGTGTGTCCAGACAAGATGTATCTGCAAGAGTGAATACTGCAGCATCAAATGCATCACCGCAAATAACTAGTAGCAATATTGAGAAAAATACACGAGTAGTTTCGTCATCGTCGTAGTTTAGTTTGTAGTGTACACTGTGATCATCATAGTTCTTTACAATTGTTCTTTCATCCTCCATGAAAGGCCCGGAGTCTGCCAATATTCTTTCGTTTTGTGGTGTTTTTTGTACCTTGTTTGACATTTCTGTAAAGTGTTTGTTGTTAATATTGAAAGTGTTTGAATTTGTGAACGTGTTTAACCCTTTTTGTTTCCAAATTTCAAGCTTCGCATCGGTAAGCTTAACCTTCGAATTTGTCAGCTCTATGTCCAAGTTTGGATTTATTTCACTTGAGGTCCATCGCTTAATGATATCATGTTTGACAACGTACGTTTCATTTCGGATTATATATTTCGACGAATTGTAGTAAGTTACAACACACATTGTGTCCTCGGGGCGAAATAGGAAGAACATCATTGTTTTTACCGTCATAACAACGAACGCGAAGATAAAAATGATTTTTCTGATTCGAAACCTGTCACCGATAACCCCCCACAACGGTGCCCCGATTGTTTGCATCAGAGGTCGTATGCCGTTCAGAAGACCGACATAAATAGCACTCAAACCAAGATATTTAAAATAGACAGGAACATACAACAAGAACGAGATATAACCAGCATAGAATACAAAGTAAAATGCGCTGTATAATAAAGGAGTTTTAGACGGGAACCAATTTGGTAACTTCATCCTGGCCTTGTTAGTTCACAGCAAAGGTGTTCTGTATTCACACAGCTTCCTTTTCTTTTTAATCCTATTTTGTGTTTCAGCCAAAGCGACAGTCGTTTAATTTATTGCGGCAACGTAGTCATACTATTCGTAAAAACGTAATCTTCCTGTGTGTGAACAAACCCAAATTCTCGTCCTATTCTTCTTCAGGTTAACCACATGTATTGTACTCGGTATAAGAGTGCTGAATATAGCACGAAATTACACGTTATGAATTTTGACAAAAACTAATAACATAAGTACATGTCAGACTCTAGACTACGCATTTGCATTGCAGAATATTCAAACTAATTGTTTGCATGGTAATTTGAACAAGAAAATTGATTTAAATTTGCATATGGAAAATTATGACGAGTTCAAATGACTGAAGCGAGACTGACAAGGGAGCATGACGATGGTTGTTTTCTCACAAGTCTCAAAGCAATTTTAATGCTTTATAAATTAATGATTTTAGTTCGCAAAGTATGCTAAACGGTGCATTAAATATCGAGAGGAACAAAGCCCTTATAAGTCTAGTTTTCATTTTGTCATGATTGTCGTGATCAAGTCCTCCAGGAATTACTATATAGTTCAGTGGACCAAGTCCATTCAGGCCGATGCGAGACAGTATTAAAAATCGGTTATTACTGACACATGACAGACACGTAGCATTATCATTTTATGCATAAACCTGACAACCAGCTTGACATATTAACGACAATAACGGCAAATGTCGTTTGTCGCAATATAGACATAATCCGTGTCACCACGCGTTCACAATTTATTCCTGTTTTTCAGTACTGAATTTTTTTTCCGTGTATCGTTTCTTTTGTAATTTCAAAGGCAAAATAAACAAATTAAATGAAAATAAAAGATGGCATATTTTAACGCCGCCCCTTAGGTCAAAACAGCTGCTAATTCAGTAAACGTTAAACATTAAACGGTTAAACCTTAAACTCTAAGTGCGCGAAGGATGGTGGGTTAAAAATACTAACCGATATTCTGTCAATATGAATAATTAGCACTCGAAAACAATCAAGTTCAACGGTGCAGATAACACTGAAGCAACGGTTCAGATAGACATTACACTGTCTTAGGTGACAGATGGTGCATTGTTTCCCAACACATTTTATTAGACGAGCAATACAGTATTTTCAATCTATCCCACTAATCTACCGTTCCTTATATATATATCGACCTATTCAGGCATTGTCAGGGGGCCAAATACTGAATTAAATATCGCTCTACTAATCTACTTGATTGATTCCTTCCCTCATCGATATATCTGCCATTCAGTTTTATAACTGACCACTTGTTCTCCAGCAACGGCACTTCAAAACCAACGATCTTCAACCGAGCGTCAATTCATAAATTACATGCATGAGGAACAGATGTAGTTCCCCTATGACTGACGAACTGCTGTTTCAAATAAAAATTATTAGCTATATACTTTCTCAATGTTATTGAAGAAATTATTGTTGTTGCAACTATTGTCATGTTAAATTAAAGTTTATGCGAACGTGTACTACTACAGTGAACTACTTGCAAAATCGTTGCTCTGCTTCAGGATTTGTCGTGGTCCGACATGACTTCAGCACTACTTCCTCCACAGGCGCTTCATAATCGCATGGAATTAAGGAGATGACAATTCAGTTTTGTCGAGGATCTGGTTGCTGATTGGCTAATTTTTATACTCAGATTAGCTGGCAGTCCTGGACAAATAACAGTCAAATTAGATTTTTAAATTAACACATCTGACTAATAGAACGTTTATTATGTTAGCTATTTCAACATCTTAAATTTCCAAATTCCACTCATGTTATTTTGTCGACACTTTGTAGAAGTACTACAGTCTATGCTAACTATTAGGAAGTCTCTGCACCCCGAAGTCCACGATCACCGATGCAGCAAATTAAAAGAAATGTTTGTTCTTCAAAAACATTGAACGTTAAATATTGAAGAAGGAAAGGATGGCGGATAACATCCCACTGATGTTGGGGAAACTTTTTATCACCGCAATGCTAAAACTCAATATATAAACACTTGTGCAAGTGTATGCTGATGTGTTCTAGAGTACGAAAACCCTTCCCGTCCAAAAAAATCGGGTACAGTTTCGCGTCCGAAAGTTTCCCATACTCTTTATCTTCAATTGCCATCCGAACAACCTGAAAGTTACAAGATTAACTGTAAGTGTAGCTCTCAGAGTACGGTGAAACTCTAGGATGATGGCAACAAATTGCAGATCATAGTCGACTTGTAAGTGGACGCAAGAACAAAAGGCAGGCTGAAGTTGGCCACTCGAAAATCTATAGGGAACATACTAAGAGGAAGGCCCCCATCAGTGATAAACCTCAATACTGCCTAAAATGGAGCAATGTTGAAATCATCGAGGTACTGGACTAGAGCTCGCTGGGTTGTATCCTAGGAACATTCAAGGGATACTCGTTAACTTTAAACTGTAGTTAGGGACAGAACTGGCCAATCAGAGTGGTGTATTTCAGAGTTAAAATGAAGTTTAAGAGTTATACAACCGGTCCGGTCCCTGATTGTAACAAGTTGTAACAAATGAAAATGCGCAGCCTGCGGTCAGGTGGGAAAATATGTTAAAAATATTTTCAATAAATCTGAATATCACCGAAAATAAACATACTGTATTTTCAAAACAATCATGGCGGACGTTTCTTGAGTTGAACCACAACTTCAATGGCTTTTCGAAGCCGTTTTCGTTCTCTTCTTGGTCTAGAGGTGAGTGTTTTGTTTCCATCTACATTATATGTTTAATAATATAACTAGATTGACTAGTGACTACCATTTGTTATCAAAACATTTTAGAGTTATGAGATTTAAATTATGCGGAACTCCAAACTTGTATCAGGTCGATAAACTCTAAATTATCTACTTATATTACTGATATTTATTTGTTTGATGTAGCAAACGCGAAAAGAGCTAGATAATAGTGGAGGTTTGGATGAAAGCAGTGTTGGAGCTGCGGTATTCAAGGTGATTGTTTGTGTTGTAACTTCATTTCAAATCTATATATTAAATATATATTTGTTTTTCTAAGTGCATATTGTACCATATTGGCAATTTATTATACTGAATTAAGGACACCCTATTAAGTATTGCGTTTTGAGTCTTAGGGTTAGTTTGATTTTGTTGAAAGTTATGTGTTGATGCAATGATTGCTCTTTTTGTGGCTAATTGGTAATTAACCACCACACAACGCTCTCTGCAGATTTTTTTTCAGTTTACTATTTAAATAGAGTGCATAGTATGAACACTGGATAAAACAGATCAAACAATCTGCGCTCAATACATGTTGCCATAGATTTATGCAGTTGTACTGTACCCACGGTCAGACAAACCTGGATCTTAACCTAAAGTACATTTTTCCTGTCTTGGCTAGTTAGAGGGCATTGATTTATGTTTGTATATGCATTTCAGGAAGGAGAAAGAGAATTTGAAAATGACCCATTAAGTAATGATGAGGTAATTTAAAAGTCCTACTGTATACCCATATTCTATGTACTTACAGGACTATATATTTATTATCCTCCACCAAAATTATTTTAAAAGAGTTTGTACAGGGGCAGTTAAAGTTAAAGTTAAAGTGATATTGAAATGCATGCTTTATAGGTAATTTCAACCATAGAGGAAATCTATTTTGATGATGTTGATTCATTTGACCCAAGTGACTATGAGCTGAAGGTATGTGTTTTTGAAAGAGAGTTGCTGTTCTAAGATTTATTGGATCAAGTACAACAGAAATCTGCATTAGAATATAATGAACACCAGTTGCTTAATTTAATTAGAAACTACCAGATGTGTTAAACAAAGAAGAGCTGGATGAATACAGAAATGTGTTACGAAGACAAGCCCAAGCTGTAAGGATTTTAACTTTTACTCTAAAAATCTGATCAAACTAGGTCTTATATTGTTTATTAATGATATTGCATTGAAAATATTGATTCACTATCCTATGTTTTATACGGCTCATTAATGTGAAAAATATTTAATTTAGGTTTCTAAGAAACTTTATATGAAAGTTTTGGATAATCAGAAAGCCTACATGCAGGTATGCATGCTACTCCTATAATTTCTACTTCCAGAATGAAAATTCCTGAAACAAACAAAACTAAAATATCTTTCAGGAATTACAAAGAGTTATTGACATTCAAGCTACTCTTGAACTTGCAAAAACAATATGTGATAGTGGACGAAGGTAAACAAAGGCTTTTCTTTAACCATTTCATTATATGGTCTAACCAGGTGGTATGCAGGGGTTTGAAGAATGTGAGGTGAATTATGTTTAGTAGGTCTCTATAGAAAGACTGAATGATTGGTACCAACTTGGTTACCTCTTTGCTTTTCAGCCACCTTGAACATTCACGAAGAGAGACGTCTTTGGGTGGTCTTACTGTCCTGGCAAAAAACAGGAAGAAACAACATTTGGTCAATGTTCTTCAGTCTTTAGGAACAATCAAAACACTTGTAAGTATCTTTGAAGAAAACAATTGTATCAAATGCTCAATATAATTCTATACATACGTATTTCTCTTCTACCAACATTTTGTTGGGCAGTAATTTGTTATGACAAAGGCCTGTTATTTTACATATATTAAAGTTGTGAAGTTTACTCTGAAACAGCTAGAGGTTCTGCAGGGGAGGTAGTCATATATATCAGTAGATTCATCAAAGCTAAACAAATCAGATAAGGCCATCCTAAGGTAATCAGATTAGTATGCCAACTTGCATAGAACAGTTTAAAAATTGTGACTGTATTTTTGCAGCAACAAACTGATGTAAGACTGAGAGAAATGCTACAGGTAAAATTGTGATCACATAGTTGTCAGATGTTGTCAACTTAATCCTGCTACATAGTATAAGTTTAACCTTTATTCTTCAAAACCCTTGTGGTAAAATGTTATAACAACAACATAAAGGACAGGCACTTTATATATAATGCTTCCGGAAAATTCGAAAAGTTGTGCAATCTAATGTATTTTCATCTTTGCAGGAAGAAGATTACCCTGGCGCTATAAATTTGTGTTTGGAATGTGAAAAGGCCGCTCGTGCTTTTAAACATTATAAATGTATAAGGTAATTACGATAGAACAATGTGAATACGACATATTTCATTTGCAGCATACAGTAAGACTAGCTCAGCTGGTATTGCCGGTAGAACAGACATCAGAAACCACGAATTCTTTAATCTGAAACACACGCAGACGAAAACCTATATATTCGAAGAGTTCAGACATTAAATACGCCAATAAATATTCTCGTTCTTATTTGCAGTGAATTAAGTGCAAACCTCCAGGATATACTTTTACAAATCGAGGTATTTATTACCCAAGGTTGTAATAATGAAACCGAAAATCCGAAATTGTTCAAATTCCGAAATCGTTTCAATCTCCGTTATAGGGCGAGTTGGATAGTGCCCTGGCTAAAACGTGTAATAATTTTAACGCCTTGCATTATGAGAAATTACAAACCGCTTATAGATATCTTGGTAAAATACAGGTAGGCTTTGTTGTATTGGATATTGGTACAGTGTACGTAAGCTAGTCGTTCACATAATCTGACAGCACCGGCAGAATGCTAGATATATATTTGAAAACTAATTATCATGTCCCATCATCATTTTTCAATTTTTTGAATGAAATTTTATTTCGTTGACCGTGTTTTAGTTGGCAATGGATCAACTTCATCTTCACTTCATGAATTCCATCAACAGTGAAGCATTTCTTGTTTTGCTGAAACATGTTGAGGTACTTCGCTATACTTCTTTGTGACGATCTTGTTTGTAATAACACAGGAAATGCGATGACTTTATTGTTCATTAATGTTGGAAATGATGTAAGGTTTGATCACATTTTACATAATTTGAAAACCTCTCAAAGAAGTTACCTTCCCGTCTAGGAAAATTGTCCAGAAGACTTAAATGAAGGTGGAATTCAGACGATCCCTTTTCAAGAACTCTGCCAGGTAACAAGAGGATTTGTAGAGGACGTCGAAGAATCTCAGTAGATAAGCTCAGCCCTGTTTAAAGCTCGTGCATGGTTTTAGTTGTTTTAATAGTATGTCCTGCCTTGCTCTAGTTTTGTACAATTAAGTAGATATGCATGAATATACCATGGTGTTAATGTTGTACTGGAAGTAAAGTTAAGGATTATTACCATTTCCTCTGTAGAAAGTTGGTGTGGAAGATTTTACTCCATGTTTGGTTGATTTGTGCAAAGTAAGGCAAAAAACATCATCACTTCCTTCCTTGTTTTCTGCGTTACGGACATTGACTGTCAGCGACTATATACTTACATAGAATTTTATGACATATCCACATTGCCATACGATTCCGACTGCAATTCTGAATAATGGCACATGACTTTACGAACCATTGATGATCAAATCTATCAAAACCACCTTCCTTACATTTTAAGAAAATATCATGAGTATCATATCATAGAAGAAAATATCATTAAAACTAAGTAGAAAATATGTTGATTGCAATCAAAGGTTTTAGAATTTTCGTGACGTAATTTGCTCTAGACTTTGTGGAAAGTGATGTCTAATTACCATGAGGTAATGCAGTGGCATAAAGAGCATGATGATTTCATGCAAACGCAAGGTGATGAAACGGACGGTGAAGCGTCTTATAATAGACAATATGTCACCCAGAAGTTGAAGCACGGATTACATAGAATTTGGAAGGTATCATAACAGTGTATTTCACTAGCCGAGATCTTTGAGCCGGTACGCTTCTGAATTTCATATATATACTGTCTTTTTTCAGGAAGTTCAAGAAAGAGCGAAATGCTACTTGCTAGGAACGGACTTATCGTATTTTAAATACGACGATTTTATTCATGTGTTAGATTTAGTTAATAGGTGAGGATTCGTTATCATTTTCTCAACAACGTATATATACAGTAAATCTGTAAAACAGTAAATCTTCTTGTTAATTCTCAATTGCCTCTTGTAGATTGATTGCAATTGGGGAGGAATTCTGTGGGAGTAAATCAGAAGAGCTTCACGATTCTATTCGAACCCAAACAGTGAATTATTTTAAGAATTATCACAGGTTTCTACACTAATACATTCTGCATTTAGTTCACGTAAAAACGTTGATTTAACGAGATTAACTTTTTAATCAATAAAGATGCCAATAACTTGAGTCGCGCGATAATTTAGTTGTTTTACTGTTAGAGTAAAATTTACTGTATGAAAACGAAAATATGATTTTACATATATCGTAGATCACGGTTAGAGGAGCTTCGGATGTTTCTGGAGAATGAAGTCTGGGAATTGTGTCCAGTAAAGGCTAATTTTTCCTTGGCCAATCTCCAGGTTTGTGTCAGTACGCTGCATGGTGATGTTTTAAGCAAATCATTGCTATATTTTTAATATTTTCTTCCTGCAGGAGTTCAAGTTTCTAAGGAAAATATACCCGAGCAAAGGTCATAGAAGGACAGATTCTGGAAACATAAAATCTGAAATGAGTAAGTATATCAGTTCTCAATGGTTGTCAGATGATTATAGAGATAGTTCATATCAGTTATATGACCCTAAGAAATGTTGTATTATATCTCTAAATGGATATAGTTATTTTCAACAGGTTTCTTTTCTCGATACCGCCCTGGTTCGACGCCATTTGATGACCAGAGAGCCGAAGACGAGTATGAAGATTTATTGTCAACTTTAACCACAGTATGTTCAAAATGTTCCTTATTATCCTTGTTAGAAAAGACTTCTTAACGCGATTTCCTTCACGCCAATTCTCTTATTGCCAATCCTATTTAGTGACTCCAAATGACGAAGCGAGACTCATATTTCAGTTTCTGTTCAGGGTGTAGATTGCGATGTGAATGAAAATCACGACGATGATGATGATGATGAATACGACGATGATGATGAGGATGTTCCAGGTTTGAATAAATACACCGTTATTCTTACATTATATCCTGCGTTAATATTGTAAAATTAAAATTTTAATGTGAGATTGTCAAATGATAATTAATGATGTATGGTTGGACGAAATTGTTTATCGTGTACATAAATAATTATTTACCTAAAATAAAACTAGATTTTGACTGTGCATATTCTATTTCAGATGAGTTGAAGTTAGACTATGTCGACGAGAAAACTGGGGAACCGTCACCAAGGTACAGTAGATTAGTGATTATAGAATCCAGACAAGCATTTAAAATATATTTACAAGTACTTATGTATTGTTATATCATACTCTCTCCTTAATTCATTTAGACCAAACTCGCACTCAAAACTTGGGAAAAAACTGAGTAAAAACCATGGACCAATTGTTACAAACACCACTTTAAATGTTTTAAGATTGTTCGGTAAGTTGAACATATTCTTAGGAAGAGAATTCTTAAGAATGAAGAAAAAGCAAAAAATTAAACTGTGCAAACACTGTGTTCTTTCTGCCCAGTTGAATAAGCTGCATGTACTCTCTCGTTTGAATTCACCATTACATTTTGAATATTTTGTTATCTCAGGGAAATACATGCAAATGATGAACGTATTAAAACCCATCGCATTTGATGTTGTTATCTGTGTCTCACAGCTGTTTGATTATTATTTGTTTGCTGTGAGTATGTTCTTCTTGTCTTCTCCATTTTTATACAAATCAAATTTAGATTTAATCAAAAACGATTTCACTGCAAGACTAGGTACACACACAGTACGACGCACTGTATTTCCAACAAGCTCACGAATATTATTCAATATTCAAGATTGTAGGTTTAGTTTTGACATATTATTTATTTGCTGCAGGTTCAAAGGTTTTTCTGTCCTAATGTTATGGTACGTTTTTGTATGTTAGTCATTGGTGCGTTTGCAGATCGTATACTGTAATATTTATTTAGATTATATCATTAATATTGCAGGACGAATCAAAGAATCCGGATCTTAGCACAAAATTGTTTACTTCTCTTAAACGCATCAAGGAAAACCTAATTATGGAAGTAAGGGTAAAAACTAGAAAACAAAAGAAAATGAATTCTAACCAAACAGCCTTCATTAATTGTTAATAAAATGTTTGGTTTCCAACACCTTCAATTTATTGACCTTTGTTAGCACTATTCACCGTCTGATACAACAGGTGGCGATGATATGCGGGTATGTGTAATTAATTCAACAGTCACTCCGTCGTGTTGTTAGATATATCATATACTTCATGCATGATCTTTCAATAATTTTTTCCAGGTTCCATCTCCGTGTCTTTCTCCTTTAACACAATTGGAAAATGCGGAAGGATTGTTTGGACTTTCTGAAAGAATTATAGCGACCGAATCATTGTAAGTATATGGTATACCTATACCAAATTAGTATCACTTGTTTTCCACTGCATGGTTAAGCTCATTTGATACAGCCTGTCTTTGCAACTTCTCGTAAAATGTTCATATGCTGTTGATAGGAAAAACCGTGTAGCATACTGACAATGCAAATCTTCCCAAGAAAATAATCCATTTTCAAAATATAGGCCCAAAGTAATAGCATGCATTCGGCGTTATGAGGGAAACCCACGGTTAAGTTGATGAAAGGCAACATTGATTTGATAGAACGTTTTTTAATGCGTATGGAAATGAAGACAATCTTCCCCAATTCGCACTGTTCTCATCATAAAGATTGCTAGTATGGTAGTACTCGTTGTTAGATTTATGTGAATGTTTTATTTTCAGAGTATTTTTAGCGAAACAATTCGAATCATTGCAACCTCATTTAGAATCTCTTATTCCGATGGCTAAGAGAGCATTTCTCTCTCAGTTTTATTCTCAGGTATATCTTTGCATTCTTTTATCACTTTCAAGTTGCATAAAGTAATTTCGTGCTTTTTAAGGCCTCTGAATGAACAGAATTATGTAATTGAAGAAACGTACTGGTTACCAGACATATGTCTATATATGAAACTCAGCTATACAGTCTTGAACGAACGCTAGGCTTTTTGAATGATCTTGAAACTGCAGGTTGTGATTTCTGGATCGAGCATTCAGTGAGCCACAAGCTGGAAGTAACAAGATGGTCATGTTTTCAATGCGAATTTATCTTAATTTCACTGCCGTGATCAGATCACTGCCATGCAATTTAATTTATTTCTAAAATCTAGACTGTTTCTACCGCGCATGAATTGAGAAGACCAATATACCAAGCAGTCGCTGGAAGGGTTGTCGACTTTAACATGGTAATTTTCTAAAGTAACTTCCCATCAACATCATTTCGCTACCATTGCATCATAGCTGTATTAATTTTTGCTCAAATTATTCGTTGCCTCCCAACTTTTAGAAGTGTTTAGAATCAATTTTGCCTGGATTTTTTTTGGAATTAAATTTAACGATAGTAGCTCTAAACCTCTAATACTACTGCTATAGGTGTACCTAATTTATTTAGATCATTCATTTAATGTCAAATGTGAAATGGGACATCAAAGAAATCATGTCTGAACACAACACATACGTGGATATGTTACTAAGGGTAAATATCTGCCCGTTTTGTGACACACCTACAATGCAATGCACACCCATAATCGTAAATATATTCCTATTTTAGGAATTGCAATTGTTTAGCATGAGGATCTCGCAAATTGGAAGGTAAAAATATTCTAACAGTATCGCCCGGCTTAGACAATATACTGTAAACGTCATCTGTGATAAATACTAACTTTGAGAATACGAAAATATCACAATAGCGTTTATTAGATTTACAGTATGTAAATTTCAGATCAATCCCGATCCCAAATGAAGTGTTGACAATTTTGTGGGATCATTGTACGCGTCGCGTTAACCGATCTTTAGTTGAGGGGTGAGTTTCTCTAACCTTGCATCACGAGTTAAAGTCGTGTACAGGAGACAGTAAGTAGAACCTTTTTTAATTAATCGTTTTTATTAAAAGATTTTCCTGTGCGAAGAAATGCAGCAACGAAGGACGAGCGCTAATGCAACTGGATTTTCAACAGTTTCTCATAAAACTGGATAAACTTACTTCATTGAGGTAAGGAAAGCTGGTATTAGTAGACAGTGAGGAACTCCCTCCTCTTATCGAGTCTCGCTTTCCAGTTGACCATCACTGAAATTTATGTCAGATGAAACCCTGGCAGGAATAGCTAGTAAGCTCAAGTGGACAAACTTAAGCGGAGTTAGTGGACAGGAAACATTGAACCATATTTTTACTTTTCGCTCCAGGCCTATTCCAGAGAAAGAATTTGTCGAAGCATACGTCAAAGCTTACTATTTGACAGAACCGGATATGGAAAGATGGATTCGGGAACATAAGGTAATCTAATTTCACGTGAAATTTCCACGTGTAAACCATTAATTCATGGGAATGAAACAACTTCGAATGACCTTATTCCTTTTATTATTTCAGGAGTACTCAACGAAACAACTCACTAGTCTTGTCAACTGTGGTACAGGTTCCCACTTTAGTAAGAAAGCCAAGCAACGGTTATTGATTGTAGTTGAGGAGACTGAAAGATTTAGAACACGCTGATATCAATCAATGATTCCCGGCGCGTGGTCACCCCCCTTGGCTTTCACCACGAGGGAAATTGCTCTTGAAAATAAATTAGGAATTTTTAAATTTTATCAATTAGCGTTTTTTTGTAATTTGCCAGTTTAAATTTTGTCGAAAATTGTGATCCTGTATTTAGGTTAGTTTCCCTCAAAATATCATAGACAATTACGAGGAGTAAATCGCGGAAAGCCATTTTCCTCCACGCAAAACACAACCACGTACCGAGCCAAACGTATGGAGGTCCTGGTGAATATAGAATCATTTTCAATTTTTTTTCAAACAGTTCGCGTGGCGGAGAACGGGAATAAATAGGCGTAGCCATACATACTTTATTAACGTAAGCTGGCTTACAAGTTACAATTTGAACTTTCAGACGTTTGCTGGTACCTTATCCTGTTAATAGGGAAGGTTCTTTATTTATAACAAATGCTGTAGTTATCGTTTAGTATTGCTGCCCAGTATTGCTGTTGTGTCTTACAAATCATATTTTTAAACAGACTTGGGCAAAATAATGCGAAAGACATGAGCAGTTAAAAAAATAAATAAGGAAAAGTGAGACAATGGATTTGTTCTTCTTCATTTTGCGAAAGTAATCAAGTGTTAGCATCATAACGTCTCATGCACGATTTTTAGCCTGAGTACGGACGAAAACCATCTGATAAAATTTTAGCAATAGGTCAGAGTTCTATAGAACAGTAACAGGACTATCCTGGAGCGAAGGGAGGAAGAGAACCTGTTTTGTGACTTTAAAAACGATTTATCAACAGACGAATGAGACGTCTTGTCAAATATCGCCAGCGACTAACTGGAGCAAAATTTTACTTTTAGTCTTTAACTAACGAGGTGCAATTTCCCGATTGGACATACGATTATTATCAATATCAGCTTCATTCAAGTGTTCATTGTGCGTTGTAACTGAATTAACCATTAGGAGTTCTTGTATCCGTGACGAGACTACTCGTGCACGATCATCCAGAAAGCGAAATTCCGTTCGAGACTGCGACAGACAATGCAACATATACGGGGTATTTTTATAAGATCATGAATGTATTCTTTCACAAACAACGTGTACAAACGCGAAGATTTAGAGCTATTTACATACAATGAACTATTTAAATCACCATTTTATCCAAAATACCGAGCTCAGCACGAATTAAGTCAGTTTGATTTAAAGCTTTAGAATCTTCACTCCTCAGTGCTGTTATCTGCTTGTACCCATTGCCATCTGTTAGACCTAATTCGATCCATGCCTTTCATTTTTTTCCGGTTTTTGCCAACTGAAGACAAAACTCGGACCCGTTTAGTGAACAAACAGGTCGGAATTTTGTCCCCACCGGGCAAAATTTGGGATCTTCGGGACAAACTGCGCGGACAAAAAATCTCTCTTTCCACTTTCGGTGACAGAATTTTCCAACTCGGTTGTATACGCACAAGGAAGAAATTCATTCCAACTTCTTTCTTTTGTTCCTGCTGTAACATCCGTGTAAGATATAACAAGCCTTCCATCACATTCGACAACCTTCAGGGAAACTGATGTGGAACTATTTGAACACCTACAACCAGCATCTGCATACACGTTCATCAACCCAGCTGGATAAGCAATTCCAATATTTTCATTTTCGCACATTTCGCAGTGATCTTCTAAAAGGTAATAGTTGAAATATGGGCATCTTTGACAGCTATCACCATCAATCAACGTAACACTTACCTGGAGATTTACGTTCGTAATACTTGCCTTATTCTGTTCCCACAAATGAATATTAGCGTGAATGAACGGAATCTGAAAAGTACTGTGAACAGAAACAGCGTATGTTAACCAGGCGCTGTGAACAGCGTCTTACCTTCGGCTTCGTGGATCTGTATGAAAGCCAAAGTCAAGTTGAACATGTTAATTTTGAAATAAACCAGGATAACCGCACCCTTTTTCTACTTTTACGGCAAAATTTTCTTATTTTCATTTGACAAAAATTTCATTCTTGTTAGATTTTCTTTTCTTCGTTTCTTCGTAAAAGATTCGAAAGAAATTCTTCATTTAATTTTTCTTCCCGTATTTTTTCTCCGAAATTGAGGGTATTCTTCTTTACTTAGGAGACTTTCTTAATGCCGGTATTCTTGAAAATCTTCAAGTAATTCTTGTAAATCTTTAATTCATTTTTCTACCCTCTTCATTCTTGAAATTTCAAGCTTTCAGTTCCTGCGATTAACAGGGAATAAAGTTAACACCGAAATCGTATTGGTCAACTCTCTTGTACATTACAAAATTGCTCTCTTTTCCTCGTTTTAACACCAGTGTGTTAAACAAGCCAAGCTTGTGCTACAAGACCGGTCTATATGAGAGGTTAGCTGTGAACAAGAATTATTACAATGTGAGCTTGCAGGAGAACATCTAAAAGGCCAGTTATAATGCAGCAATATGGTTTTACGCTGGGATGGAAAGAATGTTCCGCTTTTTGCGGACGGGCAAAAGTCCCGACTTTTATCTAAACGCCGAAAATAACAGACAGGATTTATACATTTTTTTATTACACCTCGTGTTGATAGGGAAAATTCATGTCCGTTAAATTCATATCATAAGCACGATTACAGAAAATCTCCCCCAAAAGGCGTCAACTGAAACTGACTCATGGGAATATGGATACGTTCTTTGACTCAACGATAGCGAACACGACGGCAAAGACAATATAGTTTATAAAACAGGGTGCGTATGAAACCCATTACAAACGAAATTTACATCGTTTCCAATCAATGCTGTGAATGTGTATTAAATGTATTCAATGGTTTCGGAGGTACCAAAATCAATGCTATAAGCAAGTCACCCAAGCTGACAATATATACCTGCCATCTGTCTTAATTTAGGGGTTATTTACATCAGACTGAAGAGACAACCGAAGAGCAGATTATCAAATCAGACCTCCTCCATTTAACTACAAAGTTTCCTAACTTTTGCAACATAAATAGAACTACATGATCGAAGGTTTGCTTAACAACCTTACCTTTACGGATCAATGTAAATCTATTTATATGGAGAGACTATTCTTGCAATGCATTTTGAAACAAGTATATAACGTTATATGATACATACGTGTCCAACTATGATGATGTTAAGGCTAGCAAGATATTAAATATACTACACTTAAAAAATTCACAAACAATTAACTAGACTTTGTAGAACATAAAGCAATGTCATCGCGTGGTAGAAGTAGCAAAAATCGGAGAGAACAAAAAAAGTTTCGTATTATACAGTATATCTGTTTATGGTACAGTGAGGCAAAAAGTCTTTACCATTATGTCAGTCCTGGTGAGATTAAAATCTGATTGATTGAATTAGTTCTCATAAACAGGAAAGAGTTCTCAATATCGACCTATAACAAAAATAAATTGGTAAATTTTGATCACAGAAATGGAATGTTATCTTCTGAAAGGGAACAAGTATTTCTTCAAAACTCACGTGGAGATCTAGAACGAGATCGGCTGTAGTCCCTGTCATAGCGATCACTTCGAACATAATCTTTTTCTCTGCTTCTTCCGCGTCCTCCGTGATCATCGCGACGATTACGAAATCTAAGAAAATGAAAAACTCATTAAATACCTTAAACAATGTTAAGTCAAGTGGTGGTGAATAGAACATGTTGTGTGGCATGAAGGATATTACTGTGAAGTATTATCAACAAATTGCAATGATATGAAATAGCCAACATACAGAGTTCAATAGGTGTCCCGTGTCCTGTTTACGGTAGGAATATATAAAATTGTGCAAAAATGTGACATATAAAACATACTGAGAAGGCTTTCCCATATACACTCCTGGGGTTGGGGTGTGAGCTCTCTGTGTTATTGAATAATCAACCCGAATACGGCGACCATCCAATTCAAGACCACTTGTTTCTTCTTTTACCTAAATGCAGGCAGCATGCAGTTAGATTATATTGAAAAGGACACATAAATATTGACATTTCATATTGGACAGGTCATATTGTTTAATTTCTATTTAACCAATAAGCAATAATCACCAATAGTCAAGTCATTCTTAGGTTGTAAATAATGTTAACAAGAGACTTACTTTCTCTGCTTCATCAGGATCAGGGAAGTATGCAAATGCAAATCCTCTTGATCGCCCCGACTACATGGAAAAAGTTAATATGTTGGAAAATTTATTGTAAATAAAGAATTCTGTATTTGTCAGGCTTCAGCAACTGGATTTCTAAATAAGTAGTGTTTGGCATTATGGCACAGGTTTTTGTGTTTTAGAAATACCAAAACACTATGTTTTTCATAAATTATTGACCTATCACATTTTGGTACTTTCTGAATTGATGTGGTAGCTCTTTTCTCATGTAAACTGTCCCCATCCTCTAAAGCTTTGTTTTAATAAATATAGCAGTTTATGAATTACCAACCTGATGATCATAGACAAGTTGACACGAGTCTAGAGTGCCATATTTCTCAAGAAAATCCTTCAAGTCTCTTTCTGTTGTGTACAGACTCAACCCAAATATTCCAAGGCAGTTGGACTTTGGTGGGTCTTCCTACATTTCATGAAATTAAAAGTTGCGCATTAAGGAATACAAGATGATTCTGAAGGTATATAGAGAAATAGACACACAGAGAGCACCAAGTAAATATATAGGGATAATTACCCTACTGCCATAATGTCTTCTGCGTCTTTGATACGGGGAAGATCTATTGTAAGTGAAAATAACAGTTAGCTTTTTCGCAAATTTCATTAACTATCGCAAAGTACGCATATGTGACGATATCATTCTTATTAGTGAACCTTCTTTTGTAGTAAGGACTTCTAGATCTTGATCGGGAATATTTTCTTGATCGGGAATGACGATGCCTGGATCCAGATCTAGATCTTCGTGGTGAACGAGAACGTGATTTGGAATGGCTGTACGAACGAGACCTGAAGATGAACATAACACATCAATAGTCAATTAGCTTAGCAGCAAGTAAGCATGAAAAAAACTCTATGTCATTTTGTCAGCATCTGTTCCTAACCAAGGTATAAGCAAAATTGCTGTTGATGCTAAATACTGAGTCACAGAAAGTATTTTTGCTGAAATGAAATTTTTTCATCACACAAATGGTGGAACATTTTCAAAATGACTTTCAATAATGATGCAATATTTCCACATTTTACATTTAATTTTCATATATAAAACTGCTATAAAGCCCTTGCAATCAGAAAATTATTTTTCACAAATAATTTCTTTATGAATGTCAAGTCCATTCTGCACATCTGTTTTGCTCACAACAATGTGAGGTCCTCAGATATAAATTTTGCATGTCTCATTTTTCTGATCAAAATCACTAGCTCATATTCATTTAAAGACATAGCAAACCTAAATTTTGTTAGACAGTAAGACAAAACATTAAACAAACCATTTGTTTACAAATAGACTTGACTTCTGTTTTAAATTGAACCTTGAATTGAATGACTAAAGTAAATGTGAACCTTGAACGAGATCTGGACTTGCTGAATGAACGTGCTCTTGGCGAATGTGATCTGGATTTAGAGGCTGACCTATCTTTTCGGCCATTCCTATCTGGGGATTTCTATAAAGAGTAAAAATAAATTTGTTATCACCTCGTTTATTGATGAGCACTGTTATTTTTGGCTCAAGGGACCTTTATGGATTCTATCTTATGGTTGTCTTTCTATTCTATTGGGAGGAGAGCACCAGATTGATAGATAGAAATAGAACTGTATGTAAGAATGAAACTGTAGAAAACTCAATTTACAGTAGTAAATAAGCAGATATAGGTCTACTGGGGGTGCACAACCAAACCCTAGTGTTGTCCAGAGAGATAGAAACAAAGGTATCAATTTATGGTCAAACTTAGGTCAACCTTAGGCTTAGGCACCCAGTAACACCACCAGTTTGGCTTTTATGCCTGTTCACAGGATCCAATTTTGTCATATGCAATTCATTTCTGTGGTATGGAATGTAGTGTGTTACCAACAAAGTGTAGTACTGCATTGGTTTTAGTTGACTTGCCACTCATATTCAATGAAAACCAACTATTGAACATCCATCAGAACTGAATTAGATCTGGCAAAATTTGTGTAATCTCAAAACTAAACAAATTGAATCTCGAATTGAATTCTAGTGAAGTAAACATTTTCTGGAAACTCTAAAGGTTAAAAATGTAGACACTTAGGATGTATACAGTGCAATAGTTTTAATATTTGCGCTCGCAAAATAGTGAAGGGGCAAACAGGGCTTTTACAGACGCAGGTTGTTTGAATCATCAATGCTTTTCGGGAAATCCCTGGGTTATCTACATTATTAGTGCAGTTTCTGATTGCTATTTATAAACTGTAAATTTTGACTTATGCACTATATAAACATTAAATATGGAATAAATATGATAATAAAGACATATATGGAGTTTTAATAAAAAAAACCTAATTGCCTGAACTCCGAAACTTAGCGGCATTTTTACGTTTATAGTTGGCGTCCAAAAATTAACATGGGAATATAATCTGGCAAACACAAGCAAATTATGAACTTACCCGATCATCCGAGCCTGATCTGTCTCCTCTGTCGCTCATAACTGATATGAGAAAAGAAACTCTTTTAAAAAGCTACAAATTTGAACAAAAATGTCTTAAAAACTGCTAAAATCGTACGACTTGCGATTTCTGCACGAGGTAAACTAAATTACCCACAATACTTTGCGAAATTTTTGTTGTACCCAGACTTCCTCGTCAGCGTCACAGGCAGGCAGAAAATCTTTAAAATCTTTTTGGGATCACTTTAATTTAAGGAACTATATTCAACTGGATTAACATAACATATATTTAATTGATTGAGCACTATAAGTAAGGCTAAACCACGATGGATTACTGAGGCCAGGGCGTATATAAGTCATAAGATAAGGTATCTATCTTATATACGCCCAGCTGAGGCTGAGCTATACGGCCTATACCCACTGCTATACCAGTGAGCTCTATATATATTTATATCTATATATAGAGCTCACAGTCACAGAATTTACTATCACTGAGCTACACTGAGTTATATATTACAGGCTGTATAAAAAATATCCTCACTTTTAAAATCCAGAATTTGAATGCCTTATTATTATGCCTTATGAATGAAGCCCGTTCATTTTGCTAAATCATTTGCAAATATCAAAAAATATAATTTGGTAAATCATGCATTGCCATCGCTTAGTTATGCGTGGTCGATGAATTCCTGTGTGTCACCACAGACACCACTCACCATAAATTTTACTGGAACCTCTTTTCTGCAGCCATCCCAGGGTACCTCCTTTCAATTGGTTGTATCAGCAAACCTTGGTGGTTTTTACTTGGCTTCCTCGTTTGGGAAGGACTAATGTCTTCCACTTCAAATCAAGCATCTGACTGATGCATTGGATGTGACAGGAATATCGAAGAATGTATTATACAATACTTTTAAGTTTCAACACATTACTATCGCCAGAAGTCAATATTTTGTGAGGCGATAGAGTTTTTTTCGAACCAAATCCGTTTGATATATGTGTAATATATGGAAAATATGATGGATCAAAAAAAGAAATATTAAGGGGAAAAAGCAAGAGAAATAATCGGGCTATATTCACTGATCTCACTCGCTGACAGCCGAATGCCTCGAAGCATGCGAACCACTAAAAAACGGTTGCTATTCGAAGACCTCCATACAGCATTCTTTCTTTATTTCAATTTCAAGATAGAAATCTGAGATGAGTTGAGGTGGTAAAAAACAACAAACGTTTATTTGGTACGCTTCATCATTTATTCTAAGTATATATTCGCTGGGCAGATGAGGAACAACTGTTTTAGATTTGGCCTATAATACAGGAGAAACATTGAATACCTTATTATTTACACGAATATTAGAGTTAGGCCTATTTCACACGGCAAACTTTTCCCGCGCCAAACTTAATGTTATTGGATTTAAGTCTTCGTTAAAGTTCATTTTGCATTCGTTTCGGCACATGAAAAGTTCGACGTCTGAAATGGGCCTTAATGACATGTCATGTTTTTTCATTCATTAGTTGTCATCGTTGGGTCGAATGTTTCGATTAATCTAAAGTGGTTACACAGTGATGGTCCTTGGTCCTCAAAGTAAATATGTTGTTTTATATCTGCACCACGTGACTTCAAAAAGTTTGTAAACCGGATTTGTTCCTCACCAATCCAGGCGCGGGATTTGTCACGAATTTGGAATGGTGTGAGATGAACACGTAAACGAGGGATTGTCTCTGCTAGTGACCCTAATAATCGTTCGTCTGTCACCCAAGCATTTGATTGGCCACAATGACCAGCGTCCAGCCAATGAATAGCGTTGATACGAGAAATAAATTGGAGTAAACCAGTTTTCTCCGACTTGACAATATCGTGTATCTCGTATACAATCTGGTTAAGCACAACACAACCATGGCTGAAACCAACCAAAGTTATTGGAAAATCTTCAGTTACATCTTCCTCCTCGTTTTCTAAGTTTAGAACTAAAGCGAGCAAATATTTCGATGTCAATATCAAGGAATGGATTGATGGAATCGTATTCGTAAAAGGAAACACAACCTTAGAAAAAACAAGCAAATGCATGAACATGGTCTTTGGAACATCTATATCACCACGTTCGTATTATTAGTGTATTACAATAATTGCATCATTAACTTCATAACCATAAGAGTCAGCTAGACTAGTTAACAAGTTTATTATATTTAGATTCTAAATTACCTTTTCTAATGGCAGAGTCTAGTAACTGACGAAGGTGAGAAATGGCTCCAATGTTTGAACTATGGTCAGGCACACCAAAGACGCTCGTTTCGACAAAGTTATTGTAACAGGCATACGTGCCTAGATGCAACCTGGATGATTTCACCACCCAAATAAAACTGTTAGGAAATCTCTTTAACAGCAGTCTCGAAGTTGATTCAAGATCCCATTGAACCCAGGCTTTGTTATTACGATGAGCAATCATATTTTCTACGTAGTCCTACAAAAATTAATATCAACATTTACAGCTGATTAGAGGCCCAAATGTACCGCGGTATAGCAGGGAGCTAGTCCAGCATTTTGTATTTCTGTATTGGATTTCCACTTGCAGAGAAATAGTTCGCTAGCGAAATATTTGCATCTTTTCTTTTAAAATGAAAGGATTCAAGCTGAAATAATTTATTTTCGCTGTTAAAATTCAAACGAGAATATGCCAAAATTTCGCTAGCGAACCATTTCTCTCTGTGTAAGTGGAAATCCAGCTAATATATCCCTCAATCCCTCCTCTTCGGTACGGTATTCGTTCATGATTTCAGGTGGTATACCTTCGCCACGAGAGGATTGAAATATTCAGCCTTAACAACGACAGTCAGTGCAATTCATTGCCCATCTTTTAAAGCCGTACGCTAATTTTCGCGCGAAGTGAACTTTTCTGTCCTTGTCTTTGGCCAAGTTTAGAGCTCTGAAACAAAAGCATAATTTGCTGCTCCCGAAAAAAGCCCTTGCTACAATTTGAACCAATCGAGCGTGAGCATCATATTAAGGATTTTAAACAAGTGCGTTTATAAAACTAAAAGCCACCTTCCGATACGGACAGCCACAGACATGTCGTTAATATATGTAGCTATAACGTAATTCGAAGCTAATTCTTGATGCCATTATTCATTTCAGTTCAAGGATTTCATGAAGACTAGTATGATAACCTACGAATTGTAAAGTTGCTTTATTTTACTTATTTAACTGAATAACATCCACTTTACCTGCACATCACCATGGAAAAACACCACATGTTGTTGTGCTTCAGTACCACAGAAAATCACGTCATTCTTTTTTCCTTGTTGACCTGGTATACCAGTTAATCTTACAGACGGTGCTTCGTCCATCATCAGGATGTTGTGAGAAATTGGAAAAAAATTAGAATAAGGATAACACTGTTAGTACAAGGATTAAGAGCGCTGTCTACAAGAAAACAAACATTTCACATCTACAATTTTATAAATCAATTTGCATCTTAAATATGCTTTTGTGCCTGGCAATGCATAACCTCGGACAGAAAGACATTGCATTTGAGCCTTCTTGTAGACAAAGAGAGCAACTAACTAGCCAATCAGAACAGGAAATCGTCCAATAATAGTCGAAGTAATTAATCAAATATGACGTGGGCTGTCATTGTTGGTAATTTCCAAAGCGGTCGTTAACTAAGCCAAGGTAATCCTTCTGTCAATGTCAACTAAGATTAGTCCGCCAGTCTGAAACAGTACGATGTCGTCATGTCGATATATGTAAAAAAACAATCAGGAGGATCAGAATATTGCATCAAAAATCAGGCAGGCAATTAAAATAACGAAACTAACAATAAATATAATAGTTATAAATAGTCAAGTTTTCTGTTTTCAACGATTAACTTAACTACTTGCAGACATAAAAAAGTTCGTATATATACGTATAGTTTAAAATGAACTTTTAATTACCGAAATATCTGTCAAAAATATTGGCTTTCAGTAATAATTTATAAACGTACAATTGAACGACCAACGAAGTTACCAACATCAGCCACAATAAATAATATCGCTAAACCGGAAACAACAATTAATTTACGATATTTATAAGAAAAGCTCCATTACACTACGCAGACTTTTTGGTAGGGTGCCGTAAAAATGGTACGAATGAAATTTTATAACTCCTAAATTGGTCAAATTTCAACCTGACCAATTTTATCATTTTTTACTATGAGTCTATGTTCAATTTCAGTTTTGGAACGGATAAAATTGAGAATGATGAAATTTGAAAGGCGAAATCTTAAAATCCGCGATATGCATGATGATATCATTACATCTCAGAATAATAAATTTTGTCAAATAAAAATTAATCAAAGTTTCTTTCCATGCATCGGGAATGATTGGATTTACTTGCTTGCCCCAACGTCGAAGCAACTTCTTATAGATACTAAACATATTTTTTAGTTTAAAAATGGAATATTTAGTCATTTACCTGTTACGAATGGTACAACTTTCTTTTCAAACAAAAATTTGCCATTAGGATATTTACTACCTGGCGGTAGTAAAGCGAGAAAAACTGGAGTGTCAGCACCTATACAAAAGACTAGATATTAACGTTTTTGCCTTAATAATTCTTAAGGGTTGTTAGGAGTTAAAATGTTTAGGGAGTAAAGGGACGAATCAGGCCTTAAGTTTGGCAATGTTCCGGCTCGCAAAATTGTTAGTTTCTCTTAAATAATATCTCTTTACTTGGAATTTATCCATGGAATAATGGATGACTTTGAATTGTATACCCATGGTAACATGCCAATGTGATGTTTCATGCTCCAAAGTATTTTCAAAGATCATGCAAGAAGAAACATCTAAAAACGTTTGTTTACCATACCTTGATCTGCAGACAAAGGAGCATCTGGACCTCCAAGACGTGTTTGTAGCCAACCTGGACAACACTGCAATATTTATACATACTGAATCCTTTCAATTATGTCATTGTAAACAACCAATTGCAATATTGATTACGCTGGGCTTGATCGAGCGTATTAGTGAAGAAATGAAGTAAGATAACAGAATGAAGGCGAGAAAAACCCAGGAAATGTCAACCGAGGCTGAAGGTGATAAAAACGTCAAGCATGCATGATAACTCACCGCATTCACAAGAATCTCATCTGCAGATCTGGCTGGTTCCATAAAATAATTTGCTTGCAATCGTGTCAAAATTGTAACCGCAAGTTTGGTAATACAATAAGCTACAATTGGAATAAAGAAGAAAAAGATAACAATACACAGTAAATAAATGCCATTTCACTCACCTGCAATCATAAAATCACTCTACCTGAATTTTGCCAAGAGCGAAATAACGGTTCTGCTGGCCAGCCATTCTCAATCTGTATTCCTGAATGTACATCACTATGAGAAGATAATAATTCACACAAGATTCAAATGAACTAAAAAATTCTCACGTGTTTGTAGGCGGCACAATTTCTCAAAGTTTTATTCGGTAATATACCTTTTAAATGAAGTCATTAGTTGATCAAGAACTTCTTCTGTCAGCCCAGTTGAAGAGAGACGATCTAAAACAGGAGGTTTAAGACAGGAATATTTTCCCATTCTTGACGATATATTCACCACCCTTCAAAAAAAAATAAAGTTGTCTACGTTTCTATTATTTATAAATTATAGTCTTTGGCCACCTGGATACTTGGCAATGGAAAGTTAAGAGAAACTATCTACGACGTTAGAGTCGGTTTGACTAACACACTCCGCAACATTAAACCAGCAAAGTTTGTGTGTAAAGTTATAGGAAGGGCCGGCTCGGTGAACCCGTCAAACACAGATCTGCTGCACTCGTGACCTGCATCACTGCATGCTTGCTTCAATTCACTAAAGTTTGTTTCAAAGAGAAAATATCACTCTGTACCTGGCCTGAGGTCTCAGCAAAGGAAACAATTCTTTACAGACATTTCTCAATCCAAAGTAGTCGCAATCAACCGTTCGTTGCACTTGCTCGCTATACGATAACGGTGAGTTGGAGCCCTGGAATTTTACACGATTGATTAGAATTTTTTTAATTTCTTCAATCGTGTCCAAAATACACTCAATCCTTACATGGGGATGACACTGAGCTTTAGTAAAATATTCGCGCATATGTTGTCATAACAAATTTGACATTAAACTCGTTCTCTTCATTCACATAAAAAACATGATTGAAGGAAGACAAAAGATTTTACTGATTATTGATCACCAACAGTGAAAATCACGGAAACCAGGCTTTAAGGATCAGTACCAGCACACTAGAATTACATACATAATAAACTCCAGCGTTATTGATTAAAACATCAAGACCGCCATAGTGAGATATGATGTACTTCTTTAAATTTCCCACCATATTTTCATTAGTAATGTCCACTGGAAAGAAATCTGGATTAAACCCATTTTTCCTGAGTACTTCGCATGCAGCCAAGCCTTTTTTGCCATCACGTGCTAAAATGTTTATTTGAAATTGGGAAATTGAGATCTTCTTTACTCTGTGGTGATTTTTAAAGCTGTAGGGTAGAAACTAAGTACATTTTTGCCCAGCTTGGTTTGAAAATACTGGCATGTAAAGGAAGTGGTATACACACAGGCTATTAAGCAGATGCAACATGCTCAGCTGGTTTGCAAGTGGAGATAACTTTAAATTCTAGTTTTGTAACAGACTCTGCATTTCCTAGTGCTATGCTAGTTTATATATGAGCTTCGCAACTTGACCATTTCTGGCATAGAACTTTATCAGATGAATATTATCAGCATGAATAAAAAATAACTAGCAAAGTTGATTAGTTGAAAGTAGCAGCAGTGCATGTTCCTATATCACAATCAACATTCCAGAAGATCGAAATACAACTTGTGGCCAACATGCATTTGCTTTTATATTCATTTTCCACATTTACCTGTCAATATAACAACTCCTTGGAATGTTTCACAAAGTTTTTTCACAATAGCAAAACCTAAGCCTCTGTTTCCACCTGTAACCTGAACAATATCAAGGTTGATAATCCATACGCAAGTAGATACCTTAACACTATATCTATTTTAACAAAATAAAGATGAGTGGCCTTATGTCGCAGTGGCAGATTTCTAGGGAAAGTGGATGGTGCCATGGTGGACAGGGAGCTAAAGTCTATTATTTGGTGTGGCCTAATTTAACCTTTAACCCTTTTTCCCCAGCCAACGCCTAGGGCAATGGACAGTGCAAATCCACGAAAAAGCCACAGAATTAGGGAAGTATACAATAAGATATAAAATCCAGGGATTTTGAGGGTTATCTAAAACACTAAACAATTGCCAATGTGCATGGTTCAATATAAAAAAATTACACACATTGTGATGCATACTAGTTCAAACTTGTATAATATTAAATTTACTTGCAAATATTAAGCAGGTAACGTGCATAACAAGGTAGTCTTGCTTACCACTGCAACACGCACCATGTTTTCACCCGGTTCATCTAAGTCATACGGCTGATAGCCGTGTTTAAAGGCTAAAACGGACGGGCTGGCAGCCGTGTAACGTACGTCCGTTTGTCCGGTCGCCCCAGACTTCATGATGCGCTCAAATTCTGCAGCGCGCATTTACAAGGCCTGGGACTAGGCTGCAAAATCCGGGGCACTTTCCCTAGCTACAGTGAACTAGCTATCAATATTAAATTGATCTGTAATTGTGCGCTGTTGTGTCCGGCATTTCTCCCTTGTCTGGCCTCTGTTGTCTGGCTTGCTGTAAGGAATTTTTCACTGATATCCAGGTGAAATATCTGGAGGGAATTTTGTTACAGAAAAAGTTCTCGTTTTTCGAAATATTTGCATCTAATAATCGATAATAATTCAAATGTATTGCGCCACAACACACGAAATATGCGGGCTTTTCCCCGAGATACTGAGACTGTTCACATGATACGCGTGCTATAAAGATGTACCTAGGAACCGGGTGGAAAACCCCTCCTCCCCCCCCCCTGAAAATATAGATATAGAGAATAAATATTACCACACTAGCTAGTAGTGTCCTTAAAGTTTTGGCAATCAATCCATCCCTAAAGGCCTTTATTAACCAAACGACCCCTGGAAGCTGGTCCCCCTGGCCCCCAAATCTCTGGATGCCTCCTACGCCCATGTATAGAATAGACCCAGTTTTGCGTGCAGCCTTTTATCACCAGGGGCAAAGGGACAAATTATCAACGAGCTTTACTCACATGGCACATCGTCCGGTGAAAAACTCAGATATCGCATTATTTCGGAAAGATAGAAGTTTGCAGCATATCATATTCACGGCTGGCAGCCGCATAGTACGTCCGCTGTATGTATTGGTGGTTGATGGTGATATTAGAGAGTTTGCAGCATGAACCATATTCACGGCTGGCAGCCGTATAACGTACGTCTGCTGTCTGTATATGGTGGTTGAATAGTGATATTAGAGAGTTTGAAGCTATAATCTATATTCACGGTTGGCAGCCGTTATACGTACGTCTGCTGTATGGTATATGGTGGTTGAATAGTGATATTAGAGAGTTTGAAGCTATAAATCATATTCACGGTTGGCAGCCGTATAACGTACGTCCGCTGTATGATATATGGTGGTTGATTGGTGATATTAGAGAGTTTGAAGCTATAAATCATATTCACGGCTGGCAGCCGTATAACGTACGTCTGCTGTATGGTATATGGTGGTTGAATAGTGATATTAGAGAGTTTGAAGCTATAAATCATATTCACGGTTGGCAGCCGTATAACGTACGTCCGCTGTATGATATATGGTGGTTGATTGGTGATATTAGAGAGTTTGCAGCATGAAACCATATTCACGGCTGGCAGCCGTATAACGTACGTCTGCTGTATAGTATATGGTGGTTGATTGGTGATATTAGAGAGTTTGCAGCATAAAATCATATTCACGGCTACCAGCCGTATAACGTACGTCCGCTGTATGATATATGGTGGTTGATTGGTGATATTAGAGAGTTTGCAGCATGAAACCATATTCACGGCTGGCAGCCGTATAACGTACGTCTGCTGTATAGTATATGCTGGTTGATTGGTGATATTAGAGAGTTTGCAGCATAAATCATATTCACGGCTACAGCCGTATACGTACGTCCGCTGTATGATTATGGTGGTTGATTGGTGATTTAGAGTTTGCAGCATGAAATCATATTCACGGCTGGCAGCCGTATAACGTACGTCTGCTGTATAGTATATGGTGTATGAATGGTGATATTAGAGAGTTTGCAGCATGAAACCATATTCACGGCTGGCAGCCGTATAAAGTACGTCCGCTGTATGGTATATGGTGGTTGAATGGTGATATTAGAGAGTTTGCAGCATGAAACCATATTCACGGCTGGCAGCCGTGTAACGTACGTCTGCTGTATGATATATGGTGGTTGAATGGTGATATTAGAGAGTTTGCACCATGAAATCATATTCACGGCTGGCAGCCATATAACGTACGTCCGCTGTATGATATATGGTGGTTGATTGGTGATATTAGAGAGTTTGCAGCATAAACCATATTCACGGCTGGCAGCCGTATAACGTACGTCCGCTGTATGATATATGGTGGTTGATTGGTGATATTAGAGAGTTTGCAGCATGAAATCATATTCACGGCTGGCAGCCGTATAACGTACGTCTGCTGTATGGTATATGGTGGTTGAATGGTGATATAGAGAGTTTGCGCATGAAATCATATTCCGGCTGGCAGCCATATAACGTACGTCCGCTGCATGGTATATGGTGGTTGAATGGTGATATTAGGTTTGCCATGAAATCATATTCACGGCTGGCAGCCGTATAACGTACGTCCGCTGATGTATATGGTGTATGAATGGTGATTTACAGAGTTTGCAGAATGAATCATATTCACGGCTGGCAGCCGTATAACGTACGTCCGCTGTTAGTATATGGTGTATGAATGGTGATATAAGAGTTTGCAGCATGAACATATTCACGGCTGGCAGCGTTATAACGTACGTTGCTGTATGATATAGGTGGTTGATGGTGATATTAGAGAGTTTGCAGCATGAAATCTATATTCACGGCTGGCAGCCGTATAACGTACGTCCGCTGTATGGTATATGGTGGTTGAATGGTGATATTAGGAGAGTTTGCAGCATGAACCATATTCACGGCTGGCAGCCGTATAACGTACGTCTGCTGTATGATATATGGTGGTTGATTGTGATATTAGAGAGTTTGCAGCATGAAACATTCACGGCTGGCGCCGTTACACGTACGTCCGCTGTATGGTATATGGTGCGATGAATGGTGTATTAGAGGTTTGCGCATGTCTATTCACGGCTGGCAGCCGTATAACGTACGTCCGCTGTATGGTATATGTGGTTGAATGGTGATATTAGGAGTTTGCAGCATGAACCATATTCACGGCTGGGCCGTATAACGTACGTCTGCTGTATGATATATGGTGTTGAATTGTGATATAGTAGAGTAGGGTTTGCAGAATGAAAACAAATTCACGGCTAGGCAGCCGTATAACGTACGTCCGCTGTATGGTATATGGTGCATGAATGGTGATATTAGAGAGTTTGCAGCATGAAATCATATTCACGGCTGGCAGCCGTATAACGTACGTCCGCTGTATGGTATATAGTGGTTGAATGGTGATATTAGAGAGTTTGCAGCATGAAACCATATTCACGGCTGGCAGCCGTATAACGTACGTCTGCTGTATGATATATGGTGGTTGAATTGTGATATTAGAGAGTTTGCAGCATGAAAACAAATTCACGGCTGGCAGCCGTATAACGTACGTCCGCTGTATGGTATATGGTGCATGAATGGTGATATTAGAGAGTTTGCAGCATGAAATCATATTCACGGCTGGCAGCCGTATAACGTACGTCCGCTGTATGGTATATGGTGCATGAATGGTGATATTAGAGAGTTTGCACCATGAAATCATATTCACGGCTGGCAGCCGTATAACGTAAGTCCGCTGTATAGTATATGGTGTATGAATGGTGATATTAGAGAGTTTGCGGAATGAAATCATATTCACGGCTGGCAGCCGTATAACGTACGTCCGCTGTATAGTATATGGTGTATGAATGGTGATATTAGAGAGTTTGCAGCATGAAATCATATTCACGGCTGGCAGCCGTATAACGTACGTCTGCTGTATATGTATGAATGGTGATATTAGAGAGTTTGCAGCATGAAATCATATTCACGGCTGGCAGCCGTATAACGTACGTCTGCTGTATGATATATGGTGGTTGAATGGTGATATTAGAGTGTTTGAAGCTATAAATCATATTCACGGCTGGCAGCCGTATAATGTACGTCCGCTGTATGATATATGGTGGTTGATTGGTGATATTAGAGAGTTTGCAGCATAAACCATATTCACGGCTGGCAGCCGTATAACGTACGTCTGCTGTATGGTAATATATGGTGTCTCATTTTATTTAAACCAAAGGTGATGGTGGTAAACACTCATGGTGTGGATGTAGAAAATTTCACAATTCATACACCATATACCATACAGCGGACGTACGTTATACGGCTGCCAGCCGTGAATATGGTTTCATGGTGCGAATGCTCTAATATCACCATTCATAGACCATATACCATACAGCGGACGTATGTTATACGGCTGGCAGCCGTGAATATGGTTTCATGGTGGAAACTCTCTAATATCACCATTCATACACCATATACCATACAGCAGACGTACGTTATACGGCTGCCAGCCGTGAATATGATTTCATGCTGCAAACTCTCTAATATCACCATTCATACACCATATACCATACAGCGGACGTACGTTATACGGCTGGCAGCCGTGAATATGATTTCATGCTGCAAACTCTCTAATATCACCATTCAACCACCATATACCATACAGCAGACGTACGTTATACGGCTGCCAGCCGTGAATATGATTTCATTCTGCAAACTCTCTAATATCACCATTCATACACCATATACCATACAGCGGACGTACGTTATACGGCTGCCAGCCGTGAATTTGTTTTCATGCTGCAAACTCTCTAATATCACCATTCAACCACCATATACCATACAGCAGACGTACGTTATACGGCTGCCAGCCGTGAATATGATTTCATGCTGCAAACTCTCTAATATCACCATGCAACCACCATATACCATACAGCAGACGTACGTTATACGGCTGCCAGCCGTGAATATGATTTCATGCTGCAAACTCTCTAATATCACCATTCAACCACCATATACCATACAGCAGACGTACGTTATACGGCTGCCAGCCGTGAATATGATTTCATGCTGCAAACTGTCTAATATCACCATTCAACCACCATATACCATACAGCAGACGTACGTTATACGGCTGCCAGCCGTGAATATGATTTCATGCTGCAAACTCTCTAATATCACCATTCATGCACCATATACCATACAGCAGACGTACGTTATACGGCTGCCAGCCGTGAATATGATTTCATGGTGCAAACTCTCTAATATCACCATACAACCACCATATACCATCCAGCAGACGTACGTTATACGGCTGCCAGCCGTGAATATGATTTCATGGTGCAAACTCTCTAATATCACCATTCAACTACCATATACCATACAGCAGACGTATGTTATACGGCTGCCAGCCGTGAATATGATTTCATGCTGCAAACTCACTAATATCACCATTCAACTACCATATACCATACAGCGGACGTACGTTATACGGCTGCCAGCCGTGAATATGATTTCATGGTGCAAACTCTCTAATATCACCATTCAACTACCATATACCATACAGCGGACGTACGTTATATGGCTGCCAGCCGTGAATATGATTTCATGCTGCAAACTCTCTAATATCACCATTCAACAACCATATACCATACAGCGGACGTACGTTATATGGCTGCCAGCCGTGAATATGATTTCATGCTGCAAACTATGTAATATCAGCATTCATACACCATGTACCATACAGCATAGGTATATGTTATAGAGCTACATGCAGTGTTTTAAATGTTTATATAATATTAATGGTGTTTTGTTATGGTTGCATTAAAGGCTTTTTCAAGAACAATATCGACAACAATATACCACCAATACACACCCAATGGTTTATTTATTACATATATTTTGCATAACAGAAAGGATAGGATTAAAGAAATATGACATTATTTGAAAATTTCTCTTTGCTTGTATCTTCAAACTGCAATAGGTGAACAATCTGAGGAAGATTGCACAGTCCACACTACAATTACTAAGAATGCCTGTGGATAAAAATAAAATCATTAAAATACTTCTCAACATTTATTGACACATATATGTCAATAACATATATATACATGCAAGTACCATAGCTTTTATTTTACATATGCATGGTTCTTGCATGACGAAGTATGCTACAAGTATCTCTACTTCCATGATCAGTTCTATAGTGAACATTTCTGTTCTCATATCATCCTAAGCCTTTTTGTTTTCTCTGGGCTTTTTGATAAGGAGTTGTGCTATCAACTTCACTGTTCCTCTCGTCTAATCCTTCATCCTCTATTTCAGAAAATATAATTTGCTCATGTATCTCATCATCATTACTTTCTTGTAAAAACCTTGTAGGCTGAGCAACCTTCTCCATTTCTGTGAGACCATCATGATGATGAATGACTACAGGAACAGAAGGCTTGAATTACACATATCAGCAAATATCACTTAGATGGTACATATTTGATATAATTTGACCTACAGTTTCTGCAGTCCTTACCTATAAATCATTGCAAAGTTGCATAATTCATATAAACCATTGATATAAAGAAACCAAAATAAATATGTACCCCATACTAGTTATATCATCAAGCCAGATGCCTAACAAAATTGCCTTACTTTGAAAAATTAAAGAAAAATACCACAATAAAACTGTTAAAAACTGTTATAAGAGTAAACTCTTTCCAATTGACTGACTCATAGCCCAAAGAAACATTATTAGAATCTTGTAATTGTAAAAGATGGCGTCGTTTATTCCAGAATTAAATTCATAACAAATAAAAATATTCGCATTTTCCAGCAGAATCTCATGTACTTCTAAAGTTCAGTATCTTACCACTTCATTCTTTAAAATTATAAACGTAATTTTTCGTTTAACTTCAGATTTAGGTAAAGAATTTCTGTAGAAACTATAATTGGCAGAACTCAGCGTACAAACGGACGTACGTTACACGGCTGACAGCCCGTCCGTTTGGGGTGTTTTTTACCGGCTAATAGCCGTATGGAAACAGACGAAACGGGTGATGTTTTCTCATGTTTTCTCATGTTTTCTCAACTCATGTTGACACTTGACATCGAGAAACTTCATGTAAGGGTACCACGACACGGGCGTTGGAAGAGATCGGTGAACGGTGTGAGGGCAGTGAGGCAACAGAATAGGAAAAGACCAGCAAAAGACCACAACGCGTAAAGGCGAGCGCGAGTTTTTCCAATCTAAAGGAGCTGTTACAGTAAAACTATATACAGTGGCGGCGCAAGAGGGGGGCAGTTTTGTCTGCCTCCAGATATTTTCATGTTTCGCAAGTAGTTTATATAGTTTTATGCGATATTCGATCGACCCAATTCCCCCCCCCATTCATATTTTAACCTGGCTCCGCCACTGACTATATATTCGACATTGATTTCCGTTTTTCATATTTTGTTTTGTTCTTGGAATATTTTCGACTGCAATAAGTGAGCTGTCCGTCATCTTGTTTGATAATTGGATCTGATAAAATGACTTCGCAACGAGGAAAAAATTTGAGCACCTCATCATAATATATTTTCATACCAATGAAATGTTCTACGTAGCCTGTGGCTATGCGGAAATTTAAGACAATTTCGAAACGAAATAGAATTTAGCATCCTTACAAGACATGGAAAACGCTATAATACTATAAAAAAATGTACCTAGCTGGTTGTGACGCCCAAGCATATTCTGACAAGATGACGGTATATTGCCATGATTATTGCTGAGCCCTGATTATTGGATTTATTGCTAAAAAGAAATGGAATGTCTTATCAATAAATATCGATAAGGCGAACATGTTTAAGCCAGTCACGTGCTTATACTTTTCCATCAATATTAATTATTATAGACTTTACAGTCCGAAAAATCAACTAATCAAGGACAATCTGTTGATTCTGTTCGGCCTAGTTTCTTTCGGATTTGAATCTCCCTAGGCATGCAACATGGTCACCATGCGCTGGAATAAATCATTGTAAAACTGTCTTTTTAATTAAGCAACACTCGAGATGCCGACACAAGTCAGCAACCCGCCCTGTTTTACCACCAACTTTTTTACATTGTGTTAAATAATTCATTATACTTGTGTATAACCTAGCCTCAAGATAGCGCTCTTACATAACATTTTCAGCAAAACATTTTCGACAAGCTACAATTTAAAGTCCAAAAAAGGAAATATTCAATACGTCTGTGACTCTGTGTACAGTACACAAACGTGTTGAATATTTCCTTTTTTGGTCCAGTGTACATCCCGTTGAGGTAAAGTCAGTTAATCATGGTATTCATATAAAAAATGATGATGACATACTCTGGAAAGAAAATCTCTGAGAATTATATACACGTATATATCAAACTATTATAGTATATATCAGATAAGCCTTTTTTACTGCATCCCGCATTCCCGCCTGTATTTTTATCAAAATGTGCACAAAATTTTACGACAATAAGAATTTCATTCGAACATATCCAGTCGTATATAGTTCGGAGGTATAAAGCAGTGTATATAGTTGGTATGGCTATTCAACGTGCTATGGAGCATTTCACAGGTTCAAAAACGGGGCCGTCCCGGCTTTGCGTGCATGCGTTCTCACATGCAGTTCACGTCCATGCTGAGATGCGTATGCGCACGGACAACGATGCAGCCAAGTATGATAAGTAGGAGACATAAATAGGAGATAAACATTGACAAAGGGGGTCAAAAGGTAACTCTCACTGCAAACTATTCTGCTGGTTTATCTGAACCGCTATATTTCTGTCTCGCGTATTCATCATGTCGCACGGATTTCAACCGTTTCATCCAACGAACCGAAGTCGAGTCGCAGTGGTAAAAACAAATTTTTCACTCTTTGTACATTTCTGTGTCGTTAAAGGAGGCAAAAAGCATTTAGCGCATGGTTTATAGCAATTAGTGTAAATGATGATTGGTCTTGACTGTATGTCGTTGCGTTCAATGTAAAGGTGTTATATCTTTTTAGGTAACCGGAGGAAACAAAGGTGTTGGGTATTCTGTCGTCAAAAAGCTGCTGAAGAAATTTCGTGGCGTTGTCTATTTGACAGGTTAGTAGAGTTTAAGAAATTGTTAATTGATTTCTATGTGTAAATTGCTCACGTCAACAATATGGTAATTTCATGAAATACATACTAGGCCATCTGCCATAATACTGGAGCTTAGCTCACATTTGGTGTGCAGTTTGGAAACCTGTGTTTGAAACGGTATCTCGTTTGATACAACCAAAGCTGTCGTCTTTTAACACAGCGCGCACAATGCTAAACTTTGAATTTATTTGGTAAATTTCCGATGACAGATAGCTATGCAAAACGCTTTGTAATTCGTGAGTCATATTAAAACAAAGTTAAAAATGTATTTAGAAACTTTTGTGAGTTGGAGTTGAATAGTTAGATATCGTTGTTGTTTTTGCTCGATCAGTGTTTTGGGTGAACATGCAGACGCTTGTAATTATATGGAGCTCACAGCAGAGATAGTTCCAGTGTCGTTGCAGGGTGTCTTTCAGTTGAATCACTTGAATGAGAACAAACTGTGTTGCGTACGCTATCTACGCTGCATGTTTAATGTTAACACAACCCAAGTTGTAACATAGCAATGTAAAATACGGCTTGGTTCCAATAACCGCAACAGAATATTCACAGTTTCTTTATATTGGAGTGTTAGCATTTCTTGAAACTACAATTATATCTATCTGAATAACGATAGTGTAATGCAGAGACAATAGTGAATAGGTAAAGGGGTGACTCGAGGCGTGTCGGTTTAGATATTTATTCCTTTCACATACTACCAATGGTGTCTTTGTATGTCCGTATGAGAAACATGTTACCATCTTTACACATTTCGTCTTGGCTTACACGTAACACGAGACGTTTAAGAATTTCATAATAGTCGTATTCGTGAAACACACGCAGCAATCTAACCGCCATTCAGGGTTTGCAACATTCCGATGATACCATGCAGTTTCTGAATATTATCGCTCAACTGCATGTAGAATAGAGACAAGTAATTGTCATCTTCAGCAAAGACAACGACATTTCATCCTCCCCCGACCTGAAATTGTAAAATTTAACACATAAGAGTACGTTTTGACTGTTTATGTTAAGAAAATATGTATAAAGCTTTCAACTCGTGTAAATAACATTGTCATTACAATTTTGCCGCCACTACTCAAATAAAACTCAATTGTTTATATTTGTAATAATCTCACTGTTCATCAAAACAAACCATGTTGGTCAGATGACATCGTGCTGTTTCTTAACCTATCAATAGGACTTGCTTAAATCACCTCTATCCTACTGTTTTTAACCACATACACATCTTTCTGCCTGTTAATGAAAAAAAAATCAAATTTTTTTTTATGGAAAAGAAGTTGAATTAAGCAGATTTCCATCAATGAAGCTCGCAGGGCTTTTGTTTGATAACACAGCTAATTAGATCCTTTTGTATGTGTGTGTTTTATATATTAATCACTCGTTGAGTTTTATATTCCGCTTAGATAATTAAACATACAACTTAAGAATACAACCTGTAAGCGATATTTCAATTGTTCTGAATTTTTTTTACCGCACACTCGTAGAGTGTGGATCTCGTTTACCCACGCATTACGTTTTGATTATCCCGGGTCAAAAGGCAAAAACTAGAAATGTCATACTGTCCCAGTTCTGCTGTTGCTGGTTTAAAGCTCAGTTTGCTTACTTCCATATTAGCCTCCGTCTAAATTCTCAACAGAAATAAGACTGTAGAGTCCCATGCATCTTTTGGTTGAAATAGGCCCAATTACTTCCAACGTGATTTCCGAGCCGGATAAAAATCTCATCCTGATTGGATTTTTTTTTTGACCATATATACGCATACTTATAAAAAGACAAAATTCACTGTCTCTCGAAAATAAACCCGGAGGAATTCAGTTGTGTCCAGTTTGATAGTGCGTATTTGCACTCCTTGGTACACAAATTACGTATAGCTCACGCATGCGCGTCACGTGACCTTTGACCGCGAAATCACATTTAGTTTGCAAGCGTTGCAATCGGAAACAGGACAAAGATATATGCCTTTGTCTTTGACTCTTTGTTTCAAATGCAAAAGTGATGAGACTTTGTGTATTTTCTCTTGTCCTTTAAGTTTTTTCCTCGGTTCCTCCTACTTCAAACTTGGTGCGAAAAAGATTTAGAAACACAAAATATGTCTTGCACAAAAGATTTGAAGCTTGCACACGGCAAAAACGAGTTTAAGCCTCAAAATGGCAATTTCACAGCTGTCATGCAGAAGAATGCAGAATGCGTATTCAAAGAAAATTGAACTTTTTATAGTTATGTTGATATCTCGTTGCTCTTCATCTAGCTCGTCACGAGGATAAAGGTTTGGCTGCATGTGAACATCTCAAGAAAGCAGGACTACACGCACCAAAGTTTTACCAACTGGATATTACTGACAAGGAACAGATTATGGAGTTTCGACAGCACCTTCAGAAAACGTATGGTGGGATTGATGTACTGATTAATTATGCTTCAGTACCTCACAAGGTAAAGTTGAAGATGTCTTCACACAACATGGCGCGCATCGTCAAAATTCCTTTATATGGTATACACTGAGCTATGTTTTCAATTTTTAAAACCTGAAGACGGCCAAGGGAGAAGAGAGTGATGAAGATGACGTTGAACATGAAGAGCACGATGGCGAAGCACAAGATCGCGGAGGTGCGGAAAACGTTGAGAAGAAACCTGAAGGTTCTGAAGAAAAACAAAATAATGAAAAGAAAGAAGTTGGAATTAAGATAGAAGTTAAAGTAGGAGTTGAAGAAAAGAAAGTACTAAGTCCAGAAGAAAAGATAGCGGAGGAACGTCGTCTTTTGGCTGAAAGTTATCGCAAACATAAAATTGAGAGCCATCCGTCAGAAGAGTTCTGGGTACCGGTAAGAAATTATTTGATGTTTTACCGAAAGTCAGAGCATATAGATTAATTTTATTGACTCTGTCGAGTTGTTTTTGTAGTAAATTAGCTCAAGAATCATTGGCGTGGTTTCCAGCTAAAAGGACAATGTTTAAAACTTTATCTTTCCTTAGTGCATGATAGCAACATAATTTCCAAAAAGTTTATGACATCGTTTTTCTAGAAAGTTGAGGTAGATCCTCGTGTCGAACTTGCTGAAACAACTCTGAAGACGAACGTTATTGGAACTTTAAATGTTATCCATTGTCTTCTACCGTTGTTTCGACAACACGGAAGGTATGACGTCGATCCAAATACTTTACGACTGTCATGTTACACGCTGTCAGGTATATAAAGACTTTTATCGGAGATTCAGTGTCCTCTTCTGGCCAATACAACGCGATCTTACGCAAACCCTTGTTCTTAAAAATTGTCTCTCTAGAAAGGGATATTGCCTCCTTCCCCTCCCCACGCCGTTGCTCCGACTGGCCCCTATCAGTAAATCAAAAGTTTTTTAATCTTATTGCATTTAGGATAATAAATATCTCGTCCAGTCTTGGAGTTTTATCCTCAATATCAAATGATGAACTTAGAGAGAAATTTGCAAACACATATTTAATGGAAAGTGAACTGATGGATATTTTGCAAACCTATATCGTGTAAGCTAGCTAATGACTGCACATGTTTCGGATATCACACGTCGCATTTCGTCGCGTCGAATTAATGCAAGTTAAAATAGATAAGATGATAAACCTAATTAAGCTTAATTATGATCTCATTATCTATTGTTCGAATTGCATTCGACGAGACTAAAATGTGACGTAAAAACTACAGCTTATAGTTCCTATTATGCTGCGCCAAAGACCAATGAGTATTTTTTATGTATACGATTGTATACGTCAGAATGAGATTGCTACAATACCAACAATAAAACACGCATGACTGTAGTTATGTAATTATCTGAAGTTCTTTAAATATGTCATGCAACTGTATTATAGTGACGTGAAGCATGACAAAGTCGAGGAAAAGGGGTGGCCCTCAAACGGTGAGATTTTGACAAAGTTTTGATAAAGTTTGTCTTTTAATCATCATTCCCTCACTGTTGACAACATAGCGCTAAAACTCTGTATTCCTGTTTGCAGTGTGGATACTTTCAAAGTTAGCAATCAATTTGATGACAAGAATTTTGGCCCGAGATCACAAATATGACGAAAGAAAGGACATTCTTATTACTTCGGTACGTACGATGAGAACAGACGACAACTGACTTTTAAAACATTTTTACAAATATATATCTAAATAATCTAATGCAATATTTCAAAGGTTAGTTACAATCTTAAAATGGGGCCTTTCAGAGTCCACTATATCTCGTTAAATATCACACATAAAAATCCTGAATTTTTTAGTGTTGCCCAGACCTCTCGGAGGATTCCACTCCACTCACTGCTGACCAAGGTAAGCGCATTCTATCGTGTACAAAAGCTCGAATTCTTCTGGGTGGATAAAAACAATTGTTATCCTACAATTACAGGTGCAGAGACTCCTTTTTATTTGGCTGTTCTGGCAAAAGGCGAGAAAAATTTGCATGGCAAGATCTTTAAAGACCAGAAAATAATGGAATGGGAATAAAATTATTAACTGATGATTGTGTTGATTTAGGTAGCGTTGCCAGGTAGATTACATCGAGAGATCGAGGCGGGATTATTACTACCATTATTCATTATACTAAACTAGGCGGTGTAAAAATGATTTGTATGAACAAGTGTAATGTTTGACAGCCCTAAGGCAAAATCGTGATATCACTTTCAGCTGTATTATATCTATTATGTATAGCATCTTGAAAATAAAATCCTTTTGTATAGATTATGTTTCCCATCACAAAGACAAAGTAGTTCACTGGTTCGGCTCAAAATTAGAATAAATTGCGGTCGGATATTTGTGATGGACAAAACACATATTGCCAGCTTTGTATCTTTGACAATTACCATGTACAGACGGCAATGGAATTCAGCTTACAGAAATAACAGTTCAGCAGGCGAGGGTAGATTTACGCGACATAAAATTTATGATAAATTAGCGTGTCTCATATGATGACACCTATCAATCATTTTGATAACTGTTATTTAAAAAATACATTTGTTGTGTTCTGATAAACAATTTCAGCAAGTTCAGAAACTTCTTGTTCCTTGATTGCAGCGAGAACTTCTAAAACTTGTCTAAAAAATAAAACAAATAACTGAAATACGATCATTTATCTATGTGCATATGGCTATAAATCTTTGCTATACACTGTACATTAGATTTGCTGGTTCATTTCTGCTCTTCACACAAAATCCCTCTTGCCATTTCTCTTTTTTCTTCGTATCAAACCTCGTCTTGATGTACTTAAATCCGGCGTGTGTAGGTCTGATCTCACACCACGGTGCATCTATCAGTTAAAAATATATTCATTACTTTAATATGCGACAATATAGGCTAGAGATATGAATGATTCTTAAGATAGCGTACTAATTGAAGACTGTTGCAGACACAAGCAGTCGCTAAAGTGGGGGGAAATCTACAGTAGATTCCAAGTTCCAAACACATATAACTTGATGGTAACACAAGAAAATTTGAAGGTCAGTGCATTTTTCCGTAGACACACACGGTTGCCTCGGTACCTCATGTGACCCTGGGGGTCTACGGGGGACACGAAGAACTCTGTCGGAAGTTTGGTATAGATAAACTTATAAGCATAGTGTATTCGTTCACGCCTCCCACAAACGTTAATGGATAATTTTAGCCCTCCCCAAAAAATGGAGCATTAAAAATGGTACGCCACAAAGGAGCTTAAAACGGTCCCAAACTGCTGCATGTACCTGTCTCGATCATGAGATTTTCAACTGGAATTGATTTCGCAACTTCAACATTCTCCTCTGTTTTAAATGAGCTGCAAAAAGTGATGTAAAAAACTATGCAACTTTCCTTGCAACTTATTGCTCCGCCTTTACTCCGGCCAGTTTATTGCATATTTTTGCATAAAGAAACGAGCGCGTTTCCTACCGTTGAGTACGTGGCCCTTCTATACAATATATTGTTCTCATTTTTCTATGGTTTCCTTTCCTTACCCAGTCTGATGAAGGCTATTACCTACCTCGAAACGTTAAGAATTGTTTTGCCTATTTAAGGCAGCTCATTCAACCACATTTTACTATAATATAATACAAGACCTACCATCCGGTTAAACCAATATATAGTCCTTGGTCAATAATAGAGTGTGCCTCTTCTTTATTGCCAGTAAAACAATGAGCCTATTACAAAGTTTAGGACGAATCATAATAAAGTTAGTACTTATACAAACAGTCGTACAGAATACGAATAATATTGTATAACTATAATGTATACATTATAATCACCTAATATGAGTTTCAAAACAGGTTTATGCAAGACTTAAAATGAGGCATGCATTTTTATTGATAGGAAAAAACAAGTGTAACAATCAGTCTAAGGAAACCACTTTCTATTGCAAAGAGAAATAGGAAAGAAATTTTTTGACAAATGAGCTAGCTTGCACGCTTGATTTTAACTTACAACGCCAGAGCTAATCCTATCCCGGTTTCGTTTTATTATGTCTAAAAATAGGGGGAAAGGAATATCAGCGTAACAGTATCTCCATAGATGCAAGTAGCCGTTGACTTGTAGCGACGATATCTGACGGGGAAGTCATCAGAGAGTCGCAATACAAACGGCTGATTGTCCACTTCTCACATCACAAAACGTACAAGCATTTAGTTCATTATAACTTAAGCATTTTGGCCAGAATTCTGATATACTTGCCAGAAAAATCTGTATGAGCGTTACGCATATGAAGAAACATTGGCAACTTCGTTTCTTCTGCCAAGTCAATTTGCTTTTCAAAATACCTGTAAAGTGAAACGTCTGATTTAGGAAACATGGAAATATGCATGTCTGGGAATTTTGTAGAGCTTTTTTCTTACTTTAACTGAGTTTCTTTGGAACAAAAATGCAAGCGATCGTAATCTGAAAACCAAATGTAGCGTGTTTTACTAGTAATTATATTTGTACAAGGGGAACCTGGCAAAACGGTAAGTACACAAGGATAAATAAGGTAATTCATAAAACAAGGAGAAAAATCAGGAAACAAAATTGCATGCTGCATGCATGCTTGGTAAATTCTGGCTGCATGCTTGGTACACTACCCTGGCTACCCTGGTCATTTGGACTTATGAATTATATATCTAATCACGATATTTTGTCATTAGCTTAACTAAATGTATGCAAGTTAGTAAATATCGCACTCTACAATTTTTTTTAGTAAAGTGAATATAATACATCGCATTTTTGTTTAGCACATCAATTTGAACCAAGTAAACAGAAAATTACTTCATTCCAGAGTAAATGTGCATTTTGTGTGTATTACAGACCATACATTACAAGAAACTTTGCAGTTGATAAGTTGGGATTTTTCTGTTAAAAAAACTGGCATTCTGTTTCTATTGTATTTGTAGTGTACATGATATCCATGATTAAAATGACTATATTTTCAACAAACCTAGTCCACACTCGCCAACAGCCACAACTTTTTTATTATGATTTTGAATTATTTCAAGTAGACGATTGAAATAAACATCTGGATCTCCTTCTTTCTCAAACTCATCACATCGAGTGGGATGACAACCAACAGTGCAGTACAAATCATCTGGATAATATTCGAAGACAGGATGTCCATTACAACCAACAGAGACTTCCCTTGCAGGATTGCTTCTCTGATTGCAACAGGGCTGACTACAGTATAGGATGAACAATAGTAACAGTGGGATATAAACATGCATGCAAGGGCGAATTACGATCACAAGGGCCATGTAGGTACAAATTACCATGAAACGACGGAGTCTGTGTCCTGGCTGCTCCCAGTGACTATTAAACCATGGTCACATCAACGAGGGATATGAATTTGTGCGTTTATCTATTGTATGCTGTACTTGCAGAGATTAAGAGAAAACACTGATGAAACCATTGTTTTCTAAATAGAGACTCACTGTTTGTCCAGGATATTGCCCACTTAAGTAGATTTTCTATTGGTCTAATTATTCAACTAATGCTTGTTGAATTGCAACTACAAAAAATATGACTAACAACAATTAAGGCATTCCTGTAGTAAATGCATAAAAAATTACCTCTTGTTTTACTGATTTCAAGACCTTTTTTTATATCATCTAAACAACCACAGGTCACAATCATCTGAAGAAATAGAATATATTGTCATACAAATGTTTTACAAAACACATATGCTCTAAATAGCTGACAACAACTTACATTTACCACATTTTTGCACTGTTGTCCTGTACATATACCTTATTAACACCAATATCAACTGCTCTTTTCAAAACTGATGCTAAATCGTCTAAAAACATGGAGAAGACTTGTATGTACTTGATTATCATTGTGGATTGAGACAATTAATGATTTTGTTGAGTAATGACAAGAACATCTTAGAGACCACAAAGCAGGAATTTAATTTTCAAAGTCACTTCAGTGATTTCAGTTGCTAAAGTAGAGATTTTAAAAGCCTCTATTTAAAAACAATATGCTGGACATTGAGCCATCTCTATTTTACCTTGCTGATTTCCTATGGTGCATTGCACTATTTTGGGCAAAGTAGTTTGGGTGCCTCAAGTTGTTTAGACATGTTTGATTTTTTTGAATTTTAAATCTTATCTGTCGGTGAGCATTAATTTGGCAACCTTTATCATCTTTGATATTATTATTTGCCATGTGAACTCAAAAGTCAAAATACTAGCTTGTATTGTTCTTATACAAAGGCTACTGCAAAAGATACCTGATACCAGCTAGTAACCATGCATATAGCTATAAAATTTTACAAATTTAATTATCATTTTAGACTCTAACCAGGATGATGTTGCTTGCCATGATAAATTCCTCTAAACATTAAATCTTAAAAAAAGACATGGTGACACATTTAACTGACCATGAAAACAATCGATTTAAAAAATACGACATATTATTGTGTAGTAATTATGATATAAATAGTTTCTTACCATTTAAATTAGCCCCAATATCTATAAAAAGAAAAATTTTTACTATTGTCTGATAATTGCAAAATATTTCTAAAAAAATGTCTTTGCCCCAAATATTATGAGATCTAGCTATTGTAATATTTACCAATCATCTTCAAACCAGCAGCTAAAAATTTCTCACTATGACTAGCAGCCATCTTGATTTAACAGGGCACATTCACTGCCACATTGTACTTTGCATGCAGCCAGTAATATACTTAAATCATTAACTGTGGTTTCTATGAATTCTATCCAATGATAGAAGTCAGTTCAGACTATGATTCTATTCAATCTAAATCTATTGTTTCTATTCTTAGGGCGCGCATCACGCGGGGATATCACGCGAGAGTCTCGCGAGGAATCATCCCGAATAGCAATCAATGAAAAAAATCACTTTATATATTTTTTCAAGTGTGACAGTTTGATGTGAGTGTCGGTCCAATATTTAATATTGCAATAATATGTAGCTTTTTTAATACATCATATATCATTTGATATTGCTTGATTACACTGGATAATTTTCTGGACGCGTTTCTGTCAACGAAAAGTCAACAGGAAATGGCAAAGTTATGTGTGGCAGCAGGATTCCACTTAAAAATATATCGTTTGTGTATTTTGCTTAATATATTGTTTGGAATAACACTTTGCAATCAGATGGAAATAAAAGGCAAGGGATCTATTTGATGATCGGAGCATTTATGTCGTATGTGAATATTCCTAGGAAAAATATATCGGTGATAATCGGTGATTGACTATACTTTAAATAACAATTTATGCAAAGTATTTTTTACATATTTACTGTCACATTAAAATGAAGTAATATCCGCAATCCTCACCAAATCAATGCATTTATGAAGGCTGTGTAATCTCTCAAATATTTGATTAAATCTGGACCATTTTTAAAATTTTTTCTTTTTGCCTTTCACTTCTTAGAAATCTCAGAACTTATTGAAGATTTTCAAGAAGTTCCAAAGGCATATTTAACAGAAAAACATGAAATTGTCCGGCGTGATGTAGTTCAACCTAATATATCCACTATTAGTCCTTCACAACCAACACAAAGAATCACCCCTTTGTCTCAAAAGCAATCTACATTGCAGCCAAAACTTGCTTCAACCAGTTTAAGTTCTCCCATGGTTAAACCTAATAAGACAGTTACCTCTGTATCCAAGACTGTATCATTAGCTACTGCAAAAATCCCATCTAGTCATGTAACAACAGAGAAACCATACAATTCAACAACACAATCTCAAACAACAAATACAGAGAACCAGCCAAAAACACCAACAAAGAAACCCTCAACAACTACATTACCAACAAAAATTGAAAAAGTGAGTACACATTAACATAACTATATTTTGGTAAATATTCATAAGAATTTATATTTTATCATGTGAGTGAAAATTTAAACAATTGAGTAGAAGACATATCTCGCTGTTGTTGGAATCAGACCCACAACCAGTAGCGTAGCCAGCCTGACGATTTGTCCCGCTGTGCTAATATTTTGGTGTTCACTGACTGTAAAAACAATAGATTTCTAAAGACATAAATACTTACAAAAACTCTAAATTTACATAGCGGCACAAAATCTTCAGGCTGGCTACGCCATTGCCCACAACCTTGGTTTTCCAGGTACAATACTGTACATCCCTGTCAATTTAGCAGCAAGAGGAGTTCCTATAGAGTCTAGTTCCTTCACTAACAATTTAGAGTGATGAATTAAAATGAATTATAGATATTTTCTCAAATTGTCTTGTTGGCTTCATCAGCCCTTAAACTTAATTAAAAGATTTAATCCTTTCCTACTGTAGGATGACCACAAGTATTACCGTTCACAACACTATAGTAATGGAAAAAAGTGGTGGTTTGATTTAGATGGTCATAGTAACAAGACTATATTGCATAAGGAGCTTTCTGAAAACATCAAGTTCTCATTTGTAAGTCAATTGATTTGAGAAGATACATCTGTTTTAGTTGCAATTTGTTTGCAGTAAGCTCTAAAAATTCTTATAGGAAGAAAGATAAAAGATTGGTGTTCTTAGGAATATAAAGTGTTAGGAAATTGTTATATACATGACTATATGCATATAGGCAGTTTATTTATAGTGGCTTTGGTAGTTTAGAAACTGTTTTTCTATTATTTCTTCAACAAATATTAGGTGTTACGAATATCATTCGATTTCCCATATTATGGACATCTGATTAGAAATGTTACCATCACAAATAAAGGTATAAAAATTATACTTTAGCTTCCAGATGATGTGCTTTCTATGCTGAATTAATGCTAAAATATATAATTTCAACAATTTATCATTTTGTTTGAAGGTTATTTGTTTCTTGGAGAGAGACTACATGTATTTAATGCATCGGCACAATATGCTGCTCCGTTAATGGCGGACTTCGGTGCTGACTTACATAATAAGACTTCTATTCGCTACATTGACACAGGTATATAATGTATTCCAAGTTAGTGCACAGTTAGGCAAATTTCTTAACTTTTGACTTGTGCTTGAATTATATAGGAGATCGATTCACAGTGGAGTGGGCAAACATGCAATTGAAAAACCAATTTCCAGGTCAAATATAAAACAAATATTGCATGTAATGATTATTGTTTTTGGTAATGATTTTGTGAACTTGTCATTCTCAGCTATTTTTTATCTTTAGGCAAAGAATTTTCATTCCAATGCTCTATCTTAAAGAATGGCAGTTTAATATTTGCTTATAAAGAGGTGAGTTGCATTATTCTTCAAATGTGAAGAAGTTCTCTGAAATTTAGGAAGTCAAATATGTTGTGAAACTCTACCACTAATAGGATTGAAGTTGTAGTGTTGTGGCAAGTTAATGAAGGAATTAATTTTTTAATAATTTAGATTCCTGTACAAGTAAAGAGCATAAGCACAAGTGGTTTCTTTGTACGTGTTGGTCTTTCAGATACATATCGAATTGAGAAGATTGGATACAATGTTCGGTACAATAATAAGATATGTAAGTGTACAAGATCATCTCATTAAACATAAAGTTGTTTCTAATACAAAAGTGTAATTTTGTTGTCTCTGCACAACTGTACACCTTTGTGTTAAAGTTTGGTAGGTACGTCCCACTTCCTTTATCAGACTGCACCTGCAGGGAATAATTATGCTGAATTATAGCAATCACATCAAACAATATACTGTCATATGCATTCTTCAAAACAATTTAGTGCTAAATTCTATATTTCTAGATAGAAAAGTACGGTTCATCATCTATTATCTGTATCATAAAGTTCAACTGGAAAAAAATAAGGTTTTAAGTGGTTCTGCATTTGTTCTCACACCAGTACCAAGTAAGTGAAATAATATTATTCCCTGTTTTTGGTGTGCATTTTGAAATGAGTATTGCAGTAGGTGGAAATTTATGAAAAAGCTTTTTAAATCTCAGGCAGATACAGTAGTTTTCGCATCTCTTGCTTGGAGCTTAGTAAAAATCCCAGAAAGGTCTTCGTGTCTGTTCTGTTTTATTTCATGCAAACGCACCTTATCTTCAATAAGTGGTGACTGTGATTGTTAAAAAATAATCGAACGTAAGAAATTGAGCGGATAGCTTATTGAAATTTCTTACAGCTGCAATTTGTATTCAGGTAACAACCTGCAATATATCACTCGCAGTTTCACTGATACATTACACCTTTTCAATGTATAACCGGAATAAAACTGAATGTAGCTTATTAAGGAAAAGACTAACTCTCTGTCATTTTCACAATTGAATTAATACAATGTTATAGCATGAATTATCTCTCTGCTAGACTGTGTAATGTTCAACTCGTGTGACGATTGTGTCAATACTCGGACAGCGTTTAAATGCAAATGGTGTCCCAAGATTAAGAGGTGAGAATGCAGGGAATTGTCGCATTTGATTTGATGCGATCGAATGGGGTCCAAAGCAGACTTGAGTATTGGGTTTTTTAATAGGTTCAATTTATATGGTTTTTTGTCCATTGGCCAGAAATAAATTGTATTATTTCCACGATATTTCATAGTAAGCCAAAAAAATTATTGATCACAGTGACACAGACAATAGATTAAAATTGAGAAACAATACGGATTAATCTAAAGCAAGCCTAATCGTTTAAAAACGTTCTCTAATATAGATGCTCAGATGGTATTGATAGACACCGCCAGAGTTGGTTAAACGCTGGTTGTACGAAAGACAGTGTGGAATCAGTACGTTTCAACATAGCGATAATGGTACATTCAGTTCACACATTTACGATGAGATGACTTATTCATATTGGATACCTTTTTTATATATAGTGCTCTAGTGACGACAGTTCTAAACTTAGCGGAGGAGAAATTGCCGTTATTGTCATTCTTCCGCTTCTTGTGATGGTCATTGTTGCTTGGTTTGTGTACGCTTACTTTCACCCTCAAACTAAATCAGGACTTTGTTTGATCGAGGTAAGATCTCAGTAGGAATGCTCTCTTGTTTCACTTACCCCTCTCTTATAATTTAACGCAATGGTTCGCCTGCAAGTTCTGTCAGTGTCAGTAATCGTGCTACTGGCCATTGACTTCTTCTAATGTTGGGAATTGGTAGCAGTACGGTACCCGCATGTTTGATTACGTTTAAACCTTACGAGTTAATGCATATTTTTCACAATCACAGTATGGCAACCCAACAAAGTGGTGTCGCAATTCAAGTGGCGAGACGCGAAGCACGTCAACAGATGGTCGAATCAGTTTTAAAACTATGCCTTTTGAAAGCAATTCTTAAATATCTTGATGATTTCGTTGGATTTTAGTTGTACAGAAATGACGTTATATTTTTAGTCTTACATGCAGTTGTTTTTAGTCTTTGTAATAAGTTCGAAACAAGATGGCGGTTATAGTTAGATAACTAACCATTATACCGTCCTCCACTTACCAAATCTACGGCCATTTCTTCGCTAATCTCTAATAGGAAGTTTTGAATATACATTATATGAATATAGTTTTTAATACACATATGCCATACTTAGCATTGCAAATAATTAATTGAATAAAATTTAAAAACTTTAATGCCACATATGTGTACCTGTAAGCATGTTCATTATGGAAAAAAACTAAGAAGGTTCATTGTCAGGGACCAGTTGTTCCCTTCAAAGCTAGGTTAGCGCTAACCCTGGCTTAAATTTTAATCCAGTGTTTTAGTTTATGTATTTCTGAACCACTGACACTGTTCGTTTTGAAACTTTAGAAAGCTTTCTTTCGGTCCAGAAAAGACTTCTTTCGGTCCAGAAAATATTATGAAAAAAGATATTCATGCGACTGCATAAAAAAATCGTGTAAAGATTTGCTTTAACCCAGGCTTAAGCTAACCGGTTTTTAAACAACCGGCTCCAGGTGTTCTCCTTTAACTGAATGTGCTCGTTCAGATGCGAGAATTTCGGAAAACGCAAAAAGACTCGCGCCAAATCAGTCCATGGGGTTAGTAAAGGGAATGAATAAATTGACCTAAGACGGCCTTCAGTTGTTGTTGGAATGATTGCATGTGAAATAGTTGTTTGTAATATTTATATAGATTTTTATTTTTTTATACTTAGTAATTAATATCTTTTCTTTCTCATCCATCATATATATTCCCATTTAACTGGCACCAATTAAAAAAATTCCGCATACATAATGTATGCTAATACCAATATGGCTGCCGAAAGTTATCGGGATATTCAGAAATCCTTTATTAGTAATTTAAATGGAACTACAGCGTTAGAGATATCTGTTGTGACTTCGGTTGCTCCTTTTTCAGTAATACTAAGATCTTTAATATGGCAATTACTCGCTGGGAATCGTCAAAAACTTGAAGGAATTTTTTCCATAAGGTGATTCATAATTTACAATATAATATAGTCATAGACCGTAATAGATGTACTATTTATAACGCAAATTGTTACAATTTAATATTTCTTAGAATAATCTTACTGCTTCCTTTAAACCTGTTTTAGGGGATGGTTTTATTACAGTAAAGTAGAAAAAAATAAGGATAATTCTGCCCTCAAAATGTGCTCAATTTAAATTTTGTTTGAATTCCTCAGGTATATAAAAACCAGTGGGTACATGCGCCCTTCTTGCCCATGGCCTGCACAGCCCTATAGTGTTTACAGTGTGCAATATACAGGATTATTATGGTCAACAGTTAGAAATACTAGGAACTCTCTATATTCCTAAAACCCCTCAGGGATTGCTGTCAGTTGACAGCTGTTTATTACCTTTGACTTCCAATGGAGTGAGATAGATACATCCTAGATCTCATTAACGTCTGATACGTGGTTCAATATAGAGGGTGTGTTTTCTGTAACTTACTGCAATAGACTGCTTCATGGTGTGAGACTATTTAAATTTTTGTATTCAGATATGTTGTGACTGTTAATATGTATACAATTCAAATTCTTTTAGAACAAATTCTTTTTGAACAAACTCTTTTGGGGAAGTTGGGTATTAACATATTATTAAAATGCTCTACAAAATCACATGTACGCAGCTCAGATTCAATCGAGGAACAGTTGAGAAAAATGTGTTGAGGAAAACTGTCCATCCCCTGATAGGAAATTAGGAATCGAACCTACTAAGATGCCTTTTACATTTTTTTATTTTAAATTTTGGAGACCTGAATTAATATACCAAATCAATCAGATTAATAAGAATTTGCTACTAATGGTTGCTTCATAAAGGGCAGCAAATTAAGTTGTCTTGATTAGAAGATCTGGTACATTGTAAATGGAGCCTAAATCGACTTTCCAGACTTCCAGTGGTTCAATTTAGTGTGTGTTTATCACTTACAGTGGCATATTTGTGGTGGAGTTTATCACTTTGATTATACCCATGTTTCTCATCTTCACCTTTCTGGCTAATTACGCATTTATCTTCATCACAATATTGGTATTATTGACGACCACAGGACTTGTCTTTTTTAATTCAAAGCAGAACATGACTGTTCCAGCTCCGATTCTTAATACAAAGAAACGATTTCTCTATAATTTCCGGGCATATGTGAACATTGCAACAGCTATATCAATACTTGCTGTTGATTTTACCATCTATCCTCGACGTTTTGCTAAAACGGAAACCTATGGTACTGGTTTAATGGATGTTGGTGTCGGCTCCTTTATCATCGCGAATTCTGTCGTTTGTCAAGACGCAAGAGGAACTGTCACTACTCTGTCTTTTGTGAAAGCTGTCAAAAAAGAACTTCGTGCAGTATTAGTGTTGCTCGCGCTTGGTCTAGTACGATTTATTGCTGTCAAAACTACAGATTATCAAGAACATGTTAGTGAATATGGTGTGCACTGGAATTTCTTTCTAACACTAGCATGCGTTAGGGTAAGTTCATGCGACATATGGTATTTCAAAACTTTGTTGTATCGTCAGTCTCTGTCTTTTCCTAACTTACGTATATCCTATCTAGTATCTACCTTGAATTCTCTTGGAATGAGGACAGGAAAAAAGTGCATATTTTAAAATTCCATATCTGACAAATTTTATCGTATGTTTCAGGTTTTCTCGACCATAATTCTTAGGACTTTACCAGAAAGTCTTGGGAAATACCCATGGGTTATTGGGCTTCTCATAGGTCTTATTTATCAGAGTTTTTTGGTGAATGGTTTGGAGGAATTTGTTGTCAACGGTAGCAAAGGTGATGGTTCAAGGTCGAATTTTATTGATGCTAACCGTGAAGGAATTGCTTCTTCTTTTGGTTATCTTTCCCTTTATTTTATTGGAATATCAATCGGGAGAATAATTTTTCACAGAAAGTATGCTGTTTACTTAATATTAATTAAGCAGTTCCCCTTGTTTTATGTATCCCAGACGAGTTCCTTTGTCTGTTGTAGTCAATAGTTGTGCCTAGTAGAATCAATGTTTTTCAAATCAGTTTTTGACTGGTGACCTTGCGCGAAACGGCATTTAATTTCATCCTAATTAATTTGATTTAGACAGTATAACAAATTTTCCCCAAGAAAAATGACTTGTGGAAAAAACGGTCAAAGCAAGCTGTTTCTGAACTAGACGACCTCGTACAGCATGTGTTCGTCTTTATTGCTTATAATGTCGACATGTACAATTCACTAAATGTAAAATTTTATCCGTATTTTAGAGACAATTGTTCGAATTCTTTAGTGAATCTTTTGTTATCGTTGATCTGTGTTTCTCTATTGTGTTGGTTTATATTGTGGTATTGGGGAAATAAAACCAACCCTGAACGTATTATATCAAGAAGGCTGGCTAATTTTCCCTTCGTTTTATGGCAGGTGAGTTTGAAGTAGAAGAAGATTGTTGAGTGTTGATTTCAAGGTAGTTAGTTTAATTTGTCTTGTTCTAGGTTGGCTACAATGTTCTATTGATGACCCTCCTCCTTGCGGTTGATGTCGTGGTGGTTGTTTTTGTTCCCACCCAGGCCTTCCTCAGATATTCCGGTGGTTGCTGGTCATGCTCAGTGCCGTCGACCGCACCACAGGAACAGAGTACGGAAAGTTCGCAACCCGTGCAGAACTGGAGAATAGAGAATTTAACTCAGGATTCATCTCATAGAAGACAATCTCACAAAGGAGGGGAAGAATCATCCCAAAACACTGATGTGAATTACGCTTATGAAAAAACAGAATTACCCGTTACAAAAGCTGGAACTGGTAAAAATGTCTCTGGTTGTGCATGTCTTCTCTCTGCCGTTAATTATAATTTATTAGCGTATTTTCTTTTAGCAAATATCCTCACTGGCATTGTGAATTTATCATTAGAGACAATTCATGCATCACCAATCATTGCGCTTGTTATTATGAACATTTATCTACTTACATTGCATGCAGCGATAACGGTGTTTTACAAACATAATATTTTATTAAAACTTTAATCGTTTTCCGGCTTTATCCTTCGAATACTGAAGAAATATTATATGAAACAGGATATTTAAACATACAAAGCACGAGTTGTGCCTGCTGCAGGTTGCGACGAATGTAGGTTACACGCCAACTTAACCATGGGCATGGTCAGTCGGAAATTGTGCGAATAGGTTAGCATATATATAAACAAAACAACTGGCTTCGAGCGCGTTTATTGTAGTGTACCCATAGTACCCCTTTAAGAACCCTTTTCGCATTAAAATTTATCATTCAAAAAAAACACACCAGTCAAAAAAACGTTTTTCTTGAAACTATTTGATCATGTTAAGAATATTGTTTGAACTACAAAATTAGCAGTACCACCACTCTCCAAACTGTTAATGAAAAATAAATGAAATAAAAAATAAAGATATGTAAATTAGTTTGTCCTAGACGCGCATATTACTGGCGTCATTTCTAATGTAAATGTTTTGTATGTAGTTTACTCCGCAGGGCAAAATATTTTTGTTTGTCATTGCTGGTTGGCGATGAATTGACACTTTTATACTGTTTCATTTTTGGAAGGTTCATCAAAGTTTTCCACAAGATCTATAAGATTAACCAAAATATACATGTCAATGAACAGATGAATGGTTATACTTAACCCCTCCTGGATTGTGTATGTCTTAAAAACAATCAGAAGGATTTTCTAATTCTTCCCTATGTACGAAACCCTATTTATGGAACAATGTGCATGTATTAGACATGTCTAGAATAAGTTTTACCTGGTACTTCATCATCAGCATCATCTAGAGCTGAAATATCACTTGAAGGTACTACAAAAATGAAGGCTTAATTAATTAATATGTAATATACTATGTTCATGTTAGGAACAACCAAATTCACTAGCAATTCATAGGCTGTCATAGGCTGTTGATATCACTTACCAACTGGCATTTTAGTTGGAAGATTTGTTAGATCCTGAAACCATAATAGAAAGGAGGAAATTCAATAAATAATTGATAGTAGTACTTTACCAAAAGATGATTTAATATCTTACCAGTTGGTTATATATTCCAGGCAGCAAATCACTCAGAGCTAAAGGAAGATAACCAAATATGAGTATATATGCTTTCTATTAAATAAATTATGCAAGAAACTTACGTTTGGTTTCAGCATGACCTTGTATAGCAAATGTATTAGCTTGAAGCGAGGCTTGCACTATAAAAATATACACTTGTAATGAAATGTGCTCAAATGGAACTTGAAACTATGCACTACACCACCCTGTGGTCACTTGAGATCTTTGTGCACCATACCATGAGATTTTGTCTTTATATATAATTATTTTCTATACCTTTAGGATTTAGAAAATGAATAACATTTCCATCATCTTTTATCATGTTAACCTAAAATTTTATAAAAAATAATGACAATTTTAAAGTGACTTTCAAATTACTAAAATGTTGTCATTCCCTTTTTATTTTTCTGATAGTCTAACTTAAGCACACCATGCTATAGAAGAGAAGATATCTAAATACCTCTTCAATACCAGGGATTGTGTTAACTGCAAGTTTTTTCAATGAATTTTGTAATCTTTTGTCATCTGTAGTTGCCGTTTTATGTACAACCTTCTTTTTTCTACGAGGAGTACCCTAGAAATGTGAATATCATAAAAAGTGTAGTTAGTAAACCATTTAGCAGTTGACTTAATTACTTTCATACTATAGGTTTGTACATTGATAGTCATAATGGTAACACCCTCAGTGGAGCAAGCTGCATGTAGTTTGTTGGTATCTACACATAAACATTAAATAAACTACATATAAATTGGATAACAAAGGTGTTTCTCAATAGTTCTGACCAGTACTATAAATGAATGGGGTGAACACTAATTAAAGTAGTACATTTTGTCGACTAATGATAGATGGACTTACTTTTCCTCCTATTCGAACTTGATTCTGTAGTTTGTTCAATTTATCGGGATTCATATTGCAGTGTTTTCTAAATCAAATGTTAAATACTCTATCACCTTTTAGAGAAAGGCATGGTCAGTCTCATAAACAGATAAACAAGAATCCTCTTCAAATATAATTGCATTTCAACATCTCCCAGTCATTTCAATCCTTTTCAGGATTTGAAATGCTACCTTGGCCCTATCCAAGGGAATTCAATGTATCGGCCCAACATTGCAAGATGACATTGCGAACCTCACAATAAACAAATTCAGTTTTGAAATTGTTTTTGTTATTTAGAGCATTGCTAGGTATATTTTGTTCGAGATTTTATTTTCCAAATTTTTCAAGCATAATCTTCAGGTCTGCAAAAAGACAAAATGTGTCCAAATGTTTGGGCATATACATTCGTTCACATTTTATGACTGTATAAAATATTAACAAATACAAGTGACTCCTCACTATTGCCTCTCACATGTAGTTGGGCCCATATATAGAAGACATTTTGAACATGACCCTAATACCAAACCCTATAAACTAGAGACTCAACTAGACTGATTCTCTCAAATGTATTTTTAAACGAATTGTATCCCATCTATCACAACTATGGCAGAGCATTGGATTTTAAATAAACATGGATACATATAAATATACTATTTAACTTTACTAATTTCACATATTTATAATCATACATCACAATTCACACATGTTTCGCCAAGAATGATAACAAAATTACTTACCTCAACTGTTATGTATTACTCGGTAATTTCATGAACTTTAAATGTATATTTTGAACTAAAGAGCAGGGCGTTAATGGCCAGAAAACGAGAAATTTTGTCTGTTTCTAAAACCACGAGGATGACCTGATCGATGGCGGTGCGGAAAGAAACAAGTCGCCGAATCAACAATGCGCATGATTCTGCTGCATTGGAGACCTGGGACCAAAAGCCAAATAAGCTCAATTTTACCCTGATTTTACTCAAATACTGCACCACTCTGCACCATATAAATTTTAATCAATATTTAAAATTCAAATCAAGATTCAACGTTAATAGAATAATTTCATAAATTTCAGATTTCCTTCATTTGTTATTTTCAGCTCATCAAAGGCTAGCACGCTCCCTTCCCGTCCTTCGCATTTGACGAAGGCAGCACCAGCTAATTATAGCAACAGATTTTTGGGTCCCTTCAGTGACTCCTCTGAGAACTCTTGGCCCCGAGTGTGTTGCTCCAGTGGTTGCCCTCTCCCCTTCCCTCCCACTGACCCCTCTATGGATCCCTCGTGATCCCTCGCCTTGGATTCTGCGCAGGTAGAAAATTGCGCGGTTAGGTCTGGAATAGAGTTCCGCGGAACCGCGGGAATATTTCGCGGGAAAGGAAGGCCGAAGACGAATAAAGTCTCGACATTCAAAGCTCTTTGGTCAGACCAGAAGAGTTACTGTGTTTGTGAACTGCAAGAATTGTTTAAGCTATCTGAAATGGCTTCTGTAGAAGACGAACAGCCGACTTCCTCAAGTTGTACATTTAGGTGCGTGTATTCGGAATGATTTCGATTTATAGACGTTGCAACGAGAGGAAACTAGAGTGTTGAGAAAATTATTTGCACAATATTTTCGATTTTGCATGCTTATTAAACTACGCCAAAGTTGTGCTGAATTTACTAATTTTTTTTCTGAAAATTATCTTGTTTAGTAAGGAAGAAGTTAGCAAGTTGATGAGTAAAGGAAAAAGGCATTTTGTTTGCGATGAAATTGTTGAAGCAGCAAAATGCTTTGAAGTCGCATGTCTCATGTTGTAAGTTTGTGATCATCAGTCAATCATGATTATCTATAGTACTTAAACCATGTGAATACAAGACAGCGTTCTGATATATGTTTTTTTACCTAAAAGACGTACATTAAACCTTACCAAAGACATCATGCTTCAACATTATTTACTTGCTATCGCAGTGTGAGATTGTAGGATGTTATCTTGCTTGTTGGTTGCATGGGAATTCGCATTACCATGACTTGAAGGAGTTAAAGTTTTGATGTACTTTTAGCAGTGTCCTAAAGCTAGATAAGAAATACAACATAGCCATGTGGAGCAGTGGAAACTTCAGGATAATATCATTACTAATTGCCATATATATAGACATTGCCATACATCCTGCTTAGGAATACCCCATGTTTTAATCACTGGGGGATTTTTTTCTGAGGGCAACTGATTTTCATGCTCAGTTTGCTTGTGGGCATGTGGTCAGCTAAAGTTATACATCAATGCATAACTAGCTACAGTTATAGTGCATAGTTTTATTGAAATAGTGTTAGGCTACTAAATCACTCAGATATAAAGATAAAAAAGTTTTCTCTTTAAAACAATTTGTTTATATATACATACATTTTATAGGAGCAAAAAATATGGTGCATTGTCCAATGAATGTAGTGATGCTCATTTTCAGTATGGGAAAAGTCTATTAGAGTTAGCAAGGTGAAGTGTTTACATCCCAAAGTATTATATATGCTATTTCCTTAAATATTATTATACCATAGATCATACTTCTTCAACTTTGCATGGTCCTTTTAATATAGATTGGAGAATGGAGTATTAGGAAGTGCTTTAAATGAAGGTATTATCAAAGTCTTGCATGTTTGCACTATTTTCATTCAAAGACTTTGATTTCTAAGTCTGAAAAATTTGTTTTAAATAGCTGTTGAAGAAGAATTACCAGACAGTGATGATGACATGGCAGATACAGGTATCAATCTAAAAGAATGTGCTTGGTCAAGGTCACTCATGTTAATTAAGAGTTTATAATGCTAATTAGGTCTGGTCCATCCATGAGGTATTTTTTAATTTTGAGAATAAACCATAAGAAATATTGGAGAAAAGCTATGCAGAAACATATAGGAAGCTCTTGAGATGACTATACTTTCTTATCTTAACCGTATATGAATATGAAACTGTATAAAGCAATTGTTATATACCCTTCACCAGCTGTGTATTACCCAGTACCTGACCATAGAGATCTGATGTAAATGATGTAACTCATACCTATCACTGTTGGAACTATAGAAGCTGACAACACAGAAAAGATAAATGAAGAGAAGCCAGAGAAAGGATGTACTGAAGAAAAAATGGAGGACAATGAAACAGAAACCAAATTAGCTGGTGATGATAATAAAGATAGTAAAAATGATGAGGCAGAGAAAATTGTGGAGAAGCCTGCAGATGCGCTCAAAACTGAAGATAATGCAGAAGGGAAAACAGATCAAGATGATAAGATGCAGCCTGATGAAAACAAGAATAGCATTAAGGAAGAAAGTCAAGAAAATGATAATAAAGATGTTTCTCAAGACAAAAATATAAGCAATAAAGAAAGAATGAATGATGAGCAGAAGGAAGGAGATGAGGTTGACATTACCACAAATGAAGATCAGGGAAAGGTTGAAGATGATAAAGAGGTAGTTTACTGCATGTTTTACATGTCAAAATTTAACATTTTGAGATAATAGAATGCTCTCCTTGCATCCTTTTTTAGGCTGTTTGCAAAGCACTGTATTTCAATATGTATTTGTGATAATCAACACTGAAACCATCTAATTATAGTATATCACCAGAGATTTATACATTTATAAGTTGCAAGTGCTAAGCAGAACAAAAATTTATTTCCTCAGACAGCAGATGATGGCCCAGTTTCTACAATACAACTAGCTTGGGAATCATTAGAGTTAGCAAGGATTATTTTTAAAAGGTTTGTATTTCTAGAGCAAGACTGACAGTGTTTATTAGTGTGTGTGGTTGTTTCAGTACCATTACAATACATTTCTAAAATTTAAGCAAATTATTCTAACTTTTAGGCATAACAGCAAAGAAATGCAGCTAAAACTGGCACAAGCCCATTTGCTGTTAGGCGAAATACATATGGAACAAGGTACTGTTATAAACCTCGGGTAAAACTGAAGCGTTATTAATAACCGTAGCGATATTACTCAATTTGGTTAGTGCAATTTAAAGAATTTTTGTGTCATTTTAACAGAACAATTCACAGATGCTGTTACTGAACTGACAAAATGTCTTAATATACAAAAGAACCTGCTTGAGCCTGATGACAGACTTCTTGCAGAAACGTATCTTTCATAAAATTATCTGAAATACTCAGCGTAAATTTAAAGTGCAAGTACAGTAGTTTTCTATTTCGTGCATGTATCACAGGATCCATCTATATTTTAGTATATTGTCGGGCTTATTGGAATGTTTGAAAAAATATTTTTCCTGGCATGGGGAACGTGGTCTAATAGAGTTATAGAAGAGTATCTATGAATAGAGCTACCGTTGACATTAATTTGCAGTACATTATTATCGAGATATGCCGATTCATCTTGATGTCCCAATGCACCACGGTCTTGGTAACTGTCACAAAAATATTATATGCTGACGAATGTTATCCTTAACCCTTGCAAGATATTATAATCTTGGTTTGGCCTACACCTTGTCCATGATGTATGAAGAATCAGCAAGCCATTACGGTAACGCAGCTGAAGTTCTTCAACTAAGATTGAAAAACATTAAAAATAGAATTGAAGAAGCGGAAAAAAAGGACAAAGGTAAAGGAAAGAGTTCAGATGACGATCCTTTGGTTAAAGACAGGAAAGAACTCGCCGAGATTGAAGATCTTTTACCTGAGGTCCTGGAAAAGGTTAGTCTAACTAAATTAAATTATCTGTGTTACAGTTAGATTTATTTGTATAGAATTATTAATCTTCCTCAGTGGATTTCACATTTTGTAAAGTCTCCCAAGTTTGCTCGTCAGCGGACAACATTTAACAACATAAACTACAAAGTATTGATAATTCTTTCCCATGCAGAGTCGAGACGCAATGAATGAAAAGGAGAGAATGAAAAGCAATATTAAAGAGCAGGTGTGTTGTGTGTTGCCCTTGGCCCTGTTCCTCTCTGAGCATGTCACATTATGAAACTGAGGTTGTGTGTTTAGTTTTGTGGTATTGAATTACTTTTTTAAAACCTCATTCAGATGGGACTAACATCTTCGTCGATGGGACTAACATCTTCGTCGATGGGAACTGGAGAAAACAAATCTGCGTGCAGTAGTAGCTCTTGTTCAGTGAGTATATAATTATTGTTACTTATATTTGTTGGTCTTAACGTTTTCTGGGTATTAGAATAACCTCGTTCTTTTCTATCGATAAATTGGATTAATTTTGTAACTACAGGATAAACCGGTCAATGTTATCAATCATCTCGTCAGAAAAAAGGTATGTTAAAAAATTATACTTCCCTAATCCCAATTTAAGATGATTAATTTTAGATTTTAGAAGAGCCCTTAAATCGAATTTAAATTTAGGCATATTTTTAAGACCTTGCAATCAGCATTTAGGTCACTGTAATTTATTTAGTTACTTGCTAATCTTTAGTTACTTTCTTTGTTTGCTCTTTTTAAGCGAAAATCTAACGACACTGAAGAGAACACCGACACACCTGCAAAGAAACCTCGGCAAAACATCGAAGACACAACGGCACAGGATCAAAATGGCGATAACGCAACGCCAGAAGTCGAAACTAATGTACGACAGGGGGACGAAGAAACATCGGCGCAACTTGAAAATGGTGATTCGACAACGGAACCACAAAGCCAAGAGGGCACGAAACAAGCCAATCATGGAGCTACGGTGGAAGAGAAAGAAGTACCCGCTAAAAAAACAATAGAACCCGAAGGTAATACGACACCGGCCGAAATTGGTGACTCGGCCATGGAGACGTAACTGGTGCTAAAACGCGTCAGTCTCCTTAACCGTAGTTTATGTTCATAAGAAAATTGGAAACTTTAACGAAGGCATCTGGTAGACAACGATAAGAAGTCTTATATTATATCTTTCTAGAAAGTTAATTAGTGTAGTTACTAGATTATTTAAATTTTAGTATTTTTTGTTTAGTACAGCGTTTGTATTTAAGTTAAAAACCTAGTCCTAGATGATGTTTGAAATCATTTTTGATCACCTTCATAACACTTGTCAGTAGAACCTAGAAATGTTTTGTATTAAACGCAATATAATTTGAGCCTAATCAGCCTCGTATCCAGGGTCTTGATGACTTGATCACGGGTCTGTTGCGATTTTTTTGATAAACCTTTTACTTTTTAATCATGAAAATGCGCCCGACATTACGGAACCGCGTGCGTTTGGTTTTACTTCCGTATCGGAACTGTGTGATTTTGAAAGTATGTTTAATTTTAAATAGCAGCGAAGTGAAACACCGATACTTAGCAAACCAGTCGTTAGGCAACTTTTAACAGACAGCAGGTAGCGTGTACTATTTTACTTGATAAGGACTCGAAAGAATCCAGCCTGATACTTCAAAAAATATATACGTTTAAATTTTTCTTTTATTTATTAATAGTCCCCTTGAATTACGAATCTAATCTGCAGATGGGATTTCGTTTGACCATTTCTAGATCAACTTTATGTCCAAAAAGATCTCGAATATTTGATAAGCCGTACTTTATCATCGTTGGTCTGAAATAGAAAAGATACTGTCAACGACATTTTGATCATCCAGTACACTAGTGACTAATTTCTTGTACTACTTCGTATTATCCGTTTTGCAACATTGACGTCTAATTGGGTTGTAATTTTCGATATTACACCAGGTCAAAACAAAGAGAAAAACTGTAATACATAAACTATAAAATGAGTATACACTTGCATCAGTTGCATGCCTTGGTAGGGTATCACCCAATTAAGATATACAGTATGGAAAAAGAACGCACCTTTCAAGAGATAAACCCCACGCGATAACAGATAGGTTTTCTGGAAGTCCCATTGGTAGTAACATTTCTGGCCGGAATACACCAGAATTCCCCACTTCAACCCATTTCCCCAAACCTGCACGTAGAGACAATCGTAATTACTTGGTAGTCTCTTATTACTGCATGGCTATATACTGGTCGCGTCGAATGCAATTTGAACAATACAAGATGAGATGATCGATAATGAAGGTTTACCATCTCATCTCAACTCTAGTCATAATAAACTAAATATATATTACTCTTTGGCAATGATAATACAGCATCTACGTCATGTTGATATGAGATCACCCCTGATAATACACTAGACCGGAGAGTCGAAACGTTGGAATCTTTGTGGTGATTACTTTAATTAATCAAAACCAGCGATAATTGCGATGTACAATGCAGCAGTCAATAGTATATTATATATTGCACAGTACCTTCATGATATCCAAATATTTCCATGCTTGGCTCCGTATAGGGATTATATGCTGGTTTAAAACGTAGTTTATGCATTCCTTTGTAGAAAAAAACATAGTTGTTTCATACATAAAGTAAGGTTAATTTTAATGAAAAATGAACCAGGTACACGACACTTCATCCTTTACAAAAACAAACCCCTGGCTCCAGCACAAACATTAAATGTGATACTAATCTTTTAATTACGATACTCACCCAACTTCTTAAAGAATGCATGCAAAACACCAATAAGGTCTCCTAATGTCAGGTTATAATCAGCGACCAATCCTTCGATTTGATGAAATTCAGCCAAATGCGTCGCGTCGAGAGTTTCATTTCGGAACACACGGTCAATTGAGAAATATCTTGCTGGGATGTTTTTCTAAAAGATCAGAAATCCCAATATAATCATTTTTAGAGTATATTCAAAAGTAGTGGGCTCTGCTGAATGACTGACTAAATTCAACAAGTAACAATTTAGTTGCTTCTAGCCCCCTCGCTATCTTTTCGCGTAATAAAATTAAGCGAGTTTAATTATCAATGTCAATGATAAAGCCATTCACCGTTTTAGCAAGTTTGTAGAGCATTCTTGAACTAACAGCCGTTGTATGCGTTCTCAGTATGTTCTTTTTCGCTTCTTCTAATTTCCAGTCATACTGATAACTGTGGAATAAACAGACACAATCATAAAAAACTTAAACTGTAACAGTAAGCCTTATATTATTATGAAGTTACATGTAAATATGTCTACCCTTGTGAACCATATCCTCCATGCTGATGCACAGCCTTCACAGCTTCAATATACTTTGGAGGAATATCTTCTAACTTGGCATATTTTGGATCTGCAGAAGTAATAATCTAATCATTTAAACTGAGAACCCAAATTTCTAACCTCTATACAATAAGCCTCCCACAACTATAGACTCTCTCAACTGGATGGAGAAGATGATGTACACTTACTTGCTATGAAGAAAGTATCATGTGCATCTCTTGCTGGATGCTGCTGTGGCTGGAACAAGGAATCAAAATTCCAAAATGAACTTTCAATGAAATTGTTGGTAGGCATCTCTGTGAAACTAAATTTGGACAATGAATAGGGTTTAAATATTGAGAAAAGATCTGTGTGTGGTTGTGCATTAAAACAAGGCAGCTAGGATATATCTATTTCTTATATCTCACCCCATTTCTAAGAATATCTGCCTGAATTGAGCTCGAACTTTCATCAACGGATGCATATATCCACCACTTGGTGGAATTCCTTGAGCATCAAAATTATACTCTTTGAACTTTACTGTCTTCCATTCGTTGCTAAATTGAAGGTACCGTAATGATACATTTTGTAGAAAAAGACGAACACCAACCAATTGTTGTTGCCATTGCCATTAATTAAAAAAAATTCCCTTTCAGGCTGTATTATATCTTATACATATAATTGTTTAGTAATTAGTTGATAATTTGTGGTTTAAACAACTTTTCAATTTGCACCCTGACACAGGTTTGCACTAGCCACCAATGTAGTTACCTTGTGCCCTTCTATTAATTAACACTACTCATAACTGATTATACCTTGTCAACAAATCTGTTGTTAAATCTGCTGCCAATTTACTTGCTGTTGTACTGAAGTTTGCTCCCTTTTTCACCAAATACTTCTTTATCAATCTAAAGACAGAATTTTCAAACTTCAACATGCATGCTCATGAACTATAAAATCTTTACACGACAATTCAGACTACTTGGAAGAAATTCTTACATGGTCTCAACAAGCTTTCTTTTCTGGTAATCTTTAAGTAATGCATCACTAATGTCTTCTAAATGTCCATCTTTTATTTTATTAAGATCACATTTTACATCATCTGTGATTTCTACTACCTAAAAGGGTACCATATGAAACTCATTGTGGGAAATGGGTTCAATCATTATATAATCATATCATTATGTTAATATATATGTGATTAAACCTGTACATTACTTAATTTGCTTTTCTGAAACATATGAAATGTCTCACAAATGTTAAATACCTTTCTCATAACTCTTGGACCTCCATCAGCTTTCTTATCCATTGACAACCATCCTTTTGCCATTGCTTTATTAAAACCAACTTTAGCAGAAGGAAATAAACTCTAAAAAAAATTTTGTTGGAAAGTAAAAATCATAGTATAGTACTATATCATTTATTGACCTGACAATTGTAACTAGTCTATAAAGAACTTTGGATATCACAGTGGATAAACAGTTTTAAAAGTTGTTTTAAAATCAGTAATTATATTATTCTGTCAATTGTAAGTCTTACTATAAGTTCTTTTTGTGGAATTCCTTCATCTTTAGGAACATGAGCAAATACAACAGCTTCATGACTTCCATTCTTAGCAACACCTTCACCTTCTGCAGATAGTTTAAAGCTTTTAGACTCCTTTTGTTCCACCTGGACTACCTGTCAAAATACATACTCTGTAGCCTTGAAATGCAATTGTATCAAATTTCTTGAAGAGAATGAACATTGCAAAAATTAAGGTAGCTACTGGCCTACTGCTAGTTTCTCTTAAATATATTAGATTAGGTTGATTAAATTAAGTCACAACCAGAGTTGACATAATTTCATAATTTACACAAGCTACAGTATCAATAATTCTTCTCTGATCTCAGAAAAATATTAATGAATTGATGGGCAATTAACATTTTCTCCTCAGAGGTAAATCTTGAAAAGGGGGGGGGGGTAGATTGTGCATAACGATGTATTTTAACGATGGATTATGATATACACGCCTAAAAACGGTCAGGTTGATGCAAGCTGATATAAACAGGATGGAGCAATGTTGTGCTGCCCACATTGTTCAGAGTTGTTATCAACATTGAACAATACTGTTACACCCGATTCAGTGTCAACCATATTGTTCAATGTTGATAACAACTCTGAACATTATGGGCAGCACAACATTGCTCCACCCTGTTGATATCAACCTGAGCGTTTTTACGCGTGTATGAAAGCCACTCTTTAAAAACTTGACTTAAATGTAAAACTTCATATAATTTATTATGAGGCTATGAGCTCACTTCATCCAAAACTTGGAGACTTTTGACAGCACCGACAACAGCTTGATGATCGAGTTTCCATTCGTTTGCTAGTTCCAAAGTATCAACACTACTCTTCGTGTCCAATACAGATAAAATCTTCTTGTCTAATGCCTCAGAACTCATAATATACCATTAAAGATTCCCAAGAAGTTTTTTTGGTGATTCATGTGAACGACGCGAATGATTCCGACAATTTCCGACAGCACCGGGAACAGGAGGACCGCGAGGCAGGGGAACCGGGGAACCGGCCAGCGGCCAGGAATGGGGGACAAAGGAGCGAGGGAACAGGGGAATGGGGAACAAAGGAGCAAGGGAATGGGGGAATTCCCCTATCCCCCACTCCCAGTCCCTGGGTCTCCCATTCTCTTGTTCCTCCGTCCCCCGTTCTCATGTTTCCAGCTTCTGTCGGTTGCCCGGTACCTCTGTTGCCCGCTCCCTATTCCTCCCGCCCCCCAGTTCCTGTCATCTATTGCTGATAGTAAATTTTTTAAAACGAACTAGACTCAAATAGTTCAGTAAGTGAACCCACTCACCAATTCTCACCAATACACAGGAAAGGTTGATTCAGTATAGTGAGGAATTTAAAACTGTAATTAAGGAATTTACAAGCTCTGCAACACCACAGTGACTTCACAACAAAAACAATCAAAATGGCTGATGTTTGGTGGACAATTTTTAATTCAAATGCGAAACAAAGTGACAAACCAACAGTAATGTATGTTGAAGGTGTTGGAAATGAAGTTTTACTCGGTCTTGGAGCTTCTCTCGCAATCTTGATCCCTTTATTTATCTCTGTTTTTGTAAAGAGATCGTGTGGGGTGCAAATACACCCTGACGAGGCAGAGAATGTACAAGCTACTAGAGAGACACTAGGAGTTGGTGAAAATACGGAAAATAATGAAAGAACTAATGTAACTCCTCCGAGGAATATTAATGATGGCGAGCCTTGTCCTATATGTTTAATGCCACCTCACTATTTGATCATAACCAACTGTGGGCATGGTTTTTGTGGTAGGTTTCAATTTCATCAGTTTATTCATGGTGTTATATTTTTGTTGACTAATTTGCGTTTAGTGTGTTGTAAAGGTTGTTGTTAAGATCTTGTTGTAAATACACACAAACAGGCAGTAATACAGTAAACTCTAGTCATGTTATCAAGGTTGAGATCATCAAGGGATGGAGGTTGTGCTCACTCATTTGTCTATGAATATATAATACCTGTCTTGAATGAATGAATGAATGGTAGGTATGTATCTTGGTGGAACTTTGAATTGGAATCTCTACAAAATCAAATTCATTCCACTTTAGGTCAATGTCTAATAACATACTGGCAAACAAGATTTATATTTCGAGCTATGACTTGTCCAGTATGCAGACAGCAGGTAAACTCAACACAGTAATTTTCACAGTAATGTACTACAGCAGATAAATAGTGTTATAATTTATGATTTCTCCAAACAGATAACTATGCTATTTATCAGTTTTGACGAAGCTGAAATAACTGAGCAGTCAACAAGTATTCAAAATTCAGTTCATCAATATAATAGAAGATTTTCATCACAACCACGAACTGTAAGTAGAACTTCTTTTCTTTATCTTATCATAGTGGAACACATCCATTTGATGGTTGCATGAACATCTTCCACTTGGTGAATTAAAAATTAGGTGACTGAGCATGAAAATAGTTCCTGTCTACAACATGCCAACATTGATTAATAAGGTTGAGTGGAGAGAAATAAGACTTATTAAGTACCTGTACCCATCTTTAACTGTTCTCTTTTTATTTTAAATTATCCATCATGGTCTATTTTTCTTTACTTATATTTCTGCTTTCAGATCATGGAGTATATTCAGGATCTGCCAACACTACTTGCACAACTTTTTCATGAACTTTTTAATGGCACAGGTTTGGTTTTGTTGCTGCGTTTTCGAATTATTGTATGTTTTTTAGCAGCTTTACTATATTTTGTTTCTCCGATTGACATTTTATCTGAGGCAGCATTTGGACTGCTGGGATTTCTTGACGATATTGTTATTGCCTTGCTTGTGTTGTTTTATGTAAGTGAGGTATACCGAAATGTAGTGGCTGATCGTGCTGCAAATGCAGTAGATGGATGAATCTAGGTGTAATATTTTAATGTTGTAGTGATGCCTGATCTCTAGCCTTCCATGCAGATCTGCTTCTGTCTGCCTTCGAAATTTGAAGCGTCTGCACGGCAGGCTAGGTGACCACATACCCCAGGACCATTTGCAGAGAAAATGCATTTGGGATTGGTTAGAAATTCTGCTAATTTAAGTATTTAATGTTATCAATACATAGCCATAGGTTTCACGTCCTTACTATTCAGAATCAATAACATCTGTAACTCACGCTGCATAACTCACGCTGAACGTCGCTAATCAGTGACTTGTGTTGTTTTCAGTTATTGTTGTTATTTTAAACTTTCGAACTTTTAAACTTAAGTATTAGAAATTCTTACTGAAAGATTATATACAAGAAACCGTGGACTGTGGACAGAATAGCGAGTTCCGCAATACGAGCATTTATCCGAACAAATCCTCTTTCTAAAATAATGTTTCTGTAATTTGCCGGGTAATACGGGGCATACTATGCTCGTGCTAGTCCTCGGACCACTCATTATTTATGATCGGTTGTGGGCTAACAAAAAATGCTGGGTTACGATCCTTTGACTGGGTGACTGAAAAAATCACAGGAAGCTAATAAAGCAACACATTTTGGCGCATATACCAGAATATAATGCATGCAGTTAATACAAAAAACAATGGAAGATTTCGTTGTAGCTCCGCTGTGAAGTAGGACTTAACATATATTTTTGTTTTAATTCTCTTTTGATAATTGTGGCAAAAAAATAGTCACGATAACAATAAGTGATGTGACAACATTATGTCTAGTCCAGAGCGTGTTTGGCGTTGTAATTGTGCAATTGTGCAGAGTCACCAGTGTCTGTTTTACATATATGCAATGGTAGAAAATATACTTTGTTGCACGCAGAAACTACACTGAAGCTGGGTCCTACGTTTTAAGACATTAGTGGAGGTGTTCCTGTGAAAATTTCAACTATATTCTGTGCACGTGAAAAGTATATTTAGTTCTAGATACATCTTCAGTGCGGGAGCGCAATTTAAAACTGTTTTACTGTTTCACATGTTAAAAATAGATTTTATATATTATTTTACATATTAATAAATAAAATGTTTGTTGACAAATTTTAGATACTAGAGTTATCGACTTATTTTCTCATCGAAAGCCAGTAGTAGCTCATAAGACATAAACCAGATATGAGATGTGTCAGCTTCACAATGTTTCATTGTCTAGTTATGATATGTATTACATCCTGAACGATGAAACATTTAAATAGCTAATGTAATGTACGTCGCTATAAAATTCTGTACAATTATCGTCTGATCAGGTTCGCCTTGCAAATATTTAGCCCTACTTTCCACAGCAGTTACTTTGTCCCATGCAGGGTGGTGGCATACAAGGTGGAGGTCCTGGAGCTGGGGGTTCAACATGATGATGAACAATAGTGTGGACAATCTTATTCACAGGTCTAGGTGCAGCTGGTGGAGCAGGAACTGGTGGTGGAGGAGGTATTGGTGCCCAGGCGTGATCTTCGTCATTGACTGTTTGGTACTGATGTTTTGGTGGTGGTGGTGGAGGTGCTGGTTTTGGTGGTGGTGGTGGTTTCTGGTGATGGTGAATAATATGTTGAATGGTGTTGATCTTCTGTGCAGGAGGCAGTGGTGCAGGTGGTGGTGGTGGTGGTGCATTTGGTGGTTGTTTCCACTCGTGAGTTTCATCATGTTGTGTATTGTATATATGTGTAGGTGGACATGGTGCCGGAGGTGATGGCGGTAGCATCACTCCATGTGGCATAGGTGGTGGTGCAATAGGTGGTGGCCCACCTTTGTAATTTGGTTGTGCGCCATTAGCATTAGGTGTGCTGCTAAATCCACCGACTCCACCGGCTCCACCGACTCCTCCGACTCCTCCAGCAAAGCCAGCTGCTGCTCCACCACCACCACAGCACGACGACTGACATGCCGGAGCACAAGATGACGGACATTGTCCTGGGCATCCCATCTGTTTCTTTGAAGGTTTACATTCTTTTGTTCCTGAAATTACAATCATTGATAGAAGTTAGTGCAAAACAGGTTTTGCTGTTGATATTGGCTAGGTTCCGAAATGATCACAGTTCATCTGATATCATGCGAAATGCAGTAGCTATGTAGATTACTAACACACCTGAAATATAATTGGATTAGGTTGCTCTATTTGTTGATGGTCGTGAAAAAACAAAAACTATATATCGTACTTTTTCTTTTTTAACGTATACATTTTTGGTACTCGTTTGGTACTTCTCTTACAAAATTATAACAAAAACGTATGTTACAAAATATGTTACAAAAACAAATTTGTAACATATTCAATGTCGTCGAATATGATCTCTGAAAAGTGAAACCATTATCCTATATGTCTAAAAAGCACACTTCGTATAATCGATAGCGTCTGCTATCTTCAGCAAGGTACTAACCTTTTTTCTTATGAACTGATTTCCCCAATATGGCACTTGATAATAAGAGAACGCCAAGACATACGAGCAATCTTTGAGACGTCATTGTTAACAAGATGACTGCAGAAGAACGTTTAGCATGCATAAGTTCATGATTTTACACTGAATATAAATTCAAAGTAATTGGTATTGGTAAACTGGAAAAAAAACAAAGCAAGTATAACATTAAACATTTCCCCTCATTCGTTTTAAGGAATAAACAGTACAACATATATTCTAATGAATGAATCTTGAAACATCCAACTTAATCTTGTTAGACCAAATGACTTGAAAACTGTTTGAGACGCTGCATTACGTATTATACTGGCTTTACTTGAATTAGGCTGATATCACGCAAGTTATCATTCCTACTATTATAACCCAAATTAACATAATATTATATCGAAAACAGCAGATGAAAGTAAAATCCATGACACTAGTATTTAAATGTGACGATGCCGAAATATGCTTCAGAGAAAAACGACAAGAACAGGCTTACCTTCTTAAAGAAGTCCCTTCTTTTTAGGCCAAACAAACTAAAATTTCAAGTAAGGAACAGTTCTAAGCGAACGGGCAAGCGATCAAACTTTTGTCCCTAATAATTTATTCATTGAATTTACCGTGATTTTGAACTCTAATATGAAAACAAACGTCAAAAAACTGGTGCTCTTTTAACTAACTCAACCCCACCCGTTGTATCGTTATTAATTATTAATCACTATTTTCACTATATTTTATTTTCTTCAAACTTCATACAACACATTGCGTCCATAATTTTATATAAATAACAAATTCAATGATAATAATACTTAAATTTTGCTATTTTTCATCTTAAAAATTTGCGCCTTTGTTTCAACAAGAAAATTGACCGATGTCTGTTTTCAACGGTTGAGCAATTCAAAGTATAATTATTTGTAAGCAAAAACAAACAGGCAGCCATAAATTATGTTTTTCAAACTTATATGGTTCATATTGATGTTCTAAAATTTAAAATCAGATGATATACAACATTCTATCTTTCACCTCTTAAAAATAATAATACAATAATATCTGAAATTTTTTATTAATTCTCAACTTTTCAATGTGCATTATGAAGATATTTTGCACTACTGTGGATCCACAAAATACGTGAACATGATTGGCTGACGCAAATATGCGTGACGAAGCGTTACGGCGGTTATTCACGCTTCACTGACGCAAGAATTGAAGCATGAAAAGTCTTACTTTGAAGTTTTCTCAAAGCACGTCATGCACTGGCTACCCGTTTCCTAAGCAAAGTCGTATTTCGAGGACAGACGATTTTCTATAGTTCTTTTCTCAAGGATTTTGAAATTATTTATTTCGCTTGGAGGGTATATTTCAAGTATCATCGTCTTGAGGAACCATTTGGCTAGGTTTGTACCTTATTTTGCTCTGACCTAATTAGCGATATAGTATTTGTTTTCCATTGTATTATAATCAACTATCACAAAACTAAAGTATAGTGATATATCAATAATATAAATGGTAAATTAGGAATCTAAAGATAAATTCTTTTCAGTTGATCGTTCTTGTCGTTCAAATATTCAAAGTGTAAACTAAAAATTTTATATTTCCTTGGCATGCACCTCCTGTTTCTTTCTGACCAGATTCTAATTACAGTTGTCATTAAAAATCGAAAAAAGAAAGGTAAATACGAAAGAAAAAACGAGTGACTTCCCTCGTATCGAAAACAAACGTATTGAAAACGATTTGGGCAACACGAAGTTAAAATGACACAATATGCAACAGCAGAAATTATTTGTGTAACATCGTTGGACACCCGTCCTCAAGGAATAATACATATAACTGATCTAATTACCGGATTAACCTTTACGTCTTAATCCTGAAGTACAAATAAGAATGATTTGTTTGGAATATGGACTCGTAAATTGGTAATTAGAGGGAAAACCTGGAAACGCCGAAAAACAAAATGGTTGAAAAGTCATAAATCGCTGACTGTATTTTTTCCAACAAACCTAGTATAAAGATCTCTTTTTTTAGTATAAGATCTCTGCCTTCTCATTGCTACCTCGATCTCAGGTCTTCCTCGTCTGACTCTTTGTGAAAGTTCGATATAAAACAACCGTATATAATTTCAATCTATCAGAAAACGCGTCATCGTATATCACGTTATTGGTTTCTGACAATCGAGAACAACTTTGCAAAAAACAACAAATGAAATGATCGTTTAATCTTGTCCGGTAATTTGGAAATTTGATTAAAATGAAGCATTGTAACTAAGACAAAAATATTTTTTGGTTTTTATATTGATTATTTTATTGTCTTTTTAGGCAGATATGGCGTTAAGAATAACGGTTGTATCACTTCTACTAGCGTTGTATATTTTCCAAGCCTCGGCTAAGTCGCTGAAACACGAAAAAGGTAAAATACTATGATTGTAATATTAGCAATGAAAGGTAATTTCGGTCTGAGTCACAATTGTGTGTATTTCGTTGTGTTCATCTGAAATATAGAACAAGTTTCAAACTCAGTCCAAGGACCTACTTTCAGAACAAGAATTCACAATTTTATAAAACCATAAAAATCACCATCTAACTTACCTAACATGGAATATGAACTGCTATTTTTGGGGGTCATAGGAATCACATACTTGAATAATAAGCGATAACTGGGTTTTTCGAACCTGAAATCTGAATCGAATTCTGATACGGGTTCTTCCAATTTATGTCTGTTGTACTTCCAGCGAGCAAGAAACAATTTGGTATGCAGCCACAGATGGGCGGTGGTTGTGGTGGTGGTTGTCCTCAACAGTGTGCACCAGCATGTCAACAGTCTTGCTGTGGCGCTCAAGCTCAGGGGCAAGTAATCACTCATCTTACGACAGTACACCACCATCATGTTCACCATATGGCACCAGCTCCTCCTGCCCCACCAGCACCACCAATGCCGCCACCACCACCACCACAGACCTTCCATACACAACAACATGTCTTTGAATGTGCACAACCACCATGCCCACCAGCTATGCCACCACCTGTAGCTGCAGGCGGATGCGCCCAACCCGCATGTGGGGGTGGAATGCCTCCAATGATGCCTCCCCCAATGATGCCCCCAATGATGCCTCAACAACCATGTGGTGCCCCTCCTTGTGGAAAGTAATAATTTAGCGACAGGATTTTTGATTCATTAGATGGTGGTCATTCAGCCAACACCTTATGAACTCATAACAAATGCTGGCCAATATGTTTTTGAAAAACAAAAGGACAACCGGAATTAATAAACTAATGGTTGCCATCCAACTTTCAATATGCAAATTCAAGGATGAAGTTTGTAATGTACAGAAATATCGAGGATCTGTTTTTAAAAATCCCTATAATCGATTCCTGCTATGCGGCATTAAAGAAAGAGCATGCTATAGTTGTTGTTAAACTCTATCTCTAGTTATTGATGTACTTACTTTATTTACTCAATAGAGCGTATGTAGCTCATGTTAATATCGAAATCTGTTAATAAAATTCGAAGCTAATGAAGTTTTCTTTACTGTAGTTGTTGTTTATAGTATTAATACTATATTGAACAGTTGAACAGTCATTGAACAGTTTGCATAAACGCAACTTCGTATCAAGGGTCGTTTTGGACCAGGAACTAGTCCCCAAACGCTGCTCATACTATTGTTGTTGTAGTTTTTGTTGTTGTTTTTATTGTTGTTGTTGTTGTTGTTGTTGTTGTTGTTTTTGCTGTTGTTGTAAGGCTTTGGGATTACTTGACCGATTGGAATGAAACTTGACACAATGATTCCGCATCCATTGACGGAGTTCGAATTTTCATTTTTAACTTTAAAACGTGCTGAAGAGTGTAGGCAATTAATCTCGGATTGTGCAAACAATTGTAATTTATTGTACCAACGTAATCATGCATTATGTTGATATTGTTCTTGTTGGTAGGTAATCATAGCTGTTGCTAATCATAGCTAACACCTTGATTACCTGAAGGTTTGCTTCACTTTTTGTAGCCGACGTGTATGTATACCAAGAAATTTATCTTACAAAGTTTTGTACCTCTTCCTGTTAAACCAGACAGTGAGACAACCGTTAGAACTGCTTTTAAAATCATGCAAAGAGACAGGGTGTACAAAGAGCTATTCTGATCGTTAGAAATAAAAAATGCGTAAAGAAGTTTAGAAGCTGCTGTTTAATCCTCAGACCCGCGAAGTCTCGCTGATTCTCACATTCACTACGATGGATCATCATGAAACGCATCCATAAAATCAGCATCATTCTTCACCTCTCTGTCATCCTGAGCACTTAGAAGTATAAAAGGTGTCGGTTTTTATGGGCATAACCTTGAGATTTAATTGGAGGATGAGGACATAATCTGCCCTATAAAAAAGCATGCTATAATTTTGTATAAACGTTTGCGCTGAGGGATACACTCCCCCTCCTGTAACCCGCACACTCTACGCCGATACGTCATGGCGGTGTTCAGTATTCATGAGATAAAATGATAACTCGTTGCACACAGATTATTCGTGATTTATACCTGAACGCCTTGCGTGTTTCCTCGCGTGTTCGTGCACGAGCGTCGCGTGTAAACCACGCACCTGAATAGCAAAAATGACCAATCAAACACACCGTTAACTAAATGCTTTTAGTATGTTATATATTAAAACCTAACTGCGATGTTACGGAAAAATTAACAATATTTGTTGATTCAAATCTTCAACTATCGGCCAGCATTCCGCACACTCTTGTTTATACAATTTTGTTTACGAAAACCTGTGTGTTCTGTGACATAAAGTCATACTGTTGTAAAATATCTCATATTCCACCTGTTAGACTTATTGTTCTCATGTAATGCTTCAATGATTGCTTGATTTTGTTTCTGTCTTATCGACCAATAGTATTGCAGTGATCAGCACGGTTAATTTTTCCAAATATTTCTTGTTCTCGAGACTGGCATTTGAAGAAGAAGAAATTTTTATACGTTTTTTCCTCCTCTTTGATCCAATTCAAGAACAAGGTAGGAATGAAATCCATATCCTTAGTTTGGCCCATGTGAAATGAGATTTGGTGTTGAATAAATTTCGAAATAGGAGGATCTTCGTATGTGTACCTGACAGGTCTCGAAATGGCATTTCTTTATAAACTGCAATGCCAAAGTAAAATATACGAACAGGAATGTGTACTACTTCATTTGTTTGGGAATAACTTGATAAATAAAAGTATTTTCACATCAGTTTTGCGTTAACACTGGAAAAATATGGTTTCATTGTAAGAACATCTTTAGGTTAAAGACAGTTTTATAAAAATATTAATTGAAAAATGGACAAATCTTTTATACTTTTTTTATGTAGTCTTATATGAAAATATATTTAGTTATATATGACACAAACCGAGATACAAACCGACCTAGAATATAAGAATATAATTGCCACATATAATGGCTAAATATCATGTAAATATGTTTATTTTTTATCGCCATGTTGAAGGAAAACTTATCAAGTCAATCTAAACATTCATTCATCCCTCTACGAAGCTAAACAATAATTTAAACATGCAATGATTGAAACTCTTTTATGCTGTTAATTATTCTCTACTGTATATTCTATTCTAATTCTAGACATAACTAACACAAATAGATTATATATTGATTTATGTTGCTTGATAGTTCAACCAACGTTTCAGGTACATATATACGCGCTTCGTACAATCTTAAGTCAACTTTGCCAAGTAACACTGACGATATAATCAAGCTTGATCTTTTCTGAGCAGCATTTTTTTTCTCCTTATTTTTGTAGGAGAAGTAAAAAGGTAAAATGAGAATATATTTCGTGCTTTCAATAGCCCTAGTCCTGGCTCTTACGTCAGAGGCAATAAAATCAAAGAAATTGAGAAAAGTTATCTCTGGTCATCATAAAACAACTAAAGGTGCGTTCTGTGATTTTAAAGGCTCATTTTCAAAGGGCAACTCGCGTCTCGCTAAAAGTGTTCTTGTCTTGTGGAAATTCTTCTGTGTTTATTTCATTTGCATTGAATGGGTTTTTGTAGCGAGTGAAAAGAGCTCAAACAAATTTTTACTACCTTCATAGCACACACGCCTCGGGTCGAGTCATTGAGATTGTATATACATCACAGTGGTATTAAAAGATACAAGTTAAAATGATCTGTAAAGATTTAATTAGATCTAGCGAAATATTTTCATTGTTCCAGGATCGAAGAAATGCATGACCAGCCCATGCGGCGGTGCTGGAGGTTATGGTGGTGGTATGATGCCTTCCTACGGTGGTGCTGCTGGTGGTATGATGCCGCCATATTGGCCACCACCTTGCCCTAGCCCACCTTGCCCAGGTCCACCACCCCCACCGCCTTACACTCTCAATGAAGAGAAACACGTGACACATCAGCATACACATCCTCAGATGGGGGCCTTAGGTCCACCCCCTCGAATGCCCCCTCCTCCAGAATTTGCCCAGCACACTGTCCATCATCATGTTTACCATCCAGCACCACCCTCTGCTCAACTACCAATGGTTCCACCCCAGCCTCCAGTGGTTTTGAGAGATGAGAAACACGTCACCCACCATCATACTCACCCTGCTCCCCCAATGGGACCTCCAGCTTCGCCTCCTTGCCCAGCACCCTGCACGGAGCAGGAAATCCACCACGAACATGTCTTCCACAAAAATAAAGGAAGTTTTGCACAAGGACAGCAAATGACAGGTCCTAATGCTGTAAATGGAGGAATACAATTTGGAGGTATGGGAATGGGTGGTATGGGCATGGGAATGGGCATGGGCATGGGTGGAGGTGCAGGATGTCCAAGACCGTGCAAAAAATCCAAACTTCATAAGAAGATTAAGGAAGCAAAGAAGTCTCACAAGAAACATCACCATAAGAAGCATCATGATAAGAAAACTGAAAAACATCAGGAAAAGAAGTCCAAGAAAGATTAAAAAGGACGGCAACACCATTGACAAGAACAACCACATTTGAGGCAAAATAAGCCTGAAGTGTAATGTTAAATTGTACAACTGACTAACCAACCAAATCTGACAAACTGACAACGATTATTACTGTAAAGCATTAAGAAACATTTGCACAATGATATTGTTTCTGTGAAATGTACATATAGTGATATATTAATGACATTCTAGTGGGGGAAGGAAACAGCCATGCAAACTCTCCTTGCCGGTAAATGAATTGTTCTCAGAAGAACGTTCTAACTTTCCAACGTCTTTCATCTTAGTAACAGATAATTAAATGCCAATTCCATCATGTAAATTATTTGTTGTATTTTATTAAATTTTGCAATGTAATTATTAACACTGAATTTAGGTTTATTTCCTTCAGAACTTGCAGACATATACAGCCACTAACTCTTTGCAAGATCGCATCTCAATACGAGGATGCAATTGTCTACCGAATATGAATTTGAGATGATAACATTATGATTCACTGAGCTCCATGGTTTTCGTTCTGTAATGCATATTTCCACGTGACGCGCCGTCAGAATTTCTAAACCATTTCTTAGGGTTGCGGTGCTGTAAGAAAATAAAATCTATGATTTTCTTCTTCAAACAAGTATAGCGATGGTAACACTGGGCGGTCAAATTGTTCATTGATGTGTTAGAAAGCAGTGTCTCTCCGTATATCTATGACTTAAACTGCTCTTTCTTATAGACAGTCAAGTCAAATTAAGTTTTATATTGAGACAATAGTCAACCGTTCATTATGAACGCGAAAGAATGATGGGGTTACAACAATTTTTATTTTTACTAGCCTTCCTATTGCGCATTAGCTGTATGTTCAAATACTATTTATGCAGTAAGAAAGCAATGCAATTGTTTCTCTACTCCGTGCCTTTCGAAAAACTGTATAATCACGATTTGTCTTACTGACCTCAATCAAAAATCGTCCTGATCTGGAGTGGGGATGATGGTATGCGTAGACAAACCAACAAAGGGCCACTAATATTATCACAAGGCAAAGTACTATTAAACCAATTCCAACACTGCTGACACCAGAGCTTTCAGAACCAGATCTAGCACCAACATTGCCATTATTATTTAGTGGACCATTTTTATTTGTCGATGATCTTATGACAGGCTTTTCTGTGATTTTCGTATCAGAGTCAACAGTTCCCTCTTTTGTTCTGTTATTATCTGTTATTTTAGATTCTTGAGTTGGTGTTTTATTTGATTTTGTAGTTGTTTTATTATTTCTCCTGAATTCTACTATTGTTGGCTTCTGTTTCATTTTCATTGTTGTTTTCGTTTTATATCTTGGCGTCGGTGATGCTGTAACGTTATTGACTTGAGTTGTTCTTGCTGGTGTCGGTCGTTCTATCGAACACTAAAACGACATTTTTAAAATCCAAATCAAGGCAAATTCGGTGTAGATGACAAGAAGTGAATAAGAATTAATAAGCAACCAACCTTTGTCTGATTATTTTTTGGGCATTTGTTAACAAACCACGCCTGACGATGTCTGTCTACTCCATCTGAGCATCTGCATTAGACGCATTTGAAAAATAAAACAAACGCATTAATAGTAAAAGATATTTATTTTTTCAACGAATTTCAAATTTTCCAACGATGCATAAGAATAGCGACAAGCTATTTGCGAGGTGATAACATACATGGGCTGAAGGCATGCGTGTTTGTTGGGTTGACAGCTTCAGCAGGGCTTTGGCTAGGAAATCTATGTCTATGTACTTTACCGGAAATGTAAGTGACCATGATTATTTGCGCCGGCAAAGCCTTCACGAAGTGAGACTCACCTGTTCACCGCGGCACACCACACACACGAGAAAGCAGTTGCAGTATTCGCACAGGCGTCGCACGTTTTTAACATTACACAGTCTAAAGTAATATAACATTCATACTATTATCTCAGGGATAAGTTATCACCTCGTTCCGAACGTTGGTACTTTATATAGTCTTGACTATATATAGGCATGACTATACAGGACGGTACCAACTACCAGATATAGTTCATTTTGAAATTTAGCTTTAACGCTATGTCTTATTACCCATGTCTAATTTTTTTTATGTTAAAACTAGTATACATGCAGATTATGGATAGGTCCTATCTTTGTTTAAACTTTGACAAAACTGAATTTTTCGCATGGGCATTTAAGTTTGGGCCCGACCCAACGAGATACCGATAAATAATCATAAATGTTAGAATTTTACCTTCAGCATACGAAATCGACATTCTGTGATCTATGATAGATTGTGCATGCATGTAGGTAAACTATAGTTTCTATATATGCTTACTTGGCAACGGCGTGATGACGTAGGCAGCGCCAGTTTTTACATTTTCCATAGGAAGTTCAACAGAGTGATATTTAAAATACAAATTTTGAGCTATAACTTTGTCTAAAGAAAAGCAGCAAGAGTTAATTTAGGAGCCAAGAGTGGAAGCACTCGAAGTTGAAGTAATTGCATGATACTAAGTAATTAACTCTATGGTAGATGCAACGATGCCTAAATATACTGCATGTGCACCTTATTTCAGAAAAGTAATTTCAGAAGCAATTCATTCGGGAATCAAACACGATTGAACTTCATTTGGAAGTTATTTTAGCCAAACCGATAATTTCTGGATTACAATTGGCCTTTGCATGGTATGTTTCTCAATATAGATACATAAGTTTAGTCCCGTCAGGACAAGCGTTTAATGACGTAATATCCCTGTCCAAATGTGCATTTAACAGTTTTGAAGAAACTGCAGGGAGTCACAGTAAGCATCCTGGTAATTGTAGTGCGCGCGCGAGAAGAAGGTTGTCATACATAAAGCCATATACGTACAAAATTTCCCCTTTATGTAAAATAAGCCACGACGAATGATTCGAAAACGTAAGCCATCTGAAATACCAACACGGTGCTGTAATGAATCACTTTTTAATTCCACAACAGGAGCTGGAATCTAAAATATGATGGAAAGTCACTTATAGTTTATTCATATATTTATAGTTTCATTCATAAGTCATAATTAGCATTTATTAATTCACGGTAATTTTGTAAATCTTTTATAAAACGCTCGCTGTAGTATTATTATACATAAATGCCTTTCACAAAGATCACCCTCCCCCACGCCTTCGCATCGTTCCTGCGTCTTTTTAGAAATTCCATTATCCCTCGCAATCCTCGCTATTTCACTCTAACCTATACCCTGCCTATACTTACATTTCGGTAGGCAAAAATAATCGTCCCGTTCTTTAGTAAAGTACATTGGAAAGAGAATTCACCAACTAAATTTGTGAAAATGTTGATTATTTTCTATATAACGTCTTTTTTTTGGCAAACAAAGAGAATTATAGATCGTGCTCTTTCTAGGGGGTAGAATGACTAGAATCCGCAGACGTGATAAACCCAAGAGTTGTCCTCACTAGATGCTTCCTCCTCTCGCTCAAAAATAATTGATGCATGAGTGGTAAATTTTCACATCACAAAAGCAGTAAACAAATAAACCTTTCTTCAAAGGTCAAGGCTTTTTGTATTTTAACAAAAATTTATGTTTTTTGCAAAGTTTACCCTTCGTCAATTTGTTTACCCTTCGGCATGTGCAAATGGTCTATAATATGGCCTTGACGATTACTGTGAAACAATTTCAATTTTCATGTTTAGAAAAATTTAATATTTTAATATTTATGTCAAATGTGGACAAACCTTTTTGGAATTTTAATTTTGTCCATTGCACAGTTAGTCGGTTTCCTAGGGCAAATGAACACAATAAATCGTGAACAAATCAGGCAGGCCAACACCCCGAAGTAGCCTGCGGACAAGCTCTCAGGATGAATTTATCATAAAGTAGCCTACCTGTGTCTACGTAAGTTATAACTGTGTCGTTGTTTGTTGTAAAATCAGCCATAAGTGGAGCAACATACTGTAACGAGGCATTGAACTTGTGAACCACATCACCCAGAAAAAGATAACCTAAATCATAGGTTTTGAAGAATTAAATGATAGCATGCAGTATAACAAGTTTTCAATCATATAATCAAACAGCTATATAAATAATATAATTAGTGCAATGGGAAATTAACCATGATTAAAGTATCAAATGTTGTTGTACCATGCATAGAGGAATGATTACAATTCTCCATTACCTTTATTTGTTATTGTAACCGATTCAATGATATGTCCGTAATAGGGAAATTGGAATGAAATCTCTGTTGTCTAAATATTAGATATATCATTGCATTTATCGTCAAATAGACCAAATGAATATAATGTTGGAAAATATACAAGTTATTTTTAAACGTTTTACGGTTCTACCGTCTCTAAGAAGAAGGTACTTCGAAAAACACTGCTCTCTCTCTCTCTATATATATATATATTCTTACAAAAGAAAGTTGTTTGTTTCTTGAGAGTCTTTCGTGAATTATTGGTGGAAATTTTCCTTGATCCAAAGGATACCACCACTTTTCAGCTCCAGAACTATCATAACTAGACTTGTAGTATTTGTGGTTGTCCTATATGGTAATGGAATATAATCATTAGCTCATATTAAATACATGGTTTTGATTTGCCCGGAACAGAAACCCATTGCTAGGAGGCACTAGGCAGGAGCTCTATGGTACGTGTAAGGTGCAAACCAGCCTAAAACACTACTGAGAGACCTTTTTAAATCAAAATGAAGAGAGATTGATATTGTGTATCAATTCGGACATCAAGAGTCTGGGAGTTATCTGTAGTCTGACCTTCATTTCGTAGTTCACAACAAGTGCATGTGAACTAAGTTTCTCCCGTGGTTTTACAACTTTTACTTACAATAACTGTCTTGTTAATCGTATGTCTTCCGCCAGTGGTATTCACACTTGCGCCACTTGTATTCATTTTCTTTTCAATTTTCTTGGATGATGGTTTTGTGGGGAAAATAGAGGTTGGTTTATCAGTAGAATATGGAGGCCTTTGTTCTGTCTCAACTCCAGGACCAGGTGGTTTTGTTGGTTCTTTGTCTCTCGTATCTCTTCGGGCAATATCATATCTCCTAAAGATTTCCGCATTCTCATCATTTTCCTGATGTATTTCGTAGATGTAGTTTTCTATAAATGATTTAACACCAAAACTACTTCATTTATGTAGAGCGAAACTATAACCTACATACAATTCTCTTTTTTCCGATTGTCTCGGCTGAGAAATGTTTGGTCGTGTATAACCATGCAACTGTACATGTAATATATACCAGTGTTAAATTCAGATGCAACAAGACCATCTCGTGCAAAGGGGAGCCTAACCGCATAGATAAAACAGGTACCCTGCAGCTTCATGATTAAGACTAACCACTAAATATAACTGTACAAAGAATGATATAAATTGGTACAGGACCGATTAAAGGGCTTTGTACTTTAATTCTCTTAGGGAAGAAGTTCTGTTAAATGCCAAAAGAGACAGTTAAGACTCCCAGAAGTTGCGAAAGAAACAATAGATTCACATAAAACGGATGTTAACAAGCTAAAAAAGAATAAAGTTTACGAATATTTTATATAATTGTGATTTCGCCAAATTCAGAAATTGATTTAAGGTGGTCGATTGTTATGACGGTTCGTCGGGTTCGATGTCTCCTTTCCCTGAGAATGAATAATAGCAACCCAATATGTATATATACCACCGAAATTTCAACACAAGCAAATAGAGCTGTTTGTCATCAGTTGTTTATCATCACAGAAAATAGATGAACGTCGACGTTTTGTGAGAAAACTACACTGATATAGCGAAGAGTAATAAAACTAAGGCTATTCAGAGGAGATGTGAACGGAGGACCTTCGCATTATATTATTTCCAGCAGTATAAAATATCGTCTCAGACTTAATGTGAAAAACAGGCAAGCAAAAAATGTATATACATAAAAGTATTTGATTTTTTTAGTCTTTAGATTTTGAAAGAAAAGTATCGCATTTACTATGAAGCATGCAATGAAAAGTTCGCTTCGTGTTACGCATTGTCACCAATTGTCACTCCACGGCTGACGTTCATGTATTGACTTGTTTTCGCTGCAAGGCTAACGGTACAGCGTCCTTCGTATATCATGAATTTTCTCACAATATACACTAATCCAATTCATTTTAGGCACCAAAATTGAAAATGAAAACACTTACCCCAAGTCACTCCAAGAGCCATCTTTAGTTCTATCACGATCATTGGAAGAAAAACACAAAAAATCACATATTTCATGTGCATTTTTAAAAAATTGTGTTATAATTATAAAGTTAATGAATCCTTTTGCACTTCTTTAAAAAAAAACTTATGTTCCAGCGGTGTTCGTTGAAAACGTCGTCACTTTATAAAGATTAAACAGCCGAGTTTCCTCGTCATTGAAGGCGATAAAGGCGAACAATAACTTCGTCTCCCAGGATAGTAAGTGGTATTATTTTATCCACTTCATATGGTAATTTTGTTCAAGATGAAGGATCCCGTTGTTCGTTCAAGATGAAGAATATACACTAAATCTCATTATTATTATTTATGGCGGCATATTCAATTTCCGAAACATCCAGTGTAATGAATTCTTCAACCCAATGCACACGGAGAAGATTTCAGTAGAACAATTTTTTCATTGATTGCCTTATGTTAGTTATATTGTCGAGGTACTTCGTTCTCAGGCAACTACAAGTATTAGAGTTCACAAAATATTTTGGGTATTTTCTAGTGAGTCAAAACCTGTTTTTTAAAACTGGAGTGACTGGACCACGTACTGCATAATGCTCGACCGTTAAGACAATGTTCCCATCATGCAGTACACATACGCCAGCCGTAGCTGATACGCATTTCTCTTCGTCTTTTTATTAAAGCTATACTCCCCCTAAAAGAACAGAAATTCTAGTGAAAAGCAATATTTAATGGATGAAACCGGAAAACGAATGTTAGACCTTGACAACAGATGGTTGAAGAAGGGGGACGCGGCCGCGGGTCTACTTAAAAATTGCCTACAGTAATTTGTCAAGAAGACAACAGATTTATCTTTCGGGGATGGGGTTAAGATCTCTCGGGTGGATGTTGTTAACCTACGGCGAAGACGTGACTGCCGTTTTTTATTTCCACAGTCTCACAACAGGGGTAAAAATTATAGACTCCTTTTGGCAAACAAAGACAGAGCCGTATTTAAAACAAATTAAAACGGGGTTGCTAACATTAGCAACCGCTAATGACGCTGGTAGAGGAGAACTATGGACTTAATGAGTTAACGGGTTAAAATATCTTCCCAGAAAGCCAGGCTTGTTATTTTATTCATACGATTGCTTGGTTTGTAATAACCTTTGATTACTGTTCTTCATCAGTGTAAAAGTGAAATTAAAAGCTGAACAAAAGCAACTGGTTTAAATGAAGTATACTCACAATAACACGCAATTATCAACGTTAGCCGCTGATCTTAACTTGTTTTTCTCTAGAGTAAGGCACAAGGTTGGTATATAACCTGCAAACAGGTTATTTCATGCTTGAATGTGCCGCATGACCAAAGTTTTCGAGGTCCGCGGAAATATATAGTATAATATATTGACCAGCCACGCTGGGTGAAGATTTCAGAGGGACCACGCCGCACAGCCCAGGTAAGTTGTAGGGTCATGACGTTATATACATGTCATGAACTTTTTTTTAACACACGGCTGTATAGCCTATAATACGTTTTGAAAGTCAGTCGCAATAATAGAATGAAAGTGAAAGGAGCCAATGCAAAGAAATGAGGATTAGTAGGACGAGTTTAGGGAAGACGTTGGGGCAAAATTGCTTTTGTAAGGAATAAAGACTGGCACATTTAGTATAAACATCGACCAAATCTTGATTTTGTATTTAAAACACTGGCTATAACAATACTTCCGACTCAAGTAGCCTGATTTCTTGGAATATACCTTTCGATCAAAGGGCAGTTTCAAACGTCGAACTTTTCTTGTGTCAATATTTCTCTCAGGCCGAAGCCGACCTGCTCGGTAGTTCAACTCTGGCGTAATATAACGTTTTTTTAATAGCAGAGAGATAACTGATTATATAACTTTATCATGAGTGTTATTACTCATTTTAATCCAATTTTTGAGAGGTGCGACACTTCCTTCCGTTTATATAAGTGCACGTAATCATTATATATACGTATTACGTATACCCTAGTAGCTATGATAGTTCTATGCAGTTAAAGATTATTTTCATATATTTTTATAGTTTAGTATAACAAAAGACATCAGTCATGGATGAAGGCAGTGTAGAGAAACCGGTAGATGAAGAGGCTGGAAACGATGCAAACATGTTTCAGAGATTTCTTGCCGATATGGAGAAGAAATTAAAAGAAATGTTACCAGACAATGGTGCTGACTCAGAAACTGGAGAACAAACATTGCTGCGATTTGAAGAATTAAAGAATAGAGTGAAGAAGATGGAGCAATCTGCGAGTAGGCCTCGAACAAAAACACGAATTACAGAAATAGAAAGTGACGTTTTAGCCGAAGAAGCAAGAAAAAGAGAGATCGATCGTGTTCTTCAAATGATGGCAGCAGCACAAGCAGTTGATCTATGTTTTCTCGTCGATTGCACTGGAAGTATGGCATCGTACATTCAAGGGGTCAAAGACAAGATCAAGGGAATCATTGAGAAATCCAAACGAATGCTTCCAGATTTGAGTTTCTCCGTCGCGTTCGTCGGCTACCGCGATCATTGTGATGGCACCGACCGGACAGTCGTTTTGAACTTTACGACTTCAATCCTGGAATTCCAAAGTTTCATGGAATCTGTTTCAGCCAAAGGTGGTGGCGATGCTCCCGAGGATGTTTTTGGCGGCATTGAAGAAGTTACTAAGCTTTCCTGGGTAAAACAAACACGAATTTTGTTCCACATCGCCGACAGCCCTTGCCACGGGACACGTTTTCACGATCCTAGTGTCGGCGACGAGTATCCCAACGGAGATCCCCGTGGACTGCATATTGAAGATTTACTATCAAAGTTGGACGAGCTCAAAATAATCTATTGGTTTGCTAAGCTTGGTAACACAACCGATTTGATGATAAAAGTTTTCCAAAGCATTATGAAGATTAATGAAATTGATCTGGCGTCCGCTGACGATCTTGTTGGAGCGGTGGCTGGTTCCATCTCCGCTTCCGTGGGTATCCACGAAGAAAATATCGGAGATGAGGTGATGAGAGAAGGCGTAAAAGGTGAGATCAAGTACAAGATAGATCACGGACTACCTGACTGGGGGTCGCTAGAAAAGAAACATATAACTGTGTGGAAAAACAAGATTCCTCGTGATCTAGACAAATTTCGTAAACCTTTAGAGGTGTACCGTGAAACGACATGTTCCATAAAGATTGCTGCCAACCCATTTGCTGAAGGAAAGTTGAGGATTGCCTATTATGGAAGATATGCCAGCGAAGAGAGCGGGGATTCCTTAGTTTTGAAGCAGTTTAAATACACGAGTGAAAATCAATTCGCCCGATATAAAGAACAGATGGAAATTCAATCAGTTGCCATAGCTTTGGCCGATAAGTTCAACGCCATCAAGCCAGCAGGAACAAGAGACGTCCATTTCGCTGACGTGTCGATTGTCACATTCGTCCAAGGTGAAGAAAAAGTCCATTATGCTATGGAGAAGTATATCAATGGAAAATATATCAAGTTCAACAACAATGCTGGATTTGTTAACGAAACTGCGTACACAGCTACACTACACGCATTCAGTCATTGGTCGTATTGGGCTTCCGGAAGATATCTCATGGTTGTTGATCTTCAAGGCGTGAAAGAAGAAAGCTCTGGTCACGTGAGATATGTCTTAACTGATCCTGCAATACATTGTGGTTCTCTCCGTAGATTTGGCAAGACGAATCTGGGACGTGAAGGAATGTATAAATTTTTCCGTACCCACTATTGCAACGGCATTTGTAAGGCTATGGCACTGAAGTTCCATCGTTTTCAGCCAACGGAGGTCTATACTGATTTTGCTGGAGCAACTGTAGTCACAACATGACATTATTATGTAATAACTTGAAAATACAAGATTATGATTGGCCAATTCTACCATTAACAATAGTTAAAATTAACTATAGTAAAAATATTATTAGCCGGAAACTCTCAGAAAATCAAAACGTTTTTGAAGGACAAATCAAAGACCATTATATAACAGTAATAGCTATAATACTATATGTTGTATTATTTGTATAGGTAATAGTATGATTTCGAGTGCAATTACGCATTAACAAGCACGAGTGAGTTTTTAAAGGCTGCAAAATAGCGCGAGTGCGAAGGACGACTAAAAAATGCAACTATGTTTAGGAGGGCGGAATCAATATAGCGTTTAACAGAGAAGGCAAGTCGTAATCAAAGCAAATATTGCAAATCGATTTTTTTATTAGGGCTGAAACACATGTTTGCCCGTTAACGCTGATCCTAACCCTACCCAATAAGGATTATATTATAGATCTGAACATGGACATGGGAGTAATCGCAAAAATCTATATCGTATGTATCAATGGTATTATGGTAGATCCACACCACACGAACTGGCCCCGATTCGCTAACGCGACGCGAATTTTTCATTTTCAGAAGCGAATAAATTTTAAATTACAAAAAGCGAAAAATTGCAACGAGCCACCTTAAGTCACCCTCGTTACTAACGCGGTTATATAATTTGTATACATAAAATACATAATGTAAACAAAATATCATTTCGCATCTCTGCCATCTCAGCATCTGTGGACTCCAAGATAAGAAATATAAATACGAATGCTTCATTTTTAATAGAAACAGTATATAATCACGATGATTACTATTATCCTGTTATTGTGTATTTTATCAAACGTTTTTGTCATAGGATTTTGCCGTGAATATAAAGGTAAGACTAAGGTTAGGGTATAAATAAGTTAGAATAAATAATACTTGGCCATCTTGAATATCATACGGTTTAAATTACATACTCAAAACAGGTCTTTGTTCTCAAACTTCATCTTGTCTTGAAATATACTCAGGTCAATGTGATATCTTGTTTATTCGGAATATTACTGAATTACTGTCAAACTGAGGCAGGTATTATTTTTAGCATACGAAATTCAATGTCTTTATAGGCGGCTTGTAATATCAATAATATAAAGTAAATGTTTTCAATTTACAATGAAAATTGTTGCAAAGAAAGCAATCATATTAACAAAGAAATTGTAGCTTATAGATAGATAAATATGTACGAACTACTTCACTTCATAAAAAGCGATTGACGTATATGTATGTATAATTTATAATATACACTGCCGCCTGTGACCAGAGGCTTGTGATTAAAGTTGTCTGTTCTAGTGTGTCTGTGTCACTATTTTAGAAGTCCTTTCCTTAACACGGATGTTTATCTGGCGATACAAGAAACGAACCATATGCCACAAAATCATAGTAGCTAATCTAAATAAATAAAACAGGCAGTATATTAGGCAGTTAGGCAGTATATGAAGAGAAAACATTCAGTTGTTATGCACATTGACATTGCACAGCCTAGTCCAAAAAGAATGCAACGCGCTAAAGAGGACTAGGTACTAGTCTGTGTTATGCAGGGTGGAACCTGCATAAATTATAATAACATACAGAATAATTTATATCCGAAGGGCTGACGTAAAGCAATATTGATTTGGAGGTCTGTGCCCAGAATCTGTAGCTTCGATGATTTTACGTTTTATTTTTCCACTCAATTTACTTTATTTTTATATAACTTGAGGTCCATTACATATGGACATATGAACTAGTACACGACGAGCGACAGCCATTTTCACTGAAATTTTGGTAATTGTCGCAAGTTTTAATTAATGCGTCTTTCTGAAATAAAATAAATAAATTCACCGATTTTAATCGGCAAATATCAAACTGTTTTGATATATTCCGATCGCAGTCTGCCGAATAAAATCGCTTATATAAAAATGACATTGCAAACGCAAGGACTTTGAACAGCTAAAATTGAACAACAAAAATCGCGTCGTAAGAATTTGCATATGAACTATCACCACATAGAAATCTCCAGCTTGTAATCTAATTATTGAATCTTTTCTACTGTTTAGTGTACTATGATGTTTATGATTATGGCAAACTGGCGGAAACAAAGTTTCTGATAAGTCATAACATCATCAAAAGATCCGCATTTGGTGCTAATTTATCGTCAACTGCCAGTCCATCCACCTCTGTAAAAACAACACAGAATACCACGAATCCAAAAACATCATATGCTACTGCAAGTACAAAACTACCAACTCGCCAGCCCTTTCTTAACACGACCGGTCAGCCTTCTTCGAGTACAACTGGTCAAGCTAAAACAAACCACTCTACAACTGCAAATAGAAAAACAAATCGTCCCTCAATACCTTGGACGACTACACCTAGAAACAATGGTACAACACAAATGCCAGTCAACTACACTAATGGAACGAATACAACCTTTTCTCAGGTGATTTAACTGCTTATATAATAACAAATCGCGCAATCATCGTATTAATATATAGCATTGCATCGCGTGACTCAATAACAAGTAAGCGCGCGTTCTTGTTACTTAATTCTTTTTTGGGTAAGAATCGTATGCGCCGATACTGGTTTGAGTGACGTATAATTATGCCTTGTGGTATAGGATAACCACAGATATTTTACATCGCGTTATTTTTCATCTGGTGGAAGATGGTGGTTCGACGTGAACGACGGTAGTGCACAACCAAAGCTACAAGTTCACTTAACGAAGAATTTGCGGTATTCTGAGGTCTGTTAATGCAATTATGTGGCACTGATTTTAACCTTTTTATTATCTACAGCTTTGCCAAATTCTAGTTGATTTTTCTTATTTAGACCATCAAAACCTCATTCACATTCCCTTACTATGGACATGAAATTAATAAAATCACTATCACAAATAAAGGTACAAAATCGTCGTTCACAGTTTCATATTGAAATAGTTGAATAAAATTAATTTAAGGAGGAGGTTCAATAAAGGCGGGATTATTCTTCCAGGTGTCTTGAAATATGTTATAAATATATGTTGTATCTCATTTTTCCAGGATACTTGTTTTTGGGTGAGGAAATGCACAAGTTTAATGCATCAATGCAATATGTTGCGCCACTTATGGCGGATTTTGGCGCTCATCTTCATAATGAGACCTCTATACATTATGTTGACACAGGTACCGTACAATATTCTTGTTTTATACGGGATTTTGATGTACCTAAATACGAAAAATACGGCCCAGTAATTCTCGTACAACACTTAAGCGTCAACTGAAATATTACAAATTGGATTATTTCTAAAATTATTGCCATTCTAACTATCAACTTCAGTTCAACTGGTATATTCATTGTGTAGGTGATCGTTTCACCGTGGAATGGAAAAATTTAAAGTTACAAAATCAACAAGGTTTGCTTCTTCTAAAATCACGTGTTTTGAATCCAATATTTGCAGAAAATACCTTAATGATTTGTAATATAAATATGATTGATATATTCTATAGAATACGATATTTAAAAAAATATTTACTTTAATTTCTTCTTTCTGATCAGCGGGTACATTTTCCTTCCAATGCTCTGTTCTGAAGAATGGTACAATAATTTTTGCTTATAAAAATGTAAGCTATACTTTTTATAAAATTACCTTGGTATCGTATAAAAGAAATGTCAAGAACAAACCCATTTAGATCTTACCTCAGTCTTTCTAAATTCCAAAAACGTTGACACGCAATTTTTTCCTTAGATCCCTGTCGCTGTTAGTAAAATAAAGAATAACACTTTTCCTGTTCGTGTTGGTCTGTCTGATAGCTATGTTGTTCGTTATGTACGTTATGGATTATTCTTTATAGAAGGAAAATTCTGTAAGTATAAATTCACACACGAGCCTACACATGAGCTGGTCTGCAAATCATAGTTATCTTACACTACATATAGAAATATACCTGGATTGCATATTCATATATTTGCCCTGGAAATATTAAACAATTTCTATACTAAAGTAAAATGGAAATTGACATGAGTGAAATGTACAACTCAGTTTTTGTTATATTTCAGACACGAGAATTATTTATTACATCTATTATCGATACCATCAAATTAAGCTTGGAAAGGAACTAGCAAAAAGTGGATCTGCTTTTGTTATGACACCGTTACCAAGTAAGAATTGTGATCAAAAAAAGTTTATTCATCTAAAGGATAAAGAAAGCGCAGGAATATAGATCAGTTGTTTGAGGGGAAGCTGTCTGGTAGTATAACGATATTTTAATTGCTATGTGCCATGCAGTATATTGATATATTTTCTTTCTTTTGAAGATTGCATTATGTACAAGTCTTGTGATTCTTGCATGAACAGCAAAACACAGTTTTCATGTAGATGGTGTCCTAAGATAGGGAGGTAAGACCAACAACAACAATTCATTTTTGGGTAGAAAGTCACCTAAAATACACATTATTATTAAGATATATTATTAAGATGGAAAGGAAACTTCTTTATGTTACTGCAGTTTTTAAATGATTTTTGGATGGAACCTTGTCATGGATCGTAGCAGATTATCTTCAAGTTATGCAATTTACTGTTAAGGTATATAATGTACAAACAAATGAAACAATTCATGTTATTTCCGCTCTGCAGATGCTCTGATGGAATCGACCGCCACCGACATGATTGGCTCGTATATAGATGCAATCGATACAGTGTAACAAAGGTAAATTGTCGTGAGATTTAAACTCACTTTACACGATACCGGATTGCTGTTAAGAACCGGTCAAATTTTGTTCGTATTAAAAGCAGTGAAGACTTATGTTGGAGACCTGAATACAGATATGAAATTTATCCATTCAATATGTATGTTGTAAGACCGCAACATATCTCCACAATAATATGTAGTAAACCTTCACATTCAAATACTTCTTAGTGTCGTGCGATTGGAACTGTCAAACCTAAGAGCTCAATCGTGAGAACTGTCAAACCTAAGAGCTCAAATTCGTCAAAACAGCCGAAAACTGAAAACAATATTAATGGAAACAGGGCGAATCAGAAGACAAAATCCCGCGGTGGTGGTCGTAAGTCAGGCAAACGTGCTGGTGCAGCTGTTGCGATTGTGATTACTGCTCTCATTTGTATCGTGATTGCTTGCTGGATTGCGTATGCCTATACTCATCCACTGTCGAAATCTGGCATGTTTTTGATGCAGGTAATATCTGTACACAAAATGATGTCTGATAATCAATGAGCTTATTATGTAGATTAATTATGTAGCGACTAGCAATGGACGAATTTATAAACGTACTACCCAAAAGCATTTTTATTGGTTGAAAATCCTCGGAAAAGCTGGCGAGTTGGTCATATTTCCGTTGCATATTTCTTTTTGAAATGAGAGCGGTCTAGGGCACTACTATATCTATACTACCAGCAGGCTACTACTATCTATACTAGTAACGTCTTCCTAAAGGCTTTCTTATGTATACAGATAATTCTTATACAAATATAACGTGTATTTTCAGTACGGAAACCCAAGAAAATGGTTTAACAATTCTGGGAGTGGGTCAACCGGTGGTGGAAAGATCACATTCAAATCAATGCCTCATGAAAGCACTGCTTAAATACTGTTATTCCATGTAATTATTATTATACTTCTATATGATATCTCCATTCATGTTGTCGTTGTCTATAGTAGAGTTTATGCTTTGTCAGTTCCATGAGCCCTCACTATTATCAGTAGGCTATTTAATTCGCGATGTGAATATTGATGAATAAGATAACAAGTTTTTTTTGATAAATAAATTGTAATCATGTAAATGGACACATATTAAAAATCTCCACGGACTTTTAATCCGTACAATATTTGTAGACATTACAGAACACAGGTTAAAAAATATACACCTACAAAATTAGTCAACCATTTTGAGCATTAGATGTTGCAAACTTGTAATATTTTCCCGATGAGATCTCTTCATCTTCATTATACAATTCTGAGAGTGATCTCTTGATAATATGAAGAATTATCTCAGGCTCATATTTATCTACCGATAATTCATTGACAGGGAGACTATCAAAGATTGTACTATCTAAGATGTAATTTACTGTAATATTTAAAATTGTAATAAAATATAGTCGTAATAACCTAGTGTCTAACTTTGATTGTGTTTCTTGCAGCAGCTCCGCGGCTCTCTGGTGGGTCACTACTGTGTGTCACAGTCGCGCTATTTGAATCCAGTCCATTGTGACCTTACTCGAGATATTGGTTTATATTCTATTGTATTTATTAGATAGGTTTTTCAAGCCTTAAATAGCCTGTTAACCTAAGACATTACTATTGGTAGACCAACATCCAAAAGGAAAATGAGATATGGTTCAATTTTTTTGTGTAATTCTTTTTACTTATATGAAGTAACTTGATTTGTGACGCGGGCTCAAGGTTCAAGGACAACTTTAAAGCTTTGAAAATATAATTTGGCGATTTCTTGTTAATTTTTCTCCTTTTTGAAAGTGGTAAGTTAAGTTTTTGGTGTTATTTCTTAATCATAATTTTCTGTACAAGTTTTACCATAATAACATTTTGTATTAATAAAACGTTTTAGGACACAAGACAAGTGTTGCAGTAGTGTTAAGTGTTAACTCCGACGATGACAAGTTTCGCTCGAAATTTTATGAACCAATATTATAAAAGAGCGAACAATGTTCGAATGTACCAGGAGTTATTTCAGGTTTGGTTGGCGGCATTTTTAATGACTAGGGAGCATTTGTATATAAAAAGACTAGTTAACTTTTAACTGTAGTTAACGACAGAATTCAATGGCCAATCAGATTATGAGAGTTGTGTATTTCTCAGTTAACTAGGATTTAACTATGCAAAATGTAGTTAAGAACTTTAAACAACTGGCCCTAAGTTTTTTAATTAGCCTCATGATGGACAGTTCTCCAGTATCATCATGATTGTTGTAGCCTTGTATCAAACTAAAGGCTGTGTTACAAGATAAAATTTTTCTGCAATTCTCATATTTTTTATAACATTTATTGCTAGAAAGCCCACAATGTTCCTGTACATTTAAGAGGTCCATCGGATCAAGCCATCTACCAGGGCCTGATGGGTCTATCATTTTTTGGGATTGGTGTGTCTCTTTGTACTATATATGCAATGGCATCAGGAACATTAAAAAAAAAGTGAGATTTTGCAAAGCTTGTAGAGCAGTATTCAAAATATATGTTTTTAATATTATCCTCATTTATTGACATGTCTGGATATTCTATATTTAAGGAAATAATAAGATTGCATCTTTACAAAATAAAATAGATTCCAGTCTAACAGAGGCAGATGATTCATTTTTTATTCAAATATACCTACCTGCCTGAGTATTGTCAATATTGAAGTTATATGCTATCTCCAGGATTCAGTTTTCTTCAACACGTCTTGCAATCATGTAGTACTTTCTGGATCATCAATCATTCAATCCATCCCCAAGAATTTTCTTATATACTACTTAATCTTTTTCTCTAATGCAAAAACAAATACATTAAATACATCAACTACATAAAATGTGACCAAACCCTGACATATGGATCAAAACACTGCAACAGTTTCCTGTTAATAAGAGGAGACAACACCAGTTACGCATGTTATATATATATATATATACCTCTACCACCATCCTCACATATGTTGCGGATGCCGAAGTTGCTCTCTTCCACTCACATAATTTTTAAAAAATTAAAAGTCAGAAAATAATGTTTTCTCATGACATATCGTTTTTCTGAAGTACAGGGTGTCTCAAAAAAAACGCAACCACTTAATATTCTAAAATTCATATTATTTATAAGCTCAATAGATTTTATGCCCCTGGGATTTTAAAATGGCTTCTAATCGTACAGTTTAACTGCTAATAGTCAAATCAGCTAAACTAATAATGGTGCAGCTAACAACCGAACAACGAGTTTTTATTGTCAACCTTATAAAATAAGTTGTAAGTAAAATTTTACTCGTTAAATACTTTCAATTCAGCTCGTTGGTTTACGCACCTGACTTTGTTTATCGACGATTGTGCCGCTAGAATATGATTACAAGCTTTCTCGCATTCCAGGGGGCAAACGTCTTTTGTGTTGTAGAACAAAGAGGATATTCATGAATATTAAGTGGTTGCGTTTTTTTTGATACACCCTGTATATGCGAAGGTTAGGGGTTCTATCCTCTCCAAGAGCACATTATTTGATCCTTTTCAAAGATTGACTTCTCATTTAATTTCCAGGAGATATAATTCACAAAATACCGTTTTTCATTCACAAATGTACCATCATTCACACAGTGTTTAAGCACCTGGCTCTCGTGGCCCAGTTGGTTAGTGCGTCGTACTTATAAGCAGTACCGAAGTATATGCGAAGGTCGAGGGTTCGATCAGATTCTTTGAACGATCTGAAGAATTATTATTTAGTTTCCAAAAGATATCTGTGGCAAAATTTTGTTGCATCATTCGCACATTTCTTACGCACCTGGCTCTCGTGGCCCAGTTGGTTAGTGCGTCGTACTTATAAGCAGTACCGAAGTATATGCGAAGGTCGAGGGTTCGATCCCCTCCTGGAGCAGATTCTTTGAACGATGTGAAGAATTATTATTTAGTTTCCAAAAGACATCTGTGGCAAAATTTTGTTCCATCATTCACACACTGTTTAAGCACCTGGCTCTCGTGGCCCAGTTGGTTAGTGCGTCGTACTTATAAGCAGTACCGAAGTATATGCGAAGGTCTAGGGTTCGATCAGATTCTTTGAACGATCTGAAGAATTATTATTTAGTTTCCAGGAGATATATGTGGCAAAATTTTGTTCCATCATTCACACACTTTTTAAGCACCTGGCTCTCGTGGCCCAGTTGGTTAGTGCGTCGTACTTATAAGCAGTACCGAAGTATATGCAAAGGTCGAGGTTCGATCAGATTCTTTGAACGATCTGAAGAATTATCATTTAGTTTCCAGGAGATATATGTGGCAAAATTTTGTTCCATCATTCACACACGTTTTAAGCACCTGGCTCTCGTGGCCCAGTTGGTTAGTGCGTCGTACTTATAAGCAGTACTGAAGTATATGCGAAGGTCGAGGGTTCGATCCCCTCCAGGAGCAGATTCTTTGAACGATGTGAAGAATTATTATTTAGTTTCCAGGAGATATCTGTGGCAAAATTTTGTTCCATCATTCACACACTGTTTAAGCACCTGGCTCTCGTGGCCCAGTTGGTTAGTGCGTCGTACTTATAAGCAGTACCGAAGTATATGCGAAGGTCGAGGGTTCAATCCCCTCCGGGAGCAGATTCTTTGAACGATCTGAAGAATTATTATTTAGTTTCCAAAAGATATCTGTGGCAAAATTTTGTTGCATCATTGGCACATTTCTTAAGCACCTGGCTCTCGTGGCTCAGTTGGTTAGTGCGTCGTACTTATAAGCAGTACCGAAGTATATGCGAAGGTCGAGGGTTCGATCCCCTCCGGGAGCAGATTCTTTGAACGATGAGAAGAATTATTATTTAGTTTCCAAAAGATATCTGTGGCAAAATTTTGTTCCATCATTCACACACGTTTTAAGCACCTGGCTCTCGTGGCCCAGTTGGTTAGTGCGTCGTACTTATAAGCAGTACCGAAGTATATGCGAAGGTCGAGGGTTCGATCCCCTCCGGGAGCAGATTCTTTGAACGATGTGAAGAATTATTATTTAGTTTCCAAAAGATATCTGTGGCAAAATTTTGTTCCATCATTCACACACGTTTTAAGCACCTGGCTCTCGTGGCCCAGTTGGTTAGTGCGTCGTACTTATAAGCAGTACCGAAGTATATGCACGAATATCGCGAAGGTCGAGGTTCGATCAGATTCTTTGAACGATCTGAAGAATTTATTTAGTTTCCAGGAGATATATGTGGCAAAATTTTGTTCCATCATTCACACACGTTTTAAGCACCTGGCTCTCGTGGCCCAGTTGGTTAGTGCGTCGTACTTATAAGCAGTACCGAAGTATATGCGAAGGTCGAGGGTTCGATCCCCTCCGGGAGCAGATTCTTTGAACGATGTGAAGAATTATTATTTAGTTTCCAAAAGATCTGTGGCAAAATTTTTTCCATCATTCACACACGTTTAAGCACCTGGCTCTCGTGGCCCAGTTGGTTAGTGCGTCGTACTTATAAGCAGTACCGAAGTATATGCGAAGGTCGAGGGTTCGATCAGATTCTTTGAACGATCTGAAGAATTATTATTTAGTTTCCAAAAGATATCTGTGGCAAATTTGTTGCATCATTCGCACATTTCTTAAGCACCTGGCTCTCGTGGCCCAGTTGGTTAGTGCGTCGTACTTATAAGCAGTACCGAAGTATATGCGAAGGTCGAGGGTTCGATCCCCTCCGGGAGCAGATTCTTTGAACGATTGAAGAATTATTATTTAGTTTCCAGGATATCTGTGGCAAAATTTTGCTCCATCATTCACACACTTTTAAGCACCTGGCTCTCGTGGCCCAGTTGGTTAGTGCGTCGTACTTATAAGCAGTACCGAAGTATATGCGAAGGTCGAGGGTTCGATCAGATTCTTTGAACGATCTGAAGAATTATATTTAGTTTCCAAAGATATATGTGGCAAAATTTTGTTCCATCATTCACACACGTTTTAAGCACCTGGCTCTCGTGGCCCAGTTGGTTAGTGCGTCGTACTTATAAGCAGTACCGAAGTATATGCAAAGGTCGAGGTTCGATCAGATTCTTTGAACGATCTGAAGAATTATATTTAGTTTCCAGATATCTGTGGCAAAATTTTGTTCCATCATTCACACACGTTTTAAGCACCTGGCTCTCGTGGCCCAGTTGGTTAGTGCGTCGTACTTATAAGCAGTACCGAAGTATATGCGAAGGTCGAGGGTTCGATCCCCTCCGGGAGCAGATTCTTTGAACGTGATGAAGAATTATTATTTAGTTTCCAAAAGATATCTGTGGCAAAATTTTGTTGCATCATTCACACATTTTTAAGCCTGGCTCTCGTGGCCCAGTTGGTTAGTGCGTCGTACTTATAAGCAGTACCGAAGTATATGCGAAGGTCGAGGGTTCGATCCCCTCCGGGAGCAGATTCTTTGAACGATATGAAGAATTATTATTTAGTTTCCAAGATATCTGTGGCAAAATTTTGCTCCATCATTCACACACTTTTTAAGCACCTGGCTCTCGTGGCCCAGTTGGTTAGTGCGTCGTACTTATAAGCAGTACCGAAGTATATGCGAAGGTCGAGGGTTCGATCCCCTCCGGGAGCAGATTCTTTGAACGATCTGAAGAATTATTATTTAGTTTCCAAAAGATATCTGTGGCAAAATTTTGTTCCATCATTCACACTTTTTAAGCACCTGGCTCTCGTGGCCAGTTGGTTAGTGCGTCGTACTTATAAGCAGTACCGAAGTATATGCGAAGGTCGAGGGTTCGATCCCCTCCGGGAGCAGATTCTTTGAACGATGTGAAGAATTATTATTTAGTTTCCAAAAGATATCTGTGGCAAAATTTTGTTCCATCATTCACACACGTTTTAAGCACCTGGCTCTCGTGGCCCAGTTGGTTAGTGCGTCGTACTTATAAGCAGTACCGAAGTATATGCGAAGGTCGAGGGTTCGATCAGATTCTTTGAACGATCTGAAGAATTATTTTAGTTTCCAAGATATCTGTGGCAAAATTTTGTTCCATCATTCACACACGTTTTAAGCACCTGGCTCTCGTGGCCCAGTTGGTTAGTGCGTCGTACTTATAAGCAGTACCGAAGTATATGCGAAGGTCGAGGGTTCGATCCCCTCCGGGAGCAGATTCTTTGAACGATGTGAAGAATTATTATTTAGTTTCCAAAAGATATCTGTGGCAAAATTTTTTCCATCATTCACACACGTTTAAGCACCTGGCTCTCGTGGCCCAGTTGGTTAGTGCGTCGTACTTATAAGCAGTACCGAAGTATATGCGAAGGTCGAGGGTTCGATCAGATTCTTTGAACGATCTGAAGAATTATTATTTAGTTTCCAAAAGATATCTGTGGCAAAATTTTGTTGCATCATTCGCACATTTTTTAAGCACCTGGCTCTCGTGGCCCAGTTGGTTAGTGCGTCGTACTTATAAGCAGTACCGAAGTATATGCGAAGGTCGAGGGTTCGATCCCCTCCGGGAGCAGATTCTTTGAACGATCTGAAGAATTATTATTTAGTTTCCAGGAGATATCTGTGGCAAAATTTTGCTCCATCATTCACACACTTTTTAAGCACCTGGCTCTCGTGGCCCAGTTGGTTAGTGCGTCGTACTTATAAGCAGTACCGAAGTATATGCGAAGGTCGAGGGTTCAATCCCCTCCGGGAGCAGATTCTTTGAACGATCTGAAGAATTATTATTTAGTTTCCAAAAGATATCTGTGGCAAAATTTTGTTGCATCATTGGCACATTTCTTAAGCACCTGGCTCTCGTGGCTCAGTTGGTTAGTGCGTCGTACTTATAAGCAGTACCGAAGTATATGCGAAGGTCGAGGGTTCGATCCCCTCCGGGAGCAGATTCTTTGAACGATGTGAAGAATTATTATTTAGTTTCCAAAAGATATCTGTGGCAAAATTTTGTTGCATCATTCACACTTAAGCACCTGGCTCTCGTGGCCAGTTGGTTATGCGTCGTACTTATAAGCAGTACTGAAGTATATGCGAAGGTCGAGGGTTCGATCAGATTTTTGAACGATCTGAAGAATTATTATTTAGTTTCCAAAGATATCTGTGGCAAATTTTGTTGCATCATTGGCACATTTCTTAAGCACCTGGCTCTCGTGGCTCAGTTGGTTAGTGCGTCGTACTTATAAGCAGTACCGAAGTATATGCGAAGGTCGAGGGTTCGATCCCCTCCGGGAGCAGATTCTTTGAACGATCTTCAATATTGAATTACCTTTAATTTCCAGGAGATATATGTGGCAAATTGCTGTTGCATCATTCGCACATTTCTTAAGCACCTGGCTCTCGTGGCCCAGTTGGTTAATGCGTCGTACTTATAAGCAGTACCGAAGTATATGCGAAGGTCGAGGGTTCGATCCCCTCCGGGAGCAGATTCTTTGAACGATGTGAAGAATTATTATTTAGTTTCCAAAAGATATCTGTGGCAAAATTTTGTTCCATCATTCACACACTGTTTAAGCACCTGGCTCTCGTGGCCCAGTTGGTTAGTGCGTCGTACTTATAAGCAGTACCGAAGTATATGCGAAGGTCTAGGGTTCGATCAGATTCTTTGAACGATCTGAAGAATTATTATTTAGTTTCCAGGAGATATATGTGGCAAAATTTTGTTCCATCATTCACACACTTTTTAAGCACCTGGCTCTCGTGGCCCAGTTGTTTAGTGCGTCGTACTTATAAGCAGTACCGAAGTATATGCAAAGGTCGAGGTTCGATCAGATTCTTTGAACGATCTGAATAATTATCATTTAGTTTCCAGGAGATATATGTGGCAAAATTTTGTTCCATCATTCACGCACGTTTTAAGCACCTGGCTCTCGTGGCCCAGTTGGTTAGGGCGTCGTACTTATAAGCAGTACCTATATGCGAAGGTCGAGGGTTCGATCCCCTCCGGGAGCAGATTCTTTGAACGATGTGAAGAATTATTATTTAGTTTCCAAAAGATATCTGTGGCAAAATTTTGTTCCATCATTCACACACTGTTTAAGCACCTGGCTCTCGTGGCCCAGTTGGTTAGTGCGTCGTACTTATAAGCAGTACCGAAGTATATGCGAAGGTCGAGGGTTCGATCCCCTCCGGGAGCAGATTCTTTGAACGATGTGAAGAATTATTATTTAGTCTCCAAAAGATATCTGTGGCAAAATTTTGTTCCATCATTCACACACTTTTTAAGCACCTGGCTCTCGTGGCCCAGTTGGTTAGTGCGTCGTACTTATAAGCAGTACCGAAGTATATGCGAAGGTCGAGGGTTCGATCCCCTCCGGGAGCAGATTCTTTGAACGATCTGAAGAATTATTATTTAGTTTCCAAAAGATATCTGTGGCAAAATTTTGTTGCATCATTGGCACATTTCTTAAGCACCTGGCTCTCGTGGCCCAGTTGGTTAGTGCGTCGTACTTATAAGCAGTACCGAAGTATATGCGAAGGTCGAGGGTTCGATCAGATTCTTTGAACGATCTGAAGAATTATTATTTAGTTTCCAAAAGATATATGTGGCAAAATTTTGCTCCATCATTCACACACTTTTTAAGCACCTGGCTCTCGTGGCCCAGTTGGTTAATGCGTCGTACTTATAAACAGTACCGAAGTATATGCGAAGGTCGAGGGTTCGATCCCCTCCGGGAGCAGATTCTTTGAACGATGTGAAGAATTATTATTTAGTCTCCAAAAGATATCTGTGGCAAAATTTTGTTCCATCATTCACACACGTTTTAAGCACCTGGCTCTCGTGGCCCAGTTAGTTAGTGCGTCGTACTTATAAGCAGTACCGAAGTATATGCGAAGGTCAAGGGTTCAATCCCCTCCGGGAGCAGATTCTTTGAACGATCTGAAGAATTATTATTTAGTTTCCAGGAGATATATGTGGCAAATTGCTGTTGCATCATTGGCACATTTCTTAAGCACCTGGCTCTCGTGGCCCAGTTGGTTAGTGCGTCGTACTTATAAGCAGTACCGAAGTATATGCGAAGGTCGAGGGTTCGATCCCCTCCGGGAGCAGATTCTTTAATCGATCTGAAATATTGAATTATTATTTAATATCCAGGAGATATATGTGGCAAAATGATGTACCATCATTCACACACGTTTTAAGCACCTGGCTCTCGTGGCCCAGTTGGTTAGTGCGTCGTACTTATAAGCAGTGCTGAAGTATAAGCGAAGGTCGAGGGTTCGATCCCCTCCGACAGCAGATTCTTTGAACTTTTCGTTTTTTTTGAGACACCCTGTATAGCGCGGAAATCGCATTTTTCGGCCTACTCGACCACCCTCCTTGATATCCGTTTTTTGTCCAATCAGGCCGCAGTATAGAACATTTGGCGGGATTACTATATTATTGCGCGGCAAGATTTGCCGAACCTCACAAGCTACAACACGACGTCGACCACGTTGTGCAACATAATTCAAAAGTAAACGGTGATGTTTTGTAGTTGAGATAAAACATATCAGCGTTTCATAATTTTGGAAAGGGTAAGTGCCAGTAATTTTTATCTTTTTGTTTGAAGTTCTACGATCGCGTGTAAATATCGCCATTCAAATTGCCGATGTTTGTGGTCGTACACTTTACAATAGAAATTTCGTGTTATGGTTCGTACTATAAACGTTGGTTGTGTTTTCTAATCAAACATTTGAAATGATTTACATCCAGTATCTCCCGTGTTATGTTTGTAAAAGGCACTAGTGAAATTTCCTTTCATCTTCCAGTGCTATATTTCTAAAAATATAATCAAAGCGAAGCGATACACAAAACTGCATGGTTGACACAAAGGTCAGCCTAAACTGAAGTACACTACATATGCATTTAGGCTACAGGAACAATAACTTAAGCGGGAATTAAACTTGCTTGTTCAGTGTGCCTGGCCAAATGTTTTACCATTATTAGTAAATGTGAACTATAAACTACAGACGATTGGAAGTGTAGCTTCAATTATTTCAATTGTATTTTGTTTTGTTCAGTTCTAGAAAAAATGGTAAATATTTCTGGAAGTAATTTGCAGCCACTGCTAAGCTGTCTGGAAGATGGCAGTTCACCACCTGAGGACAAAACCGATGCTTATCTAAGACTTGCAGAGTAAGGAACATGTTGCATCTACTTTTGCACTGGTGGCTAGGTATCATGAAAGCTCGGTTAAAGATGTGAGACATTTATTCCTACCACAATTTCAGGCACAATAACTTAAGGCATGCATATGGTTTGTGGTGGTGTCCTGGTTTTGAGACCTTCTTTGTCACATGTTGTCCACATTTGGGGGAAGGGAATTATTACATATCATTAATGAGTGCACATCCCCTAAGTACACTTTTCCTGCATGGTCCTTGCACTTTATCAACTATGACCTGTGATGTACTCCTAAAATAGGAATTGTGGTAAATGTACATATTCTGTCCATATTTAGAGACCTCTCAAAAGAAGACAAGCAGTTTGTGGATGAAGTTTGTGGTTTTTCTGCCAGAATATTGTCAGCTGTAGCGGTAAGTTCATTAATATCCTCTCCACTTACTAAGTACTTCATTTTTCACAGTTTTATTTTTTACTCTTAATCTTTGTTAAAAGCAGCTCTATAGTAACCACGAGAAAAGATATGTTCCCAACATTTTACTAGTTAGCAAAGTGGATAGTGATGTTTTTAATCTTCAGTACATGTAGGCATACAGTAATCACAATTTTGAAAACATAATAAATACTTTATTATTAACTTTCAGAGGGATATGTTTAGCCAGAGGATTGATCTTTCCCAAGCAGCATTGCAAGCTGTTGGTTATTGCATTTATCAAGAACAAATAGTCAGGTACAAATAGTCCAACAACATCAATTACCATTATCCTTTATTATCTTAGTTTACAGTATGTAATTTTTTGTATAACCATGGCTCAAGATTGGCCATTCCTATTAGGACTCCATTCCTATTTTTATCAATGGTCATGCATGCTAGTGTTTACACTGAAAGTCAAGACACTATCAGCTAGTGACCTATACAATGACTAAGCTGTTAATGGTAATAAAATTCATAATCTGGTTGGTCATTTAATTATTTGTTTTGTGATGTGTTAGGAATTAGGGTTGTTGGACAGGCAAGGTTACATGGGATCTAAGAATAATTAACACTTTTAAGCAGAATAGAATTCAAAACACCTTTGAATAATCCGAAAGAATCCATGGTGTTCTATGGTCTATTAATATGCCCCTGAGCATTCATACGTTTCATGCTATTGCAATTTCCTCGACATTGACAGCAGTTATTTCATGCTGCCTTGTGGCTGTGGAAAGGATGAAACACGTTCGTTAACGGTTAACCCGCTTCTTGCAACAAGGAATATGAGATTGGAAACTTGTGTAATACCAAACTGTTGGACCATGTACATACATACGATGCAGGAGTTGACTAAATGTACCACACATGATATTAGCTCCCTAAAAACGAATAATTTTGTGTGGATTCTATTCGTACAAAATACCTTCTTTAAGAGTTAATTAAGGCTTGTACTCATCCATCAAATATTCTGGTCTGGATAACCTTAGATTATTCAATATCAGCTAGTGAAATGTGAAAATACGTTTTGATTTTGTTTTTTAGTTCTTTACGTGAAGCGGAAATGTTGATGGTACTCCAAAGTATGATATTTTCTTTCATGAGTTGATCAACGTTTTGTACAGTTGATTGTTTTTATTCTCAGAAGTCACTGTAGGTGCTTTTTGGTTTCTATCTAGATCTTTGTAATGTTGTTATGAAAAGTAAAGATAAAAATGTGTGTACCAGAGCATTGTGGGCTGTTTCAAGACAGCATTTATCTATCAAAGTTGTGGGGGAAAAGGTTAGAGTTTTTCTCTTGGTTTTCTTCCTGCTTAGTCTAGCAAACTCTGCTTCATTTGTAGTGTAATCCAAGTGTTGGTCAATGTCTTTTAGTCATTACGTTTCAGCTATCGCTAGTTTCCAATTGCATCTTTTCTCTTCTAATTGTCAGCTTTCAGTGATACTAAACACTGTGGAACATGCTTTGAAAATGTTTCGGTCTACAACAGTCGAAAATGAATCATTAGATGTTATTTACAGGTACATACTGTGATCTTCGTCAGTATTTCGTGATTCATTTGTCGTGCATCGTAATAATAATGAATCCGGCAGAGGGCGCTTTTTCACTGCGTGTATTAGAAAAAATGAAGTGAAATACGCAACAGCGCCAAAGCAAAAATAACAACTGCAAAAACGCGCATATCAAACAACGTGTATTTTGCTAGGTTGATTTCAGAACTACCACATGAAAAAATTTCCTCAAATGCTGGGCAGTGGAGTAAACTTGTGTATCCATTATTGATCAGCTCAGCACAGAAAGTGAGTACTCATTATGAATCTCATTGAAGAAGCATTAAAACCTTAGCAAAGGTCGTTGGCATTCAACATCTGTAATTTCTCTGAACTTTTCAGATTCGTGAAAAAGCGCTTGGGATTTTAGAACTTGGACTAAAATTAATTTTATTCGCCCAACAAGATGTTGTTCCACAGTTGGTGGTCGATTTGAAAGGAGTAAGACTATTTCTTTACTTAAAAGTCCAGAAAGAAAGGTTTCTGAATTTGGAGAATTGAGGGGCAATTGATTTTTTTTTAATATTTTGAAGGGTTTATTATCTGAGCTCGCAAAATTATTCTCAGACAAAAAAGAAGTGTTTGTGTTGCAAACATGGACTGTTCTCATCACAATACTTGGAGAGGTAAAGTAGATGTTTTCTAAATAAGTACATGCATTTCGTAAAACCCACTTATTCGAACTACTCGATCGTCTAGACCTGTTTCTTTCTATTTTACAGACGCTTCATAAAGGCGGGAACTTGATAAATGAGATGTTGAAGATTCCCGAGCAGGTACTGCATATCTTGTATATAACGTTGTGACGTTTTTAGTGACCGTACGGGGCATCTCCAGTAAAGAAATTGTTAGGAACTAATGGAATGTCAGTGTTGTTGTAAGACATCGATGAATCCTACCTCACTAAGTCCTTGCCCTCGTACAGTAATTGCAGTTCAGTGTAGGATCGCGTACTGTATGAACCTATAACCTGGTATTATCATTTTCTGAAGATTTTTTGTTGATTTTGACAAGCATCTAATGTACTTTTCAAGCTTGTTCCTCGTGGTTGTCAATTCTTAGGATTCTTGTCATTTCTTAGGGATTCAAGTCACCACTACCAAACGTTCAAAATATGAGTTACAGCGCTTGGGTTTGCTTAATTAACAACTTCGCTACTTCTGGTGAGTTTTCTTCTTCATTCACGACAAACACGAGGTTTCTCCTTGTTTCGGATGATGAAATCTGTGATGCGGACTTCGTACAGTATGAACATGCATGCAGTAACATATGCACTGTAATTTCTTGACATGATAGGATGCATTGGATCTCCGAAAAGGATAAAGTTACTTATGATGCCGTTGTTGTTGGTTGGTTTTCATCATCATTTTATTATTGTCTTTTTTGTCACATTCATGTTCTGTTCTACACAATGTTCTTGCGTATTTGTAGAATAGTAATATCTACTTAGAAGCAGGAATATACATGTCTTACTTCGCCTAACTATGTTTTTTTAGAAAGGTAACATAATCCACAAGGATATTGAGCTTGGACGGCTTCAAGCATGGTGGCATTTTGTTTGCACGATAAAATCAGAACTTTATACCACAACAACCTTTTCTGAGGTACAGTGTTTATATATTCTTAGAGTTAATCTGAATAATCTACTGCTATACTGTACTATTTTGGTAGTCAAGTTGCTGCAGTTGGCGCTGGCTTTTCCATTCTTGTCTTTCAGGCCAAACCCCGTTCAGGTTTTGGTCAGTTTGGTGAATCCTAAAACTTTTCGTTCATGTCTAGGTATGTCTTCCACTGCTGCAATACTATTTCAATGTTACTATTGATTCAACTGCAACACCGCTTGGTCAATCTAAGGATGGCCTGCGAGAGCTAACTCTGCCTGTCACACCCGTTTCACCCGGGCTGCCAAATACTCCTTCGTCTACCAAGTCAGCCAAAAACACCCCCAGAAGAAAATGTGTGATATTCAACAAAGAGAAATTCTCCGAAGCATTTGCAAAGCAAATTATGCTGCTCGGCTGTGAAATGCTCATGGAGATACTTACAATTAATTCTAATGAAGTCAGAGGAAGGAAACGTTTAACAGGTAAGTTTTTAATGTTAAAAGAACCAGATATCTCGTTGAAACAAGTTAATATCTCATTTTGAAATATTGAAACTTTATTTCTGTTTAAATTTATGCCAGAGCTACAGTTCTTATAACTTACATGGTTTCTGTTATTTTTAGAACATTTAAAACATCCAATATTGAATTGTGCGTTGTTTCAAGAACACATGACTCTGTTGCTGGCAATTGTGAAATCAGCATTACAATCCTGTGGCAACTTTTTAGACGGTAAGAAGTAAAGAATTAGTGATAATTTTATGATGCTTCCCTTTGACTTGCTGTGGTCTCAAGTTACACTCATCCGATGCGGATGATTTGAGGAGGAATGCAATACTCTTGTCATTATCACAATATAGATGATCTTGCTGTTTCAATTTGGACCAACATTGTCAACTGGGTCGTGGCCGTGTTACAAGCTGGTGATCCAAGTGTTGATGACGTCATTTCAAACCTGTTTCTTACTGCAAATGATATTCTGACGTGTTCATGCTTGTCTCCTCATTTGATACTGGTACGCCCTAGGTCTATTACAGTATTTCTTCAGTTCAATAAAGTGACATAGCCAGCCTAACCATTTTCTCCCGCTATGTAAATTTGGAGTCGTTATAATTATTATTATTTCTTTAGAAATTTATTGTTTTCACAGTCAGTGAACACCAAAATATTAGCATAGCGGGACAACTCGTCGGGTTGGCTACATTACTGGTTGAATAGAATAACTTTGCTACTAAAAGTGTATTTTACAGTTGTATTTCACCAAATACGTCTAGTAGTGTACGAAACTACACTAAATTTTTCTTTCCAGAAATTTCTCGAAGTTCTCTCCAATATTCCGACGAAGTGTCTTCTACATCCAATTAGCATTCTTTCATCCACCTGCAATCAAGAAAAACCGGTATTTCTGTTGGCTGAAATCTTGTTTAGCCAGTTGTCAGCTTTTAAAGAGTCGTATGTTGATGAAAGGTAAGGTGTACTTTTAGTCAAACTAACGTTCTCTTGGCGGTATACAAAACATTTCAACAAACTTAGTATCTATATATTTTGTCTGGAGTCATCCGTGGACTGCGGCTGTCCAAATTTTAATTCTAATGCTCGAAGGATTCCGCGCGGTTTTGTGGGTGTTAAGCCAACAACAGCTTGAAGAAGGTGGATTATCGTTCAACTATCAGGATTTTATTCACTCTTTAGGTTCCACGTTGTCTTCGAGAATTTGATTGATGTTGGCTTCGATGCTCCAACAGGAAAATTAACCGCGGTTCATCATATATGGCTGCTTCTTGAAAGCTTGGCCAGGTAATGGTCTACACCCTCGAGAATCCCGTAAATGTTTTAAGTCATAAATACCAAATAAATAAATTGTCGGATAGAAAACGTCCGGCCATGCATGTGGGCATTAAAAAGTTGGCCATTTTGCTCTAGGATATACGGTTTCGTAAAGGTCATTACATTATGTGCATTATCTACCATGAAAAAATCTGACAATAAATTGTTTTAGCACTGTCGCAAACGTTGAAGATCTTTGGAGAATTTGGAGTAAGGTTACTGATTCAGCAACCGAATGTGTCACAAAGGTGAATAATAATAATTCATTCAGCCTAATATTTTAAAGCTCCGCATAAGAGCGATGGAATGGCAAGGTTATATCAGCTAGGGTTCATATTTAGTTGTGCTCTGCTCTGCATCAAAGCCATTTTTCACTTTGTATTATATTAGCATTAACTGAGCCCCGCGGCTGTCAGAGCTGATTGAAATAGAATTGATATTGTCGACCTTTTTAGACATCTGATGTGAACCAGGGAGATCCTCTTGATCCAGATTTCAGTTTGATGATTTCATTGCTGAGCTTTCCATTTAAACAACTGTTCACTGGAGGTTTACCAGTGGTAAGTTCTTTCTGAAAAGGTAGTAACGTTCAAACGGAATACAATGCTGCAAGTATATTAATTGATACAATGTATTTCAACATTAATAGTCAATGTGGAGTAAATCTTATCCTCTGCATAAATGGTAATGTGAGGTAGTGACCGCATATAACACCTACCCGGTTGGCTTGTTAATTTGCCTTTGTGCTCGACAAAATCCTAACTAATTTCTTCTTATATATTTTCAGGTAATCCCATTTAAACACATCAAGCTGAATGAACCCAGGTTTAAGCTAAACCAAATCAAAATCATATTTAAATTTTTTTCTTAGGTGACAACGAAGGAGTTAGATCGTGATTTAGCCGAGTTCTTTCGACTGTTTTGTCGTTGTGCCTCTCTCGTTCCGACAGCTGAAGCAAACACGTGTATAAATGAATTGTCCAAGTCTTTGTTAACTTTGGTTACCCTTGAAAAATGCAAGGTAAAAATACAACTGTTTATGATTTTATATCGCGCCATTCTAACATTCCAAATTTTTCTTTTCTTGCACAATAAAACTCTATGAAAGCTGCTTATTCTGTAGTCAATACAGAACTTTCTATATTGTCTAATTCGTCATACCAAATGCATCTTTCATTCTAGAATGTGAGATTTCTTGACAGTATTTGTGGCTTTCTGTATGTCATGGTGGACTGTTTTGATTTTTCGGCACAAAACACAAGGGGGTCACCCACGCCATCATCTCGCGTCAATCTCACACCTGGTGGAATGTCGAGAACGACGGAGAATCGTCTTGGTAATCTTAGCAGCCTGGTTGCACTGTCTGCTAAAGCTCTGAGTATTTCATACCAGGTTGATCAGGTATTGCCCGAAATATTCTTTCCCGTCTGCATCTGATTTTGATGAACTGCGCAATCAATTGACGCGGTAAAAGAAATTTTTCTTAATGGAATGAAGGCCTCGTTCGTTCTCAAACGGCCACCTCAGTTGTTAGTGTATATCGAATATAAACGTGGCTAATGAATCATGTTTCCAATTACGGTACTGGTTTCAATCTTTACTTCTTAGGATTCGTCTGGATCCGTGGTTGTTGCGCCTGCTGTGACCGTTTTGGCTGGATCTTTATCGAAATTATTCGCCAGTCTCACAAATCCCCAACACATCAAGTATAGCATTGTAGCTCTGTCATCATCCATTTGCTCCTTTATATCGCACCGTCACTGGTCCAGGTATTCATGATAACGAATATGTTTCTGTATAGAGTAGCAATTGTAAACAGCACTTACCCTGCCGTGTAAATCAACTTTTCAGCTCCAATTCAAGTGATAAAAAAACGAACAACACCAAGTATTTGCTAAAGGTTTGTACCGTAGCTAATAAGATATTCAGCCATTTTTGCAAATTATGTTCATGACAGGCAAGAAAAGAAAGGTGTACATGTCAAATGATATGGCTTGAATTTCACTTCAGATTGAGAAGTTATGGACTGATATTTTGACGTGTCTGCAAAGTCGTTACACGTCTGCTTACGATTGTCAGATGTTAGAAGTTATGAGCGATTTGTTAGTAAGTAATTGCTTTAATGATTTCATATGAATATAAAAAATGGTATATGCAAATTAAGTATGTAATGACTGCGTTTATATCAACAGGAGAACACGTTTTGTCATCAACGACGGCAATTTAGGAACCAGACAATCATATTTTGGAATGCAACGTTTGGTCAGGCCTCTTATCTGGAGTACCCTACTTCGTTAAGGTACATATATTACACCTACATAAGAAACAGCTGAATAGATGACGAAAACTGCCAAGTTTGACAAATAAGGCCGTGGGCCATCTCCTCGCTGTTCTTATGTGCCTTTACTTTGTCTTATAGGAAATGTTTACAAACAGTACTGGAGAAAACGCCCGTCAATGTGCCTGGTTGGGATCAATCTAAGGTACTGTACAATGACGTATTAGAATTTATTTTTTTCCCTTACGTACAGCTTAGATGTACATCATTTGGAAACTCATCGGAATTGACGAAGTTGTGAATTTTTAGGTAACACAGATCTCCTCATTGGATCAGGCAACATCACTGCAAGATGTAAGTAGGATATTTCATAACAGGGGGAGGGTGAATATAGTGTTTTACGATGAGTTGCTATGGCTTAATCATATTTCGTATGGTTGTTAGTTCTATGTATTATGCCGACACAGTGTCATCTTGTAAATGAAAATTGATTTTGTTGTGTTTATTAAATTGATGCAGTCTGAGGAAATGACGCCGAAGGAAAACATAATCAAACAAGATATAGTGATTGCTAATTCACCAAAAAGAAAGCATGGAGGATCATCGCCTGGAAAATTGAAAGGCAGCTTTCTTAACAAAGCATTCACCTCGGATAAATCTGACCGCTTATCTCCTTTTAAGGTACGATACAGTATACGAGAGAACTTTCTCAACTGAAGGTCGTGCGAATGGGTCGCGTAAAGTGCATTTTCACCCGAATCGATAGCATGATGTACAGTGTATGTTTGAAGTATCTCACAAAGTCAGCCTCTGATACTTATCTCCTAATACTTCTTGCATGGGACCAAACAGTGTTGTTGTATGCAGTAAAACTTTTTATAGCTGTGTATATTTAATTAGAACACGTTGGAAACAGGGAGTAAAAGGAAGTCCCCAGGCAGTTTGAATGCAAGGCGTAAGTTGCCCTTACCGTTGGATGCTGCTGATGACAAGGTACGTTAAGCGGTATGCATGTGGATGAAGTTGAATAATTGAATGTGTTTAGTGCCCTAGCTCGTTACAGAAAATATATATTTGATAAAATGGCATTTATTGTATTAGAATATTGCTGTTTGCATGTATGCCGTAGTCAACAATGAATACGGAAAATAAATATTTTCTGTTACGGATTATTTCACGATTGTGGAAAGGACTTTTCTGAGTTTTCTGGTTGGAACCAAACAGTCCTTTCCCGCCTTTTTTTAAATACACTTCCAAGTGGAATTTTGGCGTGACATAAAACTGGCCGCAATTGTTCACTAAGAGACCCCAACCTCTTGGGTAAGATTTGGCTTCAGTCTCCAGATAAACATTATACAAAACATCGCATAATCCTATGGTTATTATCTTGCTTCTAGGACTTTGTTGTGATTGCTCCATCTCCCAAGAAGAAACGATTGTTAACTGAACATCAAAAGGAAGTACGAAAGGAGAAAAAATTAGAGAGGTAAGGCGTAATTCTCTGCCTGTAACTTATTCTCTTGAAAAGACTGACTTCTAACTAACAGGACTTTATTCAAATCGTATTATAGCAGACACCCAGCTCTTTACAACAGGCTTGATCAATCACAGGATGGAACGCAGTTTTCTGAATGGAGTCAATCAACCATCATCACCCAATCCTTTAATCATTGTGACGTGTAAGTTTGCCACGGCTAACTAAGTAAAATAAGTCAGTTGGCTTCTTTAACTTCGTATTTCTGACTTTATTGCTTCTTGTGATAGTTAGGGTGAACGTATAAATAGAATATGCATGAATACATAGGGATAAGCATTCATACAATAAATATTTTATAGAGAAATGTCAGAAGAAAAAGGTGCTCAAGAAGGTAAATGTCTCCGATTCTCCTCTTCCAGTCAAGATGAAACTCCTATCACTTCTTGTTGGAAAGTTGTGCCTTTCAATTATTTGTCATGGAATATCCTGCTGACTGTATTTTACTCCCAACTTAGGAGCGACAGTGGAGATTCAACCAAGTCATGCGATACCATTTGACAAAAGCAACGATAGGCAAGATCAGGTTGCGTCGGGTATTTTCGCAAATGGACTTGATTTGATAAAAAGCATTGAACATGCTGATAACCTGGAGGACGATATACCTACAATGTCTTCAAATATAACATTACCAGGTGGCAGTTACAATAGTTGTGTTAGCACTCTGCCAGAAACTGGTGCTTCCACTGATCTTAATAATCAACCGGATGACGATGAACCTATACCATGCTCGCAAACATCGCCTACAACTTCATCCAGGCAGAAACGACGTTCTTATCACAGGCCAAAACGCACGCCAAATAGTACAAAACGGAAGTCAATTTCTACGGAGTGTTCGAATGATTTTGAATTGAAAACCGGAGAAATTGATAAAATTGGGCGGGTGCAAGAAGATGGCGTCAAACTTCTGACAGATCTTGCTGGGAGCAGCTCAGATTTGGAGCAAGTAGACACGGAGCCAACATTCGATTCAAAGAAGCAGAGCTCACAAACGACATCCCCTATTTCTAGTCGTACTCGTTTTAGAAGGAACCCAACACCTTATAAAGCTAAGAAAAACGAACCCTCAAAAGCAACGATTTCCGCAACAACCAAAGAACAAGAAACAGTGGAAGAAACTCAGTCGGATTCAGCAGATATGGAAGATTTCTCTGACCATCAGATGGACGACACTCAAATCATTGAGCGAGATATTCCCCTAGTTACCAACATGACAAGCAGTAGCGATGCCGTGAAAGACGCTGCTAACAAAATTACAAACTTAATCGAGCGACCCTCATCACCAGTCGCCAGCTCTACGAAGTTTGTTCATTCTAAAACGTCGGCCACAGGCAGTCCTCTCAATCGACCAACACGATCATTCTCTTCACCCGCGTGCTCACCAACTACTGGGATATTGAAGAGAAACCGTGGAAAATCCGAGACGCCTTCCCCTTCTGGAAAGGTAAAAAGAATAAACAAAATAAACTTGATTTCTTCTTTAAGCTCATTTGTACTATTGGAATCAATTCTGAACTAAGCTAAAATATAAATTGTAGAACACCGCGTTTGTTGATAGATACTGTGAGCTTTTCAATTATCTTTACTTCGCTTATATATGTGTATGCACACCTGTGTTAGACTAACTCTACAAGAAGAAAATCAAAGGGTCTCGAGTATCTCTCATTTAATTCATTTTAGGCTCGTCATGTGTCCTTTGCCTTTCCACTTAAGGAGGAAAAGGAAATAAGTTCTTACCCAATGGATCAAGTTGCTAGAAAAGAAAATCAACATGAAATAACTAACCCCTCTGACATGACCAATGATTTCACCTCTATTAAAACGACGAAAACGGTATGTTTGACTTATATTTTCCTGCAAGTTGCGATTACCTCACTGAAGAAGATTTTTCAATTGTACTCGTTTTACCTGGATGAAGGTTAAATTGCTAGATAAACAAGATTATATAGGAAATTAGTAGCTATTCACAAGTAAAGTTAAACATTTTTTTCTTCTAGAAGTCTTCAACACCACCATTATCTAAAGAACAATGCGTTTTTCCAGTTCTTGTTGAATGTACTACACCAGTGGAACAAATATTACCTTCGCTTGCTACATCCAGATTTAGTCGTGGTCTTGGTCACGTGGTTCATGCTCATAATATCAGAACTGTGGGTAATCTTTCCGCTCTGACAATGGACCAAGTAGAGAAGTTACCAATCAGGTCACCAAAAGTTTCCACACTTCGAAGAGTTCTCAAAAAATTTCATGAAAATCGTGCGCCAAAATGTTCATCGAAGGTTACCCAACTACGAGGTAATTAATACATCTAAAATTACGAATACCTGCTATGCCTATGATTCACGTCATCACAATACAAGAAGCTATGCAATGAGATAAATAAGCGACTGTTACGTCGTTGCGGTTTCAGAAAGGACTTACTTGACTTAGGACTCAAGAGTCCGCAAGTTTTCTCTGCCTGTCAGTAATTGTATTTTTCTACTAAATACAATTACTGACAGGCAGTAATTGTATTTTTCTACCTTTTTCTCCTTGTTTGTGTTGTCACTCCACCTTGTTTTTTGCAGCGATTAAGGAAATCTCCGAAGATGATAACTGTGAGATGGAAGCTGAAGAAAATATCGAAACCGCTGACAAATTAACATGTGACAACGCCGAGGAACTTGGCTGTAGTGAGGGTAATACTCTTGGACCAAAGATTTCAGTCACGACTCCAACAACATCTCATGACCATAACAAGATGTTAACACCTAAAAGATCCCGTGCTCTGGTAAAACCAACCACTCTCTTCGAATGTGACCAGATCATCACAGGCGTTACTGAAAATGATACAGTCAACTCGGTCACAGGTGGACCATCAGAAGGCATCGAGAATAATGCTGAAAGAGAGTCCAGTTCCACTAATGAAAATGTGAATATGGAAGTTATAGAGGAAGACTTGACCCAGCAAAACGTTGGGTTGGAAAAATCATTCGAGAACGTATCTAAAACCGAGAAAACTAAGCAAGAAAATATGGTTGCACCAGCAGTTGATTACGTTTATAAGACTGAAGTAAAAAATCGTGAAATTACTGTCGAAGATGCTGTTGTAAATGAGGAGCCTGAACAAGATATTCTTGGAATGGCAGTTAGAAACATGCTCTTGGATCAAAATCTTGCTATGGAAATTTCTGGTGCAAACACTGCGGAAGCATCAAAGTCAAAACAAGAAATATCCGAGAAATTAAGTGAAAACGTGGCTGATACCTCAGAACCCAAAACGAAGGACCTGGGAATGGTGGATGTCGAGAACGAAACCGAAATGCCCAAATTAGAGAATCATAAAACGACCGCTCTAGCCGTGCATGCAAACGAAGACTCGTCAGTAGTTGATGGCCCTCCGACGACTAAAGAAACAGAACAAGAAATACAGAAAATGGCTGTTGGAGATTGCGTTCTGGAAAAACAAAATGAAGATGATGTCCACATGGTAACAGAGAAAGTTGTTCCTAAAGTAAACACAATTGATCCGTATGTAAAAGCCATAAATGATTTAGTAACTCTGAAATCACAACAGGAACTCGCTGAGCTGCCATTAGATCTCTTATTATCGTGTCAGGAACAGTTAATGGCTATTTTGTCTAACACAACCACAGCAATACGGTTAAAGTGCCATCCAAACTAAACTGAAATTATCTACTGACATATAGATTTTATTAAGACACCCATATCTTTTAGTTCCATTTGAAATTTTAGAGAAATAAAACTATTGTTATTCTGCTTCGAGTCACAGAAGTTGTCATTCTTGTCTATTCAAACTTTTGCGTTCATAAAAATGAATGAATATAGCAACCGAATAGATTGCATTGATCTTTACATGATAGGAATGACCAAGAATATAATCACATACTTGTTGACGAATTAAATCGCTTACAATGAAGAAGGCTCATGAACTGAATTGATGCAATCTTAAGAACTATATGAAGGCGGCCTGAGCCCTCCCGGACTTGACTTTTAAACAGGCTGTCCCCTCCAATAACATGCACCCCGTGTTTTTAGTTCAATACGTTTTAGCGTGGGGTAAATTAACTTGTCGGAGAGGTATTACTTTCTAATTCATTTGTACACAAATAGTCAAAATTTATTTAATCCATTCACAAAGTGGATGACACATGGATTACGTTGTTTGCCAATTCGATAATTAATGTATCTACGCCGTGTTTTCATTCAGTTTCATTTTATAAAGTTTATATGAAGGTCTATGAATAATTTCTGTAATATCCTTCATATTATTGTAAACTCCGAAAAGAATTTTTTACATTCTATCCTTTACATTTTTAATGAATACTGTCTTTTAATTTAAAAAGGTGACATGTTTATTAATTTCGTGAAGTGAAATGAAAACAACATCTCCAAAAATATAATAGTACATTTAATCGATGTTTAATTAAAGATATATTCCTGTTACTATGCACTTAGTGCAACATAAATATTCCTGTAGACAGACGTCCGCAAATCACGCTTTCCAAATGCCGACTGAAACAATATATTTGATCTCGACAACGTGAAAAACATCGCATTTCTGTCTCAACAACGTGAAAAGCATCGCATTTTTGCGAAAACAGTAAGTCTATGTTACGTTTACGAAACTGTTTTTAACTCAGAGTCATGCATTAAAGAAGCTATTCAGAAGGCAGGACGTAGCAAAACGTAAGAACGTGAATCGTGATTGTAGCAACTAACAAAGTAACTTTTCTCTTTCTATTGTTTTGACTAAGTTGTTTGTTCCATCAAGCTGACAGAGTGCGGGTCTATATATTTTAGGGTATACACTTAAATTGAAGTTTCACGAACGACACGGGTTGTAGAATTGATACTGATAGCGTTTTTTAATCTTTTGTATATTTCGAACGAACTTTATGATCATGAATACAGAGTACCCATAATGAGAGTCTTATCATTGAATTGATCCGTTCAGTCTACCGTTGAAGTATATCTAATGAACTCGACCTGTTTCATACATATTAGTATTGATGATAAACTAGAGTTTTGAAGGAAAGAATGAGGTATTTTTTTCTGTATCTGCATGCTAGTCTGTGTCGTAGTTTCGTTGAACGGCGTAGACACAAGACCCACGAATGAAATTTGAGTAATTAATATACAGCACTGTCACAAAGTAATTTTAAGCCTTGTTTGTTTGATTACGGACAAATTGAGGCGCTTTTCCTTTTTTGAAGTGTCCAATCTTGATAACGGGGTAGGAAAGCTAATAAAGCCAGGTGCAAATTATCACCTATATACAGATTAAAACAACACCCGCGTGCCCATGCGCAATCCAGTCTTACCGTCCAAGATGGAAGATATACAGAAATGAAATTATGATGATTACGTTTTATGATGAAACATTGGAATCGAGTGTCCAATGCCACGCCATATCAAGACATTATGCTGTAAATGAAAGCGAGATTGAAATGAGCACCCAAGCATCTGAGAAATAAATAAGGTAGCGACACACCATGTTGTATTGCAAGTCAGGGTCTTACGGATCTCTCTATCACTATTTATCTTGCTTGAGCATGGTTGATCCTAAATCTGGTAGGACTCGACTGCTTTTTGTTTCAATTGCAAGGGAATAGAAAATATAGCGTGCCATTCGTGTCACGGAGATGTGAGCCCCCTGTGGTGCCAGACGGCTTGAGATAGTAGTTTCCGAAGGCCTTTTGTCAGATTTTCGTGCGGTAAAAGAGAAAGGGTGTAGTAGCTTACGGCATGTGTACATGGAGCGAGTTATCCCGGCTAGGCGAGGTGACAACTGCATATAATGAAAGACTGCTCAGTTTAGGCCTCGCCTAGCTGGGATAACTCGCTCCATGTAAACAGGCCCTTATAGAGTATACTGACTTTGTTTAACTATACGCGCGTTGTTGTTAGACTTCCAAATTATAATACCTTCTCCTATTTTCTTTACTTATGAGGTGTTAATTAAAGTATAAAAAATTTAAATGCGTGCATGGCAGATGTATATATACTACAGTCATGAACAACATATGAGCAGTTGAAGATAAGATTAGGCCGATATACGATTAATAAAATTATTCTTAAATGCTACTTTGGAAAACGGTCTCTTTTACAAAGGATTCAGGATAGCCCGAAATGTTCGTCTCTTAATTTATGTAGGAAATTTTTTTATGCTATCGTAAATTAAGCAGCAATATTATGAAAAAGTTTAACTGTCATAAACACATGGCTAACTGACAACTTGCGCTGTGTGGCGTTTAGCTGGGTAAATATACACTTAGCTATATATATATGACTTGAGTATGTTTTGTATATCAGGGTCCATATGCCGTGAGAAAATTTGTATCATTCGCATAGACACTTAAAAAACGTTTATATAGTTTTTGAATTATAGCTACTCAGTTGAAAAGTTTTCATTCTATTATCCGTGGTAAAATCGAAATATTTACTCCCACATTGAAAAGACATATATATGTATAGTAAAAACTCCAATCTGACGTGTGATGTGTTATTAATGAGTACTGAATATTAATACTACTTGCATTTTTTTCAATCCAATTTTTTATTGCTCGGTCAAATTAATCTCTTGTGTTTGTCCGCCAAGGAGTTGACAGGTGCATTTGTTTTGATTGGTTAAAAATGTTCAAAATCTCTGTCAAGTAAAATTTCGTATGACATTTATTAGACCTGTTGTTTTCCACTTCAGTCGTATCGTAACGTAACGTAGCGTATTTCTATCAGTTCCGAAGTATTCGTCCAGAACTAATAAACTTTAAAACTTTAAAACAATGAGATACGCTACGTTTCGCTATATAGGATAGGTGGAAAACAGGCCTAAGGAGTATTCTACGCTAGATTTAAAGTTTCTTGTTCATGATGAGCAATGCCATGTGCTGCGCATGTTATAATAAAAGAATTGAAGATCGTGAGTAACACGACCATTTGTATCTTTACTACACAGGCAGACCATGGAATAGAAGGATCACGGATTTGAAATCCACGAAGTTTACGAACTGAATTTACTGATAAAATGTCATTTCGCAGCGACTCCTGCTCTGACGAAGCACCGCCGTATGTTTTACCCTTTTTCACCACTGCACTCTCAATACTTTTTGCACTCGTTACCATCCCTGGAAATGCTCTTGTGCTGGTAGCCGTGTTCCGAGATCCATACGGCAATCTCCGAACACCGTTCAATTACCTTGTCCTGAATCTCGCCATTGCCGACCTGTCAGTGGGTCTCATTGTGAATCCGCTGTCCATTATATATCATCTGGATGAAGGAATAAAGAGTATAAACCTGCCGGGATTTGGGATTGAGATTGAGCATGTTGCATATCTTACAGCGTGTACTGCGTCAGTGCTGAGCATGGCTAGTATGACAGCTGATAGATATGTTGCTGTTGTTCACGCAGCCAGATATAAAGCATTTCAGACCACAAGAAGAGTTGTCATCACGTGTACCATCATTTGGTTGCTCTCAGGCTCTGTCACGTACTTGTACTTTGTGATCGGAGATTTTCTTTATCGTTTTGTCTTCGCAAACGTCGTGGTGATTTTCACTTTTTGCATTCTCGTGTTTTCCTTCTTTCGAATCAATCTAACCCTAAGACGTCAGAGAGCAAGACTGAATGTCCAAGCCGTCGCATCCATTGCCACACCTGCCGCAAGAGCGCATCAATACGTGCCTAACATGAAGTATGAAGTTCGTGTTACTAAGATGTTTAGCATTATTCTCTTGTGGTATGTCGTATGCTACCTTCCAGCCTGCATCGCCATTTATCTCGTCAACTTTTGCCATAGCTGCAGTTGTGACGTCATACACTGGTTACGAGATCTGCAATTGTGTTTCCTGTTGCTCTCGTCAGCGGTAAACCCGTACGTGTATGCGTGGACATCACCTCGATTTCGTTCAGCCTTTCTCAAAATTCTCTATCTAAGTCAATATGACAGAGCCAGAGGACATGGAAATGCAACAATGTCGTCACCCACAGACAATCAAATGACATCCATGAGATAAAGACATATCCAATACGTTTTCCGCGCATATTATCAAAGGAATAAAAGGGTATTGGTCACAGCTGAGTCTCATTTGCCTTCCATGGCTCATTATGAAAAGATTAAAAAAACTTTGGAAGAACCCGCGTGTCGGTACGAGAGTCGACGGATTGTAATCGTTCGAGCTTTTGAAAAAGACATTTTTGAAAAAATTTATTTGATTTTTATAGTATGATGAAACTGTACTGATTGCGTTCCCAACGTTGCTGCAGAAGTAGATTTATCATGCAGACGGGATTACTTGATGATGATAAGATATATAAAATTCGAGCATTCGTTGAGTTAAATTGATGACGTTGGACAGTAAGGATAGGAGAGAAATTCAACTGTTTGTTGTGATTGCGTTATTGGCATTAATTGCTAAAGTATTGATAGACAAGTTTTACTACTATAACAATATACTTTCGTGCAAAAAGTCGTGTAAAAGTGTTCTTTAGAATTTCCTGTTTAATAAAATTAGAAGACCAAAGATTGCATAAAAAAAGGCTCCTTAGATATTGCTTCCTCTGTCTCTGATCTCACCTCAGTATACCCCCTCTTTTTAGCCTGTTACATGAGCTGTTAATACTTGTTGCTCAGTTTGCCTTTGAGCAAAAATTAAACACTACACGTTCTCAATCGTAAAGACAACCGTAAAGACAACAAGAAAATACATATTCATTCACTTGACTTGGATAAAATTCGTGACAAATACCAGTAGACTTGAGTCGAGTGGCAATTTTTCAATCCCAACATGCGAATCCCGCTCTAGCTAATAATTTCTTCGTTGTTCTCTGAAACCCCAAAAACTTGATTTTTATCACCCTTTTTATAGAGATTTAGGAGCTCCGGTAAAAAATACACGATCTTATCTTATATATTTTATGTTACACGAGAACCATGCATGAAACGAGACGAATTCATGCGAGAGATTTATTCCTTTGAGAGGAATTTTAGAGAGAAAAATTACCATGTGAACAATGGGAAGTATGGGAGACTACCGTTATAAAATTTGGCTGATCTAGGGCCATGTTTAAATGTGGTATTATACTTCATAAACTAGAATTAGATAAACCATCCAAAAATAGTAAATACGAGAAAAACCCTCGCGTTTCGAAATTATGTAATATTAAGTACACAAGGAACAATATAACAGTGCAGGCGGAATCAATAATTCAAAAACATGTAGTGTGTGTGAAATAACGTTTTCAATGCTTTTACACAAAATTTTAAAAATCAGTTGAATGTTTATCATTATTCTACTCTCAATTCAGTTTGTTCCGTTTTACCGAAGTCTATTATAAAACATTTATACACGAGAAAACCATTCAAAAAAATGCCTTCAAACTTGATGTTTTGATAAGTTATTTTCATAAATCTCATTCGCAGTAAACCATGAAGACAGTCGCCAAACAAACCAAAGACGTATTACAATATACAGCACTAACTTGATTATCTTTCTTGTCGTCCCACAAACAACGACTTGCAATACGAATTCCTTGAGATTTGTTTTCGACGATATTCACCAAGCAAATCACTTTGTAACGTTTATAATCCATAAGTTTCACCTGTTCACGAATTGTGAGCGACAAAGAGTTGACAAGACTTCGGCAACGACTGGCATCGTACGTGGCATTTTGAAGGAACGATTCTAGAGTGCTTTGCATAAGTCTTTCAATTTCTTTTAAGTCGAGTTTCTTGTCTGGCTCCATTTTGTACGTGTTTTCAAAAACAACTTTCTGTGGGCGATGCTCAAATATACTTGGTTGAATATTAACAATACTTGAGCCGCGATCTTTTGCAATAGGAAAACCTACTTCAAAAAGACTGCTTCTTCTTGGACGTTCTCCCATAATTCAGAAACAATTTTTTTATGAATTTACAACTTTTATAACTTTGAATATTTTTCTAAAAATTTCCAACGATGGCAGACGGCCGCCAGACGCTTTGGTGACGTCATTTAATAATTTAGGGGGACTGGGCTACAAACTAAAGACATATATTCATACATAATTTCAGATTATGCAAGACCCGTAGGGTTGAAGTATAAGATGAATTGTACGAATAAATGGAGACGAATATAACAATGCTATATCTTTATTACGAAGTAATAAAGATATAGCATTGTTATATGAGGCGACACTTTATGAAGTACAATACATATTCTTCCTCTGTGTTATATATGACACCCAAAATTTGGCACATAATTACCCAAATATCCAGTCTGACAGGGTATTGGTCACAGCTGTGTCTCATTTGCCTTCCATGGCTCATTTCCAAATTTATTATTCAAGATAACAAAATTTTCTTTATGCATGTGTTGCAAAAGACTGTTTGGCTTTTTGGACATAACCTGGGGGTAAAGTTCTGACATAATACACAAGATACCTCTTAAAAACAAATATACACTTTATTTTCAAAACAAAAATGAAATAGCTTAAGCAAAGGCACTTGTATTACTGATTATTTAATCACTATATCTGCATTTTTTATTTCAAATGTACAAATTTGTATTTTTATTTTAAAAACAAATGTGTACAAATTTTATCCCATTTATCACATTGTTAATTAAGATAAGTCACCAAGGTAAAGTGTTACCATTATACTGCAAGAAAGAACCTGTCTTTGACAGATCTAATGAGCCAATTAAGTTCACTAATGATGGTATCGCTTCAGGAAGAGTCAGTGGTGCTGCTTTTCCACCCATATCAGTTTTAATCCAACCAGGGTCGATACAGACAACAGTTATACCATCTTTAGCATAGTCAATGCTGAGAGACATGGTCAACATGTTGACTGCAGCCTTTGAACATTTGTATTGGTAATGGCCACCTTCCGAATTCAGTGCGACTGAGGCATCATCGGATGAAATATTAACAACAGTTGCTTGAGGCTGACATGGTGGATCATTGCTCGATGCAGCTCGACGTAGCAACGTCAAGAAAGCTTTTACTATCATAAGAGGTGCTATTGCGTTTGTCTCATAGACTTTCATCATCAGCTCACGGCTAACTTCATCTAGTGTAGTTGTAGCTTCGCCATATTCAGAGTTTTTCAAATTATGTATGCCTGCATTATTTATCAGTAGATTTAATCCAGACCCGGCAAGTTTTTCTTCAACTTCTTTAACCACAGCTTCAAGCTGCAAAGCATTGGTAACATCCAATTCTAGAAGATGTAAGATCGGGTTCTTCTCTGCAAGCTCACGTAGCTCCCGAGAGCTGTCAGATTTCAAAGAACGACAAGTACCAAATAGCACTTTCGGAGTATTAGGCAGTGACAATATTTGCTTAACCATGGCAAGACCAATGCCTCGGTTACAACCAGTTATGAAAATTGAGATATTTTTGAACGCCGCCATATTTACGATGGTTTATAAAATTTCGATATCCACTATTGCGTATAGCCTATCTCTTATGTACTTTAAAAATTTTATTAGGTTATTAGGCATGGGTCAGTGCAGTGAACTCCATATGTGTATATATATGGAATTCACTGGCATGGGTTAGCTGTGTAATGGAAGGCGAGGAAAAAAATCGGGTTTTTTTCTCGCTATCCCGACACAGCCAGCCCAAGCCAAATATGCATATTTTTAGTACATAAGAGATGCCTGCGGAGGAGGCTATATTTCGTAATAGATGTAGGGCAGGTCCAGAATATTTTATAGACTAATAGTTCTCAGGAACAATATGTATGTGGTGCCCCTCACTGAAGTATTTGTCAAATTTGAACACAGCACTGAACATGAAACGTTAAAGCGTGGCTTCCGGTGGAATTGAAACCCACAGGTGGGGCTGATAGCACACTTGGTGCACAGGCTTATTTTAGGCTGATTTGTTGAGAAATTTTGGTCACCCCATGCAAGTTACAATGACTGCAAGTCTGCAAACCAGTCAAATCACTGACTATTCTTTGAAATTAGGTGAAATTACAAATACATACAAAATATAAGATAAAGCTATGAACTATCCTGTAGTAAACCTTACATAATATATACCATGTCTCATAACAAGAATACATTATAGCACCATTTTCTAAAAGAACAGTTGTACTAATGTACTTTACAATACCATATGTCCCATATATACCATCACTGCTTTGGTGACGTCATCTAATAATTTAGAGGGACTGGCCCAAAACTCCCAAAAGATATAATTTTTATATATTCTTCCTTTGTGACTGGGTAGTTGGTTGGAGTTAAAGTTTATTTATGGCACTCAATATATTATAAATGGCACCCAAATAACTAGTCTGACAGGGTACTGGTCACAGCTGAGCCTTATTCTCCTGCCATGGCTCATTTCCACATTTATTTTTCATATGTATAATGTGTACAAATATGTGTACAAACATATGTGTACAAATTATTAATAAACTAAAGTCACCAGGGTAAAGTGTTACCATTATACTGCAAGAAAGAACCTGTCTTTGAAGGATCTAATGAGCCGATTAAGTTCACTAATGATGGTATCGCTTCAGGAAGAGTCAGTGGTGCTGCTTTTCCACCCATATCAGTTTTAATCCAACCAGGGTCGATACAGACAACAGTTATACCATCTTTAGCATAGTCATTGCTGAGAGACACGGTCAACATGTTGATTGCAGCCTTTGAACATTTGTATTGGTAATGGCCACCTGCATTCAGTGTAATTGAGCCATCAACGGATGAAATATTAATAACAGTTGCTTGAGGCTGACATGGTGGATCATTGCTCGATGCAGCTCGACGTAGCAACGTCAAGAAAGCTTTCACTATCATAAGAGGTGCTACTGCGTTTGTCTCATAGACTTTCATCATCAGCTCACCGCTAACTTCATCTAGTGTAGTTGTAGCTTCGCCATATCCAGAGTTTTTCAAATCATATATGCCTGCGTTATTTATCAATAGATTTAATCCAGATCCGGAAAGTTTTTCTTCAACTTCTTTAACCACAGCTTCAAGCTGCAAAGCATTGGTAACATCCAATTCTAGAAGATGTAAGATCGGGTTCTTCTCTGCAAGCTCACGTAGCTCCCGAGAGCTGTCAGATTTCAAAGAACGACAAGTACCAAATAGCACTTTCGGAGTATTAGGCAGTGACAATATTTGCTTAACCATGGCAATACCAATGCCTCGGTTACAACCAGTTATGAAAATTGAGATATTTTTGAACGCCGCCATATTTACGATGGTTTATAAAATTTCAATATTGCGTAATAGATGTAGCCTTTTGCAGGTCGCGTCCAGACTCGTACATTACCACTCGCTTCATCACAACATAACCAGGACAGAGCTATATCTTTTATTGACTTTTAACATCCCTCAGAGTTGCGCAGGAAGGTTTCCTTTAAACGGGCTTAAAGTAAAACTAAAACGTGCTACGAATGACTATCGACCAGACTTGCACGACGCAAAGAAAAGGAAGGTCACGGACTCACGGATACTAAAGAGTGTTTGCAGAACATAGCTTGCTTGTTAGATGATTTTGGTTTTATGGGGGTTTTCTGCCGCCAGATGAATGTGCTTATCTTGAAACTTGCTGGGCACATTGCCTGAGGCAGTTTAATTAGTTACCATGCAACTTCGTCAATTCCCGAAGTTGCTTTAGTTGAGAAATTATTGCGCGAAGAAGTAGACCAAAAACATAAAATACTTTAGCATAACACATCAGAATCATTGTAAGATTTTATTATTCACAGTAAACACAAAAATATACAGTTAACAGACTATATATTGTATGGCACTCTTTGCAAATTACTGTAACAAAAGTGGCCTGTTGTTTAAATATCTAAACACTGATCTAGTTGCTGGCTTTCTTCTTATATTCTCTTTGTCTCATCAAAAAGCTAAAACAAAATTTCAAAAAAATTCAGGACAAGTTCAAAACAGCTCATAAAACATATTTTTGAGGAAATCTGGAAGAAATATCAGGATGGTGAACAAGCAGCAATGTACAATTGTGAACTATACTGTCATACCACACACTGTAAAAATTAATTTCTCGGCAAATCCTTATTCTGACCTCAGTCTTTTCAGCCCAAGTCTTACAAAGAATGAAATATACTTACTCAGTATATTCACACACTTCCCATTCATGACGTTCATGTTTACATTTCCATGGAAGATAATAGTTTTTCTTTTGACATTCCAATAATGGAACAACAAGATGCGCACAGTAATCTCGTAGATGAAGAGGAACTTTTGCATCAGCCAATTCTTTTTTAGATATCTTCATTTCTGGTTGAAATAAAATCAAGCATAATTTATATCGTGACCATAGCCTGATAGCCATAGGATGACCAATATTATGTACAAAGGAAGAGGCGATTACTACATTAGCGGAACAATATGATTCAGTACAAATTATTTTATCATACAAATTATTATTTATACGCCAAAACACTGTATGTGCTAGAGCCTTGAAGTGCGAGAGCGCCGGAGAGCCAAAGCTTTGGTAGACCTGGACGTTTTAGTAAATTCAGAAATACACATAAACACCATTCTTTATGAATCGTGAACTGCAGTTAAAACAAATTCTGAAAATAGCTATTTGAGTAGCTGTATTTAATCTATGGAGATATATGCATCATGTACCACATACCACTGGCTGAGTAGTGAGTGCTATTAAATTCTCAATGTCGTAAAACACACATGATTTACTTTCAAGCAGCGCCATACAATTTCGACATGCATTAACAAATTGTTAATCTTTCTAAGCTGCCGCTGCACGCCATTGACATAACCACAACAACGATAATAAAGAAATGGTAAATTACCTCTGAACTTCTTCACTTCGCTTGTGGCGGCCATTTTGTTCCTCCACTTGTCACCAGTCTACCGCTGTGACTCGGATTTCAATATGGCTTCAAAAATGAACAAAAACAAATTTATTTTATAAAACGTACTCTGTAGTAATATTTCGCTGCTCTGCTTCTTCTATACAGTTTAAAGGGATACTTCAGAAAGATGTTTCACAAAGGATCAAAAGAAAAACAAAGAGGCATAGGGTTTGGTGGGTTTACAGTTAGTAGCAAGCCAAAACAACAAACTTTGCAACCATCTCCAGTGCAAACCTCTTTTGCACAACGTACAGGGAGACAAAGAGGCCCTGGACACTCGGAAAGTGCTGTTTTTAAAAGACCGTAAGTTTGAACTTAGCTTTGCACATTACCTTTTAAGAACTGTGTTATGAACACAACAAGTGAACTTAGTGAAGGCTGTTGATTTTATTGCACAATTTATTATTTATATAGAGCCATGTATTAATGAACCAGGTTGTTAATAGTATTCATCTTTGCACTTAATAAAATACAATATCTCTGATTATACTATCATATACTATGAATTTAGGGCCAACTTTGGGGATAACGATAGTGATAGTGATGATAATGTGACATATCACAAAGAAAGTCAGGTGTATGAACCTAAACCAATTGGATCTAATAATGATGAGGGTGACGATGAAGAAGATGAATTGGATAAATTTATGGCAGGAATTGAGGTAAAAAGAAGCAGATATGATACAGATCCATCATTAGTAACTGCACATTAGAAGACACAACCATTAACAGTGATTTGTCTTCTAATTGTAGTGATGTAAATGTTATTAATAATCAAACATGTTCCCATGTAGCCAGTGCATGGACAGGTTCATGGGTAACATATGTCTGTGAACATATTAGTGTAACATTTCATGTTCTTGGTCATATTTCAAGTGATTTTATACTGTGAATAAATGTTAGTATGGTGCTATGAAACCCTGAACTGTTAAGATGATTTATATATAAACATGCTTTGTCCACATTAAACTAAAACTTTTCTCAAATAGTCAATAATACATCTGCTATATGTACTGTATCTGTGGTACTGTTTCACTGCACTGCAGTAAAATATATGGTGAAGCAATTGTGCTTTTTTATCCAATTTTCACATTGATTCAATAAAGCCTTGAAGTTTCCACTTAAATTTCTAGCAAGAGGTAGAAAGGGAAAAGAACTTATCAGTTGCACAACAAGAGGAAAAGGCCAGTAAAAAGTAGGGAAACCTGAGCACACTGATCTAATATGTTCAACATGATTGTATATAAGAAAATTCCAAAGAATGACAATGATGATATTGCTATATATAATTTATGTAGAAGTAGACGAGATGATATTGAGGATGAAGATGATCAGGAATCATTCTTCAGAGTAATGAAGGAGGTTCCACTTGAATATTATCCTGATGATGATGAAGAAATAGATTATGACAGTGATGGTAATCCTATAGCCCCGCCAAGATCAAAGGTAGTCACTTCAGCAATTTATCTGCAATTGGAACTCATTTGCATATTAGTGAGATATTCTTAGAAATTTCTGTCATTTGCCATCATTTGTCATTTTCTGTCATTTAATGAGATCTTCTTAGAAATCTCTGTCATTTGCTCTCCATAATGAATTTTAATTTTCTTTTATTGATAGATAATAGAACCATTGCCACCCATTGACCACTCTGAGGTAATGTTATGTACTGGACCAGTACAATTTATTTAAAACACACAATATTTTTGTATGACAACCCACTGTTAATATACTTTTCATTCTGTATCTGTTAGATTGCTTACCAGAAATTTGCCAAAAATTTTTACGAAGAACACGAGGAAATTAAGAAATTAACAGAAGCAGATGTAATTAAATTGCGACAAAGTTTGGGGGTTAAGGTATGAGAAAGAAAGTATTGTTGAATAGATCTTAATATACTTTCTTCACAGCTTTAACATGAGTAATTTTCCAGACATTAAAACTTTTTTGCTAATATTTCCCTAATTGCCTAGAATTTCTTATATGATAAATGAGTACAATGTTATTAATATTTGTTTGGTATTATGAAGGTATCTGGTGCTCAACCTCCTCGTCCTGCCGTTAGTTTTGCTCATTTCTGTTTTGATGAAGGTTTGCTAAGTTCAATAAGAAAATCTGAATATACAAAGCCAACTTCTATCCAAAGTCAGGCAAGTAGTAGTTTTTCAATCATCACCTTGCGATGCAAGCATTAGCGATGTGTTATCATCAGGTGCATATTTTCAGAGAGTTCATTTCTCATTGTTGTGATATATTGAAAAGATACACAAGATTTATAAAACACTTCATTTTATTCTCAACTGTAACACAGGCAGTTCCTGCAGCTATCAGTGGTCGTGATATCCTCGGTATTGCCAAGACTGGTTCAGGAAAAACTGCCGCTTTCCTGTGGCCAATGTTGGTACACATTATGGATCAGAGGGAAATGCAGGATGGCGATGGACCTATAGGGTTAATATGTGCACCAACACGAGAACTTTCACAACAGATATATTTGGAGGCAAAAAAGTTCGGAAAGGTTTACAATATTCGAGTGGCGTGTGTATTTGGCGGTGGTAACAAGTACGAGCAGTCGAAGGCTCTGAAAGAATTTCCTGAGATTATTGTTGCGACACCAGTATGTACACTGTATATGTCTTAACACAATTCTCGAGGATACCAGTCTATTCGACGCCGATAACGAGTCAACATAGACTGGGACAACTAATAAACTGGTTACTGACAGTCAGGGGCCAGTTGTATAAAAGACTGGTTAACTTTTAACTGTAGTTAAGGAGAGGATTGGCCCCTCAATCAGAGTTGTGTGTTAGTCAAGTTAACTATGCAAAATATAGTTCGAGTCACTTAAATCATCATCGTGCTTAAATTTTCCCAGGGTCGATTAATTGATCACATTAAGGATAAAACTACAAATCTGGAAAGAGTTACATTCTTGGTTTTTGATGAAGCTGATAGAATGTTTGATATGGGTTTTGGTAAGTTTGTATAAATTTCTTTTTTGTATCTTACCTTTCGTTGTTTTACTCCTGATACGAGAATATCTTTGTATCTATAGAACCACAGGTTCGATCCATTGCAAATCATGTACGGCCAGACAGACAAAGTAAGTCAACTGCAATCGTGCTACTGTTACGTTATCTTCATATCTTGCTAGGCTGCATGCATGCTTGGGTTTTCGAGTTAAAAACGGTGCAATTTTTTTTGCAACTTGCAATGCGATTCTACTTTCAAGAGATGTAAATTAGTGAAAAGTGCTTCAGAAGAAACGTACATGAAGTGTAATGAACGCAAAAGTTTCATTGTTGCCAAATTTACATCTCTCAAAAGTAGAATTGCATTGCAAGTTGCAGGAAAAATTGCACCGTGTAACAGGGCCTTTACTTTCGTGTCAACAACGTGAAAAGATAATCATAGTTTCAAATTAATTCCTTTTCCTCTCTTTAATACTTGTTTCTGATATTCTAATATTGTTTTTTTCATTTTTACTGCTGTGCAGCTTTATTATTCAGTGCAACATTTAAAAAGAAAGTTGAAATGCTCTGTCGAGATATATTGACAGACCCAGTTCGAATTGTCGTTGGGGAGCTGGGTGAGGTGAGATGTCTGGCTTTATTTAACACGGCTGAGTTTCCAAACTCGAATGTGCTCGAGCTCCTGAAGGTGGGTGGAAATATAAAAGCGTTGTTTTTGTCTTGTTTTAGGCTAACGAAGATGTTACACAGATTGTACAAATATTCAACGACGGTGCAAGAAAATGGCAATGGCTTACCGCAAATCTTGTACGCTTTACATCTGGTATGTTGAGTATTAATCAACATTATAAGCGACAATAAACCCCCCAATTTCATTTTTAATCCTTTACAACCCACTGCATGGGGACTCTGATGGTCCTGTCACGAAAAGTTAATTTTGAATGCGGTTTGGTTTTAGTTATTTAATTGCGGTAGTATATATTTACCTATTAATATGTTGTTGTCAATTTTTTTAAATTTTAATTGAAAAATCTTTTGTTTCGTACTTCAGAGGGAAGCGTTCTTATTTTCGTAACAAGAAAGTTAAATAGCGAAGAACTGGCTAATAATTTGAAAAAGAACGATTTTGAACGTAGGTTCAATGCCTAATATGTCTATAGTGACGATCTTTGTCCAGCTCGATCCATGCCACTGGCAGTACTGCTTATGTTTTTAATTTTATTTATTTTCAAAATGATGTTATCTTCACTCACTTTTGTTACCATTACATTCAGTCCTCCTGATCCACGGTGATATGGATCAATTTGAGAGAAACAAAGTGATCACATCTTTCAAGAAGAAAGAATTCTCGATCCTTGTTGCAACTGATGTCGCGGGTATAGAAAAGCTATCTTAGCATGAATTGTAAATTATATTGAAGTAAATTATATTGACTTACAACTGATTTTATTTCGTATGTAGCTCGTGGTCTGGATATTCCTTCTATTAAAACTGTCATTAATTACGACGTTGCACGTGATATTACAACTCATACTCATAGAATTGGAAGAACTGGTCGAGCAGGTATATTTGTATTTCATTCATTCTTCTGAGTTCATTTGTGTACCTACACTCACAATCGCTGTCACTGATTCATTGTGTGTAACAAAGATGTTTTAAACATGTATGTTTTTATTCAAACGGTTGACTGTGATTGTTCTATGTCAGTCATCGATCGTTGTACTGGGTCCATGCACTCATGCTTTGGAAGTTTGTATTCTCATAATCCATCAAAACAAAAACAAGATTAAAAATGTCGCGTTATATTTATCTCCGCTATCTTTTTAGGTGAAAAGGGCGTTGCATACACTTTGATGACGCCAGGTGATCAAAATTTCGCTGGAGATCTTGTGCGGAATTTGGTAAGTTACATCTGGTGCACATGCATGAAGGGGTGGTATGATAATAAACTAAATACCAAGTACAAAAATCTGTGTGTTTTAGGAAATAGCCAATCAAAATGTTTCAGAGGAGTTACTTGAATTGGCAATGAAGGTTAGATGCATGGAATATAATGGTTGTGGAAATTTTACATGTAATATTATTAATACTAAACCCCACTTTGTATTTTTTTGTATGCGAAACAGATTCGATCCGCTATACTTTAGTCTGTGATTCTGCTTATATCAAATCAAATGTTATTTCTGTGTAGAACGCATGGTTTAAAAAATCGAGGTTTAGAGGTGGCAAGGGCAAAAGAGGAAGTGGTGGCGTTCGTGAAAGACCTGGATTAGGAGCGCCTGAAGCGGTATATATATAGTTGCATATATTCTGTGTTTTACATTTTCAATATTTCTCACCAGCCAAAGAATGGGAAACTTATAGTTAATTGTGTAATGTTGATATTTATCTGCGTGTGTTTCGAGATTACATGATTGTTTAATATTTTCCAGGGTTCAACGTCTGGTCCAATGGGATCAGCTAAAAGTTTGTCCTCATATTCGTCAACGGTGTCAGCCTCAGCTGGGTCAGGTCCAAGCAGCAGTAGGTTGAATGCCTTGAAAGCTGCATTTTCTGTAAGTGTCCTTGTCTCCATATATCAATTACGTCAGATTGTAAAGAATTGTTCGTCTTTCGAACCAACAGAATTAACAATTTCATTTCATATTATCATGCATTTTTTGCAGTCGCAATACAGAAGTCATTTTACTGCGTCAACTGCTAACAATAAGTGGGATGCTTCCAAAGAACATTCAACTGTGAACCCACTGGAAGACCAGGCTTCACTCAACAAGGAAGAGAAACGCAAAGCTAAGAAGTCGAGATGGAACTGAGATCTTCTATGATGACGAGCATCTTGTCGTTTTACTGTAAATATTGACGCACAACCACATTACATGCAGAGTGTAAAAAAATATAGATGGACACTGTAATGTAAAACACTCAAATGAAATTCGAAACGGCTGTAAATTTATGACATTGTCTCAAGATCCTAGGCTATATTATAGCTTTTTACAGCACATTCTCGTAAACCAAACAGTAAAAAAGAAATGAAATTTTGGTCGCGAAGTGCACGGGACACTGTTGCAGAAGCCTCATTTTAACGCTGGACAACCAAAACAAGTGGTATAAATAAAATCCAAGATCCAAAATCCACTTTGGTTAGACGTGTTCCTTATGTAATTATCCCAAAGCTGTATGTTGAGAGTTGGCTAAATATATTTTGTATAGGAGAAATGAGGTAATCATTGCAGAGCTGCTCAACTCAAAATTAAGACTGAGAGAGAGAATAAAACTCCCATGCAGTCTCTCCGGCTCATAGTTGTACATAGGGTTGCCATTTTGTCACTTTACTGCGTTTTGTCACTTTGCGGCGTTCCACAATAGACAAATGTGAGAATTCAACCGTAACGGATTTCTTTGACCAGTCAAATACTTTCATTCGATCAAAAAATTCAGCCTAGTGGGAAACCGGCTTGAAAGCAGGAATTCTTATTCGGACAGCCGGGAGATTTCTTTTTGCTTAAGCCAACCTCTTCTCAGACCTAAGAAATTTTCCCACGTCCCATCCGATCTGAAGAATAATTTTACCGAACGGAAACCAGCCATTAGACTGTTTAGGTACTAAATATCTAGACAATGTCATTGCCACAAGACCGACAGTTGACAATGAGCACTGGAACATTCTTGAATGAGATCAGAGAATTATCGTATACGGCAACGAACAAACTATGAACAATTAATTTATGGATGTTTTCTAAGTTTGACCGTTCAGGAGTGTTTTTTTCTCAATTCAAAATTTTCAATTGAACATTTTGATAGCCGCGTTAAACAAAGTGAAAGTCGAGATTTGAGAGCCGAACCTGCTATAATTTCTTGTGTTCTTTTGTTACCACCAATCCTCCGCAACGTAAACAATTTAGCACTAGTGCACATTATGCCAACGTGCCAATGGCAGTAAGAAACGATAAACAACAAAAGCAACCTGCTCATGAAAGAAAATATTGTAACAAAACACGCTTCAAACCCACAATACTTGTTCCACTACAGAGGTTTCCACTATAAGCCGCCGCACAGAGCATAGTGAGGTAAGAAGTAAAAATACTGGCTTCTATTATAATTTCATTCTTTAGGTTGTAGGTAAATCAGAATTTAATGTATATCTTGCAAATGATGCATCGTTATAGTTAAATGTTGTGAAATAGAAATAGTTTTTGTTTTAAAATCGTGACTTGTCTCTTGCATGTGGTCAAACAGACAATAGTTGATCTTGAAAGACGCTTCCTCGTAAGTTTGCTTTACATAAACCAATTCATGACTTACTTTTATTACATGGTACAGCCAGTATAGAATCTGTACACTGGGTAGTATATGTTTCTGCCTCGGTCGCTTGTGTACGGTAAGACGTAATGTTTTCTGATAGTAGTTTGTTCAATTAAACAGGTTGTCGAATGCAAAGATCAAGAGTTTTTCAAAAACTAGTTTCGCACACACGTTTAGAATACTGTTCTTCTCATGCAAGTAATTTTTTCTGTTGCAGTGCTATTGGATATAGCCGTTAGCTTTGTATAACTTGAAAACATAGTAAATTTAGTCTGAAAATATAGAGGATTATTAGTCTTTATTCAGTTTGTCAGCGTTCAACAATGGACACAAACAATTGTCAGGCTATGTTAGCAGTTATATAAAGATTTTCAATTTTTATAACTTGTTCAATTTGTTCAATTTATAGAAAAATGGAGTACAGAATTTCAAGTTCTGTGCTTGTCCTTTTAGTTTTGGTAACGTGCTCATGCGCGGGAAGGATCGGTAGGTATTTCAAAACTAAATAGAAATATAGACTATAGGACAACCGTGTGAACGTTGAATTTCCGTGGAGCAGCATTTCTTCTAGGGATTAGCGTTGCTAGTTTAGGAGGTACTGAGAGTCGCAATTCAATGCGAAGCTCTTTCTTATGTGGAAAAGTACGATGTCATTTCACATGGCGTCGTCGTATAGTGTTGTGTTTGTTAATGAATCATTCACCCTAAAGTTTCATTTCAACACTAGTGTGGAGGACGTACGACTTTGTAAGCTAAAAGTAGGTAATATCATGCACCAAGCTAGGAATATCAGTTCAACTTTCTCTTCTTTCCTCTCTAGAAAAACGCTATGTCGACTACAGTCCACTTCCCCCGCCTCCGCCTGGTCCACCAGGGCCAGATGGCCCACCAGGATTTGTCGGACCACCAGGACAGGACGGTCCTAAAGGACCGCAAGGCCCGCAAGGCCCACAAGGCCCACCTGGGCCTCCTGGGCCGCCGGGAACACCAGCATATCCAGCCGGACGTCGTAACATCATGCCTCATGCTGCCCCACCTCCTCCTCCACCACCAATATACGGACCCCCTGGTCCCCCAGGCAGACCAGGACCTCCAGGACCACCAGGACGGCGAGGTGGACAAGGTGCACCTGGTGGAAGAGGACATGCCGGACTTCCAGGAAAATAAAGGACCTAAATATTCTGGCAGTATTTGTAGTATATCTAATGCTCATGGAAATTGTCATCTGGCCGTGTTGAAATTATCATCTGGCCAAGATTTCCTACCTGGCTTTATTAATATAAGCGGAAAGACTTAAATAATAGAGCCTAATTTTACTTTTTCCTTTCATATTTATCAAAAATTGTTATTTAATATGGAATTGTTATGGTTTATTCAGCGATGCACTTTTTATATTTTAAAATAACCTAATAATATATTAAAACAAAACAAATTTGGGTTCGTCGATCTGATAATATCAGTCATTTGTTAGACAGGTCAAAGTCATTTGAGTTTTCATTGGTATAGTAGTGTCTGGTGTGCCTATGCAGTGTTAAGGATTGTTTTAGTTTACCGAATTAAAGCTTAACTAACTGTGATTCCAGGACAATGTGAATGACTTATTTTTCCAGTTGCTGCTTGCTGTGGCCTGGACCATAATTTATGTACGGTTTTCTTTTCAAGCCGATGTTTTACGCTTTTTTTCAAGCTGGAAGTTGCCAATTGTACTGCCTCTTTATATACCAGGGTGCTTCTGTTGTTAGAGGCTGTGGTTGCATTTTTATCAAAACATCGTAATACCATCAACAGAAACGGTTCGATGTTGTTTTAGAGATTGTAGATCACTAATTTTACTCTTGAGCAAAGTGTTCTCTGCTCCTTCCCTCTGCTCCTTCCCGCTCCTCCAAAACGCTATAATAGTGTTATCATTTGGATTAGATATCTCATAGGATTTTAAATATTCTGATTTCATGTTTCAACCTATTGAGTACAAATTGTGTACTGCTCGAGTACTTCGCCATTGCATAGTATGATTAGGAGCTAAGCATCGAATTGTACCTTCTCCCCTATTTATTTTCCTACTAACTCTCCTGACGAAGGCCCTCAGGTCGAAACATCGAGAAGTGTTTTGTCTATTTTAGGCAGTTGTTATACCACAGTTGATGCTAATAAGTTGTTTGAAGACGCTGCCTCGCTGCTCCCTGGTTATATTGGTTTGATTAGGAGCTAGTAGTTCATGTTGACCAGAGGTGAGATGAATGGGTCGAGTGTATGAAGTTTATTGAACCAAAGCTGGTCACGAATATGAGGGGAAGATGAATAGTTGATAGTTAACCAAGTAATCGAGTCTGGGTGATTCTTAAAAGAACAGGAAAATTGACCATTAAAGTCGGGAAAGATTAAAGCCGAGAAAGACTGGACTGGGTGATTTCGGTTAGGGACTAGTGAGGACTCAAGGAAATGTCTGCTATATTGACTCCTTATTCCTTTAAATCGGTGCGTCAGCTGAACAAACCGCAAACTAGAAGAAATTATTGAGAATGCTACCTGAATGACGCCTCGTCCGAATGCTCTCTCAGCCCTCAATGAAAATGATGAACGGTTCCTGCGTACCGAAATATTGTCTTGACAACCGTTTATGAACGAATATAAGAAATCAAGGGTTGAATACCATTCATCACAAACATTAGCTAAAAATGCATGTATATATATCAAACATTTAGTAGTCTTATTTACTTGAAAGTAATCTGCAGTGCCAATCCATGGCTTCATCTAATGAAGCAATCTAATGATAAAATCTGTTCCATGACTTCAAATCTTAAATGTTTCACGAGAGCAGGCCGGAGGCATTGTAAAATTAAATTGCGTATGAACTACAATTGTTCACACCTAGAGATAATGCTTTCCTTTGTCTGCAGAGGGTACATTCGCTCGCACCCTGCTTATTTTCGCGACAGCCCGTCCCTTTCTTGTCCCCAGGCCCAGACTCAAAGCTCCATCGCTCTTCAATATCCCGGTATCCCCTTCGACATCTAAAACTAAAGTAATTAGGGATACAAAAGGTGTTTTTGAAATTCAATGGCCTTATAGTTAGCGTTCCATTTTTACGATACAGTAGTTATAGCGATTTTTTCATGTGTTACACAGTTATTTACGTCCCAATATTTCTTGAGACGCATTGTACATTTTTGTATAGGATTGAAGTTTCTTATGATAGTATTTTGGTATAATATTTTGGTATAACTGATAGTTTTATCAACAATGCTAGCGAACACTATATATTGATTTATTATCGTTTCATAAATAATACCTATGGCCATGCATTTTACAAAGATCTTTAGACCCTGAGCCTCACTTAAAAACGCAATTACCTGAAAGCGTAAAGCTACCTGCGCCTCACAGAGGATATTTTGTAAACAATTTTTGGTGGTTTTCTTTATTTGAGGACACGGTAATAAGCTTAACTTAACGAAACGTTGCAAAACAATGCAACGTTTACTGCACAAACAAATGAAACATAAGCAGCAACAAAGAGTTTTCATATAGCACCTGACAAATCCATTTATTTATTTATGACATTTAAGCAGGCACCATATTGGAACAGTTCAACCGTTCATCAGTTACCGTTGGTACTTCGTAAACGAAGGAGCTCATAACTGATAGAGTAAGTTCATCTCACCCTAAACTACTTTCTAGTTTAAATTAATAGTTTTAAACGTGTGTATTTCTTTGTCACTGACTTTGCTTACTCTGTTCTTGAAGACAATTTAGAATTCAAGATGAATTGGGCTCTTGCGGGCCTCTTTATCGCTGGAGTGATATGTGTAGGAGAGGCTAATATTATCAGGAAACGCGTAGCATCCAGGACGGAAAGTATGTGTTCATCTTTTTTAAACTAAAAATCACTTTTAAAATTAGCTGCTTGATATCGTTTTATAACATTTAGTCAAAACGTTTTTCGAGCGCAGCTACCAGTGACACTACTTTATAGGTACCTGTTTTAATAACTTAGAGAGGCAGAAAGAAAAAGATCAAGTTTCAAATGAAAAGTGATAAAAGTACACGAGTGATAATACACTTAAGATCGCTTATCAACTAGCTAGCAGAAATATCATTTTCATGGTCAGACGATTTGTATACTTTGTCATTTTATAAACCTACCGGTCAATTCTCAATACATATATTTACATATATAAATATATATATATTGGGTAAATTTTTCAAGAGTATATGGACAGATTGCGATCGTTGTACTTTTCAAAACGTTTTCGTTTATTGGTTACGTTAAACCGAAATGTATAGCTATAGATTAAGTGCATTTCGACATGCGCTATAGAAATACACCCAAAACGGCCAAAAGGCAAAAATCATTTGAGAATTCCCTGCTTGTCTTAAATATGACTCCAGGACAGATTAAAATTTAAATTATTGTTGAGTGCTGAATAGTCGAGGTCTTTTTCATCGTCCTGATGTAAACAACTGAATAATCATGCATGTTGATAGTACTCTTTAACGTTGTCAAAATCTATTAAGCTGCACATAAAATGAATACTGACATAGATTCTGTTTCTGGTATAATTGTTCATTGTACGCAATCCTTCTTTATCAAGGCCAAATCACAAAAATTCATTCATAATATGTACTATGGAGAAAATATTAATCAAAATCTCGGGGAGAGTTTTACATATTTGTATACTGAATGAATCAAATTTTATCGTGATATTTTATGAAATCAATGGAAATTGAAATAGGAACATGATTTAGTATTTTATTTCATGTATTACGGCTTAAATTAATGATCGCCATAATTGTTTTCTTTAAGTACTTGCTGACCACCAGTTTCTTTGTAATTCTTGAGTAAGCAAAATTTTCATCGTTTACGTTTTTTTGTTTTCCCTCGTTTAAACTTGAAAAATATCTGCGGTATCTATATGGTATTGCACTGATGATCTCTTTATGGCCAGGTCTATAGCCCGATCAAGATTTCTATCGCTTTTTTGAAGGAAGAATTTGACACATATCATCAAATGTTTGAAAAGCCAACTAAAACAGACTTGCTTATGATATGACACAAAATTTGTGGTCAAGCGATCATAATCCCGATGCTTTTGCTTGTTCACCTGTCATTGATCATCTGTTTCGATCATTTCCTGATGATCATATTCAAAATTTCAGAACCAGTTTACTTTCCAGGCTGACCATAAACGAATCTCGATTCCTGCGCGACACACTGTCACACTTCGCATACGCCGCAATCATGCAATATATTTTAAACGAATTTGGATTTGTATACAGTATTAGACTGTTTTACATTTTTATTGGAGACCGGAAGGATCTTTAGTCGAGATATGATAAAGTTATTGTATTTTTTTATTTCAGACGCTTTTGTACGAAGTCCAATTCCAAATCCGTGCGGTGGTGGCTGTTCAGGTCATTGCGCACCAGCTTGTTCTCATGTATGTTGTCATCATCCCCCACCACCTCCTCCCCCACCACTTCCACCCCCACCACCCCCACTTCCACCACCACCACCTGGACCTCCTGGCTTGGATGGCCCCATGGGTCTACCTGGACCAATGGGACCTGATGGACCTAAAGGACCTCTAGGTCATCCTGGACCTCCAGGACCTCCCGGACCTCCAGGACAGGCCGGTGCACCTGCTGGACCTGCTGGACGTGATGGACCTCCTGGACCACCTGGACCTTCTGGACATCAGGGACCACCTGGTGATCCTGGTCTCATGGGACCACTTGGCCCTCCAGGACCTCCCGGCCAGCCAGCACCACCAGGACCACCACCACCATGCCCTCCAGTGTGCGCTCACACCTGCATCAGAGCTTGCCCAGCACCATGTTGTCATGGACGTTAGACCATTCCTAGATATCGAACTGAAGCCTATCAGAACAGACTTCATACAATACATGTATTTCTCAAATTCTGTGTTTTGTATTTTAACCAGTTTTAATGCTTTGTTGTTGGTAGTAATGACAAAAAAGAATACTTGTATTGCATCAGTAACTAAGTTAATACTAAACTATTCTGATTAACGTTATATTTCTGTATCGAGAAAAATATATGTGTTGATTGTTGGACTACGTGATACCTTTGTGAGAAGTGATGTCTTTAGAACATAGAAATACGGTTCGTTTTTTTTAAATACATGCAGGCCTAACTGTCAACTAAGTCTCGACTGGAATGGAAACTACGCCTTGACGATTCCAGCGCATTACGCAGAGGTGGAAATTCTAAAAACACCAGTGACTGCAACTTGAAACCCACCACTTTTTCCAACTAGTAACAAGCCCTTTCAGAGCGGCATAGCGGCATGACCCGGGCATCTCGTTTTTCTGTCCAGGTATTGTGAATGTTTATATAAGTGTAAAGTATGTAAGTGGTTGTTTTCCCTAATCTTTCATACTAAAATTGTTAAATATTTCAATAGAAATTTCAATTGAAAAATATTTGAAAAGAAACATTTAGATGATTTAGTGATTTAGTGTGCATCCAATTACTGGTTAAAGATAAGGACAATCAAACTTTCGGCAGTTTCAAAACAACTTGCCCAAGAATATTTTCCACAGTTATTAAGCTTACAACTTAAAAAAGAGAAATGCAATTCCTGTTTAAATCATTCTAATCAAGCTGTCTACGTGCATGGTCTTCACGTAACCATGGAAAAAGAAATAACTTCAGGAACAATCCATGCCGTCGATTTGTCTCTTTGTCTGTCTCTAAGTTTCAGGTCGGAAGGCCTGGGTCGAGTTAGCGACAGGTTGCCACGTTTCCTTTACAATCTTATATTATGTTCAGAGAAAAAGTATAATTGCGTACTTTTTTTCCGACAATATTCAATAGAATTATATAAAGTGATCCTTATGAGATATGCTTCCTCTACATTCTAAAGATGGCGTTAAAAGTGATGATTTTAAACCAGGAATAAAGATCAGATCAAAGCTCGCGACCTGGGTTAGGTATGTTAGAAAATGTTAATTGCCCTATAAAGCCTAGCGTAGAACTTATAAAGGAAATTGATACATTGATTAATATCGACTATTCAATTTAGGCAAATTCTATCCGATAAAGGTTCAAGAAATTTGTTTTGTTTTCTTCTTCTTAACTTATCTTTCGCGTTCGTTGAACTTGCTTACGGGATATGGACGAACAGGTCAGTCATTCATAAATATTTTGTACCATGTGACATTGTTATTGTGGATGTTCTGATCAATACTTCGAATCTAAAAATGTTTTGTATTAAATTGAAAATATATACGACATGAAGATAACTATCAGTGATGTTTGACTAATTTTACAATATAATATGATCAACTTATATCATATGATCAACCTATATCTTATGATCAACCTAGGATAAATACATTTTCATTCATTGCTTTTAATGGTCATCAATGACAATCAATAATTTTTATGTTTATTGAATGTAATAAATAGATTTTTTCTAGTCTTGGTCTCTTCTAGTATCCAATTCATTTCTGTCTTCTTTTTGTGATTGCAGTGTTTTACTGTGTTTTTTCTCTAGTCTTGGGCTTATATCAGATTCATTTCATATGTTCTTTGATTGTACTGCATTACTGGCTGGCTTGATTGCAACTGTTATATCACGGTGGAAGAAAAATGAAACATTTTCCTATGGGTATCCCATTAAAATAATTTTTATGCATTTTTGCTCACTTTTATTTTATTCCTTGTCCATTAAGATAGCAAAACTGTTTGCTATATTTATTTAGATCATTCAGTCTCCAAAAACACTGACAAGTTTCTATCTAGTGGGTACTTCCTATTAATCAACAAAACAAATTTCCATTTTTAGGTATGTAAGAGCAGAGGTGTTAGCAGGATTTGTGAATGCCCTATTCCTTCTATTCATTGGATTTTTCATTCTTTCTGAGGCAGTTGAGGTAATTTAAATATTACTCTATATATAGATATATTATATTTTATATTTATAGTAATGAATAACATCTTGCCTAATGATTGAAACACTCCTGATTAATTACATTATATATAGAGGTTGTTTCATCCTCCCCATGTTGAGCATGAGAGATTATTTGTGATCTCTGTCCTTGGATTCCTGGTAAATTTAGTTGGTATCTTTGTTTTCCATCATGGTGGAGGTATGTTGATATATAAAGATTATGAGCAATATATTTATATTTATACTCTTATTCTAGCTTTCTTCCAGCTAATATATTAGAACGTTTTAGGAAGTCATGGTCACTCACATGGTGGGGGAAGTCATGGTCATTCACATGGAAAATCTCATGGTCACTCGCATGGTGGTCATAGTGGACATGGTCATGATGGTGGTCATGGTCATGATGGTGGTCATGGTCATGGTCATGGTCATGGTCATTCACATGGTCATGATGAGCATGAACATTCTGCCAGTAATGCTAGTCATCATGGTCATTCACATGGCTTAGGTAGGAAATGTGTAACATTGATCATTCACCTGACTGATGTGTTTTGTCAAATTCTATACAACTTATGTATATTTTTCAGGATTTGGAGGCTCATGCGATCAGGAAGATGTTCCCTCTGCAAATAATCAAATTATGCAGGGTGTTTTTCTTCATGTATTGGCTGACACATTAGGAAGTGTAGGTGTTATTATATCAGCTGGACTGATACAAATGTTTGGTAAGAACTTAATTTGCCTTAATATATGTATATATATGCAAACAAAGTAAAATCTATACTGATGGATATTGATGTCCATAGTATGCAAAGCATGAGAGACAAAAGTAGCAGTGGACTATAACACTTACTCACTAAACCTATCATTTTGAAATAACTCAGGACTATGTGTCCTGGGTCCAACTGGATATAAGTAGGGTTTCTTGACATGACATTGACAATTTGGTGACACACAAGTTAATGAAACTGTAATCAGAAAAACTGCAATTGGAGTCACAACCATTCTGTGTTTTTCTGTAGGATGGATGATGGCAGATCCAATATGTTCATTATTTATAGCTGTATTGATAACAATCAGGTGAATTTCAAGGTCATGCAGTTTGCCAGGTCTTGTTTGTGCTTTCATATGCAATAACAAGTATTCTTTGTACTTACATAGTGTAGTACCTCTTTTGAGAGAATCAGTTGGTATATTAATGCAAAGAATTCCTACTGGATTAGAAAAGAATTTACATATTGGATATCAAAGAGTAAGAAGCATTATACAACACATGTACATGTATATTTGAAGATTTTTGTTGCAAGCTCCTGCAAATCCATTGTTGTCTTACCTGTAATTATTATTTGAAGGTTAATCAAATAGAGGGTGTTTACAGTATACAGGATCCTCATTTTTGGACGTTATGTAGGTGAGTATTTTGTCCTAATTGGTCAGCTCAATTGCTGTTTAAGCATAAAATAAATCAGTTTATATTCAGCAGTAATGACTGATAGGAGCTCCGCAATAATGTCGCATTATGTTCCGTAAATATACACTTCAAAAAGATATCAGATAATTCTAAATTATTGTCATGGTGCAAGGTTATATGTAAGAATGTGAAAGGCAAGTTGAGTTCAAAATGTCCGCTTTTGTTTTATCGTTTCTAACTGTCAACTTTACTCAAAACTTTCCTTCATTTCTAGTGATAACTGGGTTGGAAATTTAAGATTATTTGTAGCGCCCAACTCGGATACACAAAGAATATTAAGTCAATGTCATAATATATTTTCTCAGGTAGCTATGTCTTTGTCTTTGAATTACTTCGCCGAGAATCTGTTTCCGGATTTAGAATTTATTTGATTGTTCCTATTTTTAGCTTGGCGTGAAGCAACTGTATGTCCAAGTTGAATATTCGTCTTAGTAAACTGGAAATTCAGAAAATTATGAAAGACGATGAAAAAAGATTTAAATTACGGACAACCTCGTGAAAGTGGTAGAGGCATTTGTACAAAGTCAAAGACTGAGTAGAATATTCTTTATAACACGTAACCTTGCACATTGGTATTCTCGAGAATGGACGTGGAAATTGGAAAATGCAGTGTGTGTACTATTCCATCCATTGCAAACACTTTTGGGGATATATTTGGTTAGGTTATATATAGGTTTTTTAATGACGTTTTGCGAGTGGAAATATATGTAAAATATACGTTGAAATGTTTCAAATAAAAGGCACAGGATATGAAATAATATATTTACATTTATACAGTTTTTTTAACATACATGGTGTGTTCGGTCATCTATAAAGACTATATCTCCTCGATTATTATGATGATATTAAGTTGGTGTCCGATAAATATTCAAGTGATCATTGCAATTTTTTTAGTATACGGTGTATAGGACAGCAAAATAGAATACATACATCAATTATTTTTGCATAACTGCCGCAAGGCATTCAAGTCAACGATGACCATTGTCGTACGGATCACTTTCAGCATCTTCATAATCACCTGAGATCCTCTCATCTCTAGCGTCTCTGGCGTCTCTTGCCATTTGTTTATTCGGCTTTGGTAACTTATTAAACGAATCACCATCACTGAATGGTCGATTTCTTCGCTGATGGTACGAACCGCTACGTTTTTGTTGATTCATTTCTCCGATCAGTTGCCAGAGTTCTTCATTCCGTCTGTAACTCTCGTCCATTGCTTGAGCAATCTCGTGTTTGATGTTTTTTCTTAGTTTATCCATTTCTATCCGCTGAACTGCCATCTCTTTCTCAATGTGTTGTCTCAGTTCAGAGATATTCTCTTGTTCTTTAGCTTCAAGCGGTGTAATTGCAGCTTTTTCTGACATCTTTTCGTTCGACATGCGGCCATCTCTGGATTCACCATTACTGCTTATCTTACCTTCTAATTCTAACTCAATTTCGCGGATTCGCTCCTCGCGGCCTTTCAGATGTACCATACCCATCGTTTTCTGTACTTTTCTTTGAACATAATCCAGCTCTTCTTGAAATTTTATCTCGGCTAGTTTTCGTATGAGCTTACTTCGTTGTTCATCCGCCATTTTACTAGCCGCTGTGCGAACACGTTGATCTAATTCTTGCCCACTATGACTTCTCAATTCCACGATTTCAAGTGAAGATTTCTCACACGGCGATTCGCGATGAGGTTTTGCCAGTCGAGGAATTTTGCTCTTTCTTGAAAAAGGTGGTTTGCGGCTCTCAACCGGGCTAGGAATAATTTCCGGAAGCTCGTCATTTTCATCATAGCTCGATATTTCTTGAGATCTTTGATTTGCTCTTTGTTCAGCCTCCTCCAATTCTTTCTTCCTGTTGATTTTCTCCCATCTTTCATCTAAATTATACATTTGGTTATCACAATGACTACGCAATGAAATGTTGAAATTACTTGTGTTTTCAACCTGTTTTCAGGCGAGATTCATTTTTAGGAAATCACATGCATGCAGGCAGAACAACCGACAGAAATCTGTTTGGATTTGGAAAATCAGTCCTAACCTCAATGTTCACAAAACCGTGGTGCGATGGAATTAAAGCCTAGTTACCAATTAATTAGTCGCAATTGTCGTGAACATGTCAAGATGATGAAATAATAGAATTTTTTCTAGTGTGGGCAAACACAAGGCAACAACAATGAGAGTTAGAGCAGCCACTCTGCATAGAGTGAGAGACAACTGCATGTATTATAATAGTCTTTCGGGGGAGTTTTTCACCCTTTGCAGTTTTTAACATTAAATGGAAACATTTCACCCTTTACAGCGTGTTGAGCGTTAAAATAGAAAAATTTCAACTAGAAACAATTTCACATACAAATGGGGATGTATAACCCCCTACTGTAGGGTAGGGTTACTTAGCAACTAAAGTATACTGAACGTAGAATTAGTATTATTCTGGTTATATTCGTATCGAAAAGTGACTCAGATATTCGTTTAAGGCATATCTTAGCGCGTATTATTGGAAAAGAAAAAACTATATTTTTTTAAAACGACCTACGTAGACATTTATACTGTTGAGACTTAAATCTCGATGCATGGCCATGAGTGTTCCAACTTGCAACTTCCAAGCATACACGGCATAACTGGACGGCAGGTGCAGATGGCTGTGTTTGGAAATTTGATTAATTTCGTTGTCTTAACTCTGCCGACGTTCAATTTAAACATACAAATCTTCATGGTAACGCTTTTAAATAAGTTATGTGTGTGTGCTCTCAATTTTGAATAGCTGATATAGTCACGCTATTGCATTATGTACAACCCATACACTCTTTTACAAAATTAACGATATTGTGCTGAAAATTAGACAAACTGCCGTGGCCCACGTTCTTAAATATTTTGACTTACTTGGCCATTCAACGATAATGCATATAAATGCAGAATTTATACTTATAATCATATAGTGCTCCCAAATCAACAAGAACTAGCTGCACTCAAATTTACAAATATAGTACCAACTTGATTTCACAGTCGTCGGGCAAAATTTTGTAAATGTACGAAGCCTAGACTAAGCATAAGCGGCTGGTGTTTTCTAACACGAAAGATCATCGGAAATACTGACTATTATTGTAAACAACTACACGATGCAACACGACGAATATCGAAACAGGCCACAGGAATTAGAACGGAGTGTTCTGTCTGTGAAGTGTGAACAATCTTTTGCAGGACACAAATTTAAGCGCGCACGGCTTCGGATTCATCGCCCAGTTGTGCAGCTTGTCCTGCAGTGTATATATATAGTAAAGAAGAAGAGGAAAACTTCTTTCAGGGCTCCGATCATTTGAGACCAATATTTCAATCTACGAAGCTAGACACGGAATGTACAACGCGGACATGAAGACGCATACTGTTCCACAGTTTCGCAAGTTTCACAAATAAAAATTATAGACTTAGACCCTTTTAGTAATCAAAGTCAGAGCCGTATGTAAAACAAATTAAATGAAAACTGAGTTCCTAACATTACCGACTGTTTTCATGTAACGTCCGAATCCTAGATTTGGTGCATCTTAAACTCTCTGTATGTGAGATTTTCGTGTGAGTGTTTCATGTGATTAAAATGTCCAGGTCACGAATCGAAAGATGGATTGTTATCCGTTACAGGATTATCGTGCCGTTGAAAATTATCAGTACGAAATACTCGGGAACGATAGTTTTGGCAAAATGCGGTCTAGCTTGTAATCAGCAGGTATAACTGTATTTGCGAATGGATTAAATCATTGAAATAATGAAGTAGTCTTGACTCTTGCACTACATTTATCTGAACTCCCCGCAAATATGAAATTAATCTGATGGATTTAATAAATTTTTATACCTGTCAATAGTCTGTAAGTCCGTTTCTCGATTGGAAGGCTTATGTTTTTCCGTTCGTAGTCATTCCATTGTCGCTGTAAATAATTTGCACATGATGTGCAGACAGGGACGCGACCATTACTGAACAATTTCGCGTTATCTTCATTCTTTAGGCGCTCCAAAAGTGGAAAAAATGGTCCATGAAGTCTCCAACGATAATACAAGAGCTTGATGGGTCCTGGGCTGGGATTTTCGCACGAAATACAAGCCCGCTCTCGACCCCTTAACCCATTCCGTGCCATGAGTGTTTTTCAAGTACGCGATAAAAATGGAGGTCTAAGCTCCACTAAAACATTAAAAAAGAGAGATGACGATATGGATGAGCGTCGTTGAGGCCAGTTTTAAGACCTTGAATATACGGACCTTTACAGGATCTTTTATATTACTGAGAATATTCTACGAATTAACCTTTGCTAAAGTACAGACAAAAGTACATTTGTGTGAAAATTATTCCATGTTTCAAATTGAGTCATTTGTTTCCTTGACGATTCTAATATTATTGTGGCATGATCCTATATAATTACAGTTAATATCGTTTCGCAAATATTGTTTCACATTCAGGCTGTCACTCCTCTTTCATTAAAAACAGCCACACAACACGTGTAAAGGAAACTTCAAAAACCGCTGTTCATGGAATTTCACAAGGAAGATTTGTAAACTGAGATACTGATTTTCCTGAGTTTAAAGTGAAACGTCAGTGAACTTCAGTACTGAGAATAGTTACAGCATGAATAATTAAATATTCTTATGTTAATTGAGCATATAATTATACCTGTCGGGTTGACCGGCGAATTTCTATTTGCGGACACTCTTTGTGTTTCGTTAGATCAGGTTGTGAAACTGGTGTGCAACAATAGGGCAGCTGCACGAAATAATTGAAACTAGTTCTAAGTGCAGCTCGTGAAAAGCACGTCTGTCTGTGTCGAAACTGTGAAGTAGGCCTTCTTAGTGGACTGAAAATCAGTATTCAGTAGTAAAAGTCGCCTATTAAAATGTCGGCTTTTATTTGAAAATAATGTATTTAGTAAATGATTTCATATATAACCATGATATAACCTTTCAATCTTTCAAAAGCTTCATCTTTCTATTTAGTACAATTTTCCCGTTTTTGGCAGTGTAGTTCAAAACTCTGAACGTTCATTACTTCACGCATAGGAAGGAGGAAAACAACCTAATCAGGCTAATGGAAAATGACTTGAAGCATTTTTTTAAAACACATGTACAACCCCTTGCTCAACCACAGGATCTTTGCCCCTTATAGATTGATTGAAAATCCGTGTGAAAAGAGTTTTTCTCTCACTGCTGAACTCAATAATAATTCCTGGAGGAAGAACTCAATAAGAAAGACTGCAATAGGACAAAGGACTGAAATATGATGGGTCTCTATATTGATTGGAGGCATTGGAGGGCACTCTCTTCCACTGATCTGTGCTCAATCCAGAAGCTACTATAGAGCTCAGGAAAATTACTCCACTGAGCTCGGTTGAAAGAATAGGTTGAGTGGATGTATGTGTTCCACAATGCACCACGAGAGTTGTTCTTGTCTTCTTGATCACGTAACGTTGGAAAACTTGAAGCTTCGTGTGGAAGAAAGAATTTTATAGGTTTTAGGTTCGTGTTAAAGCTTCATTTCATATTGTAACTGGTGCCAACATTTTGTCATGACAAAGATTTTGCTTATCTCTTGATAACTGAGCTTTTTATTATTTAGGGACTTTCAAATCGAATAAAAATGAGCTTTATAAAACTGGAGCCAGTGGACAGCTTCAGTTCTCCAGATCGAAAGGTAAAAAAATACATGTATTTCATCTCAAGCGGTATACTATAGAGCTTAACAGATAATGTTTTATCAGATATTTACTATAACAATCTGAGATCAAGGTTTTCAGGTACCTTTAGATCGTTCTGGCCATGTGCTTGACTGTGTTCAAACAGCCTTAATTAACTCAACGAATGCAGTGACGCTTATGCAATATGCACAAAGCACAATATCTGTAATTCTCCCCTTTTTTTACCTTTTCCTCCATAGAAATTTTCTCCTCTCCTGAAGGCTTTCATTAGATCTCTAGATCTGTAATAGGGTTCCATTAGACAGGGGTGAGAGGTTTTGAAGGGGAAAAACTAAAGGAAAGGAAGTCATGTCTTAAGGTCTTGTCAAAATGTGTATGCAAGTTTGTCGAAGTGCTAACTTTCATGCATGTTTCTCTCTGTGCACCTGCATAATATGTAATAAAACTCTATCCATAATCGAACCCTTTAACTTATAAATACAAAATGCAAGTTCAGTAAAATCACATATTGTATCTGCCATCTTGTTTATTGCTGTCCTAATTACATGATAGCAAAAGCAGGTGAGACATTCTAAGAAGGCCAGGTGCTTTGCTTTAAGATATTTTCAAAAGAAAGGTAGTAAAGTTAAAAATCCAAACATATTTTGTATACTCTCTAAGTAAGAGAAAGAAAATTTTTTTTGCTAATTTTCTTTTAAACTGTCTCTTGCTAATTTATGTGGAGCTGATAGTTCTCTGAAATTGAAAATAAAGTTTAATACTGTGTAATATGCATTTGTTTAAATTAACAGCGTGGATCTGATCAATTCTTAGAGTTGGATTCTGAGTTTGCTGAGAAGCGGGTAGGTCTAGTTAGAGAGACCAACTGTGTGGATTTTCTAATGCAGCCAACTGTTGAATAATACCCTTCCCAGTATTTTTGGTATTTCATATTTTCCTAGTGTCTTCTTATAAAACCTCATCTATCTTTGTTTGCCAGCAGAAAAAGTTTAATGATGCGCCTCCATCAAAGGTCCTCCACATTCGGAATTTACCAGACTCAGCAAGTGAAGGAGATGTAAGTTTTATTCTACATAATTTTACAACATGAGAAGTTCAAATATAAATGATGACCATCTTCTCATTTGTCATATATGTTGCATGTATGAACTTCGAGCGTTTTAAGTTGTTTTGAATAGAAATTCAAATTTTAATTTAGGTTATTGCACTTGGTGTACGATTTGGCAGGATTGTCAACATCTTAAAAATAACAAAAGGAAAAGGAAGGCCACAGGTGAGTCAATTTGGAAAATTTCTAAAATCAATGTATGATGATGTGGCTAGAATTTTAGCACCCAGCAAATATGTATGCATTTTTAACATTTTTGTTTTTATCCAGGCATTTCTTGAGATGGAAGATATAAGCAAAGCTGAGGAGATGGTGAAGTATTATGAATATTCACCTGCAAAAATAAAGTGAGCAACCTGGCAGAATATGCCATGACCAGTTGGTTTAATATGTAAAATCAGTCAAATAAAAAAAATTCCCTGGTTTTAACAACTCATCTCCCTGTTTGCACTTCCCTAAAACAATGACTTTACTTGAAATGCATCATAAGATGGTTTTCTAATATTGCAATCTATATATTTTTTAAAATAGTGGTACAAATGTTTATGTACAGTTCTCTTCACACAAGGAGCTAAAAATAGAGAAACAATCTCCAACAGTAAGTAATCTTTGGACTTGTAATTCATGAGATTGAGTTTGTCAAAGCTTGTCTTCATCTTAGTCTTAATTCACGAGAGAGGCTCCCAGACAAAAAGATATGCTGTAAATAATAGAAAACATTTTTCACATTTGATATTATCTTTAGATTGCAAACCTATTAACTGCTGCAGCTTTGGCCACATCTGGAGGCCTGGGACTGCCATCATCTGGGGACAGCTCAAACAGTTTTGGGAATGCATTAAATAATGGAGATGGTTTACTGCCAAACCCTTCGGCACCAAATAACTCTCATGAGGGCCCAAGTAACAGTAACGTGTTGAGAGTGGTTGTGGATAACATGCTGTATCCTGTATCTATTGATGCCCTGAATCTTGTAAGTAACAATCATTGAAACACCATGCTGTGATATCTCTATTTCTTGACAAATACAGTATAGGGCCTTTTACACTTAATTTAACCTTTTTTCAGTTGCAAGCTACAATATTTTGCAATTTAAACACTGCTGAGATTTACCATTTGATGTTATGCATTCTCCATCATTTAGAATTTGCCCATAGGTACCACCTGTTCAGCAGGAAAAAAGAAAAACTGCTTGAACTGTAATACAATTCATTCTGAACATTTATTGGCAGCTGATTGCACTAATTGTTAATTATTTAGATATTTTCTAAGTATGGAGCAGTAATCAAAATTGTTATTTGTACCAAGACAAGTGAGTGTTTCTGCATCTTTTTTATTCGCAAATGGCAACTCGTATCATTTACTGTTTCAACTGAATCAATTTTAGATCAGTTTCAAGTATTTGTTCAGTATGCAGACAATGTACCTGCAAAAGCTGCCAGATCGGTAGGTATACAGTGTAATATTAACATATGTACTGTATTTTGTTTCAGTTTTAAAACCAGCAGTCTTTCCCAAAAAACATTTCTCTGTTGTTTTATGTGGTTGGTGTCAATGGCTAGTTGAGAAGTGTGCAAGATTAACAATTCTTGTTTTATCATTGAAGTGCGTTCTGTACATTCATTTGATAACTACTCTTCTCTGTTGTAATGAAGGCCGTAGATCAACTTGAACTTTCATAGTCCAGTTAAACTACCCCTCCAGTTTGCTGGCTCCAATAGTTCATATAGTAAATTTATTTACCTTGTAAAATGTATGTATGTACCATGTTTGTATGTTATTCCACAGTTAACGGTTATTCTCATTTGTTTTCAGGCTTTAGACGGGCAGAATATTTACAATGGGTGCTGCACAATGAAAATAGGATTTTCAAAATACAACAATTTAAATGTGAAATACAACAACGATAAAACCAGGTGAGTCAAAACCATTGTTGAATATGAAAAAACGCACACACAGGAGGGCAAATCCTGGTTAACAAACTTTTCCTTGCTGGTACTTTTGCTATCCACATATTCTATTTTTAAATATATTCTACTTTTATTCAATTGACATTTCAATTTTGACAATAGAATTTGCTAAGTGTACCCACCCTGCCTTGATAAAGTGACGTGAAGTTCGGTAAACATGCATTGTGCTCTTTAATTTTACAACTTATTATCTCGTTGCGCCTGTAGACTTTATGTTGAAGAAAGTCTTCACCATAATACTCGAGGAATTGTTTGAAAACATGTCTGTCATAACGTACCCAAATACCGTTTGTCCTAATTCTTATATAATCTGGAGATGTTTTGTGTTTATAAGGGTATATTGTTGCCAATCCCCCTGATACACGACCAACCTCACGCGGTGTGCAGTAGATGTGGACAGCGGTGCTCATATGTGTTTCGATTAAGTAATCGTTCTTCTTAGCCCACGGTTCCATTAGCTTTAATAACTGAACTAAGCTCATTCCATACACGCGGACATCAATATCCCCAGCTTCCCATGGTAGAATAGAGCGCATTTTAACTGCACCTAAGGATACTCCTCCAATGACAATGTAACTCACGTTTTGTTCTTCAAAAAACTTGGTTACTTCACTCATCGTTATTTCTAAGTACTTTAATATATATGGGTATGCAAATACCCCTTTGTAAGCCCAGTGTCCTCCATTCAGCATAATATCATGTGCTTTTTTTTCATCACATAAGTCTTTTCCACGTAAAGGACTTGCTTCACTACACAGATCAATGCTTGTGCCTTCACTGTCTTTAAATATAAAAATCTTATGTTTAACCGCAAACGGAACAAGTTCTCTCGTTTTACCTTTCGACTGCCATAGCCTATACGAATTTGAATAATTATCCACCAAAAACATTACATTGGCTATAGTGCCTACGACAGCATTCTTATTTTGTTTTGCTCGGAGGAAGAAATCTTTGATAACCAGCGTATTAGGCAACTGTGAATCAAATCCATTCATTTTCTTCACGCTTTCACGCCTACCCATAAACGAAAATGATGTACCATCGCATATCATAACGTTGCCAAGGGATCGCTTGTACTCGTAACTTTCTGAAAACATCCATCGACAAAGACGATAATGATAGCAAGCAACGTGGAGCTTCTCGCCTGCTAAGTAAGAACCGCCGATGAAATCAATCTCTGGAAACTGCTGTAATGCATTCCATAACATTTCAATACTTTCATTAACACCGCTCGAAAGAGATACACCGTCTTCCACGAGAAGAAAGTATTGCGTTTTCACACGTGAAATCATGCTGTTTATTGACTCGTTGTTGTTCAAAATCTGTACTGTCGGATATAAACGTTGTATATTTTCCACTGTTTTATTCAAATCGCCTTTGAAATCTTGGATAGTGGATTTAAAAACAAGTACAGTTAGCATCGAAATGGTGAATTTTTGTTTTTGTATATGTGCCGGTGATGTTTGTTCTTTTTTTCTTCTGGGCGGCGATGTTTGTTCTTTTTTTCTTCTAGTTATTAGCCTAATAGGATAAGTTTTGCTACCTTTATTAGGTTCATTAAGTTTTGCGTTTGTTGTCGTTCTGAATTTGGTCGAAATTGCGTTTATAAGCGTCGTTCCTTTCTCCGTCGTTTCCAAATGAGATTTGGCGGAAATAGTCCTTGCCACGATGCCTCTCTTATCAAATGTTTTTGCTTGGTCAATAATACTTTGCTTTAGTATAACATTTTCCTGGATTAAGTACCAGATGATGATAAATGAGATGAGATGCCACGCAGCCAGTATAATAGTAAAAATATTTTGACATCGAAATCTTGCCATTTTTGCAAGGCCAAGGACAGCAAGTTTCTCGTTTCTGAGGATTTCGAAAGTTTAAAGATACTTACATAGACAATATTATGACTACAATTCATAAACATTCATAATTTATGTGGGACTGGTAGCTACTTTGTTATGTCTTCAAAATAGACATGCAGGGGAGTGCAGGTAGCACGTGTTCTTAATCTTTGACTCTTATTCACGTTATATTGCATGATGAGGACAATATAATAAGACTGTATTTGCAAGAGCGTGGCCAAGCTTTCTTTTTTCAACCATGCTGTATCCAAATGCAGTGTATAAAGCCTGTTATATATATATTGGCTGTGTTTCGCTGCACTACGGTTGAATGCGGACTATATTCGGCACCTTTGTGCGAAAATTACTTGATCATTTCTTGCGCATTACTTCAATATATTATTTTAGATGAAGCTTTCGTTGTTCAGTCGCACGTTTCTCGTAGCATATGAGTTAACAAATCGCTCGCGTTTCCTGTTTTCTATCTACAATCGGCCTTAAAGTTGCACACTTTACTTTGGGCTGTGATCATTGACCGTCAAAATAAATTACACCACATGCATGCAGTATTTGTATTAATCTTTTCAAGCTCTTTCTTTCAGGGATTTCTCTCGACCAGATCTACCGTCAGGTGAAGGACAACCATCATTTGATCCAAATCTTGGTCTCTCTGCTATAGGTTTGTTTGTAGTTGCTTTATAAGCCTACCGTGAGCTCCATCTATATCTTGATAATTGAGAACTTGTATTCGAAAAATGAAACCAAAAATGTTGGGGTTAGACGTTCAATGGTTACTGGCTGCGAACAAAATAATTTTTCTTTGCTTACATATGGAGGTTGTTAATTCAAAATACTGTGTAGGCATTAGCATTTCTTTTTATATGAAAATCTTGCTCAATTTACATATTTAGTTTTGTTGACAAACATCACAACGTTAGGACTGATTAGTTGTAGAGTTTTCGTACCGTGTATACTATAGTTTGTTATGCTTATTCAACATTTTTTTTTATTTTATCGTGCATGTATTTTCAGCATTGTTTAATTTCATTGATATTTCAGGTGCAGTTTTGAGCAACCCGTTTCTTGCTGCGAGTGCCGCCGCTGCCACAGTTCCTAATCTTGGTCTTTTGGGTGCGGGAAATATGCTGCAAGGTTTCTCTTTTTATACATTATATTGTGAATAATGTAATATAGAGTGATAAATCCTGTGAACAAACTGCTAACGATTTCAGGTTGTTGATTTGAGATGTTTTTGCTCACGTGTAAGCGTTCTGTGTTCCGAGAAATGCATCGAAAAAACACCAGGGTTTTAAAACTTTTATCATTTAATAAATTTGAATGTCGTTTATTTATCTTATTCATCCTACAGGCATAGGAACGTCCAACTCTGGTATGCAAGGCCCAGGCCCTGGGCCAGGTGATGACAGACGCAGCAGAGGCCGAGATTATGATGACAGAGCTGGAAAAACAGTTTTACTTGTCAGTGAATTGAATGCTGAGGTACCGTTGATTGATTTTTTTATGCCAAGTTGAGTAGCAAAATAGTCGGTTTTTAATTACCCTTTTCCTTTGCATAAGTGGTACAGTAAATACTTGCTCGTATCTAAAAGCTATTTTCTCGTAGTACCTTTAGATTTAGGAGCTTTAGGAGCTATTCTTGTAGCTCCTTTCTCATGAATTTTATGTTAGCAATCGTTATAAAGCATAGGTTAAAATTCCCTACCCGATATCGTTCTCAGTTCATCTTCATGTTTTTTCATGCACGAAGTGTCTTGCTATATATATATATATATATAAATATATATATATATATTAGCCTGATGATCGCTTTATAGCGTGAAACTCCGAGTAGCTAAGCTAGTCTTTCAATAAATATATATATATATATATATATATATATATATATCGATTTTAGTCCAAATTCTTCCCTCTTAGTAATCTATCAGTAACTAATGGCTCCTTGCACATTAACCAGAACAACTTGGTCATAATAAATTTCTTGTTTTCTGAACTTGATAATCGTTTGAACGACCATGTGTAGAATTGCATCTCATAGCTGTTATACTGATGCTTTCATGCATTTCATTTCAAATTTTGAACAATTGATGTGGATTCTTACATCTTGGAAAGTTCTTTACCGTATAAATGTGAAAGTTGTGTAGCGTAAAATTAGTTGTGTGGTGTTGTGTGAATAGTTTCAAATATGTTCTTAAGCAGTCCTACTTCTTTTATTACAAACTTTATGTCATTAACTCTATTCGTACTTTTTCTAGATAACAATTTTCCATTGCTAACCACTTGAAATTATTTCTCTTTCTTTAATGCGCTGGTTCTCTCTTCGTCTCTGTTCTGTTTCTATGAATTCTGTCCTGCTTACGAATTTTCTAGAGGATCAAATGTGACGACCTTTTCACATTGTTTGGTATGTCTACACCGAACCCATTCTTGACCACGGTTTGGTCTTAACCATATTTCTTGTTCTTATTTTATCTTTATTTTATTGTGTCTTACTTCATATAACATTACACGGCCTAGGCGGGGGAAGTTTGCGTCATTTCACTTCTCCCTCCTCTGCGATGCAATACATGAATGGTTGCATGTTAGTTCTTCAACATTTCACGATGTTTCTGGCCTTTTATCGGGTCCAGGGTCGGGTTTGTGGCAGTCAGTACTCCCGTTGAAGGGGGCTCTTAATAATATCTTCTATGATAGGTAATTTACTCATCAAAGTTTGCAGCATCAAAGTTTACCTGTTATAAAAGTCTTCATATACAGGCTCATTTTTACATGAAGTATTTGAAGGTTTCGCATATTTGAGAATCACACTTCTTGTTAATTATTTATTTTGGAGTTTCAAATATGAAATAGGTGATACTGACCCAATTGCGCATTTCCAAAATCATCCATTTCTTTAAAGTTTTTAAAATATGATGTCCCAACCTTATATCCTAAATCGTTTTTAAAATATCTTCATTCAAAAACGTCGACTGCTTTCAGCACATCGTATAGCGCATAATTCAAAAGATGAGAAATCATTACAAATCGGAGAATGTTCTTGTTCAATAGTTGTCAATCCAGCGTTGTTTGACTCCCATCTTTCCTGCGAAGCCCCTCAGTTTTAGTACTTGAGAGTAGCCTAACACGACGTTTTTCCTGCGTCGCACTTTTCGCTTTTATCCTTTCTTCACGAAACCATCGTGTGTTTACCTCAACTATCTGAAAACGATGTGATATTTCGGCCTTGCTAATTTATTTTAATTTATGTTATTTGTAGGTGCTTATGGTGACGTTATGCGTGTTAAGATTCTCTTCCACAAACCTAACACAGCTCTTATACAATTCGCGGACCCTCAACATGCTCAAACAGGTAAGTTACAGAACATGGGTTTCGACATGAAACTTGGCTCTTCATCTAAAAAGATACTTTGCGATGTTTTTTTCAGCTCGTGAAAATCTGAACGAAATTCGTTTCCAAGGAAATAAAATAAGAGTCAGCACGTCAAAACATGACGGCATTAGCATGCCAAAGAAAGACGGGGAAGTAAGTTTTCTATGCACGTAAAGTTTTTCTCTGTCAGCCTTTATACGTTTTTCACACTAATTTATTATAATCACTTCTCAAGGGTGAACATCTGACAAAGGATTACTCGAGATCGCCGGCTCATCGATTTAAACAATATGGGTCGAAGAATTATCAAAATATTTTTCCGCCTGCCAGAGTGCTTCACTTATCAAATATTCCGTAAGTATACCCTACATGTTGCTTAAAATACCCTTTCCGATTTTCCATTGGCTGGTTATTAGCCATAATCACTTTGACGAATCTCTCGTCTACGATATTTTGTAGTTTGCATTCAAGGCTTCACAATTTTATACCACACTGTTTTCCTCGCTATAAGAAAATATAGAGATGAGTTTTGTTAAGCCCCCTTCCCTTCCCCGCATCCCTGGCTGTCGTCATTACTGTCAATAGTTGGTTTAACTTGTCAAATCGTTTTCAAGTGGGAATGTAACAGAAGAAGACATAAGATCGCTTTTTTCATCTAAAACTGAAGGAAAGCTCACCCACTTTGAGTTCTTCACGTAAGTTTTTGAATAACTTGGTTTTCGTTTTCATGATTATATTTGCTCCTATCGAATCGATGTAGCCTACTGAGGTAATAAAATTTACTCAAGATCTGAAAGCTAGTGAGGTGTGTGCTTTAGACAGTTTCAAAAAACATCTTACCACTTTGTTACTGCAGAAAAGAAATTGCACGAGGCAAGAAAATGGCACTGGTGGAGATGGGGTCTGTGGAGGAAGCAGTTCAAGCATTAGTGGTAAGCTTTAACATTTGAATAATAGTATAGTCTTGCTTCTCTTTAGTGGGATGTTCGAATCGTACCACCAACTTTAAAATAAAATAAAATGTGCTATAATAGAATTATTATAATTATTTATAGCTCATTAGCTGAATACGTCGTATTTCAAAGATATAATTGTTTTTAAGGGAAGACACATACTGAAAATAATTCAGCCGTGCATTTTCATAGTTTTTTCATCTTCATTGACAATCAGATATAGCTAAAGCTCAAAATATCTTCTAGGATCTTCATGATTACCCTATTGGTGACGACAGTCATCTTCGTATCTCTTTCTCGAAGAAGACAATCCGACCATAACTCCAACAAGAATTTCCAGCGTTGTTGCTGACAACATAGCAAACTTAATAGTAGGCAGTTTTTACAAACTGTGCTGTAAATAATTGTATCTTTCGTATTTTATCAAAAAAGTAAGTTTTATAACGGTATAATGTTTCACTCTTTTGTTTTTATTTTTCTATAAAATTCAGCTGAATGTTGAATACTAAAAGTAACAACATATTTTAGGTTACGTTACTTGCAAACTTGTTGAAACACCATTAGCTTGTTCGTTTCCTCTCCGAATGAAAAACGGAGTATCAAATGTTTGTTGTCTGCTCAAATTCGGGTACCTCATTTCTGCGAGAGGGAATGTCTGTGTTGAGTGTGCTCCTGACGTGCACTTCCCGAATATTTCACGCAAAAAAAGCTTTAAACACGTGCGATAAGTTGTACTTGCAATGCAATAAATCATTGGATTTATAGCTGACGTGGAAAGAGCAAGTGCCACTGTTATACGATGCCAAGTTGTTCCGATGGATACTACATTAAATTTGTATAAAAGATAATATACTTGATTTGGACTCCAGCATAATAAAACCGTGAATGATGTCGCAGCGCACATGCGCAGTAGTTGCTTCTCGCGATCTGGTCGTGTAGTGCAGGTGACTGGGTTTAGATGGTGAAATTTTTTGTACAAAGAGAATAACACTAAAACCAGTATTAGAGATGGTGCGATGAATTTAAGCGTGATTTCTAGAAATGCTACAATTTGCCTTATTTGGTAGTCTTTATATTTCCAATGGCAAGGCTCCATACCATCATTGTCGTTTGGGCTTATTTCTGTTAAATGTGGTGTATTTGATAGCAATCCTAACAACCAAATGAACAAAACACAAATCTTCGCTTTAGTTGAGGACATAGTAGTTCTGTATTTGAAGGGATAGTGTACTGCCACCCATCGCTCAGCAGTCAAGAACACAACGGTATAAACCGATACAACACCAAACAAAAATACCATGAATTGTGACCAAAGCAAACGACAGTAAATATCTCTTGCTAAACCACGGGGAGAGTTCACAAACGTTTCTGATGGAATAAGTTTTGGTGTAATTGAAATTGCCATACCTAAAATAATAAAAAAGTGACGCCTTGAAATATTTGCTTCTAGCGACTTTACATACTGCATTCTTTTAAAAAAAAGAGGAAATTTTAGAGGGTATTTTTCAATTTTACCAATTTCCGCGGTGTCACATGGTCCCATGCAAAGATAATTTACCGTAGCGTACGATGATAAATGGCGCAAGTCCAACTCGATCAAATTTATATGGCCTGACTCAAGCCGTTATTAATACATGAACGAATAAATAAGGATCGCTTTACCCAATGTTAACTTCAGTTCTAAAAATTAAAAGCTTTAATTTCAAAACTTGTTAACAGGATGTTTACCGACTTTATGACTGCAGAACTTAAGTGTTATTTAATTAAAAATGTTTAACTTAAAAAAGGCAATCGTGTATAGGCCCGGCCTTCATTGATGTTGAAACTGGCCGCTCAGTTCTTCCTCTTCTCGTCTTTTAGCATCAGCAGTATTTTAGATCCGACTATATAATTCATATGTATCGAATGCAAATCCAACAAAATTCTGGGCTCTGAGGGTTGCTCCTAACAGTTTATTCAAAAATCGCGATCGTTGCAATTTCATATTTAGGACATAGTTAGACTAAAAAATGTACAGCAGACACTATCACCCAGCTGTAGCTATATAGTTGAGTATTTGGAAGATATTTTACCTGCAAGTATATCAGAGATGATTAAATTGTAAAGAAGAATATTGTGATGACCAGCTCTGATTCTGCTGTATTTACACAACATTGCCATGAGAAATAACACATTTGGAACTATGGAACCTATACTGATGATCGCACATATTGCTCTCATGATCCTCTCTGGGTGGTTGCCATCATCTTTTCTTTCATCTTCCCCAGTAGTCACTGAGGTAAATATGACGCTTGGAATAATTGACGCCATGACATTGACTAAACTTTTAATTAAAAAACGTTTGTTGCAAAAACTCACTTTCTGGAGCAATGTTTACATTTGTCTTGTTTGTCGTCTGTTATTTGTTGAGAAGTCAAACAAAAACATAACATGCAATGACAAACTTCATGCATTAAAGAAGATTTTATTCCTTACGGTTTATTGAATGAATATATATAATATCCGGCGTGACGCCAACTCTTAAATTACCGGACAGTCACTTAATGACGCGCTTTTTGATTTCTTATATTAGTAATGTATACTATGAAGGATTTTTCCACTCGCTATGAACGTATCTGCAGCTGCAATCTATTATTTTGATGTCATTAAATCCTGTATCGCGTTGGAACGGTAAAATGATAAAATTCAAAAGCTTTCTCTCATGAGCAACTGACGAAGCAAACCTTGACGCAATAAAATTTTTTGCAAAGAATACACTTTTGCATGTGTTGTGATTACAGGTGCGCAACTGAACCTATACTAGTACTGGAGGAACTGAGGCTTCCTGCATATTCATCATGCATAGTGAACTATATCAACTATTGACAGCCCTCAGGACGAAAATGATATATAATTATTGCCAGTATGAGTAAGGCCTAAACATTTGTGATCCCTTCACCCTGATCCGAAGAGATAACGGAGATGTTCATTTTAGCAGAATGCATGCAGTCGGAAATTGTTTATAAAAAGAACTCAGTCAACTGACGTTCTTTGACGGAGCAACACGAAACAGGAAGCAACATTTTTTAAATTCACGTTAAAACGACGTCACGTCCACGTATGGACTGTGGAGATTTAATTTTCTTGTCACTTCCAGTCATGCATGTGCCATACATCTGCAACGTTTACGTACGATTGATAACTATAAATCAAATTATACTCGATTGAATCATGAAAAAATCTGAATCAAAGTTGGGCAAATTTTTATCAAATCCTACCAATATTCGGGCAATTTTCGTTGAAATTATTAGTGGAAACTCGGGGAATTTTTTAACGCGATTTTTGCTTAAACTGTTCTTCCGCATGCTTTTCCACAAAAAAGGCCTATGATTATTCATTAAAATAATGTACATACTTACAACTTTTTTGTGGTAAAAAAACGCGTCTGAAGTTTATTGAACTAGCGTGTTTTCCAAACTGAGTAAAGCGGGTGACACAACATAAAACAACAAACGCAGAACAAAGAAATTCATCAGGACATAAAGAGCAAACAAAATGGTGATTCATCATAGTACGCATGCAGCTGGTCTCTGCTAATTCATAAAACATCACAGTAATGCAAAAGCTCACGTTCGTATATTAGCCCTATGACGAGCCACGCGTCACATCGACGGCCAGTCAACCCAGTCATGCACGTCTGAATCACCATCAAGATTTTTTTACTCGAAATACGTACACATAATATTATAGAATTGTTCTGAAATGTTCTTGCTTGACGATGATGACCCAGCATCGTTTTCACTATTTTTGCAATGGTTATTGATATGTTTGACAAACTTAAGTGTATCCGGGTCACGATAGACAAGTGCCATAGAATTTGAACATGGATTGATCGTGAGCAACTATAGAAAGAATAGAACATAAAGTGATAAATTTCTCACTTAAGTTAAGGCTAAAAGTGCAGTGCTTCAGAGAGGAAAGAGATGTGAGACATGAAGTCAGCATCTCATGAATTTAATTAAATTCTTCCAAATATTCTTTCAAATTGTGTGACAATGGCTTAATTACTCTGGTTAGAAATATATTTGTCATTTCATGTATTTTAATACAAAAATATGCATGGTCACATCAAAGACTTCATACAATGAAATATGAACGTCTGAGTCTTTGTCTAAAAATTGGAGATTTTACCAAAACATCGAACAGCCTTTAGAATGTATCGTTTCATTCGTTAGTTATAGATATTATAAATGGAGCCATATATTAATCAACTTTTACCTCAGCTCATAAAATTAAAGGTAATATTCAATTTTCTATATTTTTCCTTACCTCTTCATCTTCGTCACGGGCTAGATAACTTGTGTAACCTCCAAAATCTCCTTGCCAATCTTATGAAATAATTTGAAAAGAAAACTTTCAAATGATAATCTCGTAAGAGGACAAAACGGGGTTAAAAATGATAAATTATCAAAATGCATGTGTCCAACAACACAACTTACCGCAACATCCAACAAAAAACAAACAGTCCAGAGCCATTTCGGAAGCTTCTGGATCATTGTCGTGAATGAGAGTATAACATCCATGTGACCAGCGGCACACTTTTCCATGACATCTGTAACTTTTTTCATTTATCAGTTTATCCTAGAAGATAGAGATTGGATATAAAATGTTTCACTGTATATAACTATAATAAAAACCACCTTATAGCCATGCATTAATAAGCGAGGGTGTTAGGTGCTCTTTTGAAACATTGCATGAACTGTGACACAGATGCAGATTCTAAACATGCACAATCTAATGCATTTTTATCTCACTGTCTCTGTAAAGCAGTACTGGAAGCAACGTTTACCTTGTCTTCAGCTAAAGTTTCTGTCGTTGTTATTGAATCATTTGGTTTGCCTTCGTTTTCGTTTTTCTCGCTATTCTCACTCGAATTAATATCGACATCTGACAACTTGAGACCAGTAAACGTAGTAAGAAGCTTAAACATTGGCTCAGATTTAAAAAGTTCTAAGCATTCTCGAACATGGCTCGTCAGACTGCTTTCGTCAGCTTTCTCGTATTTCCTATAATGCATTTGCATGTTTACGCATTATTAGGCCATACTGCATGACGGTAATTGATACATTAACAACAGTACGAAATCATAGGTTTTTTTATTTGGATGAAGAGGACTCATGTCTCCTAAAAGACGCAAAGATTCACAGTCTCGCGTGAGTTGTCTGAATCAGGTGCTAATCATGTTAAAAAATAAGGGACAAACCTTTTATTATCGGGTCCAATTCTTGTCCATTTGGTATTCTCATGTTTCAATTCCTCCAGCAAGGCGTCGTACTTTTCTTCCTGTTATAAAAACCATCAGAAACATTTAGGGATTAAGATACTACCGGTCAAGGTATCCAGCAAGAAAACAAAAGTCATTATCTGAAAGCCATGTCTTACCAATAAAAAATCTTTCAATTCAATTTCCGAGTTTTCCTCAAAACTTTCTCTAATATCATCGACAATATCCGGTTGCAAATACATCGGGTTAACCCAAGAAATTAGGATTTCATCCTGAAATATTAAAACAACAACTATAACCATGCAAGAACATCATTTCAATTGGCTCATTTACCATTAGTAATTTCCTTTATTTTTTTATATTAAATCAAGAAGGAAAATTACTACTTAAATGAGGGAAGAAAAATAAAATCGCCGATGGAAAAAATTAAAATCATGCAATTATAATAAATGCAATTATAATAAATGATAAAAAAATTGCAGACATTACTGCTGCTGTCAAACTTTATAGCAGGTCAAAATTTTACGAGTTAGTTAAGGAATATATAATTACCCTCAAAGGAATTGGACGTTGTTTGGTTTGTGGTAATTCTTTATTGGGAGACGGACGATCAATTGGAGGACCATGAAACCACCCACTGATGGATAATCTTGTTTTATCCGAAATCACCTCTGATACCTGAAAAGCCACTAAATTATATTTTATGAAAGCTACATGCGAAACGTTTTCAACTCTTCCCCCAGTTTCGTATCCAGGATTTTTAGGAAGAAAATTCGAGATTGCTCTTCCCCAACGTGAACTTTTGGTCTTTCATGAAACAAAAATATATTTTAGGAAGGCAAGCTTTTGTTTCTTATAAGGGGATTTAGCGAACTGTGAGATGATTTTAGACATTGAAAAAAGCTTTTATGAAATGAAATAGACGCATGCTGTTATCTGGGTGATTACACCTCACGCATGATTACACGTTGGTTATACCAAATTTATTATCTGAAATGATTAAAACATGCCTATATATACTGTATATAGTATATTTCTCACCAACTTAAACATTATTTTTCTATTACACAACTGTCATTCGTCGCATCTTTGTGTAAGCCTTGCCGTTGTATATGATAAAATGTATACTACACATATAATATATACCATATATATAACTATATATCAAATAATATCAGAACTCAGGTCGTATGATATTGTTTCAAAGTCACACATTTGGGGAATCCAGAAGACATCTCTTCCTGTCTTCACAATGTTCAGTTGTAATATCAACTAATTCTACATTTTCCTGGTAATTTTTTTTCTCCACTTTCTTTTTTCTTGAATATTTCTCAATCAACCATTGCTTAGCTTTCTTTACAACTTCCATTGCAGTCTTGCCGTCGTCAACTTCACTAAGAATTGCTTTTACCTGATTCTCGCCTTCCCGCTTTGCAAGCGCTTTCGCTTCTTTCTTAAACGTTGATATAGCAGCTTCCTCTTCAATTCTTTTGTAGTCGCGAAGTAATGTTCCGATGGATTCCCGACTGGCAAGAAAACAACATTTTTCAACAGCTCTATAAACAATGGCCAGTAAAACAGACAAGACAAGCATGAACCAAGCTAAAACGGAAGACAGTCTCTTCATCTTCATCACTTCATTTGCGTCTTTACGGTTTGCCCCAAGACGAAAACACACAAAATGGTCTGTCGTGCCAAGGGAAAGAAGAAGCCAAATAAGTGCAACCAATGCTGATTTTGTTAAGCCATAACAAGCATTTCGACATGCGACGATGCGGTTAATCTCGTTTTTTCGAAAACAACTTGTAATTGAATCCCAGAAGGAATTGGTCGACATCAAAGTAAGCATGAACAAACAGAATGCTGGGCCAAATAAAAACATTCCTCCGTACAAGGCATGGCCTTCTTTAGGGCAGTCATAATACTTTGTTGTTTCTAACAACTGCTCTATGCCCCAAAGCACAAGAGCTGTAGCTAATGGTTTTATCGCTTTCTTTTGCTTCGAAGAAAGTAATTCCTGCTTGAGTAGTGAAATTAGTGAAGAAGCCATTACTGATAATTATTTAAGTCGAAACTGAAAACAGAAATTGAAAGTAGCTACTTAAAAAAACGTACTCTTTTTATATCCCGCCGTCGGAATCTCACATCAAGTAAACATACATTGCATGCATTTACACATGAATATGCATGTGATATAGGTTTATAGCACAGTATATTGAGCACTTGTGTATAACATGTAAAGCTAATTACTTTAATAACAGGTGGCAAAGAACTGCCGGTGTCACTATAAAATAAGTTTAAAAACCCAAAATGACCTGAATAATCACGAAAGCAAATAGGTGCTTAAGATAGCTCGATTTTAAAACACTGCAAATGAATTTTGTATTTCGACAGCGCAAAACGGCTAAAATATTACCGCGAGATTACCTGGATTACAATTCTGTGAAGTTTCAATAATTTTATTGTTATTGAGACTTGAGAGTAAAAATAAATGTTTTTACATTCAAATAAGATCTTACCTGATGAAATGAAACTGGAGTAACTTCAAAGAAAACTAAACTATTCCACTCTGGAATCAACGATTTGACAATCTTATCTGGTTGGCCTAATTCTATATAAAACATTTAATGATTTATAATATTGTGATTGATATAAGGAATGGTGAATATTCATCATGTCTTGACTCTTGAAGCACTTACCATCAGTGGTATATAAATCCAGTGAGCCTTAAAAGGAAGCACATAAAAACACATTATGTTTTGCACAACAAACTTCACAGCAAATACGCCGGCTATTATAATCTTGTACTCAGTAACTGTTCACAACACGATACCCTTTTCAAAACGTTCGAATACATTTGTTATCGTTGATTACCTCCATCATTCTTTGTCCAAGGTGGGACAAGATAAAATATGTAGGCGATACGTCTACCTTCAAGTTCATCATCATGACAGAGGAGAACATCTAAACAACCAAATCCAAAACTTTTAAATGCAATTCAGCCGTAGCCGTACGTTAAATCGTTATACTTCCTAACTCCTGTAATGTCATAACAATTCATACCAGTGTTAGAATATTTAGCACAGGACATATCTATGGCGTTTTTATCCAAGGGAATGTTGGTGATAATTTTCATCCAGTCAAGACAATCTTTGTACAATAGGTTTCTGCATGAAATCAATATGAGTTTATATTACTTACAGTAACATCACTATATTTATCGGTACAAGTGAAAAGTTTGAAATTCTTAGTATACGTTAAAACTACCTTAACTTTGATATACTTTTATTCCTTGATGTATTTAGGTCGTTGCTCTAGAAATTTTACAAAGTTATTATATTGTAGATTGACTCGACTAAGAGTATCGTCAGTAAGTAACGTAAATCATAAAGACGATGAGCTGAAAATGACCATGCATGACCATGCAAAGTTTTTAAAACTTCATGATAAAAGACAAATAAAAATAGGAACAGGCCTTTGAGGTTCCTACCTACTTCAGTGTCGTATATATATTTATTCATTATTGTAAAATAAATTAAAACGTCCATCGCTGATGGTCATATTAGTTTATTAGCGTACATGGTCATATGCAGCACGTGGGTCAATTTGTATCAAACAATTTTTGCACCGGCACTTCTACAAACAACTTCGTTATTAATCCTAGCTTATAGTGGCAGAGTTTAATGATCATTAAACATTAATCATTTTATATCATTAAACTGTGATAGTGGTAAGAGCAATACACCGGAATCGCACCGCAGGCGTAGTTGCGTAGATTCGATTTTTGCATGAGTCTTAATTTGGTCTAAATTGATCTGGGCTTTTCTCGTTGTAAAAACAATTTAATTGGATTCATAGACACGTGTAACGTATTTTGCGAGTATTTTAGAGATCAGTTGACTATAAAGATTAAAAAAGAAATAGTACAAAATGAGTGGAGTTGAAAATGTATATATATATATATATATATATATATATATATATATATATATATATATATATATATATATATATATATATATATATATATATATATATATATGTACAAAAGAAACCCTAGCTAGTGCAAAACAAATATATATGAATATTAAGCGCCAAATTATTGTATTTAGTTTCGGCCCTGTGCATACTTTACATTGTAGATACATATTGTAGTTAACTTCTTGTTGAATTTGACATATCAAACCATTATAATCATAATGAAACTAAGTTTATACCTGATGAAACTTGTATAAATCATTAGATTTCTTTTTAAATTGTAAACCCAAAAGTTCTTCCTTGAGGTCTTTCAAATAAACCTGATCCTCAACAAAATGTTTGATGACACAATGTTTAAATGGGTACACATGCAAGGAAATGCCAGCTAAAAATACAAAAACAAAGTATATATTTCATAAGGATTGGGAAAATAATTAGGCATCAGAACTAATATACCTCACACATCTAATCAAGACACTGGTGTGTTACTAGAAAATAAACTGTTTTGAAAAATAGATTGTTTTATCCATGCACCTATAATCTGCTAAACATTACTAAATCATAAAACAATTCTCAATTAATTCTCATCAATTAGCCCATTTTCATACCATCATGAATGAAGTCCTTATCGTTCCTATAACAAATACAACAATTCACAAATAAACCAATGAAACATGATTTAACACAACATAATCGAATAGAAATGAGTGGATACTAATGTTTGAATACTAATTTATAGAGTTTTCCATGTTTTCACAAAGTATATACAATATAAAGTGCCTGGTGCAATTGAATCCTGATAGTACATGGTCGTACATGCAATATAAACATGGCACTTTGTATTTGGGTATTAGCTAGTTGCACATTCACAAGAAGTTCCCTAGACGTTTGTGGTAATGATTCATATCTAAACTGATTTAACATGCTCATCCATATACAGAGGGGGTGTATATAAAAATGCATTTGATCTTTTGAAATAACCCTAACTCTACATTAAAACTCACTGGTTAATTTTATTGCAGACTAAATGGAAATTAAGAAATCTACTAAAAGCCAACCACAGGCTGGGCTTGAGGCCCCAGGACAATTATTTGTATGCATGAGCCCTAGCTAATTACTTGCAAGTGATTGCCACGCCCAAGCTACCCCTCCTGCCCCTCCTTGTTTGGAATTAATAACCACAACTGGCTGGGTAACCATGATTGGTACCTGAAAGCACGTGAAAGATCAGTCTTTATTTTATCATCTAAAATATATTGATTGATTGGAGAAGTACTATTCTCGCCTCTTTTTCTCTTTGCTTGAGTTTCGTCCGCACTATTACAAGGGTTTCTGTCACTTGACTTCATTTTATATTCTACACAACCATTCAAACAATGCCATATAGGTCAGTGTCACGGTTTATGAACCTCCGGTCGGGGAAAAAGACCATAACAAAAAAACAAAATGGTGAAATAATAATAAAGTGCAATAATGTACTAAGACAACATTTTGCCATAATTTTGTTGAAGTAAATGCTGTGTTGAATGACTGTATGGGATTATTTCAAGTATGTGTACAACATCACCAGGATCACTGCTATATTTAACCGTGGATTTCATAGCAAAGAATTATAAACAACTTTGTGACGTACGAAAATATGTGGAAAATGGCGAGGAACATTCATATAAGATGGATCATTATTATATTCCTGTGCTTGTGTTTAAGAGAGATTGCTGTTTACCATCAGTCGTCTGTGAATTATTGTTACAAAGATTTCTTTTCCACTACAATAGCAGCTCATCAATAGATTTTTTTACACTGTTCACAAACCCAGATCGTTGCCCCTTGAAAAAGTTTTCTTTGGCAAATGTATATCACAAATTTTTCTATGATCATGACTCAAGTCTGTTCAACATTTTGAAGATGATTATAAGCTCCCAGAATTTGCAGGAATTGGACACTGGTCCTTTATATAATCATATCATTTTGGATACAGATTTTTCCAAGTCAAACTGTGTGACTACCCTAAAAAAGGTGACAATTTCTGGGCACACAAGCGGGCACACCCGGGTTAGCTTCTTGTCAGCACAAGAAAAGCCGATACGAGATAGTTTTCTGGGAAATTTTACTAATTTGAAACATCTGAGTCTTAGAGATTGTGAAGTTAACATAAAGGACAATGATGTAGAAATATTGGCATCTGAATTGAAACATTTAGAAAGTTTAGATTTGTCATCTACTCTGGTGTCAACCATACATGCGCTCAACAAGCTTGCAAAAAGTCTCAAGGTTCTTATTATCCACAATACACCACTTGTTCAGTCTAATATGACTGATCTGTTCAACTTTTCAAATTTACGTCACCTTGACATTTCACGCAAGATTAATGAGGATAATGATAATATGTCAGACTCTGAACTAAATAAATTTTTCACTTCAAAACATTGCCTGACACTACTGACATCATTGGATATTTCTGGAGCTGGCATTCTTGACAATGATGCTTTCCAGCATTTTTTTGAGAAACATAAAAGGCTCTGTTTCTTGGGTTTGCTTGGTGTTCATCATAGATTAAACTCTTGCAATGCATTAAGAATGGAAAATGTGCAGGTAAATATTTTTTATATATTCAAGGACATGTTTATTGTTTAATCTGTTTGTGTCAATGAATTTGACTTGTTCTGTTTGTGTCAGTGAAAATGACTTGTTCATGGAAATTAAGAACATTGGTTGTCACAGAGGGTTTTATGATCAATTAATGTCACCTCATATTTGTACCATATTGTGCTTACTTTTGCTCTGTATTTTACAGGTTACTGGCGAAAGGTCCGTAGATCAAGTACTAGCCTGCCTGTCTCATTATAGAAACAGACCTTCGTATTTAACTAAAGCATTAAAGAGATTGTTCAATCTTTCTTATGAGGATAATTTGAAAGAAAATGTTGATAAACGAAGGAATATTATTAAGGTTATAGGCACATATTTTCGTTTATATTTTTTTACTTACTCTAAAGAATGTTGAACTAAGAGTGGGTGCTTGTAGCGCCCTTGTAGCGCCCTAAAATTATGCACGGACTTTATTCGTCCTCATTTTCATAGTTGGTACATAGTTTAAATACCATATACGGTTCATTAAGTGATTTAAGTCCGTTTTCTACTAAGCAAATTAATTCGCGCGAACAGATAAAAAGTAGGAAGCGATTTTTCGCGGCGAATTTTTGCGCAAACTAATCACATCACCGGATTTCAGATATTATATCTACTTTTTACCTGTTCGCGCGAATAAATTCGCCTGGTGGGAAACGGCATTGAAGGTGGCCCCGACAACGTACCGACGTTATTATCATGCAATACATATATATAGTTTCTTCATTTTCCGTTATCTCAGCTGGTTCTTGATATCATGCGAAAGTATATGAATATCAATTTTGAAGATTTACAAACAGCGGCAAGGTACATACATATATGTCCACATCATTGGGTCCACATACAGTATATATAAAGAAGTGATTCGCGCAGTAGTGACCTGGGCTTAAATTCGATTTCTCAGCCGAATTTGGGATTCCAGTCTTAATTTTCTTTTAGTGCCTGTCTTCATAACTACGTCAAATGTGATGCAGAAAATGGAACAAACTCACTTCATGTCAGCTATCTAAGGTAACGTTTCATTACTTAAATGATCAACCATCGAATATATAGTTAAAAGAACCTTTTACATACGTATACTGTACATACTGTTAGTGTATTAATTTAGTTCAGCCATTTCCGCTATAGGTATACGTAGAAATAAATAGCCTATGACTTGTTTTATTACTTTGTTTTTAAATGGGGTCCGATCATGCACTCCGATGAACTGCGAGAATTTCTTTTGTAGAAAAAATATTAACTGTAATGAAATTTATGAAATTCGTTATTTTAAATGAACACTAAAGTATATACAGTAGCTGTTTTTAAATATGGAGTATTGACAGAATAATTCTCTTTTCCTTCTGCAGTGATATGGTTGCAGTTGTCATTGAAGTTTTAGAAACATTTCCTAAGGCAGAGCAGGTTAGTTCATCTACATTAATAACATGCTCGCCCCATGCAGGATAAAGATAAGATTAACGCATACAATAATGTATTATGATAGAAACGGCATAGAAATGCATCATTCCGCCTAATATATGACATATCTCAACTCATACACTCGATTTATTGAGCAAAAATATCCCTATTCTGCCAGTTTGGTGTTCAGAAAAAGTATAAAGAATGCCGGATTATCGAGAACGTTCGAGAGCCATGCACTTACGAAATTTCATGTTTGAGAACCTGAGGATGGTTGTGTAAAGAATTGACCTACTTGCTGACGTTATTCTGCATCTAACTGCTTATATGACATTAATTATTTAAACATACTTGTTATTGTTTTTAGATACAGAGGAATTGCTTGGTCGTAATGTACAACAGATATATTCTAAGTGGCGCTGTAAGTTTTTTATTTTTTTCTTCATTTTCTTCAGTCGATTGATAAACGTCCCAGTGGTGTGAATAAAAAAGACAGACTTTCATGATCAGTATACGCCTAGTTTTTTGTGCTCAATGCTCATTGGCGTAGCTATACCTCCGTATTTTACAATCATCGAGCATTGAAAGCTTTCAGAATGACAATTGAATAATTATTTTTATATAGAAATTCAATGCATTTCAATTATTCGATCTACTTTTCAAAGCGGTGATATCAATTCCTGAAGGGAATGTAGTTGGTATTGCACTGGATATGTGCGCGTACTTATCTTCAAAGGTTAGTTTATATTACGAATGATATCACTAAAATCAGGAAAGTCGTAAGGAATGGGTAAATATATCAAAATATATTATAATAAATCATGTTTAACAGATTACACCATGCAGTAATGATTGAGTTGTTGAGCTCTACAGTGCTTTTCCCTAGTACCCTTATTGTACTGTATTTTCTTACACATTTTTTCCTTTGTAGCTTTAAACTATATTATTTTGCCATGAAACTGTGTACTTTTTCGTCTCCATGACGTGTTTCTAATTTGTCATTCAGATTTCAGTGGAGGAGACACTGAAACTTGGAACGAGACAAAATATTGAGGTAAACACGAAAATAGCAATAGTGTATTCTACTGTTATAAAGGGATAAGTATTGATAAGTATGTATCCAGGGTGGGTGGACAATATCAGGAAATGGTGATTACATTTATTAGACAATAATTTTTGTATTTTTTAGAAATTATTGTCGATACTAAGGACACATGTGCAAGCGGCGAGTGCTGAACCTCTGGTAATCTAATCATAATTTTTCAATTAATGCCATTCTCGAGACTATATTTCATAGTACTCTTTACTTCAGGTGGACAATATACTTCTGTGTTCTTTGCGTGTACTGTGGAATCTGACAGGTGAGACATGTTATTATTATTACATTTATTACATTTTATATGATAACTGCCTGTAATTTCAGAGTTAACTGCAACCTATTTGTATGTGATATATTCGGTCATGCATAAATGTTTTCCCGCTTTTCTAAGATGCTTATGAACGTCGTTTATTTAATTTAGGAAATGAGAGAGATGATGCGCTAGCTTCCTTAATACGATCATGCAGACAGTGCATGCATGCTAGTGAAGAAAATTATGTAACTTTTTTGCTCTTCCGGCGTTTTGTTCATAGATGAAGCCCCACGGACTTGCCACTTGGTGATTCAGAATGCTCAACAGTTGATGGTATTTCAAGCGTTGCAGGTAATTTTTTTTTGGGGTTAGAGTAAAATTGTTGATTGCTCGCAGCCGGCCAGTGACGTCGGGTTTTTCAGTACTTTTACTTCTATATTGCAAAGACTTGTCGTAACCAATTACATGCACGTTAATGAAATGTAATAAAAAAATATTTGAAGAAAATAAGTTGCGTAGTGTACCAAATTTTGTACTGTATTTTTGTAGACATTTGATAAAAAGAGCGACGTTTTAACAAAGCTTCTTGGTGTGATGGTTAGTAATTCTTCTGATTTTTTTATGTTAATCATTTAATGAAATAATCGTCCATGCATGTTGGCCTGTTTATACGATCCTGTGAAATAGGAGCAATCGCGAGCCAGCCTGAACGAACTGAGTATTGTAACACGCTAATCGCGGAAGTCATAATTATTTTGTTATGACAATTTACCGATCTATATCTTTTACTGAAGAACAATTTGGCTGAGGTGGTTGCCATTCGGCCAGCATTGATGTGTGATGAATGCGTGTCTTTGTTACGGTAAGCGCTATATATGCTAAAATTGAAGGGTGCTATTGCTGAGCAGTTCGTTTTAAACTTTTGAAGATCATCATTTTACCATATATAATCTCCCAACAAGTTCAGTAACTTAGCATGCTGTTTATATCTCAAAGTAAAACTCTAGAAAGATCGTTAGGATTACCATGCAGATACAGTCCACAACTTTTTACCGAGTCTACCCTTCTCTACATGTTCTTTGTAATATTCTGTAGAAGATAAAGTTTACAGTATATTTAGGTGAAATTACAAGTCAATTATACCACTATACATATACCTACCTCACACCACATCACACATATAGGGACCGAAACTTTTATATATATATAATAATGTATTAATATGTTTCTTAATTTATATTTAGAAAATATCTAGACGAGAATTATACGATGGATGTGAGTTATTTCGCTGCAGGAACACTTTGCAATTTATTGCTTGACCTGCCTGAACATCTAGTATTGAACTGTGGTACAAAATCCGATCTTTTACTTTGTCTGGTAAGTTATATCCCCGCTGATTGAATTTCTCATCTAAAAAAAGGATAAAGCATGTATGCATGAATGAATGCCAGGGAATAGTATCGCTACTTCTTAGTATAGATTATATAACACTTCAATCTACCGAAGGACCATCAAGATTGATATTTCTTTATAACATTTTCCAGGGAAGTGCAGTCAACCGATGGAAACATGTCGAGACTGTTATGGTTGGTTACAGGTAAGGACATGCATTCTGTATTTTGTGCCGTGATCTGGATTGGTTCGTTTGGTCAAAATTAGTAAAAGAGGCGATGATTACAGCATTATATGCATGTTTGTTAGATACATTTACGGATGTATTTTTCATTCCCTTCACAGAACTTTTAAATCTTTTGTTCCCTTATTAAATTCGTCATTTCCTGACGTCCAGCTTTGGGCAATCTGGGCAATTCACCATGTTTGTTCTCAAAAAGGTCAGTACTATATATATTTCATAGCATTTCTGTGCCATACATTTTATCTTTTTTTTCATCGTACGTGCTTGCGGCGACTTATATCATGATAATTAGCTAAATCTTGTAGTGGAGTTACCATTTTTGATTTATGCGGTTTCTGAGCCCTTTCACGCAACTCATTCTAAAATTTCAAATGCATATATAGTGTAAACTTAGTACAAACATTACTCATTAGTTATTCTTTTTTACAATTTACAGTTGAACGGTATAGTCAGTTGTGTTTTGAAGAAGGAATTGTGGATTTATTAAGAACGCGAACAACTTCTGGGAATCGGCCAGACGTCAAGGAGTTAGCTGTGCAAGCACTGAATGTGATTGAATCAAATGGGGATAAAGCTTAAGCGTGTATGAACTTTTAGTATACAATGTGCATGTAAACCATGAGTGTCAATGTAAGGCAACTGTTTCTGATGTCATACATACTTCTTATGTGCCATGATAGCTAGCGCATTTACACAACATGATCGTTACATGAGTTTCCTGAACTGATAACCAGACCTAAGTTAAAGCGGATTCATTAATGAGCCCTGGTAAATCAAACTTTCAATGATGTAATTTCAATGATGTAAATAGTGTATCATGCTATAATATGAACGAAAGTCTAATAAAAAAATATGAATCTAACAAGAGACCAGAGACAATTTCAGAAAAGAGCGGTAGGATGCTTGTTGGGAGTTAAGGTAGAGTTTAAACAAAAACGAGTCTAACTAGTTCACTCTTTTAGTTAGGTTTTCTCCAGTTTTACTACGGTTCAGCCTCGTTTTCGCGTAACGTGCAACAGTCCAGCAGAATTTTCTTTGAGAAACAGAGAAAGGTTTGAGGTAAAATGGATGACTCCATTCCATAGTTGCAAACTATAAGTTGCGGGGGGAGCCGGTACCGCCTGGAGAAACCATACGATTTCGCTATATTCTAGGAAGGTTTCATGTGATGGACGCCTTGAATTGTGCCAGTAGCAAAGCATAGAAACTCAGGCTACCAAATCAAAACAAACCCAGCCAAATGAACGGTGAATTGATATCAAAGGAGTTTTCGGGCTTCTTTGCGATATATTAAGACTTTTTGTATGGCGAGAACAAGTAAAAATGCCTGGCGGTTGTGACATTAGTCTTGTTGCAAGTTTTTTGTCAGTATTAAATTAGTAAACAATCACATTTGGTGATTCACACGAATAGACAGGTACACTTTCAAAAACCTTAAATTAAATGTACCTTCAGCTGTCTTTAAATGCATTAGCATAAGCATAATAAAGAAACTCATGAATAAATCAAACAATAAAATATGCAGGTGTTAAAGTTTCAGCACGAACACATGCACGCGCGAACACGCAAGAAGTTGCTTGGTTTCTGAAGTTTCTGGCCAGACGTGTGGTTCCTTCTGATTGGCCACCTTCATCGTATTGTCGTCTTATGATTGGCCGATGATATTTCAACCAATCAGAGCTAACCACGCAGAACGCTGATGAATATACAAACACGTGCCTTATGACAATTCAGCCTTTCCAGATAGTATTATAAATCGAGGACGCTTTGTAGTATAAAGTTGATGGTCAAAATGGGTCTTTTAAAGCTGTTTGCTTGTATTCTTTTTGTTTTCTCCATTGTCGAGTCAAAGGTGTATTTTAAAGAAACGTTTGGTGGTAAGTTTTGTAGTTCAATTTTGTAAGCTGCTTCATAGTATGATCAGGGCATTTGTTTGGAGTCATGTGCATTTGGCCATTGCAACAGCAATGACATCCTATAAATACTGATAGTACAACCTTTTGCCAGATGCCGACTGGGAAAAACGCTGGATTAGCTCGACTAAAAAAGGCAGTGATGCTGGAAAGTTTGTTTTATCTGCTGGCAAGTTCTATAATGATCCAGAGTTAGACAAAGGTATCTACCAATATTATGACTGTCTATGTTAACACTCATTTTACGCAATGCGCCTATAATTCTTATATTCACATGATTTTTGCAGGAATTCAGACGAGTCAGGATGCTAAATTTTACGGTATCTCAGCGAAATTCGACGAAGCATTCTCTAACAAGGACAAAGATCTTGTTATTCAATTCTCTGTTAAACACGAGCAAACGATTGACTGTGGGGGTGGATACGTCAAAGTATGTTAATACAAATTATTGTGTAAATAACCATAAACAAGCTGGCAAATTATATATTTTTATTTTATAAATGCATGTTTAGGTATTTCGAAGTAATGCTTACATGCAATATTGATCAATGTGTTTATGAAACTTTCAGGTATTTGCAAGTGACTTGGACCAAGCTGGTATGCACGGAGACTCGCCCTACAATATCATGTTTGGTAAGTTCTAGGAGTTGATTTGCATAGGTTGTGTATTTATAGTCTTCTTTTGGGTACATTATTGAGTTCTTTGACTGTATATAATTAGAGAGTCTCAGGGTTGGACCTTTAGTATTGACAAGTAAGGTTAATTTATTCTGAATTTGGATATTTATGCTAATTCTAGGACCTGATATCTGTGGACCTGGAACAAAGAAAGTTCATGTAATCTTCAACTACAAGGGAAAGAACCTTTTGACAAAGAAAGATATCAGGTGCAAGGTGTGTAGAGCAACATACATATGTACAATAGTACAAGTTTAGGAAGTTCTTTTGTGTAATAAGCACTATTTAACATGTAGCTTCAATACTAGTTGTGAAAAAAGCACAGTAATAATTACAAAGTTCGTTTTTCCTTTCAAGTCCTGTTGTATGTGTGCATATCTATAATATTCGATTGCATAAACCCTAATTTTCTGCTCGGAAAATTTCAAATATATGTTGACTTTGTAAAAGTGTACTTTGGTTATGTTTGGACATGTTCTTGAAGGATGTGTTTTTTTTTTAATTACAGGATGATGAAATGACTCATCTTTATACATTGATTGTGAAACCAGACAATACTTATGAAGTGAGAATAGATAATGAAAAAGTTGAAAGTGGTGAACTAGAGCAAGATTGGGAATTCTTACCTGAAAAGAAGATAAAAGACCCTGAAGCTAAAAAGCCTGATGATTGGGTCGATGAAGCTAAAATCCCTGACCCTACAGACAAGAAGCCTGATGTAATTTGAACACACTTAATAGCATGCTTATGAATTTGCACACACAGTTTAACTGGCTTGGTATGCAGATGTCACTAGAAAATATCTTGCTATATTTATATATTTTGCTGTTTAAAAAATCTATCTTAGGACTATGACAAACCACAACATATTCCTGACCCTGATGCCAAGAAACCTGAAGATTGGGATGATGAGATTGATGGCGAATGGGAACCACCTATGATTGATAATCCTGAATACAAGGTAATTCAATCATCTTCAGCCCTCCTATCAACATGGAGCATCTGCAGTTTCAAATACTATCACAATGAAGTGAAACCAGCTCATTGCACTGGAGATTATTCTATTCTCTAACAAAAATGTATTCCACTTTGAATGCCAGGGTGAATGGAAACCAAAGATGATAGACAACCCAGCCTACAAAGGAGAATGGGTTCATCCTGAAATAGACAACCCTGATTACGCCCCAGATTCTGAACTTTACAAATATGATGATTTTGGAGCGATTGGGTTTGATTTATGGCAGGTACTGTATATTGTATGTTCAAGACTACAGTTATTCACAACAGCAGATTGATTACCCTATTTTATATGCCATGTATATCTGTAGTCTTCTTGCAGAGAGCCAAGGGTTCTGACCTAAAAATTGTCCATCTTTTGCTACAGGTGAAGTCTGGCACAATTTTTGACAATATTATTATCACTGATTCTGTGACTGAAGCTGAAGACTTTGCCAAAGAAACATTTGACAAAACAAAAGAGGGTGAAAAGAAAATGAAGGATGAACAAGATGAAAAAGAAAGAAAAGAGAGAGAAGAAGAAGAAAAGAAAAAGAAAGAGGAGGATGATTCTAAGAAAGATGATGGAGAAGAGGAAGAAGAGGAGGAAGAAGAAGAGGTAAGATCATGATGTTTAAAGGTGGGCTACAGTCTGTAATGTAAGGAAACGCTTTGTTTACTTTTTTAATCTGCAGATTTACTAAAATATCAGGAACATTCACAATATTTGACATGCTTTTAGTTTGCAATACTTCTGAATGGATATTAGAGAAAATTTACGTTGAGAGATATAAAAAACATGTGAAATTTTAGCCATCAATGTTGAAACAACTAGACTACCCATTGTTATGGGAAGAACCGATGCGCAAAAGCGGCTGTAAGCCCCTGTTAAGTAATAATTGCTGTAGCAAAATTAATCTTGATTGATTTCTTTTAGGGAGATGAAGATGATGGTGCAGATGATGGTGCTGATGATGATGAGAAAGAAGATGAGAAAGAAGATGAGAAAGAAGATGAAGGTGGTGAGGAAGAAGATACAGCAGAAGGTGGGGCTGAAGATGAAGGTGGAGAAGATGAAACGGAAGAAGAGGCTGAGGAAAAACCAAAAGATGAACTATAAATGAATGAAAAAATGTCTTGATATCCCCAATTCTGAGCTGTGGATAAAAAAGAAGTTTAATGTGCAAGATTTCATGATGAAAACTTCTTCCAAAGTTCTATCATAAACGGCGGAGACTCGTATATTTTAGATGTTTGTACAAAACCACGATAACTGACTGAGCTAACCCTATTTGAAATAATTTTTTTAATATGATTAAGCAAACATAAGCCAAATGTAGCTGACAATTCACTAACAAAATAAGTCTTTCCGCCGTTCATGAATAAAGCTTTCACTGTAGTGCATGTATTTATTGTGCATTCGGTCCCACGTCGGATGCATTGTTGCAATTTGTAGACCCTTTTGTACCATCGTCAATTACAAACGTCTGTAATTTGAAAAATCTATCATTGTTTTGAGATTGTTCTTCAGTTCTATTAATCAGGAGGGCTAGCTGGTGTTTTGACCAAGTAACTTTCCAGAAATATGAAAACTGTCAACTCTTAGTTCTCGAATATTTAACTTTCACTCCTCGTTAATTTTAAAAACGGCTTTGAAAATTTAGGTACGACGTAAAATATGGAATATGCTATTGAGGTTCCGAAAACGTGTTTTTCTCTACGCATTTCTATGAACTTGCTCTTCACGACAACAGTGAATGTAGTCCAAAGGAAAAGACGCAAAGTGCATTCCCTTTATAAAATAATTAATTGGTACTTGTGTAAATTATACATTTTATAATTACTGTATGTGTATATTTAATACTTGAACGTCAGGATGTTGAAAAAAAAATTACCAACCACTTCATTCCCAAAGCACAAATTTTCAACGTCTCGTTAAGTCGATTTTTTCATATGCACTTGAGTGTGCAGTATTTTGACAGTCACGCTTCTTAATTAAGCCCTTAAAGGCGATTTTCCATTAACGTCCGCTTCGCCCGCGCGGGTGAAGCGACCGGTGATGGAGATCGCCTACAAAAGCTTTAAAACTCACTCGTAGGAACTCCACTCTTGTACTCTGAGTATGTAGTAGATTCGGGTGGCGATAGAAATTTTCAGTAAACATCCGATCTCGAGTACAAGTTCCCCGACTTCACTTATTAATGATTTTAGTAAAAATTGTCTGACTTTCGAATTCAATACCCGACTTATATTGCTTTTTACTGTTTTACATGACGACGAAGTGGTGGACTTTCTGTGACACAACACACTGGCTAGTGAAATGTCTTCCCTTCGGAGAAAAGCACCCGTGATGTCGCGAACAAGCCTCACTTGCCCCACCCTATTAAAAATAAGAGACAAATCGAGACAAATCTGTATGAAAACGGTCTAATATTTATGTATTAGTATAACTCGGGGCTTACTTTTAAAAATTTTTTTCATCGAGTACAAATAATCAAAATGTTGTGTGGTCCATAGTGTTATTAGAAAAAAGGAGAAAATGCACAAACGAAATTTTCCGAGTGATATAGTATTCAAAGCATATAGGTCTGTGTGAGAGAAAAGATGAATGCTAAAAACACGATCAGTTTTGTTTTTACTCCATCAAATAGGGGAAAAACGTATTAAAAGCTACCCGAAGATAATTTGCATATAGCATGCTTAATATATCTTGCAAATTGTTTTCATTTTGCGGTAACGAAGACAACGACAGTCTTTTGTTGTTGGGATAGGGCATCGATATAGATGATTTATTAAACTATTATTGAATGGGTAGAAAGTTAAAAAAATCTTCTGGGACTCGTTGACTACTTAAGTAGGATTGACTCAATATATGACATGTTCCAGGTAAGTGCCTTGTCATGTGTAGATCTTGTTTTCAACGATTATATTTTTAAAGTCCCATGAGTATTTGTATACAATATATGCATGTCCCTGTCTAGCGAAGATTGTAGATTAGTTTTATCAAAAAGCCTAAATTGTAGTTGCAAACAAGTTATCCAAAATGGAAGTGTTAGTAGAAGAAAGTTCAGACACGAGCGTAGATGGAGAACTTGGGGAAGGTATTATAGATAAATTCAGACTAACAATAAAGTAAATACGGGACATCCACTAAGCGCTTAACCAGCGATTAAGCGTTCGGTTGTTGACGGAATGATCAATCTGATAGTCATGTAGCCTTCATTCTTTAAAAGTCTCGTTTATTACATAACTTTCTTATCTTTTTTTGTTAAATTATGACAGAAACATAGCCATTCCGTATCGAAAATATTAAAATTTCATTTCAATTCTAGTTTTAATTATGTTCGGGAAGATACTCATCAGGCAAGCCACCGGACATCGTAGCGGGTCATTTCTTATTATTGAACATACGATCTGTTAAAAATATGGTTGATTTCGAGCTTATCACAGTTCAGAAAATTGGCACAAAACATTAATTATTATATTTCTGGTGATTGATAAGTCAGGACTACTATACCAGTACTGCAGACTCAGCTTTTTGAAGATATTGTACGTAATTAGAGTACTACTTCACCAAAATATTTACAGTTATTGGAATTTGGAAAAGGTTGTTTATCGCCTGCATCCTAATTATTTGGATTTCTAGGCTGCTAGAAGTATATGGGGGATAGAGAGCAATTTGCCCTGGGCTCTAGACCTCACTCCAATATGTGTCAAAATAAAATAGTTCTATAAAATCACCTGAGTTCCTAATGTCATCTTTGTCCCTGAACCTCAAATATTTTAACTAGTGTGTTAGTTATGTTTCTCGTCAATTGACTGACCAGTCATGCAATTGCAACTTTTTGTTGCAGCTGCATGTTCACTAGACAAAAAGCTAAATTCTGGGACCTCATCTATCTATTTTAATTTTAATTAATACTAGCAGAGGTTTTCCAGTGATTAGTGGGAACAACAGTGTGTAACAATATATTGAGTTTCTAGATACATGGCCTCCTAATTTGCTAACCAACAAAAATTCATATGTTTACTTTTTATATAAATTAATGCACATTCTTTTGAGTTTGTCTGTCACTTATTTGCTGTTAATTGTTTGAATACAACACTTTGAACAGAATTTAACATAGTGCTACAGAACAGGCACTAGCTACCCTGAACTGGTGGTGTTTATCAATGGCGCTGTGTGCAAGGGGCATGTAGTCTAAAATTTTAGGCACCATGCAATGCTGGCACCTAATGTTGCTTAAGATACCTTGGGAGTTGGGTCCCTCAAGATATTTATTATCTAAAATGGACCTTTCATGAGTTTCACCAGTTTGATGTCAGCACTTACAATTCACTTTTTAAGATGGTGATTTGACTGGTCAATACAACCTTTAATTGCTAAATGTTACAAATATCTTCTGACTGTACTTTGGTAATGCAGCCTTTTTTCTAAAAGCATTATTTCACTGCTCTATAGTTAACTTGCAAAAAAATTTCAATAACATTCCAATTTCATAGTGGTCCTTGAGAGTTGAGTCCTTGACTGCATGGTGATTGGTGAGATTAGGAAGAATATCAGTTTTAGGATGACATTATATGCAGTTAAGCTCAAGATACGATCTCACTTTACTAACATACATAATATGTACTGTGTATATCTGCCTCAAAAGGGCAAACACAAATGATCTTACTCCGTTGTCGGACAACCAAGATTCTCAAGTGTTTTTCTCTTTCCAATGTTATAGATATGGTTTCTTTGAAGTTGAACAAAATTGACACTGTTTCACCTTTAAGAACAGGATTAGCGCTATCACCAAGAAAGAAACCACTTCGTTCCAAGTCAACTGGATCGTTGGGTTCGCATGCGAGTACCTGGGATGCGGTAAGTCAAGTTAGACGTTTGTCAGTTTTGTGATTGAAACTGAAAGTGCAGCATTATATCATGCGAGCATAGCTGACCTTATACCAGTCTTCTTTTGTCTTATGGGAACGAAAAAATATTATAATGGATGTGTCATTACTCAAACCTTAATCAAAACATTAATCAAACTTTTGTTTGAAAACCTAAATGTCCATGCATAACAAAAACAAAAACACTAGCAATGCAAAATAAAAGCGTTTGATTGGAGTTCCCGTCATGTGAAAAAGGCACGACGTCTTACCACATACTGTTTTTATTATAATGTCAGTGTGAAAAACGTTGATTGACATTTTCTGACGCTATTAAAGCTGCGGATCGTTAAAGAGATGCTTCGACAGCATAATCAATCTTTTCATGATAGTGTAACCATACATGATCACACTGTAAGTATCCGCTAAATTAAGTAGTTACTCTCTGGAATGTTATATTTGTGATATATAAACAAATTGTGTATTCTTTCATTCGGATGAGTATACTAAATGGTATATAGATAGCTAAAAAACTTTTCAAACATTGATTCTATAAAGGGAAAGCTGCCTAAAAATGTACCTATAACTCGTAAGGCAATAAAATCGCTAAGTCTAAGAGACGCTAAATTGTATGTATAAAACGGAGGCCTGGAATTAGCTTTAGTCTGGACTCTGGAGATTTTGTTTTATGTTTTGAGTAGTTTGGTTAACTATACGGGCGAGTTACTATATGAGCAATTAATGTATGATTTTCATTACTCCGGCGTGAGCGACGGCATACAAAAATCTCGAAACGACATAGCATCAGCCGTGACGTCACGATTAGGAAGCGTTCTCCTTCGTCGAACTCGAACGCAATTATATATGAGAGACATTTGTTGAAGTAGAGATCCCGTCACACGCGGTACAGATGTCTTGTTTATTCAGAATTTGTTTTTAACTTTTTTAAATTGTCGGCTGGTCATGGTTTTTCTGTGATCTTATGTCGTAATTGAATTTTGAAAAGTATCAATTAATATGATTATGAATCATGATTATGATTATGGTCAGGCTTGATCACCAAGAAAAAATTATTATTTTCAATGACAATGTTAAAATTTATGCACGATAAACTTACAATAGCTAAGCGTAAGAACAGCATGCATGCCATAAGTAAAAATAATTTGATGCTAGTGAAATTTGATTCTTTGTGTGATTATACATGGGTTATATTGATGAACGTCCTGACTTCCGTTTGTTTATTCTGGATCTACACCACGAGGATTGCGGAATGAAATCAATGAATCAAGTTAAGACTTCTGCCTCATGAACAAGCGTATAGATATAATTAATATATAATGGTATACAGAAGGAGTTATTCTGTCCCGGTGGAGAGCCCGAGAGCGAGAAGCTACTCTGTTCAATCTGCTGAAAGCGATCAAAGCACTCATAGTGCTCCGTATGGATCTACTTTATTTGAGGATGATACAACGTATGTAAGTTTACGCTGAACGAGAGTTTTATTCTTTAATGTCCTTTGACGCAAACGCTATGTTGGTATGGGCATAACATATTGCGTTACTATGTAACATAGGCCACTAGTCAGAGCATATGTGATGTGTTAATTTAAAGCATATATAAGTTTACCTTAGTTCCCGCCGAATTAATACTGGTATAAACACCAATACAATGGTGTACATGCAAATGTCAATGAAATGTTAACACATGCATGCGTGTAGCAACAATATCTCAGTGCATGTGCAATTTTTAATACAATATAAGAGGATGTTGGATATTTATAAAATTCTGAGTTCTGACTTATAAAAATCTTGTACAGTATATCGTCTTGTTAATATGCAGAACAAGCACGACAATTTGAGGACATCCTAAGTGTTATTGTCGATGATTGATTTGACCGTTGTTATGTCAAGTATGGGAAGATAAGCTTGGCCCAATACCTGGAAAAAATATTAAAAGAATATATGAGAGAGGGAAAGACGGCAACGTCTGTGATTTTTTAGCCAATATTGTGATTGTTTTAATCATAAAACATTGTTTACGCTCTGACATTTGAGTCTAGATAATTAACTTGTTTACCGAGGAAGGAAGTTGACAGAAATCAGAATTTCGTCTCGATCTTAGTGCGATTTAGTTTGTCTTGCGTCTGCAAGGCATGAATACGTATATGTCATAGCTGAAAAAGTTTTACTGATTACTACTGAGAGCTTCCACTTTTTATAGTTTTCCATATTTCTTAGTTTTCAACTCTATATAGCTAAGATCAAATTAAACCTTGAACGAAAAAAAAAATGTATTCAGTGTAATCTCAATGCAGCTTAATTATCTTTCGTATATACACCTTTATGCGGGTATATTCCTTAAGGACTGGCTTTTGTTTGGTCGTTGCTTGTCGCTACAGTAACCGATGTGATGTTTGTGATCGATGTAAAAGAGTGTTTATTACATCTCCACCATCAGTAAAAGCAAATTTGAATACACCACACAATAGACGAGATTGCTGACGAGATATAAGCTTTGACTTGTCCAGTCGTCTCGATTAATGCCACCCAACTAAGCGCAATTACGAGAACTGTTTGAGACACCAGTATATATATATGTCATAGCTTGAAAGAGCTGAAGTGTCATACAAGCGTTCTTATTTCGCTAAATCATAAAAAGCCAATGCGGGGGAGAGATGCCAATGTGGCGTATCACGTGATCACATGCTGTTGGTGAAGAAAGACTCTTGTATCAATTTCGAGCACTCCAGCTTTCTCTCATTTATATTCATTGCAGCTATTTTGTTCGGATAGAGTTTAAAAGAGCATTATCCTTGAATAAAAAGTTGTTTAGTCCTTACCACATATACAGTATATTTCATATTTGTGCATGCATCTACTCGTGCCTGTGATTACAATGTCATATAATTCTAGTTTATTAGTTGCACAAATACATGGAAATATTTTTGCGAAAGGTTTAACGCGTGAAGTTGCCACATCCGCTGTTACCACGCATATATAACATTAATAACATCACAAAATTTCTTTTGTCACGAAACATGCAATACTGAATCTATTTTCACTGAAAGTGGCAACCACTCGTGTCAATGATAGCTACCTATGTACATTGGGTATACAACACGTGATGTTGTATCATGAACATACCATCGTTAAATCGTCGACGAAGTTCTACCAGATCTAGAAAGTTTTCTTCGGGATCCAATACAAGTCGCGACAGTCAGTTTAGTTCATCGTTTGGTAGTATATTTGGCGATGAATCATCAGAAGTATGTCTTAAATGGTGGTTTGTGCTATACGTATAATATTCCAATATTATTTATTTCGCAATATATAAGCGTGTGTAGTTTAATTAAGGGTATTAATACAGGAGAAGTGGAGAACTTCAAAGAGATAAATGGGTTTATTCAAATATGTGCATTATACTGCAGTAATTTTACTATGGTCTGGTTTATATACCATCAACACAAGTTACGTACTATCACATCAAGTTTGATCCTCAGTGTTGAATGAATGATCCTGTGTATTTGTATGCTATAAATTATACCGACAGGTTTGATACCATGCAGCTCTGAAGCGTAGTATAATATCTGAATGTTGTTCTATAGATAAGTCGAAAGTTAAAATACATATTGCTGTCGTTAAAGTAAAGATTACAGTCTTTTTACAGAACCTACTATAGAATATGATTGCCCCTGTTTATAATTATACGCGATCTAATCGGTCTATTCTTATTTAATTTGGGACAAATGATTAATTCTGTATATTTTTCCTCTTTTAGAAAGGTAGACAATCCTGGATTCATGAGAATTTCTTCCAAAGAGATTGCTTTAAGTTTGTAGCCAATCCAAAAAAGACCTCTGGTGATGTATGTCGCTGCGGCCGAACCCTTGCTAACCATAAAGCTGCCATTACCAACCACAATGCCGTTGACTGGACACCCGAAACATGTACGAAAAAAGCTCCTACGAATGCATTTGGAGAAATTCAATTTGTTGGCTCTGTGAACCAATCTGCAAGAGCACCTGTAAGTAGCTGAGGTACACGTAGCGTATAAGATGAGTTTGATCGAGACGTTTTCTTGTATAAGCGGCTCCTGTTCTCTTAAGCCACTATTACATTTATTTATATTCAAAAACAAGCGAAACAAATGCAGTATTCAATCCAGGTTCAATCGTGGACTGGTAAAATTGAACCAGTACAGTTGAATTATAGTTATTTGGGATTTTACTACTGATCTTTACTACATTCTAGTATGTTCGTCTTGCTGAGGATACAAACGTGGAATTAGTCATGAGATTGATTTTAAAAGTTTGGAAACTAGAAGTTCCAAATCTTGTCATCTCCGTGACTGGAGGAGCTAAAAGTTTCCACTTGAAACCACGTCTAAAGGAAGTGTTCCAACGAGGCCTAATCAAAGCAGCCAAATCAACCGGTGCTTGGATAATCACTGGTGAGTTAGATCTTCACTTTTTTGTGATTATTATTACTTATTATTACTTAGATTTATATTGTGCGAAGTTCCATAGGAAGATGCTCACCTGCGCATTCATGATGACACCTGCATGATTCAACAGACACCAAAGACGGATCAAGGATGTGTTGTTTCACGAGTTTTCGCAAGTTTCATTATAATCGTATTTCATTTCGATCTCAGGTGGTACGCACACTGGTGTTATGAAGCATGTCGGTGAAGCTGTGCGTCAGATTAAAGTTGTTGGTGGAGCCTCGAGTGATATTAACGTGATTGGTGTTGCTACATGGGGAATTGTGGATAGAGATTCTGATTTAACATCTGAGGTATTCAAATATCAAGATTTACCAGGGTACTTTCTTGGGGAAGAGAATGCGATGGGGGCAGAGATGAAAAGATCTTTTTGAAACCTTTCCATAAAAGCAGACCTTGCATGTGAGGTGAAATTTCAAATAATTCTCAATGATATCTCCTTTCTAGAGTGGTTTAGGTAAGCATCCTGCTAGATATCGTACCACTCCTGAGGAAACCAGTAAAGCTCCTTTAGATAGTTCGCATACACATTTTCTATTGGTTGACAATGGAACTGTGGGACAGTATGGTGTTGAAATTGACTTACGATCAAAAGTAGAAGAAGCAATAGCAAAAATGCATACTGAATCACGATCTTCTACGGGTTAGTAAATTACCATTTAAATAGAATGTACTTTTTTGTACATTGAAATGTATTTTTTTACATGAATGAACAACTAATCATGATAGTATATTTCTTTAGGTTCTATCGAGGTACCAGTTGTAATGTTGGTATTGGAAGGTGGTCCAGGAACAGTCAAAACTATGACTGAAGCAATTAAGAAAAAGATTCCTGCCGTTGTTATAGATGGTAGTGGTCGAGCTGCTGATGTTGTCGCGTTTGCCTATAAACACACAATAGCAAGCACGTAAGAAGAACTTCATGTTCCTGTATTTTCTTATTTTCATAGATATGAACGAGTGAAAAGTTACGGATGCTCAAATAAAGGCAATTATATATGTTACAGCATTCATACTATTCGCTTTTTTCGTCTGTCAAGAAAGAGAGAAAATCGCAGCAAAAATGGCGAGTGTAAACGCGGGATTGTAGTTTGTAGATAGTTGCTGATGGAAAGAACTTGTATTTTTGTAGTAAAAACGGCAAAAATATTCAAGTGATTGACCCAGCTTATAAAGAATTAGTTGAAGCAAAAGTTGTTGAAATTTTTGGAGAGAAAAGTTTGGATCATGTTTACAGTATGATAGAAGATGTTGTGGAGGATGAGAAAATGGTTTGTTAAAAACCTGATTTATCTATGATAATCTATTTATTGTATACGTTGTTTTACGTTGTTCTTGTAGAAATTATGAATAAGAAAGAATGTACTGCCATTTTATTCTTCAATATTCTTTACCAACTGTTATAGGTGACTATCTATCGCTTGGATGAAGGTGGAAACACGTCACGTGACATTGATTTAGCAATATTGAAAGCTCTTTTGAAAGGTATCATAATATATTATTAGCTGTCGGTATTTAATAAGAAAAAATATTAATAATCAGAGGATTTTACGTTTAGCGAGTCGTTCCAGTCCATTGACTCAATTAAATCTCGCGTTGGCCTGGAATCGAGTTGACGTTGCTGAAAGCGACATCTTCACAGAGAACACTAGTTTCAAAGTACGTAAGTTCTGGTGACTGGAGGCAGTTGTCCATAAAACATAGTTATTAAGCTTCATCTCGTAAAACGTCCTCTTAACTCCTATTATACAATTTAGATCATATTTTCTGTATTGGGCGAGAGCATTTGATAAAACCCAATATTTCTGCCTTCCATTTCTATCAACAATAAAACAATAATTTTTTGTTCTTCTTTAGTCTGAAGATTTGCACAATCCCATGTTGACTGCGTTAGTCGACGACAAGGCAGATTTTGTTCGACTGTTTTTGGAAAACGGATTAAGTATGAGAGAATTTCTGACGGTGGATCGTCTTTCCACTCTATATAGATCAGTAAGTGCAATGTGTCCCCAAGGGATCAGTTTTGTGTTATCGTTGTTTTTGTGCCAGCTTTGTAAAAAGAATTTTGACCTATTCTGTAACCGCCGAAACACAGATCTTTAATCTTTCAACATTTTGACAACAGGTTTCAAGTAATGGTGTCTTTGGTTCTTTAATAAGGCATGAAATGGTACGTTAATGCTTTCAATAATATCCTTACGGCTGTTTTTGCAAAATATGTAGTTTTCGTCTGAATGATTAATGATGTAAAAGAAATAAGCTGTTGAGTAGTCAAGAAGAAAAAAATACCTACTGCTTTTAGAAATAGTGCATATGACCCAGGTATATATTAATCAACATCGTGATGGTGCTACAATGAGTTACCAAGCGGGTAACCAAGCGGCTTGGCCTCGGTGGGAATCGAACCTGCAACTTTTTGCAGAATAGCATCACCAACTACTTCAGTATTACTTTTGGATCCTTTGAAATTACGATCATCATAGAAAATAAAAAACCATAAAATCTTTTTTAGAAAAAGCGCGTAACAAAATTCATCACACCACAATTGATTGGTTATGTGATAGAAGACCTGATGGGCGACAGTTATCATAGTTACTACCTCAGTAACGTTCGATATTTCTCGGAACCACAGCGAAATACATCGCAATTTATCAGAATTCGAACAGCTACCGCTGGATCTTTTGTTGGTAACGTAGTACAGTATTTATTTTATAAGTAATCATTTCATCAGGTCAGAAGTCTTGTTGTGATGGAAAATACATGTATTGAGGAATATTCGAATAATTCTTTCTTATTTTTCTCTGTCCGAGATGCTATGATGCTAATGGCGTTGTTCGTTTTATAAAATTTTGCAGATGTTCATAATAACCCAGAGGGTGGACATCCCTTACCATTTCCATTTCTTGATACATTTACTTGGGCGATATTATCAGGCAAGAAAGATCTTGCGAAACTTCTGTGGGAGAAAGGGACGCAGCCGATTGCCACAGCATTGTTTGCAACTAAACTTCTTAAAGAAATGGTGAGATACTCTCAGGAAGACTCCCATCAAATCATCGATGAAACAGAGGGCTTGCTAGACTTGGCAGAGTAAGTTAAAACATGCATGTTCTATAATCATTGTTCTTAGCTGGTGTTTCTGCATGGCCTTGCTGAAGTTAATTATTAATTCCATCGAAAAACCATAAAGTCAAAGAACCACTAACTATAATTTCAACAAAGAATAAACCACATCCTCCAACATTAGTGGTAATTCTAGAAATTTCTGAAAACTTTGTGCTTCTTTTACAGTGAGTTTGAGAGTCTTGCAGTTAGTATGCTTGACACGTGCTACTTGAATGACGAAGATCTTGCCCAGTCGCTGTTGGTCCGTGCACTAGAACCATTTGGTTGGCTGACGTGTATGGATATCGGCCAACTGGCTGAGGATCAAGAGTTTATTGCTCACTCCAGTTGTCAGATCTTGTTTAATAGACTCTGGATGGGAGGGATAGTGTTGGATACACCATGGTGGAAAGTAAATCGAGCTTTTTAATTATTTTTTCTTAATTTATACGCTTAAAAGATCTCCACTCACTTATACCTGTTTAAATCCCAACCGTTTTATTCATGTGCTTGCTATACACCCTAAACGCAGTACAACCAAAACAACAACGGACGTTCGGACACAAAGTCAAAAAGTCCAAGTAAACATGAAAAGAAACCTTTTTTGCAGGTTCTTCTCTGTGTGTTCTTTCCGTTCCTGATCTACCCAATGATATACTTCATGGTTGATGAATATGAGGATTCCGACGAAAGCTTTCAAAATCAGGAAGATTTAAACATGAACACAGAGAAAGATCGTAGTGAAGTTGCAAAAAACAAGGACGCAGTAAACAGCCATAAACATTATAATAATTCAATAGAATTGGTAGAACTGCAAGAGGAAAAAGAAGAGGAGAAAAATAATCCTAAAGTCACTCAATCTCGTCACAATCTGCTTTCTGAAGGTAAAACCAGCCTTAAAATCCTCCTTAGATTATCAATTGTGTTCATTAGCAATTCCTTTCAAATTGTATGTTGGTTGACGCTTTCTCTATACTTGCTTGTGGGGACATTGATATAATCCACAGAGATGTAGAAACATTGCAAATAACTGTGAAACCTTTGTTATGTAGGAGAAGATGATGCAGTCGACAACGTACTTCGAGTTTCTGACGTCAATTGTTTTCAACGTATTTTGAGATTCTATGAAGCACCTTTCACCAAATTTGTTACAAATGTTGTAAGTATATAATCTCAAATATATCATCCCAATGCACCTTGCTTCAGAGTCTTTAGCAACTTTAAGTCTATCCAGATGTAACCAGGTCTGGATTCAATTAATTCTTTTACCAACGAGACCAAGTTATAATGTATTGTTTTGCATGGTAATAAAATGCATGTTTACATGTTGTCGCTTCATTAGTGTCGGTTTTCTCTTCAGGAAATACTGGATGCTTGATGTTAAGGGCTAGGAATTTTCACTATTCATCCTGGAAGTACATCTAGTCAGAAAATTTAAAAAGATTATTTTTACATTAAAATTTCTTTTTTTTTCTTAGTGTTCGTACGTTGCATTCTTGGGAATGTTTTTCTACGTGATTTTGATGGATTTTCAAAAATATAACGTTTCAATTGTGGAATATGTATTAATGGGATGGGTGGGTGTGTTAATTTTGGAAGAAGTCAGACAGGTAGGCCTTCATTTCATGAAGTTGTATTAATTTCGCTTTTTAAACGTTTTGCTCGTCAGTATGGCTTCCCTAAATCAAATTATCACATCATCGTTTTGGAATGATTCTAAATTTGTTGCGGCAAACAGAAATTATATTTTCCCATTTTCCCACCAAAGAACGCGACATGTGGCTGAACATATTGGCTCATCAAATTATTTTAAATATTCCATGAATTACAGTGAATGAATTACAAATAGTCCGCGATAGACGATTAATTTGAAGTAAATTTTTGTAACATTGGAAATAATCATTCAATGTAGGCTTTGTAAAAACAAATCTACCCTAAGATTACAATGTTCAGCAATTTTTTTTAAAATCATATTTAGATGCTTTCACAACATCCGAAGCACTTCTATGAGAAGATAAATTTATACATGGCAGATGCGTGGAATTTTGTGGATATTTTGTCATTATTGGCGTTTGCAGTCGCCTCAGTTCTCCGATTCTTTCCTGACGACTTTGATGGTGACTTGTTTGAAGCTGCCAGGATTATCTACATCATTGACATCATACTATTTATTGTTCGATCTTTTCAAATGTTTTCTGTGAGCAGACAGTTGGGTCCAAAGCTTGTTATGATAAAAACAATGGTGAGTATGATCTTGTTCTTAATACGATGTATGAATTTAGATGTTTTTCAAACAAATTATTTGTGTGGTTTCTGTGGTTTATCAATTCCTATATAGTAAGAAAAATGACGAATTCGACCATGGTCGAATTAGCCGGAAAATGACGAATTCGACCATGGTCGAATTGGCCGGAAAATGACGAATTCGAAAAAAATATATATAAACACGACTATGATAATATATTTACCAGCCACGATTATTGTTCCAATGGAACTAACCCGCTCCCACCCCCTTTTGCAAACAGATTACGTTTTTCAAAAGAATAATTTTTTGCCTATATATTTCTCATGTATATGGTTGCATGAGGAACGACTGCCTGTATGATACATGACAAGTTTCGCCTGAAGTGCTTTTAGATGATTTATTATATTTAAAGAGGCTATACCACGTTTCGTCCTGCATGGTTACTTTGGTTTTATTGCCCATATGTACATCAATAAGCCCCACAAGGCTAATACTCCCAGCTTTTGACCCTTAATCTAAAGCTAAAGCGTTAGTTAACTTCTCTCCTCTCTTATATATTCTAGTTGGAGGATCTGAAGCAATTCGTAATTATCTTGGCCGTATTTATAATCAGTTACGGCGTGGCTCTGCAAGCGGCGCTTTATCCTAACACAACGAATTTCTGGGATGTTCTAAAAGGAATTATTGAAAAACCTTATTTTCAAATGTATGGAGAACTTTTCTATGAAGACTTTGCAGGTAAATGGTTTGGTTCGTCTTCCATCTCTCTAGTATATACTGACTGCTGATACTCAAATCACATTGCGGATATGTCCCATGTTCAGAAGCTTAATCTCCAAACAAACCATGTCGTTCGTCAACTTTTTTTTTTAAGCTATTTACAGTTATATTCGTCTATTGCATTCAACAGTATGTTCCTAAATATTTCAGAGGATCCAACTATTCATGGTGATGGTAAATGGCTTGGACCAACTTTACTTGGAATATACATGTTGCTGACCAATGTTCTTCTTCTTAATCTGCTCATTGCTATATTTAAGTAAGTAAATGATTTCTCTTGCATCACATTACTTTATTAAACCGTTAATCAACTGTAGCTTCCGTTTAATTAGTGCTTGTATTTAAACTTAAATATGTTTTTGCACATACACGACACCGCGGATAATGTTGCAGTAAACTAGCTAACATATATTTTATGTGGGTAAAATGCGACAGACCAGTCCTTAAAAACTGTCTTTATGTAAAGTTATTTATTTACACATAAGTACTCCTTCACATTGTCTTACAAGAATTATAAGAACTGTATATTTGTAAGAACCAGTGTATCTTGTTTTCAGCTACACATTCGAGAAGATCCAGGAGAGCTCAGATCGAGTTTGGAAGTTCAAACGTTATGGTTTGATTCGTGAATTTCACGATAGACCAACATTAGTTCCACCTTTAATGATCTTGTCTCATATTTATATATTTATTAAATGGATGGTGCAAATGTGTGGTTGTGGAACTAAACCTGTGTATGGAAGTGCATTAAGTAAGTTGATTCATGTTTTTAAAAATGTTTTACTTAGGGAAGGTTATGAAGGAGGATGATAAAGATATTATTCTGAAGGATTGTTATGATTTAGAGTTGACATTAAGTGAACATGAGAATGATCAGTTAACGAGTTGGGAAAATCACAGCAGAGATCTGGGCTTATTGAGGACCAAAGCAGAAGAGGAGGAACAGATGGAAAAGAAAGTCAAGAATATTGACGCAAAGTTAGTACTCATTTTCGGTTTAGTTTTCACTCCAAACCCCTTATTTTCTTGTTAGTCCATGAAGAAAATCTGGTTATGAATAAAGAGATGTTTAATGATTCCCTTGATTTTTTAAATTTTGTATCTTCTAAATCTGGTACCTTCATCAGTGCCAATGCATCGCATTATATTTTACAAATCTCACTTTCTAGGGTCGATGAATTAAGTAACCAAATAGAAAGAATGATGGAAGCATCACTTGATCCTGGCGGCAGAGGAGAAAATGGGTCGGGTAAAAGTGATAAACCCAGACGTGGCATAAAGTCCGCTCATTACTCCAGAAACTTTGAAACGTCAATTTCATCTCGTGTTGAATGTCTTGAAGAACGGTTGATTCAAACGTCGAATTCAATAGAAAAGATTCTTGAAATAGTGTCATCATCTGCATATGGAGCGGTATGGGTTTTTTTTCATTACATAATTACTAATCTTACGTTAGTTATTCGTCCTTCCCACTTATTAATTTGGATTCTTGCAAGAAGATATTTTTACTCTATCATATTTATTGTTATAAGTTGTGTTAGGTCTGTCTCGTAATAAAATGTAAATATTATTTCTACCTGCAGAATAGAGCTGAAGGAAGATCTAAATATATGGATGGTATGTATAATATAGTACTAAATACTGTATTGTGTTGTATCATCAAAGCTGCGTGGAGATTTCGAGTTCTATCATGTCATCACAATACTTTGAGAGATTTTGTTTCTAAGAAGCTAGACCATCAATCAAGCTAGCCTAGAATATCGATCAGGATGTAGACTATCAATCAAGCTAGTCTAGCATATCGATCAGGATGTAGACTATCAATCAAGCTAGCCTAGAATATCGATCAGGATGTAGACTATCAATCAAGCTAGCCTAGAATATCGATCAGGATGTAGACTATCAATCAAGCTAGCCTAGCATATCGATCAGGATGTAGACTATCAATCAAGCTAGCGTAGAATATCGATCAGGATGTAGACTATCAATCAAGCTAGCCTAGAATATCGATCAGGATGTAGACCATCAATCAAGCTAGCCTAGAATATCGATCAGGATGTAGACTATCAATCAAGCTAGCCTAGAATATCGATCAGGATGTAGACTATCAATCCAAGCTAGCCTAGAATATCGATCAGGATGTAGACCATCAATCAACAGCTAGCCTAGAATATCGATCAGGATGTAGACTATCAATCAAGCTAGCCTAGAATATCGATCAGGATGTAGACTATCAATCAGGCTAGCCTAGAATATCGATCAGGATGTAGACTATCAATCAAGCTAGCCTAGAATATCGATCAGGATGTAGACTATCAATCAAGCTAGCCTAGAATATCGATCAGGATGTAGACTATCAATCAAGCTAGCGTAGAATATCGATCAGGATGTAGACCATCAATCAAGCTAGCCTAGAATATCGATCAGGATGTAGACCATCAATCAAGCTAGCCTAGAATATCGATCAGGATGTAGACTATCAATCAAGCTAGCCTAGAATATCGATCAGGATGTAGACCATCAATCAGGCTAGCCTAGCATATCGATCAGGATGTAGACTATCAATCAAGCTAGCCTAGAATATCGATCAGGATGTAGACTATCAATCAAGCTAGCCTAGAATATCGATCAGGATGTAGACCATCAATCAAGCTAGCCTAGAATATCGATCAGGATGTAGACTATCAATCAGGCTAGCCTAGAATATCGATCAGGATGTAGACTATCAATCAAGCTAGACAATCAATTAAACAGTCCTATGTAAATCAGGTTAGAATGCAATAGTTTAACTTTAACATAAATATCAACAAAATTTCTTTCAGGCAGAAAATCAATTCATGTAAAATCGAGGAAATCGCCATACCCGCAGAGCACGATCATGAGGATTCCGTTAACTGATGAGTTGGTAGCCTGGGAGGTATGAAAACAATAATTTACATGTTAGGGTATTTTCATCTAAAGTTAGAGGTTGAAAGACAGAAGCTATACTCATTCAACATGCCATCCGGTCTCACGCCAGGGAATGAATAGATACAATAAAAGCCTTATGCCTTGTACATCAACTTCCAGTCCTGTTTCAAATTTTAGGAACATCTTATGTATGACTGTCTGTGTTTGCTTTTAGGCTCCGTTTTCTAACTATAATCCTCCAACATACACATCTGATTGGGTTAAAAGAAACCCTCCGTGGGCTGATATTGACATCATGTCTAAGTAAGTAAATCATTGACTCAGTTTCGTTCAAAACAAAAGCCTGTGCGATCACTCATGTAAATCATGCGGGTTTTGTTAAAAGTTTCTTTTCTTTCATATACATTTTCACTGAATTTATTTCTACATGCAGGCACCCGCGTCCAATGTTAAAATTCAACGAATTTGATGCGGAATGTAACGTGAATCGTCAAAGTTATAATGGAACATACAAAGTTGTGGATGGTCTTCCTTTGTAAGTCAATGCATGGGCGGAAAATATGATATTGCCAGATTATATTTGTTGTGGTTTTGTAATAAACTGGTATAACTCGCCTCTGATTCATTACAATAGTAAATGTGTAAAATATTAGAACACCATTTTAGGCCAAAAAGAAACGATCATGTCTAACTAAAAATGCAACCATAGTGATACATTTGCAACAATTCAACTATTGTTATGATTGCATAGCAACATAAGTGGATACGCTACTGTAAGCACCCAACAACAGAAGCTGGATCAATTGAGCGAATATTTTTATTTTCAATTTAGTAATCCAATGGGACGAACTGGATTAACAGGACGAGGTTTACTTGGGCGGTTTGGCCCGAATCATGCTGCGGATCCTATAGTAACCAGGTTTGTTTATTGTTTTTCCTTATGAAAAAAGAAAATGACACAATGTGACACATAAACTTGCTTGAGTCTTGATCATATTATTCCTTGTGGTTCGTAGGTGGAAAATGACAAGTTCCGGTGCCCTAATTGAACATGGAAAAAAAGTTCTGGAATTCGTGGCGATTCAACGAAAAGATAATCAAGAATGGGCGATACCAGGGGTAAGACACAACACTAGTTAAACTGAAGGAAGAGTGCATGCATGACCTATAACAGCGCAACTGCACAAACAGGAGAAGAGTGCCCCTTTTCTACCATATTTTTATTGAAGCTTGTATCTAATATTTATGAGTAAAATATTTATGACAGGTCATGTTTTCATGTCTGGTACCAGAATTTTAATCCTCCATGGAAGCACTATATATAACTAGGATAACGTTGCATGTTCATGTGATGATGTGACTGTGGACATCTCGTAAGGGATATCCTTTAATGTACATTAGTGAACTTAATCAACCTAGGTTCATATTGAACGATCGATCATCCCGATTCGTCGCAAATGTTGATTGCGCTAAAATTAGCTTCATTTCTTCTTCAGGGAATGGTTGAACCAGGCCAACAGATATCTGCGACATTAAAAAAAGAATTCATGGAAGAAGCTTTAGCAGGTTTAGATATGGACGATGAAGAACGCAAGGAATTAAAACGACAAGTTGATATTCTATTCCAGGGGGGGACTGAGGTTTTCAAAGGTTATGTTGACGATCCGAGAAATACTGACGTAGCTTGGATCGAAACAACAGCTATGAACTATCACGATGATAGTGGAGAAGTATTCAATAAAATAAAATTACAGGTATTTTATGCATTTTTCGTAGCTAGTTACTAACAGAGAAAAGATATTTAATATTCTTGCGCACGAAAATATATTTCATCCATCGAAGATATATTACATCAGTTCAACTTCATACGTGAGTTTTTTCTTTATTGCGTTTGTTACGTGCTATTATCGTGGTAATATTGATTCTATTTCTTTGATTAGGCTGGTGATGATGCTACCGCTGTACGATGGCAAAGAGTCAGTGGAAACATCCCACTCTATGCCAATCATGTTGCAATGTTAGAGAATGTTGCACGTCTTCACAACGCAAACTTTTAGCTCCGTTATTTATATTTCAGTGGCAATGAAAATCTGTTTAAAAGACCTATTATTTATTATGAGCTCCTAGAGTGTTTATTTGCAATATCCCGGGCACTTTTTTATAGAGAAGGAACTTACATTTTGGCGTTGGATCAGATTATTATTACTGTTTAACAGTCCTGTTTAATGCAAATTCATTATCTGCAATGGTAAAACAACCGATTTCTATCTTGAAATCTGATTGAACTGTAATCTGCCTGACCCTCAACAACTCCTAAGATGCTAAGATTAACCCGGGGTTTTCTCACAAACATGCAATCCCGTAATCGATTTTTGTACAGTGTAAAATGATCTATTTATGTCAAAATAATTTTTGTGTAAAATTATCTATTTAAAATTATCTAATAAGTACTTATTTGCGTTGGCTGGTATTTTCAACGCGGAACTATTATTGGTTATCAATATATACAACCAAACGGAAAGTCTGTGCGTGATGTGCTATATAGAACAGTTGCATCACAGTTACATGTTATTAGATCAGTAGACTACCTCACTACCTGAAATATAACACTTTTTTGTATTTTTCGTCGTGTCTTTTCTGACAAACCCTGTTAAGACTATGAAAATATTTTAAAGAGATGAATTACTCTTAGAGTCCCTATATTACAGAGCAGATTTTTCGAAAATAAAAAACACCAATTTTTTAATTATTGTTGAACCCCAAAAATGTCATGCTCTACATATTTTACTATACAAATATTTTACAACCCCATTCCCAATCGATCAGTTCATTTTAATTTTAGAAATATTTAATCGTTTTGAATGTCAGTCATATGATTCACAACAATGCTTTGTACAATGTGGTGCACATATGGGTGAACATGGGATAGCACAAGTTGCTGCATGTGCGGCAATGGTAGTTTTTGGGACTTTGGAGCGTTGATTTATGGATTGTTGTGGAGCATATGATTGTTGTTCAGCGTACGGCGAGAATGGTTGTGGAATTCTTGCACGTGTTTGTGGCCGCATTTCTGGTTGTGGGTTATATTGTACCATAGGATAGGAGATGGACCTGACAGGATTTGCCTGTTGGTCTGCATATGAAATGATATCACGCGGTTGAGAAGGGATTTGAACATTTTGCGAAGGATAAGAAAACAAGGCTTGGTTAGGGATTCTTCCTCTTGTTTGTCTGACAGGTTCTTGGACATATGGCTGAGGCATTGGTTGAAACATTGGCGTCTGTTGCGCCATACCTTGTTGGTACATTGACATGGGTGATGATGGATTACAACAACCAGGTCTGCAGGCGGGATAACATGCTTTTGGACAACCTATTGGGCAAGCTGGTGGATGTTTTGGATCATCTTGTGGACCAGATTGCAAACCTCCCATACCCTGCGATTGATCCGGGTGAGAATATCCGTCATTAGTCATACTACAACACCTCGGATCACATTGCTTTGGACACTGTGTGATTGTGTCTCCTGGGACTAAGGGTGATGTAACAACAGGGGTATTCTCTAGCTGACCATTTTCTTTCAGCACCGTATTCCACCTCACACACATTGCTGGGCATCCCTTTTGTGGCCCCGACTCAGTCAACGCACTGCTACCGGATTGTTGGTTTAGCATTGGAGAAAATCCTAGGAGTCAATAGATATTTTCTTGAATGCATTATTCATCTGCTGCTCTTGCTACAACATAGAGCTACCGCTGTTGATAAATACAGTTGATTCTGGAAATGCATACAGCTATTTACTGCTGGTACTAAATATAGCTGCTGCTAGTAATATCAGGAAACATATTTATAGAACAGGTGCTACCATATATGATCATCGGACATCCAATTTGCTGTGTCTGTTTATACTTGCTTTGCTCCTAAAGATATTTCTGTTGCTGTCTGCAATGACTGTTGCCACTGTAATTGGAACTAATACCGCAAACTTGTTACTAAACCTGAACTACTCTCTCATAGATTATTTTGCTAGAGCGTATTAGCTAAGGACACTAAACCATCGCTGTGTTTTTAATCAATTTTGAATTTTGAGACCGGCCAAATAAGCTTTGGACAAACAAAAAACTCTCTGGTCGGCTCAGTGGTGTAAACATGATGGTTTAATATCCCTAGTAGGCAAGCTTTCATTATACTAAGCAAGAAACGCTATTGGATAAACTGAAAATTAAAAAAGCTTTATTATTCTCTTAGTATTTTTACATCATTTTATGTCTCTGAACATGACAAGTCAATATCAAATATATACAATATAATATATTTTATTATTGAACTTAGTACAAAGATTTAAAGGTATTTCTCTAAACACCAAGTAGTGCAAACACACTGCAGTTTTTAAAACGTTTAAAATTGTGTGTTCCTCATCACATTTACACCATAGTTCGACCAGTGAGTTTTGCGGAAGTTAGTTCAGCCTTGTGTTGGTTTTGCTGTCGTCGCGCCCACTGGAGGAGGTTGTGCCCCAGGGTTGGAGAAACCCGCCCCAGGTTGCATGTAAGGCTGCTGCATCATGCCTGGTCGCATCATACCTGGTTGTTGCATGCCTGGTCGCATCATACCTGGCTGCATCATGCCTGGTTGTTGCATGGGACCCATCATCTGGGTCATGGGTGGGAAGACACCATTAGGCCCCACTCTTTCATTGGGTGCTAATGGAGTGATCGAAGCCTTACCATTTTCGACCTCACCGTTCGGCTTAATAATAGTATTCCATCTCATGCAAATTGCAGGGCACATTTTCGGACCTTGGTTTTGGGCACAACCTCCACATCCGGGCCCTCCCATTGGTTGCTGCCCCATTGGTTGTTGCCCCATGGGACCTGCCTGGTTAGGAGGCATTCCCGGGGGCGGTCTCATCTGTGGGCCAAATTGCCTTTGACCTGGAAACGGTCGTTGCATACCGGGGTTAGACCTTCCGAATCCTAAAGGGAAATGTTGGACAGGCTGACCCCCGGGTCTACGCGGTTGATTTCCAAAGAAAGCGCCTGAAATGTAATGGAGGGAACATTAAAATTTTTTTGATGTCAAGCTTTAAGTATACAGTCAGAATCTGTAAGGATCAAGTAACCATTTATCGTTCTAATAGTTCTCATTCCAACCAGTGAAGTAAGATCCACTCTTTTGTATAATTTTACTGGCAAAAAGGTGATAATTATTCCTTATTATGTAAAGTAAATCCCGCAAACTGATACTGAGAACACTTTCACTTGTAAACAGCGTCTCGGAAAAGACGAACATTGATTTATTGCATCTTTTCCACTTCAACTGTATCGCAGCGTGAAACGTAATTTCGTTAATTTAAACGTGTTTTCGTCAAGGTAAAACAAGAGTAACACTAGCGTAGAATATTTCATTGTACTTACGTCGTTCTCTGAAGATATTTGTTTTTACTATAAAAAAGAGATTGCAGTGGTAAATATTAATTTAGAGTGTTGATGCAGAGTTTTGTTTTCGTTCGAGGAGCCGGGAAGGCTCAGACCTCAAAGTTCAGATATACATATATTTGTTATATTTAAGAAATACAAATAGTGTCTGATTATTCCTTGGCATTATTTAGACACTGGAGAATGGAAATTTACTTATATTTTAAGTTAACTAAAAGTAAAATTATTCACTTGCCATCAGTTTATTATATTAAATGGGGGATTCGTGCGCATGAGTGAGGTATGGACACTAAATAATTTTCATTCAAGTTTCTCTTTAACTCAAAATTAATTTTTAGCATCTGACATTTGACGTAAGATCGACAACTGGCAAGCTAAATATTTCTAGTATTTTGTTTCTGCGAGAATATATTCTTTAATATCCTGCAGAAAAGATTTTCTAACAATATTTTCTTACGTGATTTTGCATCTATGAAATCAGCGAGAAGAACAGCCAGCGCTACATATACAATACACGATTTCATCTAAATTAAAAACAATATAGTAATTTTAGACTTCATGTTATAATGAGAACTGCATTTACTTCATTTAGTGATTTACGATCAAGGTTAAAGTTCTTATAGGGGACGATTATTGTTAAAGTAGTCCAAAACTGGGCAACTGAAAAACTGTTCCCTTCCAGCTGTTTGCGATGCTGTTTTTTTTTAAAGAAAATATAGCAGATGCAGTAGAAGAAGTAAAAGTATTTATATCGTCGACGTTGTTCGCCATTACATAATTAGAATTAAACGCATATACGGACATAAATTCTCAACCGTCGAAGCGAAGACCGGAGAGCGGAGAAAATAAATGAAATTCTTGCAAATATTTCTTACAACGACTGGGTATATATACTTCAACTGTTATGTGTTGTAAATCTCTTACCTTTATAATTTTCCTAACAATCTTTATAATACAAGTTCAGCCAGTAGGAAAATAAGAAATCTCGTTTATTCACTGTTGTTTTTCACAGTGCAATCGAGCGAACAAAGTGACAATGTGATACCTGTTGCGATAATGTAATCATAGCATGGAATAGAAACTTTTTACTCTTTGCCTTAGGTGATAATAAATCACTAAATAGATCGATATGCGTTAGGTTTTGATGGATATTTATTGAAGAAACTATTGCCAAAAACTGGGCATCAAGTTGCTATTGCTGCACCGGCCTTTTCACCGCAAAAATATAATTTGAAAAACCTCCTGTCCGCAAAAGATCTTTGCATGGCTTGTTCCATTTTCAGGTGGTTTGTCTAATCATTCCACGCTGTTTTGAAAAAACTATCTGCCGTTTAATATTTCTGTTGCAAATACAGTCAATAGAGTCAAAGTGTAAATGCATGCCTAAACATGAATCCATGCAAGGAATACTTTCAAAACATACAAAATTTGTAAAGGATTTTTTGTACGAATTGGACATGTTTAGGTGTTTACATAAAATTGACAGCCTGCATCGAAGGCAAATTGTGAAATTTGATGCACGAATAAAGGTCTTATCGATGCCACGCAATATTTTGCAAAGAGAGGTTGGTCGCTAAAGATCATGATTAATGATCGGGGGCATGGTTGCTTTATAATTAAACAATTAAATTATTCAGTATGAGAATTGCATGACCATCAAAATTATTACTCAACATTATGTACCAATATTTGAAAGTAAAGCCCCCTAATTGCAGAATTCTCACAAGGTGGATAGACAGGCATTCATATATTACAACATTATAGGGCTTCCACAATATAATTGAAGGATATTTTCTTCAGAATGCGAGAGAGGGAGGGAGGGGTAGGATATATTTATTATGCATTTTCAAAAGTTCTTTTTTTCTCTCTTTTTTCATTGCTATCCCCCTATGAACAGAATACAATACACTGCACATAAATTAAGATTATCCAATCAGGGACCGGTTGTATCAAGCCCGTTTAGCTTAAACGGTGGTTAAGTTCAAAATAGAAAGCAAGTCTGTCGTTTTATTCAAGAAGCAAAGTAAATGTTTTTAACCTTAATACAAAAATACTGTTTACAACTATATATTCAGTGCATAAAATTTAAGTTGACTCATTCAAGAGAGATGTAAGGGTGTTATTTAATTTTGACTTATCCGCCGTTTAAGCTAAACGGCCTTGATACAATCGGCCCCGGGAGAATTGTTGGACTGCCAGACTGGGTTCGTTTAGCCAATAGCATAGCTTTATTTTGCAACACGAGGAGCGGGGAAAATAAAATATAAAGTCTCGTCAAAATTTGAGGCATTATTTGGGCGTTGATTTTCGAAACATTATGCCAAGCTAGATTTATGGTTAAAAATTTTGACCAGAATTTCTACTCAAGAAATGATCCCGGCCTTCAGTTTGCATAAGAGAATTTTAGTATCTTTGCTGCTCTGACGTTGATGTAAAAACAGGTAATACATCCCATTACGATTATGTATTGCCCTGAAGGACGCGTGTTTGCCTTGTGCTCGCTCTGAGAATTTGCTTATAACACTAACGTTGTTTTTTATTCATATCTCCCAGAGCTCTGACGACTTGAAGCCAAGTTTGACGATCAAACACGTGAACAAGAGACGGATAAATTGTGACCGAAACTGCTCAAGATAACTTGCCTTTCAAGAGAGAGCACGACTAGCTATTTCTTGAAGCTTACTTGGTGAAATGACAAAGGTATAAACGTTAAATCGTATGCGAATTAATCATGCAGGGTTTAGATCAAGCAATCAGCTGCACTCTAGCAGCTAACCCTCGCGCACTTCAATTTCAAGTCCCTTTGCATCGAGTTCTAAAGATCTTAAAAAACTAACGTTCTCTTCTATCCTTTTCAGGTAGAGTTTTAGAGCTAAAGCTAAACTAAAGACGAAATGTACTGTCGACACCTCCGAAAATTACGCATTGAAATTGTCTAAGAACTGAACTCACTCGCGTTTAAGGAGACAGCATGTCCAAAGCTGCTATTTCTACACTTGCTGCTAAAATGAACAGGTAAACTATAAAGGCTAGTTTCCATTAAGGAAAATTCTCCTTTAGATCGGACAGGACAGGAAAGTTTCCTTTGTATAAACGCCGCCGAAGAACTCACCGACAAAGGAAATTTTCCTGTTCGTTCCGATCCAAAGGAGATTTTTCCGGAGTGCAAACTAGCCTTAAGTGTATATCTATTTTGTGTCTATTAGATTCACAAGAGGATGAGAAATTGAAACGCTTGATCAGGCTTCGTGCTTTGTGTCCTCTCTCACCTGATTCGATCGTGCACTTAAACGAAAGTTTTTCTCTAATATTTTGAGCTCGTTTTATTGAAGCGAACTTCTTTGAATCACCGTCTATAACAAGCATTACCTTTGTTTTATTTCAGGTGGAGATTTAGCGAGTTAAAACCATATGAAACGACGATAAACCTGTTCATAATAAAATGTAAGTGTCAAGCGATTGAATATTTTTGATAGAGCGAACAATGGGGAGCTTAAGCTGATTTAGGACGGGAACCATGACGGCTGATAATACAAAAGTATAAAAATTCATTATAGGCGAGAGTAGAAATAATTGAATTCCCAGAGGCATTTTATTGATGTTGTTTATACACAACAACAAAGTGACGTAATTATTTTATTTACAAGGTCTCCTTTAAGATTTAAGAAACGTATTCCAAAAATTAACAAAATTTCTCTTATCGTCACGCTGGGCTCCCCAAATTAGACGGTCCCAAGTTAGAGAAAAATTCAGCTTCCTGCATGCATAATGAGTTATACTTCATAGTAATTTTACTCCATATTAAAGAACATAATTTTACAGGTGCCACCTCTACTATATGCTTATTTTTTATCCTAAATCTTATTTCAGGTGGATGATATATTATAAGAAATCACGGCTGGGTTGAGCTATAACCGACACGGCAAAACGACACCAAACCAACCGACGCCAAACCAAACGACGCCAAAACGACGCCAAAACGACGCCAAAACGACGCCAAAACGATACAACGTCGAACAGCAGCGTATATCTGCGATGCTCCCCCGACATCGTTAAAGGTTAGAGTAGCCTGGTGGTCAAAAAATGTGCATGCTAGGGTTAAAATGTATTTTCGCACGAAACTGTTTTACGAACAATGCTTCTGCAAAGCAGAAGTTCATTGTTTGTCCTTAAGGGTCGCGATGTTCTTTAAACCTTAAGCTTGTCAGTTACCTACGTTCTGGCCACCAGGAACATAGCTAATGCATGATGCATGTGTAAATAAATTTACATGTGAGTAAATTTTTGAAAAATTCGGTTATAGGATCCGGCTTTGCGCTTAAGGGCTGCTCGTTGTGCTTAGGGCTACGCGCTAAGGTTTAGGTTGATAAGTTGCATGTTCAAACTAGGGCCGGTTACATATGTCGAAAACATGAATTTTCATACACGAAATGGTTTAAAAAGCCATGCACACGAGCATAAATCACCGCCTCAAATGGCAAACATAATCCCATAGGTTCTTACTCTGTTCCATCTCTCGGAACTGTTATTCTTAAGAAATTTGCGGCTCCGAATGTAGGTTGTAATCAATATTAAACAAACACTGTTTTGTACATATACACACACTATAGCCTCATATGGCAAACATAATCCCATAGGCTCTTTCTTGTTCCCGTTTCTCCCTCTCTCTTGTCTTGTCCTGTTGAAATAGTCTTTACCAGGCCACATGCGGCTTTCGGAAATATATATAGATTGTATAAAATTATGAATTGTAAATACACTATTATCTTGCATGGTTTATTATATTTTGTAATAATAGAATAATTTAATACTAATGTATATATAGCATGGTTACATAATAATTTGAAACACATGAGCAAAACACTAATACAAATTAAATCATGAAAACCATATGGCCTTTATAATGGCAGACATAATCCAATAGGTTTCTAGGTTCTATTTCTCTTGTCTCTTGATACATATACTAAGTCATTACTATACAAATTTTAAATACATCAACCCATAACGGTGGCCGAGAGCTGCCGCAAAATAATGTTTGAAAAGCGTTTTACTGTGAATAGTCAAATTAATTGCACCAAAAATGAATTTAAAAATTAAAAGTAATCTGAAATAAAATATTTCTCATCCACAATAAAACGCTTCTCAACAATTATTTCAGCGTGTGGCAGCTCTCGAGCGGCAGGAATAACGCAGGTTTATACACTTAGCATCCAAGTCAAGTTACTATATATAAAGTGTTGACAAAATCATGTTGGCGTTCAATCCACCAATTATTATCTGTAACCACTGACCTATACTAGACCTATGCTAGACCTATGCTAGACCTATACTGACCTATATCTAGTATCTGTATATGACTCACTGTGCAGTGTATATCCATGTAATTTCACTGCACATCTATGGTACGATAGGAATTTTCAACAAAAATTTAAAAAATTTCATGAATTTGTTTATACCAAACATGCATCATGGGGATACGGATACACGCCATGTCGGGTTTCTCACGGGGTACTAACAATCAAGTCACAAACATAATGCAGGATAGTTTATGCGCAAGTTGACGCACGGAAATACAAACGACTGCACGCGCTGGATAACAATGACTTACAAAGCAATTAATATATCTCCAGCAGAAATTGATTAACTATGAAAACAATATAGCAATAATTTTCTTTCAGATTTTGAACAAGGAATTAAGTGACGGTGTATCACATACATGAAATATATTTTAGGCTCATGCGATATTTATCTCCAAAAAAGTAAAAATCGACTATAATCAACTGCATGCCTGAAATATATAAAACTGACGTTGTTCCAAGGGCCTTTATCACTGATTTCTGTGACCTATGGTTATAGCTATATATAATTAAACTTTCTGCATGGAAAACATTCACGCTTTCTATCTCTGAATAGTAGATAGAAGGTGAACAGTAGCTATACAGAGTAGTTTTTTGAAATTCAGAAATGTATTATAGTACTACTTTCTGAGTGGAACTAGTTCAACTAATCGCGGAGTGAAGAAGAATGGTTGACTTTGTTGGTATCCAACTCACAATTGTCAGTCAAATGAGTCTCAGTACATGCAACTCACTGAACTGCATGACCTACATTGTGAATAAGTTAAGTTGCAGAGAAGTTGATATTCTGGAACAGGATCTTGTCTGCATACGACACATGCTAACGCTACCGCAGCCCGACTAACTTGGTCTCAATACCATGCATCTTCCATGCATCAACCATTCAATGACTTCATGCAAATAATGCGCATGTACACACATTTTGAATTTTTGATATTGGTGACAGGCAGGTAAAGTCTTTAGGTAATTCTAAAAGATTTAGTAAATTGTATTCTAAAATTTCCCATGAATTTGTTTATACCAAACAGACATCATACGTACTAACATGCATCTCAGGAGGTGCTTGTTCCATAACGAGTTTATTATAGATAGACTGAAATGTAAAGGCAATATTTCCTATTTGCACTTGCTTAGATTGACTCACAGTGACTCACAGTGACTCACAAAGCATCTATGGCAACCACAGAAAGCACAGATAATCATTATGACTGCATGGGCGGATTACTACAGATACCGCAATATACACGAATCAAGATCGATCGATCACCCCAGGTTTTCTCTGCCGTTATGTCAGCGTGAACATATCAATGTATAAAACAACTGGCAGGTGTTCTTAATATATATTAACATACTATAGTAGTGGTTGCCAGATTAATGAGGTGTATTGTATAAATTGCGAGGTTTGATGCACGTCAGGACGGGCTAAAGAACGAGGCGAAAATGCATGTCGCATACATGACATCCCATGTACCACGTGAAATGACTGAACTACCTTTTTTTACATTGTGATTGAAGTGTGGTATTTACTTTCTGGATGGGAGTAATATATTATGTTTATGCCATCCCAGCATCGTCTCTGTGACGTGGCAAATCATCTTTGTTGAATCTCGTTATATGTATATACATGCACTTAACAACACCAAGTTTGCCTCTCAGAAGTTATGATTATATAGATTAGGTTGAGATTAAAGTTTTCCTTTTACTAGTGTGTGAGGTATATAAATGTTTGCTGTATGTTCCATCATCATTTTAGCACCTGAATCCGGCGAGGGCTATATCACCATTTACCAACTACCAAGCACAGGCCATCCAAGCCCCTCCCTCTTCTGTAGTCTTGCAGTAAATCTGGCAAACATGAAACATTATCGTATCAGTCATGTTCGCACTGCACTGGATTATGTTATTTGAGAAACGTTTTTGGGAGCAAAATTGTTTTGTCACTGATACGCACTGAAATATACTTTCAATATTTCGTTTTCATTAAATGGTTCTTTATTGGTTCTTTTCTTATCACGTGTAACTTATATATTCTTACTAAAAAGGAACGTTTCTCTCGTTTGTCTTAGCTACCAATTTTAAGATGAAGTGCCGATGAAGTGTCGGAAACTTGACGTCGAAATTTTCTTTGTATTTTTGAGGTAGTCCATTCATCATTTCAAGCTATACAAATCATCTTTAGCTAACAATTTACCTATGATAAATTGAGATATTATTGTGCCTGCACACAAGGGGTGTAAACGAGCCAAAGCCAAAAGGTCGCAAACTGACGCAAACTGCTGTATGTTTAAACATGTTTCCCTTTCTATTGTTTTACCGTGACAGCGCCGAATGTACATGTTTATTCTCTCAAAAGGAATTTGTTAGAACCTCTCCCATGCGTAATGCAGGTTATAAACTCCTAATTCTAGCTTGGCCCTGCTCCCAAAGATAGGAGCCAGGAGAAAAAAGTCTGCTTAACTAAATTCCATGCATGCCACAATTATTACTTGGAGATTTTTGGTGCTATTGATTCTTGTCTTTCGTATGACCTTGGTCGGAGAATAAAACCACAGCATAACATATGACCATGCACTGAGGAATATGACAATCTGCAGATATATTATTATTGCTTTGCAAGGCATGCAAGTGCAGCCGTTTATCATCAATCGTAATCAAATTTCAGCCTTAAATAAAAGGAATGACATCTTATAAAAGAAATTATTGACGTTTATATTAGTCATGCAATATGGTAAATGTCTGTATGGTGAAAGAAGGGAAAGTGGAGGAACTGAAAGAGAACAAGTTTTAGGCAAAACAAACTTTAAATAAATTAGATCAAAATTTTAAAGAATCTATGTTATTTGCTAGAAGATCATTTTAGAAATGATCTATTTCATGTGACATAAATTTTAGATCCATGTAACTTTAACATGTTTGTTTTTAACTGCAGTACAGATCCTTCTAGAAGCAGCTAAAGTTGAGGAAACAATGGCACTCCACGAAAGGCGTTCTCCTGCTGTTTTGCATAAACGTCCCACGCTTTATTTCAAATTTGAAAACGCTTTGTCCCCCTTTCTCCTACTCGACGGGCTATTGGGATGCTTTATTGAAACCGGCGAAAATAGAATAAAGCATTAAGGTAAACTGTTTATTAATTTTGACTCTACGTTTTGTGGGCTTAAGTGATTAAAGCAAAATTGTACACATGAAAACACACGTCTTCTCCGCCACATAATTCCTAAGGAAAACTATCGCTTGTATTTTCGTTGGGATGCCCATACTTCGTTGTATCAACTTCTACAACTGTCAGACTGTAAGATAATCATCCCTCCTACTGTTTCTTACAATGTCCTAAAAGTATAAGGCATTTGGTCGACCTAAATAGATCGATAAGCAAGCAACCGACTGGATTTCTGTAAGATTTTTGTCGTATTTGATCAAAGAGTATTCTTGATGCAGCTCAGACATGCAACATTCATTCAAATAGCTGATTAATCCGGCTGTAAACGCGATACCATAGTAAACTTAAGGTAGGGAGAATGAGAATATTGGTGATGAGGATGGTCAAATTAGGCAACTATTTGTTAGGTGCATTACCTATTGATTTTGAAGATTAAGGTTCACATTTCAGGGTACAACATAGCTACATGTATCAGTGTATTCACTTCTGCAATCAATATAGTGATTTGCATATAGCCATACAATGAAGGTGAATGGAAAAATTACTTGTTCGACCTCAATTAATTAGAAAGTCTTTACGGTTAGTGGCTAATACCAAGCAACTACATGCGTTCCAAAATCCACGCTTCTGAAACATTTCCCTTCATGGGACTTGATACTCAGGACTAACTGCAAGTGCTGCTGACACTCACACACATGTGTTGCCCTATCGAAAACGTTACCGAAAATGTATTCGTCATAAAGGTGGAAATGTCGAACATAAATAAAGCCTATTCATTTAGCCGCAAAATGTCTTTATCTGTTATCGATTTCGTAATATCAGAAGCGTACATTGTAACCTTGTTATTCACTATTGAATCTCTATTCCAAGCAATGACTACAGATTATGAAAATATATATTATACCATATATTAATATACCTAAGACAATAGCCCATGTATATCATAAATATACAATACATCTTTGACAAATCAATATAGCATTTTCTTCAATTACCATATTTTCCATTCAATCCAACCATGCAACTCAATCTTCAGTGCAAATTAGTTGTAATGAAAATGACAATGAATCATGCATAGACATATAGCTGTGGGCTCCATTTTTGATACTGTTGTGTTTTTATTTATCAAGAGCCATTGTGTATCCAGGTGGCATATATCGTTTGTTATTCTTTAGTCTCCTGCCGTTAATGTATTACTATCATGCTTGAGGACTTATTGATTGTGTTCATAATAATTGGCAGTTCTAAATATTCTGCTGGATGCACTTGTAAATATATACTGAAGACGACAATAATTTCACTGTTCACTGTTGCTCCAGGCTAGGACCTGCATGCATGATTAAATAGCTCCTATATAATTTTAAATAGACTAGAAATAATCCTACAAATCCTTGACTATCAACATTTTTCAGGCATATGCAACCGATTTTTTGTGAAAATATATTTACTATCACTGACCAGACCCCCCGTCGTTAGGGTCTTTGAAGGTTATGTGTCTACATTCAAACCAAAGAAGAAGCCGTGAGCATCTGATTAGCGTGCTACGGGGAATGATGACAAACCAAACGCGTAAAGAATCGTAGAAAAGTATTTTGTTTATTTTGTAATGCTACTCTTACACTATCAGTATTTTACAAAATGCCCTTAGTAAAGGCCAAGCAGTATTTACAATTAATGTAACTTGAAACACACCGTGACCATCATAGTCGGTTAAGACAGCCTGCATGGAGACTCTGAATGCCTAGGTTTTATGCACGGTAAACCTTTTTTAAAATATATCTTCGATCCTTACTTAAAGAGAATATTATTGAGCTTAGAGGTCATTATGCTTTGACGCTTTGCCCAGAATCTCCCAGAAAATATAAGCTTGCTTGGCTGTTTTGAAGCATGCATGTCCATTAATTGTCATTGTCATTGACTCTGTGTGATTGTTCTCCACAAATTTGCCTTTCATATATTCACTCAACTGTCCTTTCTTAATTCTTACCCTGCATGATCATATTGAATCTTAACGACTGAGGTTATTTTACTCTATTTATATATTTTATTTTAATATTTAGTATGGTACATAATATTTATACTCGCATATTCTATGCGAATGCATGAACATATATAGTATATTCAGTGATGATAGTTCCACTTTAAGCGGTATAAAATTATATTTATTTACATGAAAATATTAGCCGCTATAAAGCCGGCAAAATAGACAATAGCTGAATTGTCACGTCTGTTGTCCAACTACCATGCAAATAGAATAATCGAACTTCCTGAGTTAGACAACATTCGGGTTTTTTGGAAAAAGATAGAGACCTACGGCTGCATGCGATACTAAATTAACTAAAAACTTTACTTTTAATTCCGCAGTATATTTTTTAACAAATCAATGAACTTGCATCAAGAATATACATTATAATCGTCATGCTTGATGAATAACGTGCCTCACGGACGGTTTGTGCTTTGCTAATAACCGGACTCCGCTCACTCCGTATTCAACTGACTTTGATAATTTCACTACGATGACATCTTCCACTCATTAGCTTCGTGGAACAACAAAATCTGAAATAGAAGTGATAAAAATGAGTTTTGTTCCCAGGTATTGAGTTCATCATATATGACTGTCATTTAGCTGTGTGCTGTATGTATCACCTTCAGTATGTTTGTCAGTATTATCGGGGAAAAGCTATAAAACAGCTTTAATTTGTTTTAGATGTTTGTTCGGAAACAGAAATAAGCAAAAAACCGGAATTGATCACAAAAGAAGTATCTTTTATAAGAAACAAATACTTAAAAAAAAGAACATGTCATGAGATTTAAGCTCATTTATTCCGGCACAAAATGTGGGACACTGCATGAGTTACATGCAATTAGAACTAATAACCATCAAAGCTAAACAATCTTCATCAATTCAGTAATTCGCCCGAGCAGCAGAAGACTGCATTAATTTACTGAACCAGCAGCAAAAATAGCCGGGCGTTTGTTTTCTAAGTCTTGTAGTTATAAGGCGTTATATACAAGCGAGCTGTTTTAGAACAATACATGTGGTCGTCGACACTAAATATTATTTTAAGCGATCACATTTTATGTACAGTGATTCTTCATGGCATAGAAAACCTAAAAATTATCGTGAAGGCCCCAAAATTAGTTTTAGTTAAGGCGAATCATTTATCGTATGAGTATAACTATTTCTGCCGAAAGTGGGTCAAAATTTTGGTGCCGCAAATCCCTTCAAAGCTACTTCAACAAAGTCATGGTTCTTTTAAGTTTCAATCCCCTTGCCTTTCCTTGATGCATAGCATTGCGTACATACATATTTCTCAATGCTGTTATAGACTAGCTTTATTGTCTAGATCGTCTAGATTACCATATATACACCTTCTCAGTTTTAATTAAAATATATTTCTATGTTATATAGATATCAGTAGCTATTTTTCATATAATCTTCGGACAATGTAAAAGAAAAACAATATTAGGATTCACATATATTTCATAACAGTGATTATCCCTAAAGGTCATAAATTTATAAATTTGTTGTCTTACCAATATTTACCATGAAAGTAATTGCCATGTTATAGATCTAAATTATCGTCTCCATCACATCCATCGGAGTCACCATGATTACCGATAATTTCATCATCACTTGTAATTTGATCTTCACAACAGAAATGTTCGTCCTCCACACCTTGCAAATCTTCACCATGTTGCAAGAGTTGCATGAGCGAGGCGATGTGCCGGGCTGCCAAGCGAACAATTTCAATCCGTGATATCTTTTGATCGACAGACGACAGCGGTAGAACGTTCTTCAAGCTAACAAAGGCTGTATTAACCACCTGAAGCCTTTTTCTCTCCCTTTCGTTCGCCAGCCTTCTCTGTTTGCTGATGCCTGTTAGCATTCGCTTGCGACGTCTTTTGCGTTGCTTCGGTTTTGTCTCCGTCGCTTGTTGCTCATCTTCATGAAGTTGGATTTCATCCTCTTTCTCGGGCATTCTCAACTAAGTGCAGTCTCTTCAAGTCACTCGACGGCGCAATCTTTGCTGTTTTGAAGCATATTACCAACAGTGCGTTAATTTATATATAGTGTATACACGCCAGCCCAGCAGGGTTCATGAGGCGGGACTGCTATCTTACTGATTGTGATATATCGACGCTGTTGTTTAGTGCTCTTTAACTCAAGCTAGTTTCTTTGTAACCTCTGTTTGTTCGTTTGTTTACAGGTTCCGGTTATCAAGCCTGTCAACAAAAATCTTTTCAAAAAATGCAATGTATAATTATGAAATCATGATGTATAACAAATATTTTCAGTTGTAATAGCTTCGTCCAAGAATAGCGGTACATTAAAGCTTGTAAATCTGACATGAATCGTACTATCGTAGAGGAAGAGAACTAACTGCAAGGAAGGTCCTGCAAACAAAGTTAGTTAAATAAAGCTCTTTCTCCAAAGCAAGCAGATTCGCTCTAATTCCCAGTGTCAAACATCTTTACATATTTATACTTTTCGCATTCAAACCAAGCGGAGCCTGATTAACTTACCAATTCCTCTCTTTAACGGCAAATTACCAATTCCGTTGAAACCTTGATTTCGTGATTGACACTGTTCACTTATTTCATGATTGACACTGTTCACTTATTTCATGATTGACACTGTTCACTTATTTCATGATTGACACTGTTCACTTATTTCATGATTGACACTGTTCACTTATTTCTAGAGAAGTATACGACGTCCCAGCGTGTTTGTCGACATTAATTTTCTGATATTTGATTAGCGCATTTAGTTTGTTCACTGTTCAGTGCATGAATGAGGCTGAGTTTCTCCGTAGCAAATGATTAGACATTTCCTTTAGTTGATGCAATCGATAGTCTCGTTTTAATGTCTGCCAGTTAACATGGTAAACACACATAAGGGCATGCAGTGTCAGTAGGTAAAAAGCTATTGGGTCAGAAAAAACGAAAATTTATTCCAAACGGTGGAGGGGGTTTGAAGGGGGCATGAACAAAATCTGCTCCAAAATAAATTTGGAGTTGCAACACAGGTAATAATATAAGCAAAAATGTTCCCCGTGTTTTCCATACTTACCCTTGACGGGCATATTCAAACATAAGAATGTAAATTTGTTCCTTTCCCTCACCAGCTCACTCATTACGAGTGCCTAGGCCTTGGGACCCTAGGAGGCGGTTTAAAAGGAGAAAGGAACACACACACATACACACACAACCCAAGCCATTATTTTCAGTTGACGATTAAATGAAATATGTATACGCTAAAATCCCGGACGCAAGAGCTCCATAATGCATGAATAACGCTTTTCAATAATTTTAAGAATTTCAACTAGATCTGAGCCATTTACCATGATGAATGATGGTATATTGGAATTTCTGGCCATGCTATTTATCCCAGTCGGTATCTCCTCCAGGAAATCTAAAAATAAAAACAAAAATTCAAAATTTTACTCCAAAAAATTCCAAATTAATTGTGTTCCAGGCCCTCATCATGCTTCGTTGTCCATCTCCTGTGTATATCGAGAAATAATTTAGTGACAAAGTACCCAGGAATGTCATTTTATTTTGGGAGCTAGCTAAAGTAAAAAAAGCGGCCTTTGGAAGAGAAAAGTGGAAAAGAGGTCCGTTCATGTCAACGTGCTTATTGCATTAAACCGCGCATTGCGTTAAACCGTTTGTGCTTTTTAGCACTTTGTGCCTTTTAGCACTAAATACTGCCATTCGTACAACTGGGAATAAATAGGAATGTATGTGCAGAATTTTTCGTTGGTCTATGCAGTGCCAAATTGATTGAAACTAATTTTCCATATCTCTGAGGATGGTTCTAAAGTAGTGCAGCGCACAGAATAGTTACAAACTAATAAACTAGTGGCCCTCTGAAAGTATGCAGTAAATATAAAGTATATCATTTATAACAGTAGCTTTTCTTTTTTTATTCTCTAGACTGATAAAAGTGTTATTTGTCTGTCTGTGAAACTATTTCAAAATAGACGACCTAGCTCACTGAGTGTCAAAAATTTTTAACTGTCCTAGTAGACGACCATAGACCTAGCTAATAACTGTGTGTCAAAAATTTGTTTTTTACATACATGCTTTTTCTGCACGTGCCAGGAAAAGGAATCTTTTGAAGTGAATTCCTCATCACAACACTGGAGCGTTCCTGGCCATGACCTGCAAAGGGAAGAAGAACATTACCATAACAGTCCCTGACAGTGACAACAAAAAATTTAAAAGTTGGTGCCACATACGTTTTGATGAATTCCCTCCAATGTAGGGTTGATTTAAATGTTCCATCCCTTTCTCTCTTTCGTTTCCTTGCTGATGGTTTAATTTTTTCTTCCAGACTTCGCAAAAAGTCCTCTTGAAATTAGAAAGAAAATACATTGGTTGAAACACTGTCGGTGGCCCCTTATCAAAAATCAGAGATATTTTCAACTCAACCTTGTGTTTGCTAACAAACCTTTGGAAAGAGGCGGAGGGCTGTTGTTAGGCAGAGGGATGTTGTTAGGCAGAGGGCTGTTGTTAGGCGGAGGGATGTTGTTAGGCGGAGGGCTGTTGTTAGGCAGAGGGCTGTTGTTAGGCGTAGGGCTGTTGTTAGGCGGAGGGATGTTGTTAGGCGGAGGGATGTTGTTAGGTAGAGGGATGTTGTTAGGCAGAGGGATGTTGTTAGGTGGAGGGCTGTTGTTAGGCAGAGGGATGTTGTTAGGCGTAGGGCTGTTGTTAGACGGAGGGCTGTTGTTAGGCGGAGGGCTGTTGTTAGGCGGAGGGCTGTTGTTAGGTGGAGGGCTGTTGTTAGGCGGAGGGCTGTTGTTAGACGGAGGGCTGTTGTTTGGTGGAAGAGCCGCTACAGAAACTGTAGCATTCTAAAAAAAAGGAGAACATCATCTGCCATCTTTCAGTACGTTTTGCTGAGCAGGTTAACCCACATCTGCACTTAAGCATTATAAGTTTAAAATAATAATTACTCCGCCTGCGTATGCGCAGCGGAGTCTTAAAATGCCATGGTCTTTTTTCCTTTTTGTCGTTTTGGGCGACAGAAGTTGGCATTTCTACAGGTAACCCAAAACATTTTGACCGAGAAGCCCTGGGTTACACGGTCCACGGATGAATTAGGTACATCAGTTGGCATGCAGGCGGAGTGAACGCCTTAAGCAGGCGTCTTGTTATAATAAAAATAAGAATATTTATATGATTACAGGTTGCCCGAAGTTTAAATCTTTGTCATCCTCATCTCTTTCATGCATGTAAAAATTCAATTCATCTTCATCAGTGTCATCCTAAATCAAACATTAAAGTCAGTGTCATCCTAAATCAAACATTAAAGTCAAGGATACAATCTGAACCCTGTTTACCACAATTGGTGCTTCCATAAGGAATTCAAACGCTTGCTTTTGTGATAATGACAATTCTTCCATGATTATATATTCCAGAGCTTCTGGGAGAATGACATTTTGAACAAAGGAAATGTTTTTATCAAACAACTTTGAACAAAAAAAGGAACACAGTTGCTTCATAATATACTCGAGTTGTATGCTGTTGAAAACACCAAACCGGACTTGATATGGAGTATCCTTACGCGTCGCCACATTTCGAAACATGTTTTGTCGGGCAGTAGCCGTTTTACCACTGTTAACATCCTCAAGATGTTGTTTCATCCCACAAAGTTTGTTTTTTAAGCTTCTCTTATTTAGTCTCCGCACTTTCTCCGCTGCTTCTGCATACGTCCATCCAAACATTGTCCACTCGGAAGAATCGTGGCCAGAAGAAAGCTCAGATGAATGTTGTGCCATGGTCAACTGAATAAAAAAAACCGTGATCTATTAATATAAATTTAAATAAACTTAATATAAACTTATTTACACAGCGATTGAGATATCTGTTTCTCTTGAAATTTCTAGCAGCAGCAGATTCGAAATTTCGAATTATTCTGGCCACTCGAACAGGAATACAGTGCTTCCACGACGAAAATAAAAAATTCTTAACTTGGCTGTGCAAAATTTCCTGATTTTCCTAAGTTTCCAATCCAGATTTTCGTCTGGACAGTGAGATCCAATATGGCCGCCAACTATGAAATCCAGGATTTCGCTGCTAATACAGAAGAAAAAAAGAAAAAGAAAACGAGAATTTCCAAATTAAAATTCATTCAAACAAGTAAGTGAATATCCAGATATATTAAAAGTATTTTCTGCGTAAGATGTGATGTTGAAAATTTGTCATCACCATGTTGTCTTCATTCAGCCAGTGGGATGAAAAGAAAATTATCACGTAAAGAGGAGAGGAGAGATCTCCGCAACCAAAAGAAGGCCAAAAAGCATTCCTTCTTTTCGACGAAAAGTGGAAAAAAGGTATTGTCGCTATATCAGAAGTGACCATATATTAATAGACACTACCTATAGATATAGGTTATCAGATGATTATGTTCAATTGTAACAGTTTTATTGCCCTCAGGACAAAATATGGCAGCAGTGCAGAAAGGGATATCAGTTTTATTTCACTCTATTACTTCGCCCTGATAAAGCCACAAATATGTGATAATCCCTTTTACACTACCAATTGTAGGATATTAAAAAAAGCGAACTGGAGGAAGTTTTACCTGAAAAAGTGAAACGGAAGAAAAAAAAGAAGAAAAGAAAAAGAACTAATCAGGGGGAAACAGAGGTGAACACATCTTGTGCTTGTCCTACTTGTGTGAACCGCTGGCTCTACGCTTGCTCTCAATTACTTTCAGTATCAAGAACTGTGCATGCACTTGCTTAAATAAACACAAAACAGGGTAGTTTGAAAACAAGACAAGTTAGATATGTTTTGTTAGAGGAGTTGTTTTTGTTACCAGCTAGAGAGCAAATTTGAGAAGTGTCTATTGCAAAATTACCTGAGATTTTGGTCATCAACATATAAATATCATAACATAATCCTATCACTTTATTTAGGATGATTTTCAAACAGAACCACAAAATATGGACATTTACGAAGATAATGATGACAATGAAATTGAGGAGTTGGAACTTAAATTAAATTTGAAGAAAAAATCAAAAATACCAAATGCATTTTTTGAAGATGGTTTGGGAGGTATCCTTTTTAAAATACTGACTTACTTAATTTGTATGACTCCAGCTATAGAGTTCAAAGCATATACATACCTCTACTAATTTGATCAGAATATGCACTTTTGAACCATTCAGGGAGGAGGAATTGGGTAAAACATAATGAGTATACAGAAAAAAATGTGTTGTTTTTAAAATGTGATTTTCTGTATTATAATGCAAGATGTCCAGGTTGGGTTGCACATTTTACCAAGTTTAAATTAAATATAATTCAAGATAATCCTAAGCTATCATCATACTAGACATTCTTGACATGTGCAGTGCAATTGAAGCTGGGACACTTAAATCACAGATGGAAAATTATGCAGATGATGAAGATGTTGATAATGCTGCAATACACCATGGGTTTACTGAACAGGTACGTATGGCAAAGAGTTCAAATAAATAATTAGATTTTCATCAGTTTATTGAATATTTTTCTAGTTCATACAAGTTTTGGTTACTAAAATAAATTTTGTTTTCTTGTCATCTAAAATGTTGTACATGCATCATTTTGTTGGTGTTTTCATATTTCACAGTACTGTAAGCTGTGACCAGAGATATATAAAGTGATATTATAACTGTCACTCCTGTTCAGCCAGTAACAACATTTTTAGCTGAAATAATTATCTGCAGTTTTACAAAAATCTCATAGTTGGATGATTTACAAGAGGATACAATTGACTCTCGAGATGTGATCTCTGCAAACGATGATGAATCGGCAGACATTGATGTTGAAAGTGAGGATGAATATGAAGAAGAAAGTGAGGATAAATATGAGGAAGAAACTTATGGTAAATCCAGTGAAGCGAACAGAGAAGATGAGAAAGATAAAAATGAAGAAAGAAACTCTGAGGAAGAGAAATGGAAACAGGATGAGAGTTCATCAGAAGAAGATCAAATACCACAACAATTAACAAGGTAATGAAAGCATTTTTATGTTTTGTTTACAGCTACTTACTCTCAGTGCTTTTCACTGCACCAGGTGTGTTCGAAACAAACTCCATAATTTACTACCATTTTATATCCATGGTTATTTTTCCATACGCCTGTTGATGTGAGGGGTTACTATGCATTCTAGGTCTCAAGACATATATGGTGGTGCTACTGCTAAATACGTTCCACCTCATCAGAGACACAATCAGAGCGACCACATACAAACAAATGAACGGTTAAAAAAACAAGTGAAAGGACTTTTGAACCGGTACTGTACTGTACTGTACATTGATATTTTAAAATTTACCATGTTTATTTTTAAAACACGAGTGTAATTTTCGTAAAGGATTACCTTATACCACACACAAAGTGTTTAATAAGAACGTCAAAACAATCGCCAATGGTTTTCGCCCGAAATTCAATTATATATAGTCGAGCCTGTTCTGTTGAGCTGTATTGCATACTTCAATTAGAGATTAACACTTCTATTGATTGTATCATATAGTTTGAGCGAATCAAATATTTCCACAGTTAGTGGTCAACTGGAAGAGCTGTACATGTCAAACAGTAGAAATGGTTAGTTCAACTCCGATCAATCGTCCTTAATTTTTACAGGAATGATTTTACACGCGTATAAAATTATAAATAGACTGAGGTGTATTGTTTCGACTTATTTTAGAACTGAATATGATAATCTCTGATCTTCTTATGGAAGCATGTGTTTCGCCGTCATTGATGCCAGAAGGATTATTACGTGAACATATCATGTTAATAGCTGTTCTCAATTCTCTAATTGGCTCTGAAGTTGGTAAATATTGATTTCTTCGTGTGGGCTTAATAAGCCCGGCTTATATGAAGTAACCCAAAATTACGGTTTTCTGTAATCACGAGGAAATTGAAGTTAGTTTGTTATTTGTTTTTCAGGGTCATTTCTTCTTCAAAAACTGGCTGTGCAGTTTAAAAAGTTCCATTCAGCTTCAGAGGATGGAAATAACGACGGGAAAGAAATCAATAACATCGTTACTCTTTTAGCATTTCTCTATAGTTTTAAGGTAAGTTTTTGTACGTCTGACAAAACTGATGTCATCATTGTGTTATTTACTCACTTACTCACAATACACGTGATAAATAGGTGATTGATTGTGCATTGATTTACGACATATTCCGAGAATTGGTGGCAAAGTTTCATGAAAAAGATATTGAACTATTGTTGTTACTAATTAAACGTAAGTGACTCAACTATTTGAACTCGGGTTTTATTTGGCACATTTAATTATAAGTAAAGTTTTCAACCAACGCACTGTCTATACCTCTATTTCTAGTATTTGTTTGACCTTCATAGCGATGGTCATGACACCTCACTAATTTTGCAAAGTTATAGAACGATTTAACTGTTCGTAAAAATTGCCATCTGCATGCACAGCTCTACACTGAGAGATGTGGCAGCATCCAGAACTGCTCATTTAATAGAGACCAGCGAACCTTCAAATGATTTCAATGTGATGCATTGATGTTTAATAACTCTCGTGCATACGTGTTATATTCATGGATGTTAAAGCGATACTTATAATTTCTGGGTTTTAGATGTTGGGGTGGAAATAAGACGAGAGAGTCCAGAATCATTGAAGGTATGCACAGAACTATAAATCGATTATGCTTCCACGAGTTTTAATGAATTTGATGTACAATTTGTTTCCATTTTCCATCGCAGTTACGCATCATATAATTTTACCAATCAATACCGACTTTTGAATATCCATTCGTGCTTCTAGGAAATAATTCTTGTAATACAAGCCAAAGCTGTGAGTGATCCAAAAATGACAACCAAGTAAGTGTTGTCTGTATCGAAACTGATAACTCTGCTGCTCTAAGACTCGGTGGAGATTATCATTATTATTATCATTTTAGTATTGTTAATACTGAGTGCATCTGTCCTCCCTCGTCTGTAGATGAATAATTGCTAATGTCGAACTAATCGTCAAGACGAAAGTATTTCTCAATTCACTTCTCCTTCAATTTTTAGTTCAAGAACAAAATTCATGTTGGAAACAATCGTTGCTTTACGGAACAACAATATCCGAAAAATTCCCAACTACGACCCCGCACCAGTAGAAAGAGCTAGAAAAATATTAAAAAGCATAGCAGGTGTGTCCCACTATTGTATTATACAGTTTGGCTACATTTTTTATCTGCTTTTTGCAATGATTTGCAATGTTTGAACACCCGAGGAGATTTAGACCTTGTTCACAAGACACACGCATGCAGGGTTTGTGTGTTAAAACGTTTACGTTCCGAGGAAGCGTTCACACGTTGCCGGTATATGAGAAAATAAGAAAGCGTATCGCTAACAACTCTGGCGTTCACTGATGCTACAAACTGTTAATTCATTTTATCTTCCAGGGGTAAACGAGGATACAAAACTTAGTATTTCACTGTCAGATCTGCTTTCTGCTGGTGAGAAAGGTGTGTATCATTCACTTTCAATAACGTGGCTGCGTGACGCAAGGGAGTGACGTAACGAAGTGACGCAACGGAGTGACGTAACGCAAAAAAGTATCATGCTGCTGTGCGCCTTGCAATGGTACTTGGTGTACACGCGGGTATATGTTTCTTCGTTATGTTTTTCTACTAGTTGCAAATATGTGCAATATTGTGTCAATGGCTCACTCCTGTCCAGGCTGTCCTGCATACATAATCCTCGAAACATTTCAAGCTCATTACCACTTAAAAATCGCTGGTTATATTGCTTTTAGTAAACCCAGCGATGTTTATTGCAGTTTTTCTTTGCAGGACGATGGTGGGTAGTTGGCTCTGCGTGGAGTGAGAGGGAGAAAGAAGCGTTGAAAGATGATTCAGTGATGTCATACAACAGCAAAGTCATTGAACTATCTCGTAAACAAAGAATGAATACGGATGTCCGGAGAAATATATTTTGTACCGTCATGACGAGCGAGGTAACGCAGCGAAAACTTTCTTCTCGTGGAAAAAATGTAATAATAACAGTATTCGAGAAAGAATTTTAACTTTTTGAAGTAGGAAGTATGTAAGTTAAGATTACCGTAATTATTTTATACACCAGGATTATGTCGATGCTTTTGAAAAATTAATGCGATTGAAACTGAAAGATAAACAGTCGAGGGAGATTATTCATGTTTTGCTGGATTGCAGTTTACAGGTATTTCAGAGTCAACTGTCTATATTGTGAAAGAATAGTGATTCGCTGCGTTGTTTTATGTGTCCCTACGATTTTTCTATACAGTATACAGTATACATACATGTAGGAGACGTTTTTATCGTTTCAATTATAACAATAAATTCATTTTCTATCCAGGAAAAGTCTTACAATCCATTCTATTCCTACCTTATACAAAAGTTTTGTGAATTCAGTCGCAGTTTTCAGGTATAAAACAGCTTTTTATTTTTGTACAATCATGAATAGCAATTCAGACTAGTTAAAATTTAACTAGTCTTATATAGCTACAAATGGCCCCAGCTTGTCAATTAATACTGTATATCATACAGAAATATTCTCATGAGGAGAAAAAAAAAACCTTTAAGAGGATTCTTCCACTTTGTTATCATGTCGGATATACATGTATATCCTGGTAAAAGTCAAGTCTGATAACTCTCAGTCACGTTTTTTCAATCTATAGGTAACTGTACAGTATTCGTTGTGGGACCGCTTCAAAATGGTTGCAACGTTAACTGATGAAAATTTCTTAAACATGGCTCATCTTATGGTTCATCTTTTTATTACAAAATCTCTGTCGTTGTCAGTTTTAAAGGCGAGTATTTTAACAAAATCGTTTTGTGTTCCTCACATGTTAAGTTATAGAGTAATAGACCCCGTACCATAAATCATGATCTTCATTTTTGCCGATGATCTGATGAAATTGACTAGTATAAAATTATCCCCATAAAGTCTTTGAACCATTTCAATGGCACCAAAAATGTTTTAGTCTACGTGGGTACGCCCCATGCATATCTTGCTAAAGCCGTGTTTGCACTGACACACACGGAATTTTCTAAATTTTCTATTGGCCTTAAACTCATGACAGCCACATAACACAGTTTATTTAATATTGATTTAATATTTAGCAACTTTAGATATTTCCGTGCATGTACGTCAGTAAGAGGAATACAACTATAACTATATGAGTACTGTTTTCAAACTTCCTGACATCATTTCTGTGTGTGTGTAGGTTGTCGACTTTACGTCTTTGGACACGAAACTTGTTCAGTTCTTTACAGAGATGCTAACACATATCTTACTGGACTATCCTGAGACTACGATAAGGTAGCTTTATCTTAATGAGGTTATTCTGAGTTGAACCAGAATACGAAACTAAAGCTAAAATTTGGCGGCTGCGTCAAGGGACTCAATTAAGGAAAATCAACTATACGTCTCATTAGTTTTCGTAACTCGACATTTATAGTTAAAAACAGCTGCAATATTTTACAATTTTTCCGTGAAATACTTTTTTATTTTTTATAAATTATTTTATTTCATAAACTAGAGAAGTATTTTCAAGAATTGCCCCAATTGTGAAATTGGATACATTGAAAGAAAGTTTAAAGTTATTTATGAAACATTTTATGAAACCGAAGAAACTCTCTTCATCAAATGTGATGAAAAAAAGTGGTAAGATGGATAAAACTGCAAAGTTACAGGAACGTATTAACATTGCGGTCGAAGCTTTGTCAGGTGGTAGCTGATTACTGTATTTAATGTTAATAAATATCAATTCATTGGTTATATATATCGTTATTTATTGCAAAAGAGCTTTTAGACTGTCCACTTACAGAAAGTAAAAATATTTAGTGACATGCATTAAATAAAGTAGCTATATTGCTTTATTCCACAAACTGAAGAATAGCATTAATATATATGAACCATATATTTAAATATATACTGCATGTTTACTGATATTGTTATATAAATCAAATACTTCCTCGCATAACGTAGATTCATTAATTATCTAAAGCTGAAACAGTACATAATCAGTTTTATATATATATATATTTAGGTTCTCAAAGTTAACACACGCTAAATCAAATCACTAAATGTAACCAGCCCCGATTTATCCTCAAAGTCAAACCTTCTTTTGTCGAGGAGGTTCTTCCTTGTGGAAATCTTCTATCAGAAATCACAAATTGGAGCCGGTGAATGAATAACGAAGAAGTAAATTATTGCTTATTTCTAAGACGTTTTTTATAACAGAATTCCACACTTAACAACAGCCAGGACAAACCAATGGCAACGCCTAGAATGACAAACATGCCTGATACGTCATAGGCTGTCATTCTACGAAATGTATTGAAATTCATAGAATCTTCATTATCTGCATTTTTATCACACGATGTTTTCATCCATCTGTGAGACAACTCTTGAAATGTGTCAAATTTTTCATACTGAAGTAATTTCTGGGTAATTATGGATGTCCAATTTGAATTTTTCTGCAAAGCAACACCAAACCCTGATTTGAAGAAAGGTTTTCCTATGACACGCAAGGAACAGTCAGGATCCTGCGATGCAATATAAACCACTGTCTCATAGTCGCCAATGAGAACATCTATTTGCCTGTAAAACGACAAGAATATCATTCATTACCACCAGAGTACCTTTCTATCATGTGTCTTTTATACTGTTGTGATACGAGAGAGTAAATTTCAGGTTTATGAAGTTGATTTTTAAACCATATCTTCTGCGCAATTTGATCTATACCGTATATAGTAATCCTGGAAATTAAGGGTGCTGGTAACCATACATCTGACAGTCATACATGTATGCGTGCTTTGGTTAGTCAGTTTTTCCCATTGAACTGGTTGTTGAATATGGCGTGTAAAGTAAAATTTATACAAAAAATCTTGATGGGTAGAAAAATTTAACAAAGAACATTTTCAAAGTTTAAAACTGCATGATGGTCTATACTAACTTTTTCTTAAGACGTTCAACACCAATATCACTTGATGGGACATTGTTACCCTTCATGTGTTTCCACATCTTTATGTATTTCAGATCAGGACTTGTTCGAAAGAATCTTTCAATGCTGCTTCCCTCGATGGTTGCTATTCGAAGATCATCACTTGGGTTCTGAAACTGTTCATATCGGATTAATAATTTGCTAGATCTTGATTCAACGTATCGTATTTGTTTTTACGCGAGTATAAGTAATGAATTATGGATAATATTATACTATCAAAATTTTAGCATTAAAATTATAGAAAGCTAATTAATTATTAAGGCTAACATTTGATTGAATTAAGTGCATGGGTGGCAATGCGGTCATACGGTCTGTGATGTTTCATTACGTTTAATGTTTGCCAATTTCTTGTCTTGTCGGCAAGGGGTGAATACGTTTATTGCTGATCAGGGCTGATGGGATAAACGAGCGGAAAGTGAATGAAAAAGAGGGGAGAAGACAAGAAGAGGAAGGAAGTGAAAATAAAAGTTTATGAGAACAACAACAGCTGGGAAATTTGTTGTCGCTGTGTAATATTTTAGGAAATCCGAATTTATTTTTCAATTTGAGCACATTAGACGTATTTATCAAGCAATTAATCACATACGCAATAATTTAGAAACCGCTGCGAGAAAAAGTGGTCGCATTTTGCCTGAACTGGCGTATGCTCGATAAATTTGCCAGCAGCTGAGAACAGGATTGATTATCACTTCGTTCCGTTCAATTGATTATCACTTTCGTTCCGTAGGCTATAGCTTATGGCTATTGTAATTATATTTCGTGAAGTTCTCCGACCAGAGAATGTCAGTGTTCAGCTGTCAGCCATCTTTACTTACCTTACTGTCTTGTATTCCATCAGTAATTGGAGTAACATGAAGTTCTGCAACCAGGAATGCAGCAAGCTGTGCTGTGTAAGTTGTGATAAATACCAAAAAGCATAATGCAAGACTAATGGCACCTATCTTCGCACTTGTACTTGACGGTGTCTTCACCTTGTCCCGCGTGCGCACCACGGTACTCCAGGAATAATGTACGCTAGCTGCAAATGAAAAATCTCTCCGCGTTTTATCTGCTTTCTTGTCCTTGTGTATGGAAAACTTATCCAAGATCCAAAACGCAATTCTCTCCATTGTCCAGAACAAAATACCCATGAGTGAGATGGCGAGAAATGTTGCAATCCATAATTGCGCGGCAACTGGTTGCAAGAATGCCCAGATACCGTGCGTAAGACCCTGGCGATCAACTCTCACTAGCGCTCCGACGCCAATCTCCATAAAAGGATTAGTAAAGTCTACAACTCGAGAACGATCATCGGTGATCGTCAAGTCCGCGATAGCAATGTCGGCTTCGTCTCGTACCAGTTCCCCAATCATACCATTCCACTGGTTTGTCTGTTCATTTAGCGCGCCATATTTTCCATCTTTAGTGATGTGCACCTCGATATCCACGCCTAAATCTGTTTTTAAAAGGTGTAATAAATCAATAATGTAGCCTTCACAACAAAATGGTTGAGTATGGTTCATGATGTAAACATGACAAATCAAGCCTGTTCCACAACTTTGATGTTCCTTTTTCATCTTGTTTCGATAAACGAAGGGTGCAGACGCGGCTGTAACCGCTCGTATTTTATTAGGCAAATTTGGCTGGAAGTTGGATGACACGTAAGAAGTTGTGACCAACTCATTGTTTAGATTAACAACCTAAAATATTAAGTAATAATAAGTTGGCTGGTAAGTAACTCTAAACACGTCTACGTTGATTCAGTCTACAAAGTGCGTTTCTAGTTATACTTTTGATTGAGTTTGCTTTGCTGGATTATACGAATGGAAACTTTTCCAATATATAGATGCAGGTGAAGTTTATGAAAGTTAACACCTGGTATTCAGCATTGATTCTTCTTCCCTGTTTGTCAAAGGCAAGATACCCAGTCTTTCCAACAAATGATTGATGCAGCAAATGCCTGATAAGGAATAAGCAATTAGAAATATGCAATATTTAGGATTAATACTGCAGGAGGAGTCGTAGGGCCTCCCATTTTCCAACATAGGAAGTTCTAGTTAAAAAATGGGCAGTTCTAAAACTTAAAATGGGCAGTTGTAAAAATTAGGAAATGCTCAAATTTCTAATTGCAAACGTAAAATGTTCTTAAAATGTCTAACCAGAATGCTGAAAATCATATTTAATCCAGACACCTAAATTTCACACATTCTCTGGCGAAGTGTGCCTGTCCCCGTCCCCGAATCCTTAGAATCTTCATTGGCTGGGATAAACTAGGTTAGGTCTGCCTGTGCTTGGATCGCTGCTAGTCCAGTGAAATTAACCTCACAAACTTAGTCGCTTTAGTATCACAAACTTAACTTATACCTGAACAATCCGTCTCCGAAGGATGGATCTGATGTGTTAAAACAACTTCTTAATGGAACTGAGGCTTGTGGGTATTCGTTGGTGTAACTGTTAAAACCCATCTCAACTAATTCAACAACATCAAACAAAATATTTTGAAATATCGCTGAATTTTTCATTTGGAGAATAAACGAGTTGAATGGAAGAGAAACTTGGTTTTGCGTGTTTTCGAAGGGCAGAATCCATTTATATTTTTCTCCAGTCATCTGCATCATTCTCCCCAGTGCAAGTAGTTCATCGATCTCCTCTTGCAAGTCAAGAAGAAGAACCAAGATCTTAATATTTAAATTTCGTATCTTTGCTAAGATGGCAGCCCCCGTCCGTGCACGATCCTTTGCTGATAGACCTGATACGAGATAATAAAACTTCAGATCATTCTCTGATCTATGGGTATTTTGACACTTGATTTCGTCATAAGTCTCTTTGTTACAGATCAAAGCAGCTGGGTTCCATGTGCGTAGAATTTTCATAACGTGCGGTAAGCTGTCTTTTTTACTTGGGTACAAGTTGATCACCTGGTTTTCCTATGAAACAAAATAAACTTTAAAACTCTCTCTCCCTCACTTTGTTTAATGAATAAACGATTGAGCCCCATGCAGACTGATTGTGAGAGAGCTCTACGAAGTCTGCGCTTTTATTTCCTGTTTGGCAATTATTTTCTTAAAACCTAAACGGCAAGTGATGCTATAGGTAAATACTAATAGTTTTCCGTTCCGTGGTTCTAATTGATGATATGAATAGGTAATAATTGCACTAAAGCAATGCTTCAAGGATATTCAAATTAAAACTGCAGCTCGATTCAAAGAGGGTTGTTTTTTGGCGAAACATGTTTAAGGTGTACATTAAAAACATTTCTTAAGGCCCTGTCACACTGTTGCGTATGATAGGAACGTATGAGCCGCGTATAAAGATCATTTCATTCATTTTTATACGCACGAAAAAGTCCGTAAAAATAGGACATTTTGCATAAAATTAACTTATTAAACGTATGAGTATCGTATGAGTAGCCTGTCGCTGGCGTATGCCAGCGTATGAATAGCTTACGAGAAGCGTTTGGAATGCGCATGTCAAGTATACCACTGGCGTTTCACAGACTTTAATCGTATGTAAGCGGCAGTATTTTCACACGGCTCCATTCGAGAAAATGTCAAACCTACAGTGAAAAAAGAAGAAGACACCATGGCAAATAAGAAGACATCATCTACCCGCGGACGAAGAAAAGGAAAGAGGACTCCATCATCAGCCGTTGCCAAAGCTGACGAACAACGTGTTTGTGCACCTGCAGATGTAGTTGAACCACCTGATGATGATGCACTTATTCCTGAGACATCTTTAAATAATGCGCCACATGTTCCTGAGCTCTCAAAGTCCCCAACACAACCTTCCCAAGACTCCCATAATTCATCGGCTTTATCATCTGAAACCATTGATGACTTCACCTCCTTCCGGCGGGCTGATAGCAAGAAGAAAATTAGAGGAAGAGGGCGAAAAAAAACCCCTACAACCTCAGCGCCACAGAAGAGGAGCTGATGCTGGAGTTTATCATGGACAATCCTGTGCTGTGGAATGTGAAGATGACAGATTATAGGCGAAAAGACAAGAAAGAGAAGATCTGGGAAGAGCAAGCACATCAGATGAATAAGACTGTTGACATCCTCAAGGGCTGGTTCAGATCGTTGCGCGACACCAATATACGCCTTGACAAGAAGAAAAGCGGGGATAGTGCTCCAAACCTGACTAAGAGAGAACAGTGGATCCTCTCAAAGTTTGCCTTCCTGAAGACTGTCACTCGCCACCGACCGGAGCCCATGCAGAGTGTAATTTACCATATTACCTTAGCAACATGATAACCAAGTAATTTGAGACAATTTCCACATGATATTTTTGGTCTTTTTAGGTGAAGGAAACCATCCAGCTTCACAGAGGGGATCTCAATGCTGCCGAGAGCGCCTGCGCTGATATGCAGGATGTCTTAGATGAAGTCACTCCAATACCATCATCTACCGCTGGAAGGTCCCACAAGCGACCTCAGGACACAGAGAGTGACGTCCTTGAGACTCTACATAAGAGAGTTGCTGAGTCTGGCACCATCCTCAAAGACATCTACAAAGCCAAACAACAGCCCATTACAGCACGAAGTGTCTTTGCAAATTATGTTAAAGAGAGCCTTTTGACTATGTCCAAGTCCAAGTACAAGAAGGCAAGGTCCTCCATCAATAGGTTATTGTCTGAACTCATGGATGAGGACAGCGATGATGAATTTCCAAGTGCAATGGCGGCTCCATCTATCAAAGTAAACCAACAAGAGATCCCTTCTCAACCACCCCACGATTTGCACCCTACTACAAGTATTCCCTTCTGTTCATTTAGAGCATCAGCACCATCCTTCTCTGAGCATTATCAGAAACCTAGCAACATGCCTATAAACATGCCCCTGGCATCGTTGGTGAGAGGCTCTCAGCCCATGGAGTACATGCAGCAGTTTCACCAGCGGTTATTTCAGTATCCACATCATCACAAGACTACCACTAAACAACAGCAGATGATTCCTCCTTCCCAACAACTTGCTCAGCAACCGTTTCAGCAAACTCAGCAACAATGCACTCCTACCTCTGGCCCGGTTCGTGCCTCTTTGGCTTCTGCAACAGAGTTAATAACGGAAACGTCTAGCCCAACGCCGCACAGTCCAAGCTCAGCCTTTGAGCAAAGTCACCCGAACATTACTAGTCTTTCAGGATTTCGAGACATCATGGAATCTACTGATGATATTGGATTTCAGGATGAGGTTCTCAACCTTCAACCACCAACGTGAAAGAAGTATTGACTATAGACCACGGTGGCTGTATGGCTTCATCATTGTCTCTCGGAGGGCAAAGGCATCATCACCTACAAAGAAGTAGGGGACACTCTGATAGTCATTTGGTAAAGCATCGGGGATGGGGAATCCTATAGTTCCGTCTTCTGTTAATTCTTTGATTTCAGAGTTGTTGAAGATCTGTGCGTCCGATGATGACCCTTTACTACGGAGGTCTGCCCAGATGAATTTATAATCTGCGTCTACAAGGCCCATGAGTACAACAGAGTAGAATCCCTTGTAGTTGAAATATTGGGATCCACTTTTTGGTGGACACTTGCAGGTAATGTGCTTTCCATCTATAGCACCACATGTATGGGGGAAGTTCCACCTCTTGAGGAACTTATCAGATATGGCACGCCATCCCTCTGGCGTGGTAGGGCAGGTCATTACTTCGGACATGTATTCGTCGATGATGGCTTGGCAAACCTCTCTGACAATAAGTGACTGGGTGTTGTGGGGGACCCTCCATCCGTACTTCATGGCTGAATACGTGCTCCCAGAGGCAAGTTGTCGCAAAGTCAAAGAGAGCTTCAGCCCAGGCTCCAGGGGTCGCCTATACCAGGTATGTTTCTTGGTTATCCTGGGACTCACTCTTGCCAGAAGTTCATCAAACATCTCGGGGACCATCCCCATAAAGTTCTTAAAACATCGCGTATCCTCGCTTCGAAGTTCCACCAGAAGTTGGTCGTAAATGAACTGCCTTCGCCTTCCGATCCATGATCTCTTCCATACCTCACGTCTTTTTCTTTTTCCTTTTCTCCTTTTCCTTCTGTTATTTTCTATGTGACGAATCGTCAAAGCTATGAGATCAAACTGGTATTCAAGAACAGCTAACTCCATCCTTTATCCTCGAAGGTACAAGATGATATGAAGGCATCCAACATAAATATATATTATACACAATAAATGACATGCTATAATATTCCTTACATGCTATAATCATACCCTTCCTCGTAACGTTTGCAATACTCTGAGGATACGACGACCAAGCGTTAAATATACACTAATTGTACCGTAAATGCGTTACTTAATCGTCAGTCATACGCTAAGCCCTCTATAGACGTTAAACATACGTCACACATAAGTTAGACCTTCGTTACTGATGCGCTATCAACACGTTAGTTGTACGGCACACTTACTCATTTGCGTATGATTAGCGTACTCAACCTATTAGTACAGTACATTTAGCGTCCTTCTGCCGTATTCAGCGTATGACTAGCTTATCTTTACCGTATAAACCATACGTCCAAACACGCACAAGATTTTTAAGCATGCTTAAAAAAAATTTTCTTCCTCGGCGTATACCAGCGTATGTGACCGTGCTTGGAACGTGTATAACTTACGCACGACGTACCACCAGCATATTTCAGCGTATTCCGGCGTATGCGTGATATTTATCACACGGTGCCATACGCTAATGTGATAGAGCAGGGTTTGGCAGTGTCAATTACCGGAGAAGACCCGCACGAGAAGACCCAATTACACGAGAGAGCCCCGGCCATATATGGAGTGATACATAGAGGAGTGATATGCAATGCCGCCATTATTGAGTAAAAATCTGTTTTCTAATTCAACATGTCGGACCATTTTAAAGATATTTAAAAAGTGAGATCTATATGACAAGTTGGCTTAAGGAAGGATTGGGAGTTTAAGCATTGCCAATAGAAAATGTCTGAGACTACTAAGGGAAAATACAGCGCAGATCGTGTAAGTAAAAAATATATATTAAAACTATATAATTGTGAATATTTTATATGTGATTTATATAGATGTGAATATTATAAATGGACAACAATGTTCAACTAAATACTAGCATATATTTACAAACAAATTTTAAGTTGATATTTTCAAAGACAATGAAAATTTTCCTTGGGCTTTAGCAAAGCCCAATTGAAATGTTTCATAAGGACATAGGTGAAAGAAGATTGTGATAAATTTGTGGAGTTGTCAGTATATTATGTACACAATGACCATCAAAGGCTGTCTAAAGCCGGTTTTCCACTAGCGATATTATTCGTGCGAATCGACATTTTACATTTGTTCCAGAGCTCTTAACTGCAACCATCTGAAACAAATTGCTCAAATACAAAGGAATAAAGTTGCTTCGCAAAAATATTGCTTGTGGAAAACCGGCTTAACAGTGGCAGCTATCTGTGAAAATATCAGCCTGGTATTATGTTCAACAGATATTATGAAACATGATGTTTTCTTAAAGGTTTATGCCATATATAGTCCTGATGTAATTACTTCCAACTTTATTAATTAGCTTTCTTTAATGCACTCTTTACTGCAGAATCCTGGATATTCAAGAGTTGAGTAAAATTTTCTGAACTCGCCAAATTTACCATTTCCAATAAAGCCATACATTTCTTTAAATGACATGCCACATTGAAAACAAGTTTTTATTTCATACATTTTGTAATTCTCCTCTTTGAATTCTTTTGATGATGAATTCCATTCCCACACACTGTTTAACCAGGCGAAGTGAGTGGTGCGTCTAAAAGAGTCTCTTCCCACTATCTGTCTAAATCGCTTACAAACCAAGCTAATTGTTAAGAATCCTTTATCACCTTCATTTAATACTTCTTTAAAGACAGACTCTAAGCCATCATCTGATAGAGACAGAATATTTCTAACCTTTGCTTTAAGTGTGTATGTGGCATGGTCATCCTCATTGCAATGTTCAGTTTGTTTCCTAAAAGCAATTGGTACTTGTAAATGAATTGTCTTTTACTAGCTACCCAAAATTTAGAGTATGTGTTAGTGAGAATAGTTCTCAACAAATTCCATTATGTCAACAATAGATTTTAAGTGACATCCATTTAACTGACCTTATTGGTATTTGGACGTTTTTTTCAGGATTTGCTAGGCGAACTGCCATGTATTTCCTTAAACATAGTATGTCTTCCTTTAGGTAAAAAATGCAATATGATTTATCATAAATTTAAACATATTAAAATACAGCAGGGGTTTTTCTGTGGTTTAAATAATGTAGTTACCAGAAATTGTACTTCGATATAATTACCTGTGTAAAGTTCACATCCAAACCATTGACCATATAATCAGCTACCTAACAACAAAATATGCCGCTAGACATTACAGTAATTGAAGCAATGGGAAAAACATAACTATAATATATTAGATAATTTATATCAAATGTATTTTTCACTTACCATGCATACAAAAACCCCACATGAACTTCCATCAAGTTGTCTGGGCTCAAATTTTGTGGAGTTATCAAAATATTTAACATCTGGTGGACTCATTTCTGGGCATATTGCTTGAAGGTGTGCTATCAGTAATCTATAAGTTGAGTGAATGTTAAGTAATACATCCATGTCAAAACATTTTTTAACACCTAATTTATCTGTCCATTGAAGGCCTACCTAATTTTTTTGTGGAAGCTTCTCTCTTCTCTTAACATCGCCATAGCCATAGGGTCATAAAGAAATATGGTACATGAAGTAAAGTCCACTACCTATAAGGATTAATTTAGAACAACAGTCCAGAAGTGAAAAGTATTGCCTAAAACGTAAATTTATTGAGTTGAATTTATTTTTTTAGGAACCTGACTAAATAAAATATTTGTTTTCTAAATTTTTGAAACAGAGGCATATACTGTATGTATATTGTATTCTATCGCAGGTTCTACCGCAGTTCAAAAGGCACTTGTTTTTAAATGAAGTCTTTATGTTTACTACTTTCCATTACAAAATTATAAAAAACCCTGTTTTTTTTGCTATTATACTCGCATTTAAAAAATTACTTACCCCAAGACTCCAGTGATTATTGTCCAAATTTATTGGTATGAAGCACAGGTCTGCTTTAAAGAATGGGTTCTGAAAGATCCCACACAGAAATCAGCGTTGAGCAATATACAGTATAAAGCATTATTTTGAAAGAAACGAATTCATACCTTTTGAATCCATTTCGTTATGGAATGGACGCCATATTTACATAGTTTTGTGTACATGAAGCTGCTCATGACTGCTACACGATTGGTACCCTAGTAAAGATAAATATTTAGCTGATTAATATATATCACAAAATAAGGAATACCAAGTGGTCTTATTTAAATATAGAGGATATAGCACGGATTTTATGTTCGAGTAGCAAAAACAATCTCACGAGTGAGCGCACCGAACGAGTGAGAAATTGTTTTTGACACGAGTGCCATATCTTCAAGCGAACCGTATAATGTTCTGTTTATTATATTGATTTAAGCGAAAAATATTTTGAATGTTATTCCTCAATCCTCAGCGTGACATACGAAAAATACGCGCACCTGGTCCCTGATGTAGTGGCGTATGAGCGTTCCACTAGTGTTTTAGTTCCCAGTAAACTACTCTTGTTCATATAATAAACTGTTAAGAACACTATCTGCAGTTATTATTCTAGTTTCAGTACAGACAGTAGTTTACTTTCCCCTACCTGAGATTTTCTTTGTACGTCGATTAGAAAATTGTTTATTATCTAAATTTCAATAGAAAAATACATGTTTATTCATGATGTGAGTTACTGTAACTATGTGGGTTCTCGGAATACTATATCAATTACACCAGTGATAACCTTATCATTTAGCCATCCTTCGTTATACGTTTCTCCATGTTTGGTTGCGTATTGTTCAAGCAATGTTTTTTCATAGTCGGAAGGCGCTTGGTCAAGCAGCTTGATGTCGTAATACATTAACGGCGTTCCGTTGATGTGTGATACAATGTGATGTAGCTGATGTCCCTTGCGCAAGTCCCAATACCTGTCAACCTACGTCAAGGAATGAATGGATTTTATACACTGTTTATACTAAAACGTTTAGAGCGTTGGTAAATCGAACAACGATCATGCAGGATATGGTTTCAACAAAACCTTTTCTGTGAGTGTACTGTCCTGTACACATTCAGGTGGACTCGGAGGTGTCGTTACTTCCATTTTATCCTTTATCTGGTCTAAAACATATTTTGAGTAATAAGATAAATTATCTATTGTTTTATCCATTGATTAAGAATTTATTACCGTTTTTCGGTCTTAACAATGCGTTATATATCAAGAAGTAACGTTTCTTTACCGATTAAAGTAATCGTACTGTATAGTATCGTTAGTTATATAATAGGTTCGAGATCAGATGTCCATTTAGAATTTTATTTATAAGATATATAATATATATAACGGCTCAAGCCAAGACGCGCCTACGGGGATCAAATCGCCAACAAAAAGTTTAAAATATAAAAATATGCACCTTGGCTCTGATATCGATGTACTTTCATCAGTCATAATTTGAACCTCAAAATGTTCTAAATAAAAAACACATTCCTATCTTTTTAAATTTGGATTAAAATGAAGACTGCTAACATTCAGGAGCGTAACCAGTAAAGGTTGATTATAGGCTTACACCACGCTTAAAGGATAATAATTAATAAAAATCCAATATGGCTGTGACAGTTAGGTAAACGTTTGTCGGAATGGTCTGTCGTATGTTTATATATAGTTGATCTTACACTTATACTTTTAGGTTTTTTCAAAACGTATTTATAGCAAACCTTCTGTGCTGTAAAACAGCATATATACGTCTCCGTTGAAGATGGTTTCGCACAACTGTTGTGGCTTGACCAGTTTGTCGTCGATTAGAAACCACCTTTTATTTCGTAAAACCGTACAGTTGAAATGACCCTCTTTTGCATCAATTCCATAGTGTGTCTATATGAGACATTTTTAAATGTTAGACAATTAAAATTGAGCACGTCAACGCGAAGCCCGTACAAAAGAAATCAAGCCCGCTTTTCAAATCGTTTGAATATACATTTATACTTACTATAAAAGCTGAAAGTTTGTATGTATGTCTTCGTCCCAACAAGTCGTGAACGCCAATTAATTCCTGTAACTTAAGGCGAACATGCTGTTTTTCCCCATTCTTTGTTACTGGGAGGATGTTGCAAATTAGACTCGATGGTAGTTTCATTGGCTGTCGCAATTCTACGATATCTTTCTCTTTTTCTTCACAGACACTATAATTAATCAACATGTCTCAATAGTCTATCGTATATACTAAAGCATAATCACAATGTATATTATACTAACGACGAAATGCTATACTATATATCCGTACCAAAATGAAGATTTAAGATCCTTATCTTCCAGCTCGAAGTTGTTTAGCAGCATATTTTCCACCGTTTGAAGACATTTTTCTCTACTTGGCAGGTTTAAAACTGTGAAGGCAACATCCTGGTGCTCGTTATGTTTTCCACAGCTTCGGCATACTAACTGCACCCTTTCAACTCCACGACAGGCACTGATTTTTTAATGGAATGGATGTTTTATATTGATGCCATGCGATATCAATAGATCGGAACATTTATAATTGAGTCAAGCAACAGATAGGTATTATACTAAATTAATTGTATATAATATTGTTGCTATATCACTTTTGTCTTTTTGAATAATTTATAGGGTGAGTATAAAAAACTGATGCTCATAATAATTTTCCTAATTGAAGAATTTCCAACAGGCGCAGTTGATAACAGTTTTATCATCTCGAACAATTAGAATACATTTTAACTTCCAGCGCCAACAAGATTTCTCTTTTAGATTCACGATTAATGATTCGCCAAATATGCGGCAAATTTGTATTTGAACAGTGATCAGTTTTTTATTCACCCTGTATGTATACAGATAGAAGTCTGTTCAACGACATGTTAATTACTTTATACATTACCTCTGCAGTGCTTCATCGCCTACAGACGAAGTGTAGCGTAAAAGACTATAAAGAAAATCGCCTGGATCATCGGGATCGTTCGAATTCACGAGTTTAGACGCAAGGCTCTCCAATTTCTGGGATACATCTTCTTGTCTAACTTCGATGTATGTTCGGGCTAAGTAAAACAACAACCACGAAAGGTCGCTTCCGCTGGGGGATTTCACTGGAATACACGATGCCAGACATTGCAATAAGCTGTTTACAAAGCAACGATTTTTCTTCGGTGGATTTTCTAGTCCCTTCAAAAGAAAGAGTGCAACAGTGGGTATAGTACTGACCTCTTTTATAGTTATAGCTACATGATTAGAGAAAATGACAATTTTCGGATTACATACAATTATATGAATTTAATAAATTTTACTAACGGTACTTAATGAAGAAATTAAGCAACTTATATATAGTGATAAATATGCATGCACAATTATAAATAAAAGATCCTTACTCGAGGTATAAACCGAACGTCAGGTTCTTCCGTCAATTCTTCCCTTTCCCAAGGGTCGTCAACTCTCGCTTCATTGACATTGCCAGTAGGACTGCTAACCGTATTCTCGTCACTTGAATGTGTCCCAAAAGCAGCATCTGCAGGGAAATAAGGCAGTGTATCACACCCCTCTTTTGTAATATAAATGTGAATAGGTATATATGCGTAGGCCTAATACAATAATGCTCTACCTATATTTCCAGCGATAATGATCCTTCCTAATGAATCAACAGTCGTATGTGCTACTAATCCATGCTTTTGTAGGGCCTGCTCTTGACGACCGATCTCCTCGTTGTTTTTTTTCTTGTTTCGCAGATGAACAAGAAGTCGTTTCATGAATACGTGTGTAGCCGGTTGCATCATGTTGAGGAAATAGTTGTCTTTGTTCATTACACTGTGAAGTTGTTCGTGCGACTCGCTGTTTACATTTGCGTGGAGCTGCGGGCATATCACTAATCGTCGAAGCACATCGTCTGGGTTGTTGGAATTTTTCTCGTGGAATCTGTCATACATGCTGTAACGCTCTTTCGTTCATGTCATTGGATGTGTGTCATCAGTCGTTAAACCAGCGTTGGCATTGGTAAGTGCTGAACATGTCCACCATGGAAAGTGTTTTTTCAGTTTGCCATCTGTCGCCAGTCGGATATTTTCGTCCGATGAAGGAAAGGGTTTTCCTTCGTTAGGATTGAAAAAACCTGGCTCAAGTCGATTCATCAGGTGGGCAAGTCTTTGTGGGATGTCAGATACGTTGAATGTAGGTGGATACTTAAAAGATCGAAGAAGGTCTGAATAATCCCGCGGTCCCTCGCTTCTGAGGACGAACTTGATCGCATAAATTCTGTTGTGCGGACAAGAGCCTGACGCCCATCCACCTAAAAAGATAACAAGCAGGAAAATCATACAAATCAGTCAAATCGTCGCTTTACAATTCTGCATGTAAACGTATAAAACTAGTCATTAAAACACTTACCCGACGCTCCCCATATCTTTGTAAATATCTTTTTGTAGTGTGTTGGTACATTCAACTTCTTTCTCAGGAATGATATAACGTCGTTTTTGGGTAGATGTGAACTGCCTTTCGCTCCCAGCTGACCACACAACCTCTGCAACACATGGACCTATTATATAGAAAAAAACATTGACGTTGATATAGCAACATTAATTTCATGCACGGGTTCAACATTCATGCATGTCAAAAAGCTTTTGCAAAATTAGAAAAATGCAAATATTATCGTGTGAAGTGTTTGTTATGTGAGACATTTGTTGAGAATCGTATTTTTAATTCAAATAATCATTGTGGGGACAGTTATGACAGGTTTAGCCAATTTTAAGATTGCATCCGCGATAACTGAACCTGAGACTTCGTTAATGCATGCAAGCATGCTTGGTTTAGAGATTTGTATGAACTCATGTTTTTTAATCTATACCTGCGCAAAATTCATCATGTCCAGTAGATCCTCTTCAGAATATGTTGTTAAATTCATATCCTCAAGCACCTGGTCACTTTCTGGGATTCTATGACACTTTCTGTACTCCGTGTTATATGCACTGTCCCCTTTTCTTGTGTGCGGACCAATCCATGGAGCCCAGAACTGGTAGTTGGCCTTCACTTGAAATGAGGAACTCTTGTTCGCTATATTTTGGGTGTGAATTAAAGTTTTAAATTAGTATAAAAGTTTTATTAGGTTTTAGCCAGGCGAAGTTGACAAATTTAGTATATTTTTGTATTACGTGCGGATATAGATGTAACTAGGTCCATATATACTTACCGTTTACACCTCTTGCTAAATGCATCACTTCAACACTTTTCCAGAACTCTCTAATGCTTACACGGTCTGAGTCGTCACATTCAGGTGGAATATCTAGATCGCTAACTATTTTTTGATAAAAAATATATAACGTATTTAGGCCTTAATATATGTATGTATATATAGAGAACAAGACGGTGCACTTACGTGCGATTGAGAAACACCCTTTCTTGCAGAGATCCCAGTTTAGATGTGGAGGGTGATTTCCGCAGAGCACACATGTAAAATCGTATATGTGTTCAGTAAGAGCTTCGAAGTGATAGTAAGCATTTCGCACAACGGTTTGATTAAGTTTCACTCCGGCAGTGCTACCAACTGCTGATGCGACTCTTCCTAATGCTGTATGCTCCTGCAATAATTTAAATATAACTTTATCAGTCGAGTCCTGCAGGTGCAGGAGTCACTAATTTTTGGCTTCTCTACCAGCTTACCTCGACAAATGCTCGTAACAGCAACAGGAAGCTTAGACTAAAGCAATGGTAATCGTCAAAGTTATGAAGCCCATCCGTATACTCCTGATATCGGTATATCAGTCCACATTGTGGACATGATTTGTAACATAGTTCAACATCTGAAAAATATAACATGTTTTGTTTATTTTTGCATTTTGAAAGAAATTCCGTAACCATGAAATAATACCCTTTTCAATTTGAACGCCATGTTAACGTAGCTGACTGCATAATTATAAATATTGAGCGTGATGTGTTATCGAAAGCTCTGGGTGCATTAGCACAAACTTACCTTCAATAACTTTGGTTAAAGTAAATATCTTTCCTTTCCGTGTAATCAATTTCTCTTTGCTAAGGGCAATACCTTCGCAATTGCAGCACGTTTCTTCTATTGGTACCAGAACACGTGGAAAGGACAGAACATCAGCATCATGTGTCAATGATCGTGGTAGAGATGGCGGAATTTTCTTCGCTGAATATATGTATTCTACCATTCTGGTTAGCTGTAAATCGTTTGGGGGTACTCTCCAACGTTTACAAAAAGAGTCTCTTCTTCGGCTGGATTATCTACCGATTCACTTTCACTGACATCGTTTCCGTAGTCGTTTATTGCCGCGGTTTCTGATTCTTGTGGTGTACTGTCATTGGACAAATCATCTGGTCTCACCTGATATAGATACCACTTTCCGATAGCTTTATGGACGCAGGTGACCTTCAAACGGCAGCAACCGCAAGACCATTTATTTAAAGTAATATCGAACGACACTACCACTCTTTTAAATCGGGAATAATGGTGTACTTCTCCTACATATACTGAGAAGTGGCGAAATCTGTTTGAAGTTTCGTTTTTGTTGCAAAACTCGACAATCAGCGGCGCGCTTGCACTTTCTGCTACCATTTGTGCTTGAAGGCATTCTTGTTCTCTGCTTTGTTTAAGCCACTTCATTTTAACAATTAGTTCTTCGAGTGCTCTTCGTGTAATTTTAGGTGGCCCTTTGAATGGTTCCGAAACGTACGGCACGCTTTTCAAATGACAGCAAGTAAAATTTGGATTCCCGCTTCTTCTCGCTGTTTTAGAAACCTCCCTACATTCGTCTAATTCGCACGAGAATCCACCTTCGCTTCCAAAGCTGTGAAGAACATGAATAGGATGACTAGTGCCACTAAATGAGCGTCTTACCAAATATAGTCCCTTGCGCGAATCAACGCAAACTCCGTAAAGATGTCTGTTAGCATTTATGTAATCGGGTGTGACATGAATGTATTTTATGTGGTTCCGAAGTGATTTTTTGGATGAAAAACATTTCAAACACGACTCGCACTCTAAAGTACCTTGCTGGTTATTAATGTCGCTTGAACTCGTGCGCGATTCACGATCCTGTAAGTCAGATGTTTGCGACTGTCCCGTAAGTGATTCGTCGCGAGCAAGAGTTTGCCTCTTGTGGGAATACAAATGATTAGTAAACGAGTCAGTTCGCTCGAAAATTCTATCACAGGAGCAACAGTGAAAATGCGAAACATTGTTAACCATGCTTCCGTCTGAGGAAATGCATTCAAGCCGACATCTTAAAATGACAAATTCTAAAATAGGTAAAAGAAAACATGATCTTGAAACAGTCCATTCTAAAATTAACCAGAACTTAAAAGTATGAGCTACATATTTATAGCCAAGTGCATTATGAAGTGACGTCCTCAATGACTTAAAATTTGTTATGATTAGGCGAAGTAAAAAATTCATTAACTTCCATGCAAAAACATTTCGGCCTTCGTTGTATCAAGTAATTGCACGAACAACTCTTGCATGCATGCATGGAATGAACTATATGTATGTAGTCTATACTGATAATTATCCTGAGACGATGGTCATTCCACATCCTTTTGCTGCCCGTGTAAACTGTAATCTATATGACTTGGTAAAAATGACTATACATACAGCTTACCGTCAAAAGAGATTCTTGTTTTCCAGTGAATAGCATGAAAATGCATGTTTAAGCAACTTGCATCGTTTCAATCCTTTGATTTTCGTTGGAGTACATAGTGGGCAATGAAACAGTTTACCTCCGCACTCACAGCTTTCTGAAGTACATCGCTGAAATATATCTCCTGGAACTTCCGTTATGCTGCTTCTCCATACGGATGATATAGAATTCATTGCCATTGACAAGTAAAACCTCGCTAAAACACAATTGGTGAAAAAGTAAAATAATTTGACACATGTGTTGCAGGTAATTTATGTCTTGTATATTATCACTTCGTTCAGTGCTTATTCATATTAGCTAATAAAGTAACCAAATAAAATACTTACATTTGTGAGACAAGTTGCTGTTTTTTCTACCTTGTTCTTCTATAATGGTTTCCGTTTAGCAACTGCATGTTCATGCATACAATGTTGCTTTAAACCAGCATCGAATTATTGTGCTTAGCTTAGCAGTTCTTAAATTCTCCTCTTATATAACCAGGTCGGGGAGTGGTTTTTTATCCCACGAAGTAAACTTCCTGTTGATACTGATAACTTAATTCCTGTTGTGCTCGACCTGCTAGACTTAGACATCACTTGAAAATTTAAAAATGTAAATATAGACTAACTATATATAATCTATACGTATCTACTTAAAATAAATCATAGGGGCTTGAGCACGCCACATAAAATGCCAAGATATTTTTTTTCTTTTAAATTTATACAGTCAGACACCGGCGCGAAGTGAGGCACGGCTCTTTGTCTATTATACATATAAGTTTAAAATTTTAATGATTTTAGTCTAATTTTTCTCAAAAAACAACCGTGCAGACATGGTATATTCTCTATTCTGACCCCTGTAACTGATCCCAGCCTGGCATAACATGCAGTGTCGTGAAAATGTGTCAAATGTCATGCATGTTCGTCTGTAGAGTTATGGTGTATTATTATATTCATATATATTCATTTATGTGGAAATATAGTAAATTTGTAAACAGGGGAAAATATGCGCGCAAGCACATACCCATGCACGTTCAATCACGAAGAGGAAACATCCCATCCCCCTCCCTGCTATAAATTACTAAAGTGAATACGGTAGTTATTAGTGTTATAAAATTAGTTACTAGACCAAAACAATCAAGCAATAGAGGGAAGTGGTTACACCCTTGCACATAGGTATATGAGGCTGGCAAATTTCCCACCTGTTATAAGAAACATGGTGAAACCACAGCGCGTCAATGAACTGTAATAAATAACTGGAACGCTGCCTTATGATTGTTTTCGTTAAGCCAGAATTTGCGGGACTTTACCTCCAGACACGCGTGCATATATCACTTAAACCCACCGTATCCACACACTTTTATCATGAAATTGATCAAAATCACACGACAGTGACTCGTTCGCCACATACTCTTCTGCCTGAGAAGAGAGAGAATTGATGAAAAGCTTGGGCCGGTTGATTTAAAGAATATAATTGGATGAAAGACGCAATTCCTGCAGGGGCTATTTTAAAGTGAACAATGTGCAAAACAGTAGAGGTGTATTGAAGAAGGATCATCTCCGAGTTCGCAATGTTTACCTCTTTTACAATTTTCAGCCTGCTGGAAGAGAGCCCCTTGTAGTTAAAATTGCTGCTTTCATATGCACTACCTATTGAATATTGACATAACGATAGGTACTTTCATTTTGTGAAATTCCACATTTTCCAATTTTTGCCACACCTATACTTACAATATCGGATACATGACTGCGAAAATTCTATGAAAATTTCCTTTCTCAGTGCAAGTTAAAAACACACAGTTTACTTAGACGGGTACAAGCCATTTCGCAATATTCCTCGTTTTAAGGAAAATCATCACAGGCTATAATATTAAATTATTACAAGGGTTTTGAAGGGTCTTAATTTCGAATGGAATTATACACACTTTAAATTAGATTAACATTAAATTAATACTATCAATATTATTAATGATAGCTGTATATTATTATCGAACGAGTGCATTCCAAATGATTCCACCAGTTAGTGACATTTATTTCTAATCACAAGTGGTTTTTAGTCTACTTAATATACCGGCATGCGTCCAAATCCAATTTAGTAGCTATAATATGCAGAAAATCCTGTCAATGCATGAAATATTGTAGCATGGCAGTAACAACAGTTGTCCCACAAACTGAGCAAAATTTTCTTGTTTCATCAAAATATAATGATCTGACAGTTTGTTTCTAGTTGGAAATTTGTCTTTTCTTAATCTCCGAGGGTACAACCACATTTTTCAATATTGGTTACTTTCTCGTTATGTGCGTATTGTACTTCCACCCAACCAACCACAATAGTATTTTTATTTTGCTTAAAATTCGTACGGTAGAACAACCAGTAAGTCATACTATACTTTTATCATGTCTCTGCGAACGGGTATTCTAATAACTGTATTACGTAATAAGAAAGATCATACCTAATTGCTCCTTTCCAACAATCGAAACTAATTAACTGGATGAAAACACAAGAAGAGCTTGCGAATTGATCGTTAACAATGAATGAAAAATTCCCTTCGTATTTTCTAAAATACGGTGGGAAATATGAAAATATAGCTAGTTTAAAGATATTAAGTCTGATATCTAACAGTTCTCTTGCTTCAGTTGCTTTTAATCTGCTTTTAATGAAAATTCTGGAGATTTTCAGTAGACCCAGCTTGATAGGTAGTCACTACCTATTTCAATTAATATATGAAAATAATATAACTTAGCATCAAATGTGGTATAACAACTGCCTAAAATAGACAAAACACTTCTTGACGTTTCGACCTGAGGGCCTTCGTCAGGACTCAGGAGAGTTAGTAGGAATGAAAGCCCCTTATGAATGAAAAAAATAAAAAAATAAAAAGATAAATTTTTATGTATATCTATCACACATAAAAATGAGATAATGTTATTTCAAAATTCAAACGACGTGTTAAGTTATGAAGGGGACTACTTACTCACTTAACAGATCGGAGAACGATGATTTCCTTAGAATGAGGAATGTCAAAAAAAGCATGTAGCAATCCAAGTTAATTGCACATTTTTTATTAGTAGTCTGTAAGGAAGTTTTTACGAGGAAAATTTGTTGAATATTGGTAATTTAGGTAATTAGTTCATTGACGACATTAAATTAAGTAGAGAGACATTCCTTCCCAAAGACAATCATTTAGTTACAGGTAAATCTAGAGCCTTAGAAGTTGTGTAGCGAGAGTTGATAGGGATACAGAGTGTGAAATTACTATATAATCAAAAGAAAACAAAAATTGTGAAGTGAATTGTGAATAGCGTTGCGATCACTCTACATTTCCAACATATTAACAAAAATATATAAAATTACAATGCTTATTTTATATTATATTTTGATATAGGTAATTGGAACCATATTTTAGTTCTCATTGTTTAATTTGTGATAAATTGTATAAAAGGTTAGGTTTTTGTGGAGAAAAAAAGGGGAAAGTCATGAGTAACTTATGTAAAAATTTTTTGTAAATTAGGGGCGTAACCAATAAACAGAGGGGGTAGTTAGTAGGTTGTTGGACAACCACTAACCATGCGGTTCGTATGAAAATGAAAGGGTTTTATTCGTGTGTGATGAAACTCTTTAACCCTATTTATACCGGGGGTTTGCACGGGGGTGCGTGCAAACAAGTGATTCCATTCGCTTGCCCTTTTATGACTTTTAATATTTTTCCTCTACCATATCACAAGTGTGAAAATTTTGTTTGAAAAGTTCAAAGTTATCGGGGCGTTTGACGACATTTGTCAAACAAGGTGTCGAGCCGAAAATGGGGAAAATGGGGGTTGGTGATTTATGAAAAAGAAAAATGGTAGTATTTATGGACATCAGAGGTATGCCATAACATTAAACTATGTCGTTTGAATTTAAAAAAACAAAAAATAACACATCCAAAATGTTTAATTTTGTATCTTCATAGAAAAGAACCAAAATCATAGAATATTTAGAGATTTTTGCCATTTTTCGATAGGTGGTCGTATCGAATGGGGCCAAAACGCAGCATTTTGGATGTGAATTCAACTTTTTTGTTATTTTAGGTTAAAGAGAGATAAAACTTCCTAAAAATATAACTAAAAGGATAATTTCAGGTAATCGACAGAATATCTGAGGGGTGTGCCCTATCAGCAAACCCCCGGTCATATCAACATCAAAAACCCCGGTACAAATAGGGTTAAGAAACTATGTAGGTACGTGTGTAGTAATAGGTTGTGTATTATTGTTGGCGATGTTTGAAATCAAAGGTATGCAAGGAGGTAGTTACAAAAGGATAACAGAAGACAAGATAGTCGAGCGTGCGAATCAGTGATCCTTCAACCCGTGTGTTGAGCCTTTAGGCTGGAAATTTAGGACGAGAAACTTATCTGTGACCGAATTCACATCAGACGAGTTTCCAGGCTCTAATATGAATTATGAATAGGCCCCGAACTAGGGCATGAGTAGTTGAATCAGGCCTTTATATAGGCGCTGTTTATATTATCTCGGATATCCAGGTAAATTTGTGTTCATAATCAGTTGTAGCAGCTGAAACGCAAGTGTTTATATTAGGAAGTTTTAAACTCGTCTCGGCTGGTTGGGTCAACGTGGGTGTGACACGCTGTTTACGAAAAAGAGTAACCCTAGTGGTAGGGAGAACCATGTAGCCTTATCGGCCACCGTATTACACTGTCTCGGCCTCCAGGGTTAACTTTTCCTGCCGGTGCGTGCGCAATAGCGAATAGAGCATTGATTAAGAAGACACTATCGCTTGCTATTTGTTTGCAATTTTATCATATAAAGGGTTGGCTTGGTATAGTTGTCTTGGGAGTATGATGTCCCCGATACACGCGATCAGATAAACAGCGCCCTAGTCTTTGACTTGTAAAGCAGTATTTCAGATAGGTAGACCGTAGACACTGAGAGCCATGCGAAGGTTTGCAGGTATTGTTCAGTTTAGGCCACTAAATAAATACTTCTATGATGAGAGAACATGCATTGGAAGTATATGCGACTATCCTGATACGGTTCCAATAAAATAGTAATAGCAATAATAAAATGCCAACATCAACTAAGTCTAAGATGTCTACAAGACGACGACACAAGACAATAATAAAACGCATTCTGTTGGATTACTAACGCGGTAATATTCACATTGACGTTTATATTAGCTAAAATTAAACAGAGCATCTTAGTCCTATTTCAACTTTCTAACTCCAGTTATTAAACGTGCCAAACATCTTTGGTCTATAATTGTAAACGAACTAACACGGCTGTTTGTCGCGTCCGATAACCGCATTACCGCAGGAGAAACGCAAGTGACAAATAAGGCTATATACACCATATATGGCAGGGGCTCTCTCGTGTAATTGGGGTCTTTTTATGAGGGGTCAGCACTGCCAAGTATAGTAGAATGTGATACGCAACAGTGTGACAGGGCCTTTAAGTAATCCACTTTAATTGTTTTTGTTCTCAAAGCACAAAAGAGTACAACTCCTTTGGAATTTTGAATATATAGTTTCTAATTGTATTCTAGTTATACTCTCAAGTGGGATAAAACAGAATTAATTGCGTGAAAATTTGGGACACTTTAAAATGCACATACATGCTATTTCCGTTGAAAAGTCAATGGCAGGGCAAGTCAAATTGCTGACACATTGTGTAAAGCTAGGCTCATGCCTGTCTGAGTTATTATTGTTTTTATCTGTTGAATATTCATCCATAAATTATTTTCAAAATTATCGAGTTAGTGTGATGCTGACAACACCCACAACACTCTGCTTTTCGGAGTGTGTTGCAAATGTTAAAAATTCTTCACCATAATAACGGCTGGTTTTCATTTAGTCGTAATTGTGAACGATGTGATATAGTCCACATAGAAATTTTCCTTTATTATCTGTATGTAAACTGCGTTGTTGACTGCATACAGTTAGCAATATTTTGCATCAACAATACATTTTCACCTTTGAGAAATAGTTCGAAGGTAAATTTGTTTTTATTTCTGTATTCAAATCAGTTGACTGCGCACACATAGAAATATTCTATCACATCAACCACCTTGACATGTTCACGACACTCATGACTAAATGGAAACCAGGCGTTTAGGAATAATAAACTCTTATGTTCTTTTAAAAAAGAATCGAGGTTTCGTTTATTTTCATACACACTGTTTAATGGCTGAATGCTTTTTAGTTTGCTCATGGATCAAAATGCTACGCGCCGCGCCACCTTGTCAAGAAAGTAATCAACACTAACCTGTATGTCATTAAATGATTTTTTGAGATCCAGTACTGGAATTGAAAGATGCTTCGCAGTAAGTGTATATTCAATTCTGTTTACCAAGTTTGGAGGGAGAAAGAGGGCAACCACTTTCATTTTGGTCAAAATTTCACAAAATTTGAGAAGATTTCTTTGAACGCTTCTCGTCACCTCCACATAACTTACACTGAGCCTGAGGTTTATATTGATTGATTTATTATCCCTCAGTTGATCTGTCAAGTCTTCTCCAATATTTGAACCGTTATTTACATAAAACATCCAAAGCCCATCCTCTTTGAATATTCCCGTTACGACAACAATTTGACAGGAAAAGATAAGCAGAAGACTGCAATGGGCTGACAAGTAATCCATTTTACACGAGAACTATATATTATAGCCGACACAGGTGGCTAATTGAAGTTGCAACCATTCAATACTCTCTTGCTTTTTAGTTCACAAATCTTTCATCTTATATATCAACGTATGGTAGCTACTTAAATATAGTTGTAGAAATATGTAATATATACTACGATAAGACGTTGATAAGTGATTCAAAAAAGGTCAGACCTTGCATGCAGTGAACGATATGATATATGGCAAATAATTATATTAAAGCACATGTGGTTTAGTGTCGTTATCAATGACATTTTTAATTTTGGTATTCAGCTGTTCTCATATAAGAAATTCATAAATGATTCATGTACAATTTCGCGTGAAAATAAGCAATATATCATTCTTATATATAACTGAGAATATAAGCTCCTGTTTCACTTTAGCTGAATAAATGTCAAATTGTTTTATTTACAACTGGACTGGAGGGTGACGTTTGGTCTGGGGAGATCATGCAGGAATGACCTACTTGATTTTGTACTATGATTATGGTGAGTCTAATAGTGCAGGACTATTTCAATTCTGATGTTAACATTTAGTGCATCCTTATATTCGTTATTCCAATCACAAGACTTCATTCAGCGTAAATCCGACCGTGGGTCGGCTTTAGTTGGGGGTATAGGACATTGTTTCAGTGCTTGTAATATTCCTATACGTGAATTCTTTAATTGCATAGCCATAAGAATAAGTTTTAGAAATAGTAAGTAAAGTTTCGTTTGAATGACAAGTCTGTAAAGGGTACGAATAGCAGGCAGATTAACTTAAAATACAAATGAATGTATTTAAAGTACAGGGTCAGGGACAAGCCAAGATTTACGTTCTCCTTAATTCACTTTCGATTGCATGGCAGTGGCAGGAATACTCCACGACGACGTTATATTTCTTTAAATTTATTTCAGCGAATTTTGCATTAATTCAATAACATCTGTTAAACATTTCGCCAACGGAAAAACAGAACTGAACCACAAAAAAGAACAAACCTGCATGCATGACTGGTTCAAACGGCGCAATAATCTCATAGGCGGCAGACCGCATATAGAGACAGTGTCGAACAGCTATTGTTGCAGTTGATGCATTTTGGAAGAATAAAGTTTGAAACAGGCTGATAAATCCATCATATTGTACGGTTTTCATATCTCCACTCTAGTGCTGAAGTATCCGTGAGACCGTGATTATAGGCTTAAGACGTTTAGTATTCAGTATTCTTACGTTATCTCGTTTAGACTGATCAGTCTTAGCTGGACATATTGTACCGTAATCGCTGAGCTCAATTATGATATGATATACATGCAAGTAATCGTCTCCGTTGAACGTAACATTTTGGCATATTCATATAATTTATACCTATATATATGTATATATATATATATATAATATAATATATATATATAATATATAATATATATTATTAGTACTCCCTTTGAAAATTTATTTTTAGGAAAATGTTCATTAAACATTGCATAAAAAATATATCACAGTATATAAAAAATGGGTGTGAAATAGCAATTTACACGCCGCTAAATGGTGGCAATTTTATTCAGTATAATGATGCAGCGTATATAGTGCAGGCAATTGCAAGATGCATGATTATAATTGGCTATTCTAAAACATGCAGTAGGAAAACTGTTTTTTTCCATATAGCTGAATTTTTTAAACGAACGATATTTTTTGTTTGATTTTCTTAAGAAAATCAACGGTGAGAATTGAAGCGGATTCCCTGAGCAGTATAGGGGTAAAAAAATAAAGGCAAATTCCACAAATGAATTTGGCAAAAATCCCAATCTCTGCATGTTGCTATGATACTGCCTCCTGCGACCGCTAAAAACAAAGTCGAAGAGGAAGCAATTAATAAAAGACGAATGGACAAATGCATCTGCTTTCATGTCTAGTTTACTTAGATGTAATTGACTAAAAGCCCCGATTCACTGGGACGTACAAAGAGCGCCCCAATACTTTTTGCTTCAGGAATACCCAGTTTGCATTTTTGTATCGCTCATTGTCTATCACTGGCTTTCGAGATATTTTACTTTCGGTAAAGTTAAAACAGAACCTGTTTCTGTTAGTCACATAATTTATGGCTAACACACTTATATTACATTCGGCTAATGGAGAATACTTCATTAATATCCATAAAATCATCTCATTGTGATTTATTAGAAATAGATCAATTAACGTCCTTTCGTTTGGTGACAATATATTTTTTCTGTTTCAGTCAAACCGAGCAAGGGGGCGAAGTCAAAGCAGGATGTCAAATGATAATTCATTATTCACATATTAAGAAATTTGAAGCGACAAAAAGACCTGTTATATTCTTCATAATACCTCCCACAACGAATGAATGATGAAGCCGCATCTTTTTTTTTCCTTTGCATTTGCTTGTATAGCGCAAGCCAAGTCTATGTTTTCCAACAAAATTCAAGTAGTTATTATTGGACAAGATTATTCGCTAAAGAATAACAGTTTTTCTGAGTTTGTTCACGCAAAAAACGTCAGCGATGGCTTAAGTTTTAATTTTACAATCATGAACGTTCTCGGGGCGTCGTATAAAGAAACGACGGACGAGTTTTGCAGAAATTTGAAGAACACTGGAGTTTCTGCGATTGTTTCGCTGAACATTTCGTCACATCCTAAATATATTGATATTTACGCAAGTTACATAGGAATTCCTGTGATAAAGTTATTCAACAATCCATTTAAACAAGATGTTGTCAGGCAGGTATGTGGACAAAACATACCATATAGTTTGAAAAGCATTTCAGGGTTGAAGAATGAGAATAGGCACAGTTCGTAATACTGATCTCTGCATAAGTCTAATGGTTCCAAAAAAAACATTGACCGCGCGAATTACATTGAAAAGGACACGATGATTAATTTAATTAAACATTAATATAGGCATCCATTGATGATGATGATAAATTATCAACTGCTTCCCGTGTGTTTATATAGGATCGAAACACCCAACTTTACCTGGACTCAGATTCTGTTCTGCGATATGTGGTTATCACAAAACTTTTAAAGAAATACAGCAGAAACGATCGAGTCGTTGTGATTTCAAATGAAAACCAATCAACGTGGGCGAAGAAGCTAGTTGCTGGGATTCGGAAAACCAGGAATTCAGTGAACGATGTTATTTTAAATCTTACTATAACTAAAAACGAGGAGAATTATTTCAGGACTTTAAGAACTATTCATTCTTTGAATGTAAAAGCTGTTGTCCTCTTGATGAAGAAAATCTCGCGTTGGATTTTATGGATGTCGCACAACAAGTTGGATTTGTAGACATTGATTGCATATGGATTGTAGAGCACTCTCTTCATGGAAGAAAACGAATACCGCTTTTGGGAAAACTTCTTGGAGTAAGATTGCCCCGAGAATCCTTCAGCAATGATAGATCACAATGGCAGCGCGAGGCGTTGTTCAATGATTCTATCAAAATTCTGAGTAAGGCGTTTCAAAATGTAAGCAATGCAGAGTTTGAAATCACATCACCAAGCAATTCGTGTACTTCAACGAGCCATTGGCTGCTAGGAACATCGTTGTACAGGTAAAGTTTTTATGTTGAAGTTACGGTTGCCTGAGCTATAGCATTTTAATTGCCTGTTGGCAGTTTTGTCAAACAATGGGCATTCATCCTATTATTATATCTTAAAAGACTGAAATAGGTCGCGCTAAATTTATTTCTCCCGAGGCCTGCAAATGATTGGTCACTTGGCGTTGTTTATCCCTTCATGTCTATCAGCATTCCCTTTTCTGTTTTCTTTTTATGAACTTTATATTATATGTCATGGAATATTTTGCTTTTTTAGGTTTATGAAACTTGTTCGCATTGATGGCGACACTGGTTGGATAGAATTTGATGGTCAAGGTTACCGAACTAATGTGGAATATGAAATCGATTACTTTCTTAAAAATGAAAATGGAACAACCATCAGAATGATTTTAGGCCAATATCATAACAACAAACTAGATATATACCATGAAGGCTGGCCACCTGCAGAGAAAAAACTTGATATACTGGAAACTAAAATTGCAGAAAACTTGCCATTGAGGATCACAGTTCAGTTGCAAGAACCGTACGTTATGATACAAGAGAACTCCGCTCATAACTCCTCGGATGATACGTGTGCATTAGGTTTACCTTGTGTTGGATCTGACGGGAAAAAGTCTTGTTGTTTCGGGTATTGTATAGACTTGTTGAAATTACTTATGAGAGACATCGGATTTTCTGTGAGAATTCATATTGTTAAAGATCGTAAATATGGCGCTTTAGACGAAACTACGGGACAATGGTCAGGTCTGATAGGTGAAGTTTCTCGCGGTGAAGCAGATATGGCGGTATCAGATTTAACTATCAATGAACAGCGTTCCAAAGTAGTTGACTTCACACATCCATATATGGACGCAGGTATGGCTGTTATGGTTAAAGTGTCACGTCGTGAGAAGAATAATTGGACAGGCTTCATGGATCCCTTTGCTGCATCCTTGTGGATCGCAATAATTGTTTGTATCAATACGACACTTCTCATTATGTGGTTACTGGAGAGATATAGCCCGTATGGTCAGAGATCACGTGGAAAGGTTTTGAAAAGAAGTAAAGAACATTCTTTTGGTTTTGTTCAGGCTATTTGGTTCACATGGAGCCTGGTTTTTCAAACTTTTGATGTTGGTTCAAAACCAAAAAGCTTTTCTTGTCGTATTTTGGCGTTGTCTTTTGCGTTCAGCATGCTGATTGTCATAACCAGTTACACCGCCAATTTAGCCGCTTTCCTCGTGGTGGAAGAGGAGATATTGCCTTTGAATGATGCTGGGATACGAGATCCCAAGGTTAAGATAATTACATATCCGTTGACTCCGACCCTGGTAACACTATAATGTCTTATTCAACAAAATAGGCTCCTATGTTTCATTCGTTATAATTCAGAAAGAGAATGAAGAAATTCAATTCGTAGCTATTTACCAGTGAAGTAAATTATTATCATGATCCCAATATTCAATAACAATGTCAGTGATGCATTAAATAATTTGATTTATTGTCTTTTAGCTTCGGAATCCCCAAGTGGTTTTCGAATCGCGACGGTTAAAGACTCGAGTTTTGAAAGATTCTTTCAAGCTACAGACGATCCCATGCTAAGCCGAGTTTGGAAATATATGAAACCCAACAATGTGGAGGATTTTGTAGCTGCAATAAAACAAATGAATTTCAAGTAAGCGCCCCTCCTTCAGTTTTGTTTAATCGCTATATGAGGATTTTATCATTAGCGTTTGAACATTTTTTCCAATTGAAAATGAAAATGAATAGTTTTCAATATAAAATTATTTAAATTACTAGAATATTCTATATATTGTTATCTGAAATGTTTTTATTCTCTATTCACTTAACACACGATGTAGAAGGAATCTTTACAACATTTGTTTGTCACTACTTTTCCTAATCTTTGTGTAAAGGATTCTTCTTCTCGCCTTGTAATCGCTTCTTCTTCGTTGGTTGTGTCTTGTTTGGGTTTCTTCTGCTTCTCACATGATTTTTACTCCACTGACGATTTGTTTAAGTGCTCAACCGCGCATAGTATAATGTACAATTGATTGACATATAAGCTTGCGCCTGCCTGAGGCATGCTATTTTTGATCGTGACAGTTGAACTCAGCAACAATATACGATTGCTGGACCAGAAACCGAAATGATTGACAGAATAGAATGATTGATGCGTGCTTGTGGCAACTACTAATCACTTCCCATGTCATACCTGGCGATATTTGCCCAAAAACTTTGATTGCCATAGACCTTTCTATTTTAAAATATTTCATCATACCCTTAACTAAGCCCAATTAAGCATTTCGCATCATGATTTGCTACATGTATATTGCTTTTTCATAGAACCCTCCAAGCATTTGTCTCAGATCAACCGACGCTTGAGAATTTCGCGGCGAAAAGTAAAGATTGTTCCTTCAAAATTGTAGGAAAACCGTTCTTCCAATCTGGATTCGGTCTTGCCGTACGAAAGAACTCTTCTTTCACTTTCAAGGTTTCCCAACTATTGATGCAATATGAAGATTATGATATTTCACGGACATTAAAACGTCGATGGTTCGTGGGACAATGCAGCGCAATGAATGGTGATGAAAATGCGCTGTTTGCACGATTGTCTATTGCCGACTTGAGTGGATTGTTTCTCGCCATTTGTATCGGAGTTGTTATTTCATTGCTATTTTTTACTTTGCAGTATTTTAAAATTGCACTCGGCCGGGTATCATCGCATTATATAATCCGTTAAAATGATTGACTTTATAACAAATATCTCTCTCGATCTCTCTAACAAATAGATCAGACTGGATGAAGCAGGTGGAATAAGTCCGCCGTCCATGCACTGTCTGAAAGATTTAAACTTAGATGAACACACTTGCCTAAGCTTGTAATTTTGTGATGAGAGAAAAAAAATATCAACGTGTACTGTGCCCATATTATCTGTTCGTGATATGGAAATTATATTTTATATACAGAAAGGGTTGGGAATAAGAGAACTGGCACTGGTAGAATGTCAATAGTTTTTTGCGGTTGATTTTTAGGAAATCTTAGTTTTTCTTTCAACATAATCTATGCGCAAATAACATATATTATCGATGTGTTAAGTTAAAAACAATTTTCAAGACCGAGTGTTTTCAGAATGTAGCTTATTTCACCTGGTGCGGCTAAACTGAGATAACGTTCGCCTCGGGATTTTTTAAGCTCTCGTAGTTTTTCATTTAAAAATTTCCAAGTGACGCGAAAGAACGTCACTGATTCTTCATTTGTAATAGACTCGACTAGCCGAAGGTTATTATTATAAGAATATTTAATGAAGCGCTCCATTAACGTACTTTTTAACAAGTCAATTAAGCAAAATATCAAATGGTTATGTATTATTTAAGCGACTAGGACACCTGTTATATTCTTCATAAAAAAGTTTCCACCACAAATGATGAAGACGCGTCTTTTTTTTCTCTTCGCATTTGCCTGTTTAGGGCAAGGCCAGTCTATTTTTTTCAACAAAATTCAAGTAGTTATTATTGGACAAGATGATTCGCTGAGGAGGAACAGTTTTTCTGAGTTTGTTCACTCAAAAAACGTCAGCAATGGCTTAAGTTTTAATTTTACAATCATGAACGTTCTCGGGGCGTCGTATAAAGAAACGACGGACGAGTTTTGCAGAATTTTGAAGAACACTGGAGTTTCTGCGATTGTTTCGCTGAACATTTCGTCACATCCTAAACATATTGATATTTACGCAAGTTACATAGGAATTCCTGTGATAAAGTTATTCAACAATCCTTTTAAGCAAGATGTTGTCAAGCAGGTACGTTGAAAATCAGCATGCAGCTTATCTACCTTTTGCTTCAGGTATAATAATGGCATAAAACTGTCGTATGGCGTTGCTCACGTTTCGACTCTTTCTATAGGTCTCTGCATGAAGCAATATTTTTACCTTGTAGACATTACAATTCTCCAGGCAATGAACTGTCTGCATGTCCACAACAGCCTTTTCAAAAAGTGACCATACTGACTTGATAAAATTATTTCCACTAAATTACTCCAGTTAATTGGCACTGTAGCAATGCCTAGAAACGCACTATTTTCAATCAGTCTGTTTGCAGTAAGTCTTTCAATGATAGAGTAGGAATAAAATCTTTTCCTATATAACTACATCGTGAATGAATTTGTCAGTCAACACTCAACCCGACAACCGTTCACAGTTAATTGCTATACGTGGTGATGATTTACTTTTATTTATATATTTTTAAAACAATGGGGCATGACATATAAATATCGCCGGCTTTCTATATATCTTTATAGAATCAAAGCTCCCAAATTCACCTGGAACCAGATCCTGTTTTACGTTTATTTGTTATCACAGAAATTTTGAAACAATACAACAGAAACGATCGAGTCGTTGTGGTTTCACAAGAAAATCAATCAACATGGGCGAAAAAACTTGTTGCTGGGATGCGGAAAACTAGAAATTTAAATGACGATGTCGTTGTAGACTTGACTATAACTAAAAACGAGAAGAATTATTTCAGCACTTTAAGAACTATTTATTCTTTGAATGTAAAAGCTATTGTCCTCTTGATGGAAGAAAATATCGCGTTAGATTTTATGGATGTCGCACAACAAGTTGGATTTCTAGACATTGATTGCATATGGATTGTAGAGCACTCCCTTTATGGAAGAAAACGAATACCGCTTTTGGGAAAACTTATTGGAGTAAGATTGGCGCGAGAACCCTTCAGCAATGATAGATCACAATGGCGGCGCGAGGCGTTGTCCAATGATTCTATCAAAATTCTGAGTAATGCATTTCAAAATGTAAGCAATGCAGAGTTCCAAATCACATCACCAAGCAATTCGTGTACTTCAACGAGCCATTGGCTGCTAGGAACATCGTTGTACAGGTAAAGTATAACTTTAGTAGGTCGCACTCAATTTTAGTTCACAACCAGATGCGTGAACAGTCCAAGTTTTCTTTCCCTTTCCTTCGTCTATCGATATTCCCTACATTCTGTTTTTCTCTGCCTTTTTTTATAACGAATATTTTGGCTATTTTAGGTTTATGAAACTTGTTCGCATTGATGGCGACACTGGTTGGATAGAATTTGATGATCAAGGTTACCGAACTAATGTGGAATATGAAATTGATTACTTTCCTAAAAATGAAAATGGGACAACCATCAGAATGATTTTAGGCCAATATCATAACAACAAACTAGATATATACCGTGCAGGCTGGCCGCCTGAAGAGAAAAAACTAGATACGTTATTGGAAACCAAAATTGCAGAAAACCAGCCATTGAAGATCTCAGTTCACTTGCAAGAACCGTACGTTGTGATAAACGAAAACGCTGCTCATAATTCCTCGGATGATACGTGTGCATTAGGTTTACCTTGTGTAGGATCTGACGGGGAAGAATCTTGTTGTTCCGGGTATTGCATAGACTTGTTGAAATTACTTATGAGAGACATCGGATTTTCTGTGAGAATTTATATTGTTAAAGATGGTAAATATGGCGATTTAGACCAAACTACGGGACAATGGTCAGGTCTGATAGGTGAAGTTTCTCGCGGTGAAGCAGATATGGCGGTATCAGATTTAACTATCAGTGAACAGCGTTCCAAAGTAGTTGACTTCACACATCCGTATATGGACGCAAGTATGGCTATTATGGTTAAAGTGTCACGTCGTGAAAGAAATAATTGGACAGATTTTATGGATCCGTTCGCTGCATCCTTGTGGATCGCAATAATTGTTTGTATCAATACGACACTTCTCATTATGTGGTTACTGGAGAGATATAGCCCGTATGGTCAGAGAGAACGTGGAAAGTTTTTGAAAAGAAGTGAAGAACATTCTTTTGGTTTTGTTCAAGCCATTTGGTTCACATGGAGCGTTGTTTTCCAAACTGATATTGGTTCAAAACCAAAAGGCGTTGCTTGTCGTATTTTGGCGTTGTCTTTTGCGTTCAGTATGCTGATTGTTATCACAAGTTACACCGCCAATTTAGCCGCTTTCCTGGTGATAAAAGAGGAGATATTGCCTTTGAATGATGCTGGGATACGAGATCCTAAGGTTAAGTTATATAATAATCAACCATTTAGACATTTAATACTTATATTACATTGAAGCAGAAGCTTAGAGGCTGGTTAGTCTTGCCTTGTAGCGTTAAATGGTTATCATTATTTTGTACTGAACAGAAGATGGGTTTCTATTTAGAAAAATTCCAATTCTTGGCAATTTAGCAGTAATAATAAATTATTAACATGATTTCCAAAACAATGTTAATGCTGCATTAAAAGGTTTGATTTATTATCTTTTAGCTTCAGAATCCTCCAAGTGGTTTTCGAATCGCGACGGTTGATGACTCGAGTTTTGAAAGATTCTTCCATGATACAGACGATCCCGTGCTAAGCCGAGTTTGGAAGCATATGAAACCCAACAATGTAAAACATTTTGAAGATGCAATAAGACAAATGAATTCCAGGTAAGTGTTCCTACTTTCTTTGTGATAGTAAACATACACCCGGCGCGAGAGTTACCTAAATGTAATATATATATATATAACCAGCTCCTCCATTTCTTCTTAAAAGCTCCCAGCGCAGTTACTTAACAGGATTTCGGAAACGCCACGTTCTGCAATCTTAGCAATTCACTGAGTTTGGACATAAAGTCACAAGCCGCCACCATTTTGCAAAACTGATATTTCTTCAAACTCGCCTGGTATCAGTACGCTCATGTGCAAGAATGTTTTTTAATATAGAACCCTCCAAGCGTTTGCCTGGGATCAACCGACACTTGAAAATATGGTAGCAAAAAGTCGGGATTGTTCCTTTAAAATCGTAGGAAAATCGCTCTTCCACTCAGGATTCGGTTTTGCCTTAAGGAAGAACTCGTCTCTCACCAGCAAGATATCTCAAGCATTGTTGCAATATGAAAAGTTTGATACATCATGGACGTTAAAACTTCGATGGTTCCAGGGAAAATGTAGCGCTGTGCATAAAAATGCGTCGTTTGCACGATTGACTATTGCCGACTTGAGTGGATTATTTCTTGCCATTTGTTTTGGAGTTGTTATTTCATTGCTATTTTTCACTTCGCAATATTTTAAAATTGCAATTAAATAGTGGGTCGTCGTCGTAGACGTAGTCCATTCCGTTAAGAATGCTGGATTTTAGAACGTAGTTACATATCGTAGAGTTGAAAAAGTCGTTGACCTACAACACTAGCACCATAGAGCACATCTGCATGGGCGGTATTTGTAAACGTATGTTATTTCATTTAATATGCTATCGTTTAATCTTTATTCAATATAAAATTCCTTGAGTAATCAGTATATATAGTCTTTATATTCATGTATAAACAACACACAACTCACAAGGATTCAAATTACAAAAAAACACTCGCCCTAAGCTTGCTTTGTGACTGTGCTTTGTAAGAAGAGAGAAAGGGCCTTAGTGAAAAACGTCAACTGTGTCCAGATTGCATCAATGCGGTATAAAATTTTACTTCGCTGAATAAACTGTGAAAAATTAGAGGACTGGCAGTGGTTGAACAGTTTTAGCGTTTGATTCATGCTTTTTAGTAAAAGCTTTGGTTTCAGCAGAGTCACCCCGCGGCCCACACTGCACGGAGATAACTTCAGACGCGTCTGTACATTGGCCAGCGATCTTAATAAATTACTTAATTATCCCACTCAATTCGTCTTTTGTGCACTAACTAGCTGGGGACTGGGATGCGGGATATCCCTGAGACTATAAAAGCTTAAAACCTTCTCTTCTTCGGAAATCGATCAGTGCATGGCGGGGGGGGGGAGGGAGACGAGATATATGAGTCATTCATACCCCATTTGACTTTGATTATTGAAGAGATCTACTCTGGTACAGACCTCATGTTCTGTTGATAAGTAGTTAGCCTCTCTGCAACAATTATAATATTTGACAGACAAAGGTAAAATATTCAGTCACATGCACGGCGCGAGAGTTACAACTCGACAACAACAGTCGACATATCCACAGGTGGCTACCACAGGAGGTTGAAATACTCCCTTTGCTTTATATCATAAACAGCACTGTAGTTAGTTAATTGGTCACGCAAACTATAATCCTCCTCTAGACCTACTGATCATGAGAACAGCCTAGAGTTTTTCTTGCCGACTTGCCTGTAGCCTGCATGGCAGGCGGTCCCTGAAACTTGCCTGCGGCCTGCGTACATACATGCAGGCCGGGGTCAGGTTGTAGAAAAAAGCGCAAGCACTGAAATACGCAATCTTTTGTCTACGACTATAGAAATTAAGTGACTAAAGCGAATATATACCCGGTGTATCTCGAGGTTGGATTACCTCCTTGAAAATAGAAGTCTGTTTTAAAAGCTCTTATAAATACATACATGTATACGTTCCAATATAATCAGGGAGCAGCGAGGCTGCCTCTTCAAACAGCTTCGCATCTTCAAATGCTGTGACAACGAATGCAATTCAGACAAGATATAATTAGTTGTAAACGTCGTCATTATCTAATTATCTATTGTTTGAATTGCATTCGACACGACTAAAATGTGGCCTGAAAATATCGTTTATTTAGAATATATAATCAATATACGCTGTCGTTTGTTGAATATTTTTTCCTGAATTGAAAATGAGCATAGCTCTAATTATAGTAATTTCAGTCTTGTTTACGTCAAAACTTGCAAGTTCTAACTCAGCAGAAAGTACGTCATTTTCACATGTGCCATGAGAATTGTTATAATAATAAAAAGTGCAAACAAATTATACCCTAAAAAAGCTATATAGGATATCGTAAATGTGCCTGCATCCATGCAAGTCTTAAAGCAAGCGCGTTCTGCTTTCGCGTACGGTCGGTGAAAATATTTGTCAACGAAGTTATATCATCTCTTTTAGTTTACTACTTGTCGCTAAATTTAAACTGAGCTTACATTAGCAAACAGATATACTGGAAAATAATAAACTATGGGCATCCAATGTTTATTAGAATATTTTATGAGGCCCTCCATGACCTTGTTCAGTCCCAGTTTTTATATATAGTAACGTACGTACTTTTTAACATAATATTATACAAGTCAAAGCAAAATATCAGATGGTTATATATTATTCAAGCGACTGCATGGGACACCTGTTATTTTCTTCATAATAGTTCCCATGACAAATGATGAAGACGCGTCTTTTTTTTCTCCTCGCATTGGCCTGTTTAGGGCAAGGCCAGTCTATTTTTTTCAACAAAATTCAAGTAGTTATTATTGGACAAGATGATTCGCTGAGGAGTAACAGTTTTTCTGAGTTTGTTCACTCAAAAAACGTCAGCAATGGCTTAAGTTTTAATTTTACAATCATGAACGTTCTCGGGGCGTCGTATAAAGAAACGACGGACGAGTTTTGCAGAATTTTGAAGAACACTGGAGTTTCTGCGATTGTTTCGCTGAACATTTCGTCACATCCTAAATATATTGATATTTACGCAAGTTACATAGGAATTCCTGTGATAAAGTTATTCAACAATCCTTTTGAACAAGATGTTGTCAAGCAGGTAAGGTGACTTTATTTCATCAGGATGGATAAAATACTTCAGTGTAACTTAATCAAATTTAAAAACAGGTAATGGAGGACCGTATAAGAGCTGCTTCCCACTGTCGCGTTTTTTTCATGTACATTTACGCACGAAAAAGTTTAAAAACATTTTAATACTACTTATGGAATCAACAATTGAGCAGATACATAGGGTTGGATTCTGTCGATGATTGGTGTTGTTTTTCTGCGGGCACAAAATTAATTATGCAACATCTTAGAAGGTTTTAAACCTTAATTGACGTGCGTGTACGTACGCACAAACAACGCGACAGTGGAAGACAGCCCCAATATTCTGTGAGGAATATCGGCCGAGTAATGTACAGGGTATATTAAAAACCTACTAAATATTCATGATAATCGCTTTCTATTCGATCAGACAAGATCGATTATTCATGAATATTGTGTCTTGCGTGTTACGTTTGTGTAAGTGTTGCATTTTTTTATTCACCTTGCACTAAATGCATGATGTAGTTTTTTCGACTAAATTGCTCAATGAGATTATCACGATGTCACCAACCAGTCTTCTCTCGACTGAAGATAATATTTGCCGAGCTACTATGAATTTTCCGGACCGAACCCTTTTGGGATGGGGGTCACACAATCCCACGCCCCATTAAGGTTGTTATATTGTAAATGCCAGTTAGAATACGGAGCAGAAGTGCCATACGCGTGATTTAGAAAATTTTACCGACGCGTGCTTGTAAAAATTATTATCAATCATCTTATCACATCTAATATGTGATATGGGTCTTCCTGCGCCGCGTGTGTTTTAACTTTATTTGGTTTTAAACATGTTTATACACGTGAAAAAAATCAATCAATCTTTTCGTACAAGTTGCACTGTTATTAAGACAAAGGTCACAAAATAGCTGGAATAAAATCACATTAATTCACATTATTTTGCTATTACCTTGGACGAAGCACAATAGTAAATTGCTAAAGTAGTCTTTTCCAAAATAGGCCAGTAGGACAAGTTGTAGTATGTTATATAAAATTAACTTCACAGACCGCCATATTAGTAAATATCAAGAGTTTCCCATATTTTCCTATAGGACCAGAGCACTCAAATTCACCTAGACCCAGATCGTGTCTCACGATTAATGGTTATCACAGAAATTTTGAAACACCTCAAAAGAAACGATCGAGTCACAGTGGTTTCGCAGGAAGATCAATCAACATGGGCGATACGACTTGTAGCTGAGATACACAAAACTACAAATTCAACTAACGAAGTCATTGCAGATCTCGCTATAGCTAAAAACGAGCAGAATTATTTCAGGACTTTAAGAACTATTCATTCTTTGAATGTAAAAGCTGTTGTCCTCTTAATGGAGGAAAATATCGCGTTGGATTTTATGGATGTCGCACAACAAGTTGGATTTCTAGACATCGATTGCATATGGATTGTAGAGCACTCTCTTCATGGAAGAAAACGAATACCGCTTTTGGGAAAACTTCTTGGAGTAAGATTGCCCCGAGAATCCTTCAGCAATGATAGATCACAATGGCGGCGCGAGGCGTTGTTCAATGATTCTATCAAAATTCTGAGTAAGGCATTTCAAAACGTAAGCAATTCAGAGTTTGAAATGACATCACCAAGCAATTCGTGTACTTCAACGAGCCATTGGCTGCTAGGAACATGGTTGTACAGGTAAAGTTTTCATGTTGAAGTTACCTAACTAACCTAAGGTATATTTTGACAGCAAACAAAAGGTATAATTTCTGATTTATTGTTTTAGAAATTGTATTCATCCTATGATTAACCCATTAATTCTAAAACAGTAACTAGAACTGCACGTAGGAGTTTTATTTGACTGACAGATGTCTGAGTAACTGATGGTATTTCAGCGTAATTTTTCGCGTCCTATTTTTCTATCCGAATATTTCCTATATTCTAGTTCTTCTCAGTATGAGCCTTTTTTTAAAAGAATTGTTTTGCTATTTTAGGTTCATGAAACTTGTTCACATTGAGGGCGACACTGGTTGGATAGAATTTGATGGTCAGGGTTACCGAACTAATGTGGAATATGAAATTGATTACTTTTATAAGGATGAAAATGGGACGACCAGTAAAATTATTTTAGGCCAATATCATAACAAGCAACTAAATATATTCCATACAGACTGGCCACCCGAACAAAAGAAACTAGATTTACTGGCAACTAAGCTCGCAGAAAACCTACCATTCAGGGTTTCAGTTTTTTTGCAAAATCCATTTGTAAGGATTGAAGGAAACTCCGCTCATAACTCCTCAGATGATACGTGTGCACTAGGTTTACCTTGTGAACAACTTGACGGGGAAAAGGCTTGTTGTTCCGGGTATTGCATAGACTTGTTGAGATTACTTATGAGAGACATCGGATTTTCTGTGAGAATTCATATTGTTAAAGATAGTAAATATGGCGGTTTAGACGAAACTACGGGACAATGGTCAGGTCTGATAGGTGAAATTTCTCGTGGTGAAGCAGATATGGCGGTATCAGATTTAGCTATCACTGAACAGCGTTCCAAAGTTGTCGACTTCACACATCCGTATATGGACAGCAGTAATGCTGTAATGGTTAAAGTGTCACGTCGTGAAAGGAATGATTGGACAGATTTCATGGATCCGTTCGCGGCATCCTTGTGGATCGCAATAATTGTTTGTATCTGTATTACACTTCTCATTATGTGGTTACTGGAGAGATATAGCCCGTATGGTCAGAGATCACGTGGAAAGTTTTTGGAAAGAGGTAAAGAACATTCGTTTAAATTTGTTGAAGCTATTTGGTACACATGGAGCCTGGTTTATCCAACTGATATTGGCTCAAAACCAAAAAGCTTTTCTTGTCGTGTTTTGGCGTTGTCTTTTACATTCAGTATGCTGATTGTCGTTACAAGTTACACCGCCAATTTAGCCGCTTTCCTGGTGATAAAAGAGGAGATATTGCCTTTGAATGATGCTGGGATACGAGATCCCAAGGTAAGCTAATTGTTGTCCCCTTTTTTCGGTCTCACGTGAAATAGTTTGATTAAATGATTTCATTATAGCTTCAAAATCCTCCAAGTGGTTTTCGGATTGCGACGGTTGATGACTCGAGTTTGGAAAGATTCTTTCAAGCTACAGAAGACCCCGTGCTAAGAAGAGTTTGGAAGTATATGAAACCCAACAATGTAAAACATTTTGACGATGCAATAAAACAGTTGAATTCCAAGTAAGTTCTATACTTTGTCTTGTGGTAGTAATCACTGCGAAAAAAATATAATGAAACTATAGCTTCGATATATATTCTGAGAACTTTATCTTCATGCTTACCTCCAAGCCAACGGGGCTTTAGTCTCAAACTGCAAGGCATCTATGGACACTTTGGAGGGACGGGCAATGTAAGTCTGAAATCATTTGTGCCTCCAAACAGTCCATAGATGCTTTGCGGTTCGCGATTAGACCCATGCAGTACCCTGCTCGATTGGGAAATGGCTAATACCTGCACAACAAGCTACCATACATGTCATACCGCTCATGCGGGCACGGCTTTTTAGTCAAAAGAAGGACCAAACATTAAGATAGCTAGTATTAAATTTTGTTAATTATCACACCTACGAAGGCCAGGGGAACTTAGAATAGCCTTGAATAACTTTGATGAAGTAGATGTAAGTTATAAAGGAGACGGTTATTCATGTATACAAGTAACAACGGTCTGGCTTTATGGTTCCTTATAATATCTTATGTGACATTTTTTGATGAGGTAACTTTTGTACTTTCATGAAAGTATAGGGCCTTTAGCTTATTATATGTATAGTATGCTCTCATTATTGTGCCATTGTGGGACATATATTGTGTTTCTTTAATAGAACCCTCCAAGCATTTGTCTGGGATTATTCAACACTTACGAATTTCGCAGCAAAAAGTCACGACTGCTCCTTCAAAATCATAGGAAACTCGTTCTTTGATTCAGGATTCGGTGTTGCCGTAAGAAAGAACTCGTCTCTCACCAGCAAGATATCTCAAGTATTGTTGCAATATGAAAAGTTTGATACATCACGGACGTTAAGACGTCGCTGGTTGGTGGGACAATGCAGCGCTACGAATCGTGGTGAAAATGCGATGTTTTCAAGATTGTCAATTGGCGATTTGAGAGGATTATTTCTTGCCATTTGTATTGGAGTTGGTATTTCATTGCTATTTCTCACTTCGCAATATTTTAAAAACGCAATTAGCAGGTCTTTGTCGCGCTGTATATTCTGTTAAAAGAGATTTAAAATTTGTAAAAAATATCAGTGGAGTAGAATTCGTCGTGAGCTTAGCGGTTTATACTGTGTCTTAAAAAGCTTTGATCATTAAATAGAAATTCAAAAGCTTTCCTTTTTATAGTTTGGGAGGCTACGCATTATTAGTTTTATTATGCTGCCATCATAGGCGGCCCAAAATAGCGCGAGAAATTTTTCCGCGGTAATTTGTCAATATAATGTAATCTGCCATATCGCTTTCTTGTTATTTCAATAAAAGTAATAAAAGTGAAGCCTAGTTTACAATGCATATGGCAGATGCATCATTGCATGTGAACTGAGTAAGTTTATCTTCTCGTGTGTTGTCTTGTTATGGAATCATTGCAAATTTAGGCTGCCCTGTCCACACGATGCCGGAAGAATTTGAAAACGCAAAAATATTTATCCGTTAAAATATTTATCTGCGTCCACACGTAAAAACAAAAACGATCCGAAAACGATGAAGTTATTTGATCTCGCAATACACCTTCATGTTTTCCACGCGTGTGTCACAGGTTGGATATCGAATTCAAAGCAAAAATCTACCGGGAAATCCAAAGAAAAAAACAAGAATGCGGACTTTGTTTGGACAAGCTGACGACAAGCCCGAACTCATAAATATTGTTGTTGAGTATATTTATCACGTATCAAGTCGTTTCCATATTAATGAGGCTTGTTTCAAGTCTGGTGGCTTATGTTCAACTTTATATAATTATATTGCTATATAAAATTATATTAGCCTCAAATAAGTCTTATTTGGGTTTTTTTCATGGTGAGTAAAATCTTCGCCAATTCTTTTAGCATTTGCGGAAGTATTTTACGAGAGAAACATGTCCAAAATGTCCGTCTATGACTATGTTAATATGTTTACCGTATTTACTCGTTTGCGCTCTTTAAATTTTTAGAATTTTTTTAGAATTTCGGGGGCGGCGCTCTTAAAAAAAATCATTTGTGAATTGTAGCAAGAACTCAATAATATAAACAAGTTTTAAATATCTTTTAATTGTCCCTAAATATACCCGTTTTACTGCGGAAACTCAAAGCTCTTACACTGTTCATAATTACATGCAGCCAAGTTTACAAAATATCAATGTCACTGTCACTGTTCTCTTCATGATCTGAGTCCAACTTTTGTATCGTAAACATTGTTGGATATGCCTCTTCAACATCAGAAGAGGTAAATTCGTCGCATTGAAAGGGATTCGTGTTTGGTTCATCCAGGATATCCAACTGCGATCGAAGCATTTCTCGTCCAGTGCTACAAGGCTGTCCTTCTTTAAGGCAGTGAAAGGAATCGTGCTGTGAGGCATCAACGAGAAGATTTAACGCACAGCAGGTGAAGGATTTCTTGATGATATCCGATGGCAACTCGGCCCAAGGGTTTTAAGAGTTTAAAGTAGTTTCATGAGTGACTCCTACCACAAACTGTAAATACTTCAATATTTCCCGCATTTTTTCGCCTTCGCGATGGCACATTTGACGCTGGGATAGCCTCGCGGCATGTGGGTTAGAGGAATTGACACCATTAAAAAAGATTAATATGACAACAATATTTATGAGTTCGGGCTTGTCGTCAGCCTGTTCAAACAAAGTCCTCATTCTTGTTTTTTACTTTGGATTTGGTAGATGCGTTTGCTTTGAATTCGACATCCAACCTGTGACACGCGGGTGGAAAACAACTTATTTGCATATGATTAATCCTCATGGCTCTTAGGAGCATGGCAATGACAAAAGACAGAAACAGATAACGTTTGAGAAAAATGCATAAAATATTCCTTTTAAAAACAGATCCCTCCCTGCCAGGTGGTTGCCAACTGCAAGGAAATTTCCACGTACCCAGGGTAATTTCCTTGTGTTATATGGAGAGATCAGTCCGGCGGTCACTCGGCACGAGTGAAGTGGTTTGACAGAAAACAGAACCACTAAATATTCAGAAATATTAAATTAATACACCCTGAGGACGCTGCACGCACAATTGTCACTCTTAACAATTTCAAGATATCTCGTGGGCTTTTAGTCTCTTCTAAGTTATAGGAGACGGCTCACAAGACGAATTTTAGTCGGAAATTTTTCCCAAGAAGTGATAGCTTAGCGTTATTAGCTTTGTGCCATATATTTAACATGTTAGATGTATTTTCAGGTAATTGTTTTTCCGGGGGAAAAATTATATATTATTCAAGTGACAAGCAGACCTGTTATATTCTTCATAATAGTTCCCATGACAAATAATGAAGACGCGTCTTCTTTTTCTCTTCGCATTGGCCTGTTTAGGGCAAGGCCAGTCTATTTTTTTCAAAAAAATTCAAGTAGTTATTATTGGACAAGATGATTCGCTGAGGAATAACAGTTTTTCTGAGTTTGTTCACGCAAAAAACGTCAGCAATGGCCTAAGTTTTAATTTTACAATCATGAACGTTCTCGGGGCGTCGTATAAAGAAACGACGGACGAGTTTTGCAGAATTTTGAAGAACACTGGAGTTTCTGCGATTGTTTCGCTGAACATTTCGTCACATCCTAAACATATTGATATTTACGCAAGTTACATAGGAATTCCTGTGATAAAGTTATTCAACAATCCTTTTAAACAAGATGTTGTTAAGCAGGTAAGGTGACTTTATTTCATCATGGATAAAATACTTCAGTGTAACTTAATCGTAATTAAAAATAAATAATGGGCGACCGTGCGGCCCTATGCAAAAAGAATGGACGACCGAATAAGGACCACTGTCGCGTTTTTTGCATGTACGTTTACGCACGTAAAAGTTTGAAAACATTTTAATAATACTTATGAGATCAACGATTGAATAGATACATAGGGTTGGATTCTGTCGATGATTTGGTGTTGTTTTTCTGGCATAAAATTAATTATGCAACAACTTAGAGGGTTTTAAACCTTTACGTGCGTGTACGTACGCACAAACAACGCGACAGTGGAAAACAGCCCTATAAATATATGTGAGTAATATCGGCCGATGCAATGTACAGGATGTATTAAAAACCTACTAAATATTCATGATAATCGCTTTCTATTCGATCAGACAAGATCGATTATTCATGAATATTGTGTCTTGCGTGTTACGAATATTGTGTGAAGTGTTGCGTGTAACGAATATTGTGTGAAGTGTTGCGTGTTACGTTTGTGTGAAGTGTTGCGTGTTACGAATATTGTGTGAAGTGTTGCGTGTTACGAATATTGTGTGAAGTGTTCAGGCATTATAATACGCGTGTTTTTGACACACTTTGTGTCCTTGTAAAAGGCGAATGTGTCCTTGTAAATGGAAAAGTGTGTAGTTAAAAATCATGCCTCATGGACAAAAATGTCTAATATAATTTTAATTTGACTATTTAAAATAATTATTGTTTCTATTATAAAATTGACATCATTGAATATATTATATATTAAAAAAGGCTAGAGACTGACGGACCGTGCTTTGCATGGCTATGCTCTTTTTTATATGCTTGCGTTGTAATGTCACGTTGTAATTTCTAAGACTGAGTGATTATTGAACCTAAAAACAATGTGTGTCCTTGTAAAAATTCCGTATTATAATGCCTGGAAGTGTTTCGTTTTTTTATTCACCTTGTACTAAATGCATGATGTAGTTTTTTCGACTAAATTGCTCAATGCGATCATCACGATGTCATCAACCAGTCTTCTCTCGACTGAAGATAATATTTGCCGAGCTACAATGAATTTTCCGGACCGAACTCTTTTGGGGAAGGGGTCACACCATCCCACGCCCCATTAAGGTTGTTATATAGTAAATACCAGTTAAAATACGTTGCAGAAGTCCCATACGCGTGATTTCGAAAATTTTACCGACGCGTGCTTGTAAAAATTATTATCAATCATCTTATGACATCTAATATGTGATATGGATCTTCCTGCGCCGCGTGTGTTTTAACTTTATTTGGTTTTAAACATGTTTATACACATGAAAAAAATCAATCAATCTTTTCGTACAAGTTGCACTGTTATTAAGACAAAGGTCACAAAATCACTGGAATAAAATCACATTAATTCACATTATTATGCTATTACCTGGGATGAAGCACAATGGGCGGCAGTTGCTAAAGTAGTATTTTCCAAACGGTAGGCCAGTAAGACAAGTTGTAGTATGTTATATAAAATTAACTTCACAGAACGCCATATTAGTAAATATCAAAAGTTTTCCATATCTTCCTATATAGGACCAGAGCACTCAAATTCACCTAGGCCCAGATCGTGTCTCACGATTAATGGTTATCACAGAAATTTTGAAACACCTCAAAAGAAACGATCGAGTCGTTGTGATTTCAAATGAAAACCAATCAACGTGGGCGAAGAAGCTAGTTGCTGGGATACGGAAAACCAGGAATTCAGTGAACGATGTTATTTTAAATCTCACTATAACTAAAAACGAGGATAATTATTTCAGGACTTTAAGTATTATTCAGACTTTGAATGTAAAAGCTGTTGTAATCTTAATGGAAGAAAATATCGCTTTGGATTTTATGGATGTCGCACAACAAGTTGGATTTCTAGACATTGATTGCATATGGATTGTAGAGCACTCTCTTCATGGAAGAAAACGAATACCGCTTTTGGGAAAACTTCTTGGAGTAAGATTGGCGCGAGAACCCTTCAGCAATGATAGATCACAATGGCGGTGCGAGGCGTTGTTCAATGATTCTATCAAAATTCTGAGTAAGGCATTTCAAAATGTAAGCAATGCAGAGTTTGAAATGACATCACCAAGCAATTCGTGTACTTCAACGAGCCATTGGCTGCTAGGAACATCGTTGTACAGGTAAACTTTTCATGTTGAAGTTACCTAACTAACCTAAGGTATATTTGGACGACAAACAAAAGCTATATATAATTTCTGATTTATTGTTCTGGAAATTGTATTCATCCTATGATTAACCTATTAATTCTAAAACAGTAACTAAAACTGCATGTAGGAGTTTTGCACGATGAGTTTTATTTCACTGCCAGATGTCTGAGTAACTGATAGTATTTTAGCGTCCTATTTGTCTATCCGGATATTTCCTATATTCTAGTTCTTCTTATGAGCCCTTTTTTATAAAGAATGTTTTGCTATTTTAGGTTTATGAAACTTGTTCGCATTGAGGGCGACACTGGTTGGATAGAATTTGATGGTCAAGGTTACCGAACTAATGTGGAATATGAGATTGATTACTTTTATAAGGAAGAAAATGGGACGACCAGTAAAATTATTTTAGGCCAATATCATAACAAGCAACTAAATATATTCCATACAGACTGGCCACCCGAACAAAAGAAACTAGATTTACTGGCAACTAAGCTCGCAGAAAACCTACCATTCAGGGTTTCAGTTCTTTTACAAAATCCGTTTGTAAGGATTGAAGGAAACTCCGCTCATAATTCCTCGGATGATACGTGTGCATTAGGCTTACCTTGTGTACAACTTGACGGGAAAAAATCTTGTTGTTCCGGGTATTGCATAGACTTGTTAAAATTACTTATGAGAGACATCGGATTTTCTGTGAGAATTCATATTGTTAAAGATGGTAAATATGGCGGTTTAGACCAAACTACGGGACAATGGTCAGGTCTCATAGGTGAAGTTTCTCGTGGTGAAGCAGATATGGCGGTATCAGATTTAACTATCACTGAACAGCGTTCTAAAGTAGTTGACTTCACACATCCATATATGGACGCAGGTATGGCTGTAATGGTTAAAGTGTCACGTCGTGAAAGGAATGATTGGACAGATTTTATGGATCCGTTCGCCGCATCCTTGTGGATCGCAATAATTGTTTGTATCAATATTACACTTCTCATTATGTGGTTACTAGAGAGATATAGCCCGTATGGTCAGAGAGAACGTGCAAAGTTTTTGGAAAGAGGTAAAGAACATTCGTTTAATTTTGTTGAAGCTATTTGGTACACATGGAGCCTGGTTTACCCAACTGATATTGGTTCAAAACCAAAAAGCTTTTCTTGTCGTGTTTTGGCGTTGTCTTTTACATTCAGTATGTTGATTGTCGTTACAAGTTACACCGCCAATTTAGCCGCTTTCCTGGTGATAAAAGAGGAGATATTGCCTTTGAATGATGCTGGGATACGAGATCCAAAGGTAAGCTAATTGTTGCCCCCTTTTTTCGGTCTCACGTGAAATAGTTTTGATAAAATGATTAATTTTAGCTTCAGAATCCTCCAAGTGGTTTTCGAATTGCGACGGTTGATGACTCGAGTTTGGAAAGATCCTTTCAAGTTACAGAAGATCCCGTGCTAAGAAGAGTTTGGAAGTATATGAAACCCAACAATGTAAAACATTTTGACGATGCAATAAAACAGTTGAATTCCAAGTAAGTTCTATACTTTGTCTTGTGGTAGTAATCACTGCGAAAACTATAGCTTCAATATATATTCTGAAAACTTTACCTTCATGCTTACCTCCAACCTAACGGGGCTCTAGTCTCAAACTGCAAGGCATCTATAGACTGTTTGGAGGGACAGGCAATGTAAGTCTGATTGAGTCTGAAATCATTTGTCCCTCCAAACAGTCCATAGATGCGACTTGACCCAGTAACCTGCTCGATTGGGAAATGGCTAATACCTGCACAACAAGCTACCATATACATGTCATACCGCTCATGCGGGCACGGCTTTTTAGTCAAAAGAAAGACCGAACTAGACTCCGTTAACCTAAATACATGTTAAATGCATGTTTATCATTCATCAAGGTAGCTAGTATTAAATGTTGTTCATTGTCACACCTACGAAGGCCGGGAACTTAGAATAGCCTTGAATAACTTTGATGAAGTAGATATAACTTATAAAGGAGACAGTTATTCATGTATACAAGTAACAACGGTCTGGCTTTATGGTTCCTTATAATATCTTATGTGACATTTTTTGTTTTGTACTTCCATGGAAGTATAGGGCCTTTAGCTCATTTCATGTATAGTATGCTATCATTATTGTGCCATTGTGGGACATATATTGTGTTTCTTGACTTTAATAGAACCCTCCAAGCATTTGTCTGGGATTATTCAACACTTACGAATTTCGCAGCAAAAAGTCACGACTGCTCCTTCAAAATCCTAGGAAACTCGTTCTTTGATGCAGGATTCGGTGTTGCCGTAAGAAAGAACTCGTCTCTCACCAGCAAGATATCTCAAGCATTGTTGCAATATGAAACGTTTGATACATCACGGACGTTAAGACATCGGTGGTTGATGGGACAATGCAGCGCTACAAATCGTGGTGAAAATGCGATGTTTTCAGGATTGTCAATTGGCGATTTGAGAGGATTATTTCTTGCCATTTGTATCGGAGCTGTTATTTCATTTCTATTTCTTACTTCGCAATATTTTAAAAACGCAATTAGCAGGTCATTGTCCCGCTGTATATTCTGTTAAAAGAGATTTAAAATTTGTATATCAGTGGAGTAGAATTCGTCGTGGGCTTAGCGGTTTGTACGGTGTCTAACCGTGTCTTAAAAATAAAAACGATCCGAAAACGATAAAGTTATTTGATCCCGCAATACACCTGCATGTTTTCCACGCGTGTGTCAAAGGTTGGATGTCGAATTCAAAGCAAAAATCTACCAAATCCAAAGTAAAAAACAAAAATGAGGACCAATTCTTTTAGCATTTGCGGAAGTATTTTACGAGAGAAAGTGAGAAACATGTCAAAAATGTCGCTGTATGGTTACCGTATTTACTCGTTTAAATTTTTAGAATTTTAGATGCGAAGTTTTTTCGGGGGCGGCGCTCTTAAAAAAAATCGTGAATTCCAGAAAGAACTCGATAATATAAACAAGTTTTAAATATCTTTTAATTGTCCCTAAATATACCCATTTTACTGCGGAAACTCAAAGCTCTTACACTGTTCATAATCACATGCACCCAAGTTTACAAAATATCACTGTCACTGTCACTGTGGTTCTCTTCATGATCTGAGTCCAACTTTTGTATCGTAACCAATGTTGGATATGCCTCTTCAACATCAAAAGAGGTAAATTCGTCGCATTGAAAGGGATTCGTGTTTGGTTCATCCAGGATATCCAACTGCGATCGAAGCATTTCTCGTCCGGTGCTACAAGGCTGTCCTTCTTTAAGGCAGTGAAAGGAATCGTCCTGCGAGGCATCAACGAGAAGATTTAACGCACAGCAAGTGAAGGATTTCTTGATGACATCCGTCGGCAACTCGGCCCATGCATCGATTATCCCTCGGATTATCCATTGCAAAATCTTTCGTTCTTCTTGGAGGCACTTTCAAGTTGCCAGCTGCTGTTTCTTCGTGTATGCGGCCGATGGTGCCTAGCCATTCGTCTTACTTTTCAGTACAAGAGGCTTCAAATGGCCTGTTCCAAGTTCCAACTCACGTCTGGTGCCTGAATGTACTTGTCACATCCTCCGGGAACAATTACACGATCGACTTTCTTTGCTTTCAGTGACTCATTAGCGCTATCTTCGATATGACATTCGTAGGAGTCCCAAGCTAACAATCTGCGGTTGAATGAGAATGCTCCAAGGACAGAGTTGATCCAAACTTGTGTCAATTCGCTGTTCATCCAAGCGTTGTCTGAAGTTGCAACGAAGTTGTCTGAAGTTGCTTTATGTTTGAACTCTTGACTCCGTGCAGCAACTTCTCGTTTTGCCCCTTTGAAAACCACCTTAGGTTTTAGCTTGGTTCCATCTGCTTTAGCAGCTGGAGTCTCGACAGACGGATACTCTTGCTTTTTCATGGCCTGTCGTTTTAAGAGTAAAAGGGTTTTAAGAGTTTGATTAAAGTAGTTTCAAGAGTGACTTCTACCACAAACTCTAAATACTTCAATATTTCCCGCAAATTTTCGCCTTCGCGATGGCACATTTGACGCTGGGATAGCCAAGCGGCATGTGGGTTAGAGGAATTGACACCATTAAAAAAGATTGATATGAATGTGTTAATGCGGAGGTGGGATATAACATGCCTAACAATGCTAACAATGCCGACAAAGCGGCCCAGCGACTTAGACAACACAAAAGCAAAAAAAAATGGCAAGGGCTTTGCCTGTAGAGTTCAAAATGAATTTTAAAGTAGAATATGAAACAGTTATCCGAGGACTTCGGGGGTGGCGCTCAAACAAGTAAATACGGTATAGGAAATTACCCTGGGTACGTGGAAATTTCCTTGCAGCTGGCAACCAACTGGCGGGGAGAGATCTGTTTTTAAAAGGAATATTTTATGCTTTTTCTCAAAAGTTCTTTGTTTCTCTCTTTTGTCGTTGCCATCCTCCTATGAGGATTAATCATATGCAAATAAGCTGTGACGAGAGTACTTAATATATTCTAATTCAAAGCTAATTCCTTATTGATCTTTTGTCGTTGCTTGTCGTTATCATACATATTACAACTGGCGGGTAAGCGATGAATAAGGCCTTGTCTACACGATGCCGGAACAATTTGAAAACGCAAAAATATTCATCCGTTAATTAAAATATAACGCTGAAGTTATTTGATCCCGCAATACACCTACATGTTTTCCACCCGCGTGTCACAGGTTGGATGTCGAGTTCAAAGCAAAAATCTACAAAACCCAAAGTAAACAACAAGAATGAGGACTTTGTTTAGACAGACAACAAGACCGAAACTCATAAATATTGTTATTGAGTATCTATTAAATGCATGTCGCGTGTATAAGAAATTGTGCATGTTCTGTTATATGGGGAGGTAAAAAGACCCTGGGTACAAGGTTGTGTGGAAACCTTGCGGCGAGTCCTGGGAGCCGTCCATCTCAGTCACTCAGTGTCAGTACGGTAAGCACATTCGCTGTGTCGCAGTGCCAAGTGACCGGCGTTTTGTATTTCACAATGTCTTCATCAACAACAATTTTCAGGCTGCTGTACGTTTGGGGGTTTCTTTACCTCGCTAAATGTGATTGGATTGACCTGAGTTATGTCTTCAACAATGAAACTATGTCCTGGGGAGACACCACAAGATTTCAGCACGAGCTTGTTTTTGAAGGTCCATTAAAAGCCAACAATGTAACGCTTGTTCCTTATTACACAGGTTATGATTATAGCTCTTCTGAGCACGCTGGCACTCACTTAGACTCACCGGTTCACTTCGCTGAAGGAAAATGGTCAGTAGATGAAATTCCAGCTGAAAATCTTGTTGGCGATGCTGTCGTTGTAAATATCTCCGCGAAAGCAGCCAAAGACCGCAACGCGGAAGTCACTGTAGATGATTTACGAAAATGGGAAAGGGAACATGGAACTATTCCAGTCGGCAGCATTCTGTTTGTCTTCACTGGTTGGGGGAAATATTGGACGAACTATGAGAAATATTTTGGCACAAATACTAAGAATACTTCGCTTTATCGTTTCCCAGGTATATACAGTATAGCCATACTAACTCTCCTGACGAAGGCCCTCAGGTCGAAACGTCGAGAAGTGTTTTGTCCATTTTAGGCAGTTGTTATACCACATACTACACCTTTTTTTTGCCTGAGGTTACTTAGGTAATCCTATTTCAGATTGTTAGAGGTTAGGACTCAGAAACGTATTCTTGAGTGAAGTGGTTTGACCTTACATAAAACAGAACCACTAAATATTCAGAAATATTAAATTAATACACCCTGAGGACGCTGCACGCACAATTGTCACTCTTAACAATTTCAAGATATCTCGTGGGCTTTCTGACTCACAAGACGAATTTTAGTCGGAAATTTTTCCCAAGAACTGATAGCTTAGCGTTACTAGGTAATTGTTTTTTCGGGGGCAGACTGGTCTGTACTAGCTGAGCGTAATTAATATGAACGCACAAAGGAGGTCGGTTTTGTAGATTAATTATAAATTTTATAATAACAAACACTTTTGTATCTCAGGAAATTTTTATCTTTTTTATCTCGAATTATTGAATTATTAAATTTCACTGAATTATTAAATGGACATTTACCTTTTTAAACGGCGGAAAGATATGCAGAGGTTATCATGTCGAGAAGTTTAAATTTCAAACGCTGTATGAGCTGACGCACGCGGGTTAGCCTTTAGGAGACTAACACTTGACTTCAGCGTTCTTACTTCTAAGAAAATCCCCTTAGAAAAGTGACCGGAGGGAGGAATATTCTTTTCAAATATTCTTTGTCTCAAGTCATTCAAAACAACCTCTCCCACAATAAAAGTATGCATATTTTAATAAGATTGTGAGAGCACTGCAATTGAGTGGCCCAAGTATCCAAACATTTATTCTTACACAAGATGTGTTTTAAAGCTCGAATGATTGTTCCTAGGTATCCACAAAGATGCTGCAACGTGGTTGGTTAACGACCGTAACATCAAAGCGGTTGGTATCGATACTCCGTCTATAGATTACGGAAAAGCCACGTCATATCCGACCCATCAGATTCTGTATGCAAAAAATATTTACGGTCTTGAGAACGTCGCTAACTTAGATCAGTTGCCAGTAACTGGAGCAATTGTCTATGCATTGCCAATGAAGATTGGGCGTGGCAGCGGAGCGCCTGTGAGGATCTTGGCAACAATCAAAAAGAAGTCGAACGAACCAAATGGAGTGGGAAATATTTGGTCATCTGGTCTGTTCGTAGTTGTGCTCGTAACCCTGGGAATGTTAGCTGTTTAGTAAGCTTCTTCTCCCACAGTTTTATACTTTTATTCCCTGACTTAGTTTTATGGACGAACATTACATTGGAAACGCCCATTGGAAACATATATCGTCTTTATTGATAAAACAGAGTATTGTCTTTATTGATTGTGCACCATAGTTAGTTACTAAACAAAATTATTTAATCCGTATATTTTTGGGGGGGGGAATTTATTTGTAATTATAATAAAAGTAATGCGCATTTACTTGTGAATGCATGGAATGGAATAATCACGTGCGAAACTATAAAGTACAGTTTGTTTGGAAAGTGGAAAGTTGAATTCAATTGGAGTACTATTATTAAACGAACCTCAAACGACCTTCAGCATTCGGGAAAATGTGAAAAAAATGCGTTCTTTATACGTTTTTTAACCTTAAATTAACATCCAAATATAGTTTGAATTGACATTAGAATAAGTTGTTTTGAAATTTGTCATAAACCCTAAGCTCATCGCCATATATTATTCACAGCAAGAATCACAACAGGTTAACGGGAAAAAAACATTGTCAATGATTTGGAGCTATTGAAGACTATAAAGTCAGGACCTTTCTGAGAAGTCACTCTAGCGGGCAAAAGCTAAATAATGAATCATGAATGCGGTAAAAGAGTTGAAGTGTATTGCAAGGTAAAAGATTTGAAGTGTATTGCAAGGTAAAAGATTTGAAGTGTATTATTTGGGCTATAATGAAATAACTTCGGCCAAGAACAGCGAATCCGTGATACCACTTGGGCACTATGCTCCTGCGCGTGATGTGCCCTCATTTCAAAAGAGCAAGCTTTTCTTTTTAATATGACTTTTTAAGTCATTATTTAGTGTGTGCTATTTTGAAATGTGATCGTTATTTGTATTGCCTATCATGCTCTATCATGAAGTATCGATCTTCTAACGAAGCTTTGGTGCTGACCTATTTAAACGCGGGAAAATTCAATTTTCAAAATGGCCAGTCGAGGTTATTTATCCAGACGTTCAAGGAAAACAAACAGTTCTGGCCAGAAGTCTAGTATAAAAGGCCAAAGAAAGAAAAAAATTCCGCCATGGGACGTAAGTATATAAGCTAAAAACAATTAAAAAACGACGATCTTTTCTCCTGGGGCAACTCTTCCTGTCTGCTGCTCGGCCTGCAGCCTGCTCCTTCTGAGTTCTGACCAGTGCCAGTGGTTCTGACCTGAGAAGTCTCACTGCATGTCTATAAAAGCCTTCAGGCGTTAGATATTAAAGTGAGTATTATTCACAAACAATTGAGGGTGAACAACTGACATTTAATTGTTGTGTTGGTCACATGCCATGTTTTAGGGCACCATATCAAATTTATTAGTTCACAAGCCAACAAAAGAGGAATTGGTATGTAACTGCAATAAAATGTTGAAGTTTTTATGCAAATGTTACTACATATAACTAAAGCAACAACCTAGAAATGAAAAGAAAACAAATCTTGTGGTTATACCTTTAATAGAGAAGAAGACATGAACTTCATCAACCAGTGCAAAGATCTGCACAGTCGCCAAATGGTTGTGATACAATTGGTGGGTTTTGCCAGTTTGCATCATTAACCTTTGTAAATTAGTATAATAGTTCATCTGAATTGCATGCTCAGATTAAAGTATAATACCAAAAATGCATGGCTACTCCTGCAAGGAAACTGCATGGTTTATATGATGACAGAAGCAGTTATTACATGTTTTTCTATACAAGGAAGTGAACTTAAAACATCGCTTGGATCATTCAGAACTCCGGAGAAGACGAGAGATGTGCGCTACTCTGTGTTAAGAGAACTTATGAATACTAATGAGAAGGTGAGTCAATATATTTGTGGCAAGTACATTTTCCAAATGGGATCTGATGTTTGAGTGGAGGAGTTTATATACAAAATTTCCAGCCATCTCAATAAAAACTATCATACAGCATTTAGCATGATTGTATCATGTATACACCTGTATTACACATCAGTTGGTATTCTAGTATTTAGCTGTGTTGGCCAGTATGTATCTGTATAGTTAGTAGTTATATGTATATATGTATACTAACTACATATACACTAAGTATATACCAACTATCTAATAAATAACCCCGATGTTAATTATGCTGATCAAATGCTATATCAGTTGCAGGAAGCTCTAACATACAGTGACAAAAAAATATCTGCTGTTCCTGATTTATTTGGAGATGATCCAAAGGTTTGTTGTTGCTAAACGTATATCACAAAGGTGTAGTCTGTCGTTTTGGTTGAACAACTGACTCAAACTGTAACTCATGACAAAGGCACTTGGTTCAAAATGTCGAGAGAGATTTTTTCACCTTATATGTTTCACCTTAGATAATATTTCCATTTAGAAATACAGAGGATTCCCGAATATTACTTGTGCCCCAGGGCTCAAGAGAAACACTGATTTAGAAACGGTGAAAAAACAGGCATTTATGAAAGAACCATCCGTTGGAGCTTCTAAACTGGATATTTTGAGTGATACAATCATGGGAGGAACGCCCTTAAATGACGTATCTGTGCTTCACCAAACTACTGGTAGGATCTCTTTTTTTAATATATATTTACGTTCTAATATATATTTACGTTTTAGTACTGTACACTGAGAGTAGAAATACTTGTTTAGCCAAGGGCCACGAAATAGAGGAGGCATTGCATCATAGCGTCCCTCCTCTTCCCGCTTCTCTACAAAAACCATAATAAATTTATGCCCTCTTTCCAGCGCCGAACGTGTTCTCTTGGGTTTTGGCATTACCTCGTTGTTATTATAAACTATTGAAGAAAGTTCCCGTTTGTCACTGTCCCTCCTCCCCTCAGCCCGAACTTTTTTATCAATGTACATTCTTTCATTACCTTACATGGGCTGTCATAAAAGCAAACCATTGCTTTAGTTCTTTTAGTTTTACCTGGGAATGCATGTTTTGTTTCATAGATAAAAACAACAATCACGGAGATTTTTCCAGTGATTCTTTTCACCCTGCGCCTCAGAATCTCGCCATCACGTCTCAAGCACCACCAAACTCTGGCAAACTCTCCACGAGTCCAAGCATACTTGCTGCTGCTCCTGGTCTCGCCCAGAACGAAGGTCTCTTTAACCGATTTTTGTAAATTCCGCGACATTTGAAGACTGAGATCGATTTTCTCCAGAAATTTCCAATGAGTGCTTCATTTTGAGATTTTGGTTGTAGAAAACTTCCTAGTATAGCAGTATTTTCGTGTAACTTGCATCAGGCCTCCACCGCATTCCCCTTTTGAAAGTGTATAAAATCAACATCTAGTCTACCAAATGTTGTTAAAATATTTGCACTGTATCTATTTTTATTACGATCGAGGCGTGTTTTAACGCGATATACAGATAATTGACAATACCTGGTATATAAGCACATCTACGTTTTAACCCGAATATATGCACGGGTTGTGAACTTTTACATGTTTAAACAAAATAAGAGATTGTTATAATTTATCACTCATTTTTTTCTTTTTTTATAAAGGAAATCAAAAAAACACAGAGAATTCACCAACTAAAGAAAAAGTATTTCATGAACGAAAAATGTAATTTGAACCTAAGTTATTTATAAAGTTATAACCATGCGTGCATGTTGCATGTGTTAGTTCCTGCCGAAGGAAAGTGCTTGTATGTTTTTGTCTGGTCTCGTCTAAAAATATATTGGATAATTTCTCGTTAAAATATTCTTCTTTCAAAATATTTCTCCTTTACCGATAGTCTGTTGAACGAGATATACCCAGAATAATTATACATGTACAGTAGGAGTTAATTAATATCTATTGCACCAACTGTCCATCACAGGCCGTGCGTTCTTCAACCTTTTGTAAAACAACACCCTTTTGTTCACATGCAAACGACAACAGTTAAAAATAGCATTTTAAATATTTTTTTCTCGAAAATACAGCAGCAGTGAATATCACCCAGTTCCAGAAGACCCAGTTCCAAACACTACCGCTTCTTCAATGCCTCCAGCTCTAAAGGGACTCCATGATTTACGTGAAGTATGTACATGCAGTAACGTATCTTGTACCAAGTCATTGAACCATTTTAAGATGGTATTGTACATATGAGATTGGGTTCCACTTTCGATTGCAGCCTGTCAAAGTATTTTTTTATTTTATATTGCATATAGATGGTTGATAATCTTGAAGAAGAGGTAAGATTGTTTGAACAAGAAACCGGTAGAGAGGAAACCTCGTTGCCTTTCGTAAAGGTGAGTTTAAAATATATACTCTCAGTTTTCTCAGCAGGGCACCTGCATCCACAGTAACACTTCACAAAAGGTCTTCATGCTATAGAATTCTATGTTATAGGAAGAGGAACATGAGCGTTTTTCTCTTAATTTTTGCTTTATTTGGTTTCAGAATGGAAAAGAATCGTTTGGTGGTTTCACAGTATCTATCTTGCATGCTGTTACAAAACTAGTTGGATACTTAAGAGATGTAAGTTGAAGTACAACCTCAAACTTACTGGGATAAATAAGACTTTTTCTGAGATAGCAATTGTCTAAATTGTGTTTCTGCAGTGTGAGAACCGACGGAAACTGGATATGACTTGGAAACAGGAGATATTCCTTACCCTGCAACAGCAGCAAATATTGATCGATGCGCTGACGAATGTAAGTTCATTGTCAACTTGTTATTACAGTGCCATACATGCAGTTTGCTCGAATTGCAGGAACCATGTAATTTTTCGCACACTTTCTAGTTTACTCTCATTAATAAAAATGCACGTAATTACACTGATATACTGTAGCCACTTGCAGTAGTAGCGCATCTATAATTTTGAATTTCGCCTTTATTCTGTTTTATTCTCATGAGTACAATTCAAGGAGTTCAAAAATTGAGTTTAAAAATTTAGGAGGAAGGGACCGTGTTAATAATGTCGACGCCGTGTATACGAACATGCAGTTATGTCGAAAGTTTAAAACCGGATTCAGTTCCGTCACTTTTTATACTTTCGAAATGCATTCCTTGAAGTATAATTTATGATTTTTCCAATGAAATTCAGTTATGAGGAAAAGTCACATGCAGTGCAAGGAAATTTGGTATGACGTCGGAATATTTGTATAAATTTTATTTTACATGCATTAAGACCAAAACAGTCACACAGTGGAGTAGAGAGCAAAGTGATTCAAATATGTTCGAGCTAATATGTCTTTTTATGTTGATCATGATGATAGCCTATTATGGCTATGAAGAGCCCAATCGCTATGGCTCATTTGCTCCTATCCGTGAAAATAGCCAAGCCGCGTGGTATGTTGACGGGAAAGATTACATGTCTGCCGTAGCAGACGCCATTGAGCAAGCCGAGTCAGAAATTTTAATCACCGACTGGCAAATGAATCCTGAAATTTTCATGAAAAGACCTGATTCCGGAGTTGATGATATGTACTGGCGTCTGGACAAGATGCTGTTAAGAAAAGCTGAAGCGAAAGTTAAAGTTTATATCTTATTATACTGGGAAATGAAAAAGGTTTTTGATCTCGGAAGTGATCACGTTGTTGATCTGTTCGCTAAACATGAAAATATTTTTGTCTATCGTCATCCCGACAGCGTTTCCGGAGCGCGAAATTTATTCCGGTGGAGTCATCATGAAAAGATTGTGATTGTTGATCAAAGTATTGCATTTGTCGGTGGTATTGATCTGTGTTATGGCCGTTGGGATACGCGTAAACATGAATTAATGGATCATTTTCTCGTTCATTCTGCTGCTGTGGATGAAAACGAGTCCCCCCCGGGTGAAAGTCATGAAAATTGTGCTCGTTGGATTGGGAAAGATTACAGAAATACGTTTTATAACAAGGAGAAGCGAACGGACTGGGATAACCTCTTAGAAGGTTACGAAGGAGTTGAAAGATATCACGTTCCTCGCATGCCTTGGCATGATGTGAGCTGTGCATTCACTGGCGATGCTGTACAAGATGCTGTGAAACATTTCAACGACAGATATAATACTTTAATCAATTCTTGGTGGCAGACGTATTGGGACTCGTTTCGTCAGTACTTTCAAAACACCAATCTGGTTAAAAAGCTTCTTCCGAGCAAGAGGATCAGCAAAGTAGAAAAAATTGTGTCGGATGGCAAAAGATTTAATGTGAAGATTCAATTTCTGCGATCCGTGAGTGAATGGTCTGCTGGTCAAAAACGCGAAGCCTCCATTTACAATGCATATATAGATGCGATAAAGAAAGCCAAACATTTCATTTACATTGAAAGTCAGTTTTTTATTTCGTCTCAAGAAGGTTTCTGGCGTAGTGTTCAAAACAAGATCCAAGGAGCGTTAGTTGAAAGAATTGTCCGCGCTCACAAAGCCAATGAAGATTTTCATGTCATGGTCATCACTCCTTTGAAACCTGAGATTGGCGGCACTCTGGACGGCACTGATTGGAATAGTGATGCTCTACAAGCAGTAACGTTTTGGAACCAGGCGACCATCTACCAAGGAAAAGACTCGTTGTTTAGTAAGCTTGAGAAGGAAAATATTTCAAAAGAAGCTGCAATGGAGTACTTTTCAGTGTTCAGCTTACGTACGTATGATCTGATTGGAGATCATTTTGTCACTGAGATTGTGTATGTCCATAGTAAGATTATGATTGTCGATGATCGTTTCGCAATCATTGGATCAGCGAATATCAATGATCGCAGTATGCTAGGGGATCGAGATTCCGAAGTCGCAGTTGTGATAGAAGATATGGAATTTATTGACGGTAGAATGAACGGTGTTGAATACAAGATGGGAAAGTTTGCTCATAGCTTGAGGTGTGATCTCCTGAGAGAGCATTTAGGATTGCTCGAGACCGGCGAAGGTGAATTTGATGTGAGTGATCCTCTGGACAAGAGTTTTATTTTTGGTGTGTATACTCGCGCAGAATCGAATACAATTATTTTCAAAAATGAATTTGGTGCAGGTTGGTCACATGGAGAGAAGAATACTGAAGATTCTGAAGCGTTGAAGCGTCGTCATAAAGATACTCCTTTGCTTCTGGACAGTTTGAAGGAGATAAAAGGAAATATCGTGAATTATCCTTGCTTATTCTTGCATGGTCAAGCGAATTCTCTAAAACCATCCGTGTTGGATTTTAGCAACATGTATGTCAATCACCAGCCTGTACAACAGCACGGTGCACGATACACTTACGCATAACTAGATTTCAGATTTCGTAGAATTATTTGAATGTAAACAACGTATAAAAATATGTAAAAAATATGTTTGTTAAGCTCCAAATTAAATCAAGTACTTACTGCAGCGAAAATCTACGTAAAAGACCATGCATGTATATGCTAATGCAGCAATAACTGAAATACGGCTTGTATGAAACACTACCATTCTTTGGTGCATGATTCGACTGCACTTGCATACTAATTGCTGTGAATAACTTCTCTATTATTTGATATTTTTGTAATAGATTAGTTTATATTAGTTTCGTTTTTACATAAATAATGTTTTCAAAATGAGTTGAAGTCAAATGTTTATATTATTTTTTATATTCATCTTCACGCGCGATGATGGTTTGATAGACCTGATCATTTCAAGTACAGAAGTGATTTAGAGGTGCTTGTTATATCCCGTACAAGAGACACTAACTTACCCACGTATTGTATGCCAACATATTCCGATTATATTGACCGTCCTTGGAACAAGAAAAACATCCATCTAGTTTAACCTTTTTATACCGCCGCGGTCGTATATTAATTGTGTGTGAAATTTATAACAATATATATTTGTTCCGCATTCTTGGTAGGAGGTTATTTGTATACAAGAAGAAAATCGAAAACTTTATCAAGTATTGGAAACATCGCAGGAGGATACTAAAAACCAAATGAAATCATTCAAGGTTTTGATTGTGTCACTAATTCTTTTTATTTTTTTGCAGTTTTAAGAATGAGCGCATGATGACGAGAAGTCCAGAAATTTTCAATGACTGCATGGTTTCTTCATCATTTTTATTGACTGGTTTCTTCATTTTAGCCCGAACTGTGTGATGAACGAAAGAACGATGATCACGACGAGATATCCCCAGGTGTCATGGGTTCTCTTTTTGATCAAAATAAAGATACTTCGCAAACTGGTTATTCGCACGAAGCATTGCATACTGATCATGAAATTCCTGGTGCAAGATCTAACGATGATGTGGTCACGGTAATGTTGTAATAGAAGTACAACTGCCATACTATACTAATACTTCCAGTTTTAGTGGTACTTTACCGAAATAGGATCACGAAGATCTGCTAAATATTGTGCAGTTAAAACAGTCAAATCTGCGATACCTAAATCATAGGTTTAGCGCGATGTATTTTATTCCTATTTTTTGAAGGTATTTCAAATTGATGTTCACCCTTATGGAGAAGCCTTTCGGTATACATAATAATTCTCTGCCCTCTATATTTTACATATTTAGATGTCGGAACAAACAACTGGCAAAAACGTGAACGGTTGTGTTAAGTCCAGTGAATCAACAGCAGCAGGCACAACCACATCTGACGAATTAGCGGCAAGAACCTCTCTTCAAAGTAAACCTGTATCACCTCCTTTGGGTAATATAAGCTCAAACGCTAGTGATTATTGTAACAATCAGGCCCCTGAGCTTAACAGAATTCCGCAGTTTACTAAACAACAGAAGACAAGAATAACTGATGCTTTTGGAAATCATTACTCGCATCATCCTGTGAGGGAGCATCACAATTCTCCCGTGCATAACCAAACACTTCATAATATCGACACAGTAGCCAAACACAGTGCCGAGACCTTCCAGCTAAATCACCAATCACATTCTGGAACTACATCACGTGGTGAATTAACGATGCCAGAAGGTACAACGCTGAATACATCAGAAGTGTTCACATATTACAATCCTGTCGTAACAAACACGTCAGGGAATGATAGAACCTCACCTTCTGCCAGTGATAATGACTTAGAGCGAACGAGCGTGTTTATTAGTCGAAACCAAACAACTTCACCTCACCGGCGTGGAAGACAAGGTAAAAGCACTCTGTTTATCTTGCCTTTGCGATACTTACAGTGAAGTGTCCTTCATCTAAGACTTTGTCCACCGCAGATAAGAATTTTCCAAGGGAAGAACTTCACAAGGAGTCACAAAAAGATGATGGTAGTACCGGTGTAAACTTCCGCAGACAGTCAAATGTATCACCTGACATTTCTCCGGTATTGTTTGATGGAAAACTCTTATCCGACAGACCTGGGCAAGAAAAAGTCGTTGTCAGGTTGCCTTCAATGTGGCAGCAGGATTATGACAAAAGGTGTGAGAATTAACGTGCTCAAAAGTAGTGATTTAATTCAGCCGCATCTCATCAGCCGTTAAATTGCTTCGTTCGCGTTCCCAACTTATTCTGAAATAGTATACAGATAATATAGGTGACACTGACATCTGCATGGTCTCATTCAAGGCTGGATTTCCACTTGCAGAGAAATGGTTCGCTAGCGAAATATTGCCATATTTATTCTGTCAAAAAGGTCTTGTAGAAATTCGCCCGAATAAGTTCGTTGAAGCTAAAGACTTATTCACTTTTTTATTTTTAGAACTCCAAAACATGATACGACAAACTTCGCCAAGCCAGCTGTAAAACAAGTAAGTGATACCATAATCTATATGTTGTAAAAAATTCTTTCATTAGCTATTTTTGACAGTATAATACACACGAAATTCTAGTTATTTCAAAACCTACAAAATGCATTTTCGCGTGAATCCTGGGCTTTTATCTTCTATAATATGAAACCACACTAGCTGCTGCAAATATTTCGTAGACCCGAATCACCCCGCTCCGAACTTTCTGTGAAAAGTAAATCTTTGCAAGATTAGAATCTAAAAATCCATTCCGAGAGTATCAAGCCAATGCTATAGCAATAAATGCCTCGAAGATTGTCAAAACAAGCACGTCTCTCCCAATATACAAATAATGTATATTTTACTATCAAAGATTTGTCGTTTTTATTTTGTGGGCCCAAAAATATATATCTTCGTGAGAAAATTAAAATGCAGGGTTTTTGGTTTTTAGAAACCCGATATTAGTGGCAATGGATGGTTTGCATTATCGTCCCATGTTGACTCGAGAAAAACGTGAAGTAATTTTTTGAAATTCTGATCTTTCATCAACATTTGATTGGATTATAACCACTAAATATTAGCGATACCTGATAGATGTATAGATGAAGACTTGCCGAAGCGACTAGCCTAGGATTCGGGTCCAAATTTGAGTTCAAGATTGGAATGTTTGACCTCAGACACGTGTGTTTACACTACGAGGCATTCCAAAGAGACTGTTCTAAAATTTTAAATGAGCATGCTTATATATTTCCTTTGAGATTCAAACCTTCCTAAATTTCAAGAATCGTAGTTGTCAATTTCCGTGTTTCTCGGTTGCGCAATCCAGTTTTATTAATTTATTTATAGTTCAATGTTCCCGAGCAGTAACCATGGAAGCAGACAGTTTTTTTGCGAGTTCGCCTTGAAAATGAATTGGGAAAACATTGAATAGACTTATTCATTGACAATCCTATGTAATGAGCTCTTAGCCATGCAGCTCAAAAAATCTGAGACAAAAGATATGCACATATCAACCAAAATTTTTCTAGTCGTTCTAGTCGAATTACGACTAATCTGTGCAATACTCTTTGGGGGAAGCAATGCTGGACTACATGATCTATAATTTATTTCCCAGCCTCGCATAAAAAAATAAAACACGACTGAGTTTAAAAGATATTTTTTATGATAATATATGGATAATGCTATATACGAAAGTGCTTATACAGTTATATGCAAGTACAACATGAAAACCTAAAAAGTCAGTTAGTCATAATACAGTGCATATAACGTTGCCACGGCAAACAGTTCACTGTTTTGATAGCATGAAGATGCGAAGTTATCATACAATGTATTCCACAGACAACGGCTACCGAAGCGAGCACTGCCTAAAAATGAAGATTTCATTTCGCCCACATTAACAATACAAATCAACTTATATCTTTTCAATTCATAACTTCTCTGTACTTCCATTTTGATCTCTTCAGCCAATTCTTTACTGATCTCTTTGCCGTTAGCTGGATCATAACTCTTTCCCTTTAAACGAGATTCAAGAATCTCATTGATCTTTGTTTCAATAGCCATCATTGGGAAGAAATGATCTGGTGTCATTTTGTACTCCCGAACTGGACCCTTCTTGTGTTCGATATCACGACTAGAGTGTGTTAGGTTCTGTCTTGAGCTGACTAACAATCTGCCGTCGCTTGATGATAAAAATCCTTCATCGTTTAAACCTGTGTTTAAACCAAGAAGCCTGCAAGATCCTGGTATATCATGATGAATTAGGATCGCTTTGCCGGTTTTTTCACGTCGACGTCTATCAGCCACTAGAAACTGAGCACGTCTTTTGATCTTTATTGCCAACTTACGAGCCCGTATCATTCCAATCAGACTTGGTTTTCCCGAATTACTTCGAGAACTGGAGGCATTGCGATAAGTAAACATCTTCTGATTGGGAGATATTCGTTTGTATAACGTCCTCAAATACGTCTTTCGTCGTTTCACAAAAGTTCGGCGTTTACGCGACGAAAATAGTGATGCGTTAACACGAAATAAAATGTATATAATTTCAATTTCGTTTATTATGACTGTTTTCTGAGCAGGTGACTATTTAAAATAGGACAGCTGCAGCTATACTTTATGCAAAGTATTTAAAAACGTTTATCATGATAATTTAAAATGTGCATACTCATGCAATGTGCAAGTGCGCCATACATACGCGGGGTTCGGAAGGCCTTGTGCAGTGAAGGCCGCGGCCTCCGCTTGCACGTACGTACAAGAAATCGCAGGTACGGCTTACGCGTTGACGGTATATTTCATAATAACGAAGTCGAAGTTCTTAAAGCCTTCAGACATTATTGGTAGAAGTTCTGGATTGTTATTACTAAAATCATAGTCGTCATGAGTGCCTGGAAGTTGGAACATTCGGCCGCAGAAGCAATTTTCGCCGCTTGAGTGGCAATATATTTTAGGACAAGGTTGATCAATAAATGAATGAATGTACCTATTGTATGGAAAATTAACATTTTAAGGACTGTTTACACGATCCTGCTCACGTTTAGCATTATTATTCAAAGTGTCCCAAAAAATATGAAATATATAAAATACCACGAATAAAATGACAAGTTAATGAAAACAAAGAAATCCAAAAAATTGTTTATAACAAAATGATAAATAATCAAATTGCTATATATATATATATATCCGGCATGGTTGCAAAGTGTATGTGATTTTAATGTTTTTCATATTTAGTAAAATTGCAAAAATGAAAGATTTTTAACGAAAAGTGGATTAATTAATGGGGCTACTGGGGTTTACATGACGCGCATTGCCAAGATTCAACGAAACGTGAGATGACTTTGATTTATTGGAATGATTGTATAACATGATCCTGCATGGCAGACTTGGCAGTGGTTTAGTTATCCTGAGTCCTGACAATAACATGTGCTTGTTTTGTTTCACAAAAACAAATTTTAATACCTTAAAGTAATCTTACGCTTCGTTGAATCCCGGGTAACGACGGGCTTGTGTAAACAGCCACTAAAGCCTGTCGCAGACTGGCTTAACTTAGGTCTTTAGGACTCTTCGCAATGACAGCATGCGTGTCTGCTAAGTTCACTAGTGTGCGCCAGGCCTAACAAGTAACAGCTAGATATGAAGCAATATAATCTCATAAGCACAGCCATGCGCGACGTATTCATATCACGTCCATTGGATCATAGAACGAGGTATAGGATATTCTCGGAAGGAACAAACACTCACGTGCAGCCATGTAGGCACTCGCAACCGACGCGAAATATATACACGTGCAAGATTCGGATGATTCGTTTTTGCCGCTAAATATTTCTTTGAGCATTTATAAATCTTTTTGCTCTGCAGATTTGAAGACTACATAAATGCAAAGAAATTTCTGCCGTGCCGCACTTGAGAGCGGTTCTATTAAATTTTCTCTTTTTGAGTGAGCATTACAGTGCCAATATCTAAGTATAACAAGACGCCGTTCTGGCGTTAACTCCGGCGCACGTGCCAGTCTTCAATATGGAGCTTCTGAACATAAAAAATTCAGTTCGCGTATTGTTTCGCATACATATTCGCATTTAGATGCCTTGCGAACCTAAATGTTCGATGGCGAAATTCAGAAGCACATCGCAGTATAAAAGTTCAATTGTTCAAAAATGTAAATAAACCGCATGATACATTCGCTTCGTCTTACACTTTGCTTTGGAATTCGCGCTTATATAGTTATATTAAATCTTCGATCCTGTGCAAACTACGCGACGTGTCAACGCGCCCATACACGACCACATCATTTTGTTAAACGGCGAAATAGCAGCGATATTATTAAATTAGGACCGGGTCTACATGTATTAAATATATTCTTACCCCAATTCAATCTAAACTTAATCGAACAGCATGAAAAGAACGGTTTATTTGCTCCTCTTGAAGGAATTGCCGTATCATGCGAGCGAAATCGAATCGCGCATTGGAAAATTAGCCAAAGCTGTGCACCACAACTCTTCGGAGATAAGACTGGGACGTAAATAAATACGGTCACATACACATTTTAAATACTAGTATATTTCGCGCCATTACAGACTTGCGACGACGAAAAAAAAAAAAACAAAACCGGGGCGAATTTTCAACTCCGTCGCTGACGCCGGAGTAATTATCAATTTTGTAGGTATAATAAGGTTTTATGCCCATCTCTTGTGTAATAGTGTTTATTCGTAAAAATAAGACGTTTAAACCAGGATTATGTCCCCTATATCTACATTATACACCTATTTAGCGTTTTCTGCACGGGAACACGTTGCATGTAAGGGGGGAGGGGTAGACTCTAATTCTGGCGAACAAGAGATAGTGGAAACGCAGTCTCTTAAATTTTGGTAAGGTCGTGCAACTTCAAATTAACTTTGGGAAAATTATGTTTTGATATGAACGCTTTTCCTAGAAACTTTTGTCATATAATTTAGGAGCAACAACGATGCAACCGTTTTTAAAGTACATGAAAGGGACAATAATACATAAAATGTTAATGAAGGAAGGGAGTGTAATATTTTTAGGATAAGGTTGATCGATTGATGAATAAATTAATGAATATAGCTATTGTATGGAAAATTAATACGATCCTGGTCACGTTTAGCATTTTACAGAAGTGTCCCAATAACCTCAAAACTATATTGAGATCACCCATGATGGCAATGAAATTTGTTTCTACCCATGCACAAATCATTTTCATTAACAATAAATTATGTTTACACTTTACAAATATGGAAAACAATAATTAAATTTACATCTCAAGCACCGTGACCTTCTCTAGCCGTAATTTTAAACTTTTGTATTATAATTTGCGCGCGTCAACCCCAGAGGAAAAAATTTATTAACAGTGCTTCAAATGTAAACAATATAAGTGACTTCAATATACCTTTGGCTTTCTTGTCAGATTGATTTATTAAAATTCATTTTGCAGTTGAGACTTGAGAACTGAATTACATGCATGGAGAAAAAATCTTTACATTACTGCATGAATATAAAGTGCAAAACATTGAAAGTTCTAACTCTATACATATAACTAACTAAACGTGCAAACAGGATCGTGTAAACAGTCCTTAAAATGTCAATTTTCCAACAATACTCAATAGGTACATTTATTCGTAATTAATAATACGACCCTGGTCACGTTTAGCATTTTACAGAAGTGTCCCAAGAGCCTCAAAACTATATTGAGATCACCCATGATGGCAATGAAATTTGTTTCTACCCATGCACAAATCATTTTCATTAACAATAAATTATGTTTACACTTTACAAATATGGAAAACAATAATTAAATTTACATCTCAAGCACCGTGACCTTCTCTAGCCGTAATTTTAAACTTTTGTATTATGATTTGCGCGCGTCAACCCCAGAGGAAAAAATTTGCTAACAGTGCTTCAAATGTAAACAATATAGGTGATTTCAATACACCTTTGGCTTTCTTGTCAGATTGGTTTATTAAAATCCATTTTGCAGTTGAGACTTGAAAACAGAATTACATGCATGGAGAAAAAATCTTTACATTACTGCATGAATATAAAGTGCAAAACATTAAAAGTTCTAACTCTATATATAACTAACTAAACGTGCAAACAGGATCGTGTAAACAGTCCTTAAAATGTCAAATTTCCAACAATAGGTACATTTATTCGTAATTAATAATACGATCCTGGTCACGTTTAGCATTTTATAGAAGTGTCCCAAAAACCTCAAAACTATATTGAAATCACCCATGATGGCAATGAAATTTGTTTCTACCCATGCACAAATCATTTTCTTACAAATATGGAAAACAATAATTAAATTTACATCTCAAGCACCGTGACCTTCTCTAGCCGTAATTTTAAACTTTTGTATTATAATTTGCGCGCGTTGACCCCAGAGGAAAAAATTTGCTAACAGTGCTTCAAATGTAAACAAAATAAGTGACCTAAATATACCTTTGGCTTTCTTGTCAGATTGATTTATTAAAATCCATTTTGCAGTTGAGACTTGAAAACAGAATTACATGCATGGAGAAAAAATCTTTACATTACTGCATGAATATAAAGTGCAAAACATTGAAAGTTCTAACTCTATATATAACTAACTAAACGTGCAAACAGGATCGTGTAAACAGTCCTTAAAATGTCAATTTTCCAACAATAGGTACATTTATTCATTAATTGATAAACCTTGGCCTAAAATATATTGCTGCTCAAGCGGCGGAAATTAATCCTGCAGCTGAATGTTCCAAGAATTCATGACTATGATTTTAGTAATAACAATCCAGAACTTCTACTATAATAATGTCTGAAGGCTTTAAGAACTTTCTTATTATCAAATATAGTTAGTTATATATAGAGTTAAAATTTCATTGTATTTGCACTTTATATTAATTCATGCAGTAATGTAAAGATTTTTTCTCCATGCATGCATGTGATTCAGTTCTCAAGTCTTGACTGCAAAATGGATTTTAATAAATCAATCTCACAAGAAAGTCAGAAGTATTGAAGTCACTTATATTTTTTTAAATTTGAAGCCCTGTTAGCAAATTTTTTCCTCACTACGCCGACAAACACAATAGATGCATCATCGAAGCGTTTTTTCAGAATCGTTTAAGACAGGCACGACCGGAAATTCATTGTAAAACTTAGATTTTAAGACTGGGTGGTATTCTACCATATGCACACAACACTTCAGGATCTCGTTGAGAGCACATGCAGGCAAGAGAAAATGGCCAAACTATTTCTTCTGTTGGTTTTACAACTCGTTGTTTTTCATGTTACGTTGTAAGTATTATATCCAAATTCAATGCATGTGCACGATATTTTATTCATTCTGTGTTGTATTTCAGACCATTTTATCATAATTTATTTATACAATGTGTTAATGCAGGCATGTATAACCGTGCGGTCATTTCTTGATTTGAACAATTGATTCTGCAGTGCAAAACACATCAACAGACTAGAGTTTCAACATGAAAAAGCAAGACTATATTTTGACAATCTGGCTGAGATGCTTGATGAACGACATTTCTTAACGCCATCGGCTGGATCACAAGACGAAAGAAAAGATAGAGTGCAAAAAGTGCCACACCTTGATATGGAAAAATACTTCCAAAGATTAAACGACCTCGTTGCAGAACAATCAGCGTTGAACGATGAACCAGAACTTGAAGAAGACTCGGAATATCATGGATTCAAGAAAGATGCAGAAAAAATCGCCAATCTAGCTATGAATGACGAGAGTTCGATGCCAGAAGAAGCAAATGAATGTAATTTTGATACGACTAATATTTAATTTTTCTCTTTGCCTTAACTATATTGTGAATAACACGAATGCGTAATTTTCAGGTGACCATTACTTATATATATGCATTGTATTAGAATGCATTGTATATATGCGCTTTTATCGTATCAGTGAGAATATTTTTAGACATTCATTTATTACAAAATTTATTCAACCATGCTAGCCATTTACAACAGGTACAATTTAATGATTTTCATATGGGGTGTGTATCATTTAGCAAACAGACAATACTCACTTTGCTTGGGTCTCTAGCATGGTATAGGAATGCTGCGTTTAAATTGATAAATCGAGGATGCCTTTTTCGCCTCAGATGGAAAGTTATTTCACAGCAATGCACAGCTATACCTAAAACTCTGTTTGGGATCGTTTGTTAGGTTTTGGAAGTGCTAAATCGGTATCGTTATTGCACTCATTACTTTGCAGATAATTATGCGTGGGGTCAGTCCACTGATCTGTGGGTCGGTCGCGCACAACTATATCATTTTCGATTTTTCGTACAATATTGGGTTTCGTGGGAGGCCTCGATTAGAAACAATTAATGGGTTTAGTAGTTACGTTAGTTAGTATGCTAGGTTGAGTTAGTTGTATAGGTTGAGCATACAACTTAGACTGATTTTACTGTAAATAAGGATCGAGATGATGCATCGCTGGATTAGTCATGAATATATATCGCATTTCGGAAACCCATCAATTCTCTCCTAAACTAAACTGTAATATCAATACATTCATCCTACAATGAAGTGCATGATTCTGTTGCTTCTCGCTAGATGCAGTTATTATATGAATAATTTTTACTTCTGCATGAACTATAACATGTACAATTATTTTTTAAATTTTTGTGAATGAAGTTTTGTCATGATAGAAGTATATACATTTAGGCCTTGTTCAAAAATTTTTCTTTATTATTTTTCTCATTAGTATTCGAAAATGTAATGAGCAAGAACATCATGAAAGAAGCTTTCTCATTGGCAGGAAAAGAAAGCCAAGGTAGGAACCACGCATGCATTTTGATTGCAGGTAGAAATTGACAGATCGCGCATCAAATGTAATTATTAACTGCTTAAAAATACACAGACAAAAAGAATTGTTTGGTAACTCTGAATGTCGTATTTGTGTGCTTTTTATTTTATGCAACCCCAGATTTTAATCAGTTGTTTGCCCCTAGAACCGCGCAGACATAATACTCAATTACAGTAAAATAATTATTTGTTCTTTTAGACGACGAGTGTCCTGTTGGCAACCTCGTTCCCAGGGCCTTTATTGAAAACGCGGAGGGGGGGAGAAGAGAAAAAGGCCCTGGCACCGGCTGGCATATGTAGCCATTTGATTGGTCAACTGTATCACGCAATTAATTTATGCGATAAGGAATATTTGCATAATTATGTCGAGAAAAAAACTAAGAAAAGCGAAAAAATATCGGGATTGTAGTGTGCAAAAAAGTTATTACGAGTTTCTGTCTTTGAAAACCAGAATGGCAGAAACTCCAAAAAAGATAACAGCTCGGACGTCATGTCGACTGTGCGGCTCATTGTACGAAAGTCATCCGATTTAAACAAGCTTTCCGCTACTTTCATACGATGATCAACAAGCTGGAGAACTTCTGCCTCAATACCGATGTTCTTAGCAACCTTTAACTGGTCCTCGATGATTGCGTTTAAAGGACAGACAACAATAACGATATTTTTGTCAGCTTTGGTCGGCAAGAAATTTGGCAGAAGTTGAAACAGAAGAGATTTGCCAAAGCCAGTTGGTAAAACAGCAACGACGTCAAATCCGTTTAGTATGTGCTCAAAACATTTAATCTGTAACGGCTTTAAGACAAACGATGGGAAACCTCCCATATTTAAAGCATTATGAAGTCGCTGCAGCACGTGTAAGTGGTGTAAACACTTCGAAGGGTCGGCCATCTTGGAATATTTAATTATCGATTTAAAACCACGATTCGTGGTTTTAGAATCAGCCGGTGCCAGGGCCTTTTTCTCTTTTCCCCCCCTCCGCGTTTTCAATAAAGGCCCTGGGAACGAGGTTGTCCTGTTGGTACAATTTACACATACTTCCAGATGGTTTTTTTTAATAACCACAGCCTCGCCGGCGAAATACTAGATGCACTTGATATGTTAAAACCTGCTAAATTTAAAATTAAGCTTAATAAATTAAAAAATATGATGAAGAAATGTTTCGATTGGAGCGTAAAAAAAATTGCGTTCCGACTAATGAAATACAGACTTACGTCACCATTAGATAATCCACCGGAATTCCCGACAAAAACTGATAATTTAATAGAAGCAATCGCGGCCCCTGTTCTGAAACAGAAGTCTGCTCTAGTTGTTGTGCACAGTTTAATTAACGGCTTTAAAGATTACAATATTAAAACACCATTTAAGCTAACTTGGCCATTCTTGTGGCTGGGTAATTCCATACGAAATAAACAACTATCAGGCAGTTATCTTGCACCTGGAAACCAGCCAAATTTGAGCACGTATGACGGATATGCGGATTTCCTTGATGAATACAGAACAAAGCAACAAGTAAGCAAATCTTACTTAGTCTTAGATGTTTATACCAGATGCAACATGAAAATATTATTTAGGGTGTGATTTCATGTGCGATTTTCTTCTTTTGGTAGATGTGAACGAGTGAATTAGTTACTGATGTTCAAATAAGAGCTCTTATATACATCAGAACATTCGTAACTAATTACTCATTCACATCTATCAAAAGAAGAAGTTCGAAGCAAAAATCGCAAGTGTAAGGCATATTATGAGTGAAAGAGATATACCATGTATATTGTTTTATTTTTAGGGTAAATTGTTTGGTATTTTTCCAACGAAAGATTTTATTCATTACCCGCTGGCCGAGGATCCAATCTTTGATGATATCACCCGGGATAAGAGATGGCAGTCTGATGACGTGTTCACACAGCAAAGATTAGCTGGATTAAACCCAATGTCTTTGAGAAAATTGTGTGAAGGCGGTAAGAAAAGCTCGTTTCTTTCTGCAGCTTGTTTTGACAAAAGTTAGCCTTCTTTTTTCGTCTGTTTAACTCATCTTAAATCTTGTTACAGATTTTCTTACCTGTAACACAGAATACCTATGATTTTTCATCTATGCCTAGCTGTAAGCATGCAGCCTCTGGGTTTGGAAAAATTGTTCGCATGACAAATATATAGACAAATTTCCAAGTTAATATTTTTCGTGGATAATGAGTCAATAAAATATTGTTCCTAAATCATTCACTTTGAATTTCAGATTCGATTTTTGACTCACTGGGACGAGGCAATGCGCAGTGTTTCAGGTAGTTCGTTCAATGAGGTGAGGTGAAGTAATCCTGAGATTGTACAATTGTGCTTCTATTTTTTGCATGTTTATACCAATTTCTTTATATTATACTTTACAGATTGTTTTTCAAATAGTCTTTCCATCACTTTTTAGAATTACTCGATATTTTGTAATATTTTGTGTTCAGAAACCTAATTGCATGCTTGAGGGTTTTCCCCAGTTATTTTTCAGTTATTTATAGTGCAATATGATACATTTTTAACTGATCTCTATTGTTGCTTTTTCTTTTATTTTAAGATGGTTAAAAGCGGAAAGGTTTTTGTTTTGGATTATCCTTTACTAAAAGGGCTTACTAATATGCCAAAAAATATAGAAGCAAATTCTCCACACAAAAGACCTTTGAGGGACGCAATAAGCCCGATTACTGTGTTTGCCTCAGTTCCTGAAGACGACAAGGGAAATACTCTAAAACCTGTGGCAATACAGATGGATATGAGTCCAGGTATTTTGCATGCAGGGTTTTTCAACTGTTATTATTTTACTAAAAGCTAGAGAACAATGATAATGTATATATTTGATATTTTTATATGAAAAATTTGAGAAAAATTATATATAATGGTATAATAGAACGAATAGGAATGCTATTAATGGCAATGGCAAAATCATACGACTACGAGTGATTAGAAAATCGACTGATCGGAACACAACTGTAAGGTGGCGATTAATGATTAACAGCATTCCTCTTAACCAATGAAATTGCAGAATTTGCCCCTGCATGATTACAAGGAAAATGTTTTATTGCTCTATTAGAGAAATACTTTTCTCATATACCTCTCTCTATACATGGATATATTACCTAATACATGGAAGCTACCTTAAAATAAACGTTCCTCCTATATTATCTAATAATATTTATAACTAAATCTGATTTTAAGGCACGCGTTTAAATTGTGAAATATATACTTATAGCTGATGATGGTTTTGTGGTGTGGTGTGGTGTAAACCTAAGTTCAGAACAATAGGACATGAATATGCGGCAAAATATTCATGCTTTCGACATTTTCCAATATGCAAGTGAGCTTCTTGCATTTTTACTTGACTCTGGGTATACACCGTCGCCGTTCAAGCACACATTTTTGGGCGTAGGTATACTTAAACGTCTTGGAGAAGTCGTACCTGATATTAGGCTCCCAGGTGTATCAGTATAAAGATTGTAAATTAAATGAATGAGTCATATTATTCTCCCCAATTCAGATGAGGATGTCTTTACACCAAACGATGGCAAGAAATGGCTGATGGCTAAAGAAGAAGTTCAACTGGCTGACATTGTCTATGTAGAAATAATTAAACATCTTTTAAAAACTCATCTGCTTATGGAGCCAATTTGCGTCATCATGTATCGAACATTCTCCAAATTGCATCCTTTGTACCAGTTATTAAACCCACATTGCAAATACCTTTCTGTTACTAACAGTGTCGGAGTTCCGGCCCTCTTCGATGAACATGAATATCTTTATATTCTCTTCGCCATTGGCAACACAGGCTCAATCAATCTTCTTAATAAAGGGTACCAAGAATTGACATGGAAAGACACAGATTTCGAGGGAAATCTTGTGGTAAATCAAGTCTTATACTAAGCTGAATTTAACTCGCTCGCTCGGAAAAATAAAACAGTTTTTTGTTCCCCATAAAAACATGCACAATTGAATGTCTCTACCGAGGTCTATCAAAAGAAGTTAGAAAAAGAAATCTGTCACTGCATGTCGGCGGATTTCTATTTTCTATTGTGCGTACTGCAAAGGACTGAGGCAAATGACTGATTTTCTTTGCAGAAACGTGGAGTAATTGACAACAGTACACTACCATATTTCCCGTACAGAGACGATGGATTGCTCCTTTGGAACAAAATTGGAAAATTTGCTGAAGAATACGTAAAACTGTAAGTTTTCTTCTTTTGAGATGTTCCGGTAATCAACATTGCTTCAGAAATTTAAGTTGAATAAAAAACTAATTTAAGTTAATTAATTTAAAATTGTTCTTTTTCAGGTATTATCCTACACGCGTCGAAGTTGATGTATCTGTAAAAGTTAATCCGCACATTCCTTTTATCACCCCAAGTTTCAATTTAGAAGCCCCGGCTTCTATTATAACAGATATCGAGTTACAAAGTTTTGCAATGCAGTTATCATCAGAGAAAATTGGCTTCATTGCTGGGGGAAGGGTATGGCTATTAACTTGAAATAAAGTGATTTTTCTCGCTCCTGCATAAAGTGAATTAAGTCCCCTTTTTGAAACAGCATCGATTAAAACATTTCTTCAGGATCTAAATTAGATTTTGGATTTACAGTGAATTTCTCTCAGTTCTCGGATAGTTTTCAGTGGAAGACTTTTTACTGCTCTTGATTACCGATTGACTATGCTATCAATATGATTAATAAATAAACCTGTAGAAATTATCTGACGATTTAGGACTACATACCCTCGCTTATTCGAAAGCATAGGCATCCTAAATAATAATTATTTCTATTCAACAACTCTATATGCATGCAATTGCGTACCATGCCCATACTCTAAATAACTATCTCTTTTTCCATATATTACTTTTAGTTAAAAGGTTTTCCAAAAATTATCAAAAGACTTGATCAACTTATTGACGTCGTGAAACGAATCCTGTTCATCCCCATTCAGCACAGCGCTATCAACTATCCAATATCATACTATGGTGCTTTTACACCAAACATGCCGACTAAGCTTTATGATACAGACACTAATGATTTTACTATTGATAATTTGCCATATTCTGACATCGTTTCGGTAAGTAAAAATGGTTTTTAGAAAAATGAACATGCATGGAAGAAGTATAATCATGCATTTGCATGTTTTCACACACAATGCAGTAGCTTTCAATCAATTCACATCGTGTTGTGCCATAGGCAGCCCGGTCAATGCGGGCATCGCGTATACTATCTTATGTAATTATATAGATAAGATAGTATACGATGCCCGCATTGCATGACCGGGCTGCCTATGGTTGTACACAATAGATACAGATCCTAGGTGAGAAATGCATGTATACGCCTGAGACGATTGACACGCACGATGAAATTGAAAAGGATAATAATATTCTTAGTCACATCCGTTTTAAAAATGTTCAAAATCAGAGATCAGAGATCAATACAATAAGTATAGTATACGCGTATGCAGTATAATATATAGGTTATTATAGTGAGAATAGGAAAAATAATATAATTATAACTTATATATAGAGGTTTACAGAAATTGAGTGCGCTATTGCATGGTTAAAATTTTCATATCTTTTTCAATAGTATGTTTATGAAATCGTGTGTATGAAACTTGATACACAAAAATTGATTGGTATAATAGAAAATGCTGCTTTAGCTATAAATGCAAAAAACTTTTTATACTTGACCACAGCACCAACTCTCCATTGCTATGACACTGGGATCAATACGATATGATAAAATCTTCGACTACAGCGATACAATGAAAGATAAGCGAGCCCAAAAACTGGTGAAGAAGTACTATGATCAACTACATGGTGAAGTAAACGGTCTAATTTCGGAAAGGAATTGCGCGAGAGACATTGAGGGAAAACTTGTCTATCCTTACTTTATGCCACAATGGTTAACCAACAGCATACAAACATAACCTGGCTTGTCTGGAAACTTTGACTTTTGCTTATAATTTGTTCAGTTAAATTTCGATTAGCGAAATTTTGTGTTGATTTAATAAACTGGCCTAACATGTGCATGTGTGAGAAACGCTTTATATCAGCATTGATTAAAAGTAGTTTATGGCTGTTATCTTATATGTGTAGTTAAGTAAATAATGTCTTGTTATAGATCTTTTTTGTGAAGGGTTATTCAATAAAAACTTAATTGAGAACATTTTGATAGTGCAGATCGATTAACCTGCATTGACATTGAGCAGTTTCTTTTTTAGTCTGAGAAATTCAGACCCTATGTCAGGCTGACACCTGAAATATAGGTGTGAGCCTGCATGACATAGTGTCTGAATTTCTCAGGCTATTCTTGTTTAGACAGCGTTGACATTTCAAGTGTGTTAACACATATATAATTTTTGAAATCTGAATGGGAACCCCGTGAAAAATGCAATTCCGGCTTAAGTCCTCAATTGCAAAAAGGCTTATGGGATTATAACTGTGGGATAAAGGCTACTTTTATCACATCTGCATAAAATCACACACATCTGCAGGCCACCATGCATGCAATAACGATATCATTTATGTTTGACGCACTATAGACAAGTTATTCTCTCATTAAAATAGCAATTATTTGACATAAATATTTGTTACGCTGAACAAAAACCTATTATATTCAACCAAGAAATTTTGTTACGGTTATAGAAAATTGTCATTTTCAAATATCAACATAGCTACTTAATCACGAAACAGAGAAGAAATATTTTATGCCAGCCGTTTGATGACATTCACTAATATATTTTCCTTGTGTAAACTTGTTACACTATGACGTCAGAAATGTGATCAGGGAATTAATGGATATTAAAGTGAAACAGACGTTATGTTGTAAACCATATTTTTCTATCCATGCAGCTTTGGTAAAGTGTAATGATTGCAAAAGATGCTTATCTTGCGAAGTGATTCTAAGAAACTGTTATACTTTGTTTTGGTAAGTTCTGTATCGTAAACAGCGAAATGAGCAACCGTCTGAATCATTATTTTCGTCGACGTAAGTTATACTGAACCTTGATTGAATTTCCAGCTGACTTTTTAATTTGCAACACTATTTTTCAAATCAGAGCAGCTTAGTATATCATAAACATATATCCTTTAATCATCAATGATTAGATGTAAGATGCATGTAAGGTGATGCCTTTTTTGTGTTTATAATCACCTAACATAATCTCCAACGCAATGCATTTTGATTCAAACGTAAAGACCTTAGCGCGAGTTCTATTATAAGTGTGTATAGTAAATTGATGAGTAAATAAATGAATAAACAAATGAAGCATCTTCGTTTTTTGACTTCGGTTGAATGTTTGTTTACGCGCACAACTCAAATACTGCAAAGAAGCAGGCCATAATGAGGTCTACGAATTCTTCAACTTCCAAGAAACTCTTGTATTATTCTTATACAAGACTAACAAGAGCTGTTGCCGCACGTATCAAATAATACATGTGTTGGCATTTAAAATTACAGTGGAACCCAACTACTTAATTTTAATCCTTCTGTTCACAGTTCATGATCACAATATATAAAACAATGTGTTTAAATATTGAAAATAAATATTAATGTTTATTTCAGAAGATGTTTTTCGAAAAATGCTGCTCTCGTTTGACACATATATTTGTGTAATTATAAGCGGGCCATTCACGGATTAAAAAGTGATTTCCTGACTTATTGATTCTATCCAGGTTTTCAACTTCATTATTTCAAAATATAATGGAGCTCTTCTGACAGGTATTTATTTTTTTTATATAAACTAAAAACATATTTAACATTGAACTACAAATTGAAGAAAAAAGGAATTGGCTAGGCCCAGATGTCTAAAATCAGTCTAAATTAAGTCGTCTGTAGATAATCGTCAAATCGTGGACGTGGTTGATCTTCACTACTGTTCTGAGTGGAGACGGACTTCATGATTCAGTGCAAACGGCCGTGTCACGGCCGCGTGATTGTTTTTTTGTGATCGCATTTTTTTTAAATGTGTTCAGTCTAGTTCATCTAATTGGATCAGATATACCTGATTTGGCTGATTGTCTATATTCCAAAGGAAAGCAATCTCAAAAAATCGATCGCTCAACATTTTGTACCGAATGGAAACCCGACTTTAGGCAGTCTATAGAGCTAATTAATTATGACACAAGTACTAAGAATATCTTTTGTTTTCGATGCAAGGGATTAAAGGGACAACTGCCGGACTCTGCAAAGATTACTGGCCAAGATATTGCAATATAATAAAGGATTCATGCTTAATTCATCGTCGATGGATGCGAAGATACTGCCCGTATACGTGTGAAATGTGTAAACAAGGTAGTCAAGGTAGGCGGTGCTAACATGCAACTCTGAGTGACTATAAGGCTAAACGCTTAATTACCCGAGGCTGAGAATCAATTGTGAAACTTGTCTAGCCTGACCACTGACCACCAAAAAAAAATGAGCTATAGACTGGGATTAAATTACCCGACCATGCAATTTGCTAAAGTTCAAATTTTTTAATAAACCCTTTTTTCATCAGTTCTTAGTCTAAAAATTGAAAGCAACGTAAACTTAGAATCACTTTACCGAACCAGGAAATTTGATTGAGGTCCATGCATTGATTTACTTTGAAAGCATGCAAGCGGTCTATATCACTACCCAAATGCAACGTACACTGTATAATAATATATATATACAAATTGTTTCCTTTTTCAACAGTAAACCCGTGTCAACATCACAAATGTTTGTATCACAGCAGATGTATTGTCACGAAGATGCACACACCAAAATGCATTTGTCAAAATTTGTTTGATTGTCCAAAACAACATTTTTTCTTATGTGGAACAGACAGAGTAACCTACAGGAATAACTGTACCTTGAAAGCAATTGCTTGCAGACTCAAGAAAAATGTCAGAGTTCACTCAATTGGCTTGTGTAGTAAGTTATGTAGTGACCAATAATAATTTTCTTTTAATTTATCTTTCAACACCGTCGCAAGTGATTAGTGGATTTTCGTAGGGTAAACACACCACTGTATGCGAAAATGCAGATCAGTATAAAAACTCCCACCAATGTCTGCGGTTACACAGAGGTGATGACGTCATGTGGTTGAGACAACTGCGTGTGATGTGATTACCTGTGGTTTGAAACATCATGCACATGTTGTGTGTGTATTTATAGCTGTCTGTTGTAGACATGTATACATTACACGAACCCAACACTGGCCAGTTGATCTAGCTTAAAACTAGAACTTTGTTGTGTAAACACACCTCGGCGAATCGTTGACCTGAAAATCTGAGTCACTTGATTGTGTTACTAGTGCACTTTAAAAATCAAGTTCAATGTTAGGTCTAGGCCATGCATCACTTGCATGCATGTCTAGGTCTGTAGTGAAGACAAGGCTACGTGTTATCTAAGACCATATCTCTGGGAAAACCTCAAACCACATGCATAGCACAAGAATTTCCTAATCAGTTTTAAACGATAATGCATCAGTATGAAAAATAGGCTGATATAACTCAGTTCTGCTTCGTATTGAAAACGTTACATATAATCATGGTAATCAACGTATGCTAATTAAGTTTTTTAAAATTGACGTGAATACTGGCTCATATTATGAAATAAATTATCATATCATTCATATGTGACCTTGTTACAAAAGCCTCTCGCTTATTAAATTTTTAGAATTTCCCTGCGCACACGTCAGTTGTCAAAATTTTGCCGAATGTCGTGTCTCGTCAAAAATGGTTGGGAAATGCAAATGCCCATCTTATAAGCAATGTTCCAGTATCCCCAGACCTATTTGTGGCAAGAATGGTGTAACATACTTCAATCAGTGTTTTTGGAAAGTAAGGTCGTGCCAAGAAAATACGAGAATTCCCATAGAAAGACGAGGAAGATGTGCCGGTTAGTAGATGAAGTCCTGCATGGGTCTTCCCCAACATGCAGTTATGCTTGAGTATAATAATTCTCCCTAAAATATACCCGACTGTTGCATATGGTTCTCAAAGGTGACAGGACAGAAAGTTGCTTGACCTTGGGTGGTTAAAAACCCTGTGCCCTGAAAGCCTGTGTGCCTTGAACCTTGTGCCCGGGGAAGATCTCCTCAATAGATCAACCCAGAGTAAGTCCATGATTTACAATCTTTTTGTCAAATTCCTTGATATGATCCTCATCATTCCTCATCTTAGTGATAAATTCTTAACTGAATAAGCCGCAGATGTTCCATGCTGTTATTGCATGTTGTTGACTTAAATAAACTTTAAAGTCATTTAGTTATACGAATTCGAGAACGCTCAAATTCGTCCGGTTCAATTGTTGCACGGTAGAATGTGAAAATAACACCGTTCTGATAAACTTAATAACACCGTCATATCTGGTCCCAATTAATGATTTTTACTTCATTCACTTTGCTAGTCGTGTCACAACGATTAGAATCTTCAAAAACGCCAGGAAAACCAAGAAGTGAGTATTAACTAACACCTTTAGAAGAACTGTGCTCCAAAATATTCCACCCAACGAGGTCAACACTCAACACAAACTTTTCTCAACTACAGTGCTATCTCCAGGACCCATCGCATTATTCTCCCATGACGCAAAGTATTCTGCGCACTAGTGACCTCAGACAAAGAGAATCCCAGATTTTGAAGCCAGGTTCTTGTTTCTCTAATGTGTCAGAGATCGCTTTTGTCAGAAGTCATTTGCGCGAAATACAGAAAAAAATACAAAAGATCTTATGGAGCGATTCTTAGGAGCCAATTGTAAAAAAAATCTAAGAATAATTTTGGGTTCCACTGTATCATTTTGCGATGGACAAAGCAATCAGTTGCGCGAAATTATCTCAGAACTTTCTCAGAACTCCCAATTCATAGGTTATTTGTGAACCAGGCTTTATTCGTACGTGCATTTGTATTGTTAGAACGATTCTGTCGTTGGAATTTGTGCCCATATTACATGTTATGTCGAGAAGTGAATGGCTACCCAACATGTGGTAATGTGATAAGTTATAAATAACTTGCATAGTTGGCAGAAAAGGCCAGAATCGTGTATATTTTGGACATTCTTTATGTTGCACAACATTCATCTAAAACTCGTTTTCAATCGTGTTTTAGTAAAAATCTGTCCTCAAAGTTCATGTTCTTGTGTACATGGCGTGGATTTTTACCAACACCGCAATGGCTGTTTCATGTGTCGATGCAGGTCGCCCTAGCTTTCTTACCAGGGCTTCACGAAGATAAAAACTGCACCGTTCTATTAGCATTTTTTAACAAAAAACGATAACGTCGCGTATCAAAATACAGTAAAAATGATAAATCATAATATTCTTTTGTAATACGGTTCTTTAATGTATGTATAATGGCAGCTAATATCCTTGGGTAAACATTCCATGTAAATCAACTGTGATGGCGCCTTATGACAGAATTATGTCTTCGTATGCAAGTAAAGAGTACATAGCGTATGTATTTAGGGCTATTATTAAGCTAAAACTATAAAAGCTATTTAAACTGAGTTTTGCCCGGAATATGTCGTCGTTAAGTCCAAGCGTGATAACTTTAGCCTCACCACTCCCAGGGAAGTATATCTCGTGTTTATATGTTTTTATTGCTCTACCATTAACATTTCGAAACTCCTATATACTCTGGTTATTGCTAAAATGTGTATAGTATTGCTAGTACTGCTGATGGCTTCCGAGGTTTCCCGGGTATAGAGTGGGCACACCGCACATGAACACTATCAAACTGAAATATATCAAACTACAAATATAATCATGGTAATTACAACATAGAGAACGCACTTGGAAAACAAGCTCTTATCGTCATTTTTATTATAGAACAATACTAAACAGTGTCCTATTTGTTAAGTATAGAAGGTAAAAAGTGTAGTCCATGCATTAGAGTACAGCAGGATATTACCCAAGGCGGAATACATAAAAGAGGAAGACTTCAGGCGTAGTTAAATTGAGATTGTGAAAGGGCTTTCGTATTTTATAGTTCATCATTTACAGACGAATATGTAGAAAATAGATTTTAAAGGGAAACTGTCACTGTCACTGACTATAATTACTATTGACTTAGAAAGACTGAACAAACATAATATTCATCTAGCTTTAAAAAATTCATAATTAGTTTGTCAATATAATTAGTCAAGCAAAATGAATAGGTCACAGGGAATCACAGCTGCATGCATGCAGTGTAAAATCTTGGTTGATGCGCGGATCTCTGCGGGCGTTTGACGAAAGGAGATAATTTAAAGTTCGAAGCACCGAAGCAAGATTCACAGAGGAATGAAAGCGTTAAGAAGTCAGATGAGTCGATCTGCATGTGCACAACAAAAGTGACATAACGAGAAACAAGTGAAAAATAAAACTGCGAGAGAAAAAGAGAGAAGTGATGTGAAAATTATCACGTTTAAAAATGCAACCAATGAATTAATAAAAGGGAACCAAAGAGATATATAGCAACAATGGCAAACAAAACTGCAGATAGACCACTTATCAATCCTGAATCAACATCAATGTTACCTATAATGTCTGCTCTCTACTTTCCTATGTTTCTCATGTCGGAATTCGGGAATGGTTTCGTCATTTATTCACTTCTTTACCTCAAACGGCGACATCACACGGCCATTGATAGATATACATTAAGTCTCGCAACTGCTGATTTTCTACTCACAACATTAACGGTATTTAACGGTTTAGAATACCTTCATAATGAATGGATGTTGGGAGAAGTATTCTGCAAAATACACGGAACGCTAGTTGAACTCTCTTACATTGTTTCTACTTTAACCATAGCAACAATAAGTTACACTAGAAGTAAAGCAGTTAATAATCCATTCAAGATGCTTCATGAAGGAAAAAAAACAAAAAAAACTATCATCTATATCTGGCTCACTGGCTTAACTCTTTCTTCTCCATTGGCGTATGCTTACACTGTCGCAGGGCGAAACGGAAATTTGCATTGCAGCAATACGAATTTTGGAGTAAGGACTCGACAAATATATTATCTCTTCCAAGCAACGGTACTCTTCTTTGCGCCTGTATCAGTTATGATTGTTTCGCAAAAAAAGATCACAAGAGGTCTACGACAACATTCGAGTAATAATCAAACTGTGATGGCCTCCAACGACAGGAATTTATCTCGAATGCTAAGGAATGAAAGGCAAATACGAAAGTTACTGACATGCTTGTGGGTTATGTTCGTTTGTTGTTTTACTCCATATATTGTCATGCGCACGATAGACCATTTTACATCAATGAGGAAAACAAGCAAGATTTCGAACCAAATTTGGTACATAACTCAGCTGCTGGTAGTTCTTAATTCATCAGTCAATCCGTATTTGTACTACAGGATGACTAACAGAAGAGGAACTTTTACTCAGCATATTTTAAAATTATTCTGCTGTCAGTCCTCGATATGGTGATCAACTAATAGAGACAAGTACATAAGCAGTACAGCCACAAGTTCACGATAAATCGCGCTTACTATTTAGTATTAGACCTGATATTTTAATTCATGATTATTTCATTGCAGCAGCCAGCAAGGCGGCTTTAATATTAAATAAAGTTAAAAAATCAATCAACTTTGGCATCAATGAACGTTGTTCCATTGCATTCTAATTTCTAATTTCATCCTCATTTTTGAAGCCCGAGTTTATTACCCCGTCTATGCCGTCAAAATTACTGACTGATTAAGCCTGGTTTCCATATGACGCCGACGTCGGTAAAGTATTATTGTCGGTGATTTTTGATGAGTGAAATCTTTTGTCTTTCTGAAATCATTTTCTCCATGGATGATTACAGACAATGAGTCGGCGACAGGTCGGCGTCATATGGAAACCAGGCTTTACCCAGATAGCCGGCATATGGTATATTCTACCTCCGATAAGATCTGTTCGTGTGATTCAATTTTTGTCCGATCCAAATTACTTCAGGTGGGTGTTTAAAAACAAGTTAGCTGTTTGTTTTCAAAGAAGTAAAATCTCTGCTTTAGTTGATTATGGGGGGAAATTATTCACCAGGCCATGCCAATGGCGTGAATCAGGGATAAGTCTAATCAGAATCAGAGATAAGTCTAATCAGAATCAGGGATAAGTCTAATCAGTCTAATCAGAATCAGGGATAAGTCTAAGGAACTCGTTGCTGAAATTTAAGGCTCTCTTACTCCTTAGAACTCCTCAAAAGATAATTTCCAAGAAAGGTAACTTTTCATCCTCCCAAAATATTCAGGCTACCGTCATACGTTGAACCTAACATGACGTATACCAACGGTTACAGGAAGAGAAAAACATGGCGGCGACGTCTGGGAACGCTTCATTGAAAAACTGGCCAAATACTGCGGAGAATTATGAACTTCAAGAAGTCATAGGTACGTTTACCTGGTTTTTCGTCATTTAAGAAAGAAACTAATATATATTTGGTATCTCAGGATATGGAGCGACTGCTGTTGTGCAGGCAGCGTTATGCATACCACGAAGTGAGAGAGTGGCTGTTAAAAGAATTGACTTAGAATTATGTGGGGCGAGTATCGATGAGATGCAGGTATAATATCTCTTGTATATACATAAATATGAAGGCTATGTTGTGGGTTTTTAATGCTGAACTACTAGTGTTTATTATAATGTTTAATTAAAGATCAACAATAAAAGGTTATTAACTTAATTAAAAACCTATCAATGACAATGTGACAATATCGAGCGAGATATATCATGTCATTATTTTTCCTAATTTTAGATGATTTAGGAAAGTTTTTTTAGCGCTGTAACACTTTCAGAAGGGTGTGCAGACCTCATATAAAGAACATCTTGTCACCTACTATAATTATAAATAGGACTGAATCCCATTCTCACTAGCAAGATGCAAGTACTGGTTGTCCTGTTGAAGATTTCGAATTAGAAATATTGTTCTCAGCATAAACACTTTTTCTGCCTTCTGTTCAGATCTGTCATATTACACCTCTTGGCCCAACTTCATCTCCCCCCCCCCTAGCTTCACATTTCTACCTCCCCTTCCCCCCAGCTTAACATTCCTACTGTAGGACTAGAGTTTCCATTTATTTTTCAGAAAGAGATTGGTGCTATGTGTCAATGCAACCATGAAAATGTTGTCAATTATTACACTTCATTTATTGTGAAACAAGAACTCTGGATAGTCATGCGTTTACTGGATGGAGGTATATAGTTTCTTTGGTGCTACTCAGAGATTTAGAGTGTTGTTTTGATTTATCCTTTATTTATTATTTTGAGATAATTACAAGAATGTTGGGAATTTTTTATCCACAACAGGTTCCATGTTGGATGTTATCAGATATCAGATAAAGTTAGGTAAAGGGCAAGGAGGGGTACTTGATGAGGTTATCATTGCGACAGTGTTAAAAGAAGTTCTTAAAGGATTGGACTATTTTCACAGTAATGGATTAATTCACAGGTGCTAAATGATTTATATAATAGATAGAGAGGGAAATATAGTATCTAGTAACTATAAAGAATTGAAATAAGATCGGTGGTGTTTGGCCTGGTTTATTTTATATGATTTTTGCAAATTTTAAAATATTTCAAATATTATCTATGGCAAAAAATCCATATATGATTATTATATTGGATATTTTACATCCTGAATATTAAAGATACAACATTTTAGGGATATTAAAGCTGGCAATATTCTTCTCGGAACTGATGGAACAGTTCAAGTTGCAGGTATGAATAACTTGAACTGAACTAAACTAAACTCTTTGTTGATTTTTACAGTTTCTTAAGTCATAGTTGAGATTTTTACAGTTTCTTAAGTCATAGTTACAATTGAGAGAAGAGATAATTTGGAGATAATTCGGCCTTGCCTTTCCCTTGTATGATTTAATATGTTTGTTCAGTTTGTCCATGCATTAAAGATACCGCACCATTATATGATGTATTCTAAGGTACTAAACATCGTGGTAGTAATCACTGCACAATACAACACCACAGCCTTTAGTGCCTTGGTCAGAGTGCGCTACCTTCCTTTTTAAAACGGACAAACATTTTTTATCCCAATCATCAACTATCACTAATTTATTTCTGTTGATGTCAATTCTACCAGATTTTGGAGTGAGTTCTGCTTTATATTCCTATGGTGATAGAACAAGACCTGAGAAAAGAACGACGTTTGTTGGTACGCCATGTTGGATGGCGCCTGAAGTCATGGAGCAGGTATCCTCCTCCATCTTTCCCGATTTCTAAGATTGCAAAATCTTGCTTTATTCTTGTTAATGGTAATGTCCAGTCGAGTTTGTGCATCAGTCCTGCTCATAACAATGCAAGGCCCAAAATTCATTCAAGTTGGGTGTTTTAAAATACAGGTAACTGCGTATAATAATAAAGCTGATATCTGGAGCTTCGGAATCACGGCGATGGAACTGGCGACGGGAACTGCACCATATGCGAAGTTTCCAGCAATGAAGGTAAGCATCTCTAGGAAAATTGTAATATTGTCTTTCATCGCTCAGATTGTTTATCACGAAGCATTCCGCTGCGTGCAAAACCGCCTGTAATTACTCGTATGTATTCGCATACAATTATTATGATTTTGAAATTTTGATTTCTCAGAATAATACGATTCTAATTATTCAAAAAAGATGCAGTTATTGTTTAATAACTATAATCAATCAATTTACTCTTTAGCGTGTTTTAAACCTACTTTAAATGATTAGGTTCTCATGTTAACGCTACAAAATGATCCACCGACATTGGAAACGATCTCTGACAGCAAAAACGATGACTATAGAAAATATACCAAACCATTTCGACGGATGATCAGTCTGTGCCTTCAAAAGGAACCTGAAAATAGGTGCAGTACGCATCGATCCATTGTTGTTGAATCTGTCCTGCGTGTTTTTATTTGTAAATCTTTTTTGGTACATGCAATACAACTCTTGTTAGTCTTGGTACAATAAACAATCACACAAGCTAGGGTGGGGAGGAGAGGGGGTCTTTGCTAGCGAGATAGTTGCGAGGTCAAGGTTTGAGTTGGTTACGTGTATATTCTCGTTATTTATGATATGTGATTTCTCTCCCAGGCCTGACGCTTCTGAACTTCTGAAGAATGCTTTCTTTAAGAAAGCCCGGGTAAGTGAAATCTCTAACCAACGAAGATCGACGTCGGAAAATTCTCGAAACGTGTTATATTATATTCTGGAAACAAGGCTCAGGGCGAAAATTCTCTTTCCTAACGTCAATTTTCAAACCAGAATATTTTGATGAGTAAAGTTTCATTATTCATCGCATGTTATTTAACTGTATCTTCAGGGTAAAGAGTTTCTGAAGGAAACACTACTTCCACTTGCACCACCACTTGGTGAACGATCTCAAAAGGTAATGTATGCGGTGTCAGTATTCATCCAGTGACTTATAAATCACTGCAGACCCTCTGGACTGTTCTATTTCAACGAGTTGTTCAATGACAGCCAAAGAGCGTGCCCTAAAAACGTCAAAGATTATTTTGATTACAGTATTTCAGCCCAGTATTTTTTTAACTTCAATACATATAATTTAAAATAGTTCATTGCTCTCGTTGCTGTGATATAGGTAAAGAGAGTGCCAGGTTCAAGTGGTCGTCTTCGTAAAAATACCCACGGCTCCTGGGAATGGTCAGACGAAGAGACAGAAGAACGACCAAAAACTCTGGTAATGTCAATACAAAATTATTCAAAGTAAATATAAGTACGGGAGTTAGCGATCTAAGGCAACTTTCACTCGAGACTAGACATATTTCAGACTGCACTTCAACTTGTTTGGTTCCATTTATTCACAATGAAAATGGTACTGTAATACTACATTCAAGATTAATTTTAAAATGTATTTTTAATGTTTGACCGATCGATTCTTTATAGAAAGAACGGAAGACTGAAGTGCCTGATAATGAAAAAACCCAACCATCTGGTATGAAAACAGTATCTATATAATCCACTCTTTTTCTTTTTCACTGTTTTCCGCAACAGACTACCGATATTTATCTCTGAATTAATTGTTGAAACTTGTAGAAGATGAGACGATTCATTTCCATTCATTTTTAGCGTCAGCAGCACCTGTTGAAAAGAAAGACGCCCCAACACCCTCTCCACCTAAAAGTCCTACGAAACCACCAAGTGAGGAGACTGCAACTGTTCCCCCAACAACTGCTGAGACAGGTGACTCACAACCAGCGCTAAATCTTACTTTACGTTTAAGGTACACTTGTTTATTATTATTAAAAGATCATCTCAGAGTGACAGAAAAATCCTGTTGAACATCACTCGTATTCAGTTACTTAACTTTCTTACATGTATGTGTACTCCTCTACTGTATTTGTAATGTCTTGCAAATGCATTTTTCTTTCATATATTTCGTGATTCTGTGAATTTCAATTATTTTTAGAAATATAAAAAATGAACTCAACGATATTCGGTTTGATTTTAAACACGGCGAAGGTAAGTTGGGATTGGGAATTATCTGAAGAATACCGGGTTTAGAATGGCACATCTGACCACACACCTGGTTTGCCTTCAACGCCTGTTCTCCACTTAGTCATTAGTTCATATAGACCGGATCAGTAGCATGGTAATATGATAACACTAACCATGCAAACATATTGCTTAATTCACGTTAACAACACTTCTCCTTCTGGTAGAAAACGAATGTAGCTATTAACGGCCGGGGATATAATATTTGTAGCGAGAATATTTTCAGTCTCTTACTGTACATACAACTTTGTTTTAACCAGGAAGATTCTTTATAATGGTGTCTATTGAATTTGATTGTCTTTTTTAAAGATACTCCACAAGGCGTTGCACAGGAATTAGTGAGCGCTGGACTTATTGATGGTGTGGATACGATACTTGGTAGGGACATGTAGTAAAGTATCTTTAATATAGTTTATATTTTTTTATTTTAATCACATTGTAAAAGAGATATTGGCTTTACTCTCTCACACCACGTTCTAAATCTGATCTAGTAAAGGTCACATATTTAATGAAATTGTAATTCTTTTAAAATTATTTCCTATTCTAAAATATCCTTTTCTTAAATAGTCGCTGCAAATTTAGAAAAGGCGCTCCTAAATCCGTCTGCATACCGTCATCCAGCATTCATGGTGTTTCAACTGGTACTGATATACAATATATACTCCTTTATACATTTCCTGATACCCTGAAATAATGTCGGTATTATCGTGCTTATTCCCCTACTTTCGCGTATTGAACTGAATACAATATTAATTACGATTTTGTGGCACTTCACTCGATGTAGGTAATCATGCACCGGCATCGCATACGCGTAGGTTCGATTCCTGCCGGAGGACTGATAGTTGACTATTTTTCTCAACTGTTCCTGGCTTGAATCGAGTTGTGTATGATTCCACTCGAAATTAAGACCCTTTGAAAACCTTTAAATACAATATTAGTTATATATCTCGGTGAATTCCAATTCAATTTTTTCACTGTATTTATTGTTCTCATTTTAGAATTCTCCAATTCCAACTGGTCAAACTAAAGACGAGAAAACATTAATCGGGTTTGCGCAATTAACTATCAATTAGAATTGAATAAAATGGTAATTTTGTATGAAAATTTGTACATTTGAATCATCATTAGTGGTAATGAAATGTATATTTGAGACGATTTGCTTAAACTATAGGTAAACGTGATAAATTTTTGAAATTGTTTGTATATGCCGGGCGGTATGGAATGCAGGAAATAAGAGGTTCCCTCTTCAATGTTGAATATTTATAAGTAGTAAAGGAGCAGTTAAATAAAATTCTTATTCCCATTTCCTACTCTATTAAACTACGCAAGCATACTCTCAATCGGAAATGTTTATAAAACTGAGGAACTCTGGAAGGTTGGAAACGGTTTTTTGATGGTCATTTATCTCTTACTAATTATGCGGTATTGTTTTATGAAGTGGAATAATGTTCATATGATGACATTCAATTTTTAGGATCGACTACTTTGAGGTGTTACACGCTACATTTGCACAGTTTGTGCATATTGCTACCAACCACATATGTCGTTACGTTGAGTTATAATATAATGATACTAAACAATCTTCATGACTCTGATTCCTCGCATTCACTTGTCGTGAAAGTTTCAATACGAATTAACAAGTCAACCTTTGCTGTTCCGAGGCCGGAAACAAACTATACTGGCTGTTTATTAATAATTAATCTGGTAACAGGTTTCAAATCATTTAAAATATTCCTTTGCAATGTTGTTGTATTCTTACCTGCCTTCGTGTATGCCTCGTTATTGCGGAGGAACTGATTATTGGCATTTCCTGAGATGGAACCGAACGATCCAAATCAATTTAGATATGTCGAAGAAGCGGAGGATGAAATTAAAATGACTATGAAAGATATAATAAAACGCCATGAGATAAGCTTGGAAGAAAAAAATAAAGAACAAGAAGGGGAAGCCTTGAGTTACATCGGTCTTTCGTATCACAAGCTTGGCAAATACGAGAAAGCCTTAGACCATCATCAGCAACATCTTGAGCTCTCTGAGGCAACTGAAAACTCCATGGGAAAACGGCGGGCTAATTGTAATATTGCTTGCGTATATAAGGCCACGGGGGACCTGCCAATGGCACTTTACTACTTCGAGAAAGCATATGGGATAAGTAAAGAACGTGGAGACAGAAAAGCACAAGCAAGGATATGTAATAACATGGCTAATATTTACGAAATGCTCATGGACACAGACAAAGCTATAGAACTGCATAAAGAACGCTATGACGTAGCAAAGGATTTAGAAGATCTACATGGGCAAGGAAAAGCGTGTGTCAGTCTTGGAGCAATGTACTTAATCAAAGAAGATCTTGATCAAAGCCTTTTCTATTATGGGGAATTGCTAAATATTCTCAGATCGAAACTACGTATGTTTTTACTTTTGGATGATAAGTATAATAGTCGAAAGGAAATTACTGCATTCAATATACGTGTATATCTCAACTATCTCAACATCATCATCATGCAATGATCTGACAATATACTTCGTTCATTATAATTACCTTATTATAATTACTATGGTGGACAATTTCCTCATTGCATCATCATTTACGTACTGATCTATGTAAAAGTCTGTAGTGTTCCTATATTTTATTTTATTTAAAGCGCCTGGGAACGAGGCTGTGGTATCTCCATAACGAGAATCTTAGCATGATCGGATTTTGTTTTATATATTTCCAGGTATTCAAGATACTTTGCCTGATGACCTGTCGGATGAAGACGATGATGGTTTTATCGACCTTGAAAATCTTGCCACAAACTTTGAGTATGTCACTTCATTAGCCATGGCGCTATCAGTTCTTAGTCGATCATATTATTAACCATAAACATATCACACTTTGTAGCTTGTGAACGAAAATGTCAACTCTTTTATACTACTCTTAGAAGAAAAAAAATATAATTTGTATTTTTAATTGTACATGCTAAGAAAGTAAGACATAGAAAGTAATATTCACAGATTTATTTTAACCGATTAACCATTTCATTCTAGCGATGAAGAAGGGGAGGAAGAAGACGGGGAGAAAGGAAAAAAAGGGAAAGGAAAAGGACTTCCTAAATCACCTTTTAAGAAAAAGAAAAATAAGGATAAAGATAAAAAGGAGAAAGAGAAGGGGAAGAAATAATTGCTGAGAAAATGTTAGAAAAATGCATAGTGCGAAAGAAAAGAACTTCTTAAATCATTTTTTACTGTCGTTACAATGAAAATGATCATAAAATATTGCATCAATTCATTAAGGCATAAAATTAATCAGTTCCTGTGGACGCTAGAGCGACAACGATGGTCCACGATGAACGATATTATACCAAATACCAATCGCGTCAGCTGAGCAGTTTTAAAACCGGAAATCTCAAAGTTCCAACGAGACCTTTATTCTTCGAAACCTTCCAACGAGACAACAACAATTATAAACACGCATATCCATATTGTAACACTACTTTATAAATTAATATGGTATGAAGATAGTATTTCTAAAAATAGTGCATATTAAATGTTTTTATAAAAAAAAGGTTGAAGACTGGGATATATAACCGGAGAAACGCGTTTGCGGTTTTTAACTTCACTTCGTGTTTCAAAGGCATTTCAAAATGAACTTTAATTTGTGTTTGAACTACTTTGGACACTCTGAATACCAGTGATAGTTTGTCGAGATATTTGTCCAAGAAATCTAATAATGACTACACTACACAAATAGAAGCATACAACTGCAACCTATTTTGAATCAGACGTGTATGGCAGGTAACGCTTGCATATACGAATGCCTCTCTATTCGTTTTAATCCATTCTTGCCTTTGGAAAACATCGTTCATGTTTAGAACTGGGCAATGTGTAGACAAAAAACCTATCTAAAGGTTAATCACTCTGTTGAAAATATACTATTTTGAGCGTTAAACTGTTTTCAGTTAATTTGTGTAATCATAACAGTGAATGAATTTTTAATGAACTTAACTGTGGTTACCCGTTGCTGTGCTTTGGTGTCCCTTAAGTTTACAGGAGTTTCTATATAAACATAAAATAAATATCGTAATATGTAGTTGAGTAGTGTACGAGAAAAGGTTTGCCAATGGCTGGAAAGTCAGGCAAGGAATGGATGCCTCAGGTAATGCAGGCTTCAGCCTTAGGCATGGCTCCACTGGCCCGAAGAAGGCTCTCGGCGGTACCCTCTGCTACACTGCCAAATAAGCGAGTCGTGATTGTCGTGTCTGGACGCCGCTACGAAACATGGGAGGCGACACTCTCTCGACATCCAGATACTCTTTTAGGAAGCAAAGAGCGAGAGTATTTTCTGGATGAAACAACCGGAGAGTACGTTTTCGATCGAGATCCTAGTATATTTCGACATATATTGAACTATTACAGAACAGGTAGATTACATTTTTCCTACTATGAGTGTAGCAAGACGTTTAAGGAAGAGTTTGAATTTTTTGGTATTCCCTTTGATGGTTTTGACTCGTGCTGTTGGAACGAAATGAACGATTCCTACGAGGCTGAAAATGTTATTGCTACTACAATGGAAAGATTAAGACAACGAGTAAATCGAACTCACTTCGATACAATACGTGAAAGCATATGGGATACCTTTGAGAACCCACAAAGAACACGCGCTAGCAGAGCTGTATATAATATTATCGTTGTTGCTGTGGCACTAAGTCTGTTAGTAACTGTAGGTCAAACAATTCGTTGTCCCAGTGGTGAAAGATGTGCTGAAGAGTTTCACGATTTGTTTCTTTATACAGACGGAGCTTGTGCGTTTATATTCACCGTAGAATATGTTGTTAAACTATATGCTGTCCCATATCGCAAACCTTTCGTTAAAAGCCTTGAAAGTTTTATTGATATTCTTGCAATCCTGCCGTTTTATTTCGATTTGCTGGAGGAGTATGAACCTGAGCTAAAATCTTTTTCTATCTTACGAGTATTTCGTGTCTTTCGAGTATTTAAGCTGCTAAAGAATTCAAAACGGTTAAAGACTTTGCTCATCACGTTTCGAAATGCCGCTGCCGAGCTTGGATTGCTTTGCTTCATATTTTCGATGGGAACAATCATGTTTGCAGCTTGCGTTTATTACTTGGAGAAGAGTGTTCCCGATACCACCTTCGAACATATACCGCTGGCTATTTGGTATGCTATCATCACAGGCACAACATTAGGGTAGGTATTGACCAACAAGACCGGACATCACCGTATGGTAAAATGTTCTCAGTTCTGATTTCAATAATTATTAGCGAATGTAGGTATCTTAAGCCTATATAATTGTACCATTTCCCTGGGCGGGCAAGAATTTTGGTGCATTGAAATTTATCACTGTCCATGCATGCTCAAATAAGCTAGTGGTGTGAATAGCATAGACTAGTAATTTTTTTGAACTGGCAGACCATACACATTGCATTATAAATCTGTCTCTTGTAAATCTGTCTTAGCCTCCCGGTGCAACTATGTTGTTGTTTTCGTAGGTATGGAGATATGGTTCCTGTTAGTGTTGGTGGTAAACTTATTTCAGCATTATTTCTCACATTGGCTGTTTTCATAGTCTCACTACCTGTACCTTTCATCGAAGACAAATTACTACATCAACAACATCTTCAGTTGACAGAAGACCGTTTAGAAATGAGACTAAAACGAATGCTTAAAACAAAACCACCTCGTCGTAATAGTCTACAGTTTAAACGGACGCGACGTGGTACAGCTGGTAATATTGCTACTGCCACGTGACCAACGTGTATATGTTGGGATAAATTGGGATAAGGCAAACCAATAGTTTTGGCACGTCTGGTAAAAAGATTCCATCTCAAGAGAGCCAAGTCCAAGAGCTCAGTTTAATTGCCAATTGTCCGCTTATTGCATGGATGGAGGTTTATCACTAAAATGCTAAAGCATGATGAAATAATTGCGACGACGTTTCTCAATAGATTTATTTTTATTGCAATCTAATGTTGTATTGTGGTTTTCCTAATAACTTTGGTAAAACTACTAGCTGCTTCTGCTCTTAGAGAAAATGCAGCCACCAATCCTTGGGTTTCACGTGACGCTTCCAATGGTTGTCAACTCGAAAGACTCGATGACCTGAGTTATTTCTTGTGCTTGGTTGCAATGTGCAATTTAGTATCAGTGCCAATGGCGGCGTACTCCTGTGCTGCATTATTGACCACCATTCGAATGCGCCACTGATAAATTGCTTAGTGTAACCGCCTCCTTATGATAACCGCCGCCTAATCCATCAACTAGAATCCCCTCTTCCACATCGATTTTAAACAAGCTTTTTGCGCATAAATAGTCGAGACACTTCAAAGTCTTTTATTTATTACGAGTTTTTTCTAAAACAATTAGATTACTCATTCTCGTTCTCAATATCATTGTTGATTCAGACTTAATTTTTCTAGGTATGTGGGTGTGGGATGGGGTAGGGGGGATGCATTACCCCTCTCCAATAAATGCCTGGGGGGGGGCAGAATTCAGCAAGAACTTTAGTTTTTTAAAGAAAATAAGAAACATTTTCCAGTTCGCAACTGTTTTCTCTGTGGTGTTTTCTGGAGCTCCCGGCGTTTTCATAACTTCACGTTTCCCAGAATTCGCTCTTCAAGCAGTGCTGGGGGACCCACATAAAGTTATGTGTTTGACCCATAAATTAGGGAGGGGGCACAAAAATAGGTTGAGGGGCCAAAAAGGTACATCTTTGTAGGCCGTGGAGCCGACACGCTCTAAGATCTAAGGGCAAGAGGGAAAAAACAGGGATGGAGGAGATGGGATTTGGGGCGGGCATTCGCCCCGTCCGCCTATTTTTCCTAATGAAAGCAAAGGTACCTGTTTCGAGAATAAAGTAACTTTTATTCCCAAATTGCTATTTCGACTGCTTTTCGATTCGTTTACTAGTTTTCTCTTTGTGTACAAAGATATTTTTGTACGTTTTGGCAACCAACTATAACACACCGAGAGTTACTTCCGGTCACGCGAAGCAGCCGTGAAATTTGCACGAAATCCACGCTCCACGCTGCCTCCACGCACCTCTGAGGCATGGAACGAGTAGGGGAAGACGAAGCTTTTTGTTTGCTTTGCTAGTGGTTTTCGAATTCGAGAGTGAGATATTACTGCTCTTTCAGTTTGTTTTCATTGACATGGGCAGTTTTAATCTATTAAGGGTTATAAGCGTTGAAACGTATGGCTGAAAGCGGCGAAGCTAGGCGTGATAGCCGGCATTCTACACTCGATGTCGAAGAAGACACCGAGACAGATGTGCAAGACGATCCTTGGCCTTACGATAGCGACACCGAAGAAGTAGATATTGACAGTTTTGTCAATAGTATATCACACGATGTCAATGACTGGAAGATATATTATGCAGATAGTTTTACCCTAGAGAAAATAGGAGATGGCTTCTTTGGAGATATATACAAGGTAGAAATAATATGCTATAGGTATATGATTCTAATCGTCTATTTACAATGTGGTGTTGCATAAGTGTTCTCAGATGCTACAATGCTTCAGCGATCTAGTACAGCGCTAATAGCACGAGTTGATAAGGAAATGTATTTTGCAGATGTAGTAATAATCTAAAAAATATGCAACATATCGTGTATACAATAATTAAGCGCAAAAAATTAATCTACAATGTAATCCTGTGGAATTGATGTATCGAATTGATATGCTTAATGCGTGTACTCTACGTAAAACTAGTAAATTTAGCAAAAATGTTGTTTTACTCCCATAAAAGCCTAAATGAACGACTTGTTTTAAGATAAATAAAGCCAAATTTAGGCGAGCCTATTAGGGTAGCGTAGAGACAGCTGAACGTTTATACAGACAACTGAAATGCATATATTGTCCTATTGCGGAAATCCCTTTCGAAATATAGTGTACTCTACACCATACCGGTTAGTGTTTGTTTGTTTATTATAACTTCTAGCTAAGTAACTGATTGTTGTAAAACTACTTTCATTAGGCTATTGAATTAAATACTGGGAGAGTTTTGGTAATGAAGGCGATGAAGAAGGTGACGAAAATGAAACTAATGTGTGCGGAAATACGACTTATGGCTCGCTTGAAACATCCCAATATACTGAGGCATGTTCGAGAGTTCTCGTTTTCTTTGTCAAATTTGTTTTATAGCACTGCGGATCACTTTGTCTGATTTGCTCAGTCACCGCAGGAGTCGAAACGCTCAAGACAATGCGTGCTCGCAAAAGCATTTAATAATTGTCATTTACCCTTCACAGATTCCTAGGCGTTTGTCTCGACACTTCTGGAATTCACTTACTTACTGAGGTGAGAAGTTGCACATAATATACAATTTACTTTTCAATTTGTGATCGATGAATCTACTTTAAATAGCAATAAAATATTGATCTCGTTTTACTTTTCAGACTGTGCGCATTTATTTATTCAGTAAACACGGAAAAACTATTTAGTTCCAATAACCTTCAACTGACAATTTGATATACAAGGCCTATCAGCTTTTTTCGCGTTTTCGTTTGTAGTATATGGAAGTTGGTAATTTGGAAGATGTCGTTGCAGACGATAGAGAAGCTTTGCCGTGGTCTTTACGCATGAAACTCGCTCACGATATCTCGAAAGGCATGTCCTATCTGCACAGTGTTGGGGTAATCCATCGCGACTTAGCATCCAAGGTTTGTTTATAGAATTTTCGCGACACTGCGTGAATATAATTGCATTCCGTTGTTTCCGCCTCTTAAAAGATAAACATACGGACAAACATAAGTGTTTGTAATATTGAATAATCTGAACTAAATTTTATTTGTTTTTCTCTTATCTAGAATGTACTAATTTCAAACGAAAGCAATGGTTACACAGCGGTCATTGCTGACTTTGGGCTAGCTGCTAAAATTCCGTCGAGGTAAGGATTACATACCTAGAAAATAAATATCATTAGATCTATTTTGACAGTCAGTTTTTTGATCTAGTTATTAATTGAAACTTGTTATTACATTCCATTACAGTTCTAATTAGCAATTTTATTTGGATTTTTGTTTATCAGACATTGTATTGTTAAGGTTGTAAGAATATGCAACTTCATGCAGGCCCTAAATATGTTTTTGCAGCAGTTTCTAGTTAGGTCAAAAAATTGTATACAGTATTCACATATCCACAAACATGGATCCAGTAGAACAATAATATTTAATAACAATAACAATTCCCCACTAAGGTACAACATTCATTGCTTGAGATCTTCAGTATATTTGGTGAATTTTTCTTGACTAAAAGAGCCTTGACACAGTACTTGTAGAAAGAGCTTAAGTATGCTCGTATGAAACTCTAATGGATTTTTAAAAAACTTTATTTAACATATTGGATTATTTTAATAAAATATCTACATTTTAGCCCCTAAAATTTACAGGAAAATATAGGATGAATATTGAGGAAAATTCAATTTTATAATGTGGGTGTTAGGATGTTACACAACATGACATATGAAAGGATTTATAATCATGCTGTTATATACTTTTATCTTTGCTTATTTCATTCTATATTTTATTGTAAGTGTTGGTACATTTCTGCATGACACATGAATATAAGTAGGACCACACAAAACAGACCATTGGGTCAACAGTGAATAAAGGGTAAGGTGAAGTTCACTGGGTATAGTCTTATCAGTGTTAAGTGACTCTTCAGCCTTTATAAGCTTACTCCTAGCATGCTCACAGTAATGCAAATGTTCCTGCTGATCGAGAGTAATTTCTGCTTATAAGTCAAAGTTGTGAGTCTTAGAATTCCTGTGCAATTTTGTTTTTAATTTCATGGTCATTTACCTTTACATACACTTTATTGCATTAAAAATATACATATTAGGAGTGGAGTTTTATAACAAGTAGTCAGCACCTTTGATTTATCATGAGTTTCACCCTTGCCTTTTGGTTGGTGAAAACTTCATGTTTCTCTCACAGTTGACATGCAAGTCTACAATTTGCCACAATTTACTCTCTCTCTCAATTTCTCTCTCTCTATATATATATCTTGTATCTAAGCACTGTCACAAGAGAATACAGTATATAAGAGTGGCGAGTATTAAAATCTGTTCAAATGTTAGGAGGTCATGCATGCAACTATCACAAATGGGCTGTTAATAAACAATATCAGGTATTTAACCTGATGAATTACATTTGCAGCAGTGTTTCCCACAGAAACTCGACACGTTTTTGAAGTAATCAACTTGTATTTAATTATTGTCTGCACTTAAGCTGTTTGTTATTGGTGTATTCACATAATCACGACAACTCATTGAAATGAATGCAATTAGGCAAACAAATTTTTACCGCATGTATATAAATGCGTATTTTCAAGTTTGATATTCATGCATTTTTCTTAACTAAGACGAAAGACGGGAATTTAATTTCATGTTTTAGGTTATCGATATTTGATACCTAGAATGACAAGTGTGTTTGAAAAATGATCTTCCAATGATAAAGGAGTGTTGATAAATATTGCGTTTTCTATATTAAAATCATGCGATATTTCTACTTATCACCGAGTTTATTTGGTTTACGGCAGTGACTGACTTAGGTGACGATGCATGCACGCATTGCAGTTGCAGTTAAGCTGCACGCACGCTTTGTGTCATGCAGACGTCTGCACAACAACAGCTGGAGGGCGATAACCTTTCAGTCGGCCATTTTTCACTTCTTAGCCTAAATATTATTAAGCTATTCGCGCTTGTGTACTTAAATAAATACCAAAATCTAATAATGTACTTACATCAAACAATTCTAAACTGCACTAAGCTGTCGTTTACACTCCTTGAAAGGTTCTCACGGTTTTGCGTCTTGAAATGAATACTTACAAGACTAAACGACCAATATACAGAAAATTTATAAACAGTCTGGCGTACGTCGTTATCTATCACCAGCGTGCTTGTCACTCCTGTCTATTAAGTGTTGGTTTGTATAATTAGTTGGATTCTTTGTGGCCGCTTTCGTAAACAAAGGATAACAAAGTGGTAAAAACATGGCTCAGTGGGTTGTAATTATCAAGTGTAGTAATACAGACAACCTTTTTTGCACAAATTCCAATAAGATTACTATCTTTGGGTTATGTTTGATTTGCTTTCATAAAAATGATCAGACGTTGTTCTTCTCATGCACCGAACACATTGATAAGCAATAAAGCTGAAATGCCTCATTTATTGCGTCTAGTTTCGGCCTAATCTTCTTGACTTGGAAGAAGTATATATTTTTTTCCGCGTTTAGACTTTAGCTCCAATTTTCTCTCCCGATTTTAGAATTGCGTCCCCATGTTTTATTCCAGACACTAGACAAAATATGCATCAATGTCGTAAAATGGCAAAAGCTTGTTTTCCTGGAGACGTCAACCATGACGTCCTTCTTAATCTTCTTTTGAAATCTTTGTTACAAACACGTCGTTATAGACGACACTTGCAACAGTTCACTTCTGTCACCTATAGTTCATGCTCGTTTACACTATCAAATTCAAACGGCATATTTTGTTATATCGGCTTACGACTTCTGCACTTCAAGACGGCAACGTCGCTCTTAGGGCCCTTGTCTCCTTGAGGAAAAGTCCGGAAACGCTTGGACTACTGTTGAAAATAATGAAAAATTTCAACGAAACCCTAATCCTATCGAGCCAATTTTCATTTCTCAACTTGTCTCAACTAAGCTTCCTGCTTGCTTCTGTTAGATAGCAAATATAGGAGATAAGTCGTCCATTCCATTGGATCTGATCAGTGAATTTTTATTTAGCAATGAAGTCACGCCTGATAGCATGCATGCATAACCCGAACGCATAGCTACTTCCCTCTTGTCATTGAGAAAGAAAAATTTTAAAATTGGTTGAATTTTCTGTTTTCCAGAAAAAAGAAACTAAATGTTGTTGGATCTCCCTACTGGATGGCACCTGAAGTTTTAAGGAATGACCAATATAATGAAACTGTAAGTTTACAAGCATCGTGACGGAAATCAATGCTAGTGGATTGCCAAGAGCTGCCAAGATTGTGTTTTTCTATAGTTTTCTCTGAACCTCTTCGCAGGTTTAATGTCGCAGCCATTTATTAGTGTTTGTCTGTTTGATTGCAACAAAGCATATTATATCAATTATACCATGAACTTGAGTCTTATATATGAACTGATAGCTGTCGAGACGAAGCTGAGTTGGCTATCAGCCATATTAGACGGAAACGAATGATATTATTGTTTTTATGATATAGCCTGAACTATTTAATGAATAATAAAAAGTGAAATATTTTAATTCTTATCACAAATTCCGCTGTATTGCTGGCTGTTTTCATTACCCTTCGTATACAGTGTAAGCTGATATACACACACTGGGCGAGACTATGTAACAGTTCATATATGGTGATATAAACTATATTATAATTTAAATTATTACCTAGCAGCTCCATTTACAGGGTGTTACTGCTAGACGGTTGAAAGGCACTCCAGGGTATCCACCCCATATCCACCATTTTCAGACCCTAGCTATCTCTTTGTTATTCACTGTAGTGTGTTGTAGGTTTCCTGTTGTTGTATGCATTCCGTGTTGTAACTCATAATAATCAAGTAGCATTTCCACTTGCATTTATGGTTAAGCATTGTGTTTTTTTAGGTCGATATATTCTCCTATGGAATAATATTGTGTGAGATCATTGGTCGTGTTCATTCAAGCCCGGATGAAATTCCAAGAACAAATGTATGTATATATATATTTGCCGAATAACAATGGCGCATTATATAGCTAGATAACCGTAGGATCTTTCAGATTGGAGATATATAGTCATATAGAGTATCTATGCTGGTGGCTGAATAGAAAACCTCATTGACGAGGAAACTTTATTAAACTTTGATTGTTTTTAACTTGAATATTTTGACCACAATGTTTCATAAGTATTATTGTCTCTTCTGTTCACGCAGCATTTTGGTCTTGATGTGGACAAATTTTGCGAGTCAGTTCAAGGATGTCCTCCTGAATTCCTGCAGTTAGCAGTGTGTTGCTGTCAGGTACGCTGTGGCTGTGCTCTTATTGCAGGGGTAACGATGAAGTAAACATGTAAAAACATAGCGGGATTTTCTGGGTTTATAAAATTAGTACATGTAAAACATAGCGGTAGATTTCAGTTCTAGTAATACATGAATCATAGAACAATTTATTGAATTCTATGATTCTTTCATTTTGTGTATGATATACGAAAACTACGTCACAGTGCAGTGCAGCTACGTCACAGTGTAGTGGCGTGATCAGCATCATTAATTGGTGGGGGGGGGTATATTCATTTATTCATGTTGCGTGATCGATTCCTTTTGTAATCTACTACTTTACAGTCCGTTAACATGAACACGTGTAATCATCGCTTTCTATTGTTATTATGTGGCTACTGCCACAGTGCTTCACCACCCCCCTGTCCCTGTGCGACTAAAGCTAGACTAGATGATACAGGTGAATTCTAGAGGTTGAAAAGGTCTTATGTACAGCAATAATAATGCAACAAATTAATGCAAGAAAACTAAAGGTTATTATAGCATTACGTAGTCAAATGAATATGAATGATACCTATTTCATTTTGTCCTGTCTTTCAGGTTGATCCACAGTCAAGGCCTCCGTTTGAAGTCACTGCAAAATTTTTGGACTATATTCGACAGTTCGAGATAATTATAGGGTCACCTACTGTATTAATTCAGGACACCCGTAATTGTGGTCAACGTATGTCTGCCAACATTGAAGACTGGATAATTGACTCCAAGAAAAGCCTGGAGACACCAATAAAAAACATTCCAACTTGTGACGAGGATTGTGTTTGTGAAAATGGCACATCGACGATCACGAACGGAGGATCAACGGATGGTCCCAAAACAGACGATGAGAATAAATCAAACGTGGATCTAACCCCATGTCGTACAAGACATTCCAATAAACGCCACTCCTTTTTCGCAGGTCTGAGATATAAATATTTCAAACCGCATGTAGATACCGAAGATCTGGTTAAAAATACACCAAGTAAATTAGCAGGATTCTTCAATCGGGTTTTACATGCACAGAAGAAACATAAATTTGATGGACGAAAGAAACGACGATCAAAAACGGCGTATGGCGATGTCGTTGATGACAGACCAAGGCTGCGGTCTTTTCGTACGCTACTATTAACACATAAAGAGAGAAGTGCGAGTGACGCGCATTTTAGCGAAAATGTTTTACCAAGAGGATCTTTTGAACCTGATATTGCTGATCTCTCTGCCGCAAAGTTGAATGGCAGTGGATCGTATGCGTCAACACCTGTGACTACATATCGTCCTGGTGCAAGTGCGAGCACTCCAGGCTCATGCACGAGCTCCTATGTAGACGGAAAGTTCCCGGAAGGATCGTTTACACCAAAAAGAAGTTCGTTTACCCACGATGAGCACACGCCAACAGCAAGCTCAAGTAGAACTTCATTCTCCGAAAGAAGGCCGAGTGATCCTCCTTCTGAATGTACAGGTGATTACGAAGACGCAGATAACCGAAGTAGTTGTGAAAACGATGATCCATATTTAATGACTTGGTCGGGATCGTCGTTCCGAGAGAGTATTAAAGGTTCACAAAGAACGGATATGAATGGATTTAAAGAAATGAAGCAATTACCGAGGTGTTTCTCGGAGTCAGATGTCGAAGCATTGAAAGTGACAACTAGTGATAGAACAAAAACGTTCACACCTCGTCATTCACCTCAGAAAACCAAACACAAACGAAATTGGAATATTTTCAGTTTTTTTCACAGACGTGGCAAGGAGAAACAGAACGTGTAGAAAATGCTTGCATATGGTAAGTCAGCTAGTGTATTGATTTAGGTATACACACTGTTGTACGGAGGAATACTTTCATGTCTCTCTGAATGTTTCAGTCTTTAATGATTGATTTTTTTTGTCTCACAGGGTCTCTCTAATCAACATCCATTAGGTTAACGGTGATTGTGACACAACGTTGAATGTTGAAAAAGGTGGTTTGAAATAGCGTGAGAGTTGAGTCAACACACAAATCTAATCCTTGACGCTTTGACCGCAGCGGCACAAGAACCGCATGCAGTAGAATAACGCAATCTTTCCAGTGTCTTCTGGGGCAAATAAAAAAATATGTTTTCTGGCCGGATATCTCTTTCATATCCTTGCTGGAGTTTGTCAAAGTTTAAATCTAGACAGTACTATATGTGATGGCTATAATGGACCATTGTTGATTAGATTCTAAAGTAATATAAAGAAGCTGGGAAATATGAATAATCATTTTTGGAGCACGCTCCTAAACCTTAGTAAGACCCTGGCTACGTTTCGTGGATTGTTTAACCGAGGTATTAATTCACTCAAAAATTACAAAATCAATGCGATTTGCGTAAAAATGTCTTCACATGATATTTAGCTGTAATAAATTACTTGACCTTCATGCACCATAGACACACTTCAATTAATCCTGCACTACTTTATATATTGGACGTGCATGTTATACAACTCCATAGTTATCGTGAATTTTATGCGGCTAGTCAAGAAGGTTGTACATTGAAAACCAAAATCCCGAAATCTCAATCTAACAGTGCGAAGAAAACCCAAGTGCTTGAAAGCTCTCACTTTTCGCGCTAGAAAGTCGAGATTTTTAATTTTGATATTCAAGGTACTTACCTGGCGCTAAGCAATGATTTGATTCATTCTTCGTCATATTTGACTTCGTTGTCTAATTCTTCGAATGAAATAACAGAATTGTGACTTGTACCCTGATGGTACATTGTACCCTAATGATATATATAAAATATTCGAATACATCACTCAGGACCATTTTTGGCAACTAGAATTTATTGTAACCTAACTAAAATCTGGTCAAGCGAAGATTACCTCATATACTGTACCTCGAAGTACAGAACAGGCCTAAAGACGTTATACACTTCCGTCAGACTAGTAATTCATAATAATGCACCTAATCGGAAATAATTTCAAAATGTTAGAGTATTTGAATATTTTTCTCCTTAATTTGGGTTGATGCTAAGGCTTAAAAGTAGATCAAAATACATCGTATTTAAATTTTTTGTTGCACTTATTGTTGAAACTTTATGACATGTCGCGTGAATGAACTTCGTTTGTCACGAACATCTTGTATTTCTTCAGCGCTGAACACAAGTTTAAAATGAACCTATACATATATAGTTTATAGCTCTTGCACGGGGCCGCTTGGTCGATTGGCGTTCAACTTGAACAGTGGATATAAGCCATACATCTTGCTAACTATATAATCTTGTTTCCCATTTTGAACTTATCCGCCGTTTACGCTAAACGCCTTTCACTCTACCAGCCCCAGAATTTGCACTATAGTTAGCTATATGAAATCGAAAAATGAATATTGTTAAATATAAATTATATTTATATGAATAGATTTACCACTGCATGCGAGGCAGAAAAATGTGTACTATATGAAATCATTACGAGAATAAAATGTTTCAAAAATTTTCTTTACTATATTAAGTTCATAGTTTAACCTTGTCCATATTGATCTATATCACAAGATATAAACATGAAATGAAAAGATATCCTTAAAAAGTTATTGAGTAAAAAAAGAACACAAACAGCGTTTTTTGCAATAATATGTCACTATATGCACACGCCACAATTACTGTACCAAAGTAAATATACTAAGAAGATATTTCATGGATAAGTAATAAGAGCAGATTAAAAGAAATTGTACAATATTTATTAAATATATCAGTAATATACATGCATCAAGTATAATTTATGTTTTTTCATTGTAATAATACTGTATTCCTCCTCTTTCGATCTTGGTAATAATGCACGAGTGTTCATTTTTATTCTTGTACTTCAGTAACTACATAACAATTTATTCACAATTAGTACGACCAGTGCTTATAGACCTGAGTAAATGAGTAAAGTCAGCGCCGCACTAATTTTTTTATGGCCGGAGGTAAACTTTCATAAGGGCCGTTCACGGCTCGCGAGAATATGAATATTTTGTAGCTGGCTGCATGAAAGTTTCTGATCTCATCACGTTGATTAAACCTTAGAAAGCTCGGAGGAAACGAAAAACTCTCTCTCGATTTTTTAGGCCAGTGAAAATTCAGGGCTGGAAGCAACTGCCTCCTTTGCACGCCCCTTCGATAATTCGGCACTGAGTAACCACCCCCCTGGCTGCCAACCCTCCTAATATTTATTCGTTCCTCAGGGAAACACTCAAAAAAGTTCAAATCACTAAATGCGTTGACCTTTATCCATCCGGCCGAAACAAACCAGCCAGTGATGTTAAGGATGTTGTGAACATTCTTAAGCCCAAAAAGCCCACACACACAGGACGCGACCACCAACGCGACGCGGTTTTTTAATTTTTCAGCTTTCAAAAGCTGCTAATTTTGACAATGATATGTAGATTTTGACTGGTCTGGTACCCATATCTCTTAAAATGTTCGTTCAGGATTGAATCTATTTGCTTCTGAAAATGGAAAATTCGCGTCGTGTTAGCAAATCACGTCCAGTTCGTGTGGGCCTTTACATGATGCACATTTAATAAAACGTAAATATATATATTGCTGCATACCTCCTGGAATGTTTATTTTATTGGATGATAAAATATCCGCTTGAATTGAAGTTAGTTTTACGTAGAGCTCATCCGGATTTTTCTGTCAGACAAGGAAAGTATAAAAGAATGCAAGATAGGCATTATCCCGATTGTATAAAAATGTAAGCTTACCAAAAATTCGTTATAAAACGTCTCGCCCAATGCTTCTTTTACTTTGTCGTTTACAAACGGGAAGGAACGAACAAAAAACTGAAAAAAAAATTCATAAAAGGCATCAGACACGCCGCACGCGCTAAAGTGCCTTAAGGGCCCATGACCGTTAATTTCTCCAAATGATCCTGAATGTTAAACGGGTTGTGTCGTCAGACCATATTGGTCTGATCACCGTGTGAAGCATATTTTTAAATGGAACGAGTAAACAATCAGCGTGAAGGCAAAATTGCCAACTTACCTCCAGTGTAACTGCAGCCTGTCTTTGAGAATCTGGATGATTTGCGTTTCCCAGTGCAAAAAGCAAGCCGTGTATGACACGTAGCTACAACAAATTGCAGAAAAATATGCAGGGGTCATTGGTTAGGAGCAAAGCAATAGTAACCTGCAAATAGGGAAAGATTGGACCGCCTTAAAGATTAAAAATGAAAAATGAGAAAGAAAATTTGAAGAATTTAGAGTCGTTTGATTGAACCGACTGGCTGCATGGACCCTGTTGTCCTAGAGCGCGTCATGGGAGTGTTAGTAAATTTAAATTATTATTCCCACCTGAACCAAACTCTCTGCGACTTCAGGAGATCGCTGAGCCAGTATTCTGTGAATGATATATAAATAAGTGTGAAGAATCAATGATATACTTTAGATTTTTTGACGATTTTTTGAAAGATTTTTTACATCCCGTATTGCGTAGCAATTGCATGATCATGATTTTGTTACCTGATTACTTTGCAAGCAGCCGCCTGTTGGACATAAACGGACAACGGGGCGCCAAATTCTGGCATCGTGGTATCTTCGAATTATAGAAAAACCAAGAAAGTCTAAAATTATTTTGTGATCGGTAAAGTAGTTTCTTTTGCAATCAATTAGACTTTCTCAAACATGTAGAAAGCTGCCAGTTCAGCTGAGCAACGCTTGCAAGTAAACCACAGATACAATTATTTTTACCCCCTGAGACCGTGACACCGGGTTTGCAGATAGAAAACATCAGTTTGTCGAGTTGTTTTTTTAACCGCGATATTCATCCATGCAGTTATACTATAATTTAATCATAATTCGCACCACTGAGAATTTCAGATTTATCGGCTTGGATATCTTCTTTAGATGGTTTTAACAATGCAACCAATCCCTTGAGCATGGCAGGCTGAACATCATAACACATGAGGTCTTTAATCAGTTCAGACGCTTCATATTGAACTTCGAGATGCAAGGATCTCAACAGCATTAGTACAGAATCCACAATAGTAGGACTTGTCGTCTTAACGATAGGCTGTTTTAGACAGAAAAAAACACAGAGCTGACATAATTGTTGATTGTTGATCCACTAAATCCCGACCCTAGCTCGCGCAGGATCCAACATTTATTTTAGATCGGAAACGTTCGTCTGGATAGTTTCCAGTTCAATTTTGCTGATAGTACAGTGATACTGTAATAGTGAAATTTCTTGGTCATTATGTAGTTTACGGTAGGTTTCCTCAGACTCTGTCATGCCTACGGTACCTGAACAATTCTTAATGTTTCTGCAGCCATTTGTTGAGCTTTTGGTGATACTGCTCGCAATAAAGCGATCAGTGCTTTGTATACTTGTCCTTCAAACTTGGGATTACCCTAATAAGCAAACACGAATTTATAACCTATTTGACAAAACATGTTTTGCCTTTGCTGCAATAGAATGAGAGGTGGAATGATTTGGATTTACAAAAGCCCAGTGTTGATAATTCCCACTCATGTGTGTTTCATTGTCATTGACTGGATCATCACTACTCATAATATATATACCACTAACATTGGATAATTCTTGAATGAGTGTTTTTGCACAGTCTTGAGTTTCCTCTGAGGTAGATTTTGCAAGACATTCTGCCACCGCTCGAATACCTAAAGATATAAAATAAAATATTGAGCTATATTTTTGGGACAATATCAGGATGAGCACAGGTTGAGATCCAGGTGTTTATTAGGAGTACCAAAGCTCTCGCAAATCAATTCCTTGTATCGTCTTCCAGAATCAGCAATGTGCATCAACAGTTTCAGAGCTTCAACTTTATCTTCCTTTAAAAATAAATATTTCTTATTGAAAATGCATGATTGGAAGTTATCAAGATTTGTATATGCATGTACCTCTTTTGCTTGTTTCAAACCCAGTATTTCTAAAACAGTCAAGACACCCCCTACTTCTAAGAATTCTGTGAGAAATTTATGACTGAAAAAAAATCAATTTGGAATTGTCAGGATCAGAGTCACACATGAAATACATATTTTTAAATATCATAGATACAAAAAATAGAAATTAACATACCCACTTGAGGCTCCCACAAAGATATCAATAGCCTTGAGTTGTAAACTAACATGAGTTCCAATCATATATTTGCATTTAGTTAAGAATAACACAGAATCTACATTATGGGATGCAGGTTAAGAGCCATAAAGTTGTGAATATCAATAATAAAACAAACAGACAACACAACAAAAAATAGAGTAGAATCGTTTCTTGAAAAGACATATTTAGCAATCACTAGGATCAGAGGATATGTCATTCTAAGCCAAGCTGTCAGTCTAGTCAGAAATAAACTAGCAGATTGGGCAAATTCACTTTCAATTTCTGGACCAGTCTTATTTTGATTAGTCATAATAAAATCTTCCAGTATGCGTGCTCGCACTTGCTTGTTACCATTGTCCCACTGGTGAAGTAATTTACGCACAGATGCTGTATCATTGCCCACTGTTGGCATTTCTAAATGGAAACCTACTAAAAAGAGGGAAAATGGAAACCATAAAATAGAGATAAAAAATAGAATACCCCTACTGAAGTATGAAATATGAAGCAAAGTAAGGTGAATGGGGGTTGCAGAGAAAGATATTCCAATTTTGTTATACTGTACAATTAGTTATTAGTACCCTGATTGACAAAGATTCTTACTCCGAATTAAATAAATACACGCAAGGTGACAATCACGATGCATCATGCATGTTTATAAATACAATACCTACCATTAATTTTTACAATTTTAAACAGTTTACTCGTTCAAAGTTCTTTACTATAAAAGCTGTTACTTTAAAGTTATTATTTTAACTGCTCTGTCGCTTCCAAAGTGTTAAAAAAGTTCGATTTTTAAAATATAACGTCAATGATACTTTTTGTCCGCCATATTGTAAGACGCTTGCTACCATGGCAACAAAAATAAGATTCGTTTTATGATTGATTGCCCGCAATTCAGGCAAATTCATTTCGAATATATCGGCATAGATACGGTGTTCAGAGCTGACGAGGTAAATATGAGGTTGGTTGGGTTGGTTGTGATCAAGATCAGATATAGGAGAACACCTCATGTATAATGCACTTCATTAGCTTGCAAAGTGAAACAAGAAATAATTTTTCTCCTTGGAAACTAACCCAATACCCAGGCAATCTCTCAAACCTGGGTACAAAATTGAGTGGAAAAAGCAAATTCATATGGTGACAGCTGGACCAACCTTATCAGCTGACAGTTTGCAGCCTAGCCTCACAATTTGTGTAGGACCGTAGGTTTGTTTAAAGCAACCTTTTTATAGCTTTTGGAGATTGCCTTACTTATGCAAAATGAGTTTCTTATGACGGAAATTCGACGCCTGTTTGTTCGATCTGTACTGTGAAATATTACACCGAGGTTTTTTTGCATGAACCACGCTTCTTCGTTGCTCGATCTATATTAAAAAGCTTCGGTGTGATCACAGGACAAACCTCACGCTCGGTCAATAGCCAGTTATTATTCAATGCCATGTCTTCCAACAGTTGACCATCAACTGAGGTGATATTTATCTGATGTAGAAGAGATGAAAACTAAGTGGGTATAGAAAATGGGTAAAAAAATTGAAGAAACAATGCGAATTAATAGTACTATTAAGTGTATTTAAAAAGTCAGTATGAATATAAGATACTTAAGTCCTATAAAGATTATGTGCTGGGCAGTAAGAGCAACCTTTATCAAATCAACCTTTATCAAATATAATTTCACCACAGTATAATCAACATGCATGATTATCGTTCGAAAATGAAACTCGTGTGGAACTTCTTCAACACTCGCGGTATTTTTCGTAAGAAGTGAGGTATATCAGCATTCAATTTTGAAAAGTAAAAGTATCTGAATTCCTTTTATAAAACTGTAAACTTATAATTTACACACGTAATCAAATATTTGGTTTATTTTCAATGAAACACGTTAACTTCCCACGGGTTTGTTTCACTTCAATTAATTCCGGACTTTTCGACGTCGTTTATGCTCAGTACAGTGCGAGGCATTTAAATTTTACTAATTCACCAGAAGCAATGGTTGTAAGTAAAAGGTGACTAGTTTATTGGGTTTGGTTTTTCATACGTATGAATTTGTTGCTGCAGTAAATAAGGCCGGATTAAAATATGTTTGACGTTTGTGCATGTTAGTAGATAAACAATTATAAAACATAGTCACCTATTTCAATTAAAATAGGCACCACCAGGAGAAAATGATATAATGTTTACCTTTATAAATTGCTTTTGATAATAAATATATTTCACTTAATTTGAATACCAGAATTGAGCTGAGACCCGCGCTTGTGTGATGTGGTATTTTCGAGGAAAAAATGATTTTTGTAATTATCATTAGCGTTGCTTTCTTTTCAGGTGTTAGAGGTTAGTTCAATTTTAAATCATAGTGATTATCATGTATGATGAATTCTGTTTGCTGAATTTATTTAGATCATGGATATTGTATAGCCGGTTTGCTGAGGACATGCAGATATTGTGAAATGCCAACAATGCGTGCTGTGGTAACAGTATAGTCGTGGGTTTTTGCTGACCGTGCCGCGTATAAATTTAGCGTTGTCGGTTGTCCCAAGGCTATACTGAATGTAGACATTCAAAACAATCCTGATTGTATAAAAACATTTTTTAAATACGTAGTGCGAAACCCCCAATACTTCTTTGAAGACGAAGATGATACTATGAAAAAAATAACGCTTTTCAGCTGAATAATAAATGTCTTCGTGCAATAAAATAAATGTGAATAGAAGTCAGGTTTTTGTTTAGTAAGAAACGTGGCTATTGTTCCTCGGCCCTCAGGTCTACCTGGATTATCGTATAATCCATATAGGTCAAAGCAAGATATGTTATGGAAAATATGGATGCTTCAGTGATGGTGGAGACTTTCAAGGCATATTTACACAGCTTCCTTCCTCTCCAGCGAGTGTCGCTCCCAGCTTTGCTCTATTTACACGCCGTACACCACCCAGTATGCGTGATGGAGAAATATTGGATGACTCTGATATGAACAAACTACGAGCATCCACCTTTAACGAGCATTCCTTGACAAAATTTGTTACTCATGGCTATATTGAACCAAAATTTGGTATTCGTGATTGGATGTTACGTATGAAAGATGAGCTGCTGTTCAAAGGTGATTACAATGTCATCCTTGTCAGCTGGCATCATGGTAATAACTTTCCATATGTTCAGGCCGCGGCTAATACTAGAATTGTTGCTGCAATGGTAAGTTAAAGTGTGCCGACTATTGTCACCATATCAGTTGATATCTCATTTGCCTCAACGTCGTCAGTCCTAGGCGACATTAATTCATTCATGGAATTCTTGTAGTTATCAGAATTATTGCTATTTCTGGTAAACAACACTGTTGCAACATGCGATAAGATTCACCTGATCGGCTTCAGTCTTGGAGCTCATATCTCTGGTTATGCGGGAAAAAGGTGTTTGAGCAAAGGCTGTGTTTTGAATAGGATAACTGGTAGGTACAGCTTGAATAATATATATACATTGTTAATTTACCATCGAGAATTGATATTATTAGATAAATAAGGTGATAATTACAAGTTTATTAATTTTCAGGATTGGACCCGGCTGGTCCTTTATTTGAAGATGACAGTCCAGTTGTTAGGTTAGATCGTGGAGATGCAGAATTTGTGGACGTTATTCATACAGATATAAGAGTAGCATATCTTGGTGTCGTTGGTAGTTTTGGTATAATTCGTGCGATTGGTGATGCTGATTTTTATCCAAATGGTGGTTATAACCAGCCTGGCTGTCGCAATTTCAGCATAGGTAATACTGTAATGGTAATGTTTGTAAAATAATTACAATTTCATTCTCATGATCGTTATGTTGGCCATTTTTAGTTTTTACAATTTTGCCACTGTTCCTCACAATGTTCTGCATTATGATGCGTTGATGCACGTGTTTCTGTTACTACATATATTACTGTTGTTGATGTTGAGTGATCTGCAGGGTAGTGATTATGGCAGTTGTAATTGTTTCACTTGAGTGTCCCTATTGTAGTTCGTCTAATTTAAACCAATTTAGAGATATATGTCAAAACAGCGCTTATTATTCTCTTAGATTTGAACATCGTCCAGACATTGAAAGATCTAGTTGTTTGCAGTCATGCTAGAGCTGTTCTGCTCTTTTTGGAGTCTATTAACAGCAAGTGCATGATGCGAAGCTATAGTTGTACGACTAAATGGTTATTTGATCATGGTCAGTGTTCATCTTGCAAGGACCACAATAGTGAATGTCAAATTATGGGATTTTATGCCAGATCACCGCCAGCAAAACACCCAGTGTCGTATCAGCTTAGGACACGATCTGAAAGCCCTTTTTGTGGTAAGTGCAGTTTTCTTCTACAGTGCCACTATTACTCAACGTGAAATAGTCAAACAGTAGAGCTAGTATAGTGCACTAAACCTGGTCTTCCACTGGTCACATGCACGGGATCCTATACTTGCTATCAATTGTTCAACATTATATCTATTTTACATAAGGTTACCACTACAAAATAACCGTCTATACTAGCGATTCATTCCGTGGAGGACTGGAATCCACAATTCAAATTACATTGACAGGGAAATACGGCTCTAAGAATATGGATCTTGAAGAGTACGTATATGTTTAGGTTTATGTAAGTAACTATGACAGACATGCAAGGCTCATCTCAGTCGTCTGAATAATGAATATCGCACCTAAATCACCTAATTCAACTTATATTAAGTTTATAGACGCTTATAGACGTTTTCAAAAAAATACATTTTATAAATCAATTATTTAGGATTTGTTTTTATGAAAAAAAGGCCTCTGATCGATTGTTATTTTTCAGGCGAAATCACGAGCGAGGTTCGTCACAATCGTTTGTCGTGCTCATCGGAAGCAACCTTGGTAGTTTGCAAAAAATTAAGATTTCATACAACAAATTTTATGCTGTTTGGCATTTGGATCGCGTGGTTGTCCAGCCAAGCTGGATGGCAATAGAGTAAGCGTCACTCGCCTGGGTAACCTTAGACAAACAACCATATGAAAACCAAAGTCCCTTGGCTTCGGCTAAACCAGCTTCGGTTTCTTTATCCTTTGTCCTTCAAGAAAGGCACTTTCTAAACTGCTGTATTTAAATATTCCGTAGTTTGTATGAGGGGAATATTGTGTAACAAAATCCACAAAGGCGTGGTCTTTATGTAAGAGACCACAATTCATGAATATGATTACAGTGAAACACGGATAAATCTGAAACACACACCAATCTGATTGGTCACTAATAATAATAATTTCCAGCTTTATGATCGAGTTACCGGTTTGTTGATATTACTAATTTTTTATTTTGTAGATACACAGCTTGTTTTAATAGTTGGTTGATATTTAACATGGATAAAGAAGCTGACCTTAAACAAGGAACTGTTCATTGTTAACTCGGGTTTAGTAACCACGTTTATTTGTTGGGGAGGGGGTTAAGTTCATCGTTTTGTGTAACGGGCCGTAAAAAATGATTAAAAATTGTTGACTGTGTAAACCAGAAATACGCCCTGTTGTCTATAATTATATCGAGTGGATTTATACACACTTCAAATTGGAGCCTGGGGTCGGTTGTATGAAAGCCAGATAGCGCTATCCACCGGATAGTGGTTTCTTCAATCGCTTTAAAATCGCCTGTTGTTGGGTATAACTTTTATTAAATCTTAGTATTCCTAAATCGAGTATCCTCTTTAATAATTGCTGGTTCCAAAAATGAAATTTTATTGCTTTTCGAGCATTTTTAGAACGGTTGAAAAAATCACTATCCGGTGGATAGCGCTATCCGGCTTTCATACAACCAGCCCCAGAACAGTTGAGACAGCTATCGGTCCTCAGGCAGGAATCGAACCTACGCTTTTGCTATGCCGGTGCAATGCTCTTGCCACTGAGCAGGTTGGATTCCTGCCGGAGGACCGATAGTTGACTCATTTTTCCATCAATTGTTCCTAGGAAGGTTCATTCATAAGATGAGGTCACGACTCATTATTGAGCTCAGTGAGTAAATCATTACGCATGCGTGTCATGTGTTCCGTATTCCGAATTCGAATTTCTTACAGACATTGTCTTGCTTTTGATCTTGAGCAAATATCGAACTTTGCAAATTCTTTCTGGAGTTTCTGTATTCGCTAATGAATCTTCCTTCATCTCATCTAGTTCAGAGGTAAGTAGATCTTATTATAGCTTTTTAATTACACAAATGTGTGCCGTGATTTTTCGTATATTATTGTTTGTTTCCCATATGGATGTAGAATACTCAAACAGTAATATTTAGCCAGCGAAATGTTTCAAAATTTCGTTAAATATTTTAGTTTTTAGCCCCACAAAATCACTCAACACAAACTAACAAAGAAAGTATGTTCACACGTCCGCTAATATTTGGACCGCAAATATGTCACAATTACCTTTGGTCGCATCATGTATCATGCGAAGTATCACTGCTACTATAAAGCATTTCCACCATGAAAAGAATATGGCTTACAGCAGTTTCACGTGATACGCGCAAAATGGTCTTTTAGCAATATAGGTTATTTTCATGGACAATGTCACTAGTTCATTATCAAGTGCTAAAATATCACCACTCACAGATTTTCACTAGAGAATGATAACCAAATGGAAGATTGTCCCATTTCAATTTTTCCTAGAACTTCTTTCATGAGAAATTGTAGTTGACATCATCATATTTCTTTGTTGATTTGTTGCTTTGTCCTGCATTAATTCTATATTCTGCTAACTTGTAGTAACTTTTGCTTGCCGTATCAGTCAAATTTTAGAACTGGATGTCTTAATTTAATTCAGTGGTGTGCACATATACTGTTAAGTCAATGTCACTTGGCTAAAATATTTAAATTCCCAATATGCTAAATTAATCACAAACACATGATTTTAAAAGGTATTAACTTGATAAAAAGTCTGTTAGCTTGTGCTGTAATTTGATGAACGGGTCTGTTAATCAAGCACAGAATAGTCAGGCTCCTTTTTACAACAGACTAAATGGATACATGACGAAAATTAAGAAAGAGTCTTTCTCACCTATTTCTATGGATTAAGTAATGTTATTTACAATCGTGGTTCACTATATTTCAAAAATAAGAGAAAGACTTGGAATTGTTTATATGTAAATATAAAAATATTGCTTAGGTACCAAAAGTATTGCTTAAATGAATATCAAGGTATTGCTTACCAAAAATAGCCTACCAAAAACAGACGGAAGTGGTCAACTTTTCGTCAGCAATATTTTTATAATTGCTCTATCCATATGGTATTGAGCACCCTCTAGTATTTTGTAAACCAAAGACATTTATAATGATAGTATACATCATTTTTATGACAAATATTGCTACCCTGATGAAAATAAAGGCTGAAACATGTAGCATGATTTTAGAGTGCTCAGAGAAATTCTCTGGGACTACAACAGTGTCCAATATGTATATAAAGTATATATGAAAATAAAGTATATAAATCTCACTGTATGCTCACTAATATGTACTGAGTCTTTTCGAAACCTTTTACAATGAGTAATCTAAATAGTACATACCTAAACATTGCAGCAAAGATGATAACTATGTAAAAGAATTTTCATATGATTACATTAGTGTTTGAAGGTTCTTTACAAGCTATGGAAAGATAATAAAAAAACTCTTTTGAGCATTCTCCAAAATATACGTGAAAATGCGTATTGCCGTGACTTACGTGTCATTACTTACGTATTAGTTTTATTTTTAGTTTATTTTCAGAAAAATCTGCTTGTTTCAATTTCTTTTCATTGATGGGTTGAAATGAACTTATTAGCTGATTAAAATTGTCTTGCTGTAATTTTAGATCACATATTGCCTAGAAAGATTGGAAGGAGGTTGGTCCGTACTTGATTTTGCCAGAATTATGCTTTCTAGCTAGTTCTTTTTGGTAATGATAAGAAATGGCCTCAAAACAGGAACGAAGCGTTGTTCGTCAACGTACAATATACAAATGTGATCAATGTGAAAAGGTTTTCCCTGCATATGCCAAGTTGGTTAACCACGAGAGAATTCATACAGGAGAAAAACCGTTTGTTTGTCGTATATGTTGTAGGGCTTTTACACAACAAACTCACTTAAAACGTCATCACAAGGTCCATGATAATGAACGACCTCACCAGTGTTCTTTCTGTGATAGAGCTTTCAAGCACAAAGCACATTTGAAAAGACACACTAAGAGTCATCATAGTTACAGTTATCAGATGAGCAAAACAAGGAATGATTTTCTAAACGCGGAGATGTTGCACAACCAATCAAATAATTCGTCGCATTCCCAGACAAACGTATATCGAGAACCACTAGCAAGGGTTGTAGACCATGCCCAAAACAGTCATGATTCTGGTAATACAGGCGATTCTGAATCATTTGATTCTGAAAACTCGCATTATCAAGCATATGAGTTGTCGAATACTCAAACAAGTGCAAATATTTATAAAATATGCGGAACAGACGAGTCAGATTTTCCTGATCCTGAGGATGAATCGTTGAGTGGTGAAAAGAATGGTGAACTCCAAACTTATTTGGATGAACATGCGGAAAGCCCTTTTGCTGACAGATTTGATGCAACGAGAGACTCTGATGTTCCTGAGACTGAGAGCCCGCAAGTCCAATCAGCGGAACAACCGAGCAGTAAAACGGAGCGTCTAAACGGGCATGTAGAGGGGATGTACGAGTGTCAGTTGTGTGGTAAAGTGTTCAAACGCAAATCAAATTTGTTAGCGCACGAGAAAAACCATGCTGAAAACAAGGTATTCAGATGTGACCTGTGTGGGCAAGCATTTCCTGAATTACAAGAACTAGCTTTTCATCGAACTCTTTGTGAAGAAAGTTTCTACAAATGCCAGATTTGTGACAAAGAATGCGGGACAAAATTTAAATTGAAGTGCCACGTAGAAACGCATAACGACGATAAACCGCACGTGTGTGACATGTGCGGTACACGATTCAAGCATGCTCGTTCTTTAACCACCCATAAAAGAATGCATACTGGTGAGAATAATTCCAGTTGCGATGTTTGTGGAAAGGTTTTCATAAGACCTAATGATTTGGTTGTCCATAAAAGGACACATACTGGAGAGCGGCCCTATGAATGTAATATATGTCGTAAAGCATTTAAACAAAAGGCACACGTTATCAAACACATGGAGACCGTTCACGGTAAAATGAAGATGAAAGCCAACACGACAAGTTCGTCCGCAGAAATTCATACCGCTAAACTACGAAGCCGGGCTAAAAGAAAACCAAATAAGATCGAAAATGGGGCGTCAGGTCCTGACCCCAAGTTCCCTTCTAAAAAAAGCACTTCCAGTATAAAACTGCGAAGTAGATCTGAACGGTCTGGTGCGACTTTATCCACCGAGGACAAGCTTGTGCAAAATGGAACTTGTGATGAAAATTCAACGATTGATGATGACATGGAGCATGTGGCATACCCAGAAGAAACGTCTCTAAACGCACGTGGTACTCCATCAAAATCAAATACCTGCGAGGCTTGCGGAAAGTCATTCACACAAAAAAGTTACTTGGTGGTACACAGACGAATTCACACGGGGGAGATGCCATATGATTGTAATATTTGCGGGCAGGCATTCAGACAGAGAGCACATCTGGTTAAGCATAAAAAATCTATTCACAATGTTGATAAGTCTTCAAAGGGTCCCCTGACGACGGTCGTTCCAACCGAAGACGATTTATCCGACTCGATTAAAACAGAAAATGGGGACGAAGAGCATAACAATAACACGATTATACCAGCAGAAAAAGAAAGTCACTATGATATGTTGAAAAATGTTTCCAAGAGAAGGCCATTTCAGTGTGATATCTGTCATAAGAAGTTCAGACAAAGAGGATATCTGAATGTGCATAAGAGAATACATACAGGTTTGATGCCTTTCAAATGTAACATTTGTAATAGATCGTTTAGGCAGAAAACACACGTGGTGAAACACAAGAGAACAATTCACAAAATTAAGAAACTGAGAACAATCCAGCAAATGGAAGATCTTGACAACGAAAGTGAGTCATCGCCGAATGAAAGCCAAGAGAATTCACACGATAAAGAGGGAGAAACGTCACAGGACGAAAAAAACGAAACGTCGCACGATGAAAACATGAAAAAAAACACGAGCGAGATTTTCACTAGCGAATATTCAATGGTGGGTGACCAAATTTTTGAAAGGTATGGTACCCAAGCATCAGGTGTTTCGAAGACCAATGACCTCGACACTTCAGATCAGAGCCATTCTACAGGCAAGCTATCGATTGCTTCAACTAAGTGTGATCAGAATGATGCTTCGTTTGACAAACCACACGCGTGTGAAATATGTGGCAAATCATTTAAACGTAAACATTATTTGGCAATTCATAAAAGGATGCACACGGGGGAAAGGCCATACCCTTGCACGGTTTGCTCAAAAAGCTTCAGGCAGGACTGCCACCTAAGAGTCCACATGTCTAAAGTTCATCCAGACGAACATGTGGTTATTCGGTCAAGAGAGCCAACAACCTACAAATGCAAGATCTGTAACCGAGTATACAAGCGAATGCATCTCTTAAAACTGCATGAAGCAACACATGGCAGTGTTGGAGGAGTCAAAGAATCTCGAGTTAACCATCGTGGAAAAAAGAAACCCTTGTTTAAGGCATCGACTGCACGAAATCCTAAAATCCTCCCAATCAACCGCGACGATCCCGACAAGCTCTTGCATATACGCAAAAAAACCGAGTTTCAAAGCATGTCATGCGACAAAGACAGGCCCTTTCAATGCCAGTTTTGTCCAAAAGCATTTAAATTCAAGCAACACCTAACATCACATGAACGAGTGCATACAGGAGCGAGGCCCTTCGTCTGCAATATATGTAAAAGTGCTTTTAAACAATCCAGTCACTTAACCCGCCATATGAAAATGCATGAAGTGGAAGAAAAACTTGGTAAAGAAAAGGTGCCTGCGCCTGTATACGCCGACGATGATAAACCTTACAAGTGCAGAAACTGTAAAAAGAGCTTCAAATCGAAGAAAGGACAGTTATATCATATTGCAAGATGTAATTCAACAGCTAAGAATTTGAAGGCTAGAAAAGAATTGTCACGAGTAAAGACCAATGTTGAGAACAATATAAATAGTATTCACGAGTGTAAGGAATGTGGCAAACGATTTGATCGGAAGCAAATTCTTGTCATTCACAAACGTGTTCACTCTGGAGCCCGTCCTTACGAATGTGATATTTGTCATAAAAGGTTTCCCATCGCTGGAAACCTTGCGCGGCACAAGATTATTCACACTGGACAAAAACCTTACGTTTGTTATATTTGTGGTAAAGGTTGTACCCAGAAGAGTAACATGGAAGGCCATATCAGATTGGTTCATAAAGTGAAACCAAAAAAGGAAAAAGAGCCTGGGAATTTTAAACGTAAAGGGAACAAAAAACAGTCTCATAACAGCGAGACTGCTACCGCCATTGCTGAATGCAAGAAAGAAGAAAGCAGCGAGGAAAATGTTGGAACTGGAACACGTAGAAATAATTACAACGACATGGCTTCAGTGAATAGAGATCCGGAACGAGAAACCAGCGTTAAAGAAGAAACAAAAGATGTTGAAGATGAAATTTATCGGTGTTGCGAGTGTGGTAGGGGATTTGAGGAAGAGAGCAGTATGATGGACCATTGCATGGAGGCTCATTAATCATGCACGTATAGGTTTTTTAATACGCGTATTTAACTGTGGATTAGGGCAGATTGGCAGGTGATTTATCTTGAAAACTCTAGTTAAACGACAAATATTACCAATTAGACGACTATATTTCAACATTGGTTGTCTAAATGAAGAAAAGGTAAAACAAACTGTTTTCCAATATACGTATATTTTGATAAATTACGCCACAGTGCTAAATTCATCCACATGTCTTTGAGTTCTCTGCAATATTGCCAATATTTTGCTACTTATAGAATAATACTGCAACAATCATTTATGTAAATAGCTATCGGTTTTGTCAATTGTGTTTAGGAAGCATATTTGCGTCTTAAGTGGCAAAAATTTCAAGCTTTGAAATAGCGTCTCAAATCGGACATTTTCATATCTGGCTGCATTAGCGTAACTAGGAACGATAATTGAGGGAAGCATTTATGTGCACTTCATATGAGCATGTAACAAGTCGGTCTGGATTTCTTTCGAAGATTTTCTGCAACGAAAGCTTTTTATTGCCAAAAAATGTCCAAAAAAGTTAGATTTTACAACTCCGTCCTATATGAAACTTAATATAATGTTTAGACATTTTGTCCAGCGAACAAAAGCTTGAAATGTGTGTCACTGTTTTTGATGATTTTTAACGAGATATCATTTTTTAGTAAGGGTGATAATTCGTTGAAAAGCATGACGTTTTAATAGAAATTATTCACAGTAGGTTGTAATAATGCAATACATAACAATGTATATACACTGTAGTTAGGTATGTTGCTTGTAAATATTTCATAAATTAAGTAAGTGTACGCGGCAGCGAAAGCCTGGTCTGCACTTGTCTTAAAGCAGGGTTCACATATCACTGCGGACCTGTTTGCGTTTTCTTCTTATCTGTTGATGGATAAATTCGTAAAAAATTATCCGGCAACACTACCGACAACAGGTTAGCAGCTCATGCACCACTGTCATATGCGAACCAGGTATAAAAGAACCACGCCGCAAACTCCTTCACCTAGTAAGCGCACACATGTCCTTCGTGACAATTATCATTTGCATGCATGTAAATGTCTCATTTGCGGTTTTAATTTCAGACTTTTATCATCAGAATTTTTAAGACGAAATTCTTAGGGAATTGGGAAACAATTCAGCGAGTAAAGACCAGGCTTTTACTGTGAATAGCTAGTTTAGTAAGCAATACGTAAGTTATCTGTGCGTGTGAATATAATGTATGAGATTTTCTCTTGCCTCCTTCCATGTTGTGAAAAGTTTTCATCCATTCATCAGTTCATCTGATGTCAGCCCACGATCTTCATATCCAGGTCAAAACACTATAGATACTTAAATGAGTCACTGTTCCAAGGACCAATGCGGTGTTTTATCTCATTTTGATAACAAGTTCTCGTGATTCGTGAACAACTTGGCTGTGGCTACAGATATTACGAGAAAGCGAAAAAGATATTTCCAAATATCTGAAAACTTTGGTTACTATTTTTCACAACAATCGGTAGATCTATGTCTTACGGTCTTGATCAACGCCTAGCTTGCCTGAGTTGCCTCTCTAAATCAACATGGGGAGGAGCTGCCCATGAATTGAAGCCCTGGCTTCCCCCCACAATCGAGCCGCCACCCACGCGCTTTCGTCATATGGATTGCGCCCACACCGACACAGGCAGGTGATCACTAGCCCGCACAAAGGCTTGATTTCGGAAGAAATACTGCCAACATGAAAACAAGATCTTCAAAGGGTTAAAATGGGTTTTAAAAAATGGGATTTTTAATGGATATCAGATGGAAGAGATTCAAGTATTACCAGTAGTGATAATAGTGTTTATAATTCAACTTTCTGATGCTGAAATTTTAAATAACGGAGCTATCGGTAAATATTTTCATTTTCAAATACAACGCGTTGATATATGATGTAGTCTCGCTGCAAAATGTTACCAATACTAAGACATTTTAACTAATAATTCTGTTGCTGATTTGGTATCCTATATATTTATATAACAAATAGGTTGTTCACTGGTTGAAAATCTGTGCCGATACGATGAATTCTGTAACGAAGGTAGGAGGAGATTATAGCAATATTGTCAGAATTAGATGATATGATCGTTGAACTAGAACATAAAAGCGGTCGGAGTGTTTTAGAAGTCTTACTGTTCAAACAACTTATGTTCCCAACTTTTTTTTCCTTTATGCACCTTTATTTCGTTAGAAATAGTGGCAAATTACTTTCGAAACTAGAATCAGCAGTTAAAATTTGAACTGTGATCAACAAAGGTCAGAGAACGCTTGAGCAGTACCGCGCAATATTAAGTCTAAACCTCGGTCGGTAAATATAGTTGACGATCAAAAGATCATATAGAATTCTCGAGGTGGTTTCTGAAAAGATGTATTGAAGAAATAGGTAACAAATTCAAACTTAAAATCTCTTTCTGAACTGGTTTAGTATAAAATGTGCTACATGATCTGTTGCAAATTAATATTCACTATTCAAATTATAAACGCTTGATTGAAAGCGTCCTTCTGAACTTTCACACTTCAAAATTTTTTCCTCTTCCAGTTTACTATAAAAAGAATCAAAGATCTTCTTTGTGTTCAAAGATTCTTATATGTAGTAGCAATGAATATTATCTTGAATAAGAAGCTTCATTATTGTACAAAGCAACAGCTATTTGACTAATTGGAGTCTGTGTTATGTGTGATGTTTGCATTGGACAGTTGAAAATGGAAATTTATGTAGATAATGAAAGGAGATAATATGACTTTGGATTTCTTCCCATTCACTCCCACATGATGATCAATGTATAAGTGTCCTAACTTGAGACAGTTCTTTTAAATTTGTCTATGTCTAAATGAGAATAATTGTGTGAAATAACAACATCTGTTTAGTGAGATTTACCCTATTTTTTTACTGGACATACAGTATTCAATTGACAGTTATTTTATTACTTATTGGTACTTACAAGTAAAACTTTTGATAGGACTATAACTTTTTTTCTTAAACAAAGATTACGCAGTATAAAAATGACATAGTTCACAGAATATTGTCTGTATTTGTCTGAACTATTTTCGCAACCCAATGTTTGGTTTCATTCATTTTTCGGAATTTACCCCCAGTAATAACATGCTGCTCTGCTTTTTTGAAAAACTTAGGATAACACTGAACAAAAAATATGTTTGGAAAATTTTGTACTTTTGTGTCATTCTAATGCATCACTGATATGTGATCAACATGAATATAAAATACGAAGTGCAATTTCCTATTTTTCATTGAAATAATAAACAAATCAGGTATCCTTGAATATTATGCTAGTAATTGCCTGTGACATTTCGTTTTTAATAGGATGCATATGGTTTAAATATTTATATGATAATATGTACTGAATGGTTTTGCATATCCTAATTGGCTTTATTTTATCCATGCCACAAATATATTGAAAATATGTTCTGTTTAAAACTCAATTATAACAAAAAGTATTGCCTCTCAGTTTTGAGTACTAAGGCTTGAACAAATCAGCTAATGCTTTAGCTGAATCTGTGGTTGGTTTTTGGAGTATATATGCATTGCATTGAACCAGGCATGATTTAGAAAGGTTGAGGCAATTTTTTTAAGAAAAACAACAGTAAGACAGCACGGCTGTTTCACCCTGTTTGACAAGGCTGGAGCTGCCAATGATTTAATCTCTGTGTGTGCACTGTTGATAAAATATTAAAGTAAACAGAGTCATTATTGACAATTATTTTAGTGGAAATGAACTTTGTCTGTGCTTCGGGAGGGGGGTGGGGTGTTATTTCAAATTTATTGGTAGATGAGCAGATTCCCTAGCTACCCTTCCCTTGGCTTGATATTGTAAATTCTCCCAGCACCAAAGATGGTATATTCCACTGGCATAGTTATGACTGTTAGGGTAGCTAGCTCTACAGAACCAGGCCTAACTGCATGTAGCATATATTTCTCTTGTAGTGAAGTGATATTAATAATGAAGTACTCTACTGTTTCTATCCTGTCTTATATGTACTCGGTTTTTTATTCAATCTTAGGTGAACGTTATCCATACGGAAAGTGCAAAAAATTAAATTTCCGGAAAACGTCAGGACATATTACTAGCAAACGTGAGTTGAAATTATTCCCCCAAACTGATCATTATTGTATTCACTTATATTGGATCGTAATTTTTTCAATATTTTGAGTTCTCTCTAATTCGTTCTCTTCTCCCGGCTTATTCTAGGAAATGAGCACCACAGAAATGGCGCAGGTCAGAATGGAAATGCTGACCAAAATGATTGGCTTGATAATACAAAATATGACATGACGTACTTCAGGGGCGATGGTTCCGCTAGGATAATTTCTTCCAGTGAACGTGCAAAAGAAATTTTTAGGGACGATTTTTTGCGCAACAATGACAAGGAGATGCGTGAAAATAGCGCAAGTCTCAGTGATACCCCAAACGGCTTGTTCGAAAATGGCAAATATGATATGACTCACTTTTCTGAGAGCGATGTTGATGCTTTGTCACACGAGTATAGATCCAGCAAAGTTAATAGAGATAAAAATAAAGAAAGTTTATCTAGGAATTTAGATTGGCGTGGTGGAGAATTAGAAGAAGATCGACCTAATGAAGATATTATACACAACCTTGAGAAAAAGATAACAGCTGAATATGGCGATGGTACAGGCGGTGTTTGGCCTCCGATTGCAATTCCTTTAAAAATACCAGATAACGAGCAACGGGAAGTCAAACACCGCAAACAAACCAGAAATCTACAACCGATTGAGACACGAGATTCGAAATCTAGCAATGAGGAGAGAGATATGAAGAGAAATACTCACTCAAAAAACGACGAGTCTCTGGATTTGGACATCGAGATGAAACCTTTAACAGAATCGGACAGCAAGTATTTTGACGAGAATAAGTCAAAACTTAGCTCTATACCAAAAACCCCAAGCAAAGAGTCCACCCAAAAAATCGAACACGTTCAAACAAATATTGTTAGCGAGTCAGCTTCAAAGAAAACGAAAGTTGGTGTTCTTGTCGGTGGAAAACTGGACCAAACCAAAGCGGAAATTGTTCAGAATAACAGCGAAGATCCAACATATGATAAAGTCAAAGACTTCTTCAAAAGTCAACAAGTCAGTTCAATCGTTGATGCACCGTCGGCTGAGAAGAAAGGTGTGAAGTTGTACAACATTCCTCATGGTAAAGAAACTCAAGAAAACGTTAAACGAAGTTCTATACCTCAGCCTGTTGTTCATCCTGACCGTATAAGATTGGATCTAAAAGAGAGGTAATAAACTGTACCATACCAACTATACTTCTGCAGTTCAAATTGCTTAGAAATTGACTGATATTTTTGTCGTTTTTCTGAGCAAGAAAAACCTTTTATATAACTCGTACGAAAACCCATGCGTGCAAGAAGGTTTTTACTGTAAGACTAAGACTATATAAGGTTTTCTTTACTGTCGGGGTTCTTCGTGAAGACCTTTTTATTTAAGATAAATTGTCTTTCACATGAAATCATAAAAGCGTAAAAGGCGATTTCAGACTTAATATAGTTATCATTTAATCCGACACCGCAGTCCCTAAATGACGCCAAAGTTTCGTCCATTTTGAACAATACCGCACTAGATGTGCCTGTCACTTTTCCTCACCATAATGTATTTGTTCATTTCTTTCATTTAAATTTCAGTCACGACCATGTCACAGTTGATTTTATTCGATTATGTACAAAACACATTTCACGCCGGCGTTATTTGTACTGCCTTTGGAAAGTTATACCTTTAAATGAATTTTAAGAGTATTTATTTATTTTGTTGACCGAAATTTCCTGCTAATGATTCAATTTTCACATTTTATTCACTGTTTTGAAATTCTAAACTTTTTGTATTTTTTATACATTTGTCTTTGTATATCGAGGATATAAATAACGAGTGTTTATGAAGGTAGCTTGTTGTTAAAAAAATCGTACTTTTGAAAGAACTGTTTGCATTATTCAGTATACCGTGGGGCGTCTTAGCAACCGACTGTAATACTCTAATTCATTTGCAGCTGGAGATCAGCCATTATTTAAATTATTAAATATTCGCTTAGAAATCACTACAGTTGGAACTCCCTCGTTCTTTTAACGCTGGCTTATAAATGATCGTTGTGTTACTGTTTTAGATTGAACCCAGACAAAGCCAGTGATTTGTTGGGTGCTCTTCAAGATTTGCTTTGGGGCGATGAGGACGGTCGTCAGGACGTGTTTACTTCAGTAGCGTGAGTTTTCATTGCTGCTTTTTAAAACTCAAACATCCGTGAATTTAATAACTTGTATTATCTGTTCTGAAATGAATTTCAAATGCTCGTTATATACAAATCTAAGTTGTTAGAACGCCGGTTTGTAGAAACCCAAAGATGCCGGTTCAGATTCTGTTCGAGACAACAAAAAAATGCCGATTTTTTGTTGCTTTTTTTTTACATCGTGAGATTGATATAAATATATTTATCTATATAATCATATTGGCTATATATAGGAACTTTAGATCTATAATTCTTAATTTTTCTTTTAGAACGGATGAGAAAACAGTTTTATTTCATTTGCTTAATAACACAACAAGCAACGGAGTAAAACCAGCTCATGTTGTGCAGAGGATTAATAAAGGTAAAACATTCAATGAATGATTTATAGTTGTACTTATTACTCATCTTCCTGACGCATCCGCTAGCTCTGTTAGTCGTAATGTTTGGACTCGAATCATACGATCATATTCCTAAAAGATCTTCCAAACTGGTTTTATTAAAATAAATAAGCTTGCCGCTTGTTGTTGCCAATCTCCCGCCTCTTGTTGCGTGGTCTGATAAAGAATTAAATAATGAGAGTGAAAAGGTTTTATTAAATAATATTTTGGGATTGAAATATTTTCTTCAACATAAAAGAGACAAAAAAACAAATGAAATTTTCTTTTGCTACACCTCCTCCCCGCCAAAAAAAACCCAGAAAATGTCGTAATTGCATGCATGCATAATCTGCAGTAATACAGTTATATAAAAGTTTTAATTTTTTGTTGTTATTCTTGTTCGTTGTAGATAAATCAGTGAAAGACGGTCTCAAGAAAGCTGTTGGTGTCACTGTTTTAGCTGCGTCACTTGATTCCAAGGTATTTATCGTTCACCGATCTGCATTTGATGCTGGATTAACTATCTACCGTTTGGCCTGGTAAATCATTAAGACATTGCCAGGAATTAAGGAGCATTGTCAAATAACTTGGTATTGAATTGGTATTCGTTTCTATAATGTAGGAGGGATGGCGACACACGATGATTTTAAGCTCGGAGCATCTGTTAATATAATTCTATCATTTCAATAAATCGGTTTCGACGACGATCGTTTAACGAGTGAAGTTACAAATGCGTTGCAACTTCATCTTGATTGCTTCATACTACGTGCATTGGACTACAAAACAACCATGTTGTGTTTTTTAGGGAGGTGAAAAGACAAAGAAAGACGACGATAACGACGATCATAAATTCATGGTGACTACTCTAATTGTAGCTGGATGTGTCTCTGGCATTTTGCTTGCTTCAGTGTGCATATTCATCATTCTGAGAAGGTATCTATATGTCCTAAACTACCCTCAATTAACCCTCACCGTTAAGGGGATAGACAGAGTGATAACACCAGACAGTTTATGAACGCTGAAAGGGTATATAGTCCAAAAATGGATGAATACGCTTTGTAACACAGTAGAGCTTGCTGTTCGGCAGGCATGTGACCTGGACCTTGCGAATGTGAACACGTTTATATGAAAAAACACGCTTAACACGCTTAATTTCTATTATAAAACGTCTGTGAAAAAGGTTCTTGAACACTTTTATAGAACAAGCAAAGATTACCCAAGATGGGTTCCAAAACAACCTGGTTATGAAGCAGCTTCAGACTATCAGGTAGGAAATGTCACAACAAATACTTATTTACAATTAGCATAATTTATGCAGTTATGAATTGATATATTCATTGCGCATTGCGGGGGGGGGGACGTCGCCCTGAGAAGTGGATTGCGGAATGTTAACAACGCTTGTGACAAGATTTACCACGCAACTTGCATGACATGATTTCATAATTTATTCGCATACTTAATTGAGGTACGCGTACTAGTAAAGATGTTCTTTAATATCGCGGAAATAATGTTATGCTGGAGTGACGACGATACTAACTGACGTGCTTGATATAAAATGATGCAAGACGTTATAAAAGCCTTTCAATTCCTGAAGTAAACACCATAGTGATAATAGTATTACATTTTGTTGATTTTTACATGGATTTTATAAAGGTAACGTATTTCGTTAGCGATAGATATATATATTATATATAGATGAATATATGTCTTTCACACATAAAGCTTACGTAGACATACAGCCAATATCCTGTGTTATACTTTCATTCTTTCACCTTTGTTTAGAAACGTTTTACGTTCTCACAAAACTATATAGCCTATTTATTTATTAGCTATAGTTTGTTTTGTTCGAACATATATTTATTTTAATATAGTTTTATTAGGTAGTGTACAGTATATTCTAATATAACGTTTTGCATGTGCAGTATAAGACTAATATATACCTTTTGTAATTATAATAGACTAGTAACATCATTGACTTTCGGCGAATGATACAACGGATACATTCACAAATTACGTAACTTTATGAGGGCTAAAATGTCCCTGCGAACATAATTATGATCCGTAAAAAATATTTAATCTAATTATAATTATATGTGTTGCGAATATATACTCAAGCAAATGAACCAATATTCAACAGATTGTACAGACGGTGCTTCCTGCCTTTATAAATTAATAAAGTCGTACATATTTTGTCCACAATGTTTAGTCTATCAATGGTATATAGTGTTTTGAAAGATAATATTCAATAAGTTTGGTATTGTTCATAGTTGACAAAAAATTATTATAGTATTCTTTCCATGGGATACCTTGTCTTATAAAAAGGATTTTCTGGTCTGTTATATAACAATAATTTTGATAACTCCTTGAAACATGTTAATTATTAACTTATGTATTCAATTTCCGGTATATACTTGAACTTGTTATGCATTCGCAGAGCCTTTGGCGCCAGTTGAAACAAGCGACCTGGGAGTCACCCATCCAGACTACTTCAGTAGCTCATTCCGATGATGGAGCTCAGAAAGACACACCTGCTAACAAGGGAGTTCCGCCAAAATATTCCTGGTAAGATGATATAGAAACTTGGGTAGACTATAGAGTATGTGTCATTATATCCGAACTCATATTAGAGACGGGAAACTCATCTTAGGACGGGAAATTCACTCGTAGAATTCTTCCGTCTAAACAGACGGAAAAGTTGGACAGGAATCCTGCCTGGACAAGAAACTCAACTCAAAAGAATTATCAACACGGTGAAGGACGGAGCAATGGTATAAGAGAAAATAAACAACCAATATTTTATATTCTTTATAGGAGCGAAGAACCTGTCGATACAAAGATGGATATCTCAACAGGACATGTTGTATTGGTAAAATATATTTTATGATTTAGTTTATATCTAGTCTGTAGAATTACATATTTATTAAATTACTAGACACACAATTAGAAAAAAAATACGGGGATTCATACATGCGATGGATTTAGTTCCCCAGAAAGCAATTTTAGCATACGGCAATTACTATTGGTAAACCTTTTTAGTTTTTAGGTTTGCCTAAATAAACAATAGGTTTGTGTATTTCTTCTAACTCTTTTTTCCTACTATAGGCGTACATGGAAGATCATTTGAAGAACGAGAATAGGCTTTCTAAAGAGTGGGAGGTAAGGCTTGTAAATTAATAAACTTTTTCTTTCATTTATTTGATTTTTAATATCATACGATGATTGTACATAGAAAAGCAAATTTCATGCTGGTAAAAATAAATTTTATCTTATTGTATAGTTAGTCTTATATCAGGTTATACTAGTGATGTTTAAATGATGAGAAATTTAAATGATAAGTATGTTTCTACCATTGCAGGATTTGAGTGTCTACGAGGCTGAACCTGACAGCACTGATGTTGGTAAAGATCCAAAAAATAGCAAGAAAAACAGATACAGTGATGTATTGCCGTGTAAGTAAACATGATTAACATCTTTTCAACTGAAGACGTGATATTTCACAGACAGAAAGAAATCTTAAAAACAATTTATCTTTTTACTGCACCATTCCTAAACATATCTTTCGCATTACTGTTCAGATGATCACAATAGAGTGAAACTTCGAGATACATCAAATGCCACTGGATCAGATTACATCAACGCTAGCTATATAGTAAGTTCGTCAGCTTTTGCACGAGGTTCTGTGTGCTTGTTTAAGTAGACTTCCCATTTTTGTTTGTTCTTAGATCGACGATGATCCTCGTAATCCAGCTTACATTGCTACGCAAGGTCCTTTGGCAAGTACTGTGGCAGATTTCTGGCAGGTATGATTTGACTTATGAAAACAGGAAGCAGAGCTTTAAGCCTTGATTCTTCCAGAATCATGACAGGATTACCCGTTGTTGCATCATGTATAGTTCAACGTCAAAGCCCCGCGGGTTTGTCGACGAATTTAAATTAGACCAGTCTCATCGTTGGTACAAAGAATAATCGAGCCCACGCCCCTCCGCGGTGGTTCCCACACCACAAAGAGCGTTGCCACAGAAGTGGACGAAATTTGGGCGTGGCGAAAGTTTAGGGGAACATTTTTTCAAAAGTGAATTTTAGTCTACCGTCCTAAACGATTAGTCCTCCCTAGCTTAAAAACTGCACAGTCCAGTTGATGTATAATAAAACGATTACTGTCGATCCCGGAGCAATTACTATAATTTAAAATAATAATGAACTTCTGACAGATGGTTTGGGAACAAGGTGTTGTGATTATTGTGATGTTAACGAAGTTGGCAGATCTGGGACTGGTAAGCGACTCTTATATCTTTACAAGTAGATTCTATATTACACTGGATTGGGCCAATCTATTTGTTTTCCACTTCGCTTCTGAATAGCCTCTACTAATATATAAAATGTTGTTCAAGCAGGTAAAATTTTCATTTCTTTACCTCCTAGCCGCAATGCCATAGATACTGGCCACAGAAAGGACCCGAGGTGTATCATATATATCAAGTAAGTTGAAAACGTGTACAGAAGCCAGACCTACTTGTTTGGGAGATCTGTGTGGGAGATCTGTGTGAGGCTGCAGTTACAGCTAACATTGCATGGGTCCTAGCTTTCTCTTGTCTACATGCATGATGTTCAGAGAGGAGGAAGAGTAGACTTTGGACGTTGTCACACAGCGTCAATCGTCGACAAAATGTCAATCGGGCCATGTGAACAAGGCGTCAGAACTAGAAAAGTGACAAATCCAAAAACTCTTGAAAGCAACACCGTGGATACGACAACCACATGCATAGTCTCAACTTATTTTATATTGTCCTTTTTTCTTATTTTTAGGTTCATTTGATATCAGAACACATCTGGTGTAGCGATTATCTAGTTAGAAGTTTTTATCTAAAAAATGTCCAGGTAAAAAGATCCTCATTCTTGCCTTTCATGATATTTCAGACATGATCATCACCGCGCAATAATTAAGAGCACATGCCGTGTCCTTTAAAGTCATTTCTTTTTTATCTATTTCTTAGACTGATGAGACAAGGACTGTTACACAGTTTCATTACTTAACGTGGCCGCATCTTGGTATTCCATTCTCGTCAAAACCACTTTTAGATTTCAGAAGGTACACTATAACAGCGCGTGATACACAATTTCACTTCTGCCAGCACTTTAATTCGTAATCGTTAAATGATGATAATGTAATTCCCAGGAAAGTTCTAAAGTGTTTCCGAAGCCAATCATGTCCAGTGGTTGTTCACTGTAGTGGTGGTATCGACCGAACTGGCACATACATTCTTATCGATATGGTTCTTAGTAAGATGTCAAGAGGTAAGCTGGAATGAAAATGAATGTCGTCAATTTTCTAATAAAATTTTTACCCGTGTATCCTCCTTGCTTGTCAGATTCATTACATGTTATGAAAAATACACTAATAATGCATGCGATAGCGATCTTCATCCAGCACAAATGTACAACAAGATGTCTTAGACGCGTGGATTTAATTACAAAATTTAGGGGCGTGTCATCTAATGTGATGTATTCTTCGATGTAATGTACTTTATATAATTTTGGCATACAGGAACAAAAGAAATTGATATTGCCGCAACTTTGGAACATTTACGAGATCAAAGACCTCAGATGGTTAAAACTAAGGTGGATAATTTTTGTCGTGGTATTCAAACAGGACAATCGTAAATTTCGAAGCATTTCATTCACTAAACTCCGTTTTTTATTTGCAGTCCCAATTTGAGTTTGCCTTGGCCTCAGTCGCTGAAGAAGTAAATGCAATTCTTCAGGTCCTGACGAAACACTAAATGCAAACGAACAGAGCGTTGGCAAATCATAACAATGTTGTTGTTGGTGTTTAAACTCAAAAAAGGTGTCATTTCACAGTCTGCTTGCAGTATATATAATGTACATGCATGCATGCAATAATGTCTAATGTTTGAGTATATGTTAAATGATATCTGGTTTCCAAATGCATCAAAGAGTCTGTTTCGAAAGAGGAGCTGTATATTCATTAACATGTACCTGTGTTAATAATTTCAAGCCTTGCATCGCTTGTTGATTCTGTTTAAAATAACGTAGCTATACTATATATCAGAAAGTATTCATGTATACTGCATGGTATTTTCAAAGGACCTATAGAAATGTTTGGAAATCAGGTAACCAATGAACTTTTAGTGTATTTTAGCACTCACCAACTGCGCACAAGTCGTTCCTCCAAGAAGCCATTGATTGACTTATTGAATTTTAAACTATTAGGTCAGTGTTCCTTGTATTTCACTAGAATTACATTCCATTACGATTGCAATGTCAGTGCATTTATGGCAGGTAGCCTTCCCTCATGCACCCCCGACCCCTCAACCGGACCAAAAAGCGATGCTGCATGTGTGATGTGATCATGCGAGGGGAAATCCAGCCCATGCTGTGATTTTCAACGCCCACATTTATGCAAAACTTTAGTGAAAATGAAACATGATCGAGTCGAATTAACTCAATTGTAACTATTTAATAATTGTAAATATGAATGATACTACTATATCCTGGATATACAATTGTAAAATTCTGTGATGAAAAGTTATATAAAACTACTGCAATATACTAAGGGTATGCTTGTTTTTGTTCGGGCGAAAAATACTCAAGTGAAAATACTTGACAATGGCTGACGTTATATGGCAATTGTTCAAGCTATAATATATCGTCGTCCCAAAATATTTGTGTTTCCAAATGAAATGCGGAAAAGCTGTAGTGCCATCCTGAGTATATTGTAACACATACCTTCTAGATCTTGGACTTTTTTCATGGGAGTCTGCGAACCACCCATGCAGTGTTTACATAGACTGAATTAATACGTACAGTTTGCTGTAACAATTGTGAAAACTTTTATGTAATTTTTTTATCGCGAAGTAATCTTGTCATACTGCATGCACCGCAGGAGATTTATTTTTGTGCATTTTTAAAAGACCCTCCTCGAGTCAAGTACAGATAATTTATATTCCACGCGATTATTGTCGATTGCCTGCAAAATCACAAAATTTCTTTATTTCCTATATTTACTTTTACATAACCCAAGCTTTTCGCATTTAGATTCCATATACCCTGTACCAAAGTTCATACAGGAGCTCTTTTGATCTCTTGCAGTCTTAATTAGCATTAGAGACGAGGAAGTATTGATCGTGTTTTGTGATGTATGACTTTTAGCTTTTGTCAGTTATTTCGTGTGTGAGCTAGTGGACGAAATATATGTATTGCTCTCCCTACAAATTGCTCTATATCCATGCAAGAACCATACATGTAGTGATGTAGACGTATAAGAGTGTCAACTATACAATAGGCTGTAAATGGTTTTTAAAATAGAAAGGACAACATTAGTTTATATAGTTATTCGATTCTAAAATGTCTACTTTATAGAATATAGCCTGGGTTTGTTAAAAGAACATGCAAGCATTACTCAGCGATAGGAATGATAGCCAAAATAGCGCAGAGTGAAAGAGTGATTGTATTAACACAATGAGACGATTCTGGGTGGAGTTTGGGGATCAGTCATTGCAAGTACTGGCCGGCGTACAATCAACTTATCTGAATATACTAATTAGTTGGCTAAACTGCCGGTCAATATTAGCATTTGCAGAATTGTAATTAAATTATTGATATAGCTATGTTGATGATTTAAATAAAACTAAATGAAAATAACCATTAATTACCATTTTAATTAATTGCATTGCAACTGGGAAAACAGAGTAACTTTTCAATATCTTTAAAACACAAATTAATTTTGCATGTATATTATCGTGGTCTTGCTTTTGTATACAGGTTTTTTACTTATATAACTAAGCTTTACGTAAATATATTTAGGATAAGTTGCCAGTTCTCATTTGAAGTTATCTTTTCTCTAGATTAAGAATTATACAGGAAAGTTGAAGGTGTTTATACTGGGTGGCGCAGAAATGTTTTTCCTCTTACTCATACTGCCATTACTGGTTAATAAACTAATGCATGATGAAGCAATAAATAATTTATTAATCACTATATTCTTTAACCCAAATTCACAACGTACGAACGACTTCATTAACTTGTTCAGGTTGTTTCGAAATTGAATTTTAAAAAACTTTTTGAAATACAATCTAAAGTGATTTTGAAAAACAAAAAACTTCAAATTAATTTCATCGCCTATATGTATCGTAAAATTTTAAAAAAAGCAACTCAGATGTCTCGCTATTTGAACACTCTATATTGAAAGGAAATATTTTTTGCTCTCCCTGGTAAAAGGTCTGTGTTCCTAGTTTCTACGCCCATGCTCTCATCATGCAATTATGTCGGCTATGACTCAGTTCATCTGTGCATACAAAATATCCTCTGTATATAATAACTATTTGCAGAGTTTTCAGACATAATTTTTCTTGTTGATTTTCAATCAAAACAATTTTAATCACTTTAAACTGATAGTGAAATTGATCTGCAATTTTTCGTCAGTTTCGGACTGAAAACAACGCGATTATAATGCAGAATATTCGTCTACCACTAATCAGTGATCACTGATAGTGTATATAGGTTTTGATTACAATTATCTTTACTATTACAATAGTAAAGTTATAGACTATAATCATCTTTATAATTATATACAGTATATAATTCTTACCATAAATATTCGACCATTTATAAAGAAGTTCATGCAATTTCTTAGCATGCATGCATGCATGCATGGTGTCAATAAAATAACTTCAAAAGTGTAACCTATAGCTGTATATATTTACAGTTTAGGATATTGGAATTGTGCAGGATATTGGAATTTCCTACATGTTCCGAAGAGAAGTTTTATCAGGTTTTTAATAAGTTTGTCGATATGAAAAGCGTAAACTGACTGAAAAACAGACCATAACAACATAACTGCATGGCTTCAATTTTGGTGGTATAACTATCAACAACGCGTGGTAAACGAAATTAAATAATTCCGTCTTTTTTAATTAAGCTCTATTGACACGGTAAAAGAAATTGTTATAAACCAATTGTTGTTAATCAATTTTTCGCTAATGATGGTTCTCTATTCCGATGATGAATGCGACACAGCTTATCCAGGTGCAAAAACGTAACACGTGAGGGGAACACAGTGCCGAACACATAAAATGCGGCAACGGACTGAAACAAGCATCATTCGTGATTCACAGTGTACACTTGCCGGAAAAGATTGTGAAAATATTATTTCGTATACACCTTTCGAAGAACCAAAATGAATGCTGTAACTATACTCGTCGTTCTGGCCTGTATTGGCTTCTCCTCTGCTGTAAGTGAGAGTTAATTATTTAATTATTGTATATTACATACATGCATTTATTTCATAAATCTGCTTATACAAAATATATACCATTATATACACGTCATTCAAGCTGCATTTCAAAAAATGTTGGGAAACAAATTTGTTTGTAATCAATGCATATGTTAAAGTATTAATCATGAGTTGATGATATTATTACTATCCACTTCACTGTATTTGTTCAATTCCATATTTTAATTTCAAATTTGATATAGTACTTGGAAAGATGTACGACTGGAGCAGACTGTGCTGAAGGTCAATGCTGTTTGTTTGGAAAACTGTGTGCTCCCAAACTGCCACGTTATTCAACATGTTACTTAACGGTTAGTCTGCCGGAGTAGCTGAAGATAGTCCCTCTTTATATGGTGAAAATAACTGAACAATACCCTATACCCCTACCCACAGAACAGAAACAGGGTTGTTGAGTTATCTATTGCCTGCCAACATTGTTTCTTCGCCGGAGCGGTGCTCGTCAAAATTATCAAATTCGGTTTCTTTAAACTGCTGTTTTTCGTTCTAGGGCAAGCATGGTTGTGGATGTGTTGAAGGTACCTCGTGCCAAGTAACATTCAGCCATACCTTGTTTGGCAAGACATTTACTCTCCGTCAGTGTATGAATGATAAAGTTGGAGAAGAAAAGAATGTCCGAAGAAGCATAATCAGAGTATGTTATATATTACGTACTTATTACGTGGCTTGTCTGTGAGACATTCTTGATTTACATAACCGTAGCTCGATTTTTCTTGGCTTCTACGAGCTTAAATTGTTTCTCAGAATTATTTCGCTAGCAGCAGAGCAATAATCTCAATTAGACGTTTTAAAAGCGCCTCTGTCAGATCAGTCCTTTACTGATTAAATAGCCTATATGCATGTCTTCGAGAGAGTTACATCAGTAGCTACAATCAAATTACCGTGCAATCACTTGCAACCAACTCCCCATTCTCTTTATTGTAGTATATACATGTGAGTTTCATGCCAGCCGGTGAGCAAATAAAACAACTTAGTACAATTCTCTCGCTCCAGTTACTACTCCGAAACGTTGCGGGAATGATGACCGCCACTTATATAGGTCACCCATACACTGATTATATTTGTACTTTTACATTTGATATTTTGATTTTTGACATTGTCAATTAAATGGCACCTCTGTTTCGTAGACATGCAGTGTTGACAGTGTTGCTGCAGACTGTGGACCAGGACGATGCTGTTTGGGTGGAAAGTACTGTGCACCTCTGATTCCAAAATACGTTCCTTGCAATCTCGAGGCAAGTTCATCTATATATATTATAATTACACAAAACTAGTAAATACTAAAGTAAATGCAGTGCAAGAATATTAATATTGTTCGGGTTTGCACTATAGTTCAGCTAAAATGACTTTTAGCATTTTAGATGAAGGATTAAGAGCCATTTTCAATTCCCAGAGGTGCATGCTTATCTATTGCGCTTTAGAGCTGTTAGTTGCATATTTAAGTGTTGCGGTTTTTCTGAGACACCCTGTAAAAAATTAAAGATATTGGTAAATCATGCAAAAGAGAGGCATAATATATTAAACATTCAAAATCATCCGATAGATGTATGAAAACGTATTTTAGCAATTTTTCCCTGAAAAGCATGGCAGTCGTAAAAAATACGGCTTTTGTACCGGGAGAGATATATGAAGTCTGGTTGCGACACTCGAGCACACGAGTCCCGCTACAACTATGCCGGGCAGTTGGCCAGTAAACATAAACCTTGTCTCTTTCATGGAACATTTTCACCAGTATATGAATCGCTAGTATATGGTCATGCAAAATTTAGTTCGTAATTAAACAGTTTCCAAATAATTTATTTTTTGCAGGATTCACACAAATGCCCCTGTGCCAAAGGGTTGGAATGCAGAGTGACAAAGTCGTTAACAATACCAGCTATCCTTGGCATCACAGACTCAATAACTCTGAGTTTAAGGCAATGTATGCCTAAAGATGAAAGCGTCGTAATTGAAGAGGTTGAAATGACAGAGGAGTAAGGATCCTGTTGACGACAAAAAATAAGGAAGTTTAAAACAAAAATAGATTGATTGTAGCTGCATTTCAATAAAATCAATAAAAAATCAATAAAACTGCATTGAAAAACAGATTTTGCTGTCTTTTTTATTTACCATCAAAGTCCATCATGCCTAACCGATGGACCAATAGACCATTTCATGCAAGGTAACATCATAACAACAGATGTTGTGATTATGGAATAGCGAATAAAACTTAACCATTTCAGACCATGTAATTTGAAATGGGTTGATTTGCATACAAGCCGAAAAAGTCTATTGTTTACCTTGCGCCAAAGAAAAAAATAATTTAGCAACGGAAAGATTAGGCTAAGACCGGCAGCTTTTACACTCCATCGTAGTACTACCTTTTTCTGGATCATTCGGTTCTTACAAAATTTTCTTTAAACAAAAAATTTCCTTTCATTTTCATTTGCCACATTTTTGGTCTGTACATTTTTAATATACTGCATCTCTTTACACTTTAACGATTAAATACATTGTCAGTGAAGCACTATCGAACAGATTTTAGGACGATTTACGCCCCATCATGGGCTTAACGTGCGGAGCAAGGGTGCTACACGCCCAGTTCTTGCTAGTGGTCAGTTTAACGCGGCATCGGTCGGTAACAGCACCCAAGCGTATAAACACCTAAGTATAATTTTGCTCCACTTGCTTAGTTGCTTGCGATAATTTAAAAAGTCATTTCACTCGTCTGTTGATAAATCGTTTTTAAACTTGATAAAACAGTTTCTCAAAGTTTGCCATCTAATGTCCTGTCAATAATTATGTACCAGTGATATCGACACATGCTACAGTGAATGTTTGTATATACTGAAATTTATTTTAACTAATAAATGATAAATAAACCTTGCACCGACCTACCAAAAGTCTATATGCTTTCTTTAGACGCGCCTTAAGCTCCACGTGTTCGTTGGTAAAATTTATTTGGGGATTGCACCCTCCCCCAGTTACAGACGCCCCTGCGTCCTATACCACAAGTGTCACTCCCTCCTCGTCCTCCTGGTTTATAGTCCAATCCCGAAGTTTATTAATACCAACATGAAACTGAGAACAGTTCATAACCTTGAGGATTATTGGTAGGTTTCATTAGGCATTTTAGTTGATGAATGGTGGGTGGGGTTTAGAAGATACCCTTTCAAATTAGAATAGCATTGAAATTCGTTTGCGATCGACAATTGGTGAAGTGAAATATCAAATATCTCAGGGGGGATTTACGTGAAATTCTTTGAAGTGTCAAATAGACGGACGACGGTGGTATAAATATCTCCCTAATCTTAGAATGAAATATTATCTGGTTTTGCTTCAACATCCGGGGGCTTTACACCTGCATATAATTATATCGGCATGAATTATTTCCACCATGGCGGATTTCTGTGTGTTTGGAAAAAAACTGCCGTATTATATCACCACAGATACGTCGTAGTATACGAAATCAAGAACCAGGCAAAGCAACAAATCGTAGCGACGAAAGCCATTGGTATTTTTAAAGCTGGGATATTTCTTTTTATTCTTCTCGGTTTGCGATAAATATCATACAAGTTTATCAAGATATCATCTCTATTTCATGAGTGTTCTTGGGCTTCCGCTCTATAAAGGGACCAGTTGACCCTCGATCGTTGTCCGAATATTTATCCTTTGCATTGGAATACGTACTAAATAAAGAAAGGCAAAACACGATGAGTGCAGGGCGAAGAAGAAGTGGCAACAACACAGCTGGCACATCTACAGAAGACCAAGCCTTGAACCAAATTGCTTCAGAGGTACCGTGTTTGTATCATATATGCCTCATACTGACCGAGTACATTAGAAAATCTGATTCTTGCATGCAAACAGTAAACCTGAACAACCGTGTGAAATTCTGGTAAGGTTTCTTTAATTTCTTTTCTGAAGTTTAGTATTAACTGAAAACTAATGGAAACCGTGAAATATAATTATGGGAACATTTTTTAAATACATTGAACAAATTCTATATATCTACTTTGTTGGGTAGAAGTTACAACTTATATAATATTTTGGTATGTTGTATGCTTATTTGTCTTATTGTATGTTTTATGTCTATGATTCTCTTATCATTATTTTCCTAACGAAAAGTTTAGTTTCATTTTGTCTTGATAAGCCGGGGTCGACCTTTGATGACTAAATTTCCCGTATTTATGAGTAATGCACAAAAAAAGAAAATGCCTTCTCTGTGAACTTATGTGTTTAAAATGGGTTATGTGATATACTAAATCACCTATGTTCACTAACTTGAGCGATGCCAGCTTCAGAGAAATGCGGTAAATTACAAATTGATTACGTTGTATGTGCTTTTCAAACGTCGGAGCCAATAGTCAGAAATCGTACATTCGTATTAACTTGTGTTGTAAAGATATCTTCTGAACTGTTAGAATCATACCAGCCATGAGATTATGGCAGATATATCATGGTTATGGATTGTATTTTTAACTTACTAATAAATTTAATACCCCCTTTAGATTACACTGTTTATAATTTCAAACATTCATTATCAATCATTATATTGCTGTATTAAAACTATTTTGAACCTAATATTTCCTTGGGGTTGTATAATGTGACAGCTTGACATAAAATGCAAACAATAAAGGATTGCTTTGATCCCCACTGAGAATGACAGTAGGCAAATATGAAAACAATTAACTCTCAATACAGGAAGGTTCCTTAGAGCACATTATTTATAATAAATATAATTGCATGGAATGAGGAAAAATAAAATAATTCCGGTATTTTATACTGCCTTGCCAAACACTAAAACTGAGAATAGACAAGAATGAAAGTCATGAAAACATTTTCAGTCCTAATGAAACAGTAATTTTTAGGTTGAAGTATACTTCTGGCATGACATAGGCAACTGAAAATTAGGACTTCCACATAAAAACTATTCAAGATAGAATCCCTAAAATGCTGATCTAAATCATTATGAGCTCTAATGTTTGGCAAAGCAGTATAAAATACCGGAATTATTTCATTTTTCCTCATTCCATGCAATTATATTCATTATAAATAATGTGCTCTGAGAAAACTATAAGAACTATTCAAGATAGAATCCCTAAAATCTAAATCAAGGCCAATATAAGAATTGATCACATTTCTTACACACAAGGGTATGATAGTTGTGAAATGGACACACTCATACACAGAAGTACATATGTAAGGAAAAGTGTTTAGTTTTGCTACACATTTGAATGTGTCTGAATACAAGTAATATCAATTACACTTAGATTGCAATATTTTGCAAAAGCAAATGTGCAGATTTTCTAAAGGACGTGATGATAGGGAAAGCCCTATAGCACAGGGTACTGGAATGCGATTATTATTATGGTATATACAATCTTTATGACCAATTAATAGGCTGAATCAAGATTAGCTGCAAGAAGGGCTGCAAGAGCTGAAGCCAGGAGCATTCGAATGAAAGAATTAGAAAAACAGCAGAAAGAGGTACCCAATTAATAGATTGAAAGTTCTAAAATTTTAATTTAGGAATAAATATATGACTAGAAACACATGCATGTCTAAAATTCAAAAATCAAAACGCAATGTTATTATTTATAGTCACTGGCACATATAAATGTAGTGAAGGAATGTCACATAGGTCAGAGAATATAGTCAGTGAAGTTCTTTATTTTTGATAGATTGACGAAGAGTACCAGAAACAACAATGTCAAAATGAGGATACTCCAGTGAAAAAAAAAGTGAGTTGAAGAAACAAGCATAATGCGCATAATATTGTAACTAATTATTCGCTCAATTACTCATTTCGTAGACACCTTAATAGCTATTTTTCTTTCCGAAAGAATCCCCCTGCGCGGACAAACTCCACTGGTTCAATTGAAAATGCAAATTGTGATGTGGATGGTCATGATGACATTGACAAAACTAATAAACAGCTTCAGGTGTGTCCACTATATGTTACAATAAAGTACATTCAAAGTACTTGACATGATTAGTCTGAACACATTTATCAACTGAATTACTTTACCATGAGCAATCACAGATACAGAGCTCAATAATTCGAGTTTAGATCACATCTAGGCACTAATTGGGGCTAGCAAGTGGGTTAGGAATGTAAAGCAGGAAAATTCTGAGATTAGTAATTCAGTTTGCAATTTTAGGATAAAGTGACAGAGTTGGAAGAAAAATACCGAAAAGCTATGGTCCAGATAGCTCAACTAGATGATGAAAAACAAGCTTTAGTCTATCAAACTGAAGATTTAAAAGACAAGTAAGCTGATCAAATGAGGTCATAAATTATATATGGAGATTGTATATTTATGTTCTTGTTGATTTCAGGCTAGAAGATGGAGAAGATGCCTGTACAGAGGCCCGTTATGAATTAAAAGAAAAAAATAAGGTAAATGTGTTTTTAGTTAATTGTTTATTATTTGTATATATATATATATATGTAACCTTTATAAGTTTTCCTGGAAATCCAAATGTCTGTTTTGCTGTTTTTTTCCATGCAGGAAATTGAACGCTTAAAACGTCAAAACAAAACCCTGGAAAATGAGATTCAACAATACAAGGAAGCAATAGAATATCGGGATAACTTTATCGCTGTAAGTGCATAATGAAATATACATGGACATTGCCATTTTTTAGGGATTTTCCTTTCTTCTGTAAAGGTGAAAAACTGCTAAAAATATTTGGTGGTAGTATACTAGTTTGCTATATGATATAACCTTAATGCACTACAGTGTACTACACAATAAACCTGTGTATGATGAGGTATTAATTCATGTATGAAACATTTCATTTCCAGGAGAAAGGCCTATCACTATTTGAAGATACGCAACAGCCAGAAACCTCAGCCGCTGAGTGCGATGGTGGAAATACTTCAACATCAAATGAAGAAAATGCCGGCTCAACATTACCTGTAGGTAGGTTGTGGAAAAGTAATAAAGAAGGTTATTGTTCTTATTAATGAAGGTTATAGTTCATTTAAGGCGAGAACAAAATTTATGGTAACAATTTAGTTATGCTATTCTATGTGTTAAAGTCAGTGATACATGCCCCAGTTTTAACATGAAGTGTTGTGTATTGCAAAATATCATTAAAACCTGTATTGCATAGTCAGTGAAAACACTCTCTGCACCACACATATTGTATATATCCTTCTCTGTTATAGAGGATAAAACAAATTCAAATGACTCAGCTGCTCGAAGGGCGTCCATATCTGATGATAAAGAGATCTTAGTTGATCAGGTAATGATTTTCATGATTCCTCAATAATATATCAGCTTTTATCAACTTCTCCAAACAGCTTGATAGATTATATACATTATGTGTTACAACAATGAAAGTCAGTTATTTGTAAGCTAATGTTGTTTATTTAGGTGCATTCTTATACACAAATTCATAGGCAATGCGGGTAATACTGCGGTATATTTAACTATTTCCAGATAAAACTATTGCAATCACAAGTAGCTGATATGAAGACTGATGCTGGTGTAGATAGACGACATTTAGAAGTCCCAACACAAGACGAGTTAGAAGATATTAGACGTAAATATATGTTTTTGTCTCCTTTATCGTCGCGCGGTGTGCAAATCCTTTTTTTTTAAATTCCAACCACTGACCTAAGTGCATCTAATATAACAAACTAATATTGCCGAATGTAAAGCGATATCCTGGCAGGACAGTAAAAGCCGAATACTCCCATTTTTTTAACTCTGCGTGAGATCACTACTCGTGTATCGCAGAGGCGTAGCTGGATTGGAATCGTATTTTTCTATTCTTTCGTTCTCCAAAGTCCAAACCAATCGTCTTCATTTCTAGGAGAGTTTGCTAGACAAGTTAGCGATATGAAAATTAAAGTGCACAAAATGGAGCAAGAAAATACGAGATTGGAAGGCTTGGTACGGTGTTATTTTTACTGCATTCTTTTCATATATAAGCGATTATAGAATTGTAGCTGTTTGATCCAGTGTGAACTCGAACCTCGCGCCGAGGGGGTGGTATTTCTGATGGTCCTATAGAGAGCAAAACTTTTAGCTGGGCGGCTGTTTTTTGAAAACAAGATTAAGACACCGACGATTCCTAATCTTCTAGCGGCCTGTATTTCTGCCAAGTGGCAGATCCTCCGTATGTCGTTAATTTCCTGTTCCATTGTATGTTACAGGTGATGAGGTTAGAAAATCAGGTGAAACGTTATAAATCACAGGCGGAAGCTGCTGTAAGTTTGGACGTTCTTACTGCATTGTTTCAAACGAGAACATTGCATTTCTTTCTTCCTAAAGAGGCTTAAAATTGGCTCGTGTGGATTTTATAAGACATCTTATTATGTCTATATTAGATCGTGCTTGTTATTAAAAAAAATTAAGATGTAATACACTCTAGTACTCATACGCTTTTCTCGCCTCCATACTTGTCTAGTGGCAAAAAGCCTCTAGGCTGTTTCTTTTTATTTTTATCCAATATTTATTGATTTTTGTTCTGCAGGAAGCGACAGAGGAGAACTTGAAAACTGAAAAGCGAAAGTTGCAGAGAGAGGTGAGATTGCGTAGAATTAACCTCCGAAACTAGTAAACATCGCAGGCATTGTATCACGGACACTCTTCTCACGTAGCCTAGTAGTAGTCGGAGCATAGCACCGCTTAATTAATGATTTTACATCCTGGCTTGAAGTTAGCCCTTAAACATATTAGATCAATTTTTATTTTGTGCCTTATAAAAGTTAAAAAGTATCTAAAAATATTTCTTCGTCAACAGCTCCGAAAAGCTCAAGATGATATAATCGAAATACAAACGGCGCATGATCACATACAAAAACGATACGAGAAATTGAAAAATCGCCGCAAGGAAGATTCATAAATCTGGTGAGAAGTGAATAATATAAAAATAGAAAATGAAATCCCAACCTCTCAATGGAGGATGGCTTCGTGGACAGTAGTGTCTTTCACGCCTTAAATGAAGGTGATTGAGTCTTCCTGCGTAATATAGGGTAGTTGAATTCAGACGTACGACGATTAGGCAAGGATATAGGTATCCCGAACACTTTCAACACAATTAAAATCTGACACAACATTACTTCCTTATCGCCATGTCTCTATTTTTTAAATTATCCGAGTTTGTTAAATTGTTAGTTCCAATGGCCGAGAAAAATGAGGCGTTTAGTCGCCGTCGGTCGGTCGGGCAAACTACCTTTCAACTATGCTTAGTTAGCCTACGCCCAGATTGATATACACAGTCTATATGTATACATCTGCGTACAGGCTGTACTTTGTGTGATTTGTGAAATTAATTACATTAAGATCAAAAGACAGGTTTGCCAATGATGAAGAATATGTAGAAACAAATTGTTTTAGGTTAGGTTTTCGAGTGCAAGTTGTGTTTAGTAGTGTATGAACGAAATGTAATTAATAGGATATTTTAAAGAGCTGAAATGTAGTAACTTGAGTTAGATAAAAAATACAATGTTTAAATTGATTTGTAATTATTTCTGTCACCTCTACTTCATGGTATACTTATTAAAACTGTGAACATACCCGCAGACAGACCTGTGCTAGAAAAGCACCATCAATAACTAACAGTAACATAATGCATTTATTGTTTTTTCTGAAATAATGACTTGGCAATCGTATAAAGCCAATTTGAAGAAAGAATGGGACTGTTTGGGAAGCCAGATTTACCCTATGAAACAAGAAAAGCCTTGGTCTTTGACAAGACAAAATCCTATTGCAGTATTGCATTGCAATCACAAGCGTGCTGGATCTGATGGCTTCTTTCACTAAATGGTTTGTGTTTGGGCTCGTAAATTAGGTTAACGGTTAATTGGATCGTGGTTGGATGGGGGGTTGAGTTATTTTTTAACAATGAACGCCAGCAAAAACCAAACGCCTACCGCTAGCAAAAAAACTTCCTGCTTCTCTTCGCTTTGATAGCGACTGAAGACGAGGGAATTAGTTAAGTAAGGCTGAAAAAAAACAGAGCCACACAAGTCCATTGTCTGTCAGCGGAAAGGAACAACGGCATCCCTAAATGGAAGTAGATTCGTGGAAGTGTCAAGATAAAGCAATCAATGACGTGACGATGATATTCAACCTATATTGGGTTACTGCTTCATTGATACGAAAAACAATACCGAAATGTTGCGTGATTTTCCATACTGTGGATCAGTGGATCAAATAAAACTAGTAATAAAGAGATGCACAGCCCAATGACACTGAACGCAATAAACTGGAGTATAAACTTATGGTCGAGTAACTTTGCTCGCGCGATATCCTGCGTCCCGCGGGAAATATAACGTTCCAAAAGGATCACCATAGTTATATGTAAAAGAATTGGAAAATCAATCCGCATTCATATCGTTCATATGATTATGAAATAGTCAAAAAATAGCATGGAAGATTTTTAGTACAACAGACCGATATTCCCGAGTGCCATTCAAGATATCATATAACAATACTCGCGTAGAAATATTACAAGTGAGTAATTTACAAATTTAATATTGGCGTTTAATAATTTATTGTATGTGGCATAATATTCTACTCGATGTCAAATGTTTATTATTTTCGATTTGTTATTTTGTGTTGCTTTGAACTCATTCGAGTTTCTATGGACTATTCGCACGTAGGTTTTTATAACATTTGCACAAAGTTTAAAACTTGTAATCTAATCTCTTTTAGAACACATGTAAATATTTGTGGAGTGGCCGCCACTTTTGCCCTTTTGAGTCTGACAAGTTGGTATGGAGGAACGAGACAGAATTCGATATGAAACGTTATTCTACTGTCAAAAATTGGATGATGGCTATTTGTCAGGTAAGTACATTGTATATACATTGTACTTGTGTGTTTTAGACATGATGGACGTTTAGGTGCTTGACGGTCTTGTTGACTGACAATATGAATTCAACTTTTATAAATTCTTTGTTAATTGAAAGTTCCTCTTTATACATATATTTCAGGCGACAATGCAAGAGCTTTATTTATAAGATCAAAACTTCCTCTTCTTGACCTTACAAGAATATGGTAGGTAATTATGTAGGGCGATTATGTTTTGTGTACGATAAACCATCGACAAACGTTGTTATGATTTTGAAAATTCATAAGTAATATCTCATGCGTGAGATTATGTTAGTCATTCTTTACCGGCTAATTGCTACATCAAATTGTTTTTAGAAACCATTCAGGCACATATAATTTGATAGTATATTGGCAAATGACCTGCGCAACTGTTTAAACTCTGGATGTTTAAAATGCTTTAGGTTTTATATTAGGATTGCATGTCTCAAAGTACACTAGCTGAGCTTGCTATGTATCTTACTAAGTTTTATTATCATGCATTTCTAATTATTTATTGGGAATAATGGAAACTAGGTGCTCTCCTACTGATTGCTTTGTGTTCTGTGCATACCAAAACTGATGGAAATTACTTTCTCCATTCTTGGCAATTTTTAATTATTGATTATTGTGAAAGGGTATATAAAATACTGATAAAACGTTATGAACTGACCCTCTGGAACTGACCTTCTGTTCCAAGCATTAAAGTTCTGATCATATATTTCAAGTACCTGCTTGTTTGATTTTTGAGGTTTTGGAATCGATATAGTCAATTGATTGGATGGTGCATGTATTCAATTATCCATAGTAATCTGGTCTGCTTATATTCTTGGATTGTTGAAATGCTGATTTTCCTTTTGAAAGTGAAACATATCGTTTTCAATATACTGCCACCAGGGATGTAACTAGCATGATAATTGGGGAGGGGGTATATTCATATATGCAGATTCCTTTTGAAAACGCAATCGCCATCAAAAGAAATCAGTCGGGTAGAATGAATATATGAATATGCACCCTTCCCAGCACCTTAATTATGTCCCTGACTGCTGTGACAGTCAGGTTGGCACTAGCTGGATGGTTTATATTTAAATCCTTGTTGCCTGATTAATATGTGCTGCTTCAACACTCCTTAACACCATGGCACCATAATCCTTTGAAAACCACACTATTCCTCGAAAAAACACACTATTCCCATCTAAACTGCACTCCTCTCTTAAAAACCACACCTTTTCTTGGGAAACCAATGCATTTGTTCCAGTAATCTATTCCAGTAATCTTGGAATGAGTAGTAATAATACTTACCCATTATTTTTTGGTTAAAGCTAACAGGGGGTTGCAATATGTGCTAGCTCTCTAGTAACTAATTTATGTTGGAGTTCTTTTCTGGCCAGTTTCTTTATGCCGGCACTTGTGTGTTCATGCAGGCTAACCATGTTACTGTCAAGTGCAGTTATTCACTTATTCCTCAAATGAATCCATAACATGGTAAATTGCAAGCTCAGACTGGAAGGAAGTATTATTAGTCTTTGCAGTTTATTTTCGGGTTTTTCAGTTTGTTTTGGGATTTAATAGTGTCTAAATTAACCAAGACATCTGACTGTCTTAGCATACTAATTAAAGAGCCAGCATATTTTCATATGTTCATGCTATCTAAAGAATAGGTAATTTCATGCAGAGGTTATGACGCTTCTGCATTGCAACAATCGAGTCTGTCTCTTGGAAAAATAGAACTATTTTTATATAACTATTTTTAATTTTTGTAAATAATATATTTCTTCAAGTTTATTGCATTTACGTTTAGGAAACTGTCTGACATCACTCGTGACAACAAGCTTGATGTCTTTGAATTTTCCCTTGCAATGCATTTTATTGAAATGAAATTAAGTGGAAAAGAAATCCCAAAACAAAATAGTATTGTGAATGATGAAAACAAGGAAGAGGTCTTAATTCCAGAAACGACACAAGAAGACAGACAACGTATAAAAGATATTTTTGACAATGCAGACACAATTAGTCAAGGTGCCCTTACAAGTAAGATTTTTTCTCTTAAGATGAAAATACCACTCTAATGTTAATTTGTCATGCAGTACAAAAGCTGTCATCTATGTAACTAGCTATACTGTAAATTAATGTAAATAATAATATTAGACATGCTAGATGTTCTATTACTAATGATCTACGACCAGTGATCGTGTGTAGAGACCCCCCTCCATACCTCTTAAATATTATATGGCCTTGCCGTTCCACTGACTATTTTTATATTTGATTTCTCATTATAACAGTGAATATTGTGAAACCAATGTTTTTGAAGTCTGGACTGCCATCTTCAACTCTCTCAAGAATATGGTAGGTGATATATATAGTTAATTGCATTTCCGTCAATAACTGTATTGCACATAATGATACAATCTGCTTTCTATCAGGAACATTGCTGATCTTGATAGAGATGGAAAACTGTGTTTGTTTGAGTTTACCATTGCTGTACATCTTCTGAAGAATTGTGTCGAAGGTAAGTAATTTATAATAGAATAAACGTTCTAAAGAAGAGTAATCAAAGAACGTATCTTTATAATTTTAGGCTTGAGTTTAAATGGTCATGTCAATCCATTTTCCTGTTTCTCAAATGAGGTTTGTTATTACATATTACTCAATGTGACAATGAATATGACAATGCATGGTAGCTCGTTGCAACGGCAGCTGCTAATTAATCCAAATTTCTATTTGCAACTATAGGACGATACTGTTCGTGAGTACAAGGAAAAGCTCTCAATATTTGACAAGGAACTCCTACTGGAACAGAAAAATAGTGAAGATAATCTATTTCTCAACTCAAATAATTCTGCCAACAACACAAATCTTGAGCTGCTGACTGGTTATCTCTTCGATGGAAAACACGTTCCTCCCCAACTTTCTCGAGGTTTGTTGAATCGTTTTAGAATGATCATATCTACCTAGTCATTCGATTCAACCTAACAAGTATTTTAGCGCTTTAAATTTACAAACAGTTATCGTATTTATAGAGCAAAACGACTGTAGTTTTGTGGATGAAAACCGAAATGAACCTCATAAAAAAGAAGAAAAGGTTTGTAAGGCTTAAAGAAGAGTTTCAATTGTTTTAATTTTTTTTTATATTATATTCCTCAAGTAACATTTCACCTTTCATGGTGAAGTACATATAGTTTGTGGAAAATGAAATAACACGGCATTATTTAGTTATTCACGCATACCCCGCATGATTTTATTCTAAATTTGAAAATCATCCTTTTTTTTAAGATATTTGATGATTCACCAAATTATCATTCCTACGTTGGAGAAAAACCACCTGTGAATAGAAGCACAGAAACAGTTGAAAGTTGTAAAATGGACAAAAGTAATTTTCATGTCGATTTAGACAACATATTTGAAACAGTTAGCAGGGAGCATATGGACGAGAGTGAAGAAAAACCAAAGTTCATTGCTCAACCTCCCACTGGTTATGCAGAAGCTGAAGATGATGAAGAAGAGACTCCAGATATTTTGCCTTATTTTCAAAGAAGAACATATTGTGGAAAAGACTTGATATTTGAAGATCCCATTGGTAGTGAACTGATTGGTGACGTGGAATTTGAGGTCGACTTTGAGTATATTATAAACGATATACGAAAGGAAATTGCCGACGAAGAACGAGGACTGCCGATAGCTCGTGTTCTCCCAATCTATAAGACACCGCCAATTTACGATGAATTCGAAAGGACAGTTGTTGACAAAGATAAAAGAGAAATAGATTTGAATTTTAATGACGTGAAGATAGAAGATTTTAACGAACAAGAAAAACATAAAGAGATTCTTATTAACACGGTCACGAAAGATCCAGGTGGGCGTGGCAGAGGTGTCGTCCTTAATGACGAATCGAGGAGTGATAAGGATAATATATTCGAAGACACTCGTGCAAAAAATTTAATGAACTTCAATAATATTGGTGGTGGTGGCGATGGTGCTGAGGACGACATTGTGGAACAAAAGAGACTACTTTTACAAAATCAGCATGAAGAACGCAAGAAGCTCCGTGAAAATCGACCGCAAGATGATGAAAGGAATGAAAACTCGAGAAGTAGTACTCCAGTTGCAAGAAATGCAGAACAAAATTCTGTTAGCAGCAGTGCATTTGTTAAAAAAGTCGAGAAAAGAGAAACAAAACCGCAAAAGGATGTAATCGATGCCAATTATTCCACAGAACCATTACGTAAGGATGACTCTTCCGTAAACGAAAGAGATAGGAAAGTCTCAGATTCCAAACAAGATAGAAATAAAGTGGAGTCAAATGAAACATGTAAAGACAAAGTCACTGATATAATGCATTCAAATGGAACGGAGTCTCGTAATGATATCAACAACAAAGAGGAAATTGACAAGGAAGAAGGAGAAAGACGCCGTGAAGCTGAGGATAAAGAGCAACGTTTGCTTGAGAGGATAAAATATTTGGAGAAGAAACGACAACAATTGTATGAAAAGAAACAACGCGAACTAAATACAAATCATTTCACCTCAAATGAAGAACATCAAGTGTACGGAAACGTTGAAAATAAACAAAGTAATGAAGTTAACACAAATGAACATAGATTAATCAACAAGCACGCAGCAAGCTCTGCATCCCATGACCCTTGGTCGAAACAAGCGAAGAAACAAGAAAAAGAAAACGAGGAGGAGAAAAGAAGACTAGCTGAAGCTTTAGCGGCTAAAAGAAAAACTGAAGCCGAATTAGAACGACAACGTGAGGAAATATTGCAAGCAGCGAAAGAACGAAGATTAGAAGAAGAAGCAAAACAACGAGAAGAACAAGAAGCAGCAAAACAACGTAAGCAAACGTTTTTGGAAAACCTTAAAAGATTAAAGGAGCGGGTCACTACAGAGGAAGAGGATAAAGCTAAGGCATTTAAAAGCCTCTCGAAACGTGAGGCAAGTGGTTCAGTTCAGACCACTGCTGGAAGATTTAATTCAAGCCTTGCTTCGTCTAACAAATCGCAATCGTTGCCTGGATATAACAAGTTGGAAGAAACGCATTCTTCAAATACTTCTCAGAAGAGTGCGTTGCTTCAAACCAACAGGTCGGGATACAAAGGTGTTGTTGAGGCAAATAAACAAACCTTGAACCAGGATGATTATGCGGCTATAAAGCATGGCCGACAAAATAGTGAAACGAACAAGGAAGACGAGAGAAAAGCAGATGAATTGCGACGAGAAAACTTCAAGTCAAATCGAGAATTGTTTATGAGAAAAGTTCAAACAGAGCAACAGGTCCAGAAGCGGGAAAGTGTGAACAGAAACGCTCGACCTAAATCACATTATGGTGGGATGTTTAACAAACCTGTTCATCAAATTATCGATGATTCCTTGCTTTCTCAGAATGTTGACTCGTCAAGTGTCGGGGATCTCGTGGATGAGGAGTCGGTGAAACAGTTTCAACGAGAACAGGAAGTGAAGAAAGAACATGAAAATATGAACAAACTTCGTTCAAGTCTCGAACGAGAATCAAGTTACACTGTAGAAAATGTCGAACAACTGTTTTCAGAAACTGAAACAGACAATGAAAGTCGAAGTGGTAATGACTGGGATAATTTGGAAAAGAAAAAGGTTTGGAACGCTTGTTGTTAAATAGAGCAGTAATTTCGACATGGTCTAGAAACGTGCAAAAATCTTCGCTCTATACGTTTTATTTTTAGGGAACTGTATGCATGCAAGTTGGTCATAGGCAAATTTTTAACTTATTTTAGCTTTTACCTTTTGCAATGTGCTAAATTTTCTAGACCATTTATGAATTGCATGATTATGATGAAGCCTAATTCTTCTATTGCATGCGTCGTTAATGAATTCTTCTATTGATTTTCTTTGATGCATGGAATGTTTGATGTTTTTTCCATACATATTCTAACTGCACGTTGCTGTTATTAAGGTTAAGACATCATCTCATCCGCATCGTCGTTCTCTCGTGAACACGTTAAAAACTGAGTGGGATTCTTTCATAGATGTTTTGGAGGAAGACAAGAGGTTTGTCATTTGCTTTAGTGATTTTATAAATAGTAACTTCTGTTTTTTTATCGAAAACAATTTCAAGGATTTCAAATTCGATGCCTGTGTTGAAATGTGGACATTGTTTTCTTGGTTTTTGAAAGGCGAGAATCTGAGACGGTCAGGTTAAGACAAGAAATCAGTGCTCAGGTAGAGTGAACATCGCTGTTTGTCACCTGATTTTTCAAATATTTGCATGTTATTGTCGTGTAGTATTACTATATAGCTAAATAAATTAGTTTGCATATACACCACGTAAGTATTTAATAAAGCAAAGCTTTCGGTCCGTTAACCCTGGCCGTCATCAGTGGAATTGATGATGAAGGCCCGGGCTAACGCTGATGAAGGCCCGAAAAAGAAGAAGGTTATTATGTTAATAGTTAAGAAGGTTATTGCACTGATGAAGGCCCGGGTTAACGGACCGAAAGCTTTGCAATATTAAATACTTACGTGGTGTACCTACAAGCCATGCAAACATACAAGAATATTATATAGCTAAAGTAATCACAAACCTTGTTTCATTTTTACATTCATTATACTTATGATTATTTTTGTCTTGATTTAATTTAAGCTAGCATGTTGCATAAAGTTAAATGGTTGGCTTGAATTAAAACAATCAGCTGTAAAATCAATATATCTATGTCTCTTGATGTTCTTGATCAACGTTTTCTTGTAAACATTTTCAAACATTAGAAAAAAGTTAGCCAGGCACGAACACCAGTCACTGCACCAATTACGACCTCTGCTGATATTGTGAGAAGTAATAGTTCCAAAGACATTTCGGAAGAAAAAGAAATATTTGCAAAACAAGCTGGGAAAGTTAAGAAGCTGATCAAATCTTACAAGCGATTGTCTGTTCCGAGTTTTTTCAGCCAAGATAACGCGTGGAGTATTGAAAAATCAGTTAAGATCTTTTCTTTCGCTATTTTTCAGTTCTTGTGAAAATAACCAACTAAAATTTCGAATGACTAACCTGATTACACTAGATAAAAGATTGACTATTTCAAACTAACCGACTACTAATTGGCTAATATTTACTAACTTTTTTTTCGAACTAATAATTACGTTTGTTTGAAACATGTGAGTATATTACAGGGTATATAATTGAGAGAATCAGATTCAGAATACTCTATCGCACTTCAGAATGCTCTTCAGAATAAATAGTATTCATTTTTGTTTTACATGCATTTAATATTTTGTCAGTTAATCACTAACAATGAACTAATAATAACATCCAAGCTAACGAAACAAGTGCACTGCCTATATGTAGTAGATTATAGATTATGTATCTATGGGTGAAGAGATCTTTATGACAATCGTTACTTCTTTACTTCTTCATGCTTTGATTATCTGGCTTGTACTGACCTCCTACAATTTTGTCTAGGCCTTAAAAGGTATAATTTATTTGGTAGCTATATTGTAGTTTTTAGTAATTTTCCTTTTCTTCATCTGCTTTTCAAACAACAGAGTTCATAATCATTCAGTTTATCAGATTAGAAGTTCCTATTTTATCCCTCCTTGTACTTTTGTGACTGCATTCTGTCTCACTCCAGTTGTTTTTTACTCGCTTTTAGGAAGAAGAGTCGACAACACTTAAAGTGAATTCTCGAGCAGAAAATTCGATCACATCGCACAGTCGCGAACTAGACGATGTACGTAAATAAGTAAGACTGAATAATGTGCGTAAATCAATATCATTTAGGCCTGATTTAGACTAGCTCCTAAGAATCGGGGATCCATTGTAATATTTTTCGATAGATAGACAAACTTACAAAGTGTGAATCTGGCCTAGCATAACGTCAGCAGAATAAATAAATGTCTCCAAGCATTTTATAATTAGTTGGCTGAGAAGTAATTCTCAGGTTATTTCATTAGCCAGGCTAGTAGAGGACTTTTTTATAAAATGGCTTTCCAAAGTCAAGAAGTGCATTATATTCATAACGCTTATAAACCATAAAATTGGTTTTCATCATTCTAAAATTCTTGGGACTCTATTATTGGCTTGCTGTCTACAAAAGGCAAATCTAACCGTGCTGTACCAGTCACTAGTTTACGTTATCTTCTCGGCAACTATACTCGTTAAAACTGCTAGCTACAACAATCACTAAAGTCTAAACTCATTTTATTTTGCAGAAAAGGTTCGATCAGAAAACTATCATTAAGGTACAGTGGTGATTGTTGGTTTTTACGTCAGTTGGTTCATGGGTGGTATAAATATAATATAATGAAAACAAATCGATGTAAACCATGAAAGGCATGAATTACTGTAAATATTGCCGAGAGTATTGGTAGAAACGATTACTTCTGTTAATTTATCTTTTTGCTTTTTGTTGTCATTTGTAGGATAATGCACCCAAACGTAAATCCGACCTGGCTCATGCATGGAAACATGTTTCAAACCAACAAAACACTGGTTAAACAATATTAAAATATATTCGACACTGGTGCAGTTATAGTAGTCTAAAACAACATATATAAAGCCTAGTTTCCATTTGGTCTTTACCTCTCTCTTGTTTAATTAAGTGAGTGAGTGCAAATCTGAGTGCAAATGTAATGACACTCATTTACGTTATAGCGACAAGTAATCATCAAATGAAAACAAGGCTTAGTGCACTCTGCGACTTAAGAACAGTCTTTATAGGTTAAAAGTCGCAGTTTTTATTGTCAGTCTAATACCTTAAAATAAAGCTCTACAAGGATGTGATGTTTGTAACATCATTGTCTATTGGTTGTAGTTACGGACTTTAAACAAAAAAGAACCTTAAACAATCTGTTTTATATATCTAATTCAACCATTAAATCAAGGTGTAACGGCCAACGGACGTTAGGATTTGTAATTGTAAATTGTAATCTATTTCTATCATCCATGTTCAGTTTACTGGGTACATTATATAGTTCAGTGGTCTGCGCGGTAAAATCCAATATGGCCACTGGATTTGATTTTGCCGCACTTGTGGAAAATCCATTTGGAAATCTAGGATTTAGCCTTCTCGTGCCTTTGTGAGATCTTTTCTGAAAGTAGGTTCAGCAGTTAGATTCAAACCATAGTTAAATGGTTTAAATTTTTAGAGAAATATTAAGGAAATGTTTGGCTAGAATGCATTCAACTAATAGAGATGCAGAATCTGATTATCAATTTATCATTTCCTTTTATCCCTTTCATATAGTGAAAAAAGATGAATCTAATTGATCTACCACCAGAAGTACTTCTTACAATATTCTTATATCTCAGAACAAAATTTGTATTAAACACAGTAGCATGTGTATGTAAATTGTTTTATTACATTATTACACCTGAAACAACATGGAAGACAAGGTTTGGTAAAATTTGGCCAAAGAGGGTTACAAATAGTGATTCAGGTTACATTTCACCAAGGTATGTTAAAATGTGTCCTAAACTGTCTAGTATCTTACTTATTATGACATGTTTGAAGGTGGACCACTGAAAATGGCTTTCGCGACCTTTAATGGCTTCAAATCTAATTACATTGTAATATTATACACCTAATTAATATTTGCCCTCAAAGGAAATGTGTCCTTTTTTCTCAAGTCTTCATGTTCAAATCAGACAGGTGTTTGACTATACAACTTTGAACTTTAGGTGGAAAGAACTTTGTCACCAACATGAAGAATTTGATAAACATTGGCTTGAGCATGAAATGAAGTTTGATTCATTTACAATTAGTCAGGAATTTCCAATTGACTCTGTTTTGTTGATGAATTCTGGCAAGACATTGATAACTGGTTCTAGAGATAGAAGTATATGTGTGAAAGACCTTGAAAACATCAAGAATGTTGAGAACCCTTCTGAACTGCAATCCACTGTCATTAACAGACATGAGGTAAGTTTTTGTTAAATAACTTAATTAAAATAGCGTAATTAGGGCTGTGTATTCATATGTTCATGTTATAAACCAAATGTTACTTTCAAAAGAAATGAGTAGAGAAAATTTAATTAATTGCTACTATTATGCAGGGTTGGATTTGGAGGTTGATCAGCGATCCCATTACACCAGGACAATTCTGTTCAGGCTCATGGGATGGCTACATCATGCTATGGGATCTTCACAGGACAGAACCGATTAGTTCCGTGTAAGTCCATCTGGTTTATGTTTTCTTTGTTATGAACAATTCGAACTCCAAACTCCACTGAGAGGATGAAATACAACAACGACTCAACCAAAATGACTTTCAAGAAAAAACAATTGTCAATTATTGTTGATATTGAATATTGTGTTATAAATTAAATTGCTGGGAAATAATGTAAAACGACAAAAGATCAGAGACTAATTAATTAAACATTAATATTGTATTCATTTGGCTTACGATACTATAGTAACCACTGAAAGATTAGTCTAGGCTATCATGAGATGATGTCATATTTTAAGATCTGTTTCGGATCCCTTCTTTAGTTGTCTCCGCACACCACCAATTTCAATGACATGGAGAAGTAATGATATGATAGTTGCTGGTTGCTACGACAAGACCGTGCGAATCATCGACCCACGAAGTATGATCTACAGTATTGCAAACATCTTTCTGTTCTAAATCATCTATGTACATCATGTTTGCAGCTCACCATAGATAACTTGATGAACTTTATTTCAGCGTTCTCAGTTGTTAAAATGTTGAAGAAACATACACGCTCTGTGCTCTGTCTGCATGTTGACGATGACGTCATTATATCTGGTAGCGAAGATAAAACGTTGTGTATTTTTGATAGAAAAGCTGGGAAACATTTGCAATCATTACAGGTGAGAAATATCATTTCCATCATCTCCTTAAAAGGCCACGTTGCATACTGTATCTTTTAATTGTACACATTGGTAAACTGATTAAGTCCTCTAGACGTTCACCTCCCCATTCCTCCCTAGCAAGTAATTTGCCTTGCCCTGTGTGCATATAGTTCTACCACGTAGATTTCCTCTGTCTGGGATTATCACAACTAATCATTCTCCACTGTTTCAGCTTCCATCCCCGGCATTTTCATTGCATTACTGGGACGATGGTTACAGTTTATTACGTGTTGCTGGTCGTAAAAATATTTATTTTGTTGATTCCACTGAAAACTCGTATAATTTGATCAAGGTACTGTTTTTGTGGAATGACAATATTAATTTATCGTGGTAATTAAAGCAGACATGATACTAGAAAGTTGAAAAAAGTGCATGACACGCACGATTTGTTATTGTTTCGAATAGTTCAAGGTCGGTAGTTCAAGCTATATACCGTATTTCCTGGACTACCAAATATTGTTTAGAATAGTGTACTCGAAGGAATGGGGTCAAAGAAGCGGAAAGCTGCAACATCATCAATGCCTCATTATCAACTATAATCATAATTGTAGCCTGGGTTAACTGCAAGCATTCTCAAATGTGCAAAAAAGTCTTAGGCAACGGTATCTGCCCCTATATTGTAGCTTACGTGGTAACACGTTATATTGTTATAGTTTATATTGGGTATATTGTATAGTTATATTTCATCTCGTAGACAAACCCAAACACTGGACATTCAAAAAGAGTGAATGATTTTGTTCAGTTTAAAGGAGGGTTGCTTACCGCGTCTGCTGATGGAACACTGCAGGTAAAATTAAGAGACGAGATTTCAGTTTTAATTTTCCAAATTCAATTGTCTTGTTTTTCCTCCGTTTATTCCTTCTATTTCATACAGGTTCATGAACCGTCTGTATTATCACAGACAAGATTTATTCTGGATCAAAGGAAGGCAGAAATAACAAGAGTAAGTTATCTAGGGTGTTTGGTTGCTGAAATTTAATTCAAATCTTTTAGCCATTCTATATTGTGTAATGAAAAGATATTAAATATATTCACCATGCAGTAACCTAAACAAAACCTCCGTATCACATGACACATACTGTAGAATAACTAATTTTATTACACTATTTTTTACTTACTAGTTGTCTACCTGTTGTGACATGTTGGCGTCTGCTTCAAGTGATGGGAGTATTAGATTATGGAAAGTAAAATAGCGGACAAATTTTAATCTCTATAGATTTACGTCTATAGTTTTAAATTTGAACAACAGTTGTGTCTTATTGAAGTACCGTTCATAATTTATTGTTGCACATAGCCGTTGGTACGTTTTGGTACTTTTATTTATTGTTTGTAAAAAAACGTTGCAGTATATTGTGTGTATAACGAAAGTTATTCCGTATAACGGACAAGTTAGAGCGATTGAAAAACGTTCCCTCGTGTTCAACAAATTCATGCACGAAAGATGTAAACGTTGGGACGAGGTCATTAGGTCAAAAATGAATAAATTCAGAGTGAAATAAGATACCAAACATGTAGTGACATGTTCTATTCATTATAGCTCAGTGGTTCTATCACACTTGCATTTCACTTTCGTTTTCAAAGTTGTTTATACTACTCGCAAAACATTGACCAAGGATGGTTAAGGAACACAACATACGATTAATAATCGAGAATTACTCTGAAGTCGCCATGCATTTCAAATTAGACTGGTTTGACAGCGGTAGACTGGCTGATACCTACACTTGGCCAAAGACCGTTGCTTCTGGAGAGAAACTTGATGTTTTATGTTACGAGAGAGATTGGGCAATGACGGGTTGCAGTGGTTCTGTTGATTACCAAATGAATGGTACGTTGGTAACATTTGCGTTCAGCAATCCGAATGTGGGAACTAACAAGCTTGGGGTCGGTGATAGAGGCAGAGAAGTGTGGGATAATATGATAAATCACAATTATTCACTATTTAGAAAAGATATCATCATTGGTGGTTGTGGTGCCACTGGTCCTGTACTATTGATGTTTGAGTGCCAATGTACTGGAGGAACCACTAACGTGGCTACTGTAAAAATAACAAGGTCCCCAGTTTAATGAGACTGAGAAGCTGATGAATATATGCCATGGACATATGTGCAATACTTGTTTGAAAAACTACAGCAATTTAAAATAAAAATGAAGTGATGATATGATCATAGATTTATATTTAAAGAATAGACTACATTTTTCTGTCAATTACATCAAGATGAGCTCAGGTCTGATAAAGCTGATAGGCAACAAAGCAAAGCAGAGCTTTAAAAATTTCTACAACAAATTCTCACTGTATATATATACTGGATTAGTGTAATTCTGCTCAATGAGGAGACACAACAAAACACACAAGGTTTTTAATATTAGAATACATGGCTTCTACAAAAGCTATGGTTTTTTGTACACTAACAATGAGCTACATCTAACAGCAAACGAAAAGTTATTTTTATCTTTCTCCACCAGCTTCTTGATCTTTTCTTGGTTTTCCACGTCCTCTTCCTCCACCTCGTCCACCTCCACGACCGCGACCTGTTCAGCAAAAGGTTATTTCATTATAACATAATAAATGCTGTGGTAAAAACAGTCAGTATAGGTTTAAAAAGAAATACAATACTGACAGTGGTTTCTAAAAAGAAGTTCAGTAAACAATCACAAAGGAGTACCTGGTCGTCCTCTTCCTTTGTTTTTTGAAATATCCTCCTTCACCATGTCAATTACCTTGGAAAAGAAAGATCACTTTCAAAATTGTTTTATATATAAACTGTGATTAAAATAAAAGGTGATTGTAAAAAACTGTTTTGATCTCACCTCATCTGGTATTCTCAAATATTTGATATTACTTCCTCGCACATAACACTCAGGTATTCTCCAAAATCTATCTCCATCCTGAAACACATTTAGTTGATCAGTTAGAATATAGCTTGCTATTTCCATTGGTAATTTACTCGTTGAAGACCATTACACAGCCTTTTTGCCTAGGGGGCATTTTTTTTATTATATTGTACGTATTTAGCAGACGCGGGTACATGGATAATTACATGTGGAACAACTTACTCTGGATGTACAAATAACTTCCCTGAGATTGATATTCATCCAGTTGTCGCAGCTGACTAAATGACCGTTGTATGTTTCACCATTTTTCAACTCAACAAGCTATTTTAGAATTTTTCATTACGTGAGTATACATGTAAAAAAGGTAAAACTTGTGATGGGTTAAAAAATAGTTTTGCAAAAACGTTTAGTGATTTTACACATTTTTTCAGTCTTTAATCAAATATAACATACCATAGGGTGATTCTGAGCTGCCCTCAGGAGTGATAAAGGGAGCTAAAGGTATTTTAAGGAAATATTTTTATGGTAAATAAGAAAAAATACAATGACAAAATGTAGAAAATTATCACGAGCACTTACCACCATTTTGAAAAAACTGTGCTTATCCCTCTCAAACCCTCTCATACCTCTATTATCCCTGAAATACCCCTCAGACCCCCCTTAGCAATCACAAAGCGCGCGAAAGTTGAAGACTGTTGGTGGTTGTTCAATGGTGCAATATGTGATGATATCGATCCAAGATTTTTGTTAAATTTATTCGTCTATTTAGTAAGTATAAAAGAAAAATGCGTCTGACAGTTCGATTGTATTTATTGTCAAACTTATCCTGTTGGTCGATAGTCAACTTTATATATAAAAGACCAAAAAAATTAAGATAATATAAAAACCTTGACGATTTATTTTTCGTTTGAAATGGCTGCCTGTCTGTAAACTTGTATGACTTATGGGGGATTATTTTAAACAATTAACCTAGACGTTTTTTCTGAAAACCGATCCATTTTTAGATGGTTCAATTTCCACTGCAATTTTCAAATACATACATATATATTGCTATCAAAATATGCCTATTAACAATAATTAATTGCACCATTGGCTTTTATTGTTTTAATTTAAGGATGACAAGTATGGAAACAGAAAAGCAATCAGCATACTTCCCTTTGAGAAAAAATAGGAGGTATGATTGGATGAAACAGGCTAGTTAATTAAACTGTGTGTGCAGGGCTTGGCAATTCTGTCTGGCAGAGCTTTATACATACTATATGCATGGGACCTAGAATATCATGGAGCCTATAAACAGGAGTGGCTTTCTCCCCTTTTTTTCTTACCCTCATTAGAAGAAACTACTTGTGAGGCTGGCACGGTCATTGCAAGGTCACGTCTTTATGTATTGTAATACTCTATGTAGATCTCAAAATTTTCCAGATGGGATATATGTTTCCAGAGTACCATAGGCGTAGACAGGGGTCTCTACTTGATGACTAAACCTGAACCATGTTTAAAGTCTAAAATACCACCTGCATTCTATTGCTATATACTTAATACATACATCTTATGAACCTGTTTCACTATATTTTTTCTGTTTTTAGCCAAGCACAAAAGCCAAATGCTGTTGTGCCCATCAAGTTCCCATCAACGAGAAATGTACTTTGGTAAAGAGATGTTCATAAATACTTTACAAAGCTTGTGGTTTTTTGTGATTCCATAACACATTACACTCTATACATTTCATCTCTGTATTAACTAAAAACATTTTAATTTCCTAATTTTGCTTCTATTAGGGAAAGTAAACCTGTTGGAGATTTTGAAACCCTGGCACTTATCTTGGACAAACAGTGAGTGTATAAAAAATGCCAAAGTGCTACCAATGTATAAGATAGAAAAACATCCTTCTCACATCCTCAATTTTTTGCCACCACATGAAACAGAGTTGTGCAGTTGTTCATTGTTGAGAAGAGCTTGAGATTGGCGCACAGATATGCTGAAGACAAACGTCTGACAAGTTTTCTTTTGGGTTCAATTTACCCAAAGTCAAGTGAGTTGATTATACTAATATTTAAGATTTGGCAACCTGTTTGGGTAATCACCTGCATAGCCTGCCATGCATGACTATACTAGGGGGACATTTATGTCAAGTCTGAATAAATATAACTTTGCTTTGGAAGATGGGAATATGCTAATTAATGCACTGCTAATTGTGTACCCATTCATCAAGGTGAAGGTGGAATTTGCTTTGGAGTGGATAGATTTGATCCAGGCAGGGAAATCAAAGAACTAGTAGGTATGAATTGATCATATGTTTTATACAGACCCTGAAATTGAAATATAGTGAAAGGTGCAAGACAAAGAATATATATTATTTAGTTCAGGTTCATTGCATTGGCTATCATTCATCATTTAAAACATTCAAATATAGTAAATCAATTGTGTTAAAGGGAATGATGAGTACAAGTATAAAATGAGATGTACAGTGTATGTCAATCAAATATGATTAATCTTTAATCTTCTCTCTGACCCTTTCAATGATAATTAAAAAATAAAACTATAACCTTAGAGTAGTCATATCTCATACTTTCAATGATAAGAAATAAAACTATAACCTTACAGCTAGTACCTCATTCAAAATGCAAACTCCTCCAAACCCTTTTCATTTTTTCATTCAGGGGAGAATGTAGCAAAATCCAAAGTGCCTACAGCTGTTGTACCTGGAGATCATATCATACCAATAACAGTATGACATTAGATTCTGTTTCAAACATAAATAATCAGTTTAATATTATATGTAACTTGCAATGCAAATTTGACATCTGTGAAAACACTCCATCAAATGATTTGTCCATAGTCCATACAGTGTTCTGTGAAAAAATTGATATTGTATTTACTATAGGTTAAGAATGAAATACAAATCTCAGATGATTCCATCAGCCATACAAGAGATGAATTTGCCCAAGCAATCCAGGTTTGAAATTATTCTGCTAATTCTTTTGCCTTCATTCAACCAAGTTACTGGTTCTCCAAGATTTGGTAATGTATAGATCAGTGTGCTAAAAATCTGTCAAATTTGTAGACAATGAGGCTTAATTGTTGGTAAACATCTGCATCTCTATTTTATGGTTGTGTTTTACTAGGTTATGGAGGGTAAAATTTGTGGCAAAGACATGATGACTTTATCACATCTAGTATCGTTGAAGGCAAATCTCTACTGTTGCAGGGAACAAGACGAACTTATCATAAACCTACACTGTAAGTTAATTTAATGCATACGGCTTCTGGATAAGATATATAACTTTCATTTCAAATAAGGCTGTTGTAGAGCGCAATATATTAGCGCATGGGAGAACGCAGGGTACACAAGTGATTCCATTGCAGATAGCACGTGCAGCAGGTACCACATAAGCTGCGAACAACCCCGAAGTCCTGAACGCCGCAGACTATTTATAAGATTGCCCGTGTTCTACTTTCTATCTATATATTTACCTACTATTTATCTGCTTCCAGGTGGTGCGATAGTACCTGATTCAAAAATTCAGGCACGACCAATTGCACCTCTCCCCATAATCCAAACGACCTTGGCACGAAATTTAGCCGGACCACTGAGACTAAGCGATGTCGAAGGGACTCCTAAAATGGGGTTAGTTTCAATACTTGATTAGAATAGAACATTGGTACATGCAGGTATGCAATTTCCACAATTTCTCTGTAAGTGTTGAGAAGACACATCCTTACCGTGTTTCTCTTATAGATATGTGACGATGGATCAAACAAGAAAGTTGTTGTTGCTACTTGAATCCGATCCTAAAATCTATAATCTTCCTTTGATTGGGATGTAAGTGTTTAGCAAAAATTTCATTCAACTTTGTGCTCAATCGACTAATCGACTGCATGTTTTCTTCATATAGATGGGTTTCAGGAGTACAGAATGTTCATCATTCTTATGTCTGGGCTGCCTGCCTCCGATATTTGAATTGCAAAGAGATCAAGGAAAGGTCTGCATTATGATTGGTTCATGTGATATAATACAAACATGTTACTGAACTTGAATATGAGAAAGTCGTCAGCCAAAATTCAGCCATTGGGCAGTTTCATATTTCGCAACATTTCCAGAGACGTCCCATGTTTCTATTCCATTTTTCTTTTTACCCAAACTCTGCATATTCTTTACAGTTATACAAAAGGGCTCTCAGCACTCTTCTCCATTAATTTCAGGGTGTTGCATTCCTGTGGTAGCTTTCTCCTACTTCATTACTCTATTATGCAAAAAATACCTGATTTCTGGGAATGTTTTTCAGATGTAAGTATATATATATATAACACATGGAAAGGTGTGTACTGAATAACTGCAACAGTATACCGCTATAGATATGATTAACTTCACTATTACATTCCGGATTTTATTTTTAGAATGAAGAAAAGTTGGATTTTGAGCTTCTCACCTGCAAGGAAAATCTACATATAGATCTAGTACTGCAATGTTTTTTCTTGTAATATGTTATATTATCTTCGTAGTCATTTATTCGTCTTGCAAAGTACTCGTTGTATGGATGCAAGACTGGGTTTAATAGGTTGAATAACGTTCCTTGTAGCTTTGAGGATTTCCCCTTGCCAAAAAGTAAACCCTAGGTTGTAAACTTAAATGTTTAATTCCAGTTTTTTTACGATGATCATCATCTTTCTACAGGATGATTGTATCTCTAAAGACCCACTGTGTTTTCATCTTTCTCTTTGTTCTAATGGAATGAATAAAGTCTTGTTTGATGAAGCAATTACGGAGTGGAAAGAAGATAGAAATATCTTGAAGTATGATTTTCTCTTTTACATGCAGAATAACTGCATGAATGAATGCATGCATTCTTAATGCTAGTACACTACAGTGCATTAAAATATAAACAAAGAACTGCGCTTCAATTAAACATGACGTACTAGTTACGGTGCTTGCAGTTTGTTGTTTGACGTCGTGCATGATGTATTATTAGAGACGTTGAACAGAATAAAGAAGTCGATCTCAACAACAGTTCTTCAAATTCATCTGTTAAAAACGACGAGAGTCCACGACCCTCTCCTTCGCCTCGTCCCAGTCCTACTCAGGCAAGTAATGTGAATGAAATACTTCGGCTTATATTATACACTTTTAAAACAATATCAAGTATCAATACGTTTTCTTAAGTTTGCCTTTTTATCAAGTATTTAGTGGCTTGAAGTGTTGTACATAGTCTGTTAAAACTACATATTACGTCACAAAACTTGAAGATTAAACTGTCATTTTAGGTGAAAACACCGAATACTCCTGCTCCAGAAGAATCTTTGTCCCTGAGTTTTGACGAGGGGTCAAATAACTCCGGCGGGAATAAAAATTCTCAACGAACAAAAGGAAACAGTGCGCAGCTAGCGCCACGTTTTAAGCAAACGCCGAACGCCACGAAACCGATGTTAAACAACTCTAGCAGTTACAAAATTTCTAGACAACCATTCAAACAAGTTACACCTAAGAATCAAGGCAACGATCGTATGAACAGTGCTAAGCCAATTGGGACCGCTACAAGTCAAGTAAATAGAAAAAATGAAGACAAAGAAAACACTCCATTAACATCAAAAAATGTTCTTCGTGCGGGTACAGGAAAAACGTCTGGGCTTCACAGATTTAAAGATACCCAAAGACAATCTATCGGTGATCACAAAGGAAAAACATCTGCTCAAAAGTCCTCTAATCCTAGAATACCAGGAGATTTCACTCAGGTTTTAACAAGAAAACGATACTATAGTGATGATGCACAGTCATTTATGCCTCAATTGCCAGAGGACTCTCATCGATCACGAACAAACTCTCTTTCATCTCTTGCTCTGTCTGATGTCGACAACGATGTCTCTTTAGATTCTTCAGAAGTAAAATGTCCACCATCTCCAAGTAATCTAGATGCACCTCGTGATGCCCCTTCCTACTCATATGTGGATACAAAGGAAACTCCAGAGAGCCATTTCTGCAATGATTATAACCACAAACACTCCCTTGGAAATGATCACATGAGAAACGAAAGCAATGTAGTTGCTTGCCAGAACTCACCGAAAATTTCTAACAATATGCAACGTGTTTTGCCGTCGCAGTCTGGTCAAAGACCGCGAACTAATTGTGCTGAAGATTGTCAACCAACTGACAAAGATGCTCGTCATCAAGCTTTCAGTGATGAATCAATTCAACCATGCAACAACCATGATACAACTCAAAGACGAATCTCTGATGTCAGAAAGAATGTAGATGGTGTATCAAAAGACCTCATTCAAAGGCGAAGTTCCAACCAATTAGACAGTCAATCAAACCAAGAATTACGTCATGTCAACAATGTTGTCAATCAACAAGTCATGTTCTCCAAATCGGATGATACATCGAACACACATTCGGACAGAAATTTTCAGTATCCTAATGGTCAACCTGATCGGACGAAATATGATCACACGACACCGTCCCTCCTCTTACATCCTGGTGTTCAACGAAGTTCTGACGACACACGCAAGAACACCGCAGGAGAGGAAACGTCAGCTATACATCGAGACTCGTTGCCGCAAAGATCTTCAGATATAAATTCAGAAAATTTTACTCAACAGCAATCTCCCAACAAATGCCAAAATGATACGCACCCATCGAGGACTGTTTCTTCTCAACTTGTGAATGCTGACAAAAGTGGTAAACAACAAAATGAGAATGTCTTAAGTAATAAAGAACTGGAAGATCAAGTGAAAAGACAGGAAGAAATGATCAGAGTGTTGCAAGAACAGGTGTGTTAATTTTTACGTCCAGCTCAAAGCTATTGTTCTTATAACAAGACATTCACAAAATTTCGACTAGTTCTAATGAAGAACAAAAAAAGATGTAATCGAAATGGATTTATATTTTGACTGCCCTTCTGAGCGCTGATTGGCTAATATATGAGCGCGAGATCTGGAAACTGGATGGATATCGTTCTTGAACCCGCGGCAATTTATTGTGAAACTATTTGAGTATTATATGAGCTTGTTTATATATGTGGTATTTATACATATGTCCTTGGTTTATCTGTAGGTTCGTTCGTTGTTAAGGATGAAAGAAGTGATTTCTTCCGAGAACGATAGCGCTTTACTTCCTTTAACTCCAGCTTCTACGCCAGTCTCTGCCAATGAAAGTATTTCCAATCCAGCATCCCATGAAAGACGAGAATCTTCTCAAGCGGTGCAAGAACCTGAAAGAGTTACCATAGGTGTAAACACTGGTGCTAGTCTGTTATGGGAGTGTCCTAAAGATAGTACCAGTTCTTTTGAGAAATGCAGTGGTAGCAGTGATAATGAAAGGTGAGATGAAAATACAAGCGTACTAGAAACAGAGAAACGCTTCCATCTCCACTTATTGATATTTCCACTTAATAATAATTGAGAGAGAACTTAATTGATGATGATGAGAGAAATGCTATTTTCTTATTCCATGTCATATCAGTGAGCCTCTAAAATATCTTGCCGTAAATGTTAGTTTCTAGCTTCGGTACCACACATTCGGACAGACTGTGTAACACTTTTATAGTGATTCACATTTTGCGTTTAAAATCTAGGCCAGTATCAGACGAAGATAAACAATGCGTTGGGGATAAGGTTGAACCATCGAAACAACCTGACGTCTTCCCTACTCCTGAGAAAACAGAAAGTTTCATAAATTTGTCTCAAGTCGATGTTGAACTGGACTCCACTTGTTGTAGTTCAACTCCGGAAATCAGTGATGTGTTCTCTCCTTGTATAAATAGTAAGTATTATTGGAAAGGTTTATGATTACAATTGTATTGGTGGTTGTTAGTGGGATTTCGTGTGTTAGGACATTGTAATATACCATTAGTCCTCATTTTATTTGTACATAATGATTTAATCTACCATTTTACCCTCGTACATCATTACCCTCTTCATCTACAGGCGGTGAAGGCGGTACTACCAACCACACAATGTCACAGACAGACGAGCTAGCGATTGGAAACGATCTTCCCGTCAAAGGGCGAGAGTTTTACGAGAAAATGTTGGTATGAGCTTAACAAACACTATGTCCCTTTATGCATGTTAGTTAAAGTATTCTTCTACATAGTTAAATACCTTCGCATTATGTTGTGTAGTATTGGTATATCTGTGCTCGAATTTTAACACAATTTATTGATTGTACATTGATTAACTGATTTCTAAAACATTTAGTGTCAGGTAAGAGATCTATTATCTGAACAAGTGACAAATGTCATACAAGAGGAAACGGCAGTGAAAGAAGCGCACTCCTCGCGGTCCCCCAATGTCCCCACGGCAGAAGTTGTTGTGAAAGCCACTTTAAGACAACTTGAGAAAATCAAGCATTCCGGGCAAGATGAAACTCGGCAATCACGGACAAGGTTCGTTTATTATACCCGGCCTATTGTTCTGCATGCGTTCCAAATGCGTTCCACAACGAAGGAACAGCGTGAGAGCATCGTTTAGTAACATAATGCATTGCATGGCTCCTCACTCAACCTATGTATTTATTCCTGGATAATGAGAGTAATATTTTTTTTAGTTTGCAAGTTGAGTCGTCCAGTGTATTTTCAAGCCGCCAAAGATCCTTGTCCACCAGTTTTACCCCTGAACATCCAAGACTGAATTACGTTTCAATGTCTGTCGACGATACCTTTGATGAGGTCACTTGTATTGATAAGGTTGCTCTAAAGTATCTTTCTGATGAAGAACTAAAACAGTTTCAAAGCGAACTCCGTCCATCTGGTTCTGCGGCTGTGAAAAGGTCCTACACTCGATCTGTTCGCTTTGGTAGTTTACCAAGTGATCAAGAACCCAGGTCACTCGCAAGACGAGGCTTACGTGAAGTTGATTTTACGTGGAATAATTTATCATTTTGTACGAAAAATTATTTGGCTAAATATAATCTTGTTGAAGAGCATGTTTCTTTCGCTGGACAGGAAGATGATAAGCGTGTGTCTCAATCAGAAGTGGCTGTTTCCGCAACAGGCGCGTCTGTTCAGCCATGCAAACCGCCTTTCTCCTCGCCTGTTCGTCACCATTCTGAAGGATCCAGTCATATATTGGACATTAAAAGACTAAAAAACCTACCTAAATTATTTTGATATTCTCAATTTCAGTCAGATTTGTAAACAATGTATAATTGAAATAACTTAAATAAACTAATATCGATCGTTGATGCATTGTTATAGCTGTTTCAAATATTAAATCGTATCATATATTTGATCGTATATTTGTCGTGCATTTATATATCAATTCGTACAGTTTTATACACAATTGATTGAGCGTTAGAATTGTGTCAGAATTGCAGTCTTCGTACGTACATGTCGATAATTTATTGCAGCAATAGACAATACATTTGCCAATACTGTCATTATTGTGTTTATCATTTAATAAGGTGATTTTACGACTGTTTGTCGCCTTTTATCATTAAAAAATCGACCAAATCTTGATATTATATAAGAATATAAGGCCCGTTCAGATGCAGGTTAAAACTCTATTTAGTCTTTCAACGGCTGTCGCCCTGTGTCTTCAAAAAACCAGCCAAATCTTGGATTCTCTGCATATCAAACACAATATTATAGTTTGAAGGAATAGGAATTCTTTTCACAAAAAATCTAAAAGAAACAAAATTTGTGCCATTTTAAATCTGGAGAACCAATCCGCGAACTTGAGTAGAAAGTACCTTTAGGCATTTTATATTTTTTCTCTCGTGTGTAGCTTTTATTTTGAAGTCTTATTTCTACGCGAAGTTTAAGATAAACCAGGAAAATGGCACACCCCAACTACTTTTCTTTCTCCAACTCGTACCTACAGATGACGTCAGAGTATTTGCACCTGAATCCAAGATGGCGATCTCAATGGAAGGTCCACTGTCGAAGTGGACAAATGTTGTTAAAGGATGGCAGTACAGATGGTTCGTTCTCGATGAAACCGTTGGCTTGCTTTCGTATTATACTGTAAGCTCTAAATTCTTTTGTTGGCGAACTATAAACGCACGCTAAATATTAATTATTCAGTATCAAATCTGTCGCGAATGTTTGGATTGAAAAGTTAAAAACATACTTAATTGGAATTAAATATTATACAACTCAGTTCTTTGTTTTAATTAGTTTAAGAATCTAATTGTTATTTGCTAGAAATTTAGTGCTATCGCTGAAATTGATGGAAAAAACTGTATACAACTTATACCGACAGGCGACAGCTTGACAAATATAAAATGAAAATTTTGTGGTTTTACCCTTTCACAGTTTCACTGTCTCCCCCTGACGATTATTAGAGTTAGGTTTATGCATATAATTTTCCTGTATAAACATATTGTAAATATATTATCATTTCTTTATTATGCTTGCTTCAAATGTTGGATTATTAGGTAATATATCACGTCTCACTGATCTAGAAGCATTGCTGGATAATGTAACGAAATGAAACCAGTAATACATTTCCTGGGGCCAGTCTTATGAAACTCTTAACTACATTTTGTGCAGGAATACACAACTTTGATTGGTCAATTATTTCACTAACTATAGTTAACTACTTTTTTACAATCAATCCCCGTATTTAATATAATATTTTATGGTTATACTGTGTGTATGGTTATAATATATTTAATATAATATATAAATATAAGATATAGTACCAAATAATATAATATATAATACCAAATAATATATTTACAATGAGGATTTTAAATCATTCATGTTCTAATATTGAATATAGTCTAAAGAAAAAATGATGAGGGGTGCGAGAAGAGGATGTCTAAGATTAAAGGTAATCCAGCTCTAACTAATCAAAAAATTATTAGTCTGATTGGTAATTTACAAAGCATTAATGTTTGTGTATGTTTAATGTTCATTAAAGTTAATTAAGTTGTTTACCTGCAGGCCTAAACTAGCATTCATGCATGCAGTTGTCTCTGTTTATGATAAGTACAATATAATTGCTCCTGGTCGGTATGATCTAATTACTGTAATATGATAGATAACTAGCACACAATTAGTTTGCAATGGTTAAAAATATGTAGAAATACTAAACCTAACATTTATTTCATAGGGAGCATTGCTAGGGATTGATGATGAAGATGATAGTACTTTTACAATTAGTTGTGACCAGAAAACCTTCCACTTCCAAGGTACTATGGAGTGTGAGGTGTTGTGATTTACCCTTATAATTTCATTTACCCTTATCATTCCACTCATGCATTGATGCCAATCAAAAATAATTAGCAACCTGATTGTTGATCTTTTAACTTCTAGCAAGAGATGCTGAAGAACGAGAAAAGTGGATTGGAGCTTTAGAGACAACAGTTATGAAACATTCTCATTCTGGGCTACGGGTATGTTTCTTAACCTGAGACCAAGATTTCCCTTTCAAAAAATATGCATTATGTAATACTTGTATCATTCTGGAAGGACCATATTGTGTAGTACTGGGCACTGCAGCGTGAAAGAACATCTGCAAACCTTAGTGGAATTTGAAAATTTGTTGCCAATATTGTAAAATATTGCCAAATTTCCCAGTGATGCTTGCCAAGAGCTGAAAGTCCGTTATTAGAGCATGTCACCCTCGCTATCGTCATTTGCGCCGCAGGTCCGGAACGATATTTCCATCGTTTAGTCGAGGCACTGACTAAACAGGGACGCCCCCCCCCTCTTCCTCCACGCTTTTGGCAGCAGTGTCGTGCATTTCAACTCTCTGCATTAAATATCTTCGTTGACTAACATTGCCCTATCGTTAGGACGTAATGGGATCTGTTATTTATTTTCCATTGATTCTAGAGGCCATTTGGTACGGATTTAGGTTTGATTACGTCGGAGGACGACTTAGACAAGAAATTGACTGAAGCTGAAGCATATTTTAAATTATTTACAGAGCAAGTGAAGGTGATCTTTTACAGTTAAGCTAAGATTTTTTAACCCGTTTCTGGTGTGTAGCATTTCAATCTCTTGCTTTTATTCTTTACTAGGCGTTACATGCTCAGATGAGCAACGATTGTACAAACGAACATGATCCTCCTGAGGTAACCACCGTACTTGTCGTGTAATTTCTGAAGCTCTATTGTTTTTTTCACGCCAGCCGTTGTAATGAAGTATTACAACTCCGTTGTAATGAAGTACGTATATTACAACGGATAGCGTGAAAACGTCATGTTATAATTCCATCATCCACTGCCCCACATCATCGACTTTAAAAGTCACCACAATGGTCGTTTTGTGTGATTTTTAGTTACTATCTCCTCGCCCGTGCTGGAATATTACCCTGTCCTGTAATTTTAAAATTTGAAGGGAAAAAATGCTATTGTAATGTAGAAAATGTTAACTCCCTCCCCTCCCTAACCTCTCACCCAGACAAGTGTGGTAGAGAGAGGGGGAATCACCTACCCGTGAAATGCTTGGGTACATGACTACCTGGAACATTATATGCAATATCATGAATCACTTCTCTTCATATATGCGTCAAATTATTCGAGAGACGTCGACCGTATGTATTTTGTACATTTCATTTTTACATCAATTTTCCTACTTTTATGCTATAGCTGTAGTTAGCACATGTTGATATATCGTTAATATTATTTGACTGAAATATTTTTCCTTAAACTTTTCCCTTTATTCGCAACTCAAATTATGAACTTGGTTCATTCCAGAAAATGCTTGAAAATATTGGGCAGTCTCTTGAGATGATGCATTCTGTAAAGGTTCGTTGTCAAAATCAAATTTCCGAGGATTTCAGGGTTTTAACGTTCAATTTCTACCGTATCTTTGTCTATATAGGAATCTTATGAAGGTGGTGAATCAACGCCCGTTCTAAACGGGGAACAACCCAATGTGGTAGTTGAAGAGAAAAGTGCTCGGGCACCTTCGTTAACTGACTCAGAGATCGTATCGCCCGGTATTGGAGATACATTTCCTATTCCTGTCAAGGCCTCTCCAGTTCGTAATAGTAAAGGAAGATCAGGAACGTCTCCATCACAAGCTGCCCATAGAATGGCTGATGCATTTCCTACAATATCATATTCAAGTAGTGAAGATGAAGATCCAGAATTCTTCGATGCTAACGAATACGATAATGATATTGCCAGGTTTCAATAAATATTCTTTATTTTGTTAAAATTATATTTGTTATTAACAATAACTATAATACGACCGGATCTTAAATAATGAAGTACGTAAGTAACGAAATATTTTAATAATGTTAGAAGTCGAAAAGACTAAAACTATACATGTTCGATGTTTTACGAATTAGCTAATTGAAGTTTTTACAATTTTTAGCGCCTCTGAATCCCAGAAAGGTGGTAAGTTAAAAGTTGTTGTTTTAGGAAACAAACTGATTTTTTGTTAACCATCAACACAATTTTCACCCCACTTACAGTATCCACGAAATATTGCTCTAAATAAATATATTGTTCTATATATATCCTTCCATATATTCTCTGTATATATATTTAGTGAAGTACCACGAAGATGAAGATGATATATTTGGTGCAGAGATCGAAGGTAGAATATATTGACGTCGACGTCACACATGTATTGGAGATTAATTTTCTCAAAATATAGATCACCAATTGTCGTTGTAAATTATTGGGAACGAAACTTTGCAATGATTTTATATATAAAATTGCCTTAAAGGCTGAACATTGAACATTTTCAAAGGCTCTGTTTCGTCTGCGTAAATTAAGTCAAAGATGTATTTTTCAATAATTTTTTAATGTATTTTTTCCCCAGGGGACGATATTAAAAAGCATGGCAGCATTATAACTCATTTATTATCTCAAGTTCGTCTTGGTATGGACCTAACGAAGGTAAACAATATTAATATTGTCTGCTCTGATGACGCCAATTTGTAACATGGAGCCATAACGACCATTGAACATTGGCACCCTAGGTAGCTCTATGATACCTCATCTCCTTCAATGAAACGGAAGACAAATGGTTACTAATTGTGTTGTACACTCCATCTTTACAATCCATGCAAGCATTTCATGTTTTATGTGTTCTGTTACACTGTGCTTGGGAAAAAGTTTTGATATATGTAAGCCATAATCGCTCACCAATGATATTTAGGTTGTTTTGCCAACATTTATTTTGGAGAGAAGGTCGTTACTTGAGATGTATGCCGACTTTCTTGCTCACCCTGACTTGTTTGCAAGGTAAGCATCCACTTCTTATACCAGTTCAATTTTGAAAATGCAGTTTGTCTATTTTCTCTTAGCCCATTTATTATAATATAGTATTGGTGACTTTGACGATCCTAAGGACAGAATGATCCAAGCTGTAAAATGGTATTTGTCAGCATTCCATGCTGGTAGAAAAGTAGGTTCACAGTTTTTGTGTCCCTTAAATTTAGTTCTTATCTAATCGCAATTGTCATAAGTTGGCCGAATTTCCACTTGCGAAAAAAAGGAAGAGATACATATTGTATCTCCCAATTTTTGAGATGAGTTGTCGCCTTTGCATCACTCTCTATATACTGTACTTGAGTTGCAATTGTTCAGCGTCATCGCTCGGAATATTGAATAGCGCTACTTTTTACAGAGCTCTATCGCGAAGAAGCCGTACAACCCAATCTTAGGAGAATCATTTCGCTGTCATTACGTTCTGGATGAAAACAACAGAAGCAAGGTAAATTTCATGTGGTTTCTGCAACAGTTTCTCGTCGCATGACCTGCACATATAACTATGCTTGTATTTATTTATTCACATCAGGAATTGACTAAAGATGGACCCGTCGCAGGTATCAGTAAGGACGATGTTGGTTTTGTTGCTGAGCAACTATCACATCACCCACCAGGTAAGTTACACTCTCACGCGTCATATTTTGTTGGGATTTTAAAACCTTTCATTTATATTTAATTTGTAAAATGACGATATAAAATGACGTTCTTTGTTTATTCAATTCCATGTTTCTTGCAGTTTCAGCTTTTTATGCCGAACATCCTAATAAAAAGATTTCTTGTACTGGACATATTTGGACAAAATCAAAGTTTCTTGGTCTCTCGATTGGCGTAGAAATGGTTGGGCAAGGTTGGTCAAATTGTATATAGTGGAATTGTTTCCAATTTAAAGTACAGTCTAGACTTAAGAAGTGTTGCTCTTTTCTCATTCATTTTGTGATTTTAATGATTGTTTAGTATAGCTTAAATATCCATATTAGAAAAAAATTGTAATATATAAATAAACATTTATAACTTTATATTTCTCTCTATTAAGGGTGTATATCTGTCATACCTTACGATGAGGAATATATAGCAACTTTCCCAAATGCCTATGGCAGGTGAGGGAAGACATCATCAGTATGTGCATGTATTCGTAAATAGTTTATTAGTTATTTTTGTAGGTTATGTATTTATTGTTTGTGCTATTTTATTATTATCATTATCTTGTAGGTCGATATTAACAGTTCCCTGGATGGAAATGGGTGGACAAACTGCAATAACATGCGCAAAAAGCGGCTATAATGCTAATATTCATTTTCATTGTAAGGTAAGTATTCTTTATCAAACTAAAGACGTCTTAGTATTACTGCAATGACGTAGCGTGACTGATCTCGTAACGTTGACAAAACTCATTCTTACGTCCGTGCTTTTTGAAGACCTGTAACTCAGACATGCTTACTTCATTCCTATCTCTAGCCATTTTATGGTGGGAAAAAACATCGAGTCACTGCCGAAATCACGTAAGTGGATATGATGAAATGAAAACATACATTGAGCTAGGGCAGTGTGCCACACTGTAAGTATAGCACAGACTGTATAAAATTATACGTATACTATTTCATACAGTTGTCAGGCATTGAAGAAGCGTAAGTTGTTTTAATCAATCGTTGTGCTATATATAGTATAGATGATGATAATACAGATCTGTCATTAGACCAGTGATGTGAAAGTTTGAAAGGTTTCTTCTTTATTTTTTCAGAGCGCCTGGGGAAAAGAAACCATTCTTTACAGTAAACGGCGAATGGAATGGAGTCATGTATTATAAGGAAGCCACGGAAGGACAAAATATTAGTTCATCTGAGGTTGGTTAACAGTTTGTTAATGCATGGCTGTCATATGAAAATCAATATATTCACCCAAACTATATTCTTAATGTATATTACCTGTCTTTTATCTCATTTTAGACACCACAAGTGTTTATTGACACAAAGACAATGCCTGTATTTAAGAAACGCGTAGCTCCTTTAGACAAACAAGAAGAATTTGAATCTCGTAGGTACGTTGATAAGATATAAATATGCATCTTTATACACTTTTACAATTGTTTTAGGCAGTGGAGCATCTGTAGATAATTGATTTTTTTTGTTCAGACTTTGGAGAGATGTAACAGAAGCTTTAAAGACAAACGATATAGAAAGTGCAACTGCTGGCAAACACAAGGTACGCCATGGACGAAATTTGCATAGAGTGCGGTAAGGTCAGACCAGACCAAAGCGTTTTAATTAATTGGAATGAATATTAGCTTTTTCAGATCAGTATATTAAGTTTGCAAGAAAAACCTTGACGAGTTGAAGTTCCAAAGTTTATTTTAGGTTTATCTTTACGTGATGAACCTTTATTTATATGTATATATCTATTTTAGCTTGAGGAGAGACAACGCGCTGAAGCACGGGAGAGGAAAGAAAGTGGAGAAAAATGGCAAACTAAGGTATGTGAAATTCTGTGAACACTGCAAATAACATGCATATACAGTACCGGTAATGACATATATTCATTTAGGCTTTCTAAACTAGTCTTTTTTTGTTATATAATTGTTTGACCCGCTATTACAATGTCAATGCTTACTTATTTCTATATAGAATTTACAATTACAAATACCGTCAATTAACATTTCTTTACTAGCTTTTTCATGAAAATAACGGTGTATGGACGTACGACGCAGCTCTAACTACCCGCCTTAAAGGGCAAACAGCTGGGAAGTGATTTTATGTTAGTGCAGCAACAAAATTCCCTCGCAATATTCCTCACTAATATATAATTTTATTTATGATGTTGTATTTGACTTTACAGTTGATTTTGGTACAATTGCCACTATTTTCAACTGAATTAGTTGCTTATAGTGACCGTTTGAAATTATTACATATCAGTTATTTTATTCTAATATAAATGAGGCCTATAGTATGAGCGATGCCGCGTATTTTGCTAAAAGCACAACTATCATAAAACAAGTGGGAAAAGCCTCCTACCTAGTGGAAAGCGTCAGGGCTCTTGCAGGATGCGGTGTGCGTTTGAGATTAAACAATATTTTGGGGCCGTATCGTAATCCAACATTGCGTAGTTATGACTTTCATTCAGTTGCTCATTTATATTTTTCACGTTTTTTATTTTACATTATTAATAACGAAATTTGTAAATATGCATTTTACAGTCATAATATGCTGTAATATTAATTATGCAATGTTTGAATATATTTTTTATGCTTGTATCTGCCCAGTTATTTAATATCCACCAGACATTATCAATCCAATAGTGACTGACCAGGGCGCTGACCTTTCTCATACGTCGTGATGATGTCAAATGCGAGATGCAAATGTAACATGAGGTTTGACTGGCTTTGCAAAACTGATGAACCAATCAAATTTTGTGTAACATCAGACCATCTGCACTGATGTTATTTTAAGACCGTAGAGCTGTAGACTCTTTACACAGTAGGCATCTGCAGGAGAATGCTTTGACGACAGTAGCAGTGGATGCAAGAGAGCTTCTACAATAGGAGACCTTCTACAATATCTTGGCCTTAGTCCAAAAGATCAGGAACATCTTAATTTTTGGGTGGGAGATGGAATTAGAACATCCCCTCAATTCAGGTCATTCTTCACCAAGGAAACCAAAAGCTGTTGGTCATTAAGATCAACTTTTTTTGCTGCAGAAAAAGTGAAAAACTTTAACAAGCAATTTGCTGGTAGAAACAGTTGTAGACTCTGGCACATTTACTTTAACACAATATTGAAAATGTTGGCTGTATGGTACATAAGTCCTTACTAACCCGGTCAATAGGCTATCATAGCACCAGCTTATTAATTCCTATCTTAGTAAAAAATGCCACCCTGCATCACCAAAAAAGTACTTGGACTAGTTGACACAACTTAATATCTCTTGAAATCCACTTTATTTCCGTAACAAATTTATGTCAGAGCTATGGTTCTTATTATTAAAATTATCACAAATCTCAACTGGTTCCATAAACAAAAGATATAATCGATGATATAATCAAAATGGATTTCTATTTTGACAAACTTTGAGCATTGATTGGCTAAATATCAGCACAAGATCACCTGGTAATTATTGGAAATGATGTTTGACATGTTTATTTTGGTAGAATTATGAATAAAGGTTAATATAACAGTTTACAGCATTACAACTTCAGAGCTAGCACTGTGGAGATAAATGTCCAGAGAAAAATCTTGTAAGAGCAATTGTAATATCAAGTACAAAATAGTAATGAAAAGTCATTCTCTCTGTGTCATTCTCAATGATTGTCATTCAATCATACAGAATCTCTTTAACAAAAGAAAATTCTGCAGAACATCAGTGTTCTCCTGTCCTGGCATTCTCTGAGCCAATTTCTTTAGACTAATTGCACTAAGATTGCTTTCATTAGCTACTTTGCCCATTTGCTTACATTGTCAGCAACTGCCTAGCTTATCCAAGAAAAACTCCATATTTTACGTCGAGAGATGTCCTTGTTAACTTAGAAATTGACTAGGGTTAACATGATTTGATGAAAAGTAATATGCAGGTAATATAATTATTGTACAACTGTTTACTTTCTGATACGTAGAATGATACACACACCGCGATACATTAACCACGGGTAGATGCTCAAACGTTAATTTTCCACATATTTGACAGGTCAAGACCATGGTGTTTCACTTCGATCTTTCTTGGAAAGGAAGTCAATCTTTCTGGCCATCTCAGTATTATATATTTTAAGTCTACTTTCGTACTTATGTCTTCGTCTTTTTACGGTAGGTTTTTCATAATATCGATTAAGCTGTATGTCTTTTATTTGTTTCTCACTTTGCATGACTCTTTGGAGTGTGTTCATAGCATCTGTAACACCTTTTTTCCCAACAATTACCGTCCTAGCTCTAAACAAATGATGCGCCATATTAGATAGTTATTCACTTATTTTGCATGGGTACGGGTACGCTGTGTCAGAGCTCAATGCAAACGTAAAGCTAGCGCGGGAAAATTTCTGTTTTGAACTTTTGAATTGATTTTGAAAAAATTTTGTCATATTGTTCGGTTTTAAAGCACGTATTCTTTCAAAAATCAAAAGTGAAGCTTTGAACAAAAATGTCATCCTGTAATGTGCTTTATTTAGCGAAAATGAATATTTTGAACAACTAGAAACGGACGTGAAGATAATTTATTGTAATTCAATATGCCAAAATATTTGGGAATCGATTTCCTATCACAGGTAAAGATTCGTCTTTAGGCGCTTGTCAGAAAAATACTGGTTTAATACGTATATGTATAATTGTTGACATTGTTTATCTATTTTGCTTTAGGTTTTGAGACAAAAAGAGCACTTACTAACTCGTATGTTAATAAGCTGCCATGGCGATGGGTGTGATGATAAGGAAGGCATTCCGATATCCTGCAAAACTGACAAACCTTTCCTTTGGTATTTTAGTAAAGGTATTACATTTTTAATCTATCTAAAATCTCACGCTAGACAATCAAATGAAAACATTAGGTGAATAATCAAACTGAAAATCTCTAGTCTTTCGTATAGTCACTAGCTGAGATCGTTATGTACGAACTTCATTTTAAAAACTCGTTTTTCTATATCTTAATGGCAAGCACAATTTGAAAAATTTCCCAAAAAAGATGCTGGTTCATATCTCTTGGAAATCTTACCATCTACACCATTTGGGCGTAAACCAGAGCGATACCACAAGCACAGCAGTTGTGAAATTGAATATGTTCCTAGCTCCAATCCAGATTCACCACCACCTAGTTTTCTTTCTGATTCATATCTTGATCTCGAAGAGGAAATCGTCAAAGATGTTTGCGACTATTTTAGTCGGCATGAAATAGATATTAACAAATATGACTCTCTTTACACATCGAATACAGGTATATATTGTAAATTCCGTAAGATGGATAGATGAATATACCTGGGCCAGACCGAGGCCTGGCTTAGGCTGTGGTTTTCTCTTTGGCCTGGCCAAGATCAGTCATACCATAGAGTCTTCCTGTTCAAAATATAGGCATAAAAGCTTCGTACGAAACGGGACAAAGCCAGTGCACAAAGCACAAAAAACAATGCACAAAGGCACGGCTAAAAGTAAACTGAATGAATTCGCAGTGGTATACGCGGCATTCGATACAGTAATATTTTCTATTTTTTAAAATAAAATTAGTTCCAGAAGAGTGGCAAATGGAAGAAATACTTATGAAAGATTGTTTTGAAGATTTTTTACGACGAATGCCACGTTTCCAAGATTTAGCATCAAGACTCAAACCAAGAAAAGTTGCTGATCCATTTATTGGAGATGATGGATGTTTAAGAAATGAGTGTTGGGCCACACGGTAGGTCTCGGAGTAGTAAACTTCATATTAATTGTATGTGAAAACTGTCAGACCATGCACAGCTTCTGGTGGTGTTTTCAAAAACGCGGTAACGCAATGTAGTGGATGCGTATATAATATATGGTAAAGACGAGACTCCTGGTTCTAATCAGAGGTCGTGAAATTTCCAACAATAAACATTTGAGACAAAACCTTATGTTAGTCGCCAGAATTCTAAGGATTTCAAATATACAGTACACAGTCTTTGATTTTTTTCATGTTTCAATCATTTTGCTTTCAGCTTCAGGATGTATTGTGATCAAAATTCAAGCAACAAATGTAGTTATGAAACAAAGGAAACATTCGTGAAATTATTGATTCCGGAGGCAGAGCAGGTTTGGTTAATTAATAAGCCAGAATAACGGCTTTAAATATCATCGCCCGAATGGCATAAAAGAGATCCTTCAGTACCTTGTATCGTGAAGGCCGTCGTTTCGGTCAGAGCCTCGATTGATGTCAGCACAAAGATAGATTTAACATTGCTTGTGTATTGGGATTTTTTGCCTTTTTTTCCTGCAATCATTCTTTTTTGCTCGGATTTTCTTTTTCACACAATTAAGGCTATAGCGTAACGATACAGAGTTTGTAGTATACGCGATATAATACAGGCTGACATATATAGGCTATGTAATTATCATGCAGTTTTATGTTATATACCATCCAAATTATTTTTATAGAATGAAAATGAAGATTACAAGTTCACCAGCCCGTTGACTGTTTCACACTATCGTTCAGATAGCATATCATATTTCAAGGATAATTACGGGAATGTTAACTGCGAAATTGATTCACCAACATCGGAACGAAGCTGTGGTGATAAGTATTTTTATGGTGAGTGGATATGCATGATATATAGCTACGTCCATTATCCGTACAAAACAGAATTAATACCGGTGTCTCATAACATTGTTAATTGTTTATTTAGTCCGCCTCTGTTTATTTACCACACCTCTGCATTTCCAAGAAACTGCAGCCAGTCATCAATTATTTATTTATAAAAGTGTTTTCTGGAATTTAAAATGAGAATCATATAATAACACAAGGCAAGAATTTATTTTTTTATATCATTTCTTTGTTTTGACTGAAGAATTAGAGAATGCCTGGAATGATGTTGCATGGAGAACGCATCAGAAATACATGAATGATGGGGAATATTGTGAAAAGGCAAAAGTGAAATCCTTCCTGGAGTTGAATGGAACAGGTAATTACGAATTTTTGCTACCATATATAGCCAGGTGATGCATTGTTGTCCGATTATGATGATAAGGTAATGATTATCATCAAGTATTGATAGCTTTATATTGCGTTATGAATATATTTTAAGAAGCGCCTGTTGAAGTGAAAGATGTATCTAAAGTAGTGTTAGAATCACCACAACAAAACTATCTCACCGAGCATGAAGACAACGTAAACAAACAGGATCTCAATCAAGGCGAGCCTTGTCAATTAAAACAAGAACAGGCCGTGTAAGTTTCATTATATCTATAATATTTTTATTCCTTCCTCTATGGTATTCACATAGAACGGTCAATCATCAAATTCAAGATTTCTTTTTGATTTAGGATTCTTTTTCGCTTCACTATCGTTAAATATTAATGTTTTGCAGGTTTGTGTCCTCCCCACCTTCAGAAAACAAAATGACACGAGCAATTGTGGCATCCAGCAGATTGCGAGATAAAATTTCTTTACTAACACTTGTGGGTAAGGTGTGGCCGGAAATATGTGTGGCCTGTTTCATATAAGTATAAGTATGTCGTAATATATTGTCTATAGCATAAAGTCATATTGAGCGGGATGTTCCAATTCTTTGCAGTTCCTGATGTTGAAATCAAGGAATTAACACA